TATCCATCACCTCCCACCCTAAGAAACGGCTTTCCACCGTCTGACAGGTCGGTGTTGTGTTTAACGGTTGCCAAGTCAACACGACGACAAACTTTGAAGATCCAGTAACATAGTGAAGGGTACATAGGACAGAGACGGTGCTACATAACAAGTAGTACCTTGTGACTCGTCACCATCCCAACAGAATCACCCCTCAAAGTGCCGTATGTACATGTTTCCCCAGCTATACATCTACAGAATGTATCACCATACCATTTTACAGACATACATACAAGAAAAAGCACAAATCACTCTAAGCTCCCTTTATGCACAGTACCTCCTTCTCGGGGCCGGCGGTTACCGTCCGCAGCGCGATTTGCCACCCGGTGGGATACGGTCGTATGCTTCATACTTGCCTACCACATTCCCCTCCCCCTGCCCCGTCAACGTCATTCTATGTCTGCAATACTGTACGTCTGTTTTCAGGATGACAAGAGCCGACGGCCGGTCCAGTAGCATGGGGTTACAATCCCAATGATTCGATCGTAAATTCAGGCACTGTCGGCCACAGTTATAATACTGTATCAAGAAAAGTGGGCTCCATATTACTGTACATTACTACAATACCTCGTTATTCTACGGAGTACTGTATGTAGTACAACAATATATGTACGTAGACAATGATGTTGAGACGGCTTTGAAACGGGCGGCTGCCAACGAGAAGGCAGCGTGTGGGGTTCCGGTGTCAATTGCTTCTATTTACGACTCTGCTGATGTTGCGGGTCGTCTACCGATTGGAACTTGATGTTGACGGGTTTCGGTTGTGATCGGATCTACGCTGCGCTATTTTTCGGGCTCCGGATAACGACTTGCAATGTATTTTGTGGTTATAGGTCGTGGGTCGAGTGCGGGTACTGTTTCGACGTTGCTACGTCAAGGATGTGGAGTGCAACAAGCAATCGGGTTTTCAATGAGCCAGGCCCGAAACCTCGGCCATTTCAGAGTATGGTGTCAAATCAGATATCATTGTTCGCACTTGAAAGAACTAAGGCATTGATGAGAACAGAAATAATGATAGTAGCTCCATCTTGGTCCAGCTACATCCAATCGGGCGATCTTGCGTTGAATATATATCTGTCCTCTGTGAAGACCCGCAAGCTTCGTCTCATCTGTTCGAACCGTATATCCTTGTAAAAATATGTCGTGCAAAATCTTCCACTTAATCCTCCTAATAAGACTGGGGATTAACACGTATCGCTCGCGAGGCCATCCCCTGGGTACCCTGCGGGCTAAATCGACCATAGAGCTACATCTTACCAGATGAGGAAGAATGATGAATTGCGGATCTTGAAGGATTGCTATTTGAGTAAATGGACCTCCATGAGCTCAAGAACATACGCGAGAAAGGAAAAGGGTATTGCAAATATCAACGGGAAAATGCCCTCTCCAGGAACTTGGAGCGGTGCCACAAAACACTATATGCGACTGCCACGAGTACCATCCCACACTAAGGCGCACAAAGAATTCGACATAAACATCCCAATGTAGCGTCTTTGTTGTAATCAGAGAGCCCACTCATCTGCCGTTTCCGAGGCTGCGATGAACGGCTTGTCGATCTGTTTGATAGCATGGTCGCCGCATAAAATACTATAATAAGCAATTAGTAACAAGACACCGATTTCAACCCGATCCACCCCGATGAATAGGACATACCAAGCTTCGGCAACCAGCCCATCCAATTCTTTGACAATCTCCTCTCTCCGAGCCGATGAGAGATCGCCATTGCTCATCTGCGCCTGCAAATCCCGGATATACTTCTTCTTGCCTCCCGCACCTTCCAACACCTCTTTCCCCAGACAGTCGCTGTGGAAGGCATGTTGACAAGGGAAGACGAAGAACTGGCGGCTCAACAGAGGCAACGAGCAGATCCAGCATTTCTCGCCCGGTTCCACGATCGCATAGCGGGTGTCCAGACCGGCAATCTCTGACCGAATCTGGCGAGCTGTTTGTGCAGAGTTATCCATCTCCTGACGCAGGTCATCAATATGGCGCGAGTAAATCTCGAGAGCGGTACAGATCTCGTCTTTGAAGTCGTCGATGACGACAAAGTCCGGGAAGAAGGGAATGAGATCCTCGATGTGGAGGAGCTCGCAACGGCGGAGAAACTCGATGGCGTCTTTGATGCCGGTGCCAGGCTGACGGATCTTCTTCTCCGCAACTAGGAGCCACAGCTTCTTGCGAAGCTTATCATTACCTTCGGGGCGGTCTGCGACAATAGCCGCAAGCTCAATGTCGTTGTGTTCCAGGGCGAGTTCAACTGCCTGCAGATACTGACCCATGGCGCTGTAGATGTGGATGCATGACTGAACTCTCTTGTGCTGAATACAGAGTCGGAGTGCAAAGTCTGCATCATATGGAGGAGGCGTTGATGGCTGCGATTGGAGATAAGTGAGAAGCCCCGCTTCGGAGGCTGATGAACTGGAGGCATGAATCGAGATGAGGGTATTGTGGACGGCTGCCGAGGGATTGGGGTGGTTGACGATGATGAAGTTAAGGTAGCGAACAGCCTGGTTCTGGTTGAAGGAGACGCTGGCAGTCTTGTTATAATTCAACAGTGCCGGAATAAGCCGCTCGGGATCAAGATTTGTCTGGCGCATCAGGATTTCGATCAACCCAGTAGCTGCATGAGTCATGAGCACGCTGCTGTACTTGTAGAAAACATCTGGTTCGCTCTGGCGCTGGAGTACATTCAATGCCTCGGACCATTTCTCTTGTTGGATCCAATATGACAAGACATAGTTGTGATCGTTGGTAGCAGTTGCAAAGAAGAGTAATTCTTGTTCACGACCATGACTGCTGATGATGTCGTAGACCGTCTTCTTGTCCAGATCCGCCTTGTGCCTAGTAACAAACTCTTGAAACTCGGCTCGCATATCACCCAGTTGATCCTGAACCTGGCCCTCGGTTGCACCCTCGGTTAATTCTGCCTTGGTCGCGATGCTGTCGTCCAAGGAATTCAGCTTTGACATGAACAGTTCCACAAGCCAACTCGCAACCATAAGCCGTTGCATGACAGATGTTTTCTTATAGGTCGAAAGCTGAGAAAGAAGGTACTTTCGCAGAGCATCGTACTCTTTATTATCCACCATTGTCAGGCAGACTTCCTCGAAGCCTTTGCTGCTTTTGCCCCAGACTTTGGCTGCCTCGAGGAAGTTGCCTTTTTCTGCCAAAAAGTCACCCGAAGCCGTCAGGACAGCATCGCGCTGCGCATGGCCGTGAGCGTATTGAAGTGCTTCGTCAAATTTCTTCTCTTTGAGGAAAACCTTCCATACGTCTCGGTCCTCATCGTTGGCAACAACCTCGAAAATTTCTTTGCTAGTGAAAAGCCAGTAGGTGTTTTGCATGAGGTCAGTCAATAGACCCAACGAGCTCTGACGAGGCTCCAGCACAGCCTGATCATATACAACCTCCTCATTTAGGCGATTGACGGCAACCACTCGGCCTTCGACTAGTGCCAAAACATGCCAATGGGTCAGAGTGATTGCAGAAATCGGATCCTGAATCAACTTCTTTCCCCCTCGTGCGGACTGTGATGCGGGGAATTTCGTGCGAGGTAGCATACTCGCATGGTCGAAGGGAGTCTCGGATAAAAGCTGACCATGATAAACACCCTCAGCACTCAACCATGCAAATTCCTTCTCTGAGAGGCCCTCCGCCTGGTGTCCTCCCGCACTCAACGAAGAGGACACTATGAGAGCAGATGGCGCGGAGCCTGACGGGTTGGAAATATCATGAAATAAAGCCGTCTCTCGCTGGAAAAGGTCCGCATATATGGAACCGCCGCCGTCTCTGCCATGCTTAGTGGTGCTCGCCGTCCGGCCTAGAACATGTATCAATTTGCCGTGTGTTGCCACCAGAACTCTTCTCTGATCAGGCCTCGATGGGACTAATTCGGCACAGATCCCAGTGACTGGTGAGGCGTCCGGCACCTTGTACACAGCAGTGACGTATTTCTCCTCGCGCCGATAGAACTCCGTAGACGGTTCAATGTAGGTCTCATAGACGTTGCCGTCGGTCGTACCCAAAAGAATCTCGCGCGTTGAGGCAGTTGGTAGAGACGGATTCCAAGCGACACTCTCAATGGAGACGCCCTTTAACCGGGACAAAGCTTTGGGTTGGCGCGACTGGGTGTGGAGGTAGTAGTTCTCGCCGAGCGTGGTGGTGATTATCAGATGGGACGCAGAAGGGTCGAGGAACATGCGTCGAATCAAACCAATCTCGGAGGATTTCTTTGGAAGATCGATGTCTGTTGCGAGGAGACAAGTGGTTAGCTCAACTCCGTGCGGATCGGCGGGGGAATAGACTGAGCTGTATCCCTACCATCAATGTCTTCAGGGGTATCAAGGTCGATCCGTAGGATCCGGCCTGTCGACAAGGCCAAGATGAGCACATTGTTCGCAACTTGGGCGGCCACGAAATCCGCCGCGATCGGGAATTGGAGCTGCACCCGCTGAACGTCGAAGATGGGTAGGGAGTCCGAAGGCTCCGTTAGGTTGTTCGGAGCCACATAACTGCTGGATCCGTCCAGCGCCATGATGCGCAAGCTGGTCGCTATCTCATACCGACCGTCTTGGGTTTCAGGGCAGAGTTGGCGGAGCTTCCAGGAGCTTGTGCAATCGACGGAGGAGGGACCTGGAGCTGCCTGGGAATGCGGAGGGCGAGTTCATATCTGCCTGAGGCAGGAATGCGGTAAGGCCTCCCGTCACGCTTAAACTTACTGGTCAATCTATTCTGGTTATACATACCATACATTGCCATTACTATTACACTCTTTATTAGAATGACTCAACAAGTAGGATTTAGTACTGAAGCTTAGTACTGAAGCTCTTCAAGGAGACAAATTCCATCACCCATCATGGCCTGAACGTTGGACGCATCCGGAATTTACAGGTTCCCTTCGAGATCTTCGGACGCGCTGGTGCAAGCAGCCCTGGTATAAACATAGGACCCGCCGCTCTGTTATGTTTATTAAATGGCTCAGTTGTTTGCCCTGGGGCTTTGTGATTTACCGCACTGTTTACACGGCGGAATCTGACCGGCTCTGCTCTGCCTGTCTCGCTAAAATTGACCGTTACGTGCAATGGAGCATTAGCGATATCTACGAAGTTGAATATCGGGACAGCGATCCTTTCCCCGAGTACTTCGTGAAAGAAACCTGTAAGAACCTTGGTTTTGAGGATCGAGAGCGATGGGAGGGGGCATCCCTTGAACAGATCCGTACAGATTTCAAACAATATTCAAAGTCTCTCGGGATGGAAGATGGGTCGCATATTCCATGGTCGAAAGCCTGTCTCGTTATTGACGAATCATGCTTGAACTCGATCGTAAGTGCCTTCGAAGATCCGGAGGATAGTGCAAATTGGAAAGGGCCTCGGAGAGCATTTGTGATCGAGAAGGGTGGGTGTATCATGTTGAAGCCGTTCGCGGTGATGGTCGACCCTACTTTTGAACCGGAGGAGAGCTATGACACGCCTGGGTACCAAGGGTATATGCGCGTTGAACTTGACGGTATTTGGAGCGCAGCTGTTGAGTTGTGTCTTGCCACGGTGCAGGAAGTATGTCCTAATGTGACTCCTGGCGAGATGATCCCGGTCTATAATGGAGGAAGCGGATATTTGGTCAACGTGTGAAAGTGGTCCTGAATTCTGCGACTGTTGCTTTCATGGCTACGAGCTTGTCACCACCTAAAGCAGGCAGAGCCTGGAATAAGGCTGCTCGCAGGTTAGGATGTCCCTTATTTCTAAAGACTGTTAGAGACTGGCCTTCGAGCTGATCATCGTCCAAATATCTTTCAGTTTAACAAATTTGTAGACGAGATCGGCGACACCCCGAATAGCACGAATCTGAATGTTTTCACAATAATTGTCGACAGTGCCATAACAGAGCAGTCCAGCTTGCGAAGCCGAAAAGTTGACGGTTGTCGTTAACGAACCAGCAGCAGCGTTCAAGCAAGCTGACCTACGAGAGATTGCCTCAGTTCTGGAAATGCTTACCCGAGCATAGGGATCTTACAGGAAACTGGAAGTTATGGGTAGAAAGGCGCCGTTTCTGGCACCAGGGGCTGTCATTTTCGGCGGCGATTTCACGGGTCCTTATATTCTACGTGTAAAACAAGGCCCCGTCCCACCTCCCTCTATCGCCTGCCATCGTCCCCGTGTATGACTACATCACGGTACATTCCCGATCCAGGTTTCGACTCTTGTCCTTGGATTTCTCCCTGGACTTCCCCTTCGCTTTACCCCTTGACCCTCGATCCTTGCCGGATTTATCCTTCGATTCCAACCTGGCTGGTCCCAGGATGATGTCGTCGGCCGCGGCATCGTCAGTCTCAAAGGCGGACTCGTCCACCTCCCCTTCGCCATCACTTGTGATCTTGTCTCTGCTCAGACGACCAGCGAAGCGAGAGAAGGTTGAGCTAATTCTGTTTTCGCCGGACTGGCTTCCTGCACGACTACCAGAATTGCTCTTGGTGGCTCGAGAACCGCGCCGAGAGAAACTGAACGACCCCCTGGTACCCTCCTCTTCCATTGCCATCAAGCGTGGTGACATTGACGGCATTGAACGAGGCGGCCCAGTGAGGGGAGGATCTGAGAATACCACACTCGGACGTCGCTCAGTGTTCACAAGTGGCTGAGTGGTGTTGTCCGGGCTAGTGATCTCGAAGCTAGGCCTAGCCGAAGTGACATCTTCGGTGGTACTACCATCCGTGTCCACCGCTAGGCTTGACAGCTTTCGATACACATCGCCCATCTCCACGTCGAGTGTGGTATCGGATGCAAGTGACGACGGCTTGTTCGAGAGATTGGCCAGGGACGCATCCTGGTCAATCGGAAGAATTTGGTAGAATAAGAGATAAGGAGACTCAGTCCTCAGTGCAGTCTCAATATCGATGAGGGTGATCCTCTCAGAAGCAAGGTCGTCAAATCGCATCCACTGCTTAGGGGATTCGGTGCCTTGTGGTTTAGCACCGTCCGCGGAGCTGCTTGTTGGTGCGGCGTTGGGGCTGGTGCCTCGAACCAGGGAAATGTAGTGGCCTGAGTCCACCGAGGTACCCCTGTGACAGACTACAGCCTGTAAGGCAAGCTTGAAATCCCCAGAAACATCCATATTGTCATCTTGGATGAACTTGGGGATACCGATCTCAACCGGGATGTCAATGTAGGTGTTGAGGCGGATGGCTTTTCCATTCGGAGTGAACGAATATCTTTTCAGACACACGCCGAGAATGGGCCTTTGGGATGAGAAATGCGCTGCCACTTGCGCGTCATTTGTGGGGGTGTTTTCGGTGAACCAAGCTGGATGAGAAAAGAAATGTCAGCTGATTCATGACATTAATGGAAAAAAGTACTTACGGATGAGGCTGAAGAATTGCCAAGCAGGCATCATCACTTCCTTCCTAAGGATGCCTCTTCGGGGTTGCTCCGAATCCCCACTACCCGTCTGCTCCTCACTTGTATCCGGAATGAACCTCTCGCGGACAATACTGTCACGCCGACCGGGCTTTCGTGAGCCCAAGGAGTTGGCGGCACCCGAGATTGATGGCCAAGGGTTTGCCTTCTCGGGTATAGGTGAGGTGGACTGCGCTGGAGACTGTGTTGGAGTTGTCTCGACCTCTTCGACGTGTGCAGTGAATCCCTTAGACATGGAGAGCGAATCACTAGATCGCCGGGAGCTCAAGGTGTTGCGTCTTTCAAGATGTCGCTTGACTTCAATGCGATTATTGAAGTAGGCCTCCAGGCAATCTTCAAGTGTGATAGTAGAGCCATCGGTTGGCTCAGGCGGGATGGCCACTTCCAAAAGTCTCTCGTTGACGAACTTGTGGTCGTCACTGACGTCTTCCTTCCCCGTATGGTAGATATCCATCTTGAGGGTAAGGAGAGGCAACTCAAGCGTCCCAGTGATGAACGTAAATGCCTCGGAGGCATCTTGCTGTCGCAATCTGGATGCGTCCTCCCATCCACACTCTGCCAGGGCCTCCTGAATGTGCTGGGTCTGTACACTTCTATCAGCTTGTGGTCATAGCTTTGATAAGCAGACCGAAAAGCCATGGATGCAAGGAAATACGTACGATATCGGTAGTGATCAACTTTCCTGCTCGAAGAAGATTCACCCAGAATCTCAACAGGATAGCCAGCTTTCTGCGGGGCTCGTCATTGAAGGATTTGTATAAAATCGCTTCAAAGCAGTCAAGACGCGCAAACATGGCAAAGAGGAGGGAGTCCAGATAGCAGGTAACACCTTGTCGGTTTTCAGCACCTAGGAGTTTCGTCCTGGGCGTGTAGGGTCGAATGATGCCCTCGATGGAGTCTTCTAGCAAGAGCAGGAGGCTGATTGCTTTCTCGACATCGTCATTAGTATTCTTGAGGGCATGTCTGACATGTGCCTCCTCTAGTGTAGAGTAACCGAGGGAGCGAAGGTGAGATTCGACCAACTTGACCTATGAGTTTGTCAGACCAGTTGACCTTATTTCATGTAGCGACAATTAGATAACAAGTCATACCTTCTTCTCATGCTCTTGGCTATCTTCTTTGCTAGGGTTTGAAACGAAGAAGCCTCGGAGCAGAGGTAGCGCAGGACTGACTAGGTGCTGTATCGTTTGACCCGTCAGTAAGATCATACTCGTAGCCTATCAAGACGGCGGATGCTAGATGTAAGTGATGAAGCGACACGTACCTCTTCTCTAGCTTGACGCGAAGCACCTTTTGACCGATCCCGGCGAGTAAGAAAGCGATGAATTCCACTCATTGCTGAAGAATACCCAGCGAAAAGGGGGTCTCGATCTAAGGAGTGAATGTCTGGACGAAGGGCAACATGCTGGGAGAAAGGAAGCTCAAGGTCTCGGAGCTTAGTTGAGGCTGCAGGATTTCCGTCAAGCACATGGAAACATCATGTGCTCAAAGGATATGTACGGATGATGGTAGCACGGGACAGTGGAAATTTGATGAAAGGCGCAGAAGAAACATCCAAGTTGTGAGAGAGTGTCAAAGAGGGAAAAGAGTGTTGCCAAGTGAGACGAAGCTATCTGTTGATTCACTCACTTATCGCACCTCCGCGGGGTATCAAGCGTGGGTCGCCTGGATTCGTCGCCTGATCTATAAGGCGATAGTATTCTACACGTGACCTCGACTACCCCCAACTTGTGTCAATGGCTAACATCGAACTTGAATTCATCTAAAGCGAAGTAAAGAAAGATGATATACTTTTCAGTAGATCAACAGTAATAGCTTCCTATCTATAGGTCAATCTTGGTCATGCTTGGTAAGCTGTGTCTAACGATGTCGAATATACCGGAGGATGGTTGCTGGAAACGCCAAGGGATGGGGGGTTGAGCACATTGATATAGCCAATTGCGATGTTCAAGATATATAGAATTAAGTATTCTACTAATTTCCGTAGTATAACATGTTATGGAAACTGTACTTGGAACTTGATGGTCAGCACGTCTGCATGTTGCAGGATATAGATCATTTGATGCCTCGTCGCCCTAATTTCCGGGCAACAAATAGCTGACACGTGACCATCCGCTCCGTTGCAAACAATTTTCGGCCGCTGGATAATTGGAGGTACCCTGATCCCGAACTCTACAACATCGCCATTGCTCGCAGAATGGCTGTCAGGGAGTCATCAAGATACCTGGCACGGGCAGTGCCTAGGGCCTTCGTGCCTTCCGCTCGCCAACAGGCCTTTTTGGGCCGCCGCAATGCCTCCGATGAGGCCCCGTCTAGGCGTCTGTCGGACCAGCTGGATGAGCTGGAAACTGCGTCGTCCTTGAGCACCCCTGTGCCAGAGTCCGCAGCCGAATCCTTCGACCCTGTGACCCGGGCAAAGGGTCGTAAGACTCAGCTCCCTCGCTCGCGGTAGGTAATCTCGCCGAAGGCTTCGTTCGCGTCCCTAGCTGTGCACTACAGACAGCCGACGGCTTTTCCGCAAAGAACCAGCAATTGACATTGACATCTCCATTTTAGATACCAATTCCGTTCTCCCAAGTACGATCGCGGCCCTCTTCACCCTCACCAACCTCCTCCTCCCTCCGACCCTTCCTCTCGCCTGTTCGTTCCTGGCCCCTTCTCCCTCCCGCGCGCTCAGCAGACCTACAACTCGACCGTTGCATCCGACATTCTTACCCTGTGCTACGTGCACACGCCGCCAGGCTTCAAGCCGCCACCCAAAGCACCCCGTCTGCGTGAGTGGGACGAAAGCTCTCCCTACCACAAGAACCGTCCCCTCCGCGGACCCCGTGGCGGTGACGTCCTGCGCCTACTCCGCAAGCCGATCAGGTTCAACAACATCCCCGAGATTGAGCGCATCACGATTCACAGTTATGTGAAGGGTGCGGCGCAGGAGAACTCTGGATGGCTGCACGTGGCTGGTATGGCGGTGCAGGCGGTCTCGAACGTGCGCGTGGAGACGTTCAAATCCAAGGCAAGCGTTGCTACGTGGAGCATTGCTCCTGGCCGTGACACGGTGGCTGTCAAGGCTGAGATGCACGGCGAGACCATGTATCACTTCCTAGGCAAGCTGATTGATGTGGTTCTGCCTCGTATCAAGGACTGGCCTGGTGTTAAGGGGAGTAGCGGTGATAGCAGTGGTAATATCACTTTCGGTCTGGAACCGGAGCACGTTGCCTTGTTCCCTGAGATTGAGGTCAACTATGATATGTAAGTTGTCCTTGACATGATTTTTATCATAGATCTCGGTTCTAACGTCTCTTCTCTATCAGGTACCCTCCCAAGATGATCCCTGGTTGCCACATCACCCTCCACACCACCGCCAAGTCTGACAAGGATGCCCGCCTCCTCTTGAGCGCTATGGGTATCCCCTTCTACGGAAAGATCGTGCAGTAAAGCACTAGAAGGATGTTTTTGTTCTTCGAATGCTGGCTTGGTTTCTCATCTTATACCACACCTGGGGCGTTGTGTTCCTATACAACCTGTAACTTTAGAGGTGACCTGCATAGTGGTCACTGCGATTCACCAAACATGTGTATTATCTCCATTTATTATCATTCTACTTCAAGCGAATCTATTGTCTAAAAACAAGTTCAAGAATCTCTACATCTTTTTGAGGTAAAAAGCACTTTACAATGTTTTCTGCAGTAGAATGTTTCAGTCCCGTTCATTTGTTTCTATGGAGAATCATAACTCTGGCAAAAAAGCGCTGATAATCAAAACTGTCGCATCATTACCGAAAAGGAGAAGTGAGCACAGACAGGCTAAACATTCGTCCTATCACTCTCCCCCTCGACCCCCAAAACCGACAACATAATACATGAGAGAATCATTATATAGACTCCAGAAGTGAATAAAAAAAAGCACAACAGCGCACATCAAGTGCACTAGTCTACGCAATAGGCGCAGCCAAAAACTTGCACTTTAGCAGCTCATCTGCAGTAGGCCGCTTCTCATAATCAAGCTGGAAGGTCATATCAAGGAACTCCACCGCTTCGGGGCTAACGTGTTCCGGTGCAGGTGGGCGAGCCTGGTTACTCCCAATAGCGAAGATAGCCTGCAACTGACTGCAGTCCGGGAAGGGATGGGCACCAATGAACATTTCCACGACCAAACAGCCCAAACTCCAAATATCGGCCTTTTTGGTGTGGGCGGTTTGTCGGACGACTTCGGGAGCCATCCAGTAGACACTGCCTTGAAGAGATGGGCGGTGCAGGTGGCCACCGCCTCCGCTGCTGGCGCGGGAGCCGAGGACGGTGGATGCTTCAACGCGTTTGGAGATACCGAAATCGGAGATTTTGACGCCACCTTTGTTGTCGACGAGGATGTTGGCACCCTTGATGTCGCGGTGGATGATGTCTTGGCTATGCAGGTATGAGAGACCTGCCAGGATTTGTCGGACAAAGTTCTTGACGAGCGGTTCTTGGAAGGTGTTGTATTGCTTGAGCATGGTGGCGATGGAGCCACCGGGCACGTACTCCAGGAAAATGTTCAGATACTGATCGTCAGTTGATGTGCCAAGGTACTGTACAATGTTCGGGTGGTGCATCCCTTGCAGAAGCTCAATCTCGTGCTTCAGTGCAGTGACCATGTTGTTCTTGCGCTGATCGAATTCCGTACCCTTGGTAGCCGATGGAATCTCGACCTGCTTCACGGCCATAAGCTCACCAGTAATGGCGTGAAGAGCCAGGAAGACACTGCCGAAGGAACCCTCGCCAATCAAAGATCCCTTCATCCAATTCTTGGGAGCAAAGTTGTTGCCAGCCAGGAAGTCGCTCATCAGATTTGCGTCGTCTTCTTCGCCATCATCAGCAACGAGCACGCTGAGTCGATCATTGGAGGAACCGCCATCGGTAGCAATGACACTGGAGCTTTCATCGATCATACTCTGGCGAGACAAGTTTGGTTCGTCCGAGCCACTATCAAAGGAGACATAGGACTTGCGGTTTGGCTCGGTGGGAGACTCTTCCTGCAGAGGCTGGAGAGAGCTCGAGGCAATCGAGTCCCGATATGAGGCTTGGGGCAGGTTGAATTTGGAGATAGAGAGTGGCCGTGAAGCACGAGCAGCCTGGGCTCCACCTTGCGGTTGGAACCAAGTATCGGCAATATTAGGCATTGGAGGAATGGGAGGCAATGGGGGGAGAGGCGGGGCATCCTTGAGACTTGACGCGACACTGTAGTTGCTAACAACACTGAGGCGACTAGCAGCACGACTGAGACGCTGAGATCTCCGCATCGTCTTCGCGATATCTTCCCTGTCGTGACTGGGGAAGAATGACTGGAGCTCATGGATAATCATCTCACTCGGTGGTCTCTGTCCGAAGAATGATCGAAGCTTAGTAGCCACATGGTTGCGATCAGTGTCAGGAGATGGCTGATCTTGATCGTTTGAAGCAGATGGACGATGGCGAGAGCCCACTGGGGATAGTGGCTGTTTAGTGTTAATGACATTCCAGGACTCGCCGGTAAGCTGTTGGATCTTGTGTTTCTGTCGTGGATTGGATTTATTGAGAGCGTTCTGATGAGTGACCTGGCTTTCATCGAAAGCGAGCTGGGACGCACGGCGCAGCTCATCGACATCGGGCTCGCCAGCATGAATCTTTCGCAAGATCAAGCGACCACGCTCAGACTTATTATGGCCGTCGCAAATTTCCATCAGCTCGGTCTCCGTCAACCGCCTGCAGTTTGACAAATCCGGGTCTAGGCCATCCAGGACATAGAAGCAATAGTTTCGATACTGGTGTTCCGGGAGTTGCAGTTTCTTGAGGACGCAGAGAATCACCTCGTCCGGAGTCTTGCAGTGCCGAATATCGAGAACCTTGGTCTGACCACCGGTGTAGATGACACGAATCACGGGAGAATTGGGTGGAAGAGGACCCATGGTAAGGCCGTCTATACTGGGATTGCGGGGGTGTGAGCTTCCCCGACCGCCATCACTGGGAGTACTCGGGTTGCGGCCGGATCCCGAGCCACCAGAGGATGGATGGTTGAAATAACCATCCTTGCGCCAATCACCTGATGGGGGAGACGTAGGGGACTTGCCCGAATAGCCATGGCCATCCTCCATCAGCTGGGACATACGTCTATTTGGAAGGCGCATCGAGGAGAGGCGCGAGTGATCAGACGATAAGGCGGCTGCTTCTAGCGCAGCGAGGGTATTCTATGGCGAGAATTAGTGCCTGTCGGGTAGGTCGAGGATATGCTGTAGCATCTGTACCATATTCTTTTGCCTGGGATTGATCATAGCCTTGTTCCGCAGCTGCTTGATGGCCACGAAGATGCGAACTCGGTCGCCCACTTTCTTGATACCCATTTCCTGCAGGATCTTCTGGTCGCATTCGATTAGGTTGTCTCCATTAAAGTTATTGGCTGCGTGATGTCAGTACCTGATTCAAGCTCCATACCGAAGCCAAGGAGGAGATCACCTCTGAAGATTGATTCATATTGGCCGCACTTGATGCTATGCAGCCACGCGACCACCTTCTTCTCATCCCAAGCCCTGGAGCGCAGTTAGCATCCGGTTGTCCAGTCCGCACGGCCCAACACCAGCGGCGCCTTACCGAACAGCCGAGAGTTCGTCCTGTCCCTCGGAGAATTCCGACTTGGTCGGGCTGCTATATCCCACCCCATCTTGTACTTTTGTGGCCGTCGCAGGGCGTTGTGAATTCGCATGGTAGGCCGACGCGGAGTTCTGGGAGTTGGACACGCCCAGGGGAGCGGAGTATTGAGGCTTGGAAGCCAGCATGATTCAGTCGTAGCGCGTTACTGTTGACCTCGTTGATGTTTCCTCGTGATCTCTCGGCAGATCTATCTCAACCACAGCGCCCCTTCCTCCGCCTGTCCTTTCTGTCTCTTCCCGTGCGTGCCTCGTCTCTTTCACACCAGGATCGACCGATCGGAGATATATCGAAGGGGTGCGGGGGATCGGTCAACGCATAATCTCGTGAGTCCCTGCTACTTGATTAATAACCCGTGCCGGAAGAAGTCCTTTGAATGTGGTCGCTATCTCGCTCGCTCGTCGCCCGGGAGAGAGTCCCGGACAGGGCTGAGAGGGGCAAGCCCGGAAGTCCCACGGGCTCAAGCCCTTATAGTCGATGGACCTGATGATGCAGGATGACTGACCGTGTAGCACAATGGGAGTCCTGATACTGTACTCCCGGGTGGTCTCAATCCCCCGTCAGGCTGAATTGGAATGAGGGGAAGGGGGAACCGCGGTGCAACTACCAGCTATTTTTTGGAAGATCGGGTGGACCAAGTTAGTGTGGTCGAGATCGGGCGTTATCGAAGATGGGCACCGATAGGCACTAGCAGTGGACTCTTTCCACTCACGAACACAAGAAGGAAATCAAAGATTTGATTACTCCCTGGTTAGAGAACAGGAATGGGAGGAGGTGTCAGGTAGAATGAGGAGTAGGATGAACCGGGAAGAGATGGTTTTGTAGCAGGAGGAAGTCCGGGCCGAGAGAATCAGAAGTCTACAGGTACTAGTCGACCTAGTCTACTGGTCTACTGTACTCCGTACTGTATCAGACATGGTGGATCAAGGGGTCAGATTCACCAATTTTCCCCACTCGTTTCAAGCCCGAGCACCGGACATCGAACACTGCACCAGTGCGCGCTGGGCGGGAAAGGTTTTAGCGTGCCCAACCGTGGGAGGGAGATGTTTCATCCCTTGAACTGGAGTACACTTGGCTATTCATAGCACTCACTCCGGGTCTTCACAGAGCAGTCAACCCGCTTCTCTTTCCTTCTATAGTATTTAGCACCGCCAATACCTGTTACTACCATTGTCGCTGATCTTTTATAACTTGGAGTACATGCGTGCTATATTTATTTGATCTCCTTATAGATCAGATCATTGGAGTCATCATAAAGCTCGATATTACTCCGTCAAGCCCCGTCGAACCATCTACTCCCTTATAACCAGACTGAATTAATCTTGATCACACTTTTAGAGCCTCACTTACTAGATGGTTATTGCGATGTATATTTCAAACTGGATCTATTGTTGAGATCTATTAAATCATATACAGAGTATCGGGCATGTCACCCCCTCTCGGCTGCCTCTTCTCACACAAATTCCAGTCTCTTTCCCTCCTTGCTAAAAGTAGACCAATCAGTAAATACTATCCATTCAAACATGTTGCCGCCATCCTGGCAAGGCTCCAATGTCTGACAGCCTGTAGGTAATCTACTCACGTGACTATCATCTTGTTATTTAAGTATTGGTTGATCGCCCATCACTTGTTGTCTGATTTAGCTAGACACCCGACACACCCACCGTCCATCACTCATGTCTGAGCTATAGTGGAGTGCCTCATTCTACAAGGCTTTTCATTTGATGATTGGACATGATTACTCCGTACAAAACCTCGATTCCAATCAATCCTGGCCTGACCCACTTCTAGAACGGAAGGCGCTCAACTCCGGTGGTGGTTCCCTCAACCCCGAACTCAGCTCCGAGATCTGGAAAGCTCAAGTGCATCGTTCTCAAGGGAGCCTCGGTGATGTCACGTTTCAAAGAATGAATAAATAGCACGGCTTGTGCTAGCAGGGCACATCCTCTGCATTCCTTTTGGAATTTGGCATCTTCCAACTGGCTCTACGTTCATTACAACACCCATCAAGAAGAACCGACATGCCCGCCGAGGAGCTCCAGAAGGAGCAGCCACCCGTTGATGCTTCGGTGATTTCGTTACCACCATCATCAACAACAATCAAGCCTCCAGAATGGCCAGAGACGGCCACTTTAGACGCACCTTTCAGCATCTTTGACCGGCGGCAGAAATGGCTTATCGTGACCATCGTTTCGACTGCAGCAACATGTAAGTTTTATTTCTATACAATTAGTGCTGTACTATTTCGCTAAATCTCACAATAGTCTCCGGCTTCGCATCGAACATCTACTTCCCAGCCCTTCCCACCATCGCCTCCGACTTGGATGTATCTTTGGAACTTGTCGACCTAACCGTAACCTCGTACTTAATCTTCCAAGGCCTCGCTCCAAGTCTTTGGGGACCCGTCTCGGATGTGAAAGGACGCCGAATCGCATACCTGCTCACTTTCTTGGTATTCATGGGCGCATGTATCGGTCTAGTAGAGACCAAGACTTACGCTACTCTCGTCGTTCTCCGATGCCTTCAAAGTACCGGTAGCGCGAGCACGATTGCCATCGGCTCCGGAGTAATTGGAGATATAACTACGCGAGCCGAGCGTGGTGGGTTCATGGGTATCTTTCAAGCCGGTCTTCTGGTTCCCGTGGCCGCGGGCCCTGTCATTGGAGGGGCCGTGGCCGGTACTCTGGGTTGGCGAGCTATCTTTTGGGTATTGACTGCGTATAGCGGGGCCTTTCTCATTGCGATGCTTGTTCTGTTACCGGAGACACTGCGATCTTTGGTCGCAAATGGAAGCCGTGTTCCTTCCGCGTCGAACATCATGGCAAAATACCCATTGACTGTCTATCAGAAGCTCACCACGGTTGAGTGGGACCCGAAAGATACGCCGCCGCAAGCTCCCAGAAAAAATGTCGATTTGACGGGGCCCTTTCGCATTCTTGTGAGCAAGCATGCTGCACCTATAATCATGTTTCTTGCCATACACTATGCAGTCTGGCAGATGAGTATCACAGCGATGTCTTCCCTGTTCAAACAAAACTATGGACTCAGTGAGACCCAAATTGGCCTTACCTTCATCGCGAATGGTGTTGGGTCCATGGTGGGAACCTTAATCACAGGCAAAATTCTTGATCTCGATTACCGCAAAGTCAAGGCCAATTTCGAGGCACAATCCGATCCTGAGGGTACTCGAAGGACCGTGGAAGAGAAGGATTTTCCTCTGGAAAAGGCTCGTCTCCGACTGGTCCCGATCTTTGCATGCCTTCAGTGCTTGTCATTGATCCTCTTTGGGTGGACAATCCAGTACACAGTCCATATCGCGGTTCCAATTATTTCGACTTTTATTACTGGCTGGACAGTCGTTTCTATGCAATCGGTCATCATGACCTATCTTGTGGATGTTTTCCACGAAAGAAGTGCGGCCGCTAGTGCAAGCATCAACTTGGCTCGATGTTTATTCGCGGCTGGTGGTACTAGCTTTGTCATGCCGTTGATCAATGCTGTTGGAGCGGGCATCACTTTCACGATCTGTGCAGCTGTGCAGTTTGTGTCCCTGATTGGTCCCCTTATTCAATGGAAGTTTGCTGCCACGTGGCGGAGAGTGGCCGAGGAGGAGAAGGAGCAGGATCAAGCTCAATCTTAGACGTATACATCTTACACGAGAGAGTCATTGTGAGATCCAGCCTGCTCAGAACACAAACAAAATGTACTACTAGAACTAGAATAATTCCTATCGAAATACTCAAAATATCGACTATGACGTTGGAAAGAAGAGCCAGAATATTCACAGCCAAACATGTCCTTTTCTTGCCATAGCCAAGCTTAGTTCCCACACTCCTGCTCTTCTGTTCTTGTTTTTTTTCAATTTATATCACCCAAGGATTGCTTCTAGGCATTATAGAGCATGGAATCTATCCATTCATTTCAGCCTGAAGAAATTAATTGTTTCCTCGACGACAGTGGCATTTAATACTGCCATATACTCGGTACCCAGTAACTAACTCAGCTTGCATCGCAATCTCGTGCCAATGAAACATCAATTCAACTTAATCATGCTGTAAGCGCGCTTTCAGCTGCCTTCTAAGCCTCGTTAATCCCGACATTGGCAAGCTGCGGCTAAATAGCTCCAGGGCCTTATCGTTGCAGCACTGGCGCAGTGTATCACATTCGGTGGTTAGCTATTCCATTGACCTCTGAAGATAACCTTGCTCTTCTCCGAGCTGTGTCTTCATTGCAGTATCGTCCGTATAATACTTCCACAAGCGAAGGTACAAGTTGAGATCTGCGAGGGAGATATATGGACGAATTGAGCATTGCGAAGCGGCGTGACAGGGTATCGCTGGCTTGAAAATGTTGATCAATTTGGGACCACACTCTATGAGGCTACAATTCGGACACATGGAGAATAATGCAAGATTGCCGGGTCTTTATGAGTTTGATTGCTAGCTGAATGATGTGATGAGTCCGATTTGACCTGGAAAGGCGACGTTCTGTACGAGAGGTAAATAGTTGGCATTACCTATTAGTACCCTCTGAGCCTAATTGTAAAAGTAATAGAATAGAGAATTATCTAGGACAGGATAGCCTAAATTGAAATGATAATTTAATGGTGGGTTTCTCAATCAACTGCCGCGGAGCCATTCCGGGCAAATGGAATCGGCGGCTCTTCCGCGGTAATCACCCAGCATCCGGCGCTGGTCAACTTGGCGGGGGCTGCTTTCAGTAGGTAGTAGAGACGGTTTGATATTTCTATATCAATTGGGTTTCCTCTGTTTTAGCTATTCTGACTATTGTACACCCTCCTAACTATGCCTATAACTATAACCCTATAAATAGGGTATTGGCTGGTCCTTTCCATCTCCCCTCGGGCTCTCCGCACTGGTGGAGCCCATGCATTCATTCTTCCCGCGTCGCCGCATTGCCGTCCATGTGTGCGTCTCTAAACGTGTCTATAGTTTCATGCGACAGCCAATTAGTCTTCGTACATCTCTAGTAGTAGCCTGTCTGTAACCGGAGGTTTCGGCCGTCTTCCCTTTCAGCCACCACTAATAATGCCTTCTGCATAACTCAAGCCCAACCATACCTCAAAGAAGTACCCCCCCCCCCCCCCCCCCCCCCTGGTTGGTATCTGGTCAGCCTTGCCTTTTCTCTCATCGGATGATTTGTCCTACTAGTTACTAGACTAAAGTACCTGTCATATCTACTTTTTAATTCCACGTGACTACCGTCCCCCTCACTGAGAGAGTGTTCAAAAATGCCAGAGGCCAAAAACTCGACCCGAGCAAGGCCCCGAATCCCAAAAAACCAAAACCCCACAATTCCTATTTTTCCCCGCTCAGTTCCTAAAGGACCTCAAATTCTTTCCCCTCTTCTTCCCCCCAAATCCCGCAGAAACCCCAACCCAAATCCCCTTCCCCCCATCCCCCCAAAAAAACCATGGAGGACGAGAAGACTGCAAAAGTCAAGAAGAAGAGTGCCACTCACCGCAAGTCCCTTTCCTGTGAATACTGCAGTCGCTCGTTCGCCCGTTTGGAACATCTCCAACGCCATCTCCGCACCCGTTGAGTAACCCCCCTCCCTCAACCTCCACGAGTCCGACCAATTCTCCTAATGTCGGACAACAGATACCAAAGAAAAGCCTTTCTCATGTGACATTTGCTCCAAGTCCTTCGCCCGGAGGTAAGTCGATGACGTTTTATCGGATCCCCCCTCCCTTGCTCCTCGTGCTTCCACGGCCCCATTGCCCGACTCCCAATTGCTTATATTGGCGCTTCACAGTGACCTGCTGGTGCGACATGAACGATTGGTGCACCCTGCCGAAACTGCGGCCGGTCGAGAACACCGCGCCCACAACGGCGATAACCATCACCACGAGATTTCAATCCAGTCGACGATAATCCAACCCGCTGCACACCATGAATCTCGCATGTTAGAGCTGGCCGATGCCATCCCGGTCCATACACAAGTCCCCCCTCCACCTCCCGAGGTGCAGGTTCAACCACCTCCGATCGTCGAGACCACCCATTTCAATCCCTCTTGGGGCTACGACTTGAATCTACTGTCGCACGCCGCTAGTCATGTCGCACTGGAAGGACAGCAGGAGAACTTGGAGTCCATTCGAAAATCATCCCATACGATTGGCACGCCATCCCAACACTTACCACCGGTCCCGGAGCGAGGAATAACCGATAATTATGGTGTAGAACCGTCGATTCTCGACCTCACCGATCTGGGTGACCCGGTCCAAGACTTTACCGTCTTCCTAGAGAGCGTGGGCTTGTCGTCTGACTGGGACTCGGGGGTCTTCTCGTCGGTCGAAGAACCCATGTTACCGCCGAGCCTATCAATGGATTCCAAGCAGCAAGTCAGAGAGGCTACCGCGTCGACGAGGTTAGGAGGTGACCTAATGAGCGACCAGCGCGGTCCGGCGGACGAACAGCCCTCTTTCTCAAATTTCGGGTCCAGGTTACCTTCTCTACAGCCGGAGTCTCACGAGATCGAGGACCGTATTGGTCTCTCCGACGAAGGCGCCCGGCCCGCATGGGATATAACCAATGCCGATCGTCAAATTTTTGTCCAAAAACTGGAAGAATTCTCCTTTGTTCTTCCCAAGGGCTTTGTTCCTCCGTCACGGCATACCCTATCTCGCTTCTTCGCAGGGTATATTAACGGTCTGAATGAACATCTCCCGTTTGTGCATGTGCCGACCTTGTCAATTGCCAAGTGCTCACCAGAGCTCACATTGGCTACGGCAGCTGCCGGATCACATTATCGCTTTGAAAATGGCCGAGGAATTGACCTCTTCCATGCGGCCAAAGCAATTCTATTAGAGCGCCTTCGCCGCAGGGACAGCCGGCAAGTGCCTCATCCATCGTGGAATTATATTTCTCCTCCCTCGGGCTTCCACAATTCGCGCGGTTCGTCGATGATCTCGAACACAGCGAGCAGCCCGTTTCAGAGTCAGCATATGCACAACCCGCCCGTGAACCCTTCCATCTACACCCCCGACGATTCCGACGCACATATGGAAGTGATACGGACGTTCCTGCTACTGACCGTGTTTGCTTCTTGGGAGAGACACCCGGAACTCCTGCGGGAGATTCTCTCGCTGCAGAGCACATTGGCAAGACTCGTCCGAGAACACGGTCTGGCCGAACTTCCCCCTAGTTCAGAGCCTATCGGCTGGGAAGAGTGGGTTCGTAGAGAGGGTAACAGACGGACGAAACTGATCGTCTACTGCTTCTTCAATCTTCACTCCATCATGTACAATATTCCTCCCTTGATTCTCAATGGGGAGCTGAAATTGAACATGCCTTGCTCCCACGACCTCTGGAAGGCCAACAATGCCGTCCAATGGCGACGCCTTCAGCGTATCCGACAAGGCTCAGATGTCCCCTTCCAGGACGCATTTGCCCGACTCTTCCTGAAATCCTCGACCTCCTTCCCTTCAGCTCCTATATCTCCCTTGGGTAACTATATCCTGATCCATGCCATTATACAGCAAATCTTCTTTGCCCGGCAACTCTGTCTATCGGCCCCGAATATGCAGGGGACCAGCCTACGACAGGAAGATCTCAACGTGTTGGACAACTCCTTGAGCGCCTGGAAAGCATTGTGGAAACGCACGCCCGAATCCAGCATCGACCCTCAGAATCCTGCCGGCCCCATCGCATTCACCTCGACTGCACTTCTGGGTCTCGCATATATTCGACTTCACGTCGACCTGGGACCCTGTCGCCACCTGATTACCCAAGACCCCCATCAGATCGCTGGAGCACTCGGGGAATCCCCACCCCTCGTCCGCAGCCCACGTCTTATCATGGCACTCTTGCACTCCGCGCACGCACTATCCATCCCAGTACGACTGGGCATCGACTTTGTTGCTCGCACGCACTCTTTCTTCTGGAGTATCCAGCACTCGCTGTGCAGTTTGGAATGTGCCTTCTTGCTCAGTCGCTGGCTGCTCGCCATCCCCGCGACGCAGTCCGAGCAGCGTCTCTCGGAACATGAGCGGAAACTTCTCCTGTGGATCAAGAGCATGATGGATGAAACCGACATGGCCGTTGACCCACCCGGAGCGCCGGACCTGGAGTTCATGGCGAATCCGTACAAGGTGCGTCAGCTCAGCGTTGCGATCGTGCGCGTGTGGGCGCGTACATTCAAGGGGAATACTAGCTGGGCTATTGTAGACTTGGTGGGATCCAGTTTAGATGCCTATGCAGATCTCTTGGAGAGCTGGACTGCCTCCTAGAGAGCGGACAAGGGGGAAAGGCAAGGATACAAAAATATCTCTGCCTGACCACGCCTCCAGTGACAACCACGTAATGACGCCTTTCCTTGGACCACATGGCCTTTCTTTTTGACCTTTTGACCTTTTGACGAACATGATATCTAGCGGAGTTTTTGAGTTTTTCATTTTCTGTATATGCGAGGATTGGGATTGATCACTCTGGGACGATTATTCATTTTTGACGGTCTGCTTTCATGGTTCTGTATGTATTATGATTTTCAGCCCTTGTGATTGCTGTCTATACCCGGTGATGCGCGCGTTTCTATCTAGCCAGGGCATGGAATGATGATCCTTGTTTAGCCCTAGTTGATTCTTGATTCTTCCTTCTCTTTCCTTTAAAAACGATTTGGATTCAGATTTGGTTTTGGCCTGGTTGAATGGAATGCATTCAATACCCTGCGAAGAGGATTTGTCCAGGCGAGACTTCTGTATTTGCAGGATGGGTTTTCGGTTGACACCCGGTCCAGGATTCATTATGAGCCGTTTATGTGATTTCGTCACGTCGTAAATTTTCCACATGCTCGTCTACCAAGTCAGTCCCATGCAGTCAAGACAGCGCTTGCCCACAAATGAGATTGTGGTATCAAACATTCTTCTGCGCTACTTTCACTCGATTCTTCATCACGCTCGCCGGCACAAAACGCAGCGCAGACATAGACTGAGCCAGGCTGTCAACCTCCATCTCGTCCGAAATTTTCTGAGATCGAACGGGAGACTGAGGCACTGCGCTCGGTTGGGACACCGAGTTCCGGTGCCGCAGTCGTCCCTCCTGGATAGACGAGATGGAGGCCGAGGAAATCCGACGTCTGCTGCTCTTGTTCAGCGGTCTCAATAGCGAAGTTTGATTGTCAATGCCGTCGTTGACAATGTAGAAATTGTAAGTCTGAACGAGGTTTAGTATATCAGTTCTCACTTTTGGATAGTACCTCAAGGATAAAGTGAGATCATACTCGCGGGAACATGTGCTTGTCAATCAAATGCAGCCGGCGACTCCGCGGGGTTGAGCATTTTCGCTCGCAGTCCTCCACGAAGCAGCCATACTAGTCCGATAAGCACGGTTAGCTAGCTGAACCCTTGAAAAGGATGAGATCTTTCCACCATTTCAATCACTCATCGCCAAGATGAATACTTACAGTCTTCTCTCCCCGCTCCCTCATCGCCACCACGAGCGAATCATGATTCTCTGCAATATGAAGATTCAAGAAATGCGCCGTCGGGAAATTCTTGCTACACTCCGAGCAACGGTTGACATGTGCCTGCTGATAATGCACCTCGTAGTCCTCGTACGAGGCAAACGAAACCGTCTCTCGATGTGGCGGTAAGGTGCAATGCATGACCTCGGTGAGCTCGGCCGATTCCAGGCAGGGAACTTTGCTACGGTCAGATGGCAGCGCCGTCGTGCTGATCGTTGAGCAGGTTGGAGAGCTGGGAATGGAATTGGAGCTGAAGGGTGAGTCGTGCTTGGGAGAGGGACTCCGGGAGCAGCTGTGGGAGCGTGAGTGTTTAACCATTTTGTCACGGCAGATTTTGGGTTTGGGGGATCGTTGCGGGTCTGGTATTGGGCTTTGAGGGGGATTCTGGATTGTGACCGATTGGGCTGGAGCGGGGCTTGATGCAGGTTAAGTGCAGTAGGGCAGTAGCGGGTTCAGTGAGTGGAGGATGGAGGAGATGGGCGAGGAAGAGATGTAGGAGCTGGAAGGTGGGAGAGTTGAAGAGAGGAGATGATGAAGCATAAAATGCCCAGGACTGATCTGGGCAGCCACGGAGAAACAGGCTATGGCTTGTGGGCAAATATGTCAATTATCACAAAGTTTCAAAATAACTTCCATCATCTAACTATGAAGTTCACTTTATTTCCACAGCCTCTTTTCCTTTTGGAACCCCACCAGCCACAAGAGTGCCTGCCACAGTGCCACCCAATTGGGCGCAGCCACAGGGAGATTCCCGCGGCGGTACTCCACGCCCTCGAGACGACTCTCCACGCTTTTTTTCACTTCGCCGACCCTTTTTACCTTGTCCTTGCATCTTCCCCGTCCTCGTCCATCCTTCCCCCATTATTCGCCTCCGGGTGTCCCGATCTGATGGCTTGTTCACCGCTGGATTCGCCCGCAGACGTCCATCCACCCAGAGCCATCTGACGGGCGAGGTCTACGGTGGGGTGGGCAATCCGCACGCCCCAACTCGACTATGGCGTCCTCGTTTCAGGATGCGTGGCAGTCAGTCTTTTCCTTTGCAGTCCGATTCTATTTGCTCTCGCTTTCAACATATACCACCGTCGTCTAAATTGAGAGAGCCTAAACGACTAATCTCCCCTCGTGCAGGACTGCGCTCGATGCCGAACGGGAGCTGTTGCGCTGCCTCGCTGAGAAGGAGCCGACCTTTGCCGAGATTTCACAACTTTTGTCCGAGTACGTCCCCTCTATGCGATTTGATTGGATATCTTGAATCTTGCGCGCTTTTGAAAGGAATACTCGTCTGACTTTTTACGTCACCTTTGTCCCAGATTCCGCACCGCTTGCCAAAATGCGATCCTCTCCGATTTCGATACCGCTCGTGGATCAGACGTGGAGGGCCGCCTGTGGGATGCGCACTTGAAACTTAATAACAGGTTTCGCAAGTTGCTCGCTCGCGTGAGTCGATGACCGACTGGTGGGGTACTAGCGGCTGTGGACTAACTTGTGCGACATGAATAGTATCGAGAGGAAACCACCAAGAAGAGACCCGTCGAGAAACGGAAGCTAGAGAAGCATTATTTGGATTTTATCAAATCCAGCCAGCGGTTCTATAGGGGGTACATCCAACATCTATCATCGCATTTCGGAGGCATCGTGGAATTGGAGAAAGTGGCGCGCAAGTTCAACTTTGAGAGTGCGCGACTTCCTAACCCCCCCCCCCCCCCTTTATGTGAGATCGACTGAGCACTAACGTGTCTTCTGTTTCTTTGCTATTTCTAGACTTATCGGCCACCCCTCCATCTGCGATTACACCTGACCTGCGCTTGCGCATCCTTCAATCTTGCCATGCGACTCTCATCCGACTGGGCGATCTCTCTCGGTACAGAGAAACCGAACTTGCCAACAACAAACGCAATTGGGGCCCAGCCATTGGGTATTACGATCTCGCCTCGGTGATACACCCTGCATCGGGCGCATCGCACAATCAGCTGGCGGTAATCGCACTTGCCGATGGCAATCACTTCCGAGCAACATATCACCTCTACCGGGCGTTGTCTGCCCACCTTCCTCATCCCTCCGCCAAGGGAAATCTGGAAATTGAATTCAAAAAAGTGATGAATCTGTGGGTCAAGCGCGAATTGATCAGGCCAGAGGACCAAGGAATTCCTGGGAAAGCTCTGGCACCGTGGTTTGTCTATCTCCATGCGCAATGTTACAAGGGCAACGACTTTCCCGAGCATGATGAGCTGGAGAGTGAGGTCATGAGTCAACTGGCAGTTGATATCAGGGAGCGTTCGCATGAAGGAACACTTCAAAAGTTCTGTCTTGTCAACATTGCTGCAGAAGACTTTGCCCGAACTCGGTCTACCGAAGAGTCGGTCTCCAATGCGCGCATGTTCTTCCAGCGCATCAATGTGAAGACCTTCTTCACGTTATTGCAGATTTTGTTGGTAGAGCTTGAGCGTTTCGCCGGTGAGGATTCGAGCAACAGCAGCAAGGACTCTAAGAATGGACCCGACAAGGTCACCGTTGTTGCTCGCAGGATCCTGCCCGCTTTGCGGCATTACAGCTCCTGGCTTTTGACAACTAGTGACTTTCTTATCTCACCAAAGGAAGAGCAGGACTCGCCTCTCACGATCCAGATTCAAGAGTTCTGGAAGATCTACGCAGGCACCCTGACACTGTTGGCATCTACATTCGACATCGTCCATCTTCCCGAGATCGATTACCTTCTGGAAGAGGATGAAGAAAGCCTTGGATTTGCGCCACTGGACCAGGCGGTGACTTCTCGTCGATATGTTGGGATGGGTGATAAGCTTAAGCCTAGAATGAACGATCCAGGTGTCGAGAGAAGCCACCCAAACATTGAGATGCTCTACCGGATTCGCGAATTCGTGATTGACGGTTTGGATTTGGTCGTTAGAAACGTACGTTACAATCATCTGATGAGCTAAAAACCCAAGATTCTAACCATGCTTTAGAAAATTCCCGTTGCTCTCGTTGACGAAGAGGACAAGAAGACTTTTATCTACCAAGAGGATGGACTGCCGTCTCAGTTCTTCTCAAGCCCCCATGGTCGCCAGAATACCCTCACGACGCCGGTAATTGAACGAGAGGACATCCCGCCAGTATGTCAGGATTCAGCCTCTGGCACTGAGGCTCGCAGCATGTACGGCGACTCTCAGTCTGCCTCCGTCGCAGCCTCCGCATCAATGTCGGCCAATATGCACCGCATCGTCGAGGATGTTGAGCGTTTGGTCGAGTCTGACACGTACGAGAATCCGCCCAACGTCCCAGATCAGTTCGATTTCCTGAATGCTTCCGGCGAGATGTCTACGCCTTCTGCTCGCATGTCGGCAATTTACAATGCCTTCCCTTCCAACGAAAAGATTGCACAGCCACATCCTACTCCGATGGCTCCTCCTGGTTTAGGTCCTCCTGTTGTCAACACGGCAGAAGCTCTCCGTGCTTCAGCATCTCAATCTTACACTCCACTCCACACGCTCCCTAGTATTCCTAGCATCTGGAATACTTCATCGCCCGCACCACTGCGGGACGGTTCCTCGCCACGCACACCGCCGGGTCTCGGTCAGCCATCTTCCATGAAGTCACTGGGTATAAATCCCAACGCTACCGGGTCCCCATCACAGGACCAGATCACAAACGATCTGCTCCGCCATAACCTAATGGCCCAAAACCAGCTCTCCAGCTCCGTGGATATGTCAGGGTCTATGCCATCATGGCTTCCCCTATCCAGTTCACACCCGGCAAACAACTGGGGCCCGGACCCACGCCGCTTGTCTTACAACGTACCCAGTCAGCCCATTTCGAGCGGGTTCCCAACTCAATCCTGGGGAAATGATGCTTTTATTGCTAGCAGTCTGCCTTCGGGTGACGGAGCCTTCAGCTCTGGATTCAACGGTCACCGCAAATCGGCCACTCAGCTTGGCGCTATTGGTCAAACCCCTCCTTGTGGACAGGGCGGTTGATAAAACCCGCATGTGACTTGTCTACTAGTATTAATTGCCCGTGTGCATGAATACACAGTCTGCCGACTGAGGAAGGCCATGAACTCAAAGCACGATCCCACGCTTCGTCATTCTGGACCCAGCATGATCCTGCTCTGTTTTCTATGGACGCGGACTATCATCTCAAAGATGAAACATGGAATACATCGATTATCTAAATGAACTCTGGGTCCGCGCTGATAACGCGGATTGAGAGTATCATTCGAATTGATCCCCGGCAGTCCGAGAGTATTCCTCATTTCAGCCATGAGATCCCAACCAAAATTTTCTGACACGATGGTCCACATCGACCCGGTATCCTTGTGGCAGCTTGCCTATTCTCCTACTCATCTGTGCGAAGGATCAAGGTGATAGCACTGCACGTTCAACACCCAACACAGGACCACATACCCCCGGGCTAAAGTGCCGCCTTGTATACGCAGCCTTCGTCCCGGTTTGTTTTTTTTTCGAGGAGGATGCACGTTAGCAGTTTTTCCATGTTTTGGAACCCGTGATTGAAATCTCTTTTTGCTTGTTAAGCCGAGCCCGTTGTTTGTCTTTTTGAGTGGAGGGTATAGGATCTTCGTTGTAGTAAATAGTTGGTAGTGAGCGGGTTGGGCCTGGTTTTTCTTCTCTGTCAATTCGTTTGATGGCGTGTAAGGGCCAGGATTGTCTCAAAAATGCCCGTCAATAACAATTCACGTTTTTTAAACCCCCTTGACACTATTATTTTTGACCGTAACTACAGTTGGAGCCAGGTAATCATAAAACTGCATGATTTATTTGATATTGATCTAGTCGTTAAATCGTTGTTGAAAACGGGGCACTCTTGTTTCAGCGCGTAATTCCCCAGATTTTTGTCTGCCCTGCTCCCCTTTCTGTATCACACATGTGGCCATACCATATTCAGACATAGGGTGGGTCGTCCTCAACAGGAATAGCGATAGCATGAGAAGAAAAAGTGAATAGAAGCAAGATCATTTCAGAAGGGACAGCATCCCTTTTCGTTGAATTGCTCGACGTTAAGTCGAGGAAGGTGGTGGGTGAGATAGATAGATTTGGGATAAAAGAGAAATAAGGACATCAAAGGAAAATTTGGGTATAGAGGGTTGAATCATCCAAGGGTTGCGTGGTGCATTGTCAAACGAGGTGTTTGATGCACCGAGACCTTCATCAGAAAATCTCTGTGTTGAAAGGTTTGATTTCTATTCGGTTTATCTTTGCAATAGAATTGACCGCTTAAGAGCGGGCGTAGGTCTGCTTGGGGAAGGGGAAGCTGGGAGGTTGAATGTTAGTCTCTCGGAACCATGCGCTCAGGGTACTTTACGGGAAAGACTTACGAAGGTCCAAGCTCCTGGATACTCTTGCTAGCGAGCCACTGACCCATGTCAATGCTGTCGTCAAGAGACTTGCCAGAGACAACACCGGCGCAGAAGCCACCGGCGAAAGCATCACTGTTGAGTTAAAAATGTTAGTCAATAGTAACAACAGGGGTAGCACGTATAAGACTTACCCGGCACCGTTGGTGTCGTTGATGGCATCCTTGGAGATCTCATGAACTGCAAACTCCTTAATCTCGACGGAGCCGGAGGCAGAGGCAACACCGACAACGGTGGGCAGAGTACCCTGGGTGACGATGGCGACGCGAGGGCGCTGGGTGTTCTTCTTGGGCAGACGGGCGAGCTTCTTGGCAATCTCGACAACGTCCTCAGTGCCCCACTCGTGGCTGGCAGCGTAGGCACGAGCCTCGGTCTCGTTACAGAAGATGTAATCAGTGTAGGGGAGAACGCTGTCCAGCTGCTCCTTGAAGAACTGGGGAATGAAGGGGGCGGAAAGAGAGAGCATGAAGACCTAGAGGTAGCAAGGACGTGAGCCGGGGATATCAACTATATTCAAGAGGTGGGATCACTAACCTTGTTCTTCGCAGCAGCCTCCTCACCGAGCGCCTGGATGGCGGGGACACAGACAGTCAGGTGGTAGCCACCGACGTAGTAGAACTGAGCCTTCTCGACCAGAGACCAGACGTGGGGCTGCTTCAGGTGCTCAATCTTGTACTCGTTGGCAGCAGCGAGGTGGGTGCACATGCTGCGGTTGTGGCCGGTGATAACAACACCGCACTTACCAGTGGGCTGAGCCTCGTCCACGCGGTACTCGGTGTGGACACCAGCCTCCTCGCAGGTCTTCTTCAGGATGTCACCGAACTTGTCCTTGCCAATGCAGCCAATGTAGACGACCGAGTTCTCGGGGAGCAGGTACTAGAAAAAGGTGTTAGTACTTGAATATATCCACGATCTTTTGCGGGTGGTTCTCTACCTGAGCGCCACGGGCAGTGTTCTGAGCAGCACCACCGGGAATCAGCTTAGCATCCCGGGCAAGGAGGTCCTCGTAGATGCCCATGTGCTGCTCCTCGGCAAGGATAGCATCGTTCTCCTTCAGGCCATACTTCTCGAGAAAAGCGGCATCACTTTAAGACTATTGTTAGCTGTTTGGATGAGGTAACCCAACAAAAAGATCAATTCGTACCCGCGAGCCTGGATGTCTAGCGGGGTGTCAGCAATCTAGAGTATACCAGAGGTCATTGAAAAGAAAGCGGGGGTATACATACCAAGGAGAGGGTTCTCCAAGCACAGCAGAGGGTATCCTTGAGGAGCGGCCATTTTGCAAATATGTTCAATGGAAGAAAAGTGAAATTGAGAGGGGAAATAAGGAGAAGAAAAGCAAAAGCCACCTGAGAAATGGTGGGAGGAGGATGGAGGGGTCCGGCAGAAAAGAAGCCGGGCGGAAGGTCCGCAAATGGTGGACAACACCCCAGCTCCACCGGGAATCCAGTTGTAACTTGCGTTCTCCAGATACAAAACACACTGGCCTCGTTCCACCGTTCAAAATCCACAATGACTGACCATGTGCTTGAGGTCGCTGAGACCATTCAAACTGCCTCTATCGTATCGCACCCGTCTGCCGCCCACGACATCAATCCGTCCACCGCAGCCTCGGAAAAGCAACCCGTCGTTGCAGCCCCGGCTTCCGATGCTGGCAGCCTCTCTTCGGACATTGTTGATCCAAGTCGCGTAATCCGACCCATTCGTCGGCGTCAGACGCTTCCTCCTTTGCCCGATTTGCGCTTTGAGCAGAGCTATTTGGCTAGCTTGAAAGATGCCGACACCTGGGGTCGGGTAGCGTGGATTACCGTCAGGGACCAGGTATGGGGAACCTACATCCGATGAATCAATCATCTGAAGATAGGGAACATTCAGATAGAATACACAGTGAGAATTATGAAGCTTACGATTTTCCTCGCAACAGGTCCTCCTCCCTCTCATCCAAGGCACAGTCTGGACACTCGCGCTCTCCGGTTGGCGCTTCTGGAACCGCAATGCCTCGCTCAGCGGACACACGCTAGGAAGCAGAATCCGCAGGTGGTGGTACGGTGTCAACAACTGGAAAGTGCCCCCAGTGGGCTGGACCAAGGATCCAAAGCTGGCTTCTCACGTTGAAGAGGTGAGTCAACCTCTCAAATACTAGGATCCACCGAATTAGCCTCCGTGGCTGACGGCTCAGGAGTTTCTGCAGTTCTACGAGGCCCAGTTCTCCAACGCTGGTTCTGACTGATTCATCGTAACTCCGAGAATTGAATTCTCTCGGTCCCTTTGAGGAACTCTTTATTGTCTTACTAGCATCAGTGGCGTTGTGTTGTTTTTTGTCTTCTTCCGTTCTATATCCCAACATCTTAGAGTGTCTTATCATCCTTTTTTTCGTCGAAGTTGTGTATCTGGATCATGTTTACTATCAAAAAATCAGTACATTCTCCGACTACCTTCAAATTGCATTTTGTAAACCAGACCAATGGTTTCAGCTCGGACTCTGAGCTTGTTATCATGGTTTTCATATTGGTTTCTATCTACCGCACCTGAATTGACCAACGGGAAGCGAAGCGAAGCGTTATACCTCCATTCTAAGCAAACTGCGTATAATCCTCAATCATTGGAGTAGACAACATTAGACCTGTGCCGGCCTATCTGACAAAGTAGAGATAATTAAAAGCCGCTCAGTTGGTCGGCGGCTCTGTACACGAGTCAGCTTGGAGCTGAATCAATACTCAGCACCGGGATGAGACCCATTCCAGCCATTTGAAGCGACTGGCTGGGCAGTCTTTGGTGCTTCTGACGGCGTGGGGGCGGGGTGAATTGGTGGTTGAGCAGCAGGCTCTGGGGTGTTCAGGAGCGCAGACATAGGTAGTGCGGTCACCTTGGGGGCTGCTGGCTGAGCAGGCATCTGAGGTGCTGGCACCGAAGCGAAAGTCGGTGCAGTCACGGACGGAGCTGCTGCAGGCTCTGATGCTCGGATAGGCTGCGCTGTTTCTTTAGAAACATATGTTTCGTGAGATCGGCCAGCTTGCTCAGCATCTTCCATTAGAGCATCCTTTGCTGGAGGAGGCTCGTCTGGATCTTTAGGTCCACCAGACGAATTGCCCTTGCTGTATCGAAGTTGAACCACGAGGCTTCTGGGCTCCCCATTGACGATGGATTCATCCCCGCTCGCATCCTCTCCTTCGTCGTCGCCCTCGAAATCATTTTCCTCCTCATCTTCACCGTCCCATTCGTTTCCACTGTCGTTGGAACGAGCTTCCGACTCGTCATCTAGGTCATCAAAGCCGTACCCTGAATAGCCGTTAGGATGAGTCGATGTCCGACTCCTTTGCGGCCTTGCGCCATCTTCTTCCTCATATTCAGAGTCCTCGCGCTGGCCACTGAGCAATGATTCGCCGTACGCGCCGCCGGCCCGGGACCTGACTTGGCGGCCACTCGCAGTGAATCGTGGACGCGAAGGTTCAGCTGCTGTCACACCGGATGAGTTCCTAGCTGATCGTCTAGTAGGTTGATCATCTGAAAAAATGTCCTCGTCGTCATCGTAGGTGTACTTCAACTTTTTGCCACGGGTGCGGCCCTCATACAAAGAGAACCCAGGTTCTGGTCGGGCGAATGCGGCCTTGCGTGCAAGACGGTAATCGCGGCGCTTGCGTTTCTGCACGAAATGTTAGCCACCGACCTCCACTCACGGTCTGCTTCCTTACTATCGGATAACTTACCTCTTCCGAAGCCTCGAAACGAGGAATGGCAGCTCTGATCCGTTCGCTAAGCTTCTTCGAGTTGGTACCCTTCTCTTCCTGCAATCTATCGGCGATGGCCTGTATTTCTGGGATGTCGCCAGCAACACTCCACCAGGTAACGGTCTTGAGAGCAGGGTTGCTCTCACGGTATAACCGGAAGTGGGTATCATCTTGGCCCTCAATAAGCCAATATCGACGTTTCAGGCTGTCCCTGCCCCAGGGCTGAACTGAAAGAGGCTGGTTGAGGTCATCATCATGGCGCGACTGTTTGTAAGACTCCTTGATTTTCGCTTGGATCGCATCCGATGATGAGAGGGACCAGAGGATCAAAGCTCGTAGGAGTTCGAGCTATAAAATAGAGGTAATACTTAGTTAGAATGGTTGCGCGGGTAATCATATCTTTGCTAGAAAGCGTACCCGTTCTTCGGGCGACATGGTCGCAAAGGTGCGGCCACCGTGTAGGGGATTCTTGCCCTCCCATGCCTTGGGCCATTGCGATTGATGAACTTGAATCGCCTCCTCTAGCGGTCGCGTATAGTGATTCCGTCTGGTAATGTGAGACACTAAGTCAGCGCATATTTCGGAAAGCCATTGGGCGATAGGGGCCAAGGGCGCGCTGTGCCAGCACGTCGCGCGGGATGGGGTATCGGGTGGCGACCATACTCAACATCCTTCTTGCGGTTCAAAACGAGTCCTAGCAGGGCGCATAGTAGGCGCTCAATGTATTCTCCGGGGACCGAGTCCTCTACTCCCTTCTCAATGTCTTGTGGTCCGAAGTGTGGCAGGCTTCGAGGGAAAGCTTCGTGGAAACGCGCGCGGAAGGTGACGATGAACTAGCTCATTGCGACGGGTCAGCAAACGTGTCTTCAAGTGCAATTAACGCGTCATAGAAATAGCCAAATATCCAAAAATTGACCGATGCCATTCAAAATGACAATAGCTTACCGCGATATGAGGATTATCTGCCAAAACGTATTCATGCGGTGGTGATGGCTCCCGCTTTGGCGGCGGAGTCTCCGACTCCTTCTTGAAATACTTAGCAATACCGACGGGCTCATCGATGGCCATGTCTGCTTCGTCATCAGTAGGCGGGGCTGATGAGAGTGAGGAAAGATCCGAGTCCGAGTGTGCCATGATAGATGTGGTGGGGGAGGTGATGTGAAGAAGGACAAGAGTTTGGAGCCGGCGCAGCAAGCGTCACATCGGTAATGGTACTTGCGCCCGCAGGGCGATTATTGAAGGGAGATCCCTTACGCGGAGAAGTCCATTCAGTTTTCGCGCTTTGATTCAAAAACTGTAGTCGGAGACTCAACAATGTCTTGAGTATCATTACAGAATGATCTATAGCACTTTCAATTAGGAAAAGCAGGGGACTACAGGCACATAGATGAGCAACGCCGAGCAGTAGAGTCTGTTAGAGAGCACTCGAGAAGAAGTATGTATGATACAGTCCTTATAGTATGATATAGCACTTTAATGCTCGCTAAAGATAAATCAGGTAATGGCCATTGCTGCACAAGCTAATATGCATCATTGTCCAGCAGCTCGAAACCCATCATTATGTATCACCGGGCTTTGCTTGTAGTCAGTCTTATATTGGCTGTCAAGGAGCGCCAATCGCGGGTAATATGGAAAGAAATCAGATTGACCATGTGTCTGGCGGGCCAGGAAAGAGGGGGAAACACTCCAGACCAGATTCTGTTACAAGCTGGTAGGTTCGTTAGATACAACCAGTCATCGACTTGGCAGTTCTCCGCAGTTCTGCCAAAGGACAGAGCGGCGCTGTTGCCGTCAGGGCTATTGCCTTAGTCACGTGGCGGGTTATGTAACCCAGGTGAATCGAGATGGTATGGAGAGGGTTAAGCCAATTCCCCTCAGCGAGCCCGGGTAATGATGCTTGAGAGTATTATTCCAATGCTCTGGTGTTCAAAGAAGCGGTTATTCTAATTTCACCGTCTTCATTCATCCCCAATGACTAGAGTTTCTCCATTCATGTGATTCAAGTACAAAATTCTCCAGGGCTGTCCATCTACAGGCTTACCTAATTCGTGGTTGCGCTAGCACTGATTAGGCTAGGTTAGCGACCGCACCCTAAAGCCCACACAGTCCATCCCCGAGCATTTCTCATCTCCTCAACGACAAGTCCCATCTTCAATTCGAGGTACGACCTTTTCCCTTCCCACTCGACTACGTCTTCGCCGGCAATCGACTGCCTGTCCTTCGCAAATACTAACACAGGTATTCCTTTAGACAGTCGCCATGGGTCGCGTTATCCGCAACCAGAGGAAGGGCCGTGGCTCCATTTTCAGTGAGTGCGATCGCATCAAAATTCCCAATCCTCGCCCCGATTCTCTTCGTCAGCGCGACGCACGAACGCAACGAGAGAAAGACAATCCACACGCTGGAGGGAAATGGACGGCATGAACAAACCTTGAACTTGGAGTACTGATGATCTTTTTTTTTTTCTCTCTTTACAGCGGCCAACACCCGTCTCAACAAGGCCCCGGCCCAGTTCCGTACCCTTGACTACGCTGAGCGTCATGGATACACCCGTGGTGTCGTGAAGGAGATCATCCACGATGCCGGCCGTGGTGCTCCCCTCGCCAAGGTCCAGTTCCGCCACCCCTACAAGTTCAAGATGGTCACCGAGACCTTCATTGCCAACGAGGGCATGTACACCGGCCAGTTCATCTACGCCGGTAAGAACGCTGCCCTGACCGTCGGCAACGTCCTTCCCCTCGCCTCCATGCCCGAGGGTACCGTCATCTCCAACGTCGAGGAGAAGGCCGGTGACCGTGGTGCTCTTGGCCGTACCTCCGGTAACTACGTTACCGTTATTGGCCACAACCCCGAGGATGGCAAGACCCGTGTCAAGCTCCCCTCCGGTGCCAAGAAGGTCATCAAGAACACCGCCCGTGGTATGGTTGGTATCGTCGCCGGTGGTGGCCGTACCGACAAGCCCCTGCTCAAGGCTTCTCGTGCCAAGCACAAGTTCGCTGTCAAGCGCAACTCTTGGCCCAAGACTCGTGGTGTTGCCATGAACCCCGTCGATCACGTAAGTTTTGGCCATCTTAATAGGTTCGAGTCCCGCTTGACTACAGACCTTCTAACGAGCCTTCTTCCCTCTAGCCTCACGGTGGTGGTAACCACCAGCACATCGGTAAGGCTTCGACCATCTCCCGCTACGCTGCCCAGGGTCAGAAGGCCGGTCTCATTGCCGCCCGCAGAACTGGTCTGCTCCGCGGTACCCAGAAGACCAAGGATTAAGCGTGATGTTACGTGGAGTTTTTCTTGTGACGGGTTGAAAATGGACTTCTGCAATGAGACATATGTATCTAGGCGACAGCGGATAGGCGTCCCATGCGCCCTTAGCGAATTAAGGTTGTGGCCACCATCCTTCTTACTGGTCGAGCAAAATCAAAAGGGTGATGGGGATGGGGTCCGGGGTTGGCCTCTGTCAAGGCAGAACGGAAAAGTCAAAAAAAGGCCTTCGGGGTCTATTGAAATGATACACCTTTCAAATCTTCAATCCGTTCTGTGCTGTCCACCCTGTAGAACCAGACGTAGGCCTGGAGTTTATCACCCATTATCTGACCCGTATCTCGATGCTTTATAGTATGACCCCATACGTGCGGGACTCCAACCTGCACGCTAGTGTACCATCTAATTCCGTTCCCTGGCAGAATTGTCAACGATCTGATCTGATAGAACTGGCTAAGCCACCGACAGCATCTTGCGTAGGCTTATCCGTGCGGGTCTCAAAGTGCAGTTCGCGTCCATTTACGGCAGGTACCACAATTGCACCGAAATGCTCAACCGACGCTGAATCTCCCATCCCGTAATATCTGGGGGAAATACCTGCCTATAATTCCTGCCCTTATAACTAGAAACTTGAATGTTTTGAGTTACTGCTAGTAAATAATCTTGCTATGTGCTTGGAGAATGAGGTCGTGGAAAACCAATGTTGTCCGTGCGGGCTACAACCTGCGCCATGACCTAAACCCATATGGAATAAATTGAAAATCTCCCGGTTCGACGGGTATGGATGGAATAATTTCTGCTTTGTCGTCTCTACGCGAGGACTTTGTTTGATTTCAATAGATCTAGTATCTATCTGTCCATGTGAGAACCGAGTACACACTAAAAAGTGGGCGATTCGATTAAGCGATATATATTCGAGGCAGCGCTCGTGACCAACAACTCTAAAAACCTTATTTTAACACTGACGACTACACGAAGAATTACAATCAAATGGAGTGACGAACTATTCAATGGATGAGACTTCAAAAAATTGATTCTCTCGCCCACACCTAGTTGCTCGAAGTGACGTTTGTTTCTACAAAGCCAGACTGGAGTTGATCTCAAAGTGACCAATCAGCGGCTCGAGCCAGCCACAAACCCGACTTACGTAGTCGACACGAAGCAGCCTTAAGTATTCCCCTCTACCCAGCAAGGGCAAAATCATGCAGCTCTCCTCTTGGATCCAACTGGCATGGAAAATCAGAGCAGACTCCAGCAGCGATGATATCTAAATACACTCCGCAGAAGATCCCCCGCCTCACTCGATCTACCGATGCCCTCACCTCCCAGCGATGGCAAGCCATCACTAAGCGCGATCCTACGATCAATAGCTTCGTCTATGCAGTACTCACAACCAAGATCTACTGCCGCCCATCCTGCGCCGCCCGTCTGGCACGCCGCGCAAACGTCCAATTCTATGACACACCCTCGCAAGCCGAGGAAGCCGGATTCCGAGCCTGTAAGCGCTGCCGGCCCCAGGCGGGAGGCACGGCGCTTGCGAACCATCCACAAACCGCGATCGTGGCAAAGGCATGCGAAACAATCCAGGCTGAGCTAGCTATAGGGCTGAAACCACGATTACAAGATCTGGCGGCTCAAGCTGGCTTGACGCCGAGTCATTTCCATCGCGTGTTTAAGAAACGAGTGGGCGTGACGCCGGGCCAGTATGCGAGTGGTCTCGTCCAAGGGGACGTATCATCGACTTCGTCGGATTATTGGACTCCAGACACCACTTCAACGGAGGGTGAAACACCGCCGTTGGAAATTTTGGATGAGAGTGGGAAGGGGGTTCTGAATTTAGAAGCGGGTGAAAGTCTTTTGAGCGTTTTGTGGCCGGCGGATGGCCATCCGGCCATGCAGGAAAAACCGCCTATCCTAATGGATTCTGTCTGGAATGACTTTGATGCCTTTTTGGAGGCTGAGCCAGGGCAGATACCGTCCACAGAGGAACCGCCGCTCGCCATTGACCCCCAGGTGACATTGGCGTCGAGGAAGTGATCGCGGGGGATGGTTCCATACCGTTTGATGGCTGACCCTAGCCAATCATTTTACATGATGATGAGTACACGAGGCATGAATCTTGCTCACTATTAATGTTACCGAGCAACAGTCCAATCATGACATGTGTTAATATTAAAGTGTACAAAACAATTAAAGATGGTCTTGGCATTTGTCCAGTTGACATGGCCGGAATCGACAGGATCATCCAACCCCCCTCCATCAAAAACCTGGTTAACGGTCACTAAATGCCCATATGCCTGGGCCTCAAGGGAGTCGCCACAGGCTCAGGAGATGTTGATCGTTGTAAATCAAAAAGGCGAAAAGCTACAAGTAGATCGGGGATGGTTGTTCATCGCCACCACCGTGTCAATCGGCAAGGGAGCCCTGAAACACCGACGAAACCTTCTTGGCCAAGGCCCCGGAGCTCCGTGCACGATATTACGTACTCTGCGTATTTAACAGATCGAGGATGGTCGAGGTACGTAAATGTATACAGTAATCTTGTATAGTACTCCATAAAAATAAAATAAGAACCGGTTTGTTGAGGAATTGCAAGCTGGGCCATCGGACTGGACCCTGTCATGGGTGGCAAAGTCTGCGACATGTATCAGAGACGATTGACTCTGTCAAGGATAATTATAGTAATCAAACGACCAACGATGATCCGGGTACCGGTTCCTGGCGTTCCAATTGGAATCCATGGGCAAATGCCAGCTAGGGCTCTCCCCCACCGTCGGCCCACCAACGCGTGTCACAGTCGAGACTCTGGGCTATTCGAAACACGGTTTTTGAACGCCCTTGTCTCCGGGGGGCGGGGATTCAAGACACTAGCTTGACTCCTTTCTTGTCTGGAAGGGGGTAAGTTAGTCAAACACTGAATGTAAGTGTCCGTTTAGTCTGTTCGCAGATGGCTAGGGACTTTGCTTTTGTTGAGCAATCTCGAGAAATCACAATGGTTGTCGTCGAGCATTCCCCACCGATCGACATCCACATTGTATCTGCATGCAGTGAAAGTAACCTTTTTTCTTTGGTGGCGCACCTCAATAGATTTAAAAAATATTAAAGAATAAATGGGATTAATGAGGAGAAGAGGGGGCCGTTGGAGTTGAATATGATAGGGCCTGGGGCATGCTTTAATTGATTAATTTCTCCAAGTCCTCCCCCTGTGCCCCCGTGTCTTCCTTCCCAACCCTCCTCCCCTTCCTCTCTCCCCCCATCTCCGCCCTTTTTTACTTTTGAACTGCTGGCCCTTTGATCTCTGTCAACAGTTCCGCCTCTTTTTGGGACTGTCTCTCTTTCTGCAACTCATCGCCTTTATCTTAGACCCGTCCATTTATCATTCAGGTCTCCTCACGATCGCTTGACTCGATAATCGCGTTCGAACCTATCCCACCTCTTCACTGTGCTGTGCGCAGTTGTTGATCGTGTTTATCCGGCGACCTTTCCTCATTACCTATTATCTCAAATCTCAACCTCAGAGCGAACAACCATCATCATGCATGTGAACAAGAGAATCGGCCGCCTGAAGCAATGGGCTGGCGAGCGAATGGGCGGAGAGGTGAAAACTTGCCAGTCGGATGACTTCAAGGCAATGGAGACCGAGATGGGTGTGCGACATGAAGGTAGGCCAACGTTGCCCTGACCCCTGCTAGCAGGTATGATACTGATGCGCTCTTGTTTAGGTGTCGACCGCATTCACAAGTCTATGACTGCATACGTCAAGGCCGTCTCGAAGCGCAGCGAGGGCGATGATAAGGAAAAGACCCTCCCGATCGCCCATTTGGGCAGCAGCATGGTCACTCACGGAGAGGACTTTGATGGAAACTCTGAATATGGCCAGTGCCTGACCAGTAAGTATTTGAGAATGGGCTAGCTGTGGCTCTGATGTATGGATGATTGACCGAATCGCTCCAGTGTTTGGACGGACTCAAGAGCGCATTGCGCGTGTCCAAGAGAGCTACATTACCCAGGCGACCTCGAGCTGGCTTGAGTCCCTGGAACGGTCTCTGACCCAGATGAAGGATTACCAGCAAGCTCGGAAGAAGCTTGATAGCCGTAGGCTGGCATACGACACTTCTTTGTCGAAGATGGAGAAGGCAAAGAGGGAGGACTTCCGTGTGGAAGAGGAGCTGCGCAGTCAAAAGGTTAAGTATGAAGAAGCCAACGATGATGTACTCCGCCGCATGCAGGATATCAAGGATGCAGAGGTGGACAGCGTGATGGACCTGGGAACTTTCTTGGAAGCCCAGCTGGAGTATCACGAACGATGCCGCGAGGTGCTTTTGCAGCTCAAGAGTGAATGGCCTGGCGGGTCCGGCCAGGGGCCAGCTCCACCTCGCCGCCCGACGCGAGCCCGGTCCAACACTGCTCACTCGTACCAGGAGCGTTATGAGCCTCTGCAGGAAGAGCTGACGGTTGTCACCGAAAGCCGACCCACCATTCGCTCAAACCGAACGGTCTCGACGTACATGGCAGACTCTCCCGCCCGAGACGCCTACCCTGTGAGCAATGGCTTTGCTCGACCAGGTCTCAACCGGACACCTACTTTTGAAGGCCCTACCCAACTGCGTCAAGACCAATCTCCGGTAGCCACTCAATGGATTCAGCGAACCGCCAGCGACAACTTGTCCAACCGTCGAAACAGCGTGCAACCTCTTGGTGGAAGACCCGCGGTGGATCCCTACGCAGACTCTGAAGCAAGCTCCTATGGCCGTTCTAGCCCCGAGCGGATGTACGGCGGTCGGTCAAGCTCACCAGCTACATCTCATGGCAGTGTACCGTCTCGCCGGCCTAGCTCTACTGCTCTGAACGCGTCCGGTATGACCAAGAAGGCTCCACCACCACCTCCCCCGTCGCGTGCGAAGAAGCCACCCCCTCCACCCCCACCAATGAAGCGATCTTTGGTAACAGTGACGGATGTGTCAAGGTGAACATAGCGGGGCTAGCTGATGATCAAATGCTGCAAGCTTCAGTTTTGACTAGGCACATGGGGGTTTGGAGTTCTCGGATAGTATCGCGATCGACTCGGCGATGGATTGGTAGTCTTATTCTTATCTTCGGAGCGACGGCTTCTCGAATGTGACTTGGGATTTTCTCTAATATATTCTTCTTGCACGTTGATTGCATCTGCAGCATTTCTCCTGGCTGATGGGTCTTTCCAGTTGGTGAATTAAAGCCGGTTACAAAGCATGATTAATCTTTTCCTTTCTTTCTTTGTTCGATTTCGAGTGTAGAGAAGGTGCAGGTAGTCTGTGCCCACTAGCGTCTATATAGTGGATCGTACTGTATTTGCGAGCAATATCTGCCACGTTGGAGAACATACTGCGGAGTGAGCCGCGGTCAAGGAGAAATTGCTGCCTCATAATCCGGGCAAGAAGGGCGTATGGGAGGAGAACTGCGGTGGTCCTTGCGCAGCATCCAGAACGCCACGCTGAGTCAGCCCCAGCAGATGCCCCGTGACCACCCGTGACCAGCACACGAAATCTCCTCTCGCCGCCCTCCTGTTGTTAGTCGCCTGTCGCCTACTCCAGCGTGAAGCACCAGGTTTCCCCGAGCGAGTCGCGCAACTCGGTCCCCTCCATCTCCATTTTCTATCCATCCACGCCTGCCACGCGCTATCCACAGCGCACCTCTACTTTCGACCCCCCTTCCCATCAGGCTGTCGCGCGGCTGCCAAATTACTCGCTTTCTTGCACTCCCCTTTTGTTAACTCCAAGTACCCGCCCACCCCCCAACCCCATTTTCATCGATCGCATCCCCGAAGCTCCGACCACCAGACCAAACATCTCCCTTTTCATCGCCAAGAGTCTCAACAGACCCTTTCGCCTCCCCCAGTCCCTCCCCAGACCTCCCCATCGCGCGCCTTACACCCCCCCGGTCGCGCTTCCCATTCCTCCCTTCGCTTCCGGGCGCGACCTGGCGTAGTAACAAAGTGGAGCCCGTGACATCCAGTCCACTTCCACTTCGTTCTGCGTCGCATTGATTGCCCATTGCGCTCCTGGGCAATCTATGAATTGAGGACATACCATGGCTTCTTTGCAGTCGGCGCCTTCTATGGCGCCTGGCAATTATGCCTTGCCTGCGAACTTGACTCAGCAGCACGTCCAGGAGGTTCTGCAGGTTAGTAGTTTATTATCCTTCGCGTAACCCTCACTATCTTTCAACGCTCCTGCTTTATTGTCGCTCCTTGACCGCTCGAGTATTGGCTGTCCCCGTCTAACATCGCCGCAGAAATTCAAGCAGATGCAGGAGCAAGGTGTCAACCCTAATGACCCTGAATACATCAAGGCCCATCAGCTTCTTGCGACTATCCAGCGCCAGCAATTGATGAAACAGAAGCAGCGCCAGCAGCAGGCCCAACAAGTTCAGCAGCAGGCCGCCCACCCGGTGAATGTCAACCAGAATGGTGCTGGCCCAGATGCCGCCACCAACGGGGTACACGGTAAGCCTTACTGGATCTTATCACCTTGCGAAGACTCTCGTACTGACAATTTATTTTCCTAAGCCCGGAACGCTTCGACTTCATCCATGAGCGGAGCTCTTCCCGAGACACAACCTGGTACAACCCAGTCAAACGCAAACCGAAAGGTTGCAACAGTTGGCAGTGGAAGTTTCTCGCCAGAGCAACTGGCCACCCTCCGAAATCAAATAATGGCGTTCAAGACGCTCTCCAAAAACCAGCCTATCGCACCGGCTCTCCACCAGCAGCTGTTCCCGAACAAGAAATTCCCGACACCTACCATTGCGGACAAAGTCACTTTGGCAGAGAAGATTGTGGATGGGTCCGACAAGAACGTCACTGGATCAACCACCGATGTCGATGGAGTTATCTCCGGCAAGGATTCGTATAGCAAATTTGAGCTGGATGATACTGTGCTCCACAAGCTTATCAGCTTTGAGGGCCACAAACACCGCATCAATCGCCCCCGTATTCCTGCATTTGAATCAAGTGGTATCGATTGGCGTCTGATCCGTGAGAATAGCGAGGCCCTGGTTTACAACCGCATGTCGGCTCGTATGAAGGAGCTCGAGAAACTTTCGGCCAACATTGGTGTTTGGGATACTAGCAAGAGTGACGCGCCTACAGGCGATGATTCCCTGAAGTTGAAGGCTCTCATTGAGCTCAAGTCATTGGGTCTGCGGGCTAAGCAGCAGGCGCTGCGTGAGAAGATTCGCCGTACCGGATTCGACGCTAGTGAGACGAACCAGACGAATCGTGCCGTTCATCGTCGCATGAAGCGTCCCTCACTTCGTGAGGCGCGGATCACTGAAAAGCTCGAGAAGCAACAACGGGACGCTCGCGAGACGCGGGAGAAAAAGAAGCAATACGACCAGCTTCAGGCAATTATTAGCCACACAGCCGAGGTTTTCAATGCCTGCGCTGCCAGCCGCAATCGTGCAACCAAGCTTGGTCGTATGATGGTCCAGCATCACCAGCACATGGAGCGCGAGGAGCAGAAACGCGTGGAGCGTACTGCCAAGCAACGTCTGCAAGCGCTGAAGGCCAACGACGAGGAGACTTACTTGAAGCTCTTGGGACAGGCCAAGGATTCGCGTATCTCGCACTTGCTTGGACAGACTGATAAGTTCTTGAAGGAACTTGCCAACTCTGTCAGGCAGCAACAGCGCAATCAAGCTGAGCGCTATGGCGACCACGAAGACTTCGAGGACGAAGAGGAGGAGTTGGCTGACAGTGACGAAGATGACGATGGCACTTCTGGAAAGAAGAAAGTTGATTACTACGCTGTGGCTCATCGCATACAAGAGACGATTACCGAGCAACCGTCTATTCTGGTTGGTGGTACACTCAAGGAATACCAGTTGAAGGGTCTGCAGTGGATGATTTCGCTCTACAACAATAACCTGAATGGTATTCTTGCAGACGAGATGGGTCTTGGAAAGACCATCCAGTCCATCAGTTTGATCACCCACATTATTGAGAAGAAGAGGAATAACGGACCTTTCCTGGTTATTGTGCCTCTTAGTACGCTGACCAATTGGAATCTGGAGTTTGAGAAGTGGGCACCGTCGGTCTCAAAGGTGGTCTACAAAGGCCCTCCCAATGCTCGCAAGCAGCAACAACAGCAAATCCGCTGGGGCAATTTCCAGGTTCTTCTTACCACCTACGAGTACATCATCAAGGATCGTCCCATTCTCTCCAAGATCAAGTGGGCACACATGATTGTCGACGAGGGTCATCGTATGAAGAACGCCAGCTCCAAGCTGAGCAGCACCTTGTCGACGTACTATCACACCCGCTATCGCTTGATTCTGACCGGTACACCCCTACAAAACAACCTGCCTGAGTTGTGGGCACTTCTCAACTTTGTCTTGCCGAACATCTTCAAGTCCGTCAAGTCGTTTGATGAATGGTTTAACACTCCGTTCGCCAACACTGGTGGGCAAGATCGCATGGACCTGACCGAAGAAGAGCAGCTGCTCGTTATTCGTCGTCTGCATAAGGTTCTTCGTCCATTCCTGCTCCGCCGTCTGAAGAAGGATGTCGAGAAAGACCTTCCCGATAAGCAAGAGCGCGTCATCAAGTGCCGCTTCTCTGCCCTACAGACCCGGCTGTACAAGCAATTGGTCACCCATAACAAGATGGCCGTTAGTGACGGCAAGGGTGGTAAGACCAATGTGCGCGGTCTTAGCAATATGCTAATGCAGCTGCGCAAGCTTTGCAACCACCCTTTTGTTTTCGAGCCCGTTGAGGACCAGATGAACCCCAGCCGCATGACCAACGATCTGCTTTGGCGAACGGCCGGAAAGTTCGAGCTGCTTGATCGAGTTTTGCCAAAGTTCCGTGCCACCGGCCATCGTGTCTTGATGTTCTTCCAGATGACGCAGATTATGAACATCATGGAAGACTTCCTTCGCATGCGAGGCCTCAAGTACCTCCGTCTGGACGGTTCCACAAAGTCGGATGATCGCTCGGAGCTTCTAAAGGTCTTCAATGAACCCGGCTCTGACTACTTCTGCTTCTTGCTTTCTACTCGTGCCGGTGGTCTGGGTCTGAACTTGCAGACCGCTGATACCGTCATCATCTATGATTCGGATTGGAACCCTCACCAGGATTTGCAAGCCCAGGATCGTGCCCATCGTATTGGACAGAAGAACGAGGTTCGCATTCTGCGACTGATCAGTTCCAACTCTGTCGAAGAGAAGATTTTGGAACGTGCACAGTTCAAGCTTGACATGGACGGCAAGGTCATTCAAGCTGGTAAATTCGATAACAAGTCCACCAACGAAGAGCGAGACAAATTCCTCCGCAACCTTTTGGAGTCTACGGAAGATACGGAACAACTCGGTGATCAGGAAGAGATGGAAGATGATGACCTTAACGAGATCATGGCTCGCTCTGAAGAGGAGCTTGTCATCTTCCAGCAGATGGACAAAGAGCGTGAGAGGACTGATGAATACGGTCCTGGCCGTCGCTACCCCCGTTTGATGTGTGACGAGGAATTGCCCGACATTTACGTGCAAGAGGACGCTCCAATTTCCGAGGAGCCCGTGACCGAAGTTTACGGTCGTGGTGCTCGTGAACGCAAGGTCAAGCGCTATGATGATGACATTCCGCTCGAGGAGTGGACCAAGCTCGTGGCCGAATGCGAGGAGACCGGCGCGTCAATCGATGACGTGGTCGAGCAGTACTTGCAAGAACGGGAGGATCGCAAGGTCAGAAAGGAGAAGAGGAAGCTCAAGGCACAAGGTGTTGTCGAATCATCGCCTGAACCCGTCGAAAACGACGAGACTCCTCCACGGAAGCGCCGTCGTGGTCCCGCTCCTAAGCGCAAGGCCGAAGAAGTCGCAGAAGAAACCCCACAACCCAAGCGAAAGAGGGGTCGTCAGCCCAAGATCCCGGACACTCTGAGTAGCTCCGACCGTTCTATCTTGACAAATATTGTCAACAGCGTGATGCAGTCTCTGAAGGACATGACCGAAGAGGTGGAGCTTGACGACTCTGACGGCGAGGAAGGAGGCACGGTTCTGCGATCGATCATTGAACCGTTTATGAAGCCACCGCCCCGTTCGCAGTACCCCGACTACTATAAAATCATCCAGAATCCTATTGCGGTGGAGATGATTGAGAGGAAAATCAAGCGTGACGATTACCAGAGCATAAAGGAGTTCCGAGACGACATTCATCTTCTTTGCCAGAATGCTCGGACATTCAATGAGGATGGAAGTCTGCTGTTCCAGGACGCCAATGACATTGAGGTATGTGTCTCCTGCATCATGGCGCTCAGTTGATTGTCGACGGAGCTTTTGACTAACATTTGAATAGGCTAAATGCGTGAGCGAACTGAAGAGGCTGACCGCTGATCATCCCCAATTTGCCAACTTTGATGGCTCCGACTCCGTCGCCGGCGATGGTCAGTCAGTGGGTGCTCCCTCTGGCACCGCAACTCCTCAAACTGTCGGCACTCCTGGTCCCAAACTGAAGCTTACATTCAACAATCCCAATGCGGCCGAAAGTGCCACCAGTGCTGCCACGAGCACTGTGAACGGCGCGGATGGTGACGAAGACTGAAGAACCTGACTTGCATTCTCCTCCATCATGATATATCGACACATTTTGGCATCCTCACATGTCTCTCTCTGCTTGTGTAATTCTGCTCCTTGTAACCAGAAAATCTTGTTTTTTGCCCTCTCCGCGCTGTTTCTATGAGTGGTTCCGGGGAAAAGACGTTTCGCCGTGACTTCTGATTTTGTTGTTTTTCATACAGGGGGTTGGGAAGGTCGGGGTAACGAATGTCCTGGAACGGGCACTGTGTTTTCTCTTTTTTCTGTTCTCTTTAATGAGCGATTTACCTTTTTTATTTTGTCCCTGGCTTTTTGCCTTTCTGGCCGTGTGGGTGATTACTACTAGATGATGGCAGAAGGGAAATCCCCGAGTTTTATGTTCTCAGTATGTACGTTTTGAAGTTATGGGTTGGGCTTGGATTGAATGAATCAGCATATGCAATAATTAACTATTTACTTTACAAATTGTATGTCGTAAGATCATCGGAGGTAGACACTAGCACGGTCCGTATTTCAGGATGCCCATCTAGATTGGGGAACAAATTCGTAGATGTACACGATGGCGACGGTGTCGTACAGTGGTAGGTGCTTTGGCTTTTGGGGAGTCTGAATCTTCCTGAGTCTAGATTAACATACCAACGAGATATGCTCGAAATTCTCTATTTCGAAACATCTCTTCCAAAGTCGTTGTGATGGTCTTGATAGCTTTGACCATGTTCCCTCAGCTATGATTCCACTCGTGACTGATATCATTTTGAAAAGTATGATTCGGAGTAAGAGTTCTTATAGATTCTACCCCGGATCCAACCTTATCAAACAATTAACTACCACCGTATCCGTCGCGACGAGCAGCCCAAGGATGATGTGGAATCTGCCACTCGTGCTTGGCGGCATTCTGTCCGCGAGCAACGGACCGACAGCATCCCAGCGGATCAACAGCCCGAGGATCAGCAGCGACGAGCACCAATCGCTGACCAGGCATCGCGCGATATAACTTTACGTCCATAAAATCGAGAGACTCGTCATCATAGATCTTACACTGACATAGAGCTATGAGTATCGTGCGACGGAAAATGAGCTTCCTTTCGAGAACTTTCATAAGGTAAATACCTATAGTACTCGTGTTTCAAAAGCTATAGGGCCTCGCTGACCCTAAATTAGGACGGTTGCCTCTATGGCATTCTAGACTGCTGGCTCTACGATGATATTTATATCTATATCTCTATATGGATCGCGGTGAAGCAAGCTCAACTCGCGAAATGTATTCTTGGGCATAGCGCCAAAGCCGATTATTGATGACCGTACCTCTGGGAAACCGGACTAGCACTCTGGGTTTACTAATTTCGATTCAGAGAATTGTCTTGAATTACGGGTCCTATATGACAAGGCTGAATCACAGGTCGTACAACTTTAAGCGAATAGAGCGTCATGCTTCTATTATCACGGAGCCTGGACCCTCTGATGACCCCGAATTATACACGTAAGAGTCTACTCTACTAAAACCTGCCCCTCGGTATCATACGCTTTCTCAGTTCAGGAGTATCCCCTTTGCTATGACGGGCTACTCGATTCCATTTCTAGACTAGAATAGGACCTGAGCACCGTCTGAAAGGATGAACGAGAGAGATAACGGACACTGACTCGATCTCTTCAAATTGTTTCATGGACGGGGATTACAATCTACCAAAACGCCTTTGTCATGAGACTTGGACAACATTGGGAGCAACATTTAAAGCCCATTAGGCCGCCCACCTTCGCCCTTGCGCGAGATTCATGCAGCAAGACAATGACCGGGGATGACAAGCGATCGTGACCTGCAGCTCCCTCTCACCGATAGTTCTACTTGTACCGACAGCGGGGGTCACCTCGCAAGTCGTGTCTGAACGAGGACTCCCCTGCACTACACTCACTTACTTTACCCCCTCCCTGTGCACAAACAATCACTCAGCCTATCTAGACATCTTTCACAGACATGCTCGTGAACAAAGAACTATCCGGCAAAGTCGCCCTCGGTACGAAATGTTCACTTCTACACAAAGCCTCTATGAACTCAGATAACTAATCCAGTCTACTTCTACCATCCAGTGACGGGTGCCAGTCGCGGCATCGGCGCTGCAATTGCCATAAAATTCGCCCAGCACGGAGCAAACGTAGCCATCAACTACGTCTCCTCATCCACGGCAGCTGACTCTGTCGCCAACGAGGTCCGCACCCACGGCGTCCGCGCTCTCACCGTGAAAGCCGATGTCTCCAACCAGGCCGAAGTGGGCACCATGTTCGAGGCCGTCAAGCGTGAATTCGGCCGTCTGGATATCGTCGTGAGTAACTCCGGGATTGAACATTTCGGTGTCCTGGGCGAAGTGACAGGGGATGATATTGACCGCATTTTTGCGGTTAATGTCAAGGGCCAGTATTTTGTTGCGCAGGAGGCGTACAAGTATTTGGAGGATTTTGGGCGAGTCATGTTGACCTCCTCTATTTCTGCGGTGAAGGTAAGAAATAGGCGTTCTCTTTGCATCGATTGGGAAAACATGCTGCTTTCTTCTAATTCAATATTCGCAGGGCGTCCCTGGACATGCGGTTTACGCCTCGTCCAAGGCAGCCATTCTTGGTATGGCAAAATGTCTTGCGGTAGACTTTGGTCCTCGCAATATCACCGTCAATGTGATTGCGGCGGGCGGAGTCAAAACTGATATGTACGATCACAATTCGCCCAAGTATATTCCAGGCGGGGAGAATATGACTCCCAAGCAGATTGAGGATTTCCTTTCCAAATGGTCGCCTTTGGGTCGTGTAGGGCTTCCCGAGGATGTTGCGGGCGTGGCAGCTTTGATTGCCAGTCGAGATTCTCAGTGGTTGACCGGTCAGACATTCCATGTTTCTGGAGGAGCGTTTATGAACTGAAGGGAGTCTTTTGGCGAGAATTTAAGGAGATTATTCGGTCCATATACGGCCGACTGAAGTGAGCGGCGTATCTTAGTCATTCCTCAGTCATACCCTAACTTCATTATGACCTGGAGCCTTCTTTGGAAGGTTTGCTCTCACCAATTCTCAATGTCTCCTTGACTCGCATTTTTTATGACACTCTAAACCAAGCGGTCTCAGTAGACGTGTTTACTTGGCTTTAGGATTGCTAGCCGACATGTGCGGAAGATTCGAAGCATTCACACCAATCGCCGAGTATGAGAACTCACCCGACTATCCCCATTTGGAGACTGCCGGCCTAAACTGTTGTCTAATTAACAGGACCCTAGATCAAATGATAGGAAGCATTGAGAATCAAGACTGAATTGATCTAAAAAACGGGTTGATATAATGGTCTATGCGGACCGCCGATAATCAGAAGAGTCAATATAATGTGCAATATGGGGTATGTGTAAAGTAACAAACGTATCACGGCAAACGAGGGAACGCAATAAAAGTATCAATCTATGCAATGAAGGTCTATCAAGCACCTGTAAACATAGCTTCCTTAGAGCGAATTCGCGGTGCAGACGTGTTCGAAGTACGTCCATCAACAAGCATATTCCCATCATGATGCGCCTCAAGCAGCGCCGGCTCGGCAGGATCAACAGCATTGCGACTATACGTCTCGAGTGCATCAAAGACATGACCAAACACCTGGCGATCGACATCCGAAGCCCATAGGAAGTCGAGGTGCTCATACGTAGGAATTTCCTTGGCGACTGTACCACGAGGCAAGCCTTGGAGCATGACGTTTATATCGACGAGGCTGTCACTGCCGCCGTACAAGAGCACGGTGGGAGTCTTAATATTGCGGGTCGGGTATTTGACGGGCTTGTAGAAACGCTCACTTGCGACGACGCTGAAGGGGGCGTGCGTTTCGTCGTCGAAGAACTGGAAGTTCTTGTTGCGGATAATCTGGAACCAATGGACGACAGATTTGGTGCTGGTGAATGAGTACAGATGGAGATAGGCGGCCAGTTTCTGTGCTCGGGTGATGTTGCGGCATTTCCAATTGAACAAGGTTGATAGGGCCATGTCGATGATGCGGACGTAGATTGGTGGATATAGGATCGTTTGCCACATGGTTGTCGACGACAATATGCTGCGCCGACCGAATAGTAGGAACAAGAAATCAGGCGATGCCTTCATCAGGGAGTCGACTATGCGATTGCGTAGCCCCGAGGGAGCCATTGCAGGAGCAAGTGCCACAAATACATCAACCTTTTGGTTCAGCAGAGGATGAATTGAAAGTGTTGCAAAAGCTTGGGCTGTCCCTTGTGAGAATCCAATATAGGATAGCGATGGCTGGCAGGTCACTCCAAGGATGTACTCGATGCTGTCAGGAATATCATGGAAGGCAAATTGATCGATCGAAAAGTCCCAGAACTCATTCGAGCCAGGCGAGAGTCGCACACATTTCTTTGCGTATTTGTTTCCGCGGTTGTTACCAAGCCACACATCGTAGCCTTTTTCAACCAGCTGGAATGGCAGACACCGTTGCTCGTCGGTTAGGGCAACCCACACCTCACTGCACATGAGAAGCCCGTGATGGAGGTAAACGACTTTCTTGCTGAGTCCACCAGCACCTTGATTCACTCGCATGCTCTCTTCACCCTTCCGGTATGCCAATCGGTGTAGTCCAAGAAGATAACCATCTCCGGTTTGGACGATGTGCTCCTCTGCTTCATACCCGAAAAGCGCGCATATCTCGATAAAATCCGACGCCTCTGCGATCGAGGCCGCGAAGACTTCCTCCTTCGTTCGCTTTTCTCGAGGCTCCGTGGAGATAAACTTGTTGAAAATTGACTTTGATTGTTCGTAGCAGAAACTGATAATCGGCGTTGCTGGATACGGGTTAGCAGCTTATACTAGTAAAGGCATTGTTAGCAAATCCACTCACGAAGGCAAAATGTAATCAGGTGGATAATGGTTTCGAGTAGAACAAGTATCAAGGACGCGAAAAGTGCCAGGTATTCGAACCTGCAGCTCATGTTTAGTTCACCACGAAAGTAAGGTTGCAGATACACTTGGGAGCGGGACATACCAGAAGAGTCTCCCAATTAGGGGAACACGCGCCATGATGAAATGCGACACGCCCAAATCCTATACATATAGCCGCTCCAGCACGTCCTGGTAGAACACTTCGTGTCTAGAAAGATAGAGGAGACGACCAGGGAGTATGAGGAAGTCGCGAACTTGCGCCCACGACGTCATGTTCATGTGAAAGGAGTGCTTACCTCATCCGGGGAGATACCGACCTCGGGCCAATCAGCGGCTTGTTGAATGATCGCCCGAATTTGCCGGAGAGTCAGGTCTGCCGATTGCATTTGCGCTGGCCATCTGGACATTTTGCAATTGCGAGATTCACCATGCCCAGCTCGTGTCAGGATATCAGTAAGTCATACTACTTCCAGTGTGACGAGCCAGTCATGGATCTTGTGCCACCTACACTGCGCCCGCGGCCATTCGAATCATATGAGCTAACCGCATACCACTACCAAACAGGAGAGGCGCTGGCTCAATGCCTGCAGGAGTCGGACTGTATCATGGTTCAGCGGCATACACCACGTGAATGCTTAGCGTCGCCACTCGCCGAGGAGTTGCCTATGAAGTGTCAGCAGTTGCGCAAAGGGTTCAGCGAGTGCAAGTGAGTGGGATCATTTCCGTGACACCGGTTTTGGAGGACACGTCTAGGAGACTGGACAAGAGTATTATGGCTGACTGGTGATACTTTCTGTTGATATAGGCGTGGTATGATCGATATGCGCAAGCGATTCCGCGGAAACCACCCCATCTCGGTAGCGAAGGAGATGGACGAGAAGACGCCTAGCTCCTCAGGGCAGCTGTACGCTGGCCGACCAGCCTACACTTCCGTCAAGGAACTCAGTGGCGACGAAGTACAAATGGACCCGGAGAAGACCCGTGGATTGTAAATGCATGAATTCTCTATCACGGAATGTCTCGGCGAGGACGATATGCATGGCACGCTGTTACGAACAGCAGAGAGCTGCATTGTGTTGTATTCTACAAGGAGAAGATGGTTTGATTCATGCTGGCATGGTCTGGAGTTCTGTTTTTTAAATTATGGCGCATCTCCAATCTGAAATAAGACACTGGGTAAATACATGCGTGGCCAAATCATAAGCAAAGCTAGCCCAAGCTTCATCTACAAGAGCAGCGCCTCCGAAACGTACAGTACTATGGGCTTGCCAGTCTACTGCTATTAGCAAAGCCCTATAGCTAGAGCCATCAACTCTATACAGCGATTGTGGGTATGCTGATAGAAGACAGGTCGGACATAAAACAAACAAATCCACATCATCATTGACAATACAATTTAATACAGATCTACTGCGTTTTCTTCACCTTATCAGTAGCAGGGGCCGAGTAAAGCCAGACGAGGACGAAAGCCAAGAATCCTCCAATCACCGACCACAGACCGGCGATCCAGACCCAGCCGGCGCTGATGGCCCAACTGCGCGGGTACTCATCGTGCGCAAAGTGGCGCACGGTGACCTCGTGTTTCTCCTCGATGTTGGTGAAGAAAGGCCGCTTGTAGTTGACACGGAAGGAGAAGATGCCGTGCTGGTCCGGCGTCACGAATTGAGTGCTGAACACGGTGCTGGTCTCCGTGCGGCTGGTGGGCTCAAGAGCCAGGCGGTGGAAGGGCGAGAGCATGAAGAATTCCAGCTGGAGCTCATCCTCGCCGGGGACTTCAAAGGGAATCCACTTGTCGTAGGAGTACTCGGACACCTCAATGTTGAAGACCTGTTTTATCAATTAGTTGTCGAACATGCAGGAGCGTGATATCGTATTACGTACGGTCTCATTCTTGATACGGTAGATCTTGGGGTTCAGATCCTCGGCAGTGACCTCGCCCTCGGTGGCTAGGTGATGCTCAATCTTCTCAACCTTGAGGACACCAGTCTCCTTGAACGTCCAAGCAGTCAATTGCTTGGCGAATTCACGGTTGACGGTGGGAACCTTCTTGCCGCCGGGGGCCTTGACCGAAGCCGAGAACCACTCATCCTCCAACGCCTCAACGGAGCCGAGGACAGTGAAGCGGGCAGAGTTGCGAGCTTGCATGGCCGAAACGACATTCAACTGGGAGCCAGTAGCCTCAATGTCCTCGGCCGCGGGCATCTCCTCCTTCGGGTTGTAAGCGTAGGCAGTGGCTGGGGCGCGCAGGATAGGTGCAACGAGAGCACTGTCACTGCCGAGGGTCTGGGGGGCCACGCGGGGCAGGGCGAGGACTCCCTCGCCGTCGAAGAAGGCCTTGACGTCTGGGCGCAGAGGTCCAGGTCGCTGGAGGAGGAGGACATCGTGCTTCTCGGCGGCCGAGACAGTATCGTAGTTGAAGTGATCAACGACGACGGCTGAGCGATCGCTCGAGAGGTGGATATCAATTTCGAGGAGGAGGGAGCTGACGGCGCTGGAGGTGGAGGCCCTGCCGGAGAGAGCGAGGAGGATGTTACCGTCCTTGTTCAGGAAATTCAGGATGTTCTTCGGGGTCAAGTTGGGGCCGAGACCTGCAAAAAATTAGCCAATTGGCACTTGTGTATCCCAGAGATTTTGGCGCTCACCCTTGGACTTGGGGGGAAGGATCAGGAGGTGGTCGTAAGCTCTTTCGCCATGCTGGAAGAGGGACAGCTTGTCGCTCTTGGGTGATTCGAACGACACATCGTATCCACGACCTAATTGACAAGTTAGAGAGCTCCAGATTGAATGATTCAAGGTTCAATTACCTTCCAGATCCGACCACAACGTCGAGTAGGCGCTCTTCTCTGCAGACTCGTCAAGGACAACCAACAGGCGGCTGCCAGAGCTGCTCAGAGCGTTGACGGCAGCCAAGAAACAGCAAAGAAGCAACGCAAGGCACCACCGCATCTTGGAATAATTCCGCACAGCGGATCGGATGCCCAGCTGGAAAAAAAAATCGGAGAGGGCAAAAAGAACTTAAAAAAGAGAGAAGGAGGATGAAGAGGGGACGTAGGCGGGAGATGTATAGATCACCCGAAAGGGCGACGTGTTAATGGGAACGGTGCCAAGACTCTCTGGGATCCATCGCATCTCCGAACGTCGAACTCGACTTCTTCCCCACGACCTACTGATTTTGAACCTCCCCCCGCCTCTCACCCTCGACCACCAACCAATAACTGGGTCGTTTCTGCATATTTTCGACTCGACTCTTCAAAACTCGTGTCGTCTGTCGGTCTTGGGCTTGTTAAACCGCTTTCTCGTTCGAAAAAACTCCTTCCGAACCGCCCGTCGACGTCCGACCCGGTCTCCCACCATGTCTACCCCTCAATTCTGGTCCACTCCCCTGCGGTACATCCGCTGGGCCTCTCACGAGAAGCCTGCGATCCTCTACTCCCTCCTGATCGGCTCCATGGGGCCCGTCGCGCTCGTCACTCTTCCCCCGCTCCGCCGGGCTCTTGGTGACGTTGACCCGGAGCCTATCCCCATGACATACCCCAGTAAGCATGCAAACCATCCTATTCCGCCTGTACCAACCATTTGAGATTGTTGGAATACCAATTGGCCCCCTAAGACTAACCACAATTCATCACACAGTCCCGAAGGGTCCGCGCGTGGTTCCCCAGGGCTACGAGGATTAAGTGAAGAACGAACAGCGAGCCACACGATACTATAGAACGGCCGTTTTCGGACTTCTTTTGCCTTGAGGAGAAATGAATGAAACAACCGACGTGGGAAGAAAATGGAAAGCTTTAGCGAATGCCGCCTGCTCCATGGGGAGTGTCTTCGGCAGGGGATTTGTCCCAGTCTTTGTCGTTGACGGGGAGCGATTCTATGGTGATCGTTTCTTGCCCTGGAGAAGCGCTTTGATACCAATCTTTTGTTTGCGTGCAGACTCGGCATGGTCGGGTGTCGAGATCGTTGCACTGCAGTATATGTACTATGTTTTGAGAGTGGCCATATAGCCAATGCGGAGTCGCTTTCTTGTGTTCAATGTGCGTATGCGTAGGGCAATGTCCACTGAGAGAGTCAGAATTTGTTGATCAACTCATGTATTTCAGTAACAATTGTCTGGTGGGGGCCAAATATTCAAGAGGACATGTCTAAGTTTAACGAAGACGAGGACTGATACTTGGAACAGAGTTTAGGGCAAGCCACAAATTTGCATGAAATTGAATGTGTGAGGAGCATTTTGGGTGCAGGTTCCCAGTAGGTGGAGAGACATTCTTCAAAAGATTGATAGAAGTACAGTGGGATGGGTTCTAGTCAACCAGTATCAGAAGCCTACGAGAAGAGCCAAGGTTCAGGACATGCACATCAATATGTAAATTATGATCGAGTGCAATCTATAGGACATGGACAGAGCAGAAGGAATTCTTCAATGTGTGGTTTCATTAAGATGAAAGAAACCAATCATCCAAAAAAGGCCAAAAGCGTCAACCACAAGACGAGATAACGCCATATATGCTCATATCTACATGTAGTTCATCAGCATCGCTTTATCAAAGCAATCTCTCCCAAGAGCCAGTGTAAGGAAAAAATGAGAGAAAAAGCAAAACATGAAGATAAAAACAACCCGAGTGCCCCCACCGTAGATAGTCCAGATCATAGAAAGAAAAAGGGAAATGGAAAAAAGAGACATGATGAGAAAGAAAAAGAAAAGCAAGGATCAAAACAAATGCTAAACACACATAATCCTGTACACCGTTCACAGATAAAGCAAACCCCAAGGCAAGGAAAACAAAACATGGAACCCTGAAGACGGCGAAGTATCTGGAAGCGTCATTAGAGCCGGGAGGATAAGCTCAAACCCAGGAAGAAGAACAGCCGCCGTTTTCCCGTTGAAAACCCCAATTCAACACATAATGCTCCTACTCCTAACCGACCAGCTGCACGATAGTGCAAGGTAATTAAAGAAAGTCCGCGAGGGTTTAATGACCGTACCCAAGAGAGCCGAGGTCAGGTTGTAATTCCATTGAAGGTATATCCCAGTCGGTGACAATTGGGCAGCAATTGGCATGTCCAGCGGATATCGGAACCATTCTCCCGACGGGGCCATGGATTGTGGATGACCTGTGGCCCGATGTGGAAATTCCCCGGCCTGTGGACAACAGACAAAATGTCCTTCACTGGAGTTGGAAAATAAAAAGACACGACGCTGACATGGCCGACGAGGTTGAGAAAGTGGAGATGATTTGTCCAGCAAGAACAGTTTTGGAGGGGAGGTTTTGGTCGACATCATCATTTCCCAGGATACATCTTAGTATTTCCGATTGGCCGATTGGGAGAAAAGAAATTCATCGAGTGGGAGCCATTTTGGAAAGGGAAGAAAGGATACGAGTTTGGGGGTAAGAATGCAAGAAAAAAAGGTCATCATATCATGCATGCGCAAGACTGCCACGTTTTCTTGTCTCTGGATTTACCGCCGTCCGCGGTGCGGGTCCCGTTCCCTGGTCGGTTGAGGCCTACTGCGCTCGTATTCCGGGGTATATCTGGGCTCCATTGAACCGGTCATCCGGGAATCCGCGGCAGAAGTTGAAGCAGGGTAGGCTATCCCGGAGGTCACGGGAGAATAGTCCGACTCGGCATCATAACCTGGTCCCGGGTATCTGGGAGCATTGCGGGGACCACCTTCGTAACCACCATAGGTTGGGCCAGTTGCCGAGTAGGTGTAAGAAGAAGGGTGAATGTCCGCCGTGGTCACGACCGGTTGCTGGGTACCAGAGTAGGTGACCTGAGGCGGAGGGTACGGAGCTTGGCCTTGTCCGTAGGGGGAATGGGTAGATGTGTAAGCAGGGCTGGGGTAAGAAGCAGTCTGGGATCCGCTGTAGGGACTTTGGGAGTAAGGGTCCATATAAGGCTGCGCGGGAGCAGAGCTGTATGTGGCAGGGGAGGGCCCCTGTTGTTGGCGAACCTCATGGATGGCCGAGGTAGCATAGTTTGCTGAGACAGTGTTAGGGGCATGAGATGGGTTCACATCTTGAATGTAACTACCTCTCGGATAGCCTAGGTCAGCCCGACGCGAGACATCCGCTTCCCAACGAGCGGAGTCGGCCTTCAGATCAGCAATCATCTCCTATAGTAAAAAATCCGGTCCTCTGGTCAGATGGTTTGTTCTTGTGCTCCTGCGAATCCATGTGGTTTTGAACATGTCGAATGGTCACTACTTACCGATGTGAGATTCCGATAAGCACGGATGAAGAATCCTTGGCGACCCTGTGGGATGAGTCAGTTACCACGCGCGAGGTTACAGCATACAATAGACACAAAAGGGAAAGAAGAGACGGACACTATGGTTGCCAGGTCTCACGAGCGCATCATTTCCAAGGTAGCGGCAGATATCTGCTTGAATCACTTCGCGGCTGATTCCATCGCCCGGGATGAAGTATTCATTCTGACGGCCTGTCATTATGGAGTCCTGAGGGTATTGTCCAGATGAAAAGGTCCTCAAGTGGTGGATTCTTTTTTTAATTCCGACGGGCCAAAAGAAGAAAATAGAAATATCCGGGAGCAGTGCCGAAAAGAAATCCTTTGGGAAGATGACAGATGAGAAAGACGGACGGTGTGTTGTGTTTCGTGTGTCCGTGGATTATATTGAAAGTACAGGGTGTTCTATGAGGCGGCCGGCAAGAAAACAGACTCCAAGGTCGCAGTGCTTCACCACTTTAGATGAATCAAAGAGGGGATTCTTTTTTGGGCTTCGGGTCCTGATGAATGTGGAGAGAGCAGTCCCGGGAAAATGGCCAGTAGAGAGGAAAAGAGTCCTGGGAAGTAGTCCTGATAGTCCTGGTCGGGATAGTAGATGGCGTCCAACGGAAAAGGTAAACACACGTGCGGAAAATCCTGGAAATCCTTAGGGGTCCTGGTTGATCCGGCAAAGAGAGAATATATCCTGGGTCAATCGAGAGTATCCGTGGATGTTCACTAAAAGCCAAGCGACTGAATCAAGTCGGGCAAGGCTGAGGAAGAGAAGAGAGGTTGCAGAGAAGACGGGAGCCGGAGAGCAGCGGCCGGGGGGCTGAGATCTTCTGGGTCGATATTCAGTGCGGGAACACTGATAAATCCACTTTGTTGCCCGCTTTCCTTTATCTTCAGAGACCGGGAGGAAGAGATAGAGGGAGAGGGGGAAGGGGGAGGTGGAACGGGGGGACGGAGATGGAGATGGAGATGAAAGTTGGAGAGTCGAAGAAAGGAAGGAGAAGAGAGGAAGGGAACTAAGAAGAGGGAGAGGGGCGAACTAAGGGCAAAAAGACAGCGACCCAGGGCGGTTGGGCCGTTTGGTTCCTTTCGGGTCCCCTTTGGGCTGGTGCCACGACTCCCCCACTCGACCAGCTCATCCAAACAGCCCTGCACCTTGCCCACCAGCCAATATCCGCCTTGCAATCAAGACCAGAGGCATGCATGATCCAATCTGGCTTAGACGGGCCCTGTGTGACCCTGTTGGCCCTGGGTGTGTTCTGGCTGCTCCTCAATCTTGAACTGCTGCTAGCCGCCTGAGTCGACGCAGTTTCCACCTCGGACCTCCTCCTGCCCTCTCCTTTTGGTCAGGCACCAGAAAACTTGAGTCGACAATTCTTCGAGGACTCTATTAACTATGATAACACTCCTCCTAAGACTCGCACCACGGCTGGATTCAAAATTTTACAAAGCCCAGGGTCAGGCCGATCCCCCGTCACAGCTTGGATTGCTACTCAGTCTGTGCCCTTTGGGCTGAATGGATGTTGATCTCCACTTGGACCTCGAGTGGATCCCGCACGAAAGAGAGCGAGAGAGAGAGAGAGAGAGGAGAGAGAGACAGAGCGGTCAAATTAGAAGAAGAACCTGACCACCACCATCTAGGACGGACCCCGTTTCGAATCTGCAGTCCAGCGGCAGGTCGTGTTGGAATAGTTCTTCGACATGGACTCGTGAGATCGGGGGCTGGACGAATCAGTCGCAAGAGGGGGGCATGGGAAAAGGGTGGATGATCCTCCCCCCGCTCCTACCGTACGATACCAACCAGCCAATCTCGGGCCAGCAGAGCTGCGGCCAGAAGACGTTGCCACCGGCAGGCGTTGGCGCGGTTGGGCGTTGGGCACGAATGCGTGTTTCGGGCATCGCACCCTCCCCCGTCACTCCATGATTGGCTGTCAGCATGCTGACTCTGATGAATGCGAGAGCTTACCGTCATCGATGAAGGAAAAAAATCATATGCACTTGACCAAGAGTGGTCTCGAACAGGTTCGGTCTCGCCACAAGCATTTCTGCATGACGATGAAGGTGGTGGGAAGAGAAAAAAAAAAGAAAATAAGTTCTCCTTCGCAAACTGACGAGCAAATTTGACTTTAAACCATGTGTGAAAAAGGAATGTAGCCCTGCCTCTCGGCGTGGGGGGAACATAGCTAGATCATATAAATACACACCGGCCAATATCAACGTGGACTGGGCATCAAGGCGTGCAGAGACTGCAGATACCACAGTTGATGAGATGTAGCCCTAAAGATCTTATCGCGACGTGGTTTTTTGAACGACTATACCCCTGGCTATACTTCCCGATGACCCAAACAGTCATCCCAGGGATTCTTTCTGATGATTGGACTCGACAGTTGACGGTGGGGTTTCTCCCATCGCCCAACCGTGGAAGCCTAGACACCTAAAATTTGAGGCTCTCAAAGCCCACGTGAACTCACTAGTCCATTCCGGGAGCTCTTTTACAGCACGCGCCATGTCTCTGCACAACCCCGGACTTGGGTTGAATGACACTGTAGCTCACCGCGGACAGCTATTCTCGCGATCAACAATCCCTGCGTCGCCATGCTGCAGTCTCGAGTATGTCGTCTGAAGACCCACCCAATGCGTCGCCCAACGATGCCGTGAAACGCTCCCGCTACACTCATCGCCAACTCCAACTACTGCGCCAGGGCTCGACAGCCACCCCGCTCCGCACAATTGCGCATATCGATCTCGATGCCTTTTACGCACAATGCGAGATGGTGCGCCTGGGGACACCCCGTGACACCCCACTTGCGGTGCGCCAGTGGGATTCACTGATTGCTGTCAATTACGCCGCGCGGCCGTTTGGGATCACCAGGATGATAACGGCGGCCGAAGCTCGCAGAGCTTGCCCCAATATTGTCCTGCAGCATGTGGCGACTTTTCGAGAAGGAGAAGGGGGGCGGTGGGCATACCGTGACGACGCGTTTATGAATATCAAAACCGATAAGGTTTCTCTTGATCCGTATCGGGCAGAGTCGAGGAAGATCCTTAGAACCATGAAGGAGGCATTGGAGAGATGGTGTACGCATGAGTCGGATGGTGAAATCCACCGCTTTACCCAGGGTCTTTCTGCTACACTGGAAAAGGCCAGTATAGACGAAGTCTTCATTGACTTGTCACCCATTGTCTACAGCGTCTTGCTCCAAAGATATCCGGAACTACGGCCAGGGCCGCAGGATGGGGACCGTGATGCGGAGCTACCCCCTCCGCCAACCACGGCGGTGCAATGGTATCCCGAAGATTGTTTGATAGACCTCGATCTACATGAACGGGAGGAAGATGACCCGGACTGGGACGACATTGTCATGCTCACTGGGGCAGAAATCGTTCGATCTGTACGTCGTGCAGTCTGGGATAGTATGAAGTACACCTGCTCCGCGGGCCTTGCACGGAACAAAATGCTCGCTAAACTGGGCAGTGCCTGCAACAAGCCCGACAAACAGACCGTAGTGCGAAATCGTGCCGTCCAACACTTCCTAGGAGGTTACAAATTCACCCAGATCCGTATGCTGGGCGGGAAGCTCGGAGACCAGATCACTTCTTACTTCGGCACGGAGAAAGTGAGCGACCTGCTCAACGTGACTCTTGAGCAATTTCGTGCCAAATTAGATGATCACACCGCGTCATGGCTGTACGGGATTATCCGTGGTGACGACCGAACCGAGGTCAACCCTCGAACGCAGATCAAGTCGATGCTGTCGGCCAAGTCGTTCCGACCTAGTATCAATTCGTTGGAGCATGCCGAGAAATGGCTGCACATCTTTGCAGCAGATATCTACGGTCGTCTTGTGGAGGATGGCGTGCTTGAAAATAGACGTCGTCCCAGAGTGATTGCACTACACCACCGTACGGCACAGACTCGGTCTCGTCAAATTCCTATTCCTGCGGCGAATGCCATCGATGAGAACCTGCTCTTTGAGTTGGCCAGGACGTTAATGCGACAGGTCATGGCAGATGGACAGCCTTGGCCGTGTTCCAACCTATCCTTAAGCGTGAGTAGCTTCGAGGACGGCGTGAGCAAGAACAGGGCTATTGAAGGATTCTTACTTCGGGGTGACCAGGCCAAGTCTTTGAACTATGGATCTCGTCCTCGAGATGATGAAACCCCTATTAATGAACAACTCCCGTCGGAAAAGAAACGAAAGGTCGATGATAGCGGTATCAAGCGGTTCTTCTCGCAACCGCCTCAGGATGATAGACCCGTGTTTGATCGAGAGAACCCTCGGCCCAAAGAAGATCATGATAATTCTACGCTTCCAGTGGCAGTTCCCAAAGCTGAAGTGGGTGACAACATAATGCCACACTATACCTGTGATCGATGTTCCCGGTCCATCCCTGAACTCGAAAGAGAGGAGCACGATGATTGGCATTTCGCCAAAGACCTGGAAGTTCAGGAGCGCCAAGAGGCGAGGGATGCACAACCACAATCGCGACCAACGCCGAGCTCGAGTGCACCTCGAGGCTCAAGTACTCGGGCTAGAGGGGGTCGAGGTGGTCGGGGTGGTCGAGGCAAGCCCGAGAGAGGGCAAATGCGACTGGCTTTTCAATGACCTTTTGAATAAAGGGGATGTATAACATCTTTTACGGATCTTAGCATTAGTGGAGTTTAAAGCAGTACCTATATATACCCCTTTACTATTAGAGGGGAAACCCAATGTCAAGATGCGCTTTCGGAATGGCAAGGGAGATCTCTGATTTCTGATTTCTGTGATACAAGACCCACATCCAGAGTAATCCCAACAATATTCTCACCGTCTTCTCCACTCGGGATAAGTAGAGATCTATAGAAGTTGCCCTAAGTCTGTCGTGCACGTCGGCGGCGTTTGAAGACCGCAAGTCAATGAGGGGTAGTAGCCAGGCCGTTCTATGCTTTCGAAGGACCCGCCCTTCTGATCGTTGCACACTTCAACTATCCTAGCATAGTATTTCAATCTGAGAATTATAGATCATGTTGGATTCATTCAGTCCTGCACCCTCTAGGCTGAGAGTTTCCAGCCATTTCGTATACGACCACGTCAACGGTATGCTCGTGGAATGGCAATCTTGTAAAGAACAGTTCCTTGGTGAAGTGTCGTCATACCTTTTCCTCCACATACCCCCGTAGGTACACAGATGCAATCCTAGAGAATAGTTTCTTGATGGCCAGGATCAACGTCATTTGGTCCAGGTTGGCCCAAATCTCATTCGTGGTTCGGCCGTTTAAAGCCCTGGCAAGACCCATGGATGAGGGACCACCCGTCATCCCTAATATAGTTGGAAGTAAACAATTATTTTCCGAATCTGCCTCAAATCAGCCCTACGAGATCGCGACTCAATAATACCGTGGTTCCCTTCAAATTGGAACCCCCGCGTGTGCTCCAGATCACGATTAAACGTGTCGGCCGTGGGTGTGACATCAGCGGGTCGCGGGGTCATCGGACGTTGGCTTATGTCGTATGCATGTGCTGCTCAGCCCCCACAACGCTTCGCTGCCTTCTCAATGATAGTAACTTGCATTCTTTCTCTTTGATTTGCCTCATCCTCCTGATTTTACATTGTGGATGAACACTGGGACCTGTGAAAGTCCTGGTGTGCGCCGGCGCTGGCTCCGACGTGTTAAAAGCCCCGCAAACGCAGTCTTGCCCCGCCGATCTTGATAGCCGCTTTCCTCGCCCGATTTACACTCCAGCACGCAAAGCAACGGTCGAACGCAAACCTGGAAATCGATGCACATAGTCACTCGAATCTATAATTCTCTTTCCAGGCTCTAGTCCTTCTTTACTTCCGATTCCAGCTATGTCTCGGCGGGCGCCGCCCCGCGAGTACTATGAGGAGGAGGAATTCGAGGCCGAACGGGAGCGAGATCGATATCCACGATCACGCAGACGAGAGCGCGACTTCGACGAAGATGTTGAGTATCGGCGACGCAGATCAATGCCTCCCATCGAAGATCTAGAGCACATGCATATCCGGGACCGGCCCCCACGCGACCTTGTTCGAGAGAGCTTTGCCCCGCCAAGAGACCGGGGTGGTCCCCTGGTGAGAAGAGAGAGGGATGAGCTGGATGAGCCAGGACCGGGGCCTGACCCGGAGGAGGTTCGGGCGCGCTCATCACGCCGGCGTGGAAGCCAGAGTCACCGACCTCGCGAAGTCGTCGAGGAAGAGGAGTCTGAGTTGATGATCGGTGGACGGGAAAAACGTGGAAGTCGACGATCCCGAAGACCACGCGATCTAGATGACGAGGATATGGTGATTCGACACCGAGAGCGGGCTAGCGAGGGGGACCTGAGACCGATGGAGAAAGTGTACGAGGACGAGCGGGAGGAGGTCTATTTCAGGGCATCATCTAGACCACGACGCAGACCGTCGCGGCGCGAGGTCGAATTCGAGGAAAGAATCATTGACGACAGAGAGCAAGAACGGCTGCGGGGACCACGGCACCGCGGAGAAGCGTCATTCGAAGAAGACCTTGTTATGCAATGGAAGGACCGACCGACGCCCCGAGAACTGGAAGAAGAGGACGAGATACGCCTGCGGGAAACGAGACGACGGCGTCGGCCCAGCCAGCCAGAGCCGGAATATGTTCGGGAGCCACCACCAAGAGAGCCACCTGGGGCATGGCCCGCTGAGAGGGAAGTTGAAGAAGAGGAGATTCGTATTCGCGAACGGAGGCGCTCGCGACCGAAGCGCCGGGAAGTCGAGGACGAAGAAGACATTGTTCTCCGTCGCGAGGAGCGAGATCGGGAACGTGGCAGGGATAGTGCCGAGAGTGACGAGATACTGATTCGAAAGAGCAAGCGAAAAACGCCACGAGAACCGTCACTGTCTCCGGAGCCTATTCGGGCTCCTCCAATTCACCAGGATGTCATCACACACCACCGTCATGTTGATCACGGTGAGGCAGATTGCAATCTACCTACTGGGTTGTGCTAATGACCTCTCAGGTTTTGATACAGTTCGTCCACCGCGAGCACCCAGCCCAGAAAAAACTTCTACTAGGAGGAGCTTTGAGGAGATAGATATCCGTCGGTGAGTCTAGTCAAGGTTCCACTGCCGTGGACAAAGCTAACAAACTGCCCAGTAGCAAGAAAGGACATCGAGGCCGCAAGTCCCAAGAGGAAATTGTCTTCAAACATCGTGAAACACAGGAATCCCTGTCACCGACCAGTGGCCCATCCCTCGATTTCACCGATCCATGGAAGCCGGACCGTCGACCCTCACGTCGCAACCGCAAGTCGAGATCCCTGGATGACGATGAGGACGACGATAGCGACTCCTCAGTCGCCGGAAGCTCCCATACTCCTCTGCGCCGGGATCTCGCTCGCGATATTGCCCTCGAAGCCGAACTTGAAGCCGAGATCGAGGAGGAGATAAAAATACACAAGGAACGATCAAGACACCGCTCGCATATCGAGAAGATCTCCAAAGAGACCGCCGACGAATGGTCCGTCGTGCATACGCCCTTGAAAGAAGACACGGTCGAAACGATCGGGGCTCTCGAGGTAGTGGAAGTTGCACCCAAGGGCGCCGTAGAAGAGGATCTCGAAATTCGGGGCCGTGTCGAGCAGCAGGTCGTGAAGGAGCGCCGTGATGAGCGCTGGACGGAGATCACCAAGGATTTGGTGGTTCGCGAAGCCATCGAACGGCTGGGGTACGAATTTGAGGAGACAAGGACATTCTATTATATCTTCACATTTTTGGAACCGGTAAGTGTTTCATTTACTTGTTTCTTGTCCAATGCTATATAAGAACGAATCGCTGACTCTATCTATCAGGCTGAAATTGATCACCTTGTCGAATTGTCCGATGAAATACGTCACGCCAGGCGCCGACGTATCAGGGAGATGCAGCGAGAGCGAGTAGAAAAGCCACCACGACCTATTTACGAGGGAGATAGGCTACCTCCTCGTCCGCGGATGATGGGAAAGAGGCATATAAGAGAGCGAGAGTGGATTCTCGAAGAGCGGAGGTGATATGGCGACAGTTTGATATCTGGTGCCAGTTTAATAACGACTTATGATTGACATTTGCATAGCCATGAGTTTTTTTTTCTACATATAGCTCAACTTATGAATACTTTTCGGACAGATTGATTTGTAATCCCGGTAGGGTCTTAAGGAGATGGTCTAGATTATCTCTCGCTTGCATAGACAGCCGGTGTTTCGTTTGGGGCCTTTAGGGTTGAGCTTGGCCTATGATATGGCAAAGGTTTTTACATTGAGGACCAGAGGCATGGTTCAAATCTGTGGAGGCAAGAGAGAGAGCTTATGGATGAAGACCACGAGGAACCAAACATCCTCCGTTCCAAACCAGTAGTGGTCCATATCATCTTTAAGTCTCCGTGATTGATCCAGCTGCCGGTCGGCAAGACAATGGCAAAGCCTCAATGGCGAGGTGCTTAAAGCTCTAAGCGAAGCCGTCAATACGGTCAAGCATCGTTATCCTTTAGGGTCGCCTTGAAAAGTCCATCTACTGTACCCATTCCTGGTACAAAGCGGTGCGTGCCAAGGTCTTTACCATAAACCGAAGACTGTCTCATCAACGAAGAGGTTATCGAGTGATTACTTGCCTCCAATTCGACCTCAAAAGCACACATGAAAGACAGTTCCAAACCTACGAGATGAGAATAGATCACGACCATCCTCAACTCGGCCTCCACCGAAGCCCGCGGCCACGACATCAAATCATACTTGGCGTCTAGCCAAGACATACAGCAAGCCACCCAAGCACACAGCCATGGTCCTATGCACCCGTGACCCGACCGAACGGCATGGGTACATACTGTACTTGTAAGTATGACCCATTAACAATCCTAATGTACTGTACTTCATACAGTAGGACTCCGGACTAACGCTTTTTACGCTACGTGATAGTCACAACCATCCGTAAAGTCTGGCCGGATCAATCAAAAGCACCTACGGACACCTCCCAGGAATCATGATCCAGAAAGGCCAGAAGGATTATCTGACGGGCGATCATGGGGCAAGCCTCGATCCTTTCCCATCCCCCTGGTGCGACCCCAACGCAGGATTACACATACCCCTGCCGCCACCCGCGATGCCGGTGGGTATGCGATGTCTCAGGAATATTAATGGCACTGTGGAGAGAGGTAGTGGGGAGCATTGGCCAGGCACAGGTACGATGGCGATGCAATTGGTAGTTTTGTCGGTCTGGTGTGGGTGTACAACGTCTAGATCATTTTGTCGGGGACGTTGTTATTGGTAGTAGGGAATGGGTACTGGGGACTTACTGTAGGTACCGTACACTGGGGACAGAGAGAAAGTTTCATGATTTTCAGAATGATGTATGCTAGCGTTCTAGAGATTGGAAAAGTTGGGATCTTCATGATGAAGATTTTCATCGATGGATGATGGGTCAGGGATTTGATCTCCTAAGATAGGAGGCCTGCGACCGTGACGTTTGCTGTTACAGGATGCTTGGATGCTTTCTAGTAGGTAGAGACGCTGCTACCAGCCGAATCGACGGGGAAGAGATTGGGCCACTTCTTCAACTTCAACACCGCACTTTGACGTATAATTTTGGGTAGTAGTTGGAAATCATATTCACTATATATCTAGTACTAGGTCCGAAACCCCAACGCGTGCGCAGGTCATACCCAAATGAATGTATCTTATGGAGATCTTATCGAGCCTAACTTCATAGCTCTACATGTGTACCTTTTGAACTGCCACAGGATCTTCCTGATGTGTCCATGGCTCATGAATAAGAAAGCGTCAGAGATATCGTGATACGGACGGAGAGTCTAAAATCGATCAATCGAAGTGATGGATAATGTCATTGCAGTCCAATTGTTGCATAGTATTATTATGTATTATAACCGTTACGCAGAAATTCAGTCACTTTCTACATAACATATTCCTCTAATTCGCGTTGGTGGGCCCATATATGTAGCCCCGATCCACAATTTGCACAGGATTCGTTGCCACAGCCGATCCGTCCGGTCCATCCAAGATTTCACCCGGGATCTGATATCAGATAGGGGTAGAAGGGAAAGGCAGAAAAGGAACTACAATCGAGGCCTACGGTACGAGGGAAACCCAAAGACAATTATGTTCTACTACTGAAATAAATCTACGCAGGGTCTGGTAAATGAACTTGGCCCAGGCAGGTCCGAGGGGGAGGCAACCATGGACTGAGGAACGGGCGACCTTATGCACTGACCGTCCCGCCCGGGACTCGCTTGCTTGGTGGATGGTCAAGCAAAATACTGATCGTCGCTTCTGGCGTTTATGGCCCCCGGTTTCTCGAGCAATCAGGACCTGCGTGAATGTCGTCGGGGGTGTGGGTGATGGGCCAATCGAAGGGGGATGGGAGATGGGTTATCGGAGAAGGACTCCATGAGAGGAGGTCAAGCAAACGAGAGGCCAAGATTTGCCGAGAGAATGGGAAAAATTTCGGTTCCTCCTGGAATATTGACGGAGAAACTTGACGGAGTTAGAGTTCTTAAAGCATTAATCGTACACGACTTGAGTGTGTAGAAAATGGATTCGATGTCCACTTAAAAAAGTAAACGGAGGGATTGGATTGGCACATCAGCTTCTTCTAGCATCCCGGACGTTATTGGCGCGGGAGAATGATTGGCATTAGCCGTTCGAGGTAGGGCAGATACAAGGTCTTTTAAGTCATGGAGTCTTCCAAATGAATAGTCTATCACAGCATTCACTCGCTAAGTCTCTCGGCATAACCTTTGGACTCTATCTCTACGGAGTATTCGCCGTCCACATCCAGCGTTGCTGGGGGGTGCATTGATGTTCTCATGTGGCGTGCGGGAGAGCTTAGTGTGGCTTGTTTTGGACTGCAGCTCTGAGACAGTCCAAGGACTCTGGCTTATCCACACATTACGTATGCCGCGCTTTCGTTCGCACTATCGGCCCCCCTGGTCACACAGATTACAAGGTGACCACAGATTACGGTGCCTCGGATTCCAATATTTGTCCATACTCTGATCCACGATGAATCACGAAACAATCGAGGCCGCACTTAATAAGAGTCTATTGCATCGAGACCATGTTACGACCCTTTCAACCCACCCTTAACGAAGTGGATAAAGACTGCAAGTATGAAGGACGGTAGCCTCCTGGAGAATGCTGGACCGAGGAATTCGAGAGGACCAGCCCTCCGAAGCTTTTTTCCTTTTGCCCAGCCAATACGAACGAGGCTGGGTGGAGCCGCGGTGCTCGAAACTGGTATTCGGTTTGCTGTGAGCCGCCAATCAGATAGCTACAAACTCCTGACTAAGAGTAAGACCCAATCATCGGACGTGATTTGTAGTGCCTGAGGAGTAGTCGGGAGGGGAAAAAGAAAACAAATAATAATGCACGCGCAATGGCTGAGAATCCACGATAGCACGGGTCATGTACAAAGTGGATTGCCCGCGTATGCCTTCTAGACCACCCGAAGAGTAGTGCTGTTTTCTTCCATGATGAGATGGTAGACTCTACACTGCATTTTGAATCATTAATCCTCGACCTTCGTGTTCACCGGGCGAGGTTTAACCGCAGAGTACCTCGTGAGAGTTACACTTTGTGCCCATGAAACACGCAAGACAGGAGCAAACTAGAGTACTACTGTCAGAGTCCAAAATTACTACCCTCCTCGGTACAGAATCGCCCGTTTAGTTACAGCAGTACCAGCAAGGACGTGCACGACAATCATGTATCCACTTAGCTAGCGGCAATGCCGGACAACCTGCTAATATTATGCCAACATGGCTAACATACTCCGTCCTCCGTCTTCCGATCGTAACGCCCCGAAACTGTCTTCTCCTCTCTCGTGTCAGTGACCACTACGACTCCATACACTGACACGTACATTCTCTTTCTCTCACTTTCAACCCGATCCGACCAAATCTCTTCCCTCCGCCGCCGCCTCCTCCTATTCATCCTCCTCCCGCCGCTACTCCCGACTTCTGCCTGGAAACGATGCGATTGCCCTTCTGAAAAGGATAATCTACGGCGTGTAACGTTCAACTTGGTGGGGGAAAAGCAGTAGTCAATCGTTACTTCTCCGACCGTCAACTTTCTTCCTGTTCCTATCTCTCTCCTGAAAACATTCCCCATTGTATGGGTGATCGGCACCACAACCACCGGTCGGCGCGGCACCCACACATCGGATTTTGAAATTCAACCTTATCCCATCCTGATTGCGACACCTCCCTCTGCAGGAACCGCCCGGAGTTGGGTAGATTTGGGTTGGTGAACGAACGCAATCGCTTATCGCGGTCACTCGTTGCGGCTTCGGTCGGAATCCTCTCGACAACATGCAACTCGCACTACTGCTGCCGGCGCTGGCTCTGCTGGCTCAGCCCTTCGCCCAAGCTTCCAGCAGCCTTGCATACTGCGCAACTGACAATACTGGCTCTTCCTTTTCGGTTGGTATGTTCAACATGGTGCAACGTGATGGATCGGTTTCGGTGGAACTTGATGGCTGACTTTGGATTTCCTCAACTCTTTAGTTTCCGACACCTATCAGTCCAATGGAGCTTGTGAAGAGACTTGCGCCGACTATGCCCTCGGTGTCTTACAGGGAAAGAACTGTTGGTGCTCCAACGTGGCACCTTCCGAGTCCTCTCGCAAGAGCACTTCGGAGTGCTCAACTGGCTGCCCGGGATACCCAGCTGATAGCTGCGGTAGTTCCTCTAAGGGTGTTTATGCTTATGTGAAGATCTCTGGTAACTCGGTCACCAGCACTGAGAGTGGTAGTAGCTCGAGTACCACTTCTTCCTCGACCTCGGTAAGCTATCCCCCATCCCGCTCTCTATGACTATTCTGTCGGCCCACTGGTTGGAGCTCGTTGCATTGTTCGTGTTCTGGACCGTCTTTCATGCTTGGGCTTGGGTGCTTTGCTGTTCCATGATAAATTGTTTTTCTCATTCGTGGCACAGGAAAGCACTAGCAGCACTTCATCATCGACTGCAACTTCCACAAACTCTACACAAATTGTATTTGCTGGACACCCAGAAAAATGATATTGCGTCGGTTCAGATTTGCTAATATACAACTCTAGTCCACCACGTCCGAATCAACTGCCACTACCGGGAACGTTGTCAAGGAGACCACCTCGGCTGGTGAGGTGAAGACCATCACCGTGTCCGCCGCTAGCCAGACGGGTGCACAAGATTCGTCCTCGGCCAACACTGCAGCATCCGGAAGCAAGAAGCTGAGTGGCGGCTCCATTGCCGGTATCGTCATCGGTGTGTTCGGTGGTCTTGCCCTTGTGGGCGCCCTGATCTTTATGGTCTTCTTCTACCGCAAGCGTGCCCGTTCGGCGAGCCCGATCCCCAGCACGGCCGATATGACGGAGTACCGAAATAGCCAAGCCTCCAGCTTCTCTCGTGGTGTCTTCGCACAAGGCCACTCCCATGACTTGTCCGGATCTTCGAGCTTGGGACGCAAACACACTTTCACCGACACTCGCTTGAAGACCGATATCTATCCCAACGGTCCTCGGGATAGCAGTGTGTCCCTCCAGGATAACGAGGACTACTCGCGCCCCGTGCTTCGGGTAAGTTCTACTTGAGAGTCGTATTGATTGATACAAAAAATATTTACTGACTTATCTCCCAGCTCACCAACCCTGACTAAATTTCCAACGGATATCCACACACGCGCTTCCTTTCTTGCCCGCTCCTTCAGCATCATCCCCCTCTTCATTAATTCTGTGCGACTTCGCCCCAAAACAACTTCGTTATGATACCCAATTGTCACCTGGATTCTTTCCTTTCTTCGCTGGAGGTGTTGGCCAAGAAAAAGCCACCCAAAAGCAATATCCGACCCAGTCGTGAATTTTCAAGTCGAGGTTCTCGACTGGCCTTATCAACACTCCATTACCCCCACCACCCGACGGGCTGCAGCGAGCAGAAGATGAATCCACGAACCGAGAAGAATGAGAAGATCAAACCCAAATCGAAAAAAAGGCAACACGCGAAATCGGCCTCCAACCACCCCCTTTTGGAGGCAATGAGTCGCCGTTGAAATGAGTCCACGAGCCACATCTTCAACATACATACCTTGCATACCTTTCATACATACCCTTCTCATGGGTGACGGCGCCGGCCCAGGGCTCATGTGATTTTCCAGTACATACGTATTTCCGTTCCTCACCTCGCGCTTCCCACTTTCCCTTTCTCTCTCTCTACGGACTCGCATCTTATCCGGTTCCTTTGATTTCGTCTTCTCCTTAATGTTCTTCTCCAATTCTGGTTCCCTTCTGTACCATTCAGCCCGTTCTTTCTTTTTCTTCTATCCCACTTGGATTTCTTTTTCCTTTGCTCGGGTTTCTATCATGGCGTTAGGAAACCAGTAGTGTGTTTAGAGTCTGATACATCAATGGTCAATGTTATTTACATGTTTATCGAGCAATTATGCTTAATGAAGCCTATTCTGCATAATGTCTTGCCCTGGCAGGTGTCTCTCGGACTGTGTAGCACTCGTTGCCCATCAGCGGCGTGAGCTAGTCCACACTAGTTGAAGCTATGTTGCCAAGGGTTATCATGAAGGGCTGCTCGCGCTCTACCTGAGACGCCGCGCGTCATGCGAAAGACCTTTTGTATTGGCTTGGGCCTTCTTCCCGTGCTCATTATATAGCTCATAAAGATAAAGATTTTAATGCCGGGATCAAGTCAACGCAAGAAATAAGCTTGCAAAGCTAGTCGGGTCACTGTATTGCTGTTTGCTTCTTCCTTGCTTACGATATGGTGACCCTGAAAGGAGCCTTATCACTAACATCTATCGTCTTCAGGGCAAGGCAATCAATAAGATAAGGCAGGCGTACCTGGCCTGTGAACCAACCGGTAGTTCTAAAAATTGTCTCAGGGTAACAAATACTGTCATTGTATGTGATACGTGAGCCCGTTACTTTTTGTGAGAATATAAAATCATATTGCCTTCTATTCTTTAGATAAGAAATTGCGATGACCTGGCGGAAAGTGTTCCAAATATTGAAAGATCGCGATGGCTTGACATACACAGGAGACCGGGTAGCAACCGCATCGGGTTTTCCACACGATGAACCTGTCAACCTACCCTAGAATCGAGCGTAACCTCTTCAAACACAAGCTGTCTAAAAAGGACTACCATCTCCGGATCGCCATGGCGAGTGGCCCAGGAGAACATTGATCCAAATGCCGTTATGTTACTAATCAAATTAGCACCACGCTCCATCAACATACGGGTGATTGGAACCGACCCAGATTCAACCGCTAGGTGTAGACAATTCTCCCCATGAGAGACAACAGATTGAGATTAGCACCCTTTTGAATAAGAGCATGGGCCACATCAAACCGTCTATTTTGGATAGCAAGGTGTAATGCCGTTAAGCCCCATATATCTTGGATGTCAACGTCGATTTCTGCATGACAAGCGAGATGCATGGCCAGGGGTGAGTATTCCTCTGACAACGCTATATGCAGGGCTGTATGACCCACATCATTCTGAGCATTGATAATGGTAGGTTGGAGCTCACTCTGAACTACATTTAAGAGGTGGACATCATTCCGATAAGCAATGCTCTGAAGCAGGGTCAATCCACCCGATGAGATAGCCGCCGGGTTTCCTCCATAGGCGATAGCCATCTGCATGGTCTCGGGGTTACAATAGGCTCCAATCGACTGCATGACCATATTCGCGTCCAGATCAGCAGAGGCCTCAATTAGAAGACGGACAATTTTCTCCTTCTGACCTCGTGCTGCATGTACAAGGGGACTCGTATCCGTGATCAGATCGAGTCTGGACGCGTCCGCGCCAAATTCCAGTAGCAGTCTGACCATGTCTACGTTCCGAGACTGTACGGCTAAACTGAGCAGCCGCTCCCCAGAAACGACGTATGAGTTAGGGTCCACGTTGTGCTTGAGCAGGCCGCGCACATTGGCAAGCTCACCTCCTGCCACGGCCTTCCCGAGAACGTCCCAATCGCTGGCACCGAACTCGCCCGCGGGAACACCGTATGAGGCGTGCAAGCTAAAGACTGGGTCATCCACCCCATGTCGCTGCCCGTAATCGTAAATGAAGTTTTCTTCATAGAGGTCCAAGGGGGCGAAAGCGGCAGTATGGGCTCTTTGCCCAGTTTCCGGTGTTAACAGCCAACACAACGCCCGGCAACTTCTGGCAAGTCTAAGTAACGACTGATTGTCTAGGTTCTGTGCGATTTGAAGAATTATTTCAGGAGGCAGATCGCCGAGGTTGGTGGGCATGTTTTCGTATTCGCCTTTCGTAACTTTAGATCTTGTGAGACGATAATGGGGTGTTTCAGATGAAAGGATGCTGAGAAGATGGGTGGGTGAATGGTGGATTGTAGACTTAGCAAGGATGATATCAGATGTTTATGTAGACCAAGCAGCTGGAGGCACGACATGACTGTTTCCTATAATCCTAGGCACAAAGACATTGTCTAATTTTAGTACTGAGGAAGGATTTTATTGAAAGCTCGAATTCGCTCTGAAAGAAGTCCAGAACGTTGTCATAGTTCAACCAGTCTTTCAAAACTCATTCTTTATGTTGATTAGCTGTTGCAGGCAGAGAAGCTGAAAGGAGCACACACCGGGTCAACGTATCGTGGAAACATAATTGACTGAAAATTTTTGAAACAGGAGGCCCTTTGCATTGAGCTCTACGAATTACACTACAAAGCCCGGTAAGGGTCAATTATGGTGCCGGCGACGGCTACACTTGAGGCTGTTTTTGGCGGTTGCCGCCCTCCGGAAACACACTGACCTTATACAAGAATATGGATCTTTGGGAAGCGTGTACGGTTCCCCTCAGGAGTTATCTGAGAATTAAAACTTTTCATTATTACTCAATTGGCTGATCTATACCAATCTCGGCCTTTGTTCTGTTCCTTATATCAACAAAGCTTGGTGTATCTCCCAATGATATTTTGGACCGGTCTCGGTGGAGAGACAGGTTATTCCAGAGACCTCAGAATGAAAGCCGCCGTGCCAGGCGGGACTAATCAGACTACGTTCTTTATTGGATGAAGGGATCTATCTGTTCTCAACTCTCTTTGTCAACTATTATTTTTCTCTGCTTCGATGATAATGGGTATCAATTTTATTGCACTGCTCACCCACCTGGACTGTATGCAGCTGCCAATGAGCTTAAGCGGAAATGGGAGATTAACCAGTTTTTATACGAGGAGTAGCATTTCGTTCTTAGCAGATCTAGGTAGTTTTTGAAAAGCAACTTACATTTACTCTGCTAATATTTTCTGCTTATTTGAAATTCTCTCTAATTTACTAAAGTTGGCTCTACAAAGGAATATATCTTGGTTAACATTCTAAGTCTAGATATAACGGAAGTTTCACTGGGTAAAGTTGTAAATTGCCTCTAGGAAATGATTGATCAAAATTCTAGCCACCTGACTACGCTTACCTGGACAGGTCCTCTTGATACTCCAAGAGCAGATGAGCGATCTCATGATACCCCATTTGAAATGCTAATTCAACGGGTGTCTGCCCATGTCTATCTCTGATCGTCAAGCCTGGCGGAGTTGGGCTCCCGTGGAGAAGAATTTCCACCACGGCGGAACTTGCCCTGGTTCGGACAGCACAATGCATGGGAGTCCCATAGAATGAATTGGCATTGACATCAGCACCATGCCGAAGCAGCTCCCATAGTATAGATGGTAATTTAGGCACGTCCACGGTTTGCAGCGCAATGTGCAATGCGTTTTGACCATTGCGTGGTGCGGTAATGTTAATCGCAGCGCCCGCTTCGAGAAGAGCCTCAATCAATACATGACGTTGGAGTGCGAAATGCAAGGCAGTCCACCCCTGCGGATCCTGATAATCTAGGTCAATCTCTGGAATTCTGATGAGATGTATTGCAGTGTCAACATATCCGTCTCTCATAGCCACCTGTAGGGCGGTTTGCCCTCCGACATTCACGAGGTTGAATCTGCTTTTGTCCATTAATGGAACAAGAAATTCGACTACATCCTTTCGATATAAGACGATTTCATGGAGGGTGAAGAATGAACCTACCTCGCAGCCTGTTGATAGCATGGCATGCAACACGTCTACTTCACCCCTTCGAGCAGCTCGGTCTAGGGGTGAAGTACGTAGTCCGGGGTCCTTTAAACAGGGACGAGCACCGAATTTCAAGAGCAGCTTGACAATTTCCATGTTCCCCCGCTCCACAGCTACACTTAGCATTCTTGCGCCACTTACAAGATACGAGTCGGGATTTGCACCTCGCCCAAGAAGGTTTTGTACAGCAGCAAAATTGCCACGATAGATAGCCTGGCCAAAGGGTTCGAGATCCGTCGGGGTGAAGACGGGAGGAATAAACATGCGAGAATAAGCTGAGCTCCGACCGAATGTTGAGCCCCAGCGGACTCTGAAAGCAGGAAAGTCTACTCCGTGCTGTTGATCATCGTCATAGACAAAGCTTGTTGCGTAGTTGCTTCTAGGGGCGAGTGCATATTGAGGAACCCGTTTTGTCAGTTCCGAATCAAGTAGCGAGTATAGTCCTTTGCAAGTGCGGGATAAGCTGCTGAGGGAATTAACATCCAAGTATTCTGCAATCTCCAGGGCCAATTCGCAAGGTAGCGTACCAAATGAAGCTTGAGTAGGCGGTTGTTCGGCTGCCTGGTGGCTTTGCCAAAGCGGCTGTAAGAACCTGGTGATATGATGCATGGATATTGAATCCCTGAACAATCTGATCGGACGAGAACGATTGATCATGCAACTTCTTCATGAAAGCGAAGAGCGGGAGTGGGTTTAGAATTATAGTAGACGTCAAGCCAGGTATTTATGTGGATTTAAATCATGTGCCTGATTCTCGAAGCGCTAAATTGGGATATCGTAAACAATGAGAACAATGAAAAGGATGATAATGCAATTGTCCAGAATTCTCCGCTTCGAACAATCTCTTTCAGAGACCTGTCCTTGTTTCGCGTTTCTTTATCATCTTAGACAACAAAAGTCCTATGAAGTCGGATTGAAGCAATCTTGTCGAAGTTAAATGCAATGCCACATGACTGCTAAATATACATAGTCCGATCAAGGGTCCAAAAGGAACCGTATCTCAGTCGACAATCATAATTCTCATATTACAAGAAACTTCTTTTTATATCTTTCCAGTAAATGAGTAAGCTATTAATTTGATGTCGTGCTGGCTTATGTGTAGTCTGAAAAGAGTGGGGCTCCATCCCATTCATGAACTCAATTGGATGGATACTCGTGTTGAAAAGGCTCGGAGATGGGACAACGTCCATTACGTGCAGGTCTCAAATAGTACCTAGACTTCTTCCCACATCTGATCTACGTTGATCAAGTAGCTATAGGTAAATACGCTCTTTATCGTCGGGTCTCGACCAAAATTGCCAACGGGTTTTCCAACTGCTGTAATGAGCTCTGGAAAAGGAGGGAAAGCAATAATCTCCGAGGATGATCTAGGAATGAAGATCTTTTTCCAGAAGGGTCGAGTAATCTTTCTAAATCTCCTAGTGCGACATGGATGATTGCGGGCAACTGGCCGTTCTCGAAGAAGGGTGCCAACAGCTCTATTCACTGAAAAGGAACTTTCCACCTGAGATGGTACGGAATTATTGACACAATACTAGATCGACACTAATTCATCCTGAAGCGTGCATCAGATACGTTAAGATCTGGCATGATATTGAACCAAAGATGAATAAAGGCTGGCGGTAGCTCGGCCGTCAAGAACTGGCATTTATTGACACACACCGTGCCTTGGACACAGACCTTCTAGAAGCACCTTATCGTTACTTGGTGTTTTGAGACCCAAAAGTCAAATGATGCCACCCTCCCATGCAGGCTGGGCCGTATTGCAATTTCCATCGTTGCTCGGGATCCCTTTTCGGGACGCGGTGTGTTCTCAAAAGTACTGTAGCAAGCACTGAAGATGCCGTGTCGTAGAGCCAGGGTAGCACTGGAGGTCTTTGACCTCTGACATAAGCATTAGTTCAAGCGCCACGCCGGTAGAGTCTCCTCTTGATCTCTTGGCAATCCCCTCCCTGATCAAGATGTCGTTTTGACTTTGATAGGACTTTTGCGAGATATGCACAGGCTTCTTGGAGAATTCTTGTGTCGAGTTGCACAGATGGGAATTCCATAAAAAAATAAATTCAGCTTGTGATCTTATGGAAAACCCCACTTCTGTAGTCCGGCCTCGACTTTGGTGTGCGATGTTCGGAACATACCTTTTCCCTCCCTTTCCCTTTTCTCGTCTCCTTCACACATGTATTATGATTATTTCCACTCTTTACGCAATCCTCCGTATTATTTCACCTTTCGGCCCCAACCGATTCCCCGCACTTGTGGGCGCTAGAGTGAAACTAGCACGAGAGAGGAGTCCAGTCAACAATCAGCATCGCTATCCGCGCTGTCCCTCGGTTATGTTCCTTTGGGCTTCAAAGTTCGTCCAGACCAAAATACAGGAGGCCCAAGCCACTATCAACGACTCAAACCGGGAACTGGATCGAACAGTGGTGCCTTCTTTTGTTCCTCCCAATCCTTCCGGGTGGCGGGCCAATGATCTTTCGGTTCATCTTCGGCTAGACCTGAGCCAGGGGCGGGAATATCCTGCGGCTGCCTTTGGCTGTGAGGCCCACAGACCAGCCCCATACGGGCAAGCGTCGTTCGAGGGCGCTGAACGAGTCAGCCCAATCGTCATGTTGGCTGGTCTCTGAGTGGTCATTGCTGGTGCAAGTCGCCGGATCAGCCGGCATCTCGTGGTTTGGCCGAGAGTACGACGTGTACGATGAGACTACGACGTTCACCAGACCCAACAAGGCACCACCCTAGTTGCATCTCATCTCCGCCTCTCGGGTCGGGGTAAAGGGGGGCCAGGCACTCTCAAGGCTACCGGTCTGAACACCCCAGATTTGTCTTCCCCGACCTTTCCGTTGCATTTCTCACCGGGCATCTGGAACTGGCATGGTGCTGCAAAAGATGGTCGATTCTCCAGACTTCAACTCTTGAGCACCCCACGGGACCGACAGTGGTCAAGCCGCGCGTCCCCGCGCAAACAGTCGGCTCCCCGAGTGGCTTGGCGTCAGACCGAACATTCACCCGCTTACTACTCACCTCCGTAGATGCCGAAACTCTCTCGCCCGGCTCTGCGCCGATACGGTGGTTGTATGGTAGAACGGCTAAGACTATAGGCCGGAAATCCCTCCTTCCATGGCACGCTGTGGGTCTCATTGCGGGAGCGCCACGCCTCGTGGCTGGCGGGCGTTCCAGAATGCTACCCTCTCTGTACTCTTGTCCCGAAGCATTGGACGAGTCAGAGAACTCTACGACTGCTCAAACCTGAATAATGGCCTGCATTCAGGATCTCCTCTGACCTTTTCGATCTAGGGCATTCCCAATGAGGCGGGTATTCTCCAGTCTCCGCTATACTCATTTTGTCCTCCGCTCTGGTCGCCGCCATTGACTAAAATGAACCCACCTGGGTCGTCAGACTTTTTTTTTCTGTCCGTCACAAGGACAGTGAGGCCATGGCACGACTCATTTCCTTTTTCCTCATCAGGCTATTTTCAGTATCGATGTCTCTAAACACACATCGTTTCGATCCGATCAGCGCGATCTAATCTGTCGTTCATGGACGGGTACAGATGTGTACCCCGATCCCACGCATAATCTGGCATCGGCCTAATATCGGCGAAGCGGGGAAAATGGGGATTCTAGGGTCTCACAGCCCGCACCCTGTCTGACAGCACCGGGCATCATTCTCGAAGCCAGAAGAGTCCCTCGAATAATGAGGGGTCATGGGGCAAGAGCAAGGATTCCGTGGACAGGCGCAGAACCAATATACCAATGAACAAGCCAATGGCGGCGCTTCTTGGACCCAAGGATGGTTCCCAAAAATTCGCGGCGCCCATGCGCCAAATTTACGCCGACGCCTTGGATAAGTGCTTCTTTCGTGGCCACCAAAGCTTGGTGGCGCCCACTAGCGTCTGCGAACTTTGATATATTTTCTGTTTCGCCTACATTACCCGGCTTCAACCTTTGCCGAGCTGATGTTCCCTCCCCGAGTCTAGCCAACAACATCCTAGCTTGTGGTTAGTCTGGACTGGCGCCGACAATCCTGTTGACTCATGGTTCCCCTCCAAGGGCATCCTTCAGCGATGTAATTGGATGCCATGCATGTGCATGCCGCGGAAGAGACTCCCTGATCTGGGGCATGCCTCTGTCAGAACGGCGCTAATCCCCGCGCAGAGGTTTTAGAAAAAGGAGGAGAAAAAAGAGGAGAAAAAGAAAGAGAAAAAAAAATTGACTGGCACAAGCGGATATAGTCCGTACAGCTATATAATCTAGCAGATCTGCCCATGTTGCAGAATTTCCAGGCTTGCTGATCATTCCTCTGTTGTCTCTTTCGCCTCGATTTTACTCTCCTCCATCAGTATCTCGCAACGATGGCGGTTAGTCAGTCTGTAGTTGGCCGCGCCAACGCGGGGAAGGCTCATGGTATCGTGGGTATGCTGCAGAACCCTTATGTCTCCCTGACTTGTCTGTTCGCTTCCCTGGGTTGTATCATGTACGGTTACGATCAGGGTGTGATGGGTCCCGTTCTTGTCATGGAGAACTTCAAGAACCACTTCCCTTACTTCGATGGGTCGACCATTCAGGGTTGGCTCGTGGCTGCTTTGGAGCTCGGTGCCTGGGCTGGTGCTCTGATCAACGGTGTCCTCGCTGACCGAATCTCCCGAAAGTATGCCATGATGGTTGCCGTCGTCATCTTCACTCTTGGTACTGGTCTGCAGGCTGGTGCCCAGACTCCTGCCTACTTCTTTGCTGGTCGTATCATCGGTGGTGTGGGTATTGGTATGTTCAGTATGGTTATTCCGCTTTACCAGGCTGAGATTGCTCCTCCCGAGCTTCGTGGTTCCCTCGTCTCTCTCCAGCAACTGTCCATCACCGTCGGTACTGCCATTGCCTTCTGGCTCGACTACGGCATGCAGTATGTTGGTGGCACTACTTGCAACCCCGAGGGCATTGCCAACCCTTACCTTTCCGATGGAAGCTACAACTCCGCCCAGAACCACGGCCACACTTGCCTCGGCCAAAAGACTATCGCCTGGCGTCTTCCTTTGGCTCTGCAGATCATTCCCGCCTGGATCCTGTTCTTCGGCATGTTCTACTTCCCCTTCTCTCCTCGTTGGTTGATGATGAAGCACCGCGAGGAGGAAGCCCGTGCTTCGCTTTCCAAGCTCCGCCGTCTCGCACCCCATGACCCCCTGTTGCAGGCTGAGTTCCTTGAGATCAAGGCCGCCGTTATGTTCGACGAGGAGACTGAGCGCGAGCTCGTTGGTTCCGGCGGCGCTCTCGCCCCTTGGAAGGCTTTGTTCGCCCCTAACATGTTCAAGCGTCTGGTGCTCGGCTGTGGTACCATGATTTGCCAGCAGTTCACCGGTATCAATGCCGTCCTCTACTACGCTCCTCAGATCTTCAGCAGTTTCGGTTTCTCGTCCACCAAACAGACACTTCTGGCTACCGGTGTGACTGGTATCCTGCAGATTATCTTCACTCTCCCTGCCGTCGGATTCCTGGACAAGTTCGGACGTAAGACCTTCCTTATTGTTGGTGCCATCGGCATGTTCTGTTGCCACATCGTCGTGGCCACTGTCGAGGGTATCTACAAGCCTAAGTGGGACCTGAACGAGGGTCTTGCCGTGGGTCAAGGCTGGGTTGCCATTACTTTTATCTGGCTGTTTGCGGTTAACTTTGCCTACTCTTGGGGTATGTATCATCTTCGCTGCCACTACTTCACTTTCCTCGTCGACAGAATACTGATTTCATTCTCTCCGAATAGGTCCCGTCGCATGGGTGCTGACCCAGGAGATTTTCCCTAACAGCCAGCGATCCCGCGGTGTTGCCATCGTCGCCTCCACCAACTGGATGTTCAACTTCGTTATCGGTCTTACTACCAAGGATATGTTGGCCTCCATGAAGTACGGAACCTACATCTTCTTCGCTATTTTCAGCGGTCTGGGTGGTCTTTTCATCTGGAAATTCGCCCCTGAGACCAAGGACAAGACTTTGGAGGAACTGGACATGTTCTTCGGCGGTGAGAAGGAGAGCGTTGCCGCGGCGGATCGCCAGCGTATGGAACGTATCTACGAGACCCTCGGCCTGGCTGGCGTCGAGGTCATTGAGGACCTCAAGGGCGAGAAGGAGATTGCTTCTGAGCAGGTTGAGGTCGAGGCTGCCCACAAGGCTTAAGCTTGATAAGTTTTAATACCAAGAGATGGAATGGTGGTGGTAGGTAATGGGATACGATGTTAATTGTTTACGTCGTGATGTAATGAACGAGTTGAGATAGCCATGAATATGATATAAATATGGTATGCTCGAACAGCGACTTCTAGTAGAGAGAAAACGCGAAAAAAACGATTCGCGGTTTCTATAGTAGATCTAAATATCGATTGTCTTTACTACGAGGTATTTCTCTCGATTCGCATCCCTATTGACTTGCGTACGCTTACAGTTTTCCACGACATCGATTACAATCATTTTAAAACAATCCCAAGCAAACCAACCACTGCTCAATCCGGTTCTTCATTACCCGCAATAACTTTGAAGAAAAAAAAATTCAAGTCTATGGCACCACTTCCGAAACAGACTCTGCACCATCAGGTCATCGCCGTATTCTTTGCCGAATCGGGCATCAATCACCGACTCCGAGCCCACCAAACTCTAGCACCAAGGAATAATGGAATAAATCTTATCCATCATTTGTTTTAGAGAGTTCTCTGGACCGAGGGTTTTCCGAGTAGTATAATGATGATCAAAATCAAGCTCGGGGTTCAGTCTATATGTTCTCCACAATTCTGCTTCTATCGGAACGATCAAATTTTATCTGGCAGAGACGCTTGGAACTACTGTGGGGTAGATTATGTTTTTGGTGCCTATAACTTTAGTAATCATTCAGATACCGAGGCGCTTGGATATAATAGCAATGTTTATCCCTTCTCTCGATTGTCCATTGAAAGAGTTGTCTAAACGGTAGAGACTAACCTGAGAGTCAAGTATTGTAGTCCTGCCTAGACTCCACATCTCGGCCAAAGCTCCCAAGACTGGAGAGGGCCATATTCTGTTTGAGAAATCCTTGTAGGTCCCCGGGGTACCAAACTCCCCAAACAAGCATAACCGCAAACATCAAAGTGGAGTCGAACACATAGAGAGTCCACTCATGCGTCAATGAATATCCATCATTGCCTTCCACATATTCGACGACACGGAAAAGGCTTCGAACTAAGATCAACAAGCTGATTGCGTAGAGCACTCGGAGATGGCTCTTCCATTTGCACCGCTCATCAAAAGACTCGGCAGTCGGGCATCGATTCATGCGAACTTGGAACATCACTGAAGTAATAATGAAGAAGCAGAACACGAGGACTTGAATAACAAGACCGGCTACAACAATGTTAGAGCCAAGTTTTGCATTGTTGCCCGACACCATTAAGCCAGATGCTCCACCTTGCACCATGAACGAGAGGACATCGCCCATGACAAAGACCTTGGTGAGCCAGTTGATTCGAATCAGAGAATATTTCTCTGCACGTACGCAGCGGATGATTCGGCCGAGAGCCATGTAGACTGATGCTGCAAATAGTGTCGGTCCAAGCAGCAAGAACACGCTCTGCATGGAGTAGGGCATCACCGAGCCTGTCTTGTTGTGAGCGGCTGCTCTAGCAATATATCCAATGATCTCAACTAGAAGGCGGAGAGTTAGTCGTAGTAGGAAACAAAAATTGCAAAATGGCAATACGTACATATTCCACCAATGACGAAAGCAAGGCAGAAGCGTGCCTTTGTGCTATAGAGCTTCCATGAATGATATGCCGTCGCAACGATGAAGAGTAACAGAAATATGACAGCAGCCGCAAGAGACGGTATATACTTCCAGAGGTAATAACCGCCCTTGTAAGGTTCGAGAACTGCCATGGTCCAAATCAAATTTATAGTATGAGGCGATCGACAAGGTGCTCTGAGAATCTCGCAGACGGGAAATGTTGCTCCTTCATTCAAGCGGCCACGGTCCAGTACTTATGTATTGAGCACCGAGGCAACAGAGTTTTGCCCCTTATAGCTTAACGGAGAATCACTCCTCAAAATCTTTAGACCCCTGTAAGTTTCTCTCCATGCCGATGTATCTCGTTCGGTGGAGTGCATCTATACGCGTATAGAAAGGGTGGGTCCTCTGGATTTAGAATAGGGTCCACAGCGCCAGCTTGGCATTTGTGTGCAAAAAGGAGCCTCATGGTTGATAGCGTCGGGGTATGGTGGCAGACTGAGAAAGAGAATTGAAGTCTCCATAAAGGGCATGGAGCTTGACGCTGAGCTATAATCTCCCAGTTTCGGCACCACTCGCGAAGACCAAATACAAGAGCTTGGCATAGCATAAAGAACCGAGAGAAGAAGGATGTTCCAGACTAGGATGTCTGCTTCATGCATACTAGAGTCAGACTTTAATTGAGCATGGCTATTATAGCCCAATAGCCTAAAATCCAGCCCGGTCTTCATACTTCTTTGATTGCTGTTTCCGTAGCATAGAAATTGGTGCGGCCTGATTGGCCGAGGCAATTCTTGTTTGAAGGGAATATCAAATGTGGATCACTGCGTGGCCCGTGCATACGCGTATAACCAGTCCGAGCCCACTTTAAGCATCACGGATCCAGATCTTCTGGCGGATTCTCTGCTGACAGGTTCGCAGAGGCTAAAGGCGTGAGCAATGTGAAAATAGGCTGCAAAATTTGCGCTCAGACAAGTACATGACTTGTCTCTCGCGACGCCGAATCCTCTGCAGGTTGGGTTTCCGCGTACACCCGACATGCCACGCAGGACGCATAAGAAGTCTCGCAATGGCTGCGTTGAATGTAAACGCCGTCACGTGAAGGTACGAGGATCAAGGTCTCAATACGATTTCAGTCTTGCTGACTTGATTTGTTGACTTGCTTAGTGCGACGAGCGACGACCCATCTGCTCCAATTGCGTTGCTTCGGAACGACGGTGCCAGTTCGCTGGACCTGCCCCTACAGTCTCATCGGCACAAGCCTCGCCCAGCACCAGCCATGAGATTACTTCTACTTCTCCCGCCACCAGTTCACCCGCACAACAACCCACACCAGCCCCAAGTGGCGGCTTTGTGCAAGATGCTCCGGTCAACCTACTTCATGTGGAGCTTTTTCACAACATATTGTTGGAAGGCGCTAATTGGGTCAATGCCCACGAGGTATCGTTTAGCACATCTTTCCCCGACTTGCTAAGAATCGGCCTTGAAGCACCTTACCTGCTCAATATGATGTTAGCTATAAGTGCTTTGAACCTCAGCATTGTGAAGCCAGATCGTCGAGACTACTATCGACATCATGCGACTCAACTTCAAAGTCATGCATTGAACAACTTCAATAGCCTATCACCACACTTCGACCGAAAAACTTGCATTCCAATGTTCCTTTTTGCTGCAATCCTGGGACTTCATTTTCTCTGCGAGACACTCGTCTTTCGAGAAGGCCCTTTCGAGAGCTTCCTCGACCGCTTTGTGCAGTACCTTCGACTCCATCAAGGAATACGTACAATCACAGCTGAGGGGCGGTGGGAGTACTTACAGGAAACGAGCATTAAGCCATTTTTGACAATGAGTGAACGGCTTCCGCCCATGGACTCTAAGTTTGGTCCGGTGTGCGAGAGTTTATACCAACGCATCGAAGGCTCTGAAAAAAGTGAAGCTAGGCTCAAGGTATATCGTCAAACTATTCAAGCTCTGCAAATGGTGATGACGGCACTCGATTCTGAGAAGGAACGCCTGGGTGCTTTGGTGGCGTGGCCAGTGATTGTATCCCCCGATTATGTCGATCTGGTAGCATCGCATCAAGGAGAAGCTTTGGTGATTTTGGCATATTATGGCGCACTGATTCACCCAAGCCGTAACCATTGGGTGTTTCAAGATGGCGGCCAATTCTTGATAGAATCAGTCACCCAGTATCTGGGACCTGCCTGGCATGATTGGCTAGAATGGCCGTGGAAAGCCTTGACTTAGACTATATTTCTGGTGTGACATTAACGAAACGAAGCTCATGGCACAAAAAGGCTACCTTACTATCCCTTTCTTACCATCAACCTTTCCTAAGATCTATTCTAAGCGCTTTAACAGCTACCTAATTCACCCAAATATATAGAAATTTCAGGGAAGATAGATGAATAAAGGTTATATGATACTGGCGTATATAGTCGCTAAATAGACTAGCGATGAGCGTTAATGTATAGGATATTGCACATAGAAGGACTCGGTAGGTACTATGTAAATCTTGAATAAGCATTTTGTATTGCAGTTCCTCATAAGAATAGAATTGTCGTGCCATGAATCTTTCTGTCGTGTCGTTAATGCCACCGTATTTCTGAAACACTCCTATAATAATAATTTGACAGAGATTATTTTGCTGTTTAGCGGATCTCTCCCGCTGAGAGACCTCGAGGACCAACATCTGCCGCCTACTTGTCGGCCTGTTTGGGCCTTGTTGGGCCCTTTCCGCTTCGTTCTCTCATCAGCCCCTGGGAAGATAAATTAGAAATGGGGTTTGGTCCCTTTATTCCTTTTATGAATTCGGCGATCGTGATGATCGGGGGGCCCGTTTTATCGAATAAAGAATGCTCTATAGGAAGTTGAGAAAGTCAACAGAGGCTCCGTCGAACCTTTTTACGAGCTCTTGTACGTCATACGAGCAATTTCAGATCAGCCAGAGTGCAAGATAGTCGTTCACAAGGCAGAGACACATTTGCGTGACTTCAGTGACAACATGGACGACGTTTACCGTTCATGCTTGGCGAACCTGATGAGCAAACCGGCTGGGCCATTTTGAAGAGTCCAGGACGCTAATTGGGAAAAGTGCTTCTTGCAAGTTTATCTCATCGTATATTGTTCCTTTCAACTTTATTTTACATGCTCGTTCGAACTGGCCATCAAACCCGGTGATATGCGATTGATCATGGCATGTCCCAAGGTTGCTGCCAAGATCCTGGACCTTTTTTCTATTTCGGGAATAGCCGAGCCAGTCTTCCGATTTAGTACATCCAGTCCAGATATCCTTATCTTTCCATCTCCTATTCTACATATTTCCCAGGTCTATATGATTTATTTTCTACCAAATTAGCCCCTTGAATACTGTCCGTGATAAAGCTAGTCGTAAGTCAGTCGTATGAGTAATGTGGATTAAGTGACGGCCTCCACTTTGCCCGTTGCCAACAAAGGAAATCATATGGGCAAGTGCTGATAAGGAGATTAGTACAAAGATTAACCCGCACCAAATATTGCCAAATTAAATCGACGGCGTCATAGTTGAGCCTTAAGCCCTGCGTATTCTCGCCAAACACGGAAGGACGAATCGAGTTACTGCGGCCAACCAAAGCAGCTATTCGATGCTTGTATCTTGTAATCTAGGGGCTTCCCCGCTTCGATGATCCCGCTTTGAGTGCCACACTGTTACTTTCAAGGCTCCTTGATCGTAAATACTGGGGGTACTTAATGAACCTCGTTCCTTTGGTCCGTGTTGCTGTACTTCTGTCTATCTACTGCGAATAAGCCCCTGGTCCCGAACTCCCTTTCATCGATTCGATGTGAATGGTAAACTATACCAGCCAGTTCATATCGACCCGACCTATCAATTCACCATAACTGCCCCAACGCGCATGCTATAACCAGTCATGGATGTCACCAACGGCCCTGAGAGCGTCTGGAGCATCGGCATGATCCTGGTAGCCGCCACCGCCGTCTACTTGATTCTCTATCGAACATCCACAAAGTCCCTTCTGTACAAAGTATCCCTACGCGGCCGACGAGATTCAACAGCTAAAACCCCACCGCGATCCCTCTCCCCAGAGAAGAAACAGCCCAATAGCGCCCCATCCCCTGCGAGCTACAACCATACCCTGCCACCCCAGCGTAGGGAGGCCCTTCTACAAATTCAGGAGAAAGCTATACGCTGGCGGGAAGTCGATGAGACCGAAATGCGCCAGAATGTCTTGCCCATGACTGCCGACTATAAGACTAGCCCAGGCAACTTATACACTCCCACTGGATTCTCGATAGACGATATCAAAGCCCTGGGAGACTTCCCCGACTATGCAACACTCAGCGGAGTCCCATTACCCAGCCCATATCCGGAACACGATATTGCAAAGGCCAAGCCCAGACCTTATAGGCCGTTCAGATGGTCTTATCATCAAACTATGTGTATGTGAAGCACTATCTAAAGTCGAAACCTCCCCTGATAATGCTCACAATCTGAATAGCACTGACCAAATTGGAAACCGACTGGTGGATTGAGCTCGAAAGCAGCTACAAAGAACGCATCGCCCAGCGGAAAGAGATATTCGCCAAGAACGGCAAGGCAGTTCTAGATGCACTTCCAGGCTCAGAACTAGCTTGTAAGGAGCTCATGGAAATGGTCCTGCAATTTATCTGCGCAAGATATCCCCAGCACTTTACGCTTATTGACAACCGTATCCTGCAAAACAAGATTCTTGGTACGGAGCAGGATGTTCGTGCTAAACATCCATTGGAAGTCCTTCTCGATAATGTGCCCGAAGACTTTGCACTCATGCTACGGGATGATCACACTGGATATTATTTCCTTCGAGCGGCTGTGATTTGTTCCGCACTCGGATGGAATGTTGGTTCGAAGATTGGGAAGCAGCTGCACCAAATTCATGAACCGATTCCGGATTACAGAGAGAAGATGCAGTTTTCGATGGATCGGTATGCATATCTATACCCAGGATTCCATTCTACCCTGTTGACTGGCTAATCATTTATACGTGATTCGATAGCTTTTTCACGAAGATGCCGACAGAAAAGCCCATTCAGCGAGGTTCATGGGGTTTGGAGGTCGGCGAGCCTCTGTACATGCCACCAGGAGACCCACACGAGGCTCTTCGGAAGTTTCAAGACCCAAATTTGCATTTGAAAGATTGCAAATTACGGGTGGACTGGCAGACTCTTCGCCGTCTACCTCTATCGGCGTCCGTTGTGTTCAACTTCAAGGCTTTATTCACTCCCATCACAGAGTTCCGTGATGAGCCCGGTGTGCCGGCACTGGTTTCCACGGTGTTGAAGGAAGGGAAGAAGAACTTGATGGATTACAAGGGAGTGTGGCACGTTCAACATGTCATTCTGCCTAAGTTGGAAGAGTGGGCCAAAGAGCAAGAAGAGAAGGGGCTTGTACCTAAAGATTGGCAAGTTGCTACGCTGGACGATAGTCCGTGGTTCAAAGGGTGGGAGGTGAAGTGGCACCGCCAGCAAGGTTATTAGGAATGATGAATTTTGATTTTGTCCCGGTCGAGTTATTTGGATGTCTTAGCATTTGATCCATCATCTTCAATGATACTAGAGCAGCCACGTCTCGATAATTCCCATGCATCTCCTTGAAATAAACGCAGGAGTATATCCCTGGCAATCGTGGTTGTGAAATCTCGCTCAACCAACTCCTATGAGCCTAAGCGATTGATTCTAGCCGCAGTCCCCAGGTAAAGATACCTCGGCGATGAGACGTCCCTCAAGGGGGTGCACCGACATTGACGATAAACCCATTGGCGAGGTTTAACAGGCTCTGCACGGCCGGTCGTGATGCATAGGTGCACGCGGATAGTTGGGGCTCGGCCAGTTTCGGCCAGCAGTTGGAAAGGCTGGTGGGGGGTGCGACGAATTGGTATAAGCATTTCGCTTGTTGCTTTCAATCCTCGCCTTCATCGCTCCTGCCGGGAGATTCATTGTCACTTCGATCGCGATCGTCACGCTCTTCACCGTTATTGCTATCCCGGTCAAGTTCCTCCAGCTCGTCCGCAAGCGGGCTTATCCGCTCGTCCAGCATCTCCAAATCTTCCAATTGCTGCCGCGGGGGCAACTTCCACAGACTTGTACCACACACTCGGTCCTTGGTGAGGAGGTCGTCGACGAATTGGTCGACGTAGGTCAGGGTATACGCGTCGCGAACTCGGCGCTTGATTTTCCGGTAGTCGAGCAGCAACGGCTCCAAGGTTTTGTACACGTCGACCGCATTGAAGGTGAGTCGAACGTAGAAAGCAGCCAGCACTCGGAGGTACTTAAAGTCTCCACGCGTCTGGAGGATGGCATTATCTGGATTATCGCCCTCGTCGTCACTGCCGGGGTCGGAGAAGTTCAGGTATTCGAGGATGATGTCTTTGCTGGGGTTGAGCTGGAGGAGCTTGAAGGCGAGACAGAGGAAAGGCGAAGGCTTCTCAGAGACACCATATGTACCACCGACAAAGCTCAGTTCGACCGCGCGATCACACAGAGTTGCTGCGTTCAATCCGAAACATTGCTCCTTCCAGTAGTAGGAGTCCGTAATGCGATCGCGAACTGCCTTCTCGAAAAGGGTGACTGGGTTGACACCGCGAACCAGAGGGCCGGAGTATCCCCGGTTATCCAAGAAATTACTGGCATCGGCACGATGAGTGGCCATGGTGAAGGTCGCGTGCAATCGTAGCCGCAGTCACAGTAGCTTCACATGGACGGATGGCGAAAGCGAGGTTGAAAAGCCCGAGTGCCAAGACTTTCCCAGGTCTCGGCGGTGGGCTTATCGATAGTCGCGCGGCCAACCCCGTAAACAAGGCTGATGTCATGAAACACTCAAACATCCAGGGATCAAGGCTGCGTCCGAGACATCGAAAAGAGAGTCTACGGGCCGTCATGCATGGTTGACATTCCAATCTCATCCATCCATTCCATTCCTTCCATGTCGCCTGCCATCCCGCGACAATGGTGCTCCTCACATCCTCGACCGTCTCTGCAATCGTGTCGATGGGGGTAGTCGGCATCTTTACTTTGTTACTGTTTGTTTCGGGCTACGTGTTACAACAAAATTCGGTAAAGAATATTCAGCATGCACTGCGCAAGTCTTCTGATGGTCCACCGATTGTAGGGCGCGGATCATCCGGATCGACATTCCAGAAGCCCGCGCACAAACGTGGTCTATCAGACTCGGATCTGGGGTTAACGGGCGATCAAGAAGTGCTTCAAGGAAGCCGGGGTGTTGCCTCGGGCTCAAAGGGGAATTATGCATACTTACAGCTATTGTCAAAGCCTGACCCTTCTGATATCTGTTCCGCTGTGCTCTTTTTCAAACAACTCGCCACGAATGGCTCTGTCATCCCAGATCGCCTGTTCATGTATCCCGAAGAGTGGGATCGCATGTCTGCAAAAAGCCTTGGAAAGGCTGGCTCGCTAGCCTTGTCCATCTTACGCGCTGCCAGCATCAAATATGGTATCTGGCTGCTACCGATTGATATCAGCGTCGCCCTCAACGCTGGATACACAATGTCTGACACGAAACTGCTGCGTCTGGGACAAATCCAGTTCATGCAATACGATAGCGTATTATACCTTCAGTCTCCAGGCTTGATCATGGACACGGAAAAATTGGATCAGGTAATCTTATCACAGCCACTTCCACTTTTACACGATTGGAGTCGCCCAGAGTCCTACGCCAATGAGGCATGGACTCCCATGTCTCTCCGTCCAGATCGTGACGAGACCTTGCCACCTGTCTACTTGATCACTGTCAATAATGTCGATGGCGGACGAGTCCAGACCCGGACCCACGTGCCCAATGCTGATCTACCTGGATTTGGCAACCTTGTGATTGGGCCGGCCGACTTTGATGGAACTGGCGAGTTGCCAGGATATGTATATTTCGAAAACGATCGCGATGGTCAGGTTAAATGGGCTGGAAACCCGCTATTTGGAGCCTGGCGGGCGCAGCAACATGAAGTCTGTGAAGGGCTAGAATTTGACGACGATTTCTTTTATGAGTAACGATTTACTTGGGACTACTTGGGCTTGAAGCAACGAAGGTTTACTTGTACATACGCGATACCGGTCTGGATCATGGCGTTGGGTCTATGCATTATCATCTGAGATATCATCTAGTGTTTCCACGGACACATGCACAATAGTCACTTCAATTGGATCTATTTTGTTTGATGGTTGGCCGTAACATTCGGCCCACCACAGTACAGTGATAATTTATTATTTACTACTCAAAGATCGTACAAGTCGTGGAGGATATCGGGGTCAAAAACTGGCAGCATCGGAAGGTTTGGCTAGTCCAGGTCATTGAGGCACACTAATTTCGTATCCCAAGAGAACCTCCGTGGAATTCCCCTCCCAGCCACGGTTCCCACTGGTGGAGATCATGTAGCGGCAGGCGTTGTCAACGTAAAGCTGGGAGATAGTTCCGGTGCGGTGGCCCGGAATGATCAAGAATGGCACCGTCGAGTGTCGGGAAGATTGTTCGTGTCTCAGGTCGTAGAGACGCAGAATATCGTGGGAGGCACTGAAGAGAATTAGAATGGCCACTATCACAGGATAGGAACCGAATCTTACCAGACGAGATGGCGGCCATTCGGCATCGCCTTGAGAGCTGTGACTGGACCGCTGCCCTGAGGAAACTTGAATGTTCGTTCAGATTCCCTGAGGCCTTTGTGGAGGCTGTATTCCTCTACCGTGCCGTTTCTTCGTCCCGCATATATATAGTTTCCATCTGGAGACCAGCATGCATTCATACACCAGGGTGGAACATTGCGAGGGGTAATTCGAGCTACTGGATCGGGCTGTCGTCGATCCCACACTCGAATTGTACCGTCCATAGATGCAGCCAAAAATGTAGTGTCCGACTCCGGCGTCTGCTCTGTCTGTACAGCCTGCGAGATATCATAGCCGGATGACTGGGCTTCCAAGTCTTCAGCCTTTGGAAGTCCATTGACAACGGGTTCAGACGCGTCGGGCGGAATATCCCTCGTCGCGTCTTGTGTCACAACAGATCCATCAGGGTTGGCATTTGTATCTGTGGGTGCGGCCTGCATTTGTGACGCGGAATCAGCCTGTGGCAAGTTGGCATCCATTCCGTCAGTCGCGCCAGCATCGGCGAGAACGCCATTTGCAAGAGCACGGCCAAACTCATCATCTTCGTCGACTCCAAATACGCCTCCAGACGGTTCGTTGCCATCCGCTGCCCCCCCATCTGCATCCCCAAATAAAGAATCTGCGCCTCCAAACAAGGAATCTGTTGGGGAACCCGCCTGCGGGTTCTCAGGGGCGCCTGCTTCTCCAGCATCTTGAGTGGTGTCCATGGCATTGAAGTTGTCCGTACCGGTCGCTTCATAGTTGGACGAGTAGGTACCATTTGTTTGCAAGAAATCAATCGTATCAGATGGAATGGGCAGGGAAGATTCGGGTCGAATTTGCACAGTAGAGATCTGACCAGCGCTTCCCCCAAATGCCCGGCGGGCCTGCCCCGTATTCAAGTCCCAATCGAAAACCCGTTTATCCCAGCTTCCCGACAGCAGAGATTGCTCATCGGAGGTGAGACTCAATGATGAGACAGCCGAGGTATGCTGTCGAAGTAGCGCTATGTCTTTGCCTTCGTCGTGGCGGAGGGTCTGTAATCGGATGGTCCCAGACTCCAAGCCCGCAAGCAGCCACATGCCTTCGCTTTGGCATGCCAACGAGTAGACCGGCGATATATTGTTTCCGTCCATGTTTTCCCAGTAAGTCATGTAGACTCCAGCTTTTACCACGCTATCCACAAAAGGATGGCGTTGCGCGACCGTCAACATGAGCTTACTGTTGATCGAGTCTGCCCAGTTAAACTTGCGCACGTATCCATCTGAGCCTCCACTAAATACCCAGCGCATATCTGCCGTCGCCGTTATGGTGTTGATGGACGTACTATGTGGCGCGGCCGTGGTAGGGACAATGTCGTAGGTCTTGGCTGTGAGGCACTCGGGGCGAACGCTTGGATGGTAGATTGAGAATGACTCTAGTGCGGAGTTCTCTGCATTCCCCGGGGATGTCATGTTTGTGGTGTCTTGGTTGGGCTGAGAAGCTAAACCCGCACCATCTGAAGCCTGGCTGGCATTTGAAGGGCTGTCTGGTTCTTGGTCCTGATCCTGGTCCTGATCTTGATCGCCATCGACATCGGCATCCGGCTCGTTGTCCCCTTCTCCGTCATCTATGCCGCGCATAGCATCTTCCATCTCATTGTCGGAGCTGCCGTCCTGGGAGCCTAGACAACGAAGGCGCATTAGTGGATTTTGTGCGTGGTTTGCGGGGAAGGGGTGTCTGCAGCGGAAGTTGCGACTCACCTGCCAGGTCGCGATCCTCATCCTCCTCAAGCGATGCCATGGCTATGGATTAATGGCAAGAAATGTAGTGGCCCGCCTTTAAATACCGGTCAAATGCACGAAAGGTGAAAACCCTATCCACTGTGATCGGGAAAGAGCTAATCAGGCACCCGGCTCGATGACTCTGGGGTAGTGTCGCGACCGAAGGTGTGGATTTTCGGTCGCAGGCTTCCCGTAGCGCAGTCAAGAACCTCAATTCTGGAACATATGTGGCATGCGCCAGGCAGCGGCGCAGTCAATGGCTTGAATTTTGTCGTAGCTGGGTAGCAGAGCGAAGAAGAGGACGCGAGGGCTGTGGAAAGCGGAAAGGCGTTCGGAGACAATTCCAACGATCGGCGGATGAACTCGCTGGCCAATCAGCGTCCGAGTTCATAGTTCAGCGCAGTGCCGCCTTCACCCTCCCTAAGGAATCATCGTGAACAGCCTTTTCAAGTGCAAATCGATAGTTGTAGTCTACCATGAGTAATGGGAACACTTTCAGGTCCATATCTGTCACAGGTTGGCCCAATTACTCATCAGTTTCATATCGGAACAAAGATCTCAGTTAGGCAGATCTATCTTGGCTACTTCCCATTCAAATGATCAGCGATATCATTGATGCACGGTCGCAATAATATGCCCATGCTTGGTGATGAGCTGCGAACTTACCGGACATGGAGCCCATTCCCTTTTTGTACTTCCTTTTGGTTTCGCTTGAGGCAAGGATCACAATCCAGCATTGGGGACTTGATCTTAGATTAGATCATTGTTCAATTTGCTGCGAAAGTGAGCGACGTAGGCACACCGAAATAAACTAACAACACATTCACGTCAAATCTGTACATTTCATTGTCATAAAATATGTTCAAATCTAGTCACAGTATGTACGAACTGGTAAGATACAGGAATGTCATTAAAATCAGATCATCGTCATGTACTGCTCCAGACTCTGTCCAAGAACATTGATAAAAGGCCACTGAGTGTTCCGTTTGTAAAATCGTGCCCACAACCTGAGAACCGCCATTCCCAAGGCTACCGGTTCCAGATTTTGTGGAGCTTCCGATTCATCCTCTAAATCGATCGACGAGTACGCTTCCTCAACAATGCATTGCGTCCAGCGGAGGATACGACCCTCGTTTTCTGCCAAACATGAATTTAGCATGCTTTCTTGGGGAATATCTAATTGTAGAAACTCACCGCTCAAAGCTTGATCTGGTGCCGCCTCGGCGAGGGTGAAGAGCCACTTGCTGAGCAATACGGCACATTCAAGACTCGCCAGTGAGTGTCTAACACTCCAGAAAAAGGCTTGACTCCGCGCAACGTGATCAATACCAAGACGAACAGGAACACTAAGTGCGTGAGCAGAGTATATGAGAGCTGGAATGAGGCGGTAGCTTCTCTCTGGGTTAGGAGAGCGGTATAAAGCAGATGCTATAGTTGTAGGTTCCCGAGTTTCGAGACGGCGGTATGGTCCGAGGTTCAAGGATAGTCGTACGTAAGCCAGTCCCAAGAGAGCGCTCGACGTGAAAGGAATTGGACCATTAGCATTATGAGGGTCGAGACTTGATTCTGGTGCTTGTTGCCAGACAGAAGTCCAAGAGCGAAGCGCCCGTCTGTGAATATGATTAGCTTATATGATAGAAGCTATGTTTTCGAGGGGTGACTTTTGTCATACTCTATTTTGTTTAATTCTTCCGTGGGTAGGGTGGTTGAGTGATTCCCGTTCGGTAACGAGAGTTCGCTGACAATGTGAATTCGCTGCAGCAGACCATGGAGGAGCATATAGTTACCCAACGGAGCTGGGATCGGCTCCAAGGGTACTGTTGACCGTGACTTCTGGAGTAAGAGAGTCAAGGCATCCTGAAAGAACAATTGCTGAGGCCCACGATCCCGTTGCGCGGCTTCCCATTCGACAGCATTGTTCGCCGTCCATTCCTTTGTAGAGCATGGTAGACGCATATGGATTTCGCTGCTCCGAAGCGATGGATAGACATTGTAAGCAACGCTGTGTATGTGAATGAAGCAGAAGGATATAAGCTTCGTCCGTCGCACGGACTCCTGGTCAGCCCATTCATACCAGTCTTGGGACGTGGCACGAGGATCGATGTATGGCTCAGTTAAACCAGCGTCACGGATGTGTTGAACTAGTTGGGCCTGGATTTGGAAGGCCTCTTGAACGAGTCCAGCTCGTTCCCAGGTCGCATAGCTCATGAGCACAAGAAGACAGCGAATCACTTCCATCTGCCTGGAGGTGCTGATCGCTGCCCTGCTTGCCCCTTGGCCGTCGCCAGAGTACTGGGAGACAGCAAGGGGCGCTGAGTATCCCGTCAGACGAGAGTCTCGTGACATTCTCTCATAAAGAACAGCCTTGGACACGTGAAAGAGTCTTTCTGCGTTTCGATGTTCGAATCGATACTGAGCACCAATTGTCATTATGGCCAGAATAAGTTCTGGAGAACACTCATTGAAGCGGAATGTAGGAATATGTATGAATGGAATGTGTGGATGAAAGCCTTCAAAGTAGGAAGTGAGGTATCGAGTCAACGTATGGCGGGATGGAAGGGTAAAGTCAGGAATGACATTGCGGAAATCTTCCAGGGCTGCGGCAAGTCGGAAGCGTTGGTCCTCCGAAACATTGAACCTAGAAGACTTCGAAGCTTGCGGCGGTTCTAGGAAGTGTCAGCGTCCTCATGTATTCCTGATCTTTGAAAGCACCCTCAAGGCGCCAGCGACATACCCGAGTCAGACAGAGCACCCAAGCTTTGGTCACCTCTGGGGACCGATGGCAGCCATGAGCGGAAAGGAGAGTCTCCCCGCGACTCTTCTCGCAGACTACGTCGAGGTCTCGACTGCTCTTGTGATGATTGAGCGGGCTTCTGTACATCCTCGAGACCGATGTCTGGCTGCATTTGACTGGCTTCTCCATCGCTAGGAAGCCACTCTGCTGGTAAACCAATTGAGTCCAAGAAATGAGTGAACTCTTGGAAGTGATTGAGATCCTCCGGAAGATAGGGTATGGCTGTATCCGTCAGTCGTGATGATAGCCCCATCGTTTGTATAGATTGTCTTACTAGTAGCTTGATAGTCACCTGGGATAAGCAATTGGGCAGCTTGGAGCATAGCGGGATCATGCATGGCCGGATGCTCTCCCGGGACTGGGTTAAGATTAGGGGCTCCTGCAGCCATGATGCTACCAGCCTGATTCTGAGGCATGTAAGGGGAGGGTTCACTTTGTGTGACAGACCACTGGTGTACGGGCGATGGCCCCGGTATCGACGCTACTGGGCGGGCGGCTGCATCATACTGCGGTGGGATGGCTGCAGGTGCAGGTGTCGGGCGCGGGGTTGCTTGGAGAGCCGGCTTCGCCATCGACCCCGGCTGAGAATCGGGCGATGAAAGCCCATCTTGGTGGGAGATGCGAGTATGACGCTTCAGTAGATCGCGTCTAGTAAAAGCCGCCCCACAGAAGCAGATGAACGGCTTCTCTTTAGTGTCTAGCAAATGTGATCAGTTGTCTGGTCCATGACTCCAACCCGGCGGGCTTACGAGTTCGAACATGGCGCTCCAAATGCTCTGTACGACGAAAGGCCCGGCCACAATGGACACAGATACGCGCCTTCGCGCTGCGGCCTACTTTCTGGGGTGATGGGGATGGCATCAGTGACTCCGAGTCCTTTGGAGAAAGGGAAAAAGTGGACATTTGGGGAGGAGTCGAAGAGGAGCAGCTGCGGAGAGGCCGGGGTTACTCCAACGGCCAAGCGGTGACTCCAACTTCCCCACTTTCTGTGCTTATCGGCGGCGAAGTTACCCGTTTGCGATAATCCAGACTCCATAGTTCGTTGGGGGACGCCATAGATCTATTTGCTTAAGGAGAAGACTGTCAAGAGAAAATTTGGATTATTGTACCTACTGCTGCATCAGTGAGGGCAATATACGATAGCTATGCTCACCAAAACACTCTTCCCCGGCGTGGCCGTTGTCACCGGTGCTGGCGGAACTGGTAGGTCATTCTATATGCGGAGCAACGATCATCAGCACATTTCATTAACTCGCTCCATGCTGTTTCACAGGAATCGGAGCTGCAGTTGCGAAGGCTTTCGCGGCTGCGGGATGTGAACGCATAGCCATCACGGATCTGAATGAAACCACTTTGGAGCAGACGAGGAACGCAGTCGCTGTGGCCCATCCTTCCACACGATTATTAGCCCGTTCTGGGAATGTGGCCGATGATCAATTCGCTGATTCATTTATCAATGAAGTTGTTCGGTATTTTGGTCGTGTAGATTATGCGGCGAATTGTGCTGGCGTGCTCGGTCAGCCTCTACGGTCATCGGAAACCAGTCTTGCGGAATTCGACCGCCTGAACAATATCAATTATCGGGGCTGTTGGCTATCATCCCGGGCACAGTTGAGACAGATGGTTAGACAGGATACATTACCAAACCATGATTCTAGTCGACCTCCACAGCGAGGTGCGATAGTGAATGTTGCCAGTCAGCTCGGCATTGTCGGTCGGCCGAGTGCGCGTGAGTATTCGAAACGGGTTGTTATGCCAGATCCGAGGAAGCTAACATTCAACCCAGCGGCATACTGTGCTTCAAAGTCTGCTGTCATTGGTATGACTCGGGCAGATGCGATCGACTACTCTGAAGACGGAATTAGGGTGAACTGTGTTTGCCCAGGTGTCATCGAGACCCCAATGATCATGGAAAAGACTGAAGTTCGCGAAGCTATCACGCCGGCAGCAGAAATGGCCCCGATGAAGAGGATGGGGAAGCCGCAGGAAGTGGCTGATGCAGTACTGTTCCTCTGTTCCACGCAGGCGTCGTTTGTTCAAGGCCACGCTATGGTGGTTGATGGTGGATATGTCACAGTATAGGATAGTCTGGCCAGACCAGTTTAGCAATTGAATTTCATGGAACTATGCAGATCGATTCTTCTCTCCATCTGCATAATGGATAGCCGATCGATTGGGATGTTGCAGCACATTGCAAGGATACTTCCAATAGAGCACCCTCGACAACAAATCAGGTCTATATTCAAGTTTCCGAGTATCGGAGTCTCATTTTATCTCTGTCTATTCTATTTAGTTCGCATTCATCGAAAAAAGCATTTTCTTCCAATCAAAGTGGCTCTCCCACGCATGCCCGACTCGCAAGATCTTCTCTTCTTGCCAGAATCCTCCAACAATCTGCAGGCCGACCGGAAGCATGACGTCCATGTCCTCAGTTGCGGGAGCGAATCCAACGGGAACAGACATAGCTGGATGCCCAGTCACATTGAAGACGGCAGTGTTGATAGTCAAGCCCATACTAGGCTTCAGCGACTCCAGAGGAAGACCCCTTTTCCCATTCTTGGGAGCGACAAATGGAGTAGTAGGCATCACCAGCACATCGTACTTCTCAAAGAGTGCTTCGTATTTGTCACTCAATTGACGGCCAATGTTCGCTGTCTTTCCGTACAGACCGGGGAAGCGAGACATGAGATAGAGTCCATTGACAATAACGTTCTTTGTTGATGGAAAGGCTCTTTGGAATCCTTCGTCGGTCCATGGCAGTCTTGCCTGCTCCATCTCAGTCGTGTAAAGACCTCTTCGCCCAGTATTCCGTCCTAGCAAAGTTTGCGCACCCGCAATGCGTTGTTGAATCGTCCAAATTGCTGGGCCATGGAGATGATCGGGAAGGGAAACCTCCTCTAATGTGGCGCCAAGTTCTTTGAACTTCTTCACTGCCGTCAAAACTGAATGTTTGACACTTGGGCTAACAGCGCTATGCTCGAATCCCTCTTTTAAAACGCCAATTCGCACACCTTCCAGTCTCTTAGAGCTTTCGGTCAGATTTGCTGCAAAAGTAGTCGAGCCTGGCTTGGCACTTCCCAGGGAGCGATCATCGATGCCATCATACCCACTGATAACATCAAGACAGGTTGCGGCCTCGAGCACACTTCGAGTCAATGGCCCTGCGTGGTCATTCATGGAATCGCCACTGCTGATGCCCGTGAACGGAACACGGCCGTAGGTCGGTTTGAGACCAACACCTGGAAACCGTCAGTGGACATATCCCAGTGTGAGAAATTGAGCATGTAAGTCACTCACAGCCGCAGAAAGATGCTGGAACTCGAATACTTCCACCCTGATCACCTCCAATTGTGATATCCACGAACCCGGCCGAAACAAGCGCTGCACCTCCCGAAGTACTACCACCTGCGGAATACCCAGTGGCATGAGGATTTTCGACCGTGCCTTGCGCACTGGTAAACGAAGAGGTCGAATGGCAATAATTCTCACAAGTCGACGTCCCATGGATATCGGCTCCAGCTTCCAACAAACGTGTCACTACCGTGGCATCGGTACTTGGAGTCCATGATGGGATGATGTCGCTGCCCATAAGCTGCGGCACACCCGCCACCGCAATAACATCCTTGAGACTGACGGATTTCCCTTCCAGGATGCCTCCTTTGTTTCCTCTGATGAGGAACTTGTGTGCCCAAGCTTGCCCGAGCACCTGCTCCTCCTTGCTCGGTCGTCGCAAGTTTTGACGAGGGTACTTCGTTTGATCGGGACTCAGTTGATAGTCTGGAAGAGCGGCCACACCTTCAGCGCAGTCATGAACGGCCGCCAGAAGTGTGTGAAAATCGCTTGATTCGGAAGAATCTATCGTTAGCCCAAGGGGTGCAAGGAGAGCCTCAGCATCCCCTGGCTTCACCGGGTTGTTCCTACAGATCAATCCATTAGTACAAAACCCGTATGAATCGACCGTAGACGAAATATGGAAGCGATACTTACTCGGAAATACTGGTAAAAAGGACCGACATGACGCATTGACTATGCCCTGGCAACTTTGGAGACAGAGACTATCAATCTTTTATGCGACAGCAGGTTTGAAGAAATATTTCTAACCCATCGGCATTCTCCGAGATGATCTCCGAGGTGATGAGACCGCTGACATTATCGCTGCAAGCGCGTGGCTCCATCGCCAATGAGACCGTTCAACCTGACCCCAAAACGACTCCAATCGCAGACCCACGCAAGGTCTTGCTTTCTTCTCGAAGGATGGGGATAGGGCTCACTCACCATCGGAGATTGGATGAAGAACATAGGGGGTTTCTTATTGTGGTTACAGGCTTTATGGATCAAGTCTGGAGCGTATGACCGGCGATCATTTCAGTATGTGGTATCGCGACCCCAACGACTCCGGGGAGGGGTAAGCTTCGCCTATCGCGCTTTATCTCCTGAGCCTTATCTCCTTTGCTGTATCTCCTTCCCCGCTTGTGTTGACTCCATACAAAAAGCGACCAAGCCAAACTTTGCAACTTTCCAAAGTTACAATTGCTCTGTTTCAACAAAAATGGGTCCCAAGCGAGTTCTCATCACGTATGGAGTCGACGTTGACGCCGTAGCCGGATGGCTTGGCTCCTATGAAGGCGAAGACTCGCCAAATGACATAAGCCGAGGTGCGTCGTGTCACATCTAGGATGAAGAGTTTACTAACGTGGAGTTAGGGTTTTGGGCGGGCACGGTTGGCACCCGGCGATTGCTCAAGCTCTTCGACAAGTACGACATCAAGACAACATGGTTCATTCCCGGCCATTCGCTGGAGACCTTCCCCGAGGATATGGCTGCAGTACGCGATGCAGGACATGAGATCGGCCTTCATGGCTACTCGCATGAGAACCCAACGGATATGACCATTGAACAGCAGCGAGACGTTCTCGATAAGACATATCGCATGCTGACCGAGTTCGCTGGCAAACCACCCCGCGGGAGCGTCGCCCCTTGGTGGGAGACCAGCCAAGAAGGAGCCCAGCTACTTCTAGACTATGGCATTGAGTACGATCACAGCATGAGCCATGAGGATTGTCAGGCGTACTATCTCCGGACCGGTGATTCTTGGACAAAAATCGATTATAGTCAGAAAGCCGAGACCTGGATGAAGCCGCTTGAACACGGCACGCAAACTGGCCTGGTCGAGATTCCTTCCAACTGGTACATTGACGACTTGCCACCAATGATGTTTATTAAGAAGGCACCCAATAGCCATGGCTTTGTCAATCCACGCGACGTTGAAGATATTTGGCGCGACCATTTTGATTATTTCTACCGCGAGTATGATGAGTTTATCTTTCCGATATCCATCCATCCGGATGTTTCTGGAAGGCCGCATGTTCTTCTGATGCATGAGCGGTAAGTTATCATAGCCATCATTAAGTGATTTGGTACTAATCTTAGGGTGGCAGACTCATTGAACACTTCAAGAAGCACGAAGGAGTTGAGTTTGTGACCATGGAGCAAGTGTGTGACGAGTTCAAAAAGAAGAACCCGGTTCCACCGGGCGCCTTGATGCCTGCTCCGGTAGGAGAAATGCTCAAGAAATGAAGGGGCCCGTAGCATTAGCATTCTTACTAGTAACTAGTTATCTGTGCCTCTCGAATAATGTTATTTTCCATCTTATCTTGTCAATACTTTTTTTCTTATCTTTGTCTCCAACTCAAGCACCTAGACGTCGGCTATTTCTTCAAGGCCTCCAACTCACCTACTCCAACTTGTCACTCCCACTAACCAACCAATCTTTGGAGTGGTAGAGATCCTTTCCCACCGACTTCCTACCCCCTCCGAGAATAAGCTAGCACTCTTTGTACTGCGTGCGCCATTCACGTACTCTCGATATGCTAATTTCTGTCTTATCTCCAGATCGTCCCCCTTCAACCCCGACTCCGGCCAAGACTACCCCAATTACTTATCCCTTCCCCAACTCCTACGTTCCAAGAGCTTCAAACGCCTACCCGTCCACTCAACGCGTCTAACCCTGGTATCAGACAGCATTGAGTTCGTGGGGAATCATAGAGTGGGGCTCGTTATCGCGCTCTAGCAACCCCAGAATACCGAGACCTTGCCCTACGCCGACCACCAGGGAAGATGACAAGGTCCTGCCGGGAAGAGGCCGAATGGGTGAGATAAGTGCGAGTGTTCCTCCTATATAGCCTCTCCGGCTTCTGCCCCGTTGTCAATTTTTCAATTATTTTCTTCCAAGATCTAGTCCACTTTTGCCGGTCAGCCGCCATCTTGCCCTTCGTTATGTCAAGTTCGCACGACGATATCAAGGAGGCTCCCGGCTACACAAACGACACACCTAACATTGAGCTGGAGAAAGCGGAGGTTGAAGATCACCATGAAGTCTTCAAGAGAGGTGAAGGCCAAATTGATTTCCGTACTGTGAGCTGGATTCGGGCGGGGATCATCTTTTTGAAGAGTACGTCCTTATTCTAAGACTATCTCACCTCGAAAAAATCAAACTGACTCTACTTGCTCAACGCAGTCATCTTTGCTACCGGTGTACTCTCCATTCCATCACTGATGTACGAGCTTGGGGCCTTTCCGGGCGCCGTTAACGTCATTGGTTGGACTCTTCTCAATACCTACTGCGCCATCGTGCAAGGCAACTTTCGCAACCGCTACCCCGGCTGCCACTCCATCGCGGATATGGCCCAAGTAGTCGGAGGCCCGATAGTTAAAGAGCTAGTCGGGTTCCTTTTCACGGTCAGCTACGTGATTGTGGCAGCATCGGGGATTATTGGCGTGTCGACTGCTCTCAATGCACTCTCCCTACATTCTATCTGTACCGTCTGGTTCAGTTTCATCGCGACCGTCATCATAGCTGGATGTGCGAGTGTCCGTAAATTTTCGCACATCGGCTGGCTGACCTGGGTCGGCTTTGCCAGTGTGTACATTGCTGTGTTTATCATTGTGTATGATTAATCACCTCCCGAGACTATTGTATTATCTCAGCTAACCCTTATCTAGAATTGGTGTGACAACCCGAGATCGCCCTGCGGCTGCACCACAGACAGGTGATTATGATTTCGGATACCGAGTCATCGGTAACCCCAGCTTTACGACAGGTATCACTGCTGCGGCAACTATCTTCGTGTCAAGCGCCGCAACTTCGGCTTTCTTGCCCGTTATCTCGGAGATGCGCAAGCCCAAGGACTACCCGAAAGCCGTCTATTTCAGCATGACCCTGGTAACCGCATCTTACCTGACATTCAGTCTAGTTATTTATGCATGGTGCGGGAAATGGATCGCATCACCTTCTCTCGGCAGCGCTGGAATAACCGTCAAACGCATCGCGTATGGGATTGCGTTGCCGGGACTAATCATTAGTGGTTGTCTATACGTACACGTCGCGGCCAAGTATCTATTCGTCCGGATTCTGCGCAATTCTCATCACCTGCAGGCAAACACAGTAGTTCACTGGGGTACCTGGCTTAGCTGTACAATTAGCGTGGCAGCTATCTCGTTTATCTTGGCTTGCGCAATTCCTATCTTCAATTACGTGTTGGCGTTGGTAGGTGCATTATGCTTTGCACCGCTGGCTATCAGCCTTCCAGGATGGCTGTGGTTATATAGTCATGGGGGATATTTGAAGGGCAATGTCCTGCAGAAAGCGATGTACGCTGTACATGTCTTACTTGTTTTGTTGGGAGCGTTTATGGCTGTGGGTGGGACTTATGGCGTTATTGTTCAGATTAATCAGGCTTATGCTGACGGGCAGATCTCGTCGGCATTTTCGTGTGCTGATAACAGCGGTTCGAGCTGAAGAGATGGCACTGCATGTAACTATTGAAATGCGATACCACCGAGCAAATCATCGTGAGTGAATGATTACAGTGTTTAAGATGAGCAGTAGTAAAAATCAGGGAGAACAATCCGAGAGGAGACAATATTCAGTCAGGTTTCCCAACGAGCAAGCGGATATCTACTATTCCTCCATATAGCGATGTTAGCAGCCGTAGCAAAATTTGAGCCGGACTCACCGGAAGAAAGCAATCGATTTGCGGAGCGGAGCGAAACTCTATTCTGCACATGCTTTAAGAATGCACCATCTAATCCACATTATCCAGGGTCTCTATATCTTATTATGGCAGTCTCTCGCGCTGGGGCATAATCATATCAGGTGGGTTTACAGCATATCAATTTCAGGTCTTGGTTATGCCAGAATCCGTTCTACGAGTCTATCAAATCACACAGAATACTTCAACACGTCCAGTCTCGATCAGACAGGAATAAAATTCCCAAAAGATACGGCGGATTAAATTGATGCCCTGCCAAGATACTAGATCCCTGCTATATTCGGATTTATAAGACGATGGTGGAACTATCATGCATAATCCCTTACACACTGGTATGAAGGAATATATTCTGTCGCCGCAAATTGGGATAGTCTTCGTTATTTTCTTGATTTTAAGGTAGCATTCTCAGCTGTCTTTATAGTGATATGACAAGTCGGTGGCCCTTTTTTTGGGCGTCCCTTGGTAATTGTAGTGATGTTTCTTGTTAAATAAAGCTTCTTGCTGTCAACATTTCGTTTTCTTCGCCCATAACGCACTTATACACTGATTCACCATATGCCGGTGTCAGGTCGCCCGGAGACTGACTAGGTGTGGTTATATCCGAAGACTGTTCAATAGTTTTCCGTAAGGCGGGGGGCGCCCGCCGACCTACATATTTACCAAGAATCGTTCGACATGTTAACCAGAGGATGGTAATGATGAGTTTAGTCTTCGGGGATTGGCTCGGTTTCGCTTTATAAAAAGTATAGTTGAGCACAAGGCATTTTCTGTGGATAAAGAAGAGGAAAGCTCCAATTTTTAGCGAGATAATATCTCATGGTGGCATTGTCGATTGGATGCTGCAAAGCAGCGTTTAAGGTTGAGCCCCGGACCTTCGTCGGGTCCTATGATTGCCGCTCGGTCTGACCCTGTATGAGGTTGGAAGCTGAGGGTCTAGGCCGTGGACCGACCTGTCTCCCGGCCGGAGATCATAAGGCGACTCCTTCCAACCCCGGACAATTTTTGCTGGACCTATTTTCCGTCCAATCACGTAGAATAGAGTAGAACATAAAATTAGCAGTGCAATTAGCAAACTACATGTCTGATCCAATGAGAGAGAAGGCTTGAACCATGGAAAGTATGGGTTCGCGCTTGGCGCCACATCCTGAATGATCGCCGCGAGACTTTACTCGCTGTGGCACCACACCCCGCATGCATCCCGCAACAATTTCCTTCAGCGAGTACTGGTAATTTTTTTTCACATCACGGGATACCTCAATGGCCCATGGATCTTGGGTTCTTGGCGAGCCATCAACATCATAGCTGAACGACTTTGACCGAACTAAGCCGATAGTAGCTATAGCGAAGCAATGAGCCTGATTTCTCCAAGAAATTTGAGCGGTCGGGAGATATCAACGCACCTATAGGATTCATGCCAAGCTTATAGCCTCTCTAGTCTAGCCCCTGTGCTTCAAGGACCGAGTTCAGCATGGCTGAGAGTTAAATGGCGATGCATGCCCACCGTGAGAATGATGTGTATGTCCAAAATCATGCATGGACATACGCAGCACCTAAGATCATGCAGCATCTTGGAGACAACGTTCCTCAAGGACTAGGGCTGATTGAAAAATCATACATTCCTTTTGATTTGGATTACTTGGAATCTTGTGGCTCTAATAATAACAAGGCTTGCGATGACCAAAGCCTTTGTAATGATCTGCAAAACTGTGTGCCCGCGTCCATGAACTTATCGAATAACGGGGGTTTTCCTTTCGTTTGTAACAATGTAAGTGGCATCCAACGTCCTTGTTTTGAAACATCGAGCTGAAATGGTTATCTAGGAAATAATCTATGATGAATATTCGGTTATGCCAGAGCACCCTTGGTGTCCTGCAGCTGCACCGCCGATCATTAAAACCCCGGAGCTGTCTGACGGCTCCCAGGGTACGCACAACAGTGCGGAAGTATACCAGGAGTCGCAAAGTCTATCCCCAAATTCTATTGATTTATTGACTCCTACTCCGGAAGATGAATGCAATCCAGAGGAATCACCCGAATCCGGGCTCACCTGTAAAGCCATGACCCGAAGACAAAAGATCAGACACAGTCAGAGCGAAAGACGGTACCGTCGAAAGCTCGAGGCCAGGTTTTCACAACTTGAAGATGTCGTGAGCCAGTGCCACGATGAAAACAGCAAGGCTGGCTGCAAGACGTCCAAAAGGCTGCAGAGAGTGCAATTACTCGGGATGGCTCGTCTGAATATTTTGGAACTTCAAAGGGAAGTCATGTCTTTGAAGAGGAAGCTGCAGATTCTACGTGAGGCTACTATGCCCGATACCTGCAGATTCACGCTCCAGTCTGAGGCGACCTAACATTTGGAGTTTTTATTCGCTTGATCTGTCATGTTGTGAGATGATATGAAAATATTGCTCTAAGTCACTGCCCTGCTTATGTCTTTTATACACTAGTAGGCTCTGGTATCTGTCGGCTAGTGGCTCCAGTGGTGTGCTGGCACTGCCCTAATCAGGACTCTAATGAGGCAGTATCGGGCTGAAATAAGTAATTCCGACCCTCCACCCAGAAGAGACATTTCAAGCTTTTATTCACCACGGTGCATTTATGCTGGCAAATTAGCGAACCTGAAGGGAATAAATGCCTAGATGCAGTTCATGGGGCAGATGAAATTGTAGATTCATACAATAACCCTGAGTGAATGAGGATCTATTAAAGGAACAGTAAGTGTGGAAAGGATGTATATATCTGGAACAGGTTCAGACTATCTAATCCATGTTGTAAATTTTCAAAGATCTTAACTAGTTATTCCTTTCTCGTGAAGCTCAGTAGAGAAGTTGAACCGTTTACCTCCAGTGCAGCTGACCAGTCAATAGTAGAAACTAGCATATGACCCAGTAATCTTCAGTCCATAGCAGTGGCGTAATTACTTTCGTCGCCGGTGGAAAATCAACAAAGAGTCGGGCTCTAGACTATCCACAGAGTGTCGCGGTGATGTCGGTATTTGACGTAGAAATGATGCTCGGCGTGGATTCGTGAATACAGTTGCGGCTGTGGTGTCCAATTGCTACGGTGATTAATTTCCGGATAACACGAAAGATCGTGATCACGCCACGCAGTTATGGCCCTGTTGGATTAACTTGCGTACGGTACAAATGGATTACCTGAATTGGAAGAGTCGCCACCACCAAACACCTTGATCTTACCCATCACCACATCAACACGTCAACACCATAATAACTACCATTCTGGCTTAATTCGATCATAAACCCGGATTCATTTGAACGAGCTGTGAGACCCACTCCTTGTACTGCTAGGACCTATCTTAGTGATCCTACAACTTTTTGGGAAAAAAAGGTTTATCTAGCTTCCCAGTACCTTATCGAACGAAATGCCCTTGGAAGGTCTGCCTGGTATGGACTATGTCTCAAAACGATTTATGCAAAGAGTAAATCTTGAGGCTCGAAGGTACGGCAATGCCAATCACCTTCTCCGAGATCGTTAGCGTACTCGTAAACTCCGGGCTGACCAAGGCGCCAAGCCCGCCGGGGCCCGCGATGAGTGCCGCCGAATCCGATCGTGGCAGTCCTTATCTTTCTTTCTTTCTTATACATTTACCCCTCACACCTTCTCCTTTTTCGAATCTCTCTCTCTCCCTTTCATATCTCACATTGAGTCCATCTCAATATCACATCTACAACTCTCACCCAGTGATGTAGCACCGCCTCATCCGCTTATCAGTCCTTGTTATCAGTACGAGTATTCCTACGGCCGTACTACTATAGTGCCACAACATCGCAAACACAAAATGCTCCTCGCACGACTCTCTCTGGCTCTGGCATTTACCAGCCTAGTCACAGCTGCAGCTATACCATCCCAGCCAGGGCTCCAAGAAATCGGCCTTGCCAAAGAAGCAGAATCCTTATCGTCCCGAGACGCGTCATGGTCCCCGACCATCCAGTCAGTCTCCAGGAATGACAAAGACAACCACAACCACCCGAATAAACGAACCCCTTATTACTTCCCCGAAACTGTCCCTGACGCTGATGAAGTCACCGACCGGTCGACCGCGATGGGAGAAGCAGGCCTCCTCGCCAGCGAGCATGGCCAAACCTCAAAGTCACCCGAATCTCCGGATGCAGTGATCGACACCCCCCGTGCACGGATGATCCCCATTCGGGATCTGATGTCCGAATTGGACCGTTTGGAAACGACGCAGTCCGTCTGGGAAATGCTGCCCTCTCTCCTCCCGCCATTCCGCTTCTTTGTGATCGCAAGCTCGATCATCGCTCTGCTCACTGTCATCAGGGGCTGTCTGCGTGCTCGACGCTGAAGTCGTTTGCGGGAACATCGTGCTGGTCTTACACATTATGATGCGGCCCCGCAACAACCACTTCCACTTATTTTCCTCGGCAGCGCTCTTTTATGCACTGCGAAATGGTAAAACCCACTCCTTATGCCGAGCTATTTCCTGGAGACTGGATCCAGCATGTCCCCACCCACCGCGCTAAACCCTTCGGGTAGCGCCCCCCCCTGGGTCGACTTAAAGCTCCCAGTGATCACACGTGCATGGTGCTATGGCATGCCACTGGGGAAGAGCGACGCAGGGCTCTCTCAACACGAACAGGGGTTTCTCAGAGCAGCGACAATTACTCGAATCGAACTCGGTTCTCATCCAAATCGATCCATCGACTGTTCTTATTCGCTCCTGTCCAGGCACTCAGGGTCCCCGAGTCTCACACCTTAGCTCGGGTTCATGCCATGGACCCCGTGTTCGCGGTGCACAATCTGCCATGGGCGACAACGTGATCCTGTGAGTTGGGGTCGTGTTTCACTGGTTGGCTGGTCGCCATGCCTCAACGAGGGGCATTCGCGGGTCACCTTCAAACTTAAACGAGACCGTGGCTTGAGCTTGGCGTTCCCATAAACTATCATCCTGCCCCAATTCTGCGCTGCTGATCGGCTCGTTACTCCCTGGTTGATTTGGGTTAGTTATCGGTGAATGTATTTTGGTTGTATAACACGAAGGGATGAGAGAGAACATGACAGGAAAATCAGGATCATTCCTTCACATAACCTCGCATCAAGTTGGATTCTTCAAAAGGCAGAAGGTTAAAACCAAACACTTCTCAGTCTATTGTATCTAGCGCCATCTTTACGGAGCTACGGAGCTAGCAGGTTGTACAATCTATGAAGATAAGCACATTCTATTAACCAATCACTTTCCATTTTCTATCCACGCTAGAGACACCTCCAATGCCAATAGTATTTCCTCCAACACACCCGAGCCAGAACACGGGCTTAGACGATGGAAGGTATGACATCTCATAAGCACGGTGACAAGAAGAATGATCGACATCCAAGAGAAACAAAAGTCAAACAATGCGGACAGTGATGAACGGATTCGCGGGGGAAATGCATACCCATGACGCCGCAAAACCATAAAAATGGCTAGATAACAATGAATAGTACACGGATGCTGCCCAGAGAGACCAGGACCGAAAAGAAGGAAAAAAAAAAAATGGAAAGCAGAAAAAATTACACGAAACCGTTTCTTGCAGGACAGCTCGCGAAAGAGCGAGGAGGGATAGGAGCATGCACAAGAGGGCGAATCGGGAAAAAATGATAATTATGTACCGAGAGGGGTTGTTGGACTGGTAGGTAGGAAATGGGAGGATGTTTGTTTAAGAATCATCCACCAGTCGTTTTTGAGACCAGGCGCGCTTAGCACCGTCTAGTAGAACCTCCATGTTCCCGCTGTTATCACACATACCGCGGAACATGCCGTCTTCCTTGTTGATCAGAGTCCAGGGGTGATCGAACTCGATGACGCGGCCGTGATCGAGGACGAGGACCTTGTCGTAGTCGATGATGGTTTGCAGACGATGCGCGATAGTGATGATCGTGCTATCGCGCAGTTCCCGCAGAGTCTCTTGGATCTTGGAGTCGGTGGCGTAGTCGATTGAGGCGGTAGCTTCGTCCATCATCAGAACCCGGGGCTTCTTGAGAAGAGCACGTGCCAGGCACAGGAGCTGTCGCTGACCCTGGGACAGGTTGGAGCCGGACTCAGAAACTAGACTGTCCAAGTTGTGGAAGACGTTTTTGTTGTCGGCGACAGACGCGGTGCTACCGTTCATACCATTGGCTTCGACAGCCGTGATCGAGCTCATTGGGGTTGCAGTGCCAGAGGTACTGGAGCCGATGAGATGGACCCGACGAAGGGCTGTGAAGATCTCCTCGTCGCTGAAAAGGCCGAAGGGATCGAGATTACTGCGAATAGTACCAGTGAACAAAGTGGGATCCTGTGGCACAATGGTAATAGCCTCACGCAGATCGCGAAGGCCGATAGATCCAATGTTGACACCATCGATCATGATCTGACCCTTCTCGGCTTCCAAGCCGCGGAAGAGAGCGAGAGCGAGGGAACTCTTGCCAGCACCAGTGCGGCCGACAATACCCACTTTCTCGCCGGGCCTCACAGAGAAAGACACCTCCTTCAGCACGGGATCCAGATCAGGACGATAGCGTGTGGTATAGCCGTTGAACTCGACAGCGCCTTGGGTGGGCCAGTTGGTCTCTGGCCGAGACTCGGGGATGATGGCAGCAGCTTCCTGATCAACTTCGAGATACTCGCGGACACGCTCAACCGAGTTCATGTTCTGCTGGACCTCCGAGTAGAGACGAACAAGCCAGAGGACATTCTCAGTGAAGGTAACAGCATAGGTCAGAGATAAACCAGCAGCACCGGCATCAATCTTGCCGACATTGATCAAGACAAAAGTAGCAGAGAAGAATGCCACCAAGGCACCAGTCCAGTCCACACGAAGAGCGAGCCAACGGTTGCTAGCCCACAGATAAATGTGTGGCCGGTTGTAGGCGTTGATACGGCGGTGATTATCGACAATGAACCGAGGACCATCGCCATAAGCACGAATAGTGACGATACCATTCAGGGTCTCGCCAAATTGCTGATACAATGGACTGCGCTGAACCGATTCCAGACGCTTGAGATCTCGAGAAGAATTCAAGTAGACGGCACCGAGAGCGGTGTACACCAGTGTGATGAAAATACCCGCGATTAAGAAGCCAGGCGTGATGACAGAGATCAGAATGACAATCATGATGACCGATGCTAAGCTATGAAGCATGCCGATAGCCACGGGCGCGACCTCCTGGTCGACCGACTCGACATCTTTGGAGAAACGATTCATGAGCTGACCAAGCGGAGTAGAGTCGAAGAAACGGAACTTGGCGTGCATCACGGCCCTGAGAAGATTGTCATGGATCTTCCAGGAGGCTTGCAGAGAACCCCAGAAAAGGACAGCCTCGCGAGACAGGGAAATGAGAATGTACAAGACACCCAGGAGCGCATAAACGCCCAAGTAGTATCCCACATTGACTTGTCCATCATCAGTGACAGGGCCAAAGGATCGCGAGCCGAGCTGAGGTGCACCCCAGGTGCTCATCTTCGAGACGCTACCCACGTTGAAAGTGGGCGGCTTGAGATGAGCAACGGCAGCGTAGCTACCAACATCACCATCGGCGTTCAGGTTTGACGTGCGATACGAGTTGGCCCACTGACGAATCCAGATGTTGGTCGAGACCGAGCCGAGCTGTTGCATGCAGAATACGGAAACAGCCAAAACCCAGTATTGCCAAGAGCCCATAGACCGCAGGTACATGATGACAGTCGACCACTTGATACTTCCAGTAGCCTTGCCTTCCGTCAGGCGTGACTTTTCGTCCTTGTCCTTTTGCGACTTGTCGGCAGTACCGTTGGCGTTTCCATTAGCCGCAGCGGGATTCACGTCCGCCGCGTCGTCTTCATGTTGCGAAGGTACGCGGGACAGACCACGGGAGCTAACACGGGAAGCAGGTTGGGACTTGAAGAACTCTTCGCCGAGGGCGCCACTAGATGCAACTTCGTCGGGCTTGCCCTGTGCAGTAACCTTTCCATTCTCGAGAACGACAACGTGGTCAGCCTGAGGCACGGTCAGAGCAACGTTGTGGGTCACCAGAACACATGTGCGGTTCAACATGAGCGGGCCAGTCAAGGCTTGACGGAAGATGTGCTTCGCCGTGTGCGAGTCAACCGCGGAGAGACAGTCATCTAACAACAAGTGGCGAGCACTGCTGTAGACAGCACGAGCCAGGGAGATACGCTGCTTCTGACCACCGGACAAACTGATACCCTTTTCTCCAACAAGGGTTTGGTCACCGGCATCAAGGATCTCAATGTCGCGTTCGAGGGCACAAGCCTTGAGCACGGCACGGTAGCGCTTTTCATCGTACGGAGAGGCGAAGATGATGTTCTCCTTGACAGTGTCGTTGACCAACCAAGCTTCCTGGGCGCAGTACGCAACACTGTCAATAAGACCAGTCTCGGGGTCAACGGGAAGTTCGGCACGGCTAGCCATGCCTCCGGGAAGATGAACACGACCTTCCACAAGACGCATTTCACCAAGCAGAGCCATGAGCAACGAGGTCTTTCCAGAGCCCGTAGGTCCGGCGATAATGCTCAGACGACCCACTGGGAAATTGACATTCACATTGATGAGGCGGAAAGCATCAGCGCCGCTATCCGAGGACGAAGTGGCTTGAGGACGAGGACTGGTAGTTCCCCAGGTGAGGGTTGCCTGCTCCAGTCCGATCTGAGAAGGTCCATCCGCGACACTGCTTTCACGCAGCTGGTCGTATTTCCCGGTCTCGTCCTCGTTCAGATACTGATCCACACGATCCAGAGAGACCTTCGACTCCTGAACGTGGGCTACCATGTCGGCCAGTTGATCCAAGGGAACACGCAGAAGAGAGAACATTGACAAGGCAGGGAAAGCAATCGAGGGGGTCAATTGCTTCTTCTCTACGACGGTATATAGGAAGAATGACAGGAAAGTGATCAGAATCGGCGTTCCATACCACACCGTCGCAGCACAAGACCATAAGATATAACGACGACGTAGGGACTTGAGCTCTGCCTTGCGCTTTTCGTTGACAATGTCTTGGAATCGTTGCTCCCAGGCAAAGTACTTGATGATGCGAATGTTCTGGAGAACTTCGTTGGTTGCGTGGATACGAGCATCAGTACCCTTGAGGATAGCGTTCTGGACCTTGTTGAATTGACGGGCGATAAAGAGGTTGACGGGTAGCATCAATGCCATCAATGCGATACCAGCGAAAGAGCTGAAACCCATAATCTTGTAGAGCAAGGTGACGGCCATTATAATTTGCACGGGAACACTGGCCCAGAGGAAATGCAGATAGGCACCAACCTCACTGACCTTGAAAGAATCAATTGCCATCAAGTTAATGATAGTACCAACATTTGCCTGACCGGCAGCATCATCCAGATCCGACCCGACAGGTTTTGCCGTCCCAGTTTCAGCTTCGGCTTCATCTCCGTTTGTGGTTGACTTCTTCTTTCGGCCAAACGAAAGCAATCCTTTCTTCTTAGGTTTTATATCCTTGGAGGCATTCGAGTCCTCCAAGGCCTTCTTCGCCGCGTCCGTAGCAGCACCGGCCTTGCGTCGAAGAGCCTTGGCATAAATTTCTCCAATAATGATGGCGCGGATCCGAACGCCCATCTTGCGGCCGATCCACAGGGCCTGGCCATCTGCAACACCTTGAATAATAGCAGAGAAGAACAGGAGGATCGCGTAGAGCCAGGCAGCATTCGGGGTTGTTGAACGGGGATCTTCGACATATTCGAGGATAGCCTTGAGGAGGAGACTCGGCACGAAAACGAAGAGGTTGGCGAAAATAGTCCAAGCACCCTGTTTCAAAATGGTTCCAATAAAGAAGCGGATGAGCTTCCAGGCCAACGAGCCCTTCATCTGCCGTTTTCTAAAATCGGTAAGGACTGCCGCGGCCTTCTGAGAGGGAGTCAGATTCCACACGTCCTCCAGTTCGAGGGGCTGACGGTATCCCTTCATAACCAGCGAATCCAACCATGAAAAGGTCGCAAGAGACAGCAAACTGGCCATCGGGTGACGTGGGGGTTCCAATCCATCCTCGCGCTCCACTAGTACGGGCTTGTTACCTCGGCGAGTGGTGAGAGACAGTAACAAAAGAAAGGTACTGAGGCCAAACTCGATGCTGCTAAGAATCAAGGCACGTCGAGATATAGGATGAATGACCGCCGATCGGAAGACCATGACATTGAAAAGCCACTGAGCACCGTACAGAACGGCCGTATGCGTCCACAGCCTCGGGGCGGAGAATAGATCCATGCTAGACAACAGTAGTCGGACCAAGACCAAGAAAAGTATATAGCCCCACGAGATCAGACCTGCCGTCGCGGGAAGAGCTCCGTGACGGCCCCAGCCGTGGGTGGTGAGAATGACTGCGTAAAGCACAACCTGACCGACGAGCGCAGCGATTTCAAGGGCAACGACGGCAATCTCGCCCCGCGGGCGGTCGACCTCGAGTTCGACTTGCTCGCTCTGCACGGCCTGTTGGAGCATAGGGTCCGATTCGGTTTCCGCGGCATCGGGAACATTTTCGTCATCGGAGGTATCGTTAGGAAGAACCTTGTAGGCGACGCCTTTTCGAGCGGTGGCATAGCGATAAGTCAGGTGGAGAACGATTACGAGCAGGGATAAGGCGCATGCAGCCAGCGGCAGCGAAACTTGTAGGACGCTGTTATCAGATTGAGGCGATCAGCAAAACAGGACTGGGTATGACGAAGCAGGCCAACGGTCGGCAGGCAGGTCCAGTCGCACAGCGGCCAGGAAAGAAACGGTCAAACTCACTTGCGCTGGAAGCAATGCGACAGGTCGTCGATGGCCCAAACGGGGCCCTGGCATTGCGGGAGCATGATTTGCTGGGAGGAATGAAGGGGGTTAAGCAACGAAGGGAGCTCCCGACCAACGTCACAGAGATCGATCAACGGCTTGTGGCGGCGACCAGCGATAAGGATACGGGCAATGCGACCGGGATATGAACAAAATTTCAAGTCGGGAAAACCTCCACCCCTATAGATTAGCGACAATCCTTCACGAGCAGGCAGGACTGGACTGGCATCGCAAATCTGAGCGAAACCGGAAATGCAGCGTTTTCGAGGAGGCCCTCTAGGTGCCGAGGGCCGTTGCAAGGCCTTGGGAGTGAGAGGTGGGACCGCAGGCGGATCAGAGTTGCTGAAGAGCTGCAGGACAGAGGTCGAAGAGTGGAATCTCGGAGGGGTGAAGAGTAGCAAAAAAACGAGAGGCGAGGCGTGAGATATAATGGGAGTGGAGGAGCAAGGATTGGCGGTAGTCGACTGAAGTTTCGCCTTTTGGAGGTTCGGGATGGGATCCAGCCGTGGTCTCTTCCCCCACCCAAAGCGGCGGATTTTCCAGAGGGTCAACCCGCCCGGTTAGTCACTTTAGTCCTTCTTTAGTCACTGGGACTGGCCTCTGGAAACGAGCCACCACGAGTGGAGTGAGGTGTCATTGGCCTCCCAAACCCAGGAGAAACTAGCTAATTATGATGAAGATGATTCTAATGGGAAATTTCAATCGCAATATTTTGACTCTATATGTTTATTGTCTGCACTGGGAGCTATAGGTTGTCATGCTAGTGACTAGGGTTCGAGGATTTGATTCTCATACTGGCACTCATACTGGCACTCATACTGGCACTCATACCTACGGTCCTTCATGCACAACGTAATAGCCAACTCGGTCCATGGAACCACCCATGGTTGCTTAACACGATCCCATTATACAGTGGAACACCCTCTAGCAACGAGTTTTTTCCTCTTTGGGACGCCGGGCTTTCCCCTCAACCTCGTATCAGTAGAGTCGGGGCCTCGAGGTATTTAGTGAGTATGACTATAGCACTTTGCCGCCTAGCAGATAGTATCCCGTGTTCCTCCTCCGTACTACGCTGTGAATAGCGTGCTAGTACCTTTATGGACCCCGTCAGATCGCTCCCATGACTTAGATTGACCATTTACCCTATTTATTTCATTTCGGAATACTAGCAGAGCTCCCCAGATCAGATAAAGGCTCATTTCCCATCATTCTCGTCAACCTACAGACACGGAAACCTGCAAAAATCGGACCAAGGACTCGATCTGTTTGCAGGTTGCCGATCGCTATCGCGCCTTATCAGCAAACCACTTTGGTCTCCACTGTTTATCGGCCGCCCTTTTGACTATGGCCGACGCTACTCCGTACCTGCAAGATGGGGTCGGGGCCTGATCTTTGCCAGGCGATGGGATCTCAGGTACATTCTGCCTAACCTCGGACATGTAGTCTAATCGTCAAACTCCTAATACACTCTGAGATGGTCGGAGAACTCCTTTGTAATACTTGAAAATTTTCGCCGGCTTTCTTCGCCACGTGAAAGAATTGCCACGCGGACGAGCTGACTTTCACGCCCCGACTTCATCATCGCTCCACCTCCGCTGCCCGTTCTCCGCCCCTTCTCTCGACCCTCACTCTCCACCGTCACCTCTTCGACCCCTCGCACTCACTCGACTGCTCGGCATTACGCACCGATCGGTTCAGTCACTCGACTTGCCATCATTCCATCTCCCATAGCCAGGCCTTCCTCCAAAATGGCCGAGCGGATCCTCATGAACGAGTTCCGCACCCTGTCGCGTGAGAAATGGGTGAACATCGAGGTAGGTCCTACTATGCTCGGAGACTGAGATCGGATCGCTAATCGGTGACCACTGCGATAGCTGCACAAGGATGACATCTTTAAGTGGGACGTTGCCCTGATTGTGCTCAACGAGGATTCGGTCTACTACGGCGGCTATTTCAAGGCCCGAATGACCTTTCCGAAGAACTACCCCTACGCCCCTCCAGGTACGCACCACCATGTTTGCTACGATCACAAACTCCACTTCCTCCCGACCGCGCCTCACAAACTCGTCACTTCACTTCTCTTTCTCTGTCATTCGCTCCCTGACTCTAACCCGCTGTTCTCGACCTCTAGAATTCCGCTTCCTGCAGCCTCTCTGCCACCCGAACATCTACAACGATGGTCGTCTCTGCATCTCCATACTCCACCCACCAGGCGAGGATGAAATGTCCGGTGAATCTGCCGCAGAGCGCTGGTCCCCCGCTCAACGCGTCGAGTCCGTCCTAATCTCCATCCTGTCGCTCCTCGACGATGCCGAATGCTCCTCCCCCGCCAACGTCGACGCAGCCGTGATGTTTCGCACCAATCTCACACAATACCGATCCATCGTGAAGGCCCAGGTCGAAGCATCCAAGGCAAACAGGCCTCCAGGCTTCGTGATGCCGGTCACTGAGACCGTAACCATCCCGGAGGTCGAGAAGGAGGAGCCCGATTTCTGGGCTGATTCGGACGTCGACAGCGATGTGTTTGGGGGTAGTGACTCCGACGAAGATCTTGACATGGACCAGTTCTCCGGCAGTGATGAGGACGAGGACGATGATGAGCAGCAGGACATGGACGAGGACTAGGGCCCAGGTGAGCGTCGATCGCCAACCATGCTGCTGGCAGCCACCACTTTCGGGCGTGACGTATCTCTCGCGAACTCTTAGTATCTTTTTTTTTCTTAGCATAGCATAGCATTTCTGTGGCGCGCATCGGCATGGTTCGGGCATTTCCGCCTATGTTTTTTTTCAATTTTCATCTTTGCATGTTTAGGTTCGTTTTCCCTCGGTGTCTCTGCATTTCATGGGATATGAGGTGTTCAGTGGCGCGCTCATGACAAGATCTTGTTTCCTATCCCAACAGACCAATATATTCTTCTCTTTTATACCTAAGACCAAAATTGCGAGGGATTGTTCCATTTAAACACCCTAATTTCAAACCAGCAATATTCCCCTCACCAGGATGTCCGAGATTCACCTTACCCATCTCCCCCACTCGCTCTTAACTCTGAACTGCACTATCTACGGCGGACTATAGGGGGGAGAAGGCCATAACCCTGGATTTCTTCAAAGACCATTCATCGCTTTTCTTCCACCCTAAATACGTTTTATGCTTACTACATCGCTATAAGATCAACGTAGAGATTAACTAGCAAACCAACTAAAAACCGACTAAAAACTGTCTAGGAAACTGCCTAGGAAACTGCCTAGGAAACCGCCTAGGAAACCGTCTAGGAAACCGTCTAGGAAACCGTCTAGGAAACCGTCTAGGAAACCGTCTAGGAAACCGTCTAGGAAACCGTCTAGGAAACCGTCTAGGAAACCGTCTAGGAAACCGTCTAGGAAACCGTCTAGGAAACCGTCTAGGAAACCGTCTAGGAAACCGTCTAGGAAACCGTCTAGGAAACTACCTAAGAGATTATACTTATAAACCGCCTCCTTAGGCGGATTAATCTAAGGACTAATTTAATATTACCACCGCCGAGGACTCGATTATGATCTAAATTAAAATTATAAGATAATAATTCTTTATAGGCCTTAAGGCGTAGATATCCCTCTATCTAAGTTACGATCGTAATAATCTATAGGATTAGGTAAAGAAGTTAGGCCGTAAGAGAATTCAACATCAGAGTACGGATTATATCTACATTTTAGCTCTAGTTATCTCATTAGTCAGTTAATCTAGATCAACCTCAATCGTTTTAGTGCGGGAAATCGCACTTAACAAAGGGTATAAGGATATACATAGCTTATATAGGGGAGGAAAATGCCTGAAAATGAGAATCTGCCCATTCTCAAATTACGGACAAATGGTTATGGCCTTCTCCCACACACCATGGACGTCCCTCAGTCCAACTCGAACGCGTCTCAGACTTCAGCGTCTGAGCTCCCATCTTCGGGGTTCTCGTCAGTTGAGCCCGAACCTCTGGATCCTTTCGCACAATCGGCGAAGGATTTGACGCAGCAGCCTTTCAAAACGCTTCAAAGCTTTCGAAAGGCCTTAGAACGTCGCCATCAAGAGCTTCTAAACAACCAAACTCGGGATCAGTACCTCGTCTTCACCTCTGTTCCCCGGCGCAGGCTTCTAGACTAAGTGAGAAAGGGTCGCGAACAAGAAAGTACTGTCAAATCTGTTTCAACGACATCTTCGCCGTGTCGGACACTCTGGAATAACATATTGATAGGCTACACCAGCTTTTTGCCAAGCTACAAGAATTCAATATTACGCTTGATCCAGAAAAGGTCCGTCTCGGCTTCCCAAGCTTGACCCTCCTCGGTAAAGATATCGACTCGCTGGGAATGACCACCACTGAAGAAAAGGTGAAGGCCATCCGCTCACTCACCAGAAACGGGAATTTTGATGGTCAAATTTATACCGACGACTGTAATCGAACTTACAATAAGATCATTTGATCAGCTGATCACGTTCGAGCTCTACGCAATGAACCTCCTTCATCATATAGACCCCCTAGGTTCGGCAACAACTACGGTTGGGAATTGGAAAAAGGAGGCTGATTGTAACTAGCTGGGGTCCGGTTTCGACGAATGCAGGGCCGAGTTTTGTGGTTGAAGTAGGATTATCAAAGTCTGCACAACATCTTGCGCTTGCTACGCATGGTTGGCTCGAAACTCCCTCCTCATCGGTGCACCTTGCGATCACAATCAACATTGCACGCGAGAACCCTGAGATTGTGCTGCACCGTTGGGAACTTACTCCCCGAAGATATGGTGTGCGTACAAGGTCCTCGCCTCCTTCCGCGTGTCGTACCGCATCAATCAGAGTATCTCGAACGAATAACGCAACATCTGTCGCCGGAGAGATCTACGTGAACGGCACAGCTACGTCTACTCGACAGCTTGATCTACCCTTTGCCAAGATTACTGGTCGCAATCCTCAGCAGCCCTTGGAGAGGGACTTAATGATATCCGAGCAAGCGCTGCAAAACTTTGCCGAGGGTATATGGCGTCGACAGGGACTTCTATAATGAGCGGCCCGCTTCCTCAGAATTGTTCAGGCAATGAGAGATAGATTGAGGAAGATGGGAATTCGCGTACTTAGGAAAATGTTTATCCGTCTTCACTGTGCAATGTTACATATTGTAAACGTTTCTACGCCCTAGTTCTCAGTAAAGATGGTCGCGAACTGTGACGTAGACTGCTGAGTATAGAATGTCGCTTTCACGTGTAGGTATAATCCTCTAGAACGCCTTTTCCGTCTAGAGCGGCTACCACTGACCTGAGGGTTGTGGGTATTCGAGAGAAGATTGAGGTTGAAGTTGGGATGTGGAATCGAGGACGGTGCATGTTGAGCATACTGTGGGCAGTTTGGAGCAGCCTATGACGGATGAGCAGTTGACAGAGAAGTTTATGGATTAGTGCTTGCCGGTTTTGGGCCAGGAGAGGGCAGAGAAAGCGAGCCGGTGGTGTTGGGGGTTGGAGAAGCTCCTTGGTGTGCGTTGCATCCAGGATGTACAGTAGTTGAGGAAACACTGGGGATTGATAGAAAGCGAGGTAAAGAGATAACGGCATATATATCTTGGATGGCATTAACGACACGACAGAAAAGTTCATGGAACGAAAAGGCTAGTCCTAACCAGGAGCGCCACCCCTTCAATACAGAATGCTACATGCGAAATTTACAAAATACTGGTAGATTCCTTATGTATGTATAAGCCTATATCTTAGAAAAACCATATAAAAGACTATAGAAAAGACTATAGAAAAGACCGTAGAAAAGACCATAGATAGATAGAGGTCGCGTATACAGTCGCTAAAAATATTAACGAGAAGTATTAATATGAATTATACATAATGACTCGGTAGGTATTTTGTGATTTCGAATGTAGCATTTTGTATTGAAAGGGGGGTTTCCTCCATAGGACTAGCCTCGTCGTGCCATGAACTTTTCTGTCGTGTCGTTAATGTCACCCTATATCTTGGGGAGGAACTATAGAGAGCAGGATGGGGTCCCAGTCAAGATACTAACTACAGAGCCCTTGTCAGTCCTAGATACTAAATGATAGATGGGATAATGATCGCCGGATAAAAATTGACCGGATAGTCGCCTGCTACAACTCGCCAAATTAGCCGATTACACCCTATCTCAAGGGGCGTTTACACGAGTGGTGAGAATTGACGAATCTGTCCCGAAGCATCCCACTTTTCTAAAACCGAGGCACGCACGCAGTAGACAAGGGAGATATGCCACGCTAATACTTTCTCCGCATTTTGGACCACGGACAGATGGTAATTCTCCGAAGTTTTGCCATGCTGGAACTGTATCTCCGCAAGGCTAAAAAAACCTTACGATCCGTCAGGACAACTGAGACTTCTCATGTCCTTGCTATTGAGTTCATTCAATTTTTTTCTTAGCATCACTATCGTACGATTTGCAATTTTCTGTATTTGTGCCATGACGCAATAGTGCTGGTAGCCAGCAATATCGAGCCTCGTGTCGGGGACGGTATGCAAGGCTTCACAAAGCCAAGGCGCTAACAAGTAGGCGGTTTGGACGACGGCCTATTTGCCGGGTAATTAAGTTCCACCACCAACCCGCCTCCCATCGCCACTGAGGCCTTAATTGTGGGCTTCCAAGGTCGTGCTCACGTATATGTATGAGACCCTGGCCATGGCGCCGGGCTGGCGTAAAGATGGCCGGGTCAATATCCCAATCGAGAAGATATTTGATCGAGATGTGGGAGTCACGGGGTGCAGGTAAAGACGAGGAATATGGTACATCGAAATCGGCAGATAACCTATGCAAGACGCTAGTAACTCTGTTAGTCAAGCCCCACGAATATCTCACCACGGAAGGATCAAGTCAGCCTGGTCAGATAATGTTCTGCACCAAGTGAATGGTGCCAAATATCTCAAAAGGCAAGGTATTCGAGCCACCCTAGCTGACTTTGAATGCTCATCTCAACGTGTGACCTTCCTGGCAAGGGAGATTCTTACAACCTCGGGCCTACTGCGGGGCACGATACTCTCTTGAAAGTTGTGCTACTACGGATATCACGACAAATTCGGCATGGTTCAACCCTATGATCTGGACACTTAGTATAGTACTGGATAAGCTCGCTGCACGTTTCAGCAGCCTCTGCCAGATCGGGCTGAAAATCCGCGCCACCATAATCCTAGCACAACTATCCCTTGTCAATGGAGATTCTGCTAGTAGAAGAAGGGACGAGTAATTGGTTGAATGGAAAGGACCCTATTTGCAGACCTAAGGATCTAGCCAGGAAATAAGGTCCTAGCCCCGCTTTGGCTCCCGCGAGAAGTCGACTTGACTGTTCCACGTGCAAATTGTTTCCTGTGGAGAAGGGAATCTGGGGTAGTTATTTGCATGCCGGATACTTGTCTGGGCATTATGGGCATTCTTCCTAAGGCGGGGGGATATAAGTAAGATCTAGAGTCCCCCTCTCTTCAAAAAATCTCATATTTGTAGGGGCTCAAGATTCACCCCCGAAAGTCGTTTCCTATCTTCAATTTGCAAAGGAGATAATCAAGTCTAGTCTCTTGTCAAGGCCCTGCTAAACATGGAACCCAAATCCGACGGTGGTGCCGCGGAGCACCAGGAGGGCATGGTGGGCCATGTTACTCTGAACAAGGAGCCACAAGGCGCAGTGACAGAGATTAACACCGCGTCCGTTGCTCTTTCTGCGGCCGTTGCAGCTCAACCCCCAAAGCTGATGTCAAAGAATATGATTAAGTGAGTTATCCCTTCGCTGCGAACCAAGCCTGCAGGTTTCTAATCAAATCACAGACTGTACATGATAATGGGCATTGGTTATTTGATTTCCACCATGAACGGATTCGACTCGTCGCTGATGGGTTCCATCAACGCTATGAAACCATACCAGGAGTCATTTGGGCTCACGGGGGCAGGTAATTAATTCCATCTTAATGTCATCCGCTCTGCGGGTTCACACCAGCTGCCAAAACTCTCTAACCTACTTCAGGATCCTCAACCGGCGTGATTTTCATCATCTATAATCTAGGTCAAATCGCCGCCTTCCCCTTCTGCGGTCTCTTAGCCGACGGCTACGGCCGGAAAGTCTGCATCTTCGTCGGATGTCTCGTCGTCTGGATTGGAACCGCCATTCAAACACCCGCAAGGACCATGGGAATGTTTATGGGAGGTCGTTTCCTTCTCGGTCTTGGTGCAGCTCTCGCTTCTGCCGCAGGACCGGCTTATACCGTCGAGCTCGCTCACCCGGCATACCGTGGCACGATGGCCGGTATGTATAACAACTTTTGGTGGTTGGGTAACATTCTTGCTGGATGGGCGACCTACGGGAGTAACTTGCATCTGAAGGATTCTTGGGCTTGGAGAGTTCCTACCCTCGTGCAGGCTGGTTTGCCTGGTGTTGTCTTGGTTTTGATTCTCTTTTTCCCGGAGTCTCCTCGTTGGCTTATCGCCCAGGATCGGCGGGAAGAAGCATTGGACATTCTGGCCAAGTACCACGGTGATGGTGAGTTTTCAGTTTTTTCAATGATTTTGTTAAGGTCCATTTCTCAATTACTTTCATAGGTGATCGTCACCATCCCGTTGTCCAGCTCCAGTACCATGAAATCGTGGAAGAACTCAGCGCTACGCGAGACGAGAACCCCTGGTGGGACTTCCGCGAGTTGGGAAACACGCGCGCCGCACGATATCGCTTGTTCATGGTCATTGCCATGTCTTTCTTTGGTCAATGGAGCGGCAACAACGTGGTGTCATATTTCATGCCACAGATGATCATCCAGGCCGGTATTACCAGCTCGGACAAGCAGCTGCTCATCAACGCCATTAACCCCATTTTCAGCATGCTAGGTGCTATCTACGGTGCCACACTTCTGGACCGACTAGGCCGTCGAACCATGCTTTTATGGGGTCTTTCCGGAGGACTAGCAGCCTATATCATGCTTACTGCATTTACTGCGCAGAGCAAGGATCACGCCTCGCTGAGCTACGGCGTGATCGTTTCTATCTACCTCTTCGGCATTATCTTCGCATGGGGATTTACTCCTCTGCAGACTCTCTATGCCGTCGAGTGTCTTGAAAATCGCACTCGTGCCAAGGGATCCGGTCTCAACTTTTTGTTCCTGAACGTTGCCATGGTGGTCAACACCTACGGAATCTCGGTGGGTATCGAGAAGATTGGGTGGAAACTGTACCTTGTCTATATTGCTTGGATCGTTGTCGAGATGCTCGTTATCTATTTCTACTTTGTGGAAACGGCTGGCAAGACCCTGGAGGAGCTGAAAGATATATTTGATGCACCGAACCCTCGGAATGCCAGTATGAAGAGGACCAAGGTCGAGATAGATGAGTCGGGTGCCGTTGTTGGATTGGAGGCCTGAGCTGTTCTAGCTATTTCTGTTTGATGTTGAATATGTATTTTCGTTATGTTGGCCTTCGTACGCTCAAGTTGATGTTGATGCAATTCCCGGCAAAGCTATACCTTGCCGGAGACCGACAAATGCATTTCTAATGTAGATGAGAAATCTTGCCGGATTGATATGGTGGAATGGACTTTCTACAAAGCAAATTACGAGAATGGAGACTTTTACCAAGGAATTAACAAGGATATCTGTGGGGTTGTTCCCATTACGCATAGGCTCACTATCGTTTAAGACGACATCATCCGGCAGAATCAGAGGCAAGAGGAAACAAAACCCATTGTCTTTCTAGTTTCCCAGGTAATCTGCGAGGCCCGATCTCACTGATCCTTCAGCTTTGCTAACAGTTTCTGACGCTCAGTCCACGGGGGAATGACAGCGATGATCGCAGCATAAGAGTGGATATGCATTTGGGAAGCGTCATCCACGTAAGTAATGTAAGCCATCGCCGCGCGCATGTTCTCAGGCCGCGGAGCTGTAACCCACGTAATGGGCTTCTTGTAGCTTTGTGTTGGCCAGTGCTTGTGCAGACCCTAGAACATAACATTAGCTCTGACTTCTTTTGGTCGACAAGGGGCCGTTGTAAACGAAGATGGAAGGCAAGGTTGGTGGGTAGTGGAAAGGAGAGGGGAAAGCGGGCTATACGGAAAGAATGGAAGCAACCTGCATGTGTTCATATGCACAAGCATGTTATCTGTGTATTTCGAATGAATTGGACAAGATGTACTGACCCATGAAAATGATTCAAATTCACACGCATGGGCAGCCACAAGAATTAAAGCACTTTCCTATCCGCACTGTTGTACCCAGGTCCAAATACGCGAGGGGATCATCGTTTTTGCGGAGTTGATTTCCCTTATTTTTGCATCTTCCCTTGTCTCCGTCGTTATCGCCGTCTTCATTATCTTTGTCGGCGTTGGTAACGGGGTCGGATTCATTGCAGTTGTTTTGGTCCCCCCAGCCCCAAAGACCGTCATTATTAGCCTGATTCTCACGTCCGAGCATATCGGGCAGTGCGTCGAAGTTCCACCCGTCGTCATTGTCATTTCCAGGCATGAACGCCAGCTCATCTTGGTCGGAGTTGTAGTCATGGTCAGATTCTTCCAACTCCTCGGGGGTCCCCGTTTTCGAAAGGACGTCCTCTTTATCCTGATCTTCCCAATCATCTTCGCCAGAGTCCGACCATTCCCTCTTGGGATCCCGAGCCCCATGCCCGAGAATGACGGGCAGTACGTCGACTTTGACCCCAGAGGCATGCAAGGCAGAAAAGAACGCCAAGTCTGCGCCCTTCAGACCACGTGGAAGCAAAAAAGATGCGTCGGATGTCGCATGTGGATAAGCATGGGAGCAGAATGCTCCAAGGACCCCTCCTATATCGGTTAGAGATATTATGCTCACTATGCTCGACCATGTAGAGTCCTACCTGTCCTCATGAATGCTGGAGTTTCAAGGAGATTCTTGAAGTCCTCGTATAGCGGGAGGGACTTTGGGTCGATGATTACACTAATTCGGTTCGACTTCTCAAGTAGCTCAGAAACCGCGTAGAGATTGTAGGTCAGAGTGATTCGAGCACCTTGATTGACCGTCTTGATCTCATGCTCACAGTCGCTGTAAAAAGCAGCCCACTGAATTGTATCGGCACTTCGTTGCTCCCAGTAAAAGTTGACTTCCCTACCCTCATGACGCACGACCAAGTTTCCGCCCTGGAAGGGGGACGGCAGGCACACAACCAGGGACCCGATTTGACTTGCCGAGCGTGTGATATCAACGTGACTCTTGGAGAGACCAGATGGGCCTGAATAGGCCTATTAAGTGGTTTTAAAAGATTAGCGATTGGCTTAATCGGCAATAATAGGATGATAACTAACATTTAACTTGTAGAGTTCAATGTCCAGGCGGCTGATTTTTAGAAATTCTCCCGTCAGGCTTTGCATCGCAGGCAGCAGAACTTGCTGAACACGTTCAACAATGCCAAAGTCTGCTGGATGGAAGGTAGTCGCAGGCCTTTTGATACTTTATATCCAGCACCGTTTCCTGGTGTCTACCAAAAGGAGCAGACTCACAGTCGGCGACCAGTTGACGAAGTCTGGTCAGCGAATCGGGGGAGTCGTTATCGACAGAGCTGTCAAGTGGAAGGGTGAGTTTTCGAGGGGTGGGCTCATCCTTGAGCTCCCAGAAAATGTTGACGGGTCTGGAGGACTTCAGCCTTTCACCGAGTCCTGGGACTTCCTCGGCGATATCCCTTGGTAGACTTGCAGCAACGGTGCAATCAACTGGGATTGTGCCCCCGCAAGCAAATGATGCGGAAGCCTTCTCATTGCTGAGCGACTTCTCGAGTTGTCCGCAGACTGCTTTGAATGCAAGCCGTGATAAGGTGGGCATGGGAGCGCTGGAACTCGTCTCCGAGTCCATCGTGGATCTTAGTTGACTAGGGATGCACCAAGAGGCACACGAAAGGACGGGTTGAAGGGGATCTGTTGTGAGGATGAAAGAGGGAAGACTTAGAAAGGGAATGGGAAAAGAAAACAAGAAGAGGGACCACGCTTTTCACCTGGCAACCACTGGAGGGGAAAAGGAAAGCACAAAGGGGAAGAAAACAAACGAGGAAGAGATTCTGCGTTATGACACGAACTTGACTCTCAGACTTAGGGAACTCTTAGCACGAGAAATGCACCGGTGTCTAAGACACGCGTTTTGGTACAAGCTCAAAGAGTTCCAACCCTTTCCATACACTCAAAATAGCCTCAAGTCTACGAGACTACGGATAGACCACGGCCACAGATAAGCCCACCAAGCCAAATTTCAATCTCAAGGTACTGTTCATTTGCTTTTACTTGTTGGAACTACACCTTTCCATATGCTTTGCGGGCTGATAGCGAATAGTGAATAACGAAGAAATCCCTGTTTTTCAAATAGGCGCCACCAGTCCTCGGAGATATAACGTACACAGAATGATCATTGCTAGACGAATAAACCTCACCCATGGTGAGTTCTCTACCTTAAGTCATAAAAGCCATTGCTTCCTACAAACTGTGATCTCTTGGGTATGTGATTCACATGATAGGTTGCTTGAACGTTAGGTTAAGCTTGTAGAGTTCCAGTCTCATCCGCCGAAACTCCTGAGTAACTCGACTGAACGCACTTTGACCGTCATCAGTATCCTCATGCGAGGCACTCAAATAAAGACACCGCAGTTGCTCCACGGTCCTATGAAATCCAAAATCTGCAGGATGAAAGTCGTCATAAAGTGATCAGTATCAAGTTTCCCAGCCCTTCGGTAACTCGGATCTATAATGACTTCTTGCCCTCTACCGAAACCGGCAGGCTCACAGTCAGCAACAAAATGACGAAGCTTTTAGACTCATCATTAAAACTGTCAAGGGAAGCTTCAGCTCCACTCCTAGCGAACCATGCTTACAGTCCCAGAAAGTATTCACAAGGGAGGAGGATATCGAGCCGTGTCGCCTTCTTTTGCCTACTAATGCCGCTGATTAGCGTGGCTGCTTCAGTGCTTTTGCTAGGGATGAAGCCTCCGCAAATGAATTATGTAGAGGCATTCTGGCTTCTAATTACTTGTTCACTTGAATACGGAATGCTTTGAATGCGATCCTCGACAATGATGGACTTTATCCCCTTTCCTGGGCCATTGCGATTAATTGTCTAAAAATGGCCCGCGCAGTCGAAACTGAAAAATCGGACCCAGAACGAAGGAATTGAAGTTATAGAGGAAGAGCAGGGATACTGACGAGGGCTATTGCATTCACGGTGTAAGCGCTGTATAGACGCAGTACATCATGACGTAAAGCAGTTCCGTAACTAAATTCGGAGCTATGCGGAATGCGCTAGTACCTAGTGCAACACCATAATCCCTGAAGATGGATAAGAGGCGAGAATAGGAGACCACAAAGTTAGTTGAATATGTCTCAGAACCAATGCCCAGTTTGTTGTCAGAGGTGAAAAAATGACCTCGTGCGAGCAGCCAAATGGTACACCGATGCGGCCTCGCTCTTCCGAATGATTGCCAAGGGCCTCTGCAATTTACAGGATCTACAGCATACTTGCGAAGAATAGCCACGGCCAGTGGATGAATGATCCCTAGATAGACTCTAGATCATGATTCAAATGTATAGTTGTAAACCAAACAATATACTACGAGCAGCAATAAAAATGGAAAGTAGAGAGTGTAACCAGAGAGCAAGTGACAATCTGTGGGAACCAAAAACCCGAATGCGTTGGATGGAACACCCAAAAAAAAGAGACAAGGCGATAAATGACAATAAGTCAAAGCCAAAATAACCAAATGATCTGCGCCAGTGTTAATCCATCCATCCAAAAATGCCCATAAGAACCGGCCTGTCACAGACAGATCTCGATCATGTGTATACTCTAAGCGCTCACAGCGTCCTTGAGCTCGCTGTAGATGGCACCGAGCTCATGGCTCAGGACCTTCTGCTCCTTGGCCAGAACTTCCTCAACCTGGCCGACGATCTCGTCCAGGCGGTCCTTGACGGAGACGGTGGAAGCGGCCTTGTAACCACCCTTGGCGAGGATTTCGGTGTAGTTGGAGGAACCACCACCGTTCCAAGCGAGGAGCTAAGATGGAGTTAGCTGATATGTTCAAGTTACTAGAAGTTTTCAAGGATAGACTTACGTTAGGAGTGTCGGAGGGAATGTCAGTGAGAGCGCCAGAGGTAGCGACGGTGATCAGAGCGTTCTTGAGCTTCTTGGGAGTGATCTCCTCAACAGCGAATGCAGAGTCGGCCGAAGGCTGGAGAGAGACGTAGTAGGCCAAAAGTCCGGCAATGTGGGGAGAGGCCATGGAAGTTCCGGAGATGGTGTTGACGGCATACTTGCTGCCGATCCAGGTGGAGAGAATGTTCAAGCCGGGGGCGAAAATATCAGTGCACTTGCCGTAGTTGGAGAAGTAGGCACGCTCATCAGCCAGGGTGGATGCACCGACGGTGACGGCCTTCTCAGCGGCAGCGGGGGAGTAGTTGCAAGCATCAGCGTTGTCGTTACCGGCAGCGACGGCGAAGTGAATACCAGCATCAACTGCAGCGTTCACAGCGAGGTCAAGAGTACGCGAGCTACCACCACCCAGGGACATGTTGGCAACGCTACCCTTGAAGCCCTTGACCTTGCCGTCCTTGGCATCCTTGGCCTTCTTGATGTGAGCCTCGGCGGCCCATTCAACACCCTTGACGACATCCGACATGGTACCAGAGCCGTTAGAGCGAAGGACCTTGACAGCGTAGACGTTGGCCTTCTTGGCCACACCGTACTTCTTACCGGCGATGGTGCCAGAGCAGTGAGTGCCGTGACCGTTACCATCCTCATCCTGGTCACCCTGGGGGATAGTCTTGCCCCAGTTGGCACGGCCCTCAAAGTCAACGTGGTTAACGTTGGTACCAGTGTCAATCACGTAGGCATCCACACCCTCACCGCCATCCTCGGCATACAGGTACTTGTTGAAGCTACCGAAGGAGAGGCTGTCACGGTGAGAGATACGTGCCAGACCCCATGGAGCGTTCTTCTCAATGGCTGGGTCCTCGAAGTGGTGGACCTCCGAGTCCTTCTCAATATACTCGACCTATGTATCAAGGAGAAATAACAGTCAGCCGGGGGAAGCTCTTATCGAGGAGAGAGGGAGATGAGGGACCAAGTTACTCACATCCGGATGCCGGCGGACCTGCTCGATGACATCTTCGTGGAAGTGGCCAGCATAACCCATCAACGAGCCAGCCACGTGGAAGGTATGCTTCAGACCCAAGTAGGGATCGGAATCAAAGCCGAAGAGAGAGCGCTTCTTCAGCTCCATACGGACATTGTCGGTGTGGATGTCCTGCACCCAGCTGTGATGAGCGGCCGCGGCCGAAGCACCGACATGCTGCTTAAACACGACGATATATGCGTCCGGAATCTCCTTGGCACTCGTGGAGGACAGGATGGGAGCTGCCCCATTGTGGATAGATCCCGTCCAGGTGGGAGACGCAGCTGCCAGCAGCGGGAGCAGTGTGAGGCCGAGGAAGCCTTTCATGATGACGGTTGGGTTTGGACGATGACAATAAAGGATAGGGAATCAATAAAAAGGAGGGATAAAAGGATAGGGCAGGTAAGCGATGGGGAGGTTGATGTCGAAGAGGCTATTGGGAAGCGTTGGGATGGGGGGAAGGGAGAAGGAGGAGGAGGAGATGAGGAGAGAGATGAGGAGGTGCAGAGTCACTGGACCATGGTCCTTATCTAAGGGCGAAGGGAAGGCGGAGAAGGCATGATGCAAGCGGGCGATGACGGGGCGGATACCACTAGATACGGCGTAGATACGCTCCGATACGAGTGGTACCATACCAAGACGGGTGGATAAGCGGACGATTGGCGCTGGGCCGTCGATCATAGTGGAGTCATCAAGCCTGGGGTTGGGGCGATACGCTTTGATACAGTCACGAGATCTCTGGGAAACTGGATTATCTAAGGAGCGGTTACTGGGGGGAAAAGACAAGCACACGAGCAGGGGCTGTGCACCCCGTTGCCTTGCCCTTCCAAGCCTGATTATTGCGACGGAATCCGGATGACTCAATGACTCAAAAAATGGACACTAGACTAACTAACCATCAAGGTTTAGGAAACTACTATCCTTCAGGAGGAGGTGGCTCGCCCGGGGTGCCTGGCAGCTCCACCGGTCCTACGGCGGAGCAATGTGATCTCTCGACGATCCGCAAGGCAGCTTAAACTCCGACGTCGCGTGCTTCTGTCCAGATGATGCGATTGTACGGAATACGGTAGTATGTACATACTCCATACTCCATACTTTACTCGGGTGCTGTGACCCTGGCGCAACCACCCGCCCGTCTGAGGTGCTCGGAAACCCCTCAATTGACTATTGAACGGCCCCTTTGGGAGCGGAGAGCCGGGGATGATCATTGGGCAATGACTGGGGGGTGGCTGGACAAGTAACTTCCTCCTCCACTGCCTACAGTATGGACCACAGTCCCGTACGGAGTAGTCTATAACGTAACCAATGGCTGGTATGCTCTGTCGCCTTAATACCGTAATATACACCACTCTATACGCGGCCATACTGTATTTGGCCGCAGCCCGTATCATGGATTATCGTGTCTCCGTAGTCTTGACGCTGCACGTCTTATCCGTGTTATGTCTTCTTATCGCACTTATCGCCTTATCTCTTAACGATCGCCCCGTTTCTGACGTGGGAGGTTGGTGAAGGACAAGGCCCACTCGACCTCGAACACCAACTTGTTTAGAAAACAGGCCTGCATCTGCGGGCCCCTCCCAAGTCACCTGATTCTTACTTGCTGCTTCCCCCACGCTGGAAAATATCTCGTCGATCTATTTTGGGGCAGCTTCCTGTCGCTTATCACGCCAGCCGGAACTTTTGGCTTGCTGGCTTCCATTGCGTCCACGTCTGCCCACCTCTCGGATGGCATCTCTGCAGTGTCTCATCCGGACCCGCTAAACGACCAGCACCACATACCAATGCAGACCGCCTGCCTCAACACGCCAATCGCGCATTCACGGTCTCTGGTGGTCACACGCCATCGGTCCGGTCGTGGATAAGATTCGGCCATGGCTCCGCCGCCCCTCCTCCCCTCCCCCTCCGGATCGACCGAGCGACTAGCGGAGGAGCTGGCGCCCACTGTAGACCAGCTCCAGACCCTCACAGCCGAGAAGCCTCTTGCCCTTGCGCAGGCACTGGCGGCCACCGAACCCCTACTACGTCTCCGCCATACCTTTATCGATGATGCTCACCCCCGGACAGTCAAAGACGCATTCCGCCAGCTGGCGGGGTTCCAGGTCCTGCTGGAGCTTGCGGACCAGCTCGCCGAGCTCTATGATACTACGACGTTGTCCAATGAAGACCGGAAAAGCGTGATGATGATCTTCAAGGATGTCTTGGGAGCGTTGGCCGAGGGATTGAAGGACCATTATGGTAACAAGCGCTACTTTGCACGGCGAATTACAGGCGGAGGGACTGCAGCGCTGGAACGGAGCTTGACGCTCTTGGTGGGCAAGATAAACCAGACTGAAAGCGATGCCCAGCAGCTTTACGGCGCCATCCTGGCTGCGGCTCTCTGTCAGGAGACAGTTGCAGGCCTTTTTGTAGCACTAAGTGCGAAGTTGTCGCAGAATAACAGCTCGGCTTCATCAAAAGAAGTCCGCGATGCCGTCAGCCAGTATATGGGATCTGCAGAGACGGTCGAGGTACCAGAGCTCCTGGGACCGTTGGTTCGCGTCTGGGTAACACATTCTACTTTGCCGGGCAATGAAGTCCTCCGTCTAGCCCTTCCGGCTTGCCTGAGCCAACTGGCTACGCAATCGCGAAGGAACGTGGTCGCTTTACATGCTACCGGGATGCTCACCTCCATTTTACCTGTCTTGTTCGATGACGGCCGGTCCGACATTGAAAGGGAGCTCTACCAAGACTTGGCACGGTACCTCAGCGTCCAAGGTATGAACAGCCTAGAAGATGTCGTGGCTCTGTACCGTCGCGCGCACGAAAACCCTCGAGTCCTCAGGTTTCTCCTGTCAGCTCTCAAATACTCCAAAGAGCCCCCGTCAATACAGTTTGACCTATCTCTACACGGCTTTTGTTCCGTTGAATTTGCTACCCTAGGTCGCCCATTCCCGCCTACTGCTTCTGCTGGGTATACCCTAGCCGCCTGGGTGCGCTTCGATGAGTTTGATCTTAAAACGCATACTACGATATTCGGTGCATTCGATGCCAGCCAGACCTGTTTCGTTCTGGCTTACGTGGAAAAAGACACGCGCAAATTTATTCTTCAAACATCCATTCGAGGGCCACGCCCGAGTGTACGGTTTAAGTCGACGACTTTTGAGGCCGGTCGCTGGTATCATATCTGTCTTGTCCATAGAAAGCCAAAGCCTGCGTCATCCTCGCGAGTTTCACTCTTCATTGACGGTGAATTTGTGGAGCAGTTGAAGATCGAATACCCTTCTGTGCCAGTCAGCAATCATCCTCATCGGTCACCCCGAATTCAGGCTTTCTTTGGAACCCCCCAAGATCTTGCTATGCAACTTGGGAAAGGCGTCTCTACCTCTCGATGGTCCCTGGCAAATGGTATACTTTTCGACGAGGCCTACAGTGACGACCTCGTGGCAGTCTTCTATAATCTCGGTCCCCGGTATTTTGGAAATTTCCAGGATTGTCTTGGATCTTTCCAAACGTACAAAGCCTCTGCCACTTTGAACTTGCGCAATGAACATCTCCATCCTGGAAAAGAGGAAGACTCGGATATTGTCACAGCCATTCGAAAAAGAGCGAGCACACTTATACGTGAGGGCTCAATCTTGATCAATTTGTCTCCAGTTGCAGTCCTGGACGATGATGACAGCAATAATGTGGACGAATCACAACTCATCAAATGCCTTTCTCGACAGGCGGCAAAGAGCCTGCAGCAGCTGACAAAAGCCGGAGGCAATGCGGTTGCAGTGAATGGAAGCACTCCGGCCATCAATGACGCTTTGACACAACCACAAGGTGTGGGTGTCTTGACTGGCGATCCTGTTGTTGCGGTTCCTTGGTCTCTTGATGATGCCAGCTGGTGTCTGGGCGGCTGTGCCGCTGTCCATCTCAGTCTAATTCAGGCTGCCAATTCTGCGGAAACTCTTCGCCTGGCCGTGGAGGCGTTGTACGAAGCTGTGCAGGATAACTGGAGGAACAGTGAAGCCATGGAGCGAGACAACGGCTACGGTATTTTGGCATCTCTCCTGCGCGAGAAGCTCGGGTTTCAAGTCAGCAATGCCCCAAGCGCGGGTAGATCTACGGCCGTCAGCACCAATGACGATGAGCTCAACACATTGATGCTTGAGCTTCTGCGCTTGACACTTGCGTTCGTAGGGTACGACTTCAAAGAACCGAACCATTCTATCATCTCTAATCCGCTAGCTTATCGAGTCTTACTTGTCGATATGGATGTCTGGCATTATGGTGAACCACAGGTGCTGGATCTGTACTACTCGCAATTCCGCACCTTTGTGTCTGAGAGTAACTACCGTCGCTTCAACGCCAGACGCTTTGGTCGCATGCGTATGTTTCGTCCACTCCCCTTTCGCTTTGTTTCCCATGATATGAAGGCGTTTTCAATGTAAATTGCTAATGACAACAGGCGTCAACAAGAAATTGCTCGAAACTCTGAAAGGAGATGAATTGACCAAAGGGACCGTTGCGCCATGTATTGCCTCCTTCCGGGCCCTTTTGGAGAGCAATCTTTCGCCCGATCTCCTCCGCTCTCTATCCTTGTCTATAACATATAACCTTCATCGACCAAAACCCCTCACGGCCCTACACAAGAAGAAGAGCATTCGTTTCGCCCCGAGCTCGTCTCGACCCCCTTCCTCCAAGTCAGACACGGCGAAGCACATATCCAGCACCACATTGGGCATCGAGATGCTGCGGCTTTATTCTTCAATTCTATGTAATGCCTTGGACACGACCCCGATGAGAAAGTTCGCGAAGGCGGTTACAAATAAGGTTTTTCTTGAAAGGCATTCCATACCAGTACTCAAACTGACAACTCTCACAGTGGCTATTGTACCTATCCTGCGAGGATGAGCCTGAAGTAGTCGTACACGCAGTCAAGATCCTGGCTAGGCTTCTCGTTATCCACGGAAGTGGTTACAGTAAGAAATTCTCCGACAAAAACGGAGGATACACTGTGCTCGAGTATCATCTTAAGAGATGGTGGAACATACCTGTCTTGTGGCCTATATGCTTTTCTATTATCTTCGGGCAGGACATTGCCCTGAAAGACCTTGATCAGCCATTTGATGCCCCGACACTCATCAGTATGTTCCTGGCTGATGGGGATCTGCGAATCTCTTTTCCGGAAATGCTACCCGTGATTATGGGTATGCTCAAAAGCGGATTGAGGAGCTCTGTCTCGGCGAGTGAAACAAGCGATCAACAAACGCCGAAACCTGACACTCTCTTAACGAAGCCTCAGATGTCATTGCACAGCTTGAATAGTACGTGCCCGAAAATACAGCATTTGCTAAGTAGAAGTATTTGGCTGACTCTTCTCTCTTTGATCAGATATTACTGCAGCTGACCGGACGGCGCATGGGTATTTCCTTGTGTCTTCTGTGGTTGACTTCCTGAAAGGACTTTCTTCCCGATCGCGAAACTTTCGGGATTTCACAACGCATTCCGGCTATGTCCAGGAGCTGCTCACCATCCTCTATCCAACGGTCGTTGGCGTGGATTCAATCAGCCCAAATACTGAAATGAACTCTCGATACAACGGGCTGAGTTTTGATGATAGCAACTTGGTCCTACGGCCCCGTTCCAGTCGCGGGAACGTCTCATCAGCTCTACAAGCGAGCGTGATAGAGTCCTCCGAGAGCCCTGAAGAGAGCACGGAATCCTTGCAACGCCGGTCCTCTTTCATCTTCGTTTCCTCTGACAAGACGAAGCATCAACCCTCGGCGGCACGAATTCGCCGTGCTGTGAACCTCAACTCCTCAGAAGAGGGTGGAAACACGGACCATCCACTTGTCAAAGCTATTGCCGCCCTCGCACTCGACGTCTTCGAGGATCAGCTCCTGGAGCGAAAAGATTTCTCTGGCTTGGGACTGTATCAGAAAACTCCACCCGGCTTCCTTGAACACCAAGCGTACTTCAACTCTTGGATCTTTGATTCCCTCATGTCCAGATTGAAGGAAGTTCCAGCAACTCAGCCGCGGCTGCTGCATGAGCCTCGCACATTGACCAATCTCGCGCGCTTTGCCACCCACCTGACAGAGGCTGTCTACGAAGGGTGGTTTATCAATGGAGCGGTCACGAGCCTTGAGTACCTTGGCGTGATTCTGGAATATCTCCAACGCCCTGAGGTTTCCCATTTGAAGAGCATTCGTCTGTGTAGCCAAGCCGTGTCCACTCTGCATTCCACACTATACAAGATCGTTTTGTTCCAATTATCGGAAGCGGATGACACGGAGAGTTTGCCTGTTCTCAAGCGCCTGAATTACTGGCAGGTCGTGCTCCTCGCCGCTGCAGAGACACAGTCCAAATACCTGCAGCTTGTCTGCTATCTTTTGTACACCAAGCTCATCAGCACCGAAACGGACATTCGTTTGGCCGCTGCGAGCCTTTGGCGAATGATCTTGGTACAAAAGCCTGGCGAAGTGGGGAGCCTCCTAGGCCACGGCCCTGCCAGCCTCCAGCGTCGACTGTCCGAAGGCTTCGAGGCTCTTGCCGGATTGGATGATGATGCATTTTTGCAGTGGATTGACGATCAGCGCGATGATCTCGATGCGCTCTTCTTTGGAATCTTGTCCCGACAGTGGGAATCTTTCGTTCAGGAGGAAAATGCAAAGATTGAGGACTCTGCCAAAAATAGGATCAGCAAGCGCAAGGACAAGCTGAAGCAGTGGGCACAGCTGGAGAAGTATGACGAGGACGTCATCCGCAAGCACGATGCCACTCTTCCCCACTGGATTTCAAATATTTCGGCTTCAGAATTCTTAAAGTCCCAGAGATTCCTGCAGGATCTTCAAGATAACTCTGTCTTCATGTGGTCGGCGTTTTCTAATCTACTGGTCAACCTGCGACGGCCCGGTGGACTCCTCGCCGAAGAAAAGGATCGCAAATTCAGACTCGATCAGACGGAAGGTCGTAGCCGCATGCGTCTACGAGTTGTTCCTGATGATTCTGGGGAACGACAGGATTATCAGCCTAAGCGAAAGGCGTCTGAACCGCCAGCACCAAAGCTCGATACCCGACTACGCGCACTCTCGGCCGGGGAGGTTGCCTCGACTCCTACGGCGATGACCGCCGAGCCCGAGGTTGCGGGGTCCAAACGTCAAGATGGCGATGCGGAAAACTCAGACGATCGCAGCGGATTTGAAGAGGAAAATTTCGAGATGATCGACGACCCCAAGCTGGAGATTGAAGATTACGAAGACAAGAACCGGAGAGTCATGCGTTCCCTCCACCGCGGCGACCAGGTACAGAATGTGTGCAACATGTCACGAATCATTGGTCTAGAGGCGGTCGAGGGTCTTTTGATTCTCGGCAAAGACTGCATCTACATCCTTGATAATTTTTTCCAACGAGCCGATGGTGAAATCGTGAACGTATGGCAAGCTCCTCCCGACGAACGTGATCCATATGTTCGAATGATTGCTGGACGAGAGTCGAATGACCGTCGCTCGCAAGAATACGAGACTAGAAGTTGGAAGTGGTCCGATCTCGTCAGTGTTTCCAAACGGCGATTCCTCTTCCGTGACGTCGCCTTGGAGATCTTCTTCACGGATGGCACCAGCTATCTGCTGACGTTCTTCTCGGCGCCTGTGCGAGACAACTTGTGCAACCAGCTTGGAAATAAAGCTCCACAAGTTACTGGCAGCGCAGGACATTCCCGACCAGAGGACATCTGGAGATTCGAGACCCTTCGCAGTCACGAAGATGCACCACAATCGCTTGGTTCGAAATTTGCTAGCGTATTTGGACACTTGCCCACAATTCCGGCCACACGGAAGTGGGTTCGAGGCGAAATTTCAAACTTCCATTACCTGATGTTGATCAATACGCTTGCTGGTCGAACATTCAATGACTTAACCCAATACCCCGTCTTCCCATGGGTTCTGGCAGACTACACCAGTGAGGAACTTGATTTGACGAACCCTAAGACGTTCCGTGATCTGTCCAAGCCTATGGGATGTCAGACTCCAGACCGGGAGACGGGTTTCCGAGAGCGCTACAATGCCTTTGCTGAGATGGGCGACGATAAATCTCCACCATTCCACTATGGTACCCATTATTCCTCGGCCATGATTGTCAGTTCCTACCTCATCCGCCTGCAGCCCTTTGTCAAGTCCTATCTGCTCTTGCAAGGCGGTACTTTCGACCATGCAGACCGGCTCTTTTACTCCATTCGCAAGACCTGGGAGTCCGCATCACGGGGCAATATGACCGACGTTCGAGAGTTGATCCCCGAGTTCTTCTACCTACCCGAGTTCCTCGTAAACTCCAATAAGTACGACTTTGGATTACTGCAGAACATGACTACAGCCATTGATTCGGTCGAACTTCCGCCGTGGGCCAAGGGGGATCCTAAGATCTTCATTGAAAAGCATCGAGAGGCACTCGAAAGTCCTTATGTCTCTGAAAACTTGCATCATTGGATTGACCTGGTCTTTGGCAGCAAGCAGAAGGGTGAGGCCGCAGTTGAAGCAGTCAATGTGTTCCATCATCTATCTTACAAGGGCGCTAAAGATCTGGATGCTATTGATGACCCGATGGAGCGGTTGGCAACTATTGGTATCATCCACAACTTTGGACAAACACCGGGCCAAATCTTCCAACGTACCCATCCTCAGAGAGAGGATCAGCGGTATCGTGTGCCCCGGTTGGATACTCTTGCCGAGTCGCTCACCCAGATGCCGCTGTCTCTTCTGGGTAAGTCCATTCTCATTGGGTTTTGCAAGCACTAATTTTGACTAATGCGCATTCTGTCCAGATATTGAGGAACGTGTTGCAACTCTGTCTATGAAACAGGATCGATTACTCTGCACTGCTGCACTCCGACTCAACGTGCCCCCAGCTTATGATCACTATATGGAATGGGGATTTTTCGATGGAAGTGTGCGCTTCTATTCAACAGACAGTCGCAAGGTAGGCTTCTCCTTCGACCGGAAGGACACTAGATTCTTGTTGGCTGACATATCCCAGCTTCTGGGCCATTTCGAGCACCTTCATGTCGGGCAGCTTTCCCATGCCAGCTTTGCGGATTCACGGACCCTGATTACCTGTGGCACGGATTGCACAATCTCCTTATGGACGGTCACTGCGTCCTCGAGAGCGGTTGACTTACAACCTATCGGATCTCTGTTTGGTCACCGCGCTCCAGTTACCGTACTTGCCGTGTCTCGTTCGTTCAGTGCTTTGTTGTCCACATCCACCGACGGTCATATCATGCTATGGGATCTAAATCGCCGGTGCTTCGTGAGGACGCTCCCAGCAGAGGGAACCGTCGATGTAAGTTTGTTTTCGCAGTAGGTCTTGTTCTCTTAATAACCGGTTTACCAATAGTGCGCCCGCATCAACGACGTTACTGGGGATATCATTGTCTGCCGAGGCAGTCGCATCACGATGTATACTCTGAACGGCGAAGTCCTCGTCGATCAACCCGTCTGCGACTCCCCCGACGACCGCGTGCTGTCCTGCGTCTTCTACGAAGGCTTGCAAAACGAATGGCTCGAGCGCGAGCTCGTGTTGACCGGCCACAGCCGCGGCGTAGTGAATATCTGGAGCAAGGTGATTCGCAACAGTGGATTTGAGCTGGAGCTCATCCGCCAACTGCATCATACCGACAACAGTCGTGACAACGGAGCCAACATCCAGGCTGGCATCAGTTGTATACTCGCCCTGCCGCAGGTGGTGTATACTGGGGACGAGGCTGGTCGAGTGGTGCGTATCTTTCCCTATTTTGGCCGGCTTGGTCCGAACCGTGTTTCGCTAATAAGGTCACCGCAGTACGAGTGGAATTGTGTCCAACGGCGCTGATAGGCGGCGATTTAAGCCACGTGCCGTCCGGCTATTGAACCGAGCGCCGATATTGCTATTTTGTTTGCTACACGGCAAACCCGACCAAGAATAAAGTCTACTTGAAAAGTGCAGAGCCCAAAAGCCCGTAGACAATTGACTGGCGTTTACTTGGACGACGGCGGAGGTCTTTTAGAGGTCTTTATCCCAATTACATTTTGTGTATTCTTGATTGTCTTTGCTATTTCTCTTGTTTCTCTTTCTCGTCGCACACGCCCTGTACCCCGTCTTTCCGGGATATAGTTACTTAGCGTGCATCCATAGCGGGAATATACTAAGCAAGAAGGCATTGGTTAACTAGTTAACTAATTGACTAGCATCAGTCATCAGCGCATCGCGTCCCTTGACCCCCCTTCCCCTGGCACCCCCACTCCCTCCTGGCTCAATACCCCCGGAGTCGATGGCGATATTTAACCGGGTCTCGGTGAGAGAACTGCACGTTCGGTGCAGTAGTGGGCCGTTGGCCGGTCGACCATCCTCCGGCTGGGCTGGGCCGGAGCACACTGGGCCGAGTTGGGGGAGTGCTTGGTTTGGTCACGCGGCAAGAAAAGTCTTGAAGAAGCAATTGTATAGAATTGGAGGGTTCAAGTTGAGATTACGATGAGAATTGAATATGGCGAATGGATAGGAAATATCTTGGGAGGGGAGGTGTTGGTGGTGGTGGTGGGATATTGCCGTGCTCCCGGCGGCATAACTAAGACGTTAGTCAACTCGGATCATTGGAGGGGTAAATTACTTCACCACGGTCCGCTGATTTCATCCTGCACCGTCATTTGCCCCACTCTGCATCCCACCGTGGACCGGCTACTTCTTGTTTCTATGACGGTTCCATACAAATCCAAAGTACCTTGCAAACTAACCTGCCAACCCCATCGCCTCTCCGGTTCCTCGCCCCTCCTCTAAATACCCTCTGCTCGCCACTTTCTTTCCTCCTGCAACTCTTCCTCTTGATCTCTTCCCGATCAATTCCATATTTCCTCCGTCTCGTGAAATCTATCCACCCAGACTATCTACATCATGTCTTCCTCTCTCGAGCAGCTCAAGGCCACCGGCACCACCGTCGTCTGCGACTCTGGTAAGTTCCTAGTCTCACCGATCAATCTGACATGGATGGAATGATTGACTAACGCGCGTTTTTTTTTTCCCAGGTGACTTTGCCAGTATGTAACCTCACTATACAATTCCCCCAAAGCTCTGCAAGGACTCTGGCGTCTGCTCAATTCCGGGCGACATGTATCGATCAATTGCTAACCGCTGACATAGCTATCGGCAAGTACAAGCCCCAGGATGCCACCACCAACCCCTCCCTGATCCTGGCTGCCTCCAAGAAGGCCGAGTACGCCGCTCTCATCGATGCCGCCGTTGCCTTCGGCAAGACCCAGGGCAAGACCGTCGACGAGCAGGTCGATGCCACCCTCGACCGTCTCCTCGTTGAGTTCGGCAAGGAGATCCTCAAGATCATTCCCGGCAAGGTCTCCACCGAGGTCGACGCCAAGCTGTCCTTCGACACCAAGGCCACTGTTGACAAGGCCCTCTCCATCATCAAGGTAAGTCTTTCTTTGACACCGCTATTCTGCGGATAAAGAGCCTGCATGGAAAAGCTTGATACTAACGTCTGTTTCTTCTCTTACCAGCTGTACGCCGACAACGGCATCTCCAAGGACCGTATCCTCATCAAGATCGCCTCTACCTGGGAGGGTATCCAGGCCGCCCACATCCTGCAGTCCCAGCACGGCATCAACTGCAACCTGACCCTCCTCTTCTCCCTGGTCCAGGCCATTGCCGCCGCCGAGGCCGGTGCCTTCCTGATCTCCCCCTTCGTGGGCCGCATTCTCGACTGGTACAAGGCTGCCCACAAGCGCGACTACACCGCCACCGAGGACCCCGGTGTCAAGTCCGTCCAGGACATCTTTAACTACTACAAGAAGCACGGCTACAAGACCATCGTCATGGGTGCCTCCTTCCGTAACACCGGCGAGATCACCGAGCTGGCCGGCTGTGACTACCTGACCATCTCCCCCAACCTGTTGGAGGACCTGTACAACTCCACCGCCGCCGTCCCCAAGAAGCTCGATGCCGCTGCCGCTACTTCCCTGGATATCCCCAAGCGCAGCTACCTCGCGCACGAGGCTGCTTTCCGCTTCGACTTCAACGAGGAGGCGATGGCCGTCGAGAAGCTGCGTGAGGGTATCTCCAAGTTCGCTGCCGATGCCGAGACTCTCAAGGGTCTGCTCAAGGCTAAGATTGAGGCTTAAATTGTTGTGAACCAGCGGGACTGGACGGGACTGGGAGTTTTTTTTTTTTTAGTTAGATTCTCCTTTTGTCTTTTTTCTTCGTACTATGTTATGTAAATTGGCGATCACCAAAATGGCTTTGGGAATCGGTAGATACGAATTGATGAATCCATTCTTTCTTTTTCCATGTTTGCTTGTTTTCAGTGGACTAGAACCTGCGTCAGTTTGGAAGAACGGCCCGTACTTGGTGTTCCGAATTGTCCCTCGAAAAGTCCCAATTGAATGTAAGGTGCCTTCGGACGGCTACCTATGCAATCAGTAACCATTGACTAGTTTTTTCCAGGCCCGTGTAGGTAGTGTGCATCTTGTGGTTGATCTGATCATATGTCTACTCCCCATGGTTATATATTGAACGTAAGGTCCTGGGAGCTAACTGTATTCAGTAGTACTACCTCGAAACATACATACCAGACCCCTTCCCTCAACCCTACAGTCATGCTCGTAGCTTCTCTAGTGTCGGGTCTTGGCGAGGCCGAAGCTTCCGAGGGTCCCAGTCGGAGGGAATCTGGGCTGGTCGGCTTATTCACCCACGGCCAACGAACCCCGCAGCGAGGAGGGGATTGGTAACACAGGTATCACGGTGATAATCATGTATTCTCCGCGGATATACAACAGCATTGAACCGGATCGAAAGTTTCTATCAATCATGACAGTGGAAGCTACGGGATCATTGAAGGAAAAAGCACGTATAACCTAGCATACACGAATGTAGAGCCGTGAGTTCGTTCTTCGTTCCGAGGTGGAAGGCAAAAGCGGCAATTATGTCATTTCCCCTCGTCCCGTCCGCCGCCCGCTTAGGAAGGTGGGGGATGTTTTGGTGTGGTATTGCACTTTACATCTTGTATTTCTTCCCATAGTGCTAATATGCGGATAGAGCTCTTGATTCATGTACATTTCTCGGTAATATTGTGTTTTTTTTACGTACCTTTAGCTTATCGGAGCACGCAGTCACGTCAACATCACCCACTTATTATTCTTCCCTCCTCCCGCCTCCACCGGGCTCTTCTCTTTTTCTTTTCTAGATTAACATCCCCTCCCGATTTTCAACTTTATACTCCAAATCCCAATCACCATCAACCCATAACCGTCAAAATGGTCAAGGCCGGTAAGTCGTATCTTGCTGGCTCTAGGGTCAACCCAAAAACAAAACATATAGTCCTCTTTCCTTCTTCCCCCGCATATCTCATTGGCTCCGTGCGATCGGCCCAGGGGACCTTGGGTGAGCAGATTTGAGCACCTTTGGAGCTGTGTCAGACCTATCGGCTGGTTTCCCTGTCCCCCAAAGCTCTCCACTGGCTGTCAGGGTTCCTGAGGAGATTGACGTCCGAGAGAGACCAGCTATGGGTTCGATTTGCCCAGGTCGAAGCTATAGTGGCGCTGCTGCCGCTCACCCCGGCCCCAGCTAGCTAGAGGCTCGCCCGCGGGGCTCAGATTCGGCAAGCTGTGACTGGATCCCCCTCCCCTGGAGCCGATCCTTATCTTTCGACCCGCCTTCTGGAAGAATATCAACTAGCTATAGATGTGTACTTGTCATAGTTTGATTGCACTCCCGCTAATGCATCACCCTAGTTGCTGTTATCCGCGGAGACTCCAAGGTCTCCGGCACCGTCACCTTCGAGCAGGCCGACGAGAGCGCCCCTACCACCATCTCCTGGAACATCACCGGCCACGACGCCAACGCCGAGCGTGGCTTCCACGTCCACCAGTTCGGTGACAACACCAACGGCTGCACCTCCGCCGGCCCCCACTGTAAGGATTCCGGAATTCCCGTCCGGCCTGGGACAGCAATGTCTGGGAGGAGTTGATACTAATGACATTGTGTGAATGCTCCAGTCAACCCCTTCGGCAAGACCCACGGTGCCCCCGAGGATGAGGAGCGTCACGTCGGTGACCTGGGTAACTTCAAGACTGATGCTCAGGGCAACGCCGTTGGCTCCAAGCAGGACAAGCTTGTGAAGCTGATTGGTGCTGAGAGCGTCCTTGGCGTAAGTGATCTTGGTTGAGTTTCTATATTATCATAGCAACTAACTTGGATTGAATAGCGCACTCTCGTCGTCCACGCCGGCACTGATGACCTTGGCAAGGGTGGTAACGAGGAGTCCAAGAAGACTGGAAACGCTGGTCCCCGCCCTGCCTGCGGTAAGTTGAAACCCCAAGATATGATATGTGCTATATGCAATATTCATGATTCTGACTGACCTTTCTAGGTGTCATCGGTATTGCCGCTTAAATTAGCTCAACCCCTTTATCACGTAGTTGGGTTTTCAATATCCCTCGCCATCTTCTCGGCATGAGTTTTCTTTATGAGAAGATGAAAAGTTCAGGATAGTCCCTGGCTAGGATGCAATGAATGTCAATGCCACAAACTTGCAAATTGCAAATTTCTACTCCAACCTCCTATACTCTCTTATACTTGACCGTATACTCCATTTTGTTGGTGATAATTATCCGTGCGCTGGCCCGTAGCTCGTAGCTCCCGCCCAGACCGCTTTCCCCACACCGGCCACGTTTCTCCTCCGAAGCTGTCCATCTCGCCGCAATTGCCCCCTTCAAATTCCCGCTCTCCCTATTTCATTTTCTTATTTTTCCCTCCCTGGTCTTGTCCCATTTCACCCCATTGACTCAACTCTCCGTATCTCAGTGAGGTCGTGGTGCCCTCCCCCCGGATTCTCCCTCAGCATGCCTTTCGAAGCCCGTGTCAAGTCCGTTTTGTCGGGTGATACGGTCGTGCTGTCGCATGTCACCAATCCCTCACAAGAACGCATTCTCTCTCTTGCTTATGTATCGGCTCCGCGGTTGAGGAGGGAAGGCGATGAGGTATGTGCTAAATTGTGCTCGATTGATGTTTTATTTGCTTCCCCTTACCTTGTTTGCTGTCCCTATGTTACCCCCTCAAGCGATGCAGTCGTGTGCTGCGAGCAAGGGTTCAATCCAATGACAATATCACAAAGACTAATGCAAAGACTTTTATAGCCATACGCTTTCCAATCCCGTGAGTTCCTCCGTGAACTACTCGTCGGCAAGGTTATCCAATTCCACGTTGTCTACTCCATCCCCACCGGCGCCAAGCGCGAGTATGGTATCATCAAGCTGCCTGGCTTCGACGCTCAGCTTCCCGATATCAGTGTCCAAGAGGGCTGGTCCAAGGTCCGTGATGAGGCTGGCAAGCGGAGTGATGATTCTGAGGAAACCCTCGCGCTGCTGGACCGGCTGCGGGCCCTGGAGTCACTCGCCCAGGATGAGAGCAAGGGTCTCTGGGCCTCTTCGGCCAACGGTCTGTTCGAGACTAGCTATGAATTGGCCAATGGCCAGGAGTTGGTTAGCAAGCACAAGGGAGAACAGCTGGAGGGTATCATTGAGAAGGTCCTGAACGGTGATCGGGTCGTTCTGCGTCTGCTGCTCTCCCCACAGGAGCACGTCCAGACTGTTGTGGCCGTTGCTGGTGTCCGGGCACCGTCTGCCAAGCGGACGACCGCCGATGGTAAGGAGCAGGCTGCCGAGCCTCTGGGTGACGAAGCCCAGCAGTTTGTCGAGTCTCGGCTGTTGCAGCGCAAGGTCAAGGTCTCTCTACTGGGTGTCACCCCGCAAGGCCAGCTGGTGGCTACTCTTCTCCACCCTAACGGCAATATTGCCCGTTTCCTCCTTGAGGAAGGTCTGGCTCGCTGCCAGGATCACCACTCTACCATGCTCGGTGGTGACATGGCCCTTCTTCGCCAAGCTGAGCTGACGGCAAAGAGCGCCCGCAAGGGAATCTTCACGAGTCACGTCGCCCCCAAGAGCTCCGGTGCTGCCGCTCTCGATTACACTGTCAGCCGTGTCCTAAACGCCGATACCATCTTCATCCGAAACAAGGCCGGCCAGGAGAAGAAGATTAGCCTGACCAGCATTCGCCAACCCAAGCCTTCTGACCCCAAACAGGCTCCCTTTGCCAATGATGCCAAGGAGTTCCTGCGCAAGAAGGTCATTGGGAAGGCCGTCAAGGTCACCGTCAACGGCAAGAAGCCTGCCACCGAGGGATATGAGGAGCGTGAGGTTGCCACCGTTGTACAGGGCACCACCAACATCGGTCTGGCCCTGGTTGAGGCCGGTTACGCCTCCGTGATCCGCCACCGTGCGGACGACAGCGACCGATCCCCCGATTACGACACTCTGCTTGTCTCCGAGGCCGAGGCCCAAAAGGACGGCCGCGGAATGTGGTCTCCTAAGCCGCCCAAGGTTAAGCAGTACACGGACTACTCCGAGAGCGTTCAAAAGGCCAAGTTGGAGGTGGGTATCCTGCAACGCTCTAAGCGCATCCCCGCCGTTGTCGACTTTGTCAAGTCCGGTTCTCGCTTCACTGTCCTGGTTCCCCGTGAGAACGCCAAGTTGACCCTTGTTCTGTCGGGCATCCGTGCCCCTCGCTCTGCCCGTGGCCCCAATGATGCCGGTGAGCCTTTCGGCCAGGAAGCTCACGAGCTGGCCATCCGTCGCTGCATGCAGCGCGACGTTGAGATTGACGTCGAGACCATTGACAAGGTGGGTGGCTTCATCGGTTCCTTGTACGTGAACAAGGAGAACTTCACCAAGGTTCTGCTGGAGGAGGGTTTTGCCACAGTCCACGCCTACTCAGCTGAGCAGTCTGGTCACGCCAACGAGTACTTCGCCGCCGAGCAGCGGGCCAAGGATGCTCGCAAGGGTCTCTGGCACGACTGGGACCCCAGCAAGGAGGTCGAGGCCGAGGAGTCTGAGACCGCCAACGGCACTGGCAACGAGAGCGAGGCCGCTGCGTCCCGTCGCAAGGACTACCGCGACGTGATGGTAACTCACATTGACCCAGAGACTGGTCGCCTGAAGCTGCAGCAGATTGGCACCGGCACTAGCGCACTTACCGAGTTGATGAGCGCCTTCCGCTCCTTCCACATCAACAAGGCCAATGACACTCCCTTGCCCGGTCCCCCCAAGGCGGGTGAATGGGTCGCGGCTCAGTTCACCGAGGATGGCAACTGGTACCGCGCCAAGGTGCGCCGCAACGACCGTGAGAAGGAGCAGGCCGAGGTGGTGTATATCGACTTTGGAAACTCCGAGATCCTGCCTTGGAAGAGCCTGCGCCCTCTTACTCAGCCCCAGTTCAATGCACAGAAGCTACGCCCCCAGGCTATCGATGCAGTTCTGTCTCTTCTGCAGTTCCCTACGTCCCAGGACTACCTGGATGACGCCGTCGCTTTCCTGGGTGACCAGACCTTTGACCGCCAGCTGGTCGCCAACGTCGACCACGTTGATCCCGAAGGCACTTTGCACGTGACCCTGTTGGACCCGTCCGTGTCCAAGAGCCTGGACCAGAGCATCAATGCCGATGTGGTACGCGAGGGTTTCGCCATGGTCCCCCGCAAGCTGAAGGCCTGGGAGCGCGCTTCCGCCGATACCCTGGAGCACCTGCGGGAGCTGGAGACCGAGGCCAAGGCTAGCCGTCTCGGTATGTGGGAGTATGGTGATCTTACCGAGGACTAAATGGTTTTAGTTCCTTTCACTCCATTTAATTTGTTATTTAGTTTGCGGGGGGATTTTGCGGCGCGATTCTATTTTTGTACAAAGCATGGGGATTGGCCCCTCACAAAATAGCAAGTGGCATAATATGCATGGAATATTGCTCGGTTGAAATAGGGACATTCTATTGTTTGTTGGAGGCTCATAAAATCACCATATTCATTCTATCGAATCTACGAGATGATAGTACTAGAGCAGAATCGAGTTGTGTATGCAGCACTGACAGTGTGGAATCGGAGCATATTTATTGATTAGTCTTGGTTCGTCAGATCAGTCGATCCGTCGATTCAGAGACAAAAAGAGTTGACATGCAGACCGAACCACGAGAAGTCTACAATCTCCATTGCTTGTATTCGTCAAACAGCTCGGACTCCGCAAATCGGTCCCGCCGGGATCTCAGCCTCAGCCGCTCAGGGTTTATCCAGATTGGATTCCGATCCCATGGAACTTGGACCCCCAAATAAAGATTTATTGCTGACCGCCTCTCCGCCCCATAATCTCCGCCACCACCGATCTCGACTTCGAGGACTCGCCAGGGAAGCCGGTCTCTTTTGTACAATACACGCATAGAACTCGACACAGCTCTCCTTCCGGCAAGCACCGACTTCCCCCATCATCAGCCACAAAAATGCTTTGGCGGACCAAGTCCCACCACAGTCAGGCCTCGGAGCAGGACCTCGCCCGTACGGCGTCAGCGTCCAAGAATGACCTGTCCGCTTCGGCAACTCAGGCCGCGGGTACTGCGTGGTTGGCGGGACATTTGAACCATTTGACCCCGGAGCAGGAGGAGAAACTGGCCGAGTTTAAGAAAGTGTGTGCGGAGCGCGAGTATTATAAGCCTGCCGTGCAGGCGGCGGAGGGTGTCGAGGCTGCGCCGGCGAGTCACGATGATGCGACGATGCTGTACGTTCTGCACCACCAGGACGAGTGTGGAAAATCTTTGCGCATGGAATGTCACTGATTTTGACTTTGCAGGCGCTTCTTGCGAGCCCGCAAGTTCGACGTTGAAGGGGCGTGGGGTCAATTTAAGGATACCGAGGACTGGCGCAAGGAGAACGCCATCGAGGACCTTTACGCGAATATCGGCGTGGACTCGTACGAGGCTGCCCGTCGGATGGTACGTACTTTTGCTACGGGATCTCTTCAATCCAGAAACGCCCTGAACTAACGTTCTTCCCCCGTTGTGATAGTATCCGCAATGGACCGGCCGTCGGGATCGTCGCGGTATCCCCGTTTACGTCTTCGAGATCCGCCACTTGAACTCCAAGGAGATGGCCGCTTACAATAATACCATGAACACGGGTACGCCCGACACGCACAAGTCGTCGACCGTTCCGGCAAGACTATTGAATCTGTTCGCTTTGTATGAGAACTTGTTGAACTTTGTTATGCCGTTGTGTTCGGCGTTGTCGAGACCGAATCCCGAGACTCCGATCGTGACTTCTACCAATATCGTTGATGTGAGCGGTGTCGGACTGAAGCAGTTCTGGAATTTGAAGGGACACATGCAGGATGCTAGTGTGTTGGCGACGGCTCACTATCCTGAGACGCTGGATCGTATCTTCGTATGTGTGATCCGTGCTTTCGCCTTGGATTGGCAAGACTGACCGCTAATCATTTCGTTAGATCATCGGCGCACCTAGCTTCTTCCCTACCGTTTGGGGCTGGATCAAGCGCTGGTTCGACCCAGTCACCACCTCGAAGATCTTCATTCTCTCCGCCGCAGAGGTGAAGCCTACTTTAACCTCCTTCATGGACCCTACCAGCATCCCCAAGCAGTACGGAGGTGAACTCGACTGGCAGTGGGGCGACATGCCCAACTTGGACGAGCCTGCTCACGAACTCCTCCAGAATCTAGAGCAACCCCTTGCAGAGGGTAAGGACAAGAAGGACATCCTCAAGGGCCCCATCTTGTTCAAGGGCGATAAGATCGAGGTGTTGGGCACGGAGGATGGCAAGGACCGCCGGCAGATTATTCCCGTGCCGCAGGTCAAGGTTCAGCCTCTGGCAGAGCAAGTGCCTGAGAGCAAGACCCAGGTCGATGGCAATGGCACGGCCGAGCCCGTTCAGGAGACCGCCGAGACTCCTCTGAATGCAGAGGTGGAGTCCACTACTGCCCCTGCTCCCGAGAACGAGAAGACTGGTCTGGATAAGGTGGCGGTGAACGTCAACCAGGTTGCCAGCCAGGAGGCTCAGACCACGACTGCCGCTGTATAGAGGCAATTGTGAAAGCAGGACGTGCTGGGTGTTGTTATTTCCCGTGCGCGTAAGCATGTTTTCGACCAGTACGATCGAGTACGCCCCACGGAAGTCCAGATGCAGATCCTATAGACCGAGGCATGTGTTATGTCGCCTCATCGTGCTTTTCTCTTTGCATGACCGATCCAAACGCATCAGCCTGGGTTCTCGTCGTCGACCATTGCGATTATTCTGATGATTCTTCTTTTCTCTTCCTCGTGTCCGTTTTACACGGGAGACTTTGCATGTGCATTTGTTGGTGATTTGCAAATAGATCGAGACTTGTTTTCGGGTTTATTTCCTTTCTGTTCTTTTCATTTCTTAATAATCACCACCGACATTCTTCTTCGGGCTGAGGTTTCCTTTTCTTCGGTGGTTGGGTTTCGCCCGAAGTTTTCTTCATGTGTGTTAATTCTTTCATATGGGGCTGATTCGTGGCCCCCGTTTTAATTGTTTATTTATTATTTTCTCCCTTTCTTCCTTCTTGGATTGGTGTGTAACGGAGCCGTCATGGCTCCTAGGAGGTTAATAGTGCGTTCGTCCTGCTGGCGGGTCTTTTAAATGTTATCTCTTTGGTAGAGAGGGTAGTGTGGTTGATAGAACATATACACGACTTGACTATATATCTCTGGATTGTAACAATGTACATGAGTGGATTTACTATACAAAGTAAAATCTATACATCCATGATATTTGTGTTACCTAGACACGGAAGTATTTAAGTTTAATCTGCCAATGTCTTGGTACCTAACTCAGTGTCACATGGGGTGTGAATATGGTTGAGACGAACTGGTTACTAGAATGGGTTAGGGTGATTTCCCTGTTGGCAAATGTGAAGAGTGGCGGGGTAAAATCATAGTGACGCAGACATTGACTCATAGTAGTAAGGCTAAGTTAACTACCAACTGAATATCTGATTACTCGATCATGATGGTAGTGCCGAGTCTCGTTCTCCTGTGATCTCCCGAACGTGATCATCTGATAGTCACCTGACCTGACCAGGGCCAATTTCAGGGGCATCAGGGGCTAGTCAGGTGACCCTCTCCTTTTCGGGGATTTACAGGAGCCACTCAACTCGTGTCTTACGAAGAGCGAAGAGCCTCGTCAGATTGATCTTGTGTGACCTGACCTGCTGCCTGTTGGCTTCTACTTCATATCATAGTTTATTTATACAGTGTATGATCCAGTTAACGCACAGGCTTCCCATTCGACTGTACAATCTTAGATCTCCTTTCCCCTTGTATTCTTAAACTTTTCCGACCCTCTTGAACCCACTTTTCCCCCTCAAAAACGGGGACCAGACCCTGGGGAAAGATGGAAAATCCCCCAGAATCCAGGCAACTGTATTCACCCAACTACGGTAGATCAAGTCTAAGCACACGCTAAAAGAGTACCGCTCGGATTGTTGGGGAAGATGTGCACTGGGATGATGGGGATTGCATTGGAAATCAGATGCGATCGACGTCATTCTCCGGTGCCTTTCAGCCAAATTTGGATAAGCCCGAGGCTTCCTAGAGTCCCAATTTTGGTGGTCAAAGTGGAGATTCACATGCGCCGAGTCCAGGCCGAAAGAATTTAGGACCAGAATACAGTCCGCGGGGGAAGGGATCGACATGCCCTGAACCTAAGTTTGTCGCTTGCACTCCAGACTCGAGTATGGACTCTGGATTTAAATATCCACCAGCCATCCCCCCCGGGAGACCGCACTTCGACGGTTTTGGTCTGTTGAAGGAAAAAGAAGTATAGCACAACTGCTCTTCGAGACCAATCTATACTCGCCATGAGTGCCGAACGCAACCCCAAGGACTCGATGAAGTCCACGTGGCGGCGACAAGCCCGCTCGGAGTGGACGCTCTTCCACTGGTTCTACGAAGTACTGGGGATTCACCCCGAACATCTCGATGCCAACGTCCCCGTCCATCTCAAGGAGGACGCCGTACCATACGTGCCCGACTGGTCCATGCACCGCTGGGTCCTCACCCACTCCGTCATCCCAATCATTCTGCAACACGCCTACGTCCAATATATGGGCCACAACATCGGCCCTCTCGGCGCATTCACCCTCTACAGCATCGCCTTCAAGGCCATCGCCATCCACGAACTCCACGTCCTCCGCCGTCTGGGCCATACACATGGTTTCCTCGACGGTGATAAACACGCCCGCGACGGAGTCCCCGATATTGGCGTTGCAAAGGTCGTCCGCTCGCTCATGTCCACGTCGACCTTCCGCCCTATGTTCACCGTCTTCTTCGCCTACCGCACCGCCCAAGCCCCCTCCTCCATGAACTTCGCCTGGCTCCCCCTCGAAATCGGTCTCTACGGTATCATCCTCGACTTCTGGTTCTACTGGTATCACCGCATCATGCACGACTTCGACGGTCTATGGAAATTCCACCGCACCCACCACTTGACTAAACACCCCAACCCTTTGCTCACCCTGTACGCCGACACCGAGCAAGAATTCTTCGATATCGCCGGCATCCCGCTGATGACCTTCTTCACGATGAAATTCATGGGCATGCCTATGGGTTTCTACGAGTGGTGGATCTGCCATCAGTACGTCGTTTTCGCCGAGTTGGCCGGTCACTCTGGTCTGCGGCTGCATGCTTCCCCGCCTTCCACGTTGAGCTGGTTGTTGCGCTGGTTCGATGCGGAGCTCGTGATTGAAGATCATGATTTGCATCATCGCAAGGGGTGGAAGAAGAGTCATAATTATGGCAAGCAGACCCGTTTGTGGGATCGGGTGTTTGGCACTTGCTGTGATCGGATTGAATCCGTGCAGGGGAATGTGGATTATGCGAATCAATCGCCCATGCCGTTGTATTGAGTCAGACTTGAGTCGGGGTATTGGATGGTATAGATGATATCTTTTCTTTTGCATGTGGCATTTCCCTATACGTGTAAATAGGTTCACGGTTTGAAAATTGTGGTCGAGTTGGAGTGAGTACTTCTGGTGGATTTGTTTATTTTGTGTGTTTTTCATGTTTTACAGGCGATTTGATACCAGGCTAGATATGCCCAATACCAATGATTGAATGAATAATATTATTTCTTCGAAATCGGATCATCCGCACTAGGGGAGTCTTGAAACTTGGGATCCCTTTGCCTACGGCGGACTATAGGGAGGAGAATGCCATAACCCTTGATTCCTTTAAAGACCATTCATAACTTTTCTTCTAACCCTAAATACGTTTTTATGCTTGCTATATCACTAGGAGGTTAATTTAGAGATTAAATAAGAGACCGTCTAGGAAACTATCTAGGAAACTATTCCTCTAAATTTGTTACGATTGTAATAATTAATAGGATCAGGTAAAGACGCTAGGCCGTACGAGGATTCAACATCAGATTACGGATTATATCTACATTTTAGCTCTAGTAATCTTATTGTTCAGTTAATCTAAATCGATTTCGATTTGTTTCGGTGCGGGAAATCGCACTTAACAAAGGGTATATAGGATATGCGTAGATTATATGGGGGAAAGGATGCCTGAAAATGAGATTCTGCCGATTCTTAAATTGCGGACAAAGGGTTATGGCCTTCTCCTCCCTATAGTCCGCCGAAGGGTAATGGTGAGACAGCGTGAGGGTAGGCTGATTTCGGCGAACTTTATCAAGAGGAAGAGGTAACCAATGGAATGCTACCTTCAGCTTGGTCCGTTCCTCATTGACGCTGATTGGCCGAAAGGCACAAATAGCGCTGTCCCAGCATTGATGTACTTGTACTTGGATACTGAGCGTCATCAAGTTGGCAGTGGTAGTGAACTCAGATTACTTTTGTTTAGTTTTAGTGTTCATGCGGAAGGAGATCACCCAAAGATCGGAACATACGATCTACCTGATGCAAGACAAGGCATAACTTGCTTATGTGGATAGAGGATAATCCTGATTATAGTCCCTATTTTGGTGGCCCTTTTGAGGTGGAAGAGGAAGAGGTTGAGAAACAGCATCTTATAGCATTTTGATATCAAAAATTTGGTAAACCTTCTGCCTCACAGTCCATAGACTGGAAGCTCTTGCAAATTTGGCACTCAAATTGATCAGATCAATGAAACCCGAGTAAAAATCAGGAACTTTTTTTTGGCTTTTTTCTTTTTTTGAAACACCGTCTCATGCAAAGAGTGCACCAACCAACCGTCATGGCAATCTGTCCTCCTCTGCCTCACTTCCGGTTGCTCGCGATTTCCCGCAGGCTTTCTTGGGCGTGATTGAGCGTCCCCTCAATCACTTTCAGCTGTTCCATAACTTCCCCAGCCGTTTTAGTGTCACCGAAGGCTTCTGGCATCTTTCCTTGCTCGGCAGCCACTCCTTGCAAGTCAAGTACCTGTTGGTCCACCACCTCAGCAACCTTTTGCTTAAGCCTTTTGAAATGCGACTTGAGCGCATGCGACCATGAATTTTGGGAAAGAACCTTGTAGTTGCCGATCACGCCACTGTTGTTTGAGCTTCCCGGTTTTATATGGTCTTCCATGTGCCTTTTGCGCCTCGAGTCACATCCCTTGCCTTGTTGTACAAATTCCGTCAATCATGGATTAGGGCATGAGTATAGCATCCGGACATACCTCTTTGCGAATTGGCGAATTGATAAGCAGATAGCATGTACTTCGTGATGATCGCAGTTCTGTTTTTCTTGAAGTTGATCATATTGTCCTTGACAATCCTAGAATTTTTGAGTAAACATTCGAGATGACTCCTTTCTCAGGTTCGAAACCTACTTTGCTTCTCTGAAAGCTTCCTCAAAGGTCCGGTGAAACACATCGATTATCATCGCCTCGCGGAACTGCATGCTTTTAAGAAGGCCGGTTCTGGAACTATGGGTCAAGCCGGGGTCTCCTGTAATTGAGATAAGTTTAGATTCATCGACCGCAACACCTTAGCAGAAGCGCCGGAAACTAACTTTGAAGAGGTGCACAAATCTGCTGAATCTTTTCGGTGATTTCCTTGGCAATGCCATCCTGCTGTTGCTTCAAACAATGCATGAATTCATCCCATGCATCGTTCACCTTCTCGCATGTGGGCTCGATCAACTGCACATTCCAATTGCAATCGCCGTACGTCTGGGTTGAATGTACCCCATGCTTGCGACACGCGGCTGCAAATGATCCACAAGGCCACTAGCCGCAAGAAGGGTTAGGATATTTCCCATTTGACTCTTGAAAATCGAACCTAAATAGTTCAACTCACTTGCACCCATTCGCTGCAAAGCTCAGTGCACCTGGCTTCCCACTCAGAACGAAATGCATCTAGCACACAGTGAGAATTTTGTTAACCACAGTGGTAATTTGGGACTGATAACTCACCGATAACGCCGCCAATACGACGTTCGAATAGACGCTGAAGCTCTGCACGAGTGCTCCCGACAAGTCCGCCATGATTAGACTTGAAGTGCTGCCAGCATTCAGTATACAACACAGTCCCACGGATCACGTTGGTACGAAGCAAAAAATAAGGCTAAACCTACTGAAACCAAGTCGACTTCCACCTTTCCAAGCAATTCAGAGATGTCGGTCGCTTTCGCTTTTTGCTCGCCATCGAAAGCCCCGCTCGCCCACAGCGTGACAGAGGCAATGGCCGACGGAACGTTGAGCCGGAAGAATGTGGCGAGTTGGCGCATCTGAGCCTCTGCAGGAATGGATTGGCAGTAGGCTCGCAGTTGCGGGATTCCACTCAGCTCAACATACGCCTGTTCCTGTTCACTGTCGCCATTGCAGTTCGTCAGGTAGTCATTATTCCCAACGCAAAAGACCTTCATGTCTTTGCGAGAGGGCATTACGGCCATTCCAGTAGTTGTCTTGCTGTTTCGATAGTCGACCTGGGCTTTTTTCTTTCTAGTAGGCAAATTGTTAGCTGCGATTACGGCTTGTTCCATGATTCTCATGGTCAGCTCCTCACAAAAATTCGAGATTTCCTTCCTCTTTTCTGTAATAATATTAGTGAGTAGCCCTCATCATAAGAACCATACATCTGACGTACTTCAAATCGTCCCATTTCTCAGCCAGGTCTCCCTTTTCAAAACCCTGGGCCTTCCGCATTGATGAGCAAGCTCTTGCGGCTTCGTCCTTTACCTGCTTAATGCGAACGTCCAGATCTCGCAAGACTTGATCAATAATCGGATCGCCTCTGTCACTTCCGGTGCCTCCGACCTCCTTGGCAAAATATTAGGATGCAGTTATTCGGGGAGTGTTGAGACAAGCACTTACATCTGCTCTGGTTGCGATCACAATTGCAGGTAACTCGGTCCATGTTTTCCAATTAATCTCTTCGATCGTCTCATCGGTAAGGCATCGGGAGATCCTGGTCACAAATCCGAGAACGTGGCATTGCTTTTTAATATATCTTTCTGTCGCTTCTTGTCTCGCATAGTTCAAGTCTCGCAGACCTACACACGGTCAGCAATGTTTTTTCTGAGTGTTACCCGTTGTATAGTGCCTACCGGGCATATCTGCCAACACCAGACCGTTCTGCAAGATAGGAGCATCCAGATAAACCCTTGATTAGAATATTAGCAAATCTCATATCCCATCGGAACGGTCTTCGCCAACCTTATCAGCTTGATGAAAGGCCAAACAGCGGGCGTATCGCCTCGAGAATCGGTGGTCAGTAGATCAAGAAGCTCTCTGCATTCTTGAACGCCATCCGAAGCCTCTGTGTATAGAATGGCCTCTTCACCACCCGGGCGATTGGCTAGTCCCCGTATGGCCTTCGCCATTAACGTGTCGAGAATTTCGCTTTCTGCCTCGTGGCTGTCATCTCGGACAAGGTCTTTCAGAGTGGGCTCATCGGACCCTTTGAACAGAGCTTTGAAAGCTTCCTGCGTAGATTGCTGAGCCTTCTGTAGGTTAACGATTTCGTTCGACGTGAGTTTGACCTCATCTCCGTCCTCGGAGCCATTCAAATCATCTGCATCGTCTGCTGGAATCCAGTCTTCGTCCTTTATACGGGTCATTTTGGGCCTCTCGAGTTCAAAATACCATTGGCGGTAGCTCCTTAGATGGTGCTCGAGGTATTCCCTCATTTCCTTGCGATCCATATAGTCAACTTCGACCGTATATGGTTGACGATGCTTCTCATCAACGCCATGATACTCGACTATGACGCATGTACATGCGTCAATGTCGTCGTTCTAAACATCCGATTAGCAGATTCTATTCTCTTATTGGGGGTTTGAGGAAACTACCGTTCGAGCAAGGCTGTTACCACCGAGGATCGAATTGATGACGGAGCTTTTTCCTGTTCCAAAATGAGTTTTACCTTTTGCTATGAGTAACATGTAGAGATGAGAAAACAAACCGACGCCAGTGTTGCCAACAAGGCCAACAATTCGTGTTTCCGGGTTTTGGAAGTTGATCAATCTTAGAACGCCTTTCCGAAGCCGATAAAGGTTTGTGCTAGGGTTCTGTGCAAGGTGTGAACGTCCCATAATGGTCGCAAGCGCTTGAAGCTGAAGTATCACAGCTTGCAGGCTATCCTGAAGCCGAGGGTTATCAATTCCTTTGTTTTCGGCCTGGTTCTCCTCCATTTTGAGCATTCTAGTCTCAAGAGGAGGTGAAGCTAACCCAGTGGAGCTTCCACCCAAGTCGCCCTTGGTGTCTTCCTGCTTTGGCTCCATTGTAGATGGGAATTTACCTTCGAAAAGTGTTGTACTTGCCGTTCGGTTGCTTTGCTGTATAGTAAGAGCGAAGGCAGCTGGGATTGCTGTGAAGTTAAGGTGTTAGACTTCTCGCGATGTGAAGAAGCGGAATAAAGGAAAATATGATTCCTGAAGATCGGGGTATGAGAGTCTTTGCAGAGGTTCCTTGAAAGGTCTTCGAGAGGCCTTCTCAGATATCCTTGCTGATCTTCTGGGAAATCCTGAGAGAGACTGGAATCGATCAGTCAGCTTGAACTGTCGAAGTTAGCAGAGGAGAGAGATGATAAATGCAGATTTATATATAGAGAAAAGGTGTTCAAGACAGCTAAATCAGGCTGAGAAAGAATTGAAGAATCTCCAATGGGAAAGATAGGAAAGGCAAAAGAGAAAACTGAGCGGCGAGAGACGGTGAGAGATACTTGCCAGCGAGGTGCCTGTGATAGCTCAAAGGTTTGTCGAGAAGGTGAGTGGTAATATAGACCGAATACCAGAGCTGGCAATTAGCGAGATGATAGTGGCTTCAGTGATTGGCCAGACTAGTGGATTTGCTGGAGGCCGTAAGAAAGAGAAAGTGTTGGAAGGAGTATAGAGGTGAAATTGGGAGGTATGGAAGGAGCAACCAAAGGTGAGTTCCGAGGGACTTTCCAAGTTTGCTTCAGATCAAACAGATTCTTGACTTCTTTGCCATGAATAGTTTAAATGATGAATAATGAGCTAGAATGGGTATTCCTTGACAAGACCCGCGAGCAATTACTTCATAAAGACGATCCAATTGCCATTGGAGCCAAGTTTATCTTTGCTGAAAAAAATGTATAGATTACAAACTCAATAAATCAGCACAAGTATATGCATTTCCCAGGCTTCACGGGAATCGACTAAGTAGCCTTCCACAACATGTTAACCTGCTTTTTCCGGGCCTGTAATCAAAATGTTTAGTACTTGAATCCAAACTTACGCGAAAGATGTGAACGAGTGCGGAGGAAGACTTACCATAGGGGCCAAGAAAGTGACACCGGCGGCCAAAGCCACTACTGTCAAGACAAGCTGCAACTTGGAGAAGCTCTTGCCAAGAATGTCAAAGGCTTGACTGGGTGTGGCACGGGTGCCATAGATATCCCCTCCATAGGCAAAGATCAGGCTGGTACTCTCCAACAGAGTCGGGCGAGAGAGAACGGTCTTGATGCCGGCGACATCGCGGGAGTGAGTGAGGTACCACTTGCCGTCAAAGTCCAGATACGGGGCGTAGCGGAACAGGCCCTCTTCCGCCTCGGCGGAGGTAGGGTCCCGGTCGACGGGTCGACGGGGATCCAGGACGGGACGAGGAATTCCAACGATGGCGTTGGAGGATGGAAGAACACAAAGAAGCTGGCGAGTAGTGATGCCCTGGCGAGTCTGAGTGACGGCCATGTGTGAGATAGGCTCGGCAATGACAAAGGACTGGGTAACAACGTGAGGGAGCGGGAGGCTGTCACTGCGGTCGCTGTGGAGACTGGAGTAGTTTCCAGCCGAGTCCAAGGGGCCACGATCATTCGCAATGGAGGATTCGTAGAGCTCGGAGACTACGAGCTGGTAGCCTTTGGCGGAGGACTCGTCGATGGCATCGCCAAAGAACGAATAGGCGAACCAGTTCTCGGAGATGGCGGAAGCAATGGGCTGGGTTGGGTCAACACCGGCTCGGCGAACAGAGTGCAAGACCTTGCCCGAGACGCCATCAAGCAGATAGAAGCCGGCGGTGTGATCCTGCTCATTCACAGCAGTCACCAGCACTAAGTTCGGGTTGAGATACTTGTACAAAACGGAGCGGTCACCGAGCACCTTTCCGATCGAGGCAATGGGATCATGCGAAGGGCGACCCACAGCCTTGATGACCTTTTGGCCGGTGGGGGGAACAAATTCCCACACGGGAGACTGGTTGTCCTTTTCAGCCCAGCCGAGAACACGACCATCGTTGCTGGTGGTAACCAAGAAGCCAGTGATATCATTGAACGGAGCGACTGGAGAACCGTCCTCCTGAATGCCCACAGAGCCCATCCGGATCACGGACGAGCCCACTTGTTGCTCAAAGGTGGCAATCGACTGGAGATTGACGTTGGTGGGTGCAGAGCGCGAGATGATATCTCCTGTGGAACTGTTGACACGGACAGAGCTCCCATCACTAATGTAGATCTCTGCGGATCCAGGGGTAGTCAAGATAGCCTTGACATCCCAATGCGAGGTCTTCTCCACTTCCGCACTCCACTGGATGGTACCCTGGCGACCGGTATCCAGGGCGTAGACACGTCCTTTCTCGGTGGCCACGATGATCGACTTGGCAACGCCGAAGCTATCCAAGTTAGAGACCTCGTCGGTCAGAATACTGGTGACAATGCGCTTAGGTAGTTCCTTGAGCCAGTCGGGCAGGTACTGGAGATCCCGGAGGTGGCGCTTCACACGGTGAATATAGGCACCAATCAGGCTCTCGTGGCCCTCAACCTCCAGTTCATGGACCAGATCCTCTTGGTCCTCTTCTTGCACCCAAGCGGCAGCCACCGTGTAGATCAGGGCCTCGGGGCGGGTCCACTCGGTTTGGCCATTGCGGACCAAGGACCAGTCTCCGGACTCACGGAGGATAGCGGACCGAACAGCAACAGACTTGCCCTTTTTCACAACGTCTGCAACGGCATGGATTGCACGGTCGGTTGAGGACACATCTGCGTTCCAGCGGCCCAGAATTCCATGGGAAGCAGAAGAGACAACAATGGTCTCCGAGTCTGTCACCCGAGTGAAGTACACATTGGCGTCAATGTTGTTGGTCGCTACAACGGACTGACCTTGCAAGTAAGGCAGCTGGTAGGTCTTGGTAACCACGGAGGACTTCAGATCCACATGGAAGACCTCCGCCCAAGCTCCAGTCTCAGTCTTGTAGTGCACGAGGAAGTGGGGGAGCGAGTTCAGCTTGTGCGGGGCATGGACCGCGATCTGCTGAACTTCCTGGCCAGAGGTGTTATCGATGGAAACGGTGTTGATCTGCTTGGTGCCGATAACGTTGACTTTGAGGGACTTTAGCGACTTGTCAGCCCAGACGATCAACGGCGACGCGGTATTAGCGCCCACGTAGAGAACGGAGTCCTGGGCGGTGATATCGTTCTCGGAGTTCAAGACGACCTGACGAGTCTGGCGGCCTGTAATAGGATCCAGCGAAGTAACCTTAATTCTGTAGCCCTTCAGCATCGCTGACTGGAGCGAAATATAGAAGATCTCCGTCGGCGAAGAGGACACCTGGAACGCAACATCACCACTGGAGCCAACAGTCAGCAATGTCACAACAACATCATATAATGTACGAACGTGGTATCCTTGTATTCCCATTTAGTCTTTCCAGATTCCCCATCCAATCGCCTCACAACTCCAGCACCCTCGGCGGCTGTGAGCGCAATTGTATCCCTCGAGCCAGAGGTAGCACTAGCATCCTCCAGTTCCAAAAGCTCGAGATCTGCCACCGCACCATCGGCAAATTGATTTTCCCAAATCAATTTGCCGTCCTGGGCGCTCCATGATGAGATGGAGTCACCGGCAGCGCCCACAACGGCGTCGTTGCCATCCAGGCCACGCAGGATACCGGCGGAGCCAGTTGCGGACCCAGGACGCGAGATATCCTGGCGCCAGATCAGCGACCCATCGCGAGGATTAACGGCACCGATAATCGACTTCTCGGAGATCGTGTAGAGGAGGGATGCGTTCGAGGAGGAGGAAGGCTTCAAGAAGAAGGTCGAATCGGGGGAGGGGGCGCCGAGGAGGGCGTGATGAAATTCAATGTGATTGACCTCATCGGAATAGATGGCCGCCGCGGGCGACAAGCACACGGCGATAGAAAGCGCCGTTTGGAGCCGCATTGTGCTATGAACGGGGCATTGAAGGACGAGGTGGGAGATGAGGGTGTGTTGGTTCGAGCTCGGGTGGAGCGCGCGGGCGGTCTCCCCGGAGGTAACCAGGATGGATGACTGTCATCATTTTTCTCTCTCATCTCAACAATGCGGTTGCAACAATATCACAAATTCACAAAATCATCTACTATTTAAATCTTTGCTCGATTCTGTTCTACGTCGCAATTGTATGATTTTCGTCTTTTCAATTAATTGATGCATAGGTCAAGCTGGTCTCTGGCTGTATATCTCCTCCCGATAGGACGTGCGGATTCGCCTCGGACCACAGTTCTTTATGAAATTACCACGCCTTGCCCATATTAATCCTCCTCAGCAATTGCATCTACCTCAATCTCAACGAGCATGTCGTCATCGACAAAGCTGTTGGCCACCACAATCATCGTTGCGGCGGCCCCGACTTGGCCACCATTGTGCTTGCCCAGGACCTCCCGGAATGCTTCGCCAACAATGCCACAGTCTTCTTTCCTGCTAACAAACATCCGGCACCGTACTACACTTTCTGCGCCTCGGCCACCTACCGCCTGGATAGCCTGAATGATCTCCTCCAAGGTAATTCGTGTTTGCTGGCGCGCGTCTCCAGGGAAGCGGACTCGGGGTGCCTCAGGCGGGGAGTCCGGGTCTGCCGCAGTCGAGCCAGAGACGAAGATGTGCCGGCCATGTCGCACAGCACGATAGTAACCGAATTTGGCTTCCCATGGAGAAGAGGTACTGTAGAACCGCTTTTGGGTAGAGGGCGTATCCGAGGCCATGATGGGCTTTCAAGAGAATAGAGGGTTGTGATGAACTGCGACTAGTGTTTGGTTCAGCTGACAGCCCGCCACGAGGCAAGTAGAAAAGCTTATCTGTACCTGGATCGGATGACTCCTGTCTTTGATGAGACTGCAAGATACTTTGAAGATTAAAGGTTTGAACTATTGACTCTTCTTGAGCATGTCTTTCCACACCTGCTTTATACTCCCCTCCTGTAGCCCCGCTCATGACCTTGTATAGCCGAAGCTTCCTAGATGACTCACTGGTGGACAATTCACGGAAGCCTTTGAAGCATGTGGCGCTAGCCGAACCGCTATGCTCGAATATTTCCCCTTCAATACCTCTACATCACAAGATTGTTAAAGGAACATTGAAAGCCAATGACCTACTAAACAGTGGGATGTTCCCCACAGAAATTGGTATGGTATATTGATCAAGTTGATAATAGAGCCACAGACTGAACACAAATTATACAACTGACCCCGTTCAACCTTATGAAAACCAAGCCGATCTTTAGAGAGAACACGCATCTCCCTTAGCGTCTGGAGAAACAGCACAAAATGCCCACTTTGCCAAGGAACCACAGCGCGCCCATGAACCGGAAGATAGAAAGACCTGAAGTAGCCCAGAGGACCACCCGGAAGTACCACGCTGTCCGAAGGGTGGAAGTTGTCTAGAAAAATTAGCTTGCATTCCTCTAAGGGGTTGCAATGACATACCGTAAGGCAAAGCTTCTTGATTCCATCATTATTGATGCATAACGCCAGCAGACCATTACTGAACGTCCAGAACAGCACGAGGTTAGTCCTGAAAGCCTTGTACGAGTCCTCGAGTGTCGTTTCGTCTTTCTCCTCCGGTTCACGCCACGGAACAAGTGCTCGTTTGACGGTCTGTTCGAATTGCACATCGATATCTGCCTGTGGCTTGTCTAGCTCCTCAACGAATGGTACTTGAGCATCCTGCTGTGTCTGCGCTGAGGGCAGGGCATCGGCTTTGTCGGATCCCTTGGTCCCCCATGAGACATCGTGCCAGTTGCAGAATGCGTAGACCATCAAGATGTTGATTGAAGATGACATGCCCAGGAAATAGGCCCATGAGGAGGTGAACATGTGCCAAGGATCCCAGTAAAGAAAGCTGGCGATGAAATATATTCCATATGTGGACACCAGAGCGACCAGGACGACTCCTCCGGTAGAAGAAACAAATTGTTTCAGGAAGGCTCCAATACCGTCCTTGAGATTGAAGCTGAGATTCTCGGGAGTCAGAGCTTGGGCAACGAGATAGAATGAGAGCACAAGAATATAGAATTGGACGATAGAAAAATAGATCAATGAGAGCGTATACGGTATTCGGGACCTGGATGACCGCATATGAGCTTACTTGAAATAGGTATTTTGCAAATGGAAACTTACCCTTTTGGTCGATTTCCCAAGGCTAGAATGAATTGGAGTATGAGAAATGCAATATAGCCAAACTTGAGAAACGTGTTGAAGATTGGTGAGATCTCGCTTCCAAATGGCCAGGACTTATGATGGTTTACTGCACTAGGAATACCCACGATATCCATGATGACAGATGTGGTAAGCCAGTAGGATGCTGGATGATATTAGCAGAGTGTAATCAACTGCGAAGGCTTGCGACTTACCCAGCGAGAACCATGTCATGATGAGCTGGCAGACGTTGTAGACAAACTGCACATGAAGGACGAATAGCCTAGGAAGACTATGACCACTCTGATATATACGGTTGAAATGCATCATTGAATACAGCCCTGCAGCAAAGGATCCATTGAGCCATCGCCTTCTCTGAGAAAGAAATTCAGACGGACTCTCAGGTACGTCTGTTTCTCCCTTCGACGCTTTCACGTATGTCAGTCGCCAGCGACAACCAGCCTTTGCAACCAGCTCGAAGCACAAGATCCTGTCTTCCGCCAAGAACATATTCTTTTTGAAAATGTTCATCCCCTCAATACCCTTCTTCCCTAATCTCCCTGATAAGGTATGATCGCCATGGAAGTATTGTTCCAGGGGTCTGCCAACAATCGCTCGGTAACGGTAGGCTGAGAATGCTCCTGGCAGAACGCTCACGTATCCGAAGCTGCTTTCCAAAGGCTTATCTAAGATGTTGGAGATCTTGTATTCGAAGTTCTGCGCAGCCACGATTGGATTCAACACTTTCCGCCAGCCAGGTCCAAGGAGGGCGTGAATCTCGCCACAGGCTCCGCCCAGATCTTTCTCATTATAAAATGCCTCCCATAGAGTGAGCAAGGATTTAAGGCCCGGTTTTGTCCCTGCATCAATCAGAATACAAACTTCTGGGTTGAGAATGCGGCCAAATGCGTTGAACAGCCACCGGTGCGAATTGATCTTCTTGCTATTCTTTTGTTTCAGGCAAAAAATCATTTGAACTGGCGGAAGGTTTGTCGGGTCGTCCTCGAATGGCCGAATCAGCTGCTGTGTGGGAGTGACCGATAGCTGCGTTGTGTATTCAAACTGCCAATGATTAGTGAGATAGATGTTGTGGGTATGTTCGAACAAGGTCAAGGCTTAGACTCACAATGTGAGCTACTGTCTCCCTGCCATCAAGATCGTGTTTCATCACACCATCTTGATAAATTCCAACAGTCGCAAGTAAATCGAGTGTGTTTTTGTCGCACGGCTTGATACCATCGAATACAAGGCAGACAACAATCTTCTGCCAGGCTGGACCTCCTTTATTCCAGAATTCAGTCTTCTTCAGATTGACCTTTTCACCGAGGAATTATGAGATCAACTGCGCATAGACACCTAGTATTGTGGATCGGAGGAAACTCACGATATCACGGACATTTTGCATCACACCATGCAATGTCCGTGCAGTCAGAACCTTGTCCTCATTGTAATAGGTAATCGCGATAAGCATCTCGGTGTGTCGATTGTACATCGAAGGGCGCAGATTATACCCATGTTGCAGCGTAAACTCGTCAGGGTCGCATGTTGCAGCAGTATCTATCATCACCTATCAATGCCACCCCAGCGATGAGATCCAAGATAGATGATATCCCCGACTTACATCTCATGTGAGTGAATTCTTCGCTTTGTCCTTCAAGATCGCGATACCTGGGCTCGATTGCATTCCGTATTGCGCTCGGTACGGGATAGTCGACACTCAATACCGTGCCTTTGACAAGTTTGATTCGACGTGTGGGATACCGACGAAGGGTACTCAGTGCAGGTGTTTGCCGTTGGGCCCAGCGTTTCGAGCTCGTCGAGTCCGTATCAAGGTTTATGGATTCAGCTACCTCCGAGTCCTGCCCACCATGGACCCTTCCGTAATAAGACCCAGTCGACCGGCTTGTAGTGTCACTGTATGAAGGTAGATATCGATTTTGGCCGCTAACACTAGGATCGGATAGGTGATCTGAGTGGTTTGGGGGAAGTAAAGTCTGCATAAAGGGTTCTTGTTCATCAATTTCGGGGCTTGTCTGTTCCACAATACGAAATTTATTAGTTCACCCTTCGAGTCAACATTCACCCACCTTGAGATTCCCTTACAGGAGGATGTGATGGGGTTGTCCCGGCCCGCTGGCCGGAGTGAAGTGGCCGAAGAGAGGAGTGACGCTGGTCCGGAGGGGGATCCATCATACGTCAGTCGGACTTGGAGAAGATCAGTTTATATGGGAGGAAGATCTGTAAGAGGGATGTTGAAGTTGATAATGAGTGTAAGAAGAAGCCCAAGAGGTTGAAGCCGTCTAGTCAGTTGTCAGCAAAGATAGGGTGCCTGAGAGCATATATGGCAGCTAAGCAATCTGACACTCGGTTTGAATGACGCTTCCGAAGCAATTTTCAATCGGACTTTTCTTGGACCTTACCTATCGGTTCAGAACATGAAAGGACGATACTTGACCAATCAGTCGAGGGATTATATTGACGGGAATGCCCGACTATTTCAGATTGGCGAACCACACCGGCCCTTGTTTAAGACTGGGCTGTCTCTGTACGCCGACGGAAAAAGAGTGGAATGCCCGAATACTTGCTGGTCCCCGCGCCGCATGTCAATTCCTTGTGAAGCTGAAGTGCCTTGGTTGTACAAACCATCGGACTTGGGGAGGGAATCTACTCTTGCACCTGTTCTCGCTTACCTCTGTAGTACAGAGGGATAGCCGAGGGTTTCATTCACAAGCGGCGTTCTCGGTCCCGTCTGATGACCATCTACTGTTATTTGACTTAGTCGGCTGATTTATCTCGAGAAGTTGATGCATATATTTTGATTTCCTTATACTTAATTCTACGTGAAGTGGGTAAGTTTCCTCCGGCGAGTTGATTGGACACCCCTTGCAACCCTTTCAAACGGGCAAGGAAGCTTGGTCGCGGATTCTCGCAACCATTACTGGCTTTGAATGTTGCGGCTATCCGAGCGGCTTGAAGTCCAATAATAGGCTATGAGCTTAGTTTGAGTGTGTTCAGTCCTAAGGTTTTTATTCATCAAATAGTCTTTTGATAGACACCTTTTTAAGACGTTGTATGGGTCGTAAAAAGTGCGGTCTGACGACTTTGCTAGATCCGGAAGGTGAAATATAATGTTTGGTCAAAAGTCTGGCACTAGAGACTAGATAAAGGATCTAGCTAGATGTGCATTGAACGTGATCTTCTTGGATGATATTTCTGATAATTTTATCAATCATCTTTCTTGGCGGGTCATGTATCGACCTCTAGTTCATCAGCTAAATCGTGATTGATACGATAAGTTTAGGAATTTGTCGGGGGCCTGAACCAAAGAGACCCCACTGTAGATCCTTATATGTACACCTGGCGTGATAAGGCTTTGCTGGCAAGAGCAGTCCCCTCGTAAGGCGAGCACCCGATCCAATTCGGCAGATGATCTCTTCGCACCCGGAAACTCATGAAGTCCCATGAAGCCTCTTCGTATTCTCTAATCACATCTTGGCCGTTTCAAGGCGTCCAGAGGTCCGAGCCTTCAGGGGTGATTGATGTAAGTACTCGTTGTCACGACCCACTAATACTCCATGAGAATGGGCCAAGCGACCATCTAGACGCTTTACCCCGCCTGCAAGTCCCTTTTAGCTACACGTCAGGAGGAATCGAATAGACTGCATTGTTAATTTTGATCCACTTATTCTCGCCTTCGAGGCTGTCATATTTAGCTAAATCCTCATAATTAGCCACGCCGGATCTTCCGCTAAGAATAGGCGGGGCGGTCCTCATGGTGGCTGGATGTATAATTAGAGAGCCACTGCCCTTGAAAAAGAATCAGATGGAAACCACCTAAACTTTGAGATGCCTTATGAAGTCATTTATCAACCCCTCAAATTTAACAATATGGCGTTACATGTCTCTACCCACGCTTATCCTGTGTACGCCATTATCGCTGCATTACTCCTCCTTCTCCTTAGAAATCGGTTTAGGAAAGATCTGAGAGATATTCCCGGTCCAACTCTCGCCAAATACACCCGGCTATGGAAGCTTCATAATGTTTGGAAGGGCGACCACCACAATACCGCAATTTCATTGCATAGAAAACATGGACATCTCGTCCGTATTGGCCCCAAACACATCTCGGTTGGAGATCCCAAGGCTATCCCTATCATATATGGCTTGAACAAGGGTTTTACCAAGGTATTTGATAATCTAGTAGTCTTTCCATGACGAATCCCGTTGCTAAACTTTTGCTTAATTCATAGACGGCCTTCTACCCTATCCAGTGCATCTCGTGGAACAAAAAGCCACAGATGAACCTCTTCTCCGATCGTGACGAACAACATCATCGCGAACAAAAGCGCTTAGTTGCAAATGCATACAGCCTAAGCTCACTTCTTGAGATGGAGCCCGGTGTTGACTCGTGCACACAAATCTTCCTCGATAAGCTTGGTAGCTTTGCGGACCGGAAGGAACCAGTGGATTTGGGTGCATGGCTGCAGTATTACTCCTTTGACGTGATTGGTGAATTTGTCTTCGCTAAGAAACTCGGATTTCTCGAAGAAGGCCAGGACGTCGACGGTATGATTCAGGCCATTCAAGGAATGCTCGTTTATGCTAGCCTCTGCGGCCAAGTCCCAGAAATGCACCATGTCTTGCTGGGCAACCCACTGTTCCCCATCTTCCTGCCTCAGATGGAGACCTGGAACTCGGTGGTGACATTCAGCCTGAAAGCGATCAACTCACGGTCATCTTTGAAGCGTGACGGAGAGTTGGAGAAAGAGGACCTCGAAGCAGGGAAAGATATGATGTCAAAGTGGATGGCAGTTCATCAGCTTAACCCTGAAAAGATGACTACGACCGACGTGATGGTCCATCTTTCAGCAAATGTGTTTGCCGGTTCTGATACTACGGCCATTGCCCTCCGTGCAGTATTCTATTTTCTCATCCGCAACCCAACAGTAATGCTCAAAGTCCACGAAGAGATAGGCAATGCGACACGTGAAGGGAAGCTGAGCGACCCAATATCGTACCGTCAGTCGATGACCCATCTGCCATATCTTGGGGCTGTCATTAAGGAGGCTATGCGTCTCCACCCATCCACCGGGTTGATTATGGAGCGCCATGTTCCAAGTGAAGGTGCAATTATTTGTGGTAAGAAGATCCCCGCCGGAACAGTCGTTGGCATAAACGCATGGGTCGTGCACAGAGATCCCAAGGTTTTCGAGGATCCCGACTCATTTACTCCGGAGCGATGGCTGGATAGCTCGCCCGAGAAGCTCAAAGAGATGGAACAGAGTTTCTTCGTCTTCGGTGCTGGAGCTCGGACCTGCCTAGGAAAGAACATCTCTCTGACGGAGATGCACAAGATGATACCGGAGTTATTGCGTAAATTCGAGATCAAGTTGCATAAACCGGAAGAGGAATGGAAGACGAAGAATGTCTGGTTTGTGCAGCAGGAAGGGTTGATCTGCGACATTAGGCGAAGAACATAAGAGCCTAGTGTGACATCCAATCTCCGCTCGGAAGATTCATCTTCGATCGTAACTGAAGCGTCAACTCTCCAGTGCAATTTTCTCCATAGTTCAAGTAGGTAATAGTCAATGCATTTAAGTTTTTTCATGTACTGTACAAAAATGAATAATCCAACTCCGATTCCATGACGTTTTAACAGATTGTTACAGCCCAAAGCAAGCTTTGTTGGCCGATCGCAAGGCCTCCTTCTCACCCTCGCTCATATCCTCTGTGATCTTCCAGGGCGTGTTACCGAGACCCAGTGCTCGCTGTCCCTCTGCATCCAGCGAGGACCAGTCCATAGCTCCCTTGAATCCAAACTCGCCAGGACCACCAGCACCAGGGAAATCCCACGGTGGCGAGAAGTCAATTGCAGCCTGGCGCTGCTTCAGAAGGTACTCAATGTTCATGTCGCACAAGGGGGTGGCAGGGATGTAGAGCACGCTCGAGTCACTCTTGCCACGGTGCTCCTTATCAACAGAGTGGAGCATATCGCAATGCCAGGCAACAAAGTCACCGGGTTCAACGGTCGGCACAGGCACCATAGTCGTCTCCAGCTCCAGCTGCGGGTGGGTTACTGGGTTATACTCCTGGCAGGCACCGGGAACAGAGCCAGGGAAGGTGGCGTCTAAGTTGGGCTGCTGGCTCTGAAGATCGAAGAACGGGCGCAGGATTGTATACGCGGTGCTGTGAACAATCATGGGGCACACGTGCAAAGAACCCTCGCCGGGGCCAGTGTCGGACATTGACATCCAGCCCTGGAAAAAGCGAAGCATGGAACAGGCACCAGCACCGTTGTACAGGTCCATCTTGGCATTTACGCGGTGCTTCGCATCCCACGCGTCATATTGCTCCCAGTTACCTTCCAAGATCTTGGAGTATACGCTCGAGTACTCGGGGTCTTCCCAGCGCTCAAGTGAGCCACCGTCGACGTGTGGGCCAAGAGCGAACTTGGCATCACCAGGATCCCTGATACGCAGACGATCCCCGTAGGTGAGCGGATTGGATGTTGATAGCTTAGTATTAGGGTCAGAAGAATGCCATAAACGTTGCAGGAAACGCTGGGTGTTGAGCATGTTCGGATGGGCACGGGCTTCTGCTTGGCTTGGAGTCCAGTAGAGCTCGTAGACAGCTGGAGAATCGGCTGGGAATGCCTTGACGCGCTCTTTGTTGGAAGCAATATAATCGCGGATGCGCTCCTTGTAATCCAACGCCTTGTCGCGAGGGATAACATTTCGAATGACCACAGTGCCACGATGGCGGATCTCTTTCATCGTTGTGTCGGAGATGGTTCCCGAAACAACATCAGCATAGTCCACAGAGGGGATGATCTGGAAGAAGTCAATATTCATCCCAAAGGACAAATAGAGCAGAATAAAAGGAAATAATTTACACATACATCGCTGCCTTTCGTCCTAATCTTGTCAACTTCTTCTTCCAAACTGGGGAGCAGTCTCCTCCAGCTCTCAGTCAAGGCTTTTTCATTCTTTTCAAATAGTGACCGCTTCAAGTCTCGAAATCGGGGAGGAAGAGGCTCTGGCTGATAATCCGGTCTTAAACTAGGAAAGACCGACGAGATGTCACCCGCGGCTTTGGTGGTCTGCGTCGCGGTGGACGTAGATGCCGCACGGACAGCTGCTTTTGAGAGAAGTCTCGACATTGTCATATTGAATGAGTGTTTGCTTCACCGAGATTCTTTTCGGAGACTACTGTCCACTTAAATATGTCGATGGCCATCGTGAGATGTACTGCGCAAATGGCGGGAGATTACCTATTTAGGAAGCTTCCCGCTTCGCGGCGGGTAGATTTCCATAAATGGGTTAGCGTTACTGCCTGTCCGCCATTAGTAGTCAGAATAGCTCGAAGCACGTTAGGACTGTGACCATATAGAGAACTCATAAAAACCATTTCCAAAGACGAGCTCGGACAGGCAAGATCAGGTGAAAGTGCATGCAATGTTCTTTTGTCATCATTTAATACGTGATTGAACTTCATTGCACGGCCAATCCGGGCTCTGAGCAACCCTATGCATAGGGCGACAAATCCTTGGGAGGATATTTCTGGCAGCCTCTTGATAATTTGGTGTGTAACCCACACTACAGACTACAGACTTAGAAAATTAATACGAGCCTATCAGATTTTCTATGTACTACTGCTGCTTGTCGATGTACACTCGGACTTGAAGTCACTTGAAGTCATTTGCCTGTTTAGGAACATTACCCGCCCCGGGGGCAAAGGGTGGCGGGAAGACATAACTATGAGATCATAGATCAATACTATAGGGGCTCTGGCGTTCGAAACTCGGCTAGTCCGTTCAACTCGAATGTGGTGCTTTCAAGAAATGTTATCTGCTATTGAGCTGCGCTGGTATCTATCGAATGCACCAACTACTTGTGTTTTTAGTACTCGGTGACAGTTCACGCAATCTGCGACACGAAAGAGGAAATTCTGGCGAAGGCCTCTCTCCTGCTCCACTTCTGATCACGATGCAGTATTCGGGAGAAAGGGAAAAGAGAGATAGCGATTCTAGAAGCAGCTGCAACTCGAATAAATCAGATGAGTCGCAAATAAGGGGCCAAGAGCGATCCTCGAAGACAAAAAGACCCTCGGGCATCTCGCCGGTCTGACTCGGGTGACTTGCCTGGCAACCGAACGGTTAAATTCCCCGCGGATCCCCCTCTTTTTCCAAAACGGCTATGCTACGCGCGGTCATGAATCGCTGCAATGCACCCCGAGGAAGTCCCACAGGGCTTTACATGATACATAAGAGTAATGCTCTTCCGGCTGAGAGCGAGCTGTGCTGTAAATTTCTACCTAGTTTCCCTCAAACCTGCCTGCAGAATGGCCCTCTCAGTCAAAGGAAGAACCGCCATTGTCACTGGCGCTGGCTCCGGTATGTCGGCCTTTAAATTTCTAGATTCGATCCTGTAGATCAAGTGCTCACGTCTGCCTAGGAATCAACTTTGCCTACGCTAAACTACTGGTAGAGAATGGGTGCAATGTGCTAATTGCGGACCTGGCCCTACGACCTGAGGCCAAGGCCCTCGTTGAGACATACTCCACTGGGTCGCCGCGAGCCATCTTCCAGGAGACCGACGTGTGTGAGTGGGTACAGCTGGAGCGCATGTTCGAGGTGGCTGAGAGGGAATTCGGCGAAATTGATATCGTCTGCCCTGGTGCTGGAGTTTACGAACCAGTAAGTGTAACCAAAGGACGTGTAGTGAGGCATGTCTACAAGAACTACGACAAGAAGTCCCTCCTGTTGACTGACACCGGGTGACACAGCACTGGAGTAACTTCTGGCGCCCGCCTGGCTCGGCGCCCAGCAAAGACGCGCGTGACGGTGGCCGCTATGCCCTGGTGGATATCAATATCACACATCCCATCCGCACATCCCAGCTTGCGATTGCGCACTTCTTGAAGCACCGCAGTAATGGACGTCCGAAGCATCTCGTTCACATTTCCAGTATCGCGGGTCAGACGGCCGCCATGGCAGCGCCGATCTACTGTGCCACGAAACATGCTATCAACGGGCTGGTCCGGTCGCTAGGTAAGCTCGACCGGCTTGGCATTCGAGTCACGGCCGTGGCGCCTGGTGTCATTAAGACGCCCTTGTGGACCGAGCATCCCGAAAAATTAAAGATGGTGGATGACACCACAGACGAATGGGTGACGCCGGAAGAAGTCGCAGAGGTTATGCTGGCACTCGTGCAGCAAGACCAGGTGAGTGAGATCATTGGCAATCGGTCGGGCAAGGGTCAGCAGTATAAGGTTAGGGGAGGAACAATTCTCGAAGTATCGAAGACGGTGCGTGAAGTCACTGCCTTCAACGATCCAGGCCCTGGAGACCGGCCAGGCAACACGGCGTCCGACCACGGAGCTGTGGAGGAGGAAAGTTTCCGTCTTCTCCTGCAGGAGGGATGGGGACTGCAAGGCAAGTTGTAGTCTTCTTCTAGGCAAACGCGACCCGCCATCACACCATCTGCAGTGTCAATGAGAATCAGAATGTGTTAATAATCCGTTGATCCACCCGGCAATGGACCCGTAGGGCGTGTCGTCGTGTCGTAGTGAGGAGGTAAAATGGTGTCAGAAATGCGGAGAGCGGACAAGTCAGGTGCCGCCGAGTTATCGGGGACCGGCCCTGAGATAAGAGAGGCCACGCACGGCGCTGCTTCTTCTCTTCTCAACTTCGCCCCTCGAATTCGCAACCCTGTCAAATCTGTTCGGGCTCCGCTGGCCGTGGTCGCTGTCAGGTCTGATGCTAGATCCCGATCCATCGCCACTTTAGACGTGTGATACATCTCGATACCATGGAGGAAGAGCCAGCTGTCGGGGTTGGCCCTGCCAGTCTGCCCCAGAACGGTTCGCGATGGTACGTTCGCATACCCCAAAGCCTTTAGAGGCTTGTCCCTCTTGTGGCTATGCTAATCAATATGCCTATTAGGCGTGCTGCTCGAGGAAAAAGAACTGTTGGAGCCACTGGAGAGGCTAGTTGGGCTAGTAGCGTGATCAATTTGGTTAATACGAGTGAGTCGATCCAGGTGGGGAAAACGGGGGATAATTGGCGCTAATATGGACCTTCTTCGTACAAGTTATCGGCGCTGGTGTACTCGCGATGCCACTCGCGATCTCGCATATGGGAATTGTTCTGGGAGTCTTGGTGATTCTGTGGTCTGGAGTGACAGCGGGATTCGGTCTTTACCTGCAATCTCGATGCGCCCAATATCTCGATCGAGGCAGCGCTTCATTCTTTGCGCTGTCGCAACTTACATACCCCAATGCTGCCGTCGTATTCGACGCGGCTATTGCGATTAAATGCTTTGGTGTCGGTGTGAGCTACCTGATCATCATTGGCGATCTCATGCCGGGAGTCGTACAAGGCTTTGTGGGAGGCGAACTGGTTTATGACTTCCTGGTAGATCGCCATTTCTGGGTGACGGCTTTTATGTATGTCTTCAACTTCACGAGAAAAGTCAGTCATGTGCTAACATCCTTGGCTTGTTAGGTTGATCGTGATACCTCTTTCATACTTGCGCCGACTAGACTCCCTCAAGTACACCAGTATTGCGGCTTTGGTTTCCATGGCGTACTTGGTCGTTCTGGTCGTTTACCACTTTGTCAAGGGCGATACGATGGCAGAGCGCGGCCCAGTTCGCGTAGTTCACTGGGCTGGCGCGGTTCCGACCCTGAGCAGCCTTCCGGTTATCGTCTTCGCATTCACATGCCATCAAAATGTACGGCTGCAGTATCCCGTATCCTCCTGGCTATTGAGAAGCAGAGTGCTAACATTATTCCTCAGATGTTCTCCATTCTTAATGAAATCAAGAATAATAGCCACTTCCGTACGACAGCTGTTGTTCTCGCCAGTACTGGTAGCGCAGCCGCAACCTACATTCTAGTCGCCATCACGGGCTACCTCTCTTTTGGTAACAAAGTTGGGGGCAACATCGTTGGCATGTATCCTCCTGGTGTTGCAGCCACAATTGGGCGCGCTGCAATTGTCATGCTGGTCGTCTTCTCCTACCCCCTCCAATGCCACCCATGCAGAGCTTCGGTTGACGCCGTCTTGAAATGGCGCCCTCGGTCGCAGCCCACCGGCACCGAGGCCTCTCCCCACCGACACCCCCTGCTTGGCCCTCGCGGTAACCGCACACCGGAGCCGATGAGCGACCTTCGCTTCTCAGTCATCACTACTACCATTCTCATTCTAAGCTACATCGTTGCCATGACGGTGTCTTCCCTCGAGGCAGTCCTTGCATACGTCGGAAGCACTGGCAGTACGAGTATTAGTTTCATTCTGCCGGGACTTTTCTACTACAAGATCTCCTCTCCTGACTCTCCCACTCACCGTGGCCTACTGAAGGAGGACGATGAAGCGGTTGACGACCTATCTGATGACGATGACGATGCCGATGCTGACGGCGAGGGACCACTGGCACGATCATTGACTGAGAGCGGCCTGCTGCTCCGCAACACTCGCCACTGGCGCAAGGCTCTGCTGCGACGCCTAAGCTTGGGCTTGGCGATGTACGGAGTCCTAGTCATGGTTGTGTGCCTGATCACGAACACTTTCTTCATTGCATCGCACTGATCCCATAATGGCCCAATTGCTACGATATCACTGTGTCATATAAGCCCAGTTCACTGGGCTATCTACGCACTATTTGGTCTATACGACAGAAAATGAGGTCTGTACCTTTGCTTTTTGCTCGACAGACACTTTAGATTTTTCTTCTTTCTGGACATTTGCTGGCTCGTTGAGCGCTTCAATTTTTGCACAGTCTTGGCATCTTGGCCTCGTTGTAATCGATCTAATGAACGGCGTTTGGAGCTTCGATTCTCACCTTTTGTTCTGGAACCTGTTGCTTATGATACATATGCCAGTAGAAATTGATTTCTTGCATTCGGAATGGATTTGCTGGCGGCCAGCAAGCTAGGTCATAAAAGATTCGACCACATAGTTGATAGGAGAAGGCGTAGTACCGTAAATTAACTAAGCTGATCTCACGCAGAATTGACGGAACGAACGGGCCACCCAGAAGACAAGCCCCAGGCCTACCACTCCCATAAGGATATTGGATGCACCGGGTACGTGAGCAGACCAGCGGTAGGGATGAGCCACGCCACCATGGTCTGTGAGACTTGCAGCTGATTCTGCTTTGTAGCTGGCCGATACGTCAATACCCATAGTAGCCCATGCCAAAATGCCGTCTTCCAGCGAATGACCAAGACGAGTATAACTCAAGATAGGGTCATAGCTGCTTGCACTATTCACGTCGTTGAAAATACCATCGTTTATATTTGGCGTGATGCGAGCATTGTTGGTCTTGTAGTGAGCAGTAGACTCCACAGCTGCGATCAAGTCCTGATCGAAGAAAAGCTGGCCGATATGAGCAACATGACCTCCAGTTACGGTTTGGTTAGGCAAAATTGTGGCCCCGACATGTGCTAGCACATGAATATGGGTAGCACGACCAGCATAGTGACCAGGGAAAATGGTAGTGAATTGTGCGGCTCCATCTTTGTCAGTTCGCTGAATGCCTCTCAGGTACATCTTGTCGAGATTGGAATCATCATCACCGTGGTGGTGGCCAAAGTCTTGAACCCCCGAGTAACTTCCAGTGGCATTACAGTTCCATATCTCCCAAAAGACATCCTCAACTGGTTCGCAAGTGTGGATATCGATGAATTCTCCGTCGAGAATCAATGGAATTCCAGGCTCTCCATCGGTGACATTGGATCGGATCAACTCGCCATCGACCCAGAATGGACCAATCGTTGCCTCGGGGGTAAGGAGACAAGATGGGTTCTCGGACGATGATAGTGCTGCTTGCGAGAAAGAAGAACGGACTGACTTGGAGACAGAGTCGGAATGAGAAATGCCACGATATGAATCCAAAATCGCAGCCCGACGAACAGCGGCGCGAGCATCAAGTTCTCCACGTTTGATATGGTTGGAACATCTGGCGAGCTTTTGCCTTGCCTCTTGTACCGAACGGCTTGAGGCAAGCGATCGAAAGTAGGCACCTTCGTCATGACTACCAGGATGAGCCATATTCAGCCCCGACAGATTCAAAAGAAGCAGTAGCCAGAGAGACAACATTGTCCAAAGAGGTTCTGGGAGAAGCTAATAATAGCGTTCGTGTCGAGCAAGAAGAAACAGATGCCATATTTGCAATATTTACGAGCGGGGCGAGCAATACGTATCTGCGAATCTGTGGTATTCGTCATCAGCCATCCTGGATAGGTTAGCGTCTCAAACCATACGTGAGGAATGGTAAATGGATTGAATCTCAGTGGAAACGCTGACCCGAACTCCACATACCGAAGAGCTTTGAATAACGGCTAATCTTCTTTAGGTCTAGCGTTTCATCTTATCGATACGATCAACTGCACGTGATCTCACGTCACATGGCCCCTGCGCCCCCAAGAAGAGTGGTCATCTTCGCCTCAACGCTTGCTCATCAATACATCTCTCAGTGTCCTCATCAAAGTTGAATTTGCGCGAGAAGACGCAAGAAACCAGCGACATAATGGCTGCGAACGCTCGATATGAGCCTGCCCCGCAGCGGGACTCCTTTGAGGACGAACCGTACACTCAAGCACCACCCTCCTACCAGGCTACAGCGACTAGCTCGGAGCCGCGCACCGAAGATGACAACGTACCTGACGACTTCAAGGTATGTAGATGTCCGACCAGATATCTTGGGAGAAACAGGGACTGACTTTGAATTTCAGTTTGGAGGTATGGTCGCGGAGGGAACTATTGACATTCGGATGCAGTTCGTCCGCAAGGTGTATGCCATTCTGTAAGTTGTGCTAACCCCTCCCCCTCCTGACGGAATTTATTCAACGATATCTTGAATATATCACTAATATCAAACCTCAATTATAGTACCGCCCAAATTCTCCTCACTACCGTTCTCAGCTCCGTCTCGTTCTTCAACGAGACATACCGCACTTGGATTCAGGGCAACTTTTGGCTCATGATCATCTCCGTCTTTGGCGCCCTCGGTTTCATGCTCGCAACCTACTGGAAGCGCAAATCCTACCCAACAAACCTGCTGTTCCTCTCTGGCTTCACTTTGATGGAAGCGTACTCCATCAGTGTGGTGACATCTTTCTACGAATCGCGGGTCGTGGTGCAGGCACTGGTCCTGACGTTGGGTATCTTTGTCGCGCTCACTCTCTTCGCCTGCCAGACCAAGTATGATTTTACCAGCTGGATGCCGTATCTCTTCGGCGCGCTGTGGTTCATGATTCTTTTCGGATTCGTGGCCATGTTCATGCCGTTTGGTAGCACTGCAGAGCTCATCTATGGTGTGTTGGGTGCACTGATTTTCTCCGGGTACATCCTCGTGGATACCCAGCTCGTTATGCGACACTACCACGTCGAGGAGGAGATCGCTGCCGCTATTGCGCTGTATCTGGATATTCTGAATCTCTTCCTTTCGATTCTGCGCATCCTGAACAGCCAGAACAACAACTAAACGGATGAAGTATTAGTGAACAGAGATATGAGGACATCTCTCGGGCGTCGACACTTTTGCAAATTTTCAGTTCGGACACTCACTTCGCAACCCTGGATCCCAGGTGCTTCCCGAAGCTAATCCTGCAGGATATGGTATTATCCTTCTGCATTCCTTTTCGATGGTAGCTCATGGCTTTCGAACATGATGTTGTCTCTCTTGTCTCTCTTGCTTCCCCCCTCCCCTAAGCCCCCTTTCACGGGTTCAGCCTTCGGTTCTCAATGTGCCGTTGGTCCACAGGTAGCATTACTCGCAAATAGTATAGCCACCTTGATTGGATTGTTAATAAGAATATTTGACTAGCTTGAGTACTCTCCAGTATGTGTGTTTACTTATCAGACTACCGTTCTCGCATCTCAAGCGTGATATTGCAATCATATAGGAAACGTAGATTCGAGCCAGAGATACTTCTTGTAATCTAACTCTCCTGGTCCACGATAAGACTTGAAGATTCTTTGACGAGCCGGTGGAGTCGAGGTTCTTGGGTTAATGGCTTCGCTATAGACTCTCATAAGTTACGTTCGAATTGGGAGTAGGCGTTCTAATTAAGGCTAAGTTTTGGTTCACTCCCACGTATCAGTATCAACGGCACGGCAACCACAGCGATCATGAAGGCATATGCTAACAAAACGGGCTCTCATCGGTGATGTCCCCTCGTCTTATGACCCATGTGATGGTCACTCCGTTTCGCGACAACACACTTTTCTTCGGCATGGTTGTTCGTCGCGTCGATTATCTTCTGTGCTATGGCTTGCTGGTCGGACGATGTAACTTCGTCCTCATTCTTGGTCCAACCAAGCGCTGTTGGGAGTCGCTCATACTCTGTTTCATGAGGAATTGTAAGCAACAAGCTTGAAGAGAGTAAAGAAATAAGCGGATGATACGGCTAGAAACTCACGAAAGAAATACTCAACCCAGGACTTGTTCACGATTCCGGAAGACTTGTTGCCAAATACAACAATGTACGCAGCAGACTCTCCGTAAGTAAGGCTCAAAGCTTCCCCCGACAAATCGAAATCCGGGTTTGTAGCATTGGACATATCCACACGAGCCTGGCGAGCACGAGCCGCTTGCTCCACATCAATGAACGAGCCCGTCCAGTGGGATCGAGTCTGGTCGAAAATAGCTTGATTGAAAGTATGATCGTTTCCGAAGTAATAGTCTTGTCGACTACGACAGAATGGTCAGTCTCTGTCTGCCTTTTCCTAAATGCAGCACAATTTGACATACCTCAAGCTCGCGTCATGCTCCAAAATGCCATGACTGCATAGATCATCGAGAGAATATGTGCTAGCGTGAGGATTGGGGTTCGTCATCAGAGCTGCTTCGAATTGTGTTTTGGCAAGGTCCTCGTTAAGATTGATGGAGGATTTCAAGGCATTGATGGTTTGCTCTTGGGTGATGTTCTTGCCATCATGCGGGAGGATACCATGGTTGGCAAGAGCATTCAGCATAGGACAAGGTGATCGAACTAAGATGCTGTTAGAGTGCTAGAACCGGAGGCTGTACTTGAAATTGACCACTTACCATCGCCCGGGCCAGCTGGTCGCCAATTGACCAGGGGATGGCCGTCCGGTATGTTCAAGCTGGATGCGCCGGCGCAAATGGCCGCGGATAATACCAAAAGACATTTCATAGTGATTTGTTTTGTGAAGTCAATAATCTTGTGGAGAGTTTGGTCGAGGCGCCGATTATGAGAACTTTATACATTTAAGGCAAGCAATATCCGGGCTTCACGCGAGCCCGTGCGAGCCGAACTCATTTCATTCAGAGATTCGGCACAAAGCCGGCTCAGGGGATCGACATGTTCAGATGCAGATCGGCGGGGTGACTACGCCAATAACAGAAAAGGAGGCCCGGGTCTAGACTACTTTGAGATCATTAAGAGCAGTGAGTGTTGAGAACTTGAGAGAACCTTGTTTATCCGGAGATCCGCTATCGGATTTGCATATCACTCTAAGCATGTTAGACCCAATCTGTTGCAATTTATAAGTATTTCTAATCAATTGTAGTATCTTTGAGTTTGAACAGAAGAGAACACTACATTTTTGCACTGGAAAAGATTAAGATCATAATCGTCCACAAGGTGCAACCCATTCAGGGATCATGCTTAGCTATCTAAAGCCACCAACAGGACTCAGCAGTCTAAGCTCGAGTGAACCACCCCTGGCCTACTAGTAGTCTAGTATACAGTAGTCACTACGCTACCTAAAGTTTTTGGCTTCTTTCATCGAATGACAAACTCCCTATTTTCAAACGAGAACGAGTTGATTCTCCACGGACCTGGGATCCACTCGTTGTGCAATTACCCAAGAGGGGCTAGACGCGCTTTAGCGCCGACTGAAAAAAAGGGACTTGACAAATAATGGGAAAAACCATTCGTATGTGCATTCATCATAAAGGAAAATCATGGCTAGTCATGCAATTCTACCAGAAATTAGGCCCCCTCAAATTACCACTTCCTTTGGGGTTCTCCCACTGCCCGATGAGGAATGGGTTTCGTCTCGCTCGTCAAGAGGAGTCGCCACGCCTTCGGTATCGGTGTAATCCCCTTCCTCTTCAGTCTCCTCATCTTCCGAACTCTGGCCAGGAGCCCCAGTGGCACTAGAGAGATTCGAAGGAAGCTGTCGGCGCTCAAAGTCTTGTGTATGAGCGGTTCCGGCCCTGAAGCTGAGGCGTCTGAGACTTCCTGATGGATGGCCTGAGGGATACCGAGGGCGCACGCTTGACAATCCCGGGCTTCCGACACCAGTTTCGACGTCGACGGTGGGCACGTCCGGTGTTTGAGTATGCTGCTCTTGGAGCTGGACACCGTCGGCCTGGGAGCCCTCTCGGGATCTCTGGGAGAGATCAAACTTGTATGGTAGTTTAGGCTCACGCGAGGCGTGGAACTTCATCACGTTCGCGCAGTGCTCGTTCTCTACACGGAAAACGGACCACACCCCACGGCGGAACACCTCTGACAATGCAACGAAGAAGCTGAGGAAAGCCGAATGCTGGATGTCGTTGGAGAAGATGGCATAGAAGATCCAATTGAATCGAACCACGACATCCAACACGATTGCGGCATAGTAGACCCACGCATAGCGGAAGCCTAATTCGTCACGCAAAAGGATGTGCTTGGCGTAAGGGTTACCCAGACTCCAATCCATGACCACGTCCCAGATAGATGTGTAGAGGGAATTCAGGAGGGCAAAAGTGAGGAACGGCGCTTGGAATCGCGTCTGTCTGTGGATGCGCCACATACTCAGACACATGTAATAGCCGATACCGCATAGGTATTTTGCCAAGTTGAACAGATGCGGGAACGCATCCTGCGGAAACGAGAGTTTTTTGTTCTTCTTGTCATTGGCATAACGACGAACACACTGCAACGCACGCCAGAATGATGGCAGACAAGTGAAGACGCCCATTACTCTCGAGTGGGATGAGTTGCACCTGACAGGGTCACTCCAGTACGTGATATACAGGCAGAAGAAGAGTTCGATGTTCTGTATCTGATCAGCAAAGTCCTCCAACATGGATACGGAGTACTTACCCCCATGGCGTAGGTATGGGAGCAATACATATCGCCCAAGAAGAAATCACGAAACTCAACCGTCTTGTACAACCCAGAGAACCACAAGCGCCACTAGGTCTGTCAGTTAAGAACTTAGGGTTGTCAGAAAGTGGTAGAAACTTACATTCGTGGCGACCCACCATTTCCGACTCTGATGGTACAGTACGGGTGCTGGTAGATAGACGATGATAACGGACAGGCCAATAAGCACCACGGGCCAGTATATGTACATCTCGTTGACCCACGAGAAATTAAGCCACATGAATAAACCGAGAAGAAAAATAAAAAACGATGAGACCTAAGCAGTTGTCAGAATAGGGTAACAAGACATTTTTGGTAACAAGAGCGTACCTCCAGCAACTGGCGCCACTCCAGAGTGTGCCTAATATTATATTCAAAGATGAATCGATAGTTGACCTTCGATCTGGTCCAAATCATGCAAGCTAGGCAGAATAGCAATACATGGAATGAGATCAAGAAGTATCCACCGTACACCTAGTAGACGAGTCAGTCAAAATCAGGTCTGAGCGAGTTACACGATAGGCGAGGGTACGAGGGGGTTCAAGTCATCACGAACCTGTAGCAAGTAACTCGTATGAACCTGCAGGGTGAGGTCGCCATATAATAAATGCCTCGCCGCATGCACCAGCGCCTGGATAGAGAACAAAAGTCCCGCCATGAGGAAAAGACCCGCACGGAATGTGTTGGGAGAGTAATCTCCGGCCTTCTGTGTTACGCTGCGTAGTTTCGAGGCGGCAATTTTGGTATTACCGGCCTCGAAATATCGCCCGTACCAATCTTCCACCTTTCGCATCATCTTTGCCGTTTCTCCACTCTTGACAAAATACGACTTGTTGACTCGCTCAGTCATATACTCTAGGGGCTTCTCCGCATTGACTGCTTTGTCGAACTTCTTGTTGATCTTTCGAAACGCCGTTTGGTTCAAGTTAGCATAGCCTCGGAGAAGATCAATTCCACGATAAAATTCTTGCATAGCAACTTTGAGCTGATGTTTGGCGGTCCGATATCCCGGGTCTTTGGTAGGCGAATCCTGATTTTGCATATTTTCCCTTCGGTCGAACATGAATTCGCGATCTCTTGGTCGAATGCCTGGCGTCTCCAGCTGGGCCAGAGCCTCGGAGTTCTTTCCAAATCGGAGGCTTTTCCGCGTAAGTGTTTCTTTCAGCGTTTCCTTCAAGTGAGCAGCATTCAATACGGCAAGTCCTGTCGGTCGATGCGGCACATCGTGACCATTTCCATTGGCAGCTTGCTTGGCATCCTTCATTTCTCCCTGGCGGTTCCGGGACATGACATGGAGTTGATGGTGAAGCATGTGATATCGCTCTTTAGCCTCTTCCTCTTTTCTACGATAGAAATCGTCAATCTTCTTCAGCTCATCATCCATCCAGATAAAAAATTCACTATAGCGTCTCTCGATCTCTCGGCGCGAATCCGCAGGCGAAGAATCGTCTGCATATGAAAAGACACGCCGAATGAATTGTGGGGTACGATTGACTCCGAGGGTGTTAGGTGAGACTCCCGACACCTCAGGCGGTATTTCCGAGCCCTCGATTGTAGGCTCGCGATGCAAAGAGGAATTATGACTTTTCGCGACCTTGGTCAAGTTGGGCTCTGTCGGAGTAGATGCAACTTGTCGAGTGAAGACCGGCGATGAGTTCTTATGTCCCCTTAGACCTAGATTGTCGCTTGATGGCACATGATCCTGATTCGGATCGATGGCAGGATCTGGAAGCTTGAGCGACCCGATGTCTGGGCTTTCAGCGTACTGGCGTGGCGAGGCAACGATACTGCCGTAACTTCCCACGGGGCCCGAGAACCGCGACCCTGGTGTTTGCAATGGCTGTTGCTCGGCAGTTTGGGTAGGTCGGTTGGATGGATCGTTATGGTCCGGCTGGTCGAATTGATGCGGTGAAATATTGGAAGACGCGGATGGGTATCGCATAGATTGGGATCGAGCCGAGAGTCCTGGTGTCCGATTTGCCGTTCGAAGTGCTCGGGTAATGGCTTTGATCTTCTTCTTGCCCGTCTATACACCCCGCACGTTTAGCGACTGGTTACCGTGTATGACGAAGAGACAGCACAGCTTACCTTATAATTAAGATACATCACCCTCCATTCCGGCACCAACTCCTTTTCCAGCTCTCTGTGAGTTTGAATTATGGTTAACCACTGGAATGTCTCCTTGGGATGTGTCATGAGACAAGAAGAGGGGAGGGGCACTCACTTGGCGAACTTCATCCTGGCGACGAAACGACTGTCATGGCATACCTCGTAGTGGTTGGAGGAGGGGAATGCGGGAGCCGAGTATTCAAATGGGAATAATCAGAGAAGTGCAAAGATGCACGAAGATTGCAAACGAAAATGCGAAACACAGATCGGAAAGAAAAGCGCAAAAACCTGCACGAAGCAGCGCCGCCCAGATAAGCGTGATTGGCGGTAGCCAAGCTGGTACTAGGCCAAGTTGGACATTCGTAAAAGACGTTGTGAAGTAGTTGGAGAAAAAAAAAAAAAAAACCTCTCGAATCGCCGAGAACCGGCGTCAAAGTAAGGAACGCCTGGGGATTTGCGCGCGTCTCGAGTACCGCGAGATCTAAATTGACGCCTCCTGTAGAGCTTGTCCCGAGGACATTTTCCAGTGAATCTTGCGACAATCAGAGAGCTTGACGCGAGCACGTGCGACTTCATGATGAGCTCATGCTTCCCGCTTTAATGCCTGAGGATGCCTTGCCATGCCTGAGCGTTCGGGTATTAACGCGTCAATTGATCAGCGTGGAATCTGATTGGTCGTAATGATAACCACGGACCCGTTGGGCCCAAATTCCAAAGGCGTTCTGGAATTTCAACTTTGATACTCTGTTCTTTGAATGGACTTCCTCCAACAACCTTGATCTCTGGTCTACACCCTGCATGGCACATGGCCTTTGTCACACACCGCTATGTATGCAGTCTCTTTTCAAATAAACTCGTCATTCGATACGAGATGAGCCGGGGCAATCACGAGAGCTTTGTTGCTTAAAACCAATCGTGAAGATCTACGAAGTACTTCCGGGTCCGGAATGCAGCCCAAGAATGTGCTCGGCGGGTTCTCATGGTGATGACTGGCTAGGAGAATATCTGTTCGTGCAACCTTACGCCCTATCTGAGTGAGATATCATATACCTCCTTGATCATCGCTCGTATGGTGATAAACTATGATGGAGTTTCATCAACCTTACCTCACGGTGCAAGAAAAGGCTTTCTGAAGGACAATGTGAAAAGTTTGTTTCAAATGACAACATCGACGGGCGGAACCATGCCATCGCAAGAAGCAAAAGAGGGAAATTTCAGTCGTTGGATTTCATTTCATTGCTCGACCTTACCACCCCGGTACGTATGCACAAAAGTATATACCGTAAGCAAGGGTGTCCTGTAAAATCTCGTTCATATCTTTATTCGATCCCCAGATGACCCCCAGGCCACTCAAAATGTCGAGCTCGGCTGCCGGGGCCCTGATACCCGTTATCATTCATATCTGACACATTTACCAGCGACCAGGACGGTCGAAGCGCTCATGACGGTCGAAGCGGTTGGGGTCGTACTCGTCAGCACCGTGGCCACGGACGTAGTGATCATCGTACATGTGCTCGGCGTTCTTCTTGGCGTGATCGTGGGCGCGGAGACGGTCAATCTCGTCCATGCCCTTGGTCTCTGCGAGCTTGTCGACCTCGGCACCGACGAGGGCCATTAGAGCCTCCTTGGCGAATGCGTGCTTGACGACCTTACCTTTTAACGAAACATGATTAGCACCATGGAGCTACTAGGTAATTGGAGGCTTATGGGTTGTGTAGAAGCGGATACATACCCTCCTTGCGCTGGTGGTCCTCCCAGGCCTTCATTCCGGCGAAGGAAGCAGCACCGGCAATCAGCTCGTGGCTCAAGTGGCTCTCATGGTGCTGCTCGCCGTACACCTGGCGGTGAGCTTCATCGGATTGTTCTAAGATAAGGTCAGTATTAGTCCGATTTAAAACATATCCGGTAGCTCGTGATATGATGGTGATGATTGGGTATGTATGGTATATGCGAACTGCCTGCATGGGTGGGGGGCAGGGCGGCATACACATGACGGGGAGGTGTATATGAAAGACACGACAGAAGACTTACCCCAGCCCCAAGCCATTGTCAATATATTATGTAGTAGGTGAAAAGGGGTATAGAATGCTAGTAGGCAAAAAGCGTGATAATTGGATGGAATCGGCACTGCTCAGCTCGGGGTGACGAGGCGATTCTTATAGCGGAGACGGTCACAACGGAATACTCCAGAAACACCGAAATAGCTATCTGTTCAGCTAAGGGTATTCAGGAGTAGCTCTCTTCATTACAACCCTCTCTGTCTCAGCTCCTACAAGCCCCACCGAATCGGTGGGCGCAGTGGCTGAGGGCAGCAGCCTACGGGGTGACTATATTGGGATAGTTAAAGGCGGATGGAGTCACGGCCCCTCCAAAACAGTGTTCGACCACGGATCATACCGACTACTCATTGAGTGATTTGCCCCTTCATCGAGTAAGTGGAGAGCAGATCGCACCGCCTGCTCTCGTCTCAGCCACTGGGTATCCTAGGGCGCTAGGAGAGGGGCACTTGGGACGAGCTGATCCAGTGAGATCATCGCCAGCAAAGTGTTGGCTGACCCCGAGAGCCGACATATGAAATTGAACGTAACAATTGGGACCAGTAAGAACAAAGGTGGTAGGGCTACAAAATGAACCCGAGCTCTGGTCGTATGGCAGATTGGTGCCGTCCAAAGTCTAGCGGACACGGATTTCTGCAGTCCTGGGACGCGAATAGAATATTTATTTTATTTTTTGGTTCTTTGGCTTAGCCGGTAAAGTGCTGCGAGACTACGATATACCTACTTCGGGGTCTATAGAAGTTCATCATAGCCTTGATCATAGAATTGCTACGTGCCTTTTCTCTCCTCGCCAAGATGCGAGACTCTAAGGGTACATATGTACTCTACTACAGTACAAAGTGTGTACAAACAGAAATAATACTTCCCTCATTGCCGAGCTCTCACGGCCCAAAGCCCATTCGCCCTGAAGGGTTACGAGTACATGCGCCCCACTATCGAATGAGGCGCCGATGAACAGGACCCATTAGGATCCATTCAGCCCTACTTCGTCTTCAGGTCAACGAATGAAACAACCAATACATAGTGGACCTTTGCAGTCCTTTACCACGCCTGCCTTAGCGGTACAATATTCCGCGCTCCTCCGGAATACACGGGACATCTTGGCCCCGTCCGAGTTGGGCGGCACATGCAGGCCGGTGTTGCCGAGCCAAGCTTCCCTTCTCCGAGGCTTGTCCGCGCCTTACGAGGCTGGAAGGTCCCCTCTTCTTGGGCATTAGCCAAAGGGGAGACTGGCGGTGAGTACAGGCCAGCTCAATTCCATTCCAGCTAGGAGGTTACCCATACACATTGACTGATGGCCCGAAGCTCATCAGAATGGTAAATGGCTCACCTTCTAGGTCTGCAGCTGCACGGTGGACGCGGACTTGAGGGGACTTCCATTGCGATGGATGGGTCTTGGCATTACGTACAGGCACCGACCCATGTGGCGCATGGCACAGCCACAGTGCAGTCGCAGACTCGGGAGTTGTTCTCGATGTTATTGTATGGAGGATGTTGATTATAGCATGAACGTCACTCATTGAAGAGGATTCTGGCTTTACGTTTGCCAGATGAGACCAGTTCAATGAGACACAATCTGGTTCTGTTGAAATGATCTCACAAGGTAGCCTGATGTGCGCGAACCCCAAGGAAATGGAAGGAGCTCTAAACCATACTGCTACAAAGAGGAGGATGTGGCCACAAGAATCTGGCGGCATTAAGAGCATTAAAGTGGATGTGTATAACTACTATATGTTAATGATCATGAGCCTCTACATAGCATCATGAGATCTTCTTGCATTCGTTGCGAACTTTTCTCCCACAGCCTCACGAATCATGAAAATGACAAAACCGGGCAAATATCGGCATGCCGAACAGCAGTAATGTCGTGAAAATACACGCTAGGATACCCAATATATAGATATTCGTTGATTCTGGGATGAGAGCTTCAATGGCTCATGGTCAAGACAAGACGACTATGGATTGGCAGGCACTTTCTGGTAGTTTTATCTAGGATATATTATGAATAGTTGGGCAAGCACGACGACATGCAAAGGTTACTCATCGAGAGGAAGGAAAGAAGCTTGTAATCGCAAGAAAGAGGAAATTTTAGATGCCTTACAGACCGAACCGCAAGGCCATCCTGCATCACCATAAACGCTATTGTACGGAGTACATAGTGGACATCAGAGCCAGCTTTGGAAATATCAACAGTAAAACTATACATGACCCGAACTGGAACGGCACATCAGGTTGCTGAACTGAACCCAAAATCTGCTTTAGGCCCTTTTTGTGTGAGTTTAAAGCTTCGGATCGTACATTGCCCGGCGGCGCCCAGGCATACAGCCTTGATGTACCTGCCTTTTTTCATTCAATCGTGTATCTGTTCAAAATCCTAGGACGATGGATTGAACAGTCATCGCTGTTTATTTTATGAAAACCATGCTTTCACATAACCGAGGCTGCTTGAGGCGAGTGTAATCTCGAATACGCACAGAGACAATCTGGCAAGATAAAGTTCATAGGTTGGAATACATTCTTGGAAGCCTGTTGATCCACGAACAGCATTCGTACTCTCATGAATTGAGGCTGTGACCATTAACCTTCCTGTGCGGTACTTCCGATTATCTCAACCCAGGCAGGAATTTAAAACCTGTAAAATTTGGACTTTTGGCTCGTGTGCCCAGGCTCGTCTGTTTATTATGTTGTCGCTCAATCCAAAAATCCATTTTCTTCTTTTTCCAAGCGTCTAATTCCACACGTCCATAGTGAACACGAATTTTCCGTGATTATGAGACACTACATACGGCGGACTATAGGGGGGAGAGGGCCATAACCCTAAAAAGTTCTTCAAAGAGTATTCACCACTTTCTTCCGCCCTAAGTACATTTCATGCTTAGTATATCACTATGAGATTAACGTAGAGATTAATTTAGGAACTATCTAGGAAAGTGTCTAGGAAAGTGCCTAGGAAACCGTCTAGGAAACCGTCTAGGAAACCGTCTAGGAAACCGTCTAGGAAACCGTCTAGGAAACCGTCTAGGAAACCGTCTAGGAAACCGTCTAGGAAACCGTCTAGGAAACCGTCTAGGAAACCGTCTAGGAAACCGTCTAGGAAACCGTCCAGGAAACCTTCTAGGAAACCGTCTAGGAAACTACCCCTCTATCTTAGTAACGATTGTAATAATTAATAGGATTAGGTAAAAAAGTTAGGCCGTAAGAAGTGTCAACATCAGATTACGGTTCATCTCTACATTGTAGCTCCAGTAATCTCATCAGTCATTTGATCTGAATCGATCTCGATTTTTTCGGTGCGGAAATCGCACTCAACCAAGGGTCTCCCCCTATCGTCCGCCGTAGTTGTCTACCATTGACCAATCAATCACAAGTAGGTGTATGCAGAGGAAGGGCAATGCATAACACGAGATAGCGCAGATCAGCCGAAGTTTAAACATGACGCCCCTTCAGTGTTCTAACCGACCTTTACCCCTTCCCGGGGCACCACACGGGCTGTTCGTACTGCATAGCGCAACCGACACAATCCCGCCTGCAAACCAACAACCAACCACCAACCCCACGGGGAGTGTTGCCTTTGAACGCCTTTGAATTACCAAACGCCTTGTCTACCTTTTGAAAAGGAGGCATAAGAGGAGAGCTCATTTGCGCTTCTCAAAAAGCAATTTTCTGACTAGCAAAATTGAAGGTCACCCTGCGCGTGAAGCTAGCCGGGATTGGAGGGGTCCTCCGGCCCTAACCCGCCACATCCGGACCAAGAGTCTTAGAACTCCACGAAATCACAAGTGATCTCACGGGGAGGGGTCGGAGTCTTTATCCCGGCTAATATGGCTATGATTGCTTCATATACTGTAACGTGTGGACTTTCTTGCCGAGATCAAGGGCCTGGGAGTAATTAACCACTGCAGGAAATCATGCGGGGAAATAAATGATATGTTTTAACAAGTTCGCCGAGGCACGTTCAGCATACCGTGGTTAAACACTCTCGGCTCTTCACTGTACACGATGCCGATAGTAAGTAACACGTTTCCCATGATACCGAGAGGCCTGGAAAATCAACTTGGAGTAAATCTAGGTCGTGTCTCGAAGCGTGGCTTCTAATTTTCAGATTGAGAGCGAAGAGATAATCGGATAACCGAAGACGATGCTTTGGGGGCTTTCAAGGCTGCCATATCAAATACTGGCCAAGACCGTCTATGGGCCGTGTGCAACGGGCAAAAGACGGAAATTTTGCGGGGCCGGGAAATCGAGTAAGCCATGTGGTGCAGTTTCAGACCGGGCAACATGTCGCCGATATGCTCTCATAAAGGGATGCGGACGAAAAGGTGATGATACGGCCCGATCAGGACGACGCAGGGTCGTGTGGGGTATGGAAAGCCAGGCACCAGCCAGTACTTGCATCGGTCGGGGTTGTTAGCTTCGGAATGAACAGCCAGTCACAGCGCGAGAATACTTTTAAATCCTTGTGAAGAAGTGCTCGGATGATGTCGAAGATGGCGAGATGCCCTTCCCCGCAGCATCCGACCTATCGGCATTGACCGATGTCTGCAAAAACCCATCATGACGGGCTCGGCTGGGGAGCGCCCCAGGGATGCAGAACTTCTGGAATGTTCATCACATCTCTCAAGCGCTAGTCACTAGTTGGTAGGAGGTGTGAGGAGTCCGTTGACGAAATTGTCTTTGGGAGACCCTTCTTGGGAGCACAATATCCTCGAGGCTAAATTATAAAGAGGCGATCTGCTCACCAGGACTCTCAAGTATATCAGTCTCATTACCCTTTTTACACCCTCTACTGACCAGCGTTTGAACTCATCGAGTCCGTCTGATCTCCATGTCTCGCCTTCTGTACGCGCTTGGTGCGCTGGCCCTGGGCCAAAGTGCGTTGGCAGCACCTCAACTTTCTCCTCGTGCTACTACCAGCTTGGATGCCTGGCTAGCCACGGAGACTACTGTCTCTCTTAATGGAATCCTCAACAACATCGGTGCCAGCGGCGCCTATGCCCAGAGTGCCAAAAACGGGGCTGTGATTGCCAGCCCCAGCACGAGCAACCCGGACTGTAAGTGGAGTGATCAACCTATGGTCATCATGTCTTGTATCGGCTTCTAACAGGCTCAGATTATTATACGTGGTCTCGAGACTCAGCCCTTACTTTGAAGGTCCTCATTGACCTCTTCCGTAATGGAAATCTGGGATTACAGACCGTCATTGAGCAATACATCAATGCACAGGCTGCTCTCCAGACCGTATCCAACCCCTCCGGAGATCTGTCCAACGGTGCTGGTCTTGGTGAGCCCAAGTTCAATGTAGACCTCAGTGCATTCACTGGCTCCTGGGGCCGTCCTCAACGTGATGGTCCTGCTCTACGTGCTACTGCACTAATTGAGTTCGGTAACTGGCTGATCGTATGTCCTTTTCCCTGAATATTGATAACTTCAACTCACCCTTCCAGGATAATGGATATTCCAGTTACGCGGTGAACAATGTCTGGCCAATTGTCCGCAATGACCTGTCTTACGTTGCTCAGTACTGGAGCCAGTCCGGCTTCGGTAAGTCTCTCGTGATTACAGCCAATCTCGTGGACCACTACTAACCATTCTCAAGATCTCTGGGAAGAGGTAAATAGCATGTCCTTCTTCACCGTTGCCAGCCAGCACCGTTCCCTCGTTGAGGGGAGTGCCTTTGCCAGTAGGGTTGGCGCATCCTGCTCCTGGTGCGACTCGCAGGCTCCACAGATCCTCTGCTACATGCAAAGCTTCTGGACTGGATCCTATATTAACGCGAACACCGGTGGTGGTCGCTCTGGAAAGGATGCAAACACCGTTCTAGCCAGTATTCATACTTTTGACCCCGAAGCAACTTGCGATGACATTACCTTCCAGCCTTGCTCTGCTCGGGCCCTCGCAAACCACAAGGTTTACACTGACTCGTTCCGTTCTGTCTATTCTCTCAACTCTGGCATCGCCCAGGGTGTTGCTGTTGCCGTGGGCCGCTACCCTGAAGATTCGTACTATAACGGTAATCCGTGGTTCTTGTCTAACCTGGCCGCTGCTGAACAATTGTATGATGCGATTTACCAATGGAACAAGATTGGTTCCATCACAATCACCAGCACGTCTTTGGCCTTTTTCAAGGACATCTACAGCTCCGCTGCCGTTGGAACTTACGCCTCGGGTAGCTCCACCTTCACATCTATCATCAACGCCGTGAAGACCTATGCCGACGGATATGTCAGCATCGTGCAGGCTCACGCCTTCACCAACGGTTCCCTCTCTGAGCAATATGACAAGAGCAGCGGTCTTTCGCTTTCCGCCCGTGATCTTACTTGGTCTTATGCCGCTCTTCTTACTGCAAACATGCGCCGCAATGGCGTTGTCCCACCTTCCTGGGGCGCCAAGTCCGCCAACACGGTCCCCTCTTCTTGCTCCACGGGCTCTGCCACGGGCACTTACGCTACTCCCACTGCAACCTCATGGCCCAGTACCCTGACCAGCGGAACCTCAGTTTCGACTACCTCAACTTCTACTTCTACCACTACCTCTACCACTACCTCCTCCAGTTCTTGCACTACCCCAACCTCCGTTGCCGTGACCTTCGATGAGCTTGCCACCACCACCTACGGCGAGAACGTTTATATCGTCGGTTCGATCTCGCAGCTGGGTAGCTGGAACACCGCCAATGCTATCGCGCTGAGCGCCAGCCAGTACACTTCCAGCAAGCCCTTGTGGTTCGTGACCGTTAACCTCCCCGCTGGTACTACGTTCCAGTACAAGTATATCCGCAAGGAAACGGACGGCTCGATTGTCTGGGAGAGTGACCCTAACCGCTCGTACACCGTTCCTGCGGCGTGTGGAACCACTACCACTACTGAGAGCGATACCTGGCGGTAGATTGAATGTGAAAATATCTTGCGGTATCAATAAACAGAACGTGCCTGGGCACACGAGCCAAAAGACCAAATCTTGGAGGATTTAGATTACTGCCTAATTTGAAACAATTAGAAGTAGTGTTACTGGCAACGCAGGCCCGATTCGGTTGATTTTTTTCAATTTCCATGTCATTTCAAAATATTATATGATTGCATTTCTCATAAACTAAGCCCCAAGAAACTAGATATGAGGTGCCTTATGTGTTGCCAGCGTTGCGCGGCAAACACGTACCGCACCTCATATAGCTATGGTGGCTTGCACTCACGCTATTCGTGAAATGCGCTAAACATGAAATTTGAGAAAAGTTCGCGGTGCGCATAGAAAAACAGAATCCTCTGAGTGCCCAATCCTCTGAGTGCCCAATCCTCTGAGTGCTCAATTGAATCGCGCAAATCAACGGAATTCGGGGGAATTGGTATCCGCCGCATTGTTGCTTGTCTGACGTACCGACGCTATGTCGAAATTTCTGGGATTCATGGCAAGGAATGCGGAGATGTCTGAGATCGCAGGTCTGCGCAGCTCATTGTTGACCGCGATGCGTGGGTACTGAAGGCCAACAAGAATATAGTTGGTGAGTGCGATTGCGCGCCATTGCGACTCGGGCATTCTTTCGAGGGTCGTATTGCAGTCCCTCGAAACCTTCGCGAATCTCTTCACCAACGCATGAAAAACGGGGTCTGTTTCCTCCTTCAACGCAGCTTCTTTCTGAGACCAATCTTTTCTGTTTAGGTACTTATTGATCTCCCCCGCGGCCTTTGCGACCTCCCTGAGTGTCGTAGCGCAGACTCCGGTCACTGACGCGAAGCGCTCTCGTGTGAAGGAGATGGCATCGTGTCCCTTCAATCCGCAGAGTGGTTCCCATAGGCCATTTCTGTCCACAATGTCTGTATTCATCTTGGTGGCAATGAGATTGTAGATGTCGCTGATCGCTGGTAAAGTACCATTCATGTCTGGATCTGTCACGACTGATACCTGAGGTCCAACTTCACTGTCGCTGTCCTTTGGCTTGGCCGCACTTGTATCCTGTGCAAGATCGGTGAGGGTTTCGTCAATGATTAGGCCGAGCGGACGGGATTGCTTTGTGGGTGGAGCCATTTTGTAGTGGGTGAGGTTGGGACAAGCAGGATGTTTCTGCAATATAAGATGGTAAGGATGAGAATGAGGTTGATGCGGTAGTTGAGACTGCCTGAATAAGATCGGGTTCGCAACAGTGAGGTTAAGGAGGCGAGATGAGTAGAATGAGGCTACGATTAGTGTAGTAATTGAAATTGTCAGGAAATGATGAGGTTCGTAAGAGAGAGATAAAGGAGGCAAGATGTTAGAAGGATGGTGAGTTTGATGCAGGAGTTAAGACTGTCAGAATAAGATCAGGTTCGTAACAGTAAGGGTAAAGAGGCAAGATGATTAGAATAAGGATGAGATTAGCATGATAAGATTAAGTTCATAACAGAGAGGTTAAGAATATAAGATAATTAGAGTAAGGATAAGGTTAATATAGTAAATTAATTTATTAGAATAAGATCAAATTAGTAAGATAGTAGGTAAGGAGATTATTCAAGCTATATACATGAAATAGGAGATATTTTAGAGTAAGAGATAAGTGAGAGATATCTAAGAAGAAATATTTAAGAGAGGCGTAGTGTAGCATAATACATAGTAAAAGATAACACTACATATCATAATAGCGAAGATGATCTGCTCCGGGCCCCTTTTATGTCAGAACAGGTTAGATAAAGTGGCAAGAGTGGACATTAGGGAGGGAAAGCTACATGACTAAACTAATACCTAGACATAAGTTAGTAGGATTATAGCCTGATAATAAACCCAGTCATATACCTAGCTCGGCCCAATGGATCAACAGTATATGTCTTATGCCTAAAACGCCCTACAGTCATCGCTTTCCTCTTTTAGTATTTCTGTCAATTCGAGGCTCTATAGGAGTTTAGATTCAGAAGATTGGCCCCGAAAACCTTAATAGCTAGATTATGGGCTGCTTGAAGTGTCAAGGAATTTCTAGGCACAGCCACACTCGATTATCGTAGCGATAAGAACAGCCCACGAGAGCCACAACCTTAAACCCGCCCCCCTCCACTGGTCCCCCTCCAAGCTCCTCTGAAGCTACAAAGATAGCTTCCGCCAAGCTTGGATTGTCTTGAGTAGGCGAAGGGAAGAGCTTAGCTCCTCAAAGCTATCTACCATGCCGACAAAAACGCCCACACAGTCCGACTTCCCCTCCAACCTTACCGTCACCATCACCCTCCCACCTTCGGCTTCTCCCTCCACACCAACCCCGAACATCCTCCTCCTACTCCACGGAATCGGCGACACGGCCGCAGGATTCACCTCCTTCGGTCGCGCCATAAACCTCCCCGAAACAACCGTCATCACCATCCAAGCTCCAGCCCCGGTCCCCTTCGACATCGGCGGCTTCCACTGGGGCGACGATGTATCCTTCGACAGCCGAACCGGCGCGCTAGACATGGACGCAGGGTTCAAGCGCAGCACAGCCCTCCTCGCAAACGAAGTTATCCGACAGACCCTCGTGTCAAAATGTGGCTACCAGCTACGCGAAATCATGATTCTGGGATTCGGGCAGGGAGGCATGGCAGGTCTCGCCGCTGCGCGAGAACTGGGCAGCTCGGATGGTAAGGAGAGCCGGGAGCGGGCGAGCGGGTCTCTTTCTGGCGTGATTTCTATTGGGGCGCCGTATGCGCTGTCGGGTGCGCGATCGGGCGCAAAGAATTGCACGCCGGTGTTGCTAGTTTCTGGGCGGGACTCGGAGGTTGTATCTGATGAGGCGGTGCGGAGGACAAAGGAGGTGTTTGAGTTCGTGGAGGTTAGTCGGTATGCTCGCAAGGGGGATGGGATGCCTTCAAATCGGGATGAGATGCTTCCTGTGATGCAGTTTTTTGCGAGGAGGTTGCGTAGTCGACAGGGCGTGCCAGAGGGTAGTGTTGAGATTGGGTGATACCCTGGCTTTCTGCCTGGTTGTCTTTATGATGTATGAAATCTATGAACTGGTATAGAAAGTAGATAAAAGTTCGATTTGTGTATCACTATGAAGAATGGATTTTGACACCTTGTGGATTCCAAAGCTGTCGCTTCATGAAAGGCATTAGAGTATAATTGTTTATTGTTTTCAGAACGTAGTCCATTGAATTAAATGTATAAATTATGTGTACATCCTTCAGAAAATCTGTCCCAACTATCGTATGACAAACCACATGTCAATTCAAGACACAATCAGGTCCCATTTCCGCAAATCTCACTCCATCATAAGTATATTACACATCTCGTCCTCAAAGCAGGGCCCAAGCACCAATCGCCGCACCGGCAACCGCCATCAACGGACCGGCCAAGGCATTACCAGCATTGGTCGTAGCAACCGGGGCCGCAGAGCTATTATTAGTAATAGCCGTTCCATTGGCAGCACCAGAAGCCTGCACACTGGAAGACAGGGTTGCAGCCGCCGTCGTCGCCGGTGTTGTCTCGCTAGCCGAAGTGCCGGTTCCAGTGGCACTGCCGGCCGTAGTGGAAGAGGCGACGCTAGTCTCCTTGCTCGTCGAATCCGAAGCGGTAGACTCTGCAGTCGTACTCTTCGAAGTGGTGGCAGTCGCAAGCGCAGAAGAGGGCGTGAAGCAGGACAGGTATGAGGTAGTGCGGACCTTGGTGCCCGTATAGAGAGGGCATCCAGGCTCGTCCGTTTTGGCGGGAGCGCGACCGCCGCCGCAGTCGAGAGGGTCGCAGACTTCGCCAGTATCCGGGTCGTACCAGTGGACGATTTGGTCTTCACAGGTGGTGAAGCTGTGGGTGGAGCAGCCGACAGCGAGGGCGTTGCCTGCCAGCATCAGCAGTGGCAGAGCGGTGGTGAGCATTGATTTGAGGAGCATATTGGATGTTTGCAATTTGCCAATTTGGGTTCGAGATGGAGGTGGAGAACAGTTCCAAGTGTGGTATCTGTAGGGTTGATTGATATGGGAATCTGGGGGAGGGAAAGAGATCGATGATGGGGAAATTATTAGAGAGTTATACGATATTGACTGGCATAGCCTCAATTCTTAGTGGCTACAGCATGAGTCAGGAGAGTTCCGCTCAAACCTTGATGGTTCTATTTTGAAATTACAGAGTCGCATTGCGAGAGTACCATTGCAGGGTTCCTTGGTGAAGATGACTGTAGTGAGCCGCAAAGGCCCACTGGTTTACCCCTGGACCCGAGTCGCTTCGACCGCTTCTTTGAAGCGATTGGCTAATTCGAAATAGGACCATCGAGCCCTGGCTCTGTATTGGTGGCCTTTGCGAGCTACTCCGGGGCTCCATCTGTTATGGATGTTAGCGTCTCTTGGCGTTAGGGTCCAAAAAAGCTTTTCAAGTGCCTCTGGTGCCGACTGCCGAGTATCGTAGACGCTCTTTTCCTCCAGAATTTGGGTACTAAGAGGGGACATCAAAGTGATCTTATACAATTGGAGGCATGGCATTTTGGACATTGTGATAATTGGGTAGAAACATACGCGAAAAGCCCAATGCAAGCTTGTCTTGACCTACCTACGCCAGCTCCGCCTCGATAATACTTTGTTGCCCTGGACTAGGGGGTTTCCAAAACTTCATGACTCGACATCCAGCCACAGTCAACAGCCTCTCCCAATGAGACTGGGTTCGCTCCATGCCGCAGTGAATCGCTAGCATCATCCAGTCTCCCAACGACGGGATCGGCTCGGCCTCCATGTCGGCGAGAATGACTTCTTCATTGAGAAGTTTCGAGTAGCCCTTCTTCATGGCCTCTTTTAACCGTTGCAGAATCTGGTGACATTGGCGGTCTGCCCAGTCATGTAAAACGAATTTCATGTAATATGCTCGTGCACCTAAGACATTCGAAGCTTAGCTTAATAGTCCTCCTGGGAGTGGGGCTTGATGGTATTACCTGGGACAGGCTGGAGCCCAAAGAGATCAATTGCTTGACACTCAATCCCAGAGCTGGGATTCCAACCATCCAGGACATGTGGCAAGTCTTCGAAAATGAGACGACCTGGCGTACTAATATTCCAGATCATGTCCTCGTCCACCAGCCACGTCAACTAGGAGTATACCTCCCTTCTCATCCTCAAATCCATCAATGATGCGTTCCTGAACGGGGAACCAATCAACCCAAGCAGGTAAATTGGCTCTTCTGCTTACCATATGAATGTAGAATTCATCCGTTTCCTCGTGCTTTTTAGACATCAAACTCCACATTGACTCCTCGGTGTTCTCGACGTATTGAAATAGGCCTTGATTCGACTCAAGAGGAGTTTGGAAGCCTCTTTCACGAAAATATTCGGGCGCTTTGGAGTATAGAGGCATACAGACGTCGAACCTTATAGACATAGGGTTAATAGAGACATGAGGCTTGGAAAGATCGTGAACGATGAGGACGTACTGAAACTTAAGCACGGCAACAGCGCCTGGATCACTCATATACCGAGTCATCGCGTTGGCAGCGTATTCCCTAACTTCATGCTCGATAATGTAACCGAGCCCCGTGAGGACACGCAGGACTCGCTCTGCTAATGGAAAAATGGACGTTATTCGATGTAGAATGGCCATGACCAGTTGGAGCATAATCACCTGCGAACGCTGGGTCGGCGTTCTTGACACCAGCCAGCTCCTTCAAGCTGGCAGGTCTATTCCTCTCCGTGAGGGTGTTGAATATGTCCAGATCAACAGCAACCCTGACACAGAGGATTCGAACGGGCTAGAGTAGCTGTTAGACGTATCTTGAAAGCTATAACGCCTCTATATTTCACGGACAGAAAGCCCTCTGAGTAAACTTCCCTCCTGTGGTGTTTCAAGTGCTTGGACTATTTTGCGAGCAGCTTTCAAGGCGGCCAGCCGGTAAAGGTCACAAGGGTCTCGCTTGAAGTTCCCAGCTGCTCGACAAAGTTTGCTGAGTAGGTTATCTAGATCTCCGGGCTCATTCATGTCAGTGGACGATGTTCGTAGCGTATTAGTTGCTTGCAATAAATAGAGGAAGAGGTCAAGACTGGGCAATATCAAAGGTATTTGATCTCCGGTGACACGAGCAGAATAAAGTCGTACACTTTTGACTCGAATTTCCGAGTAGTACATTGAGCACATCTTGTAACATGGGCTCCCTTTTTTGTCGCACATTCGATAGTTCGTTCCAATGATAGCTACCTAACCATTCTTGAGTGATAAGTGGTAAATTGTTCGATTCTTTCTAAATCTGGGCGAACAGCTACCTAAGATAAAGCTACGTTGGGTGACGCCAAAACATACATGTAAGCCACCATGGCGTAACAATGCCGGCTGTAAAAAAAGACAGCGTCCTCGCTGTAGGTGGGATCCGGATCCCCGAACGCATCATGAAAATTCAAAAACGAACGCGTTCCACCTCGTCGCTCAGCGGAATTCGTCACTCGAATCGTCAGGTATATCCGCAGACTCCGGCTACGGTTCCTCAGGCTTCGGTTTGTGGTTGCGATCATTTTGACGGAGAAACACGGGCATGTCAGTTATAGCCGGTTGTCTGAATTGGGGGTTCGCGGCCAACGTCGGGTACTGTAGAGATACCATGATCCAGTTCGCGAGTGCCGCCCTGCGCCAGTGGGACTTGTGGTCGGAGATGTCCTGTGTCAGAAATGTATGACGTCTGTGAAGGTGCGCATCGCAAAGCTAGTGGACGCCTTTTTGTGGTAAAGATCTTCTCCTATTTCTATCTAGGATGACATTAACGGCACGATAGAAAAGTTCATGGCACGACGAGGCTAGTCCTAAGGAGGAAGACCCCCTTTTAATATAAAGCACTACATTCGAAATACATAAGTTACCTACCGAGTTCTCTATATAACTCACATTAATACTTCTCGCTAATATCGTTAGCGACTATATACGCGACCTCTATCTATTTGTCCCTATAATAGACTAAGTCAATATTCTACTCCCCCTCCTACTAAATCGCCCTCTTTTACGGTCTTTTATATAGTCTTTTCTACGGTCTTTTCTACAGTCTTTTCTACAGTCTTTTGAACGGTCTTTTGAACGGTCTTTTGAACGGTCTATAATAACACCCAGTAATGCATGCCCCCAGTGGCCCCTGTACATCCCGTCTATCTATTCAGATCATTGGCAAGTCATATCACATCAGAAAAATCCCCATACTACAACCCTCACTTCTTGATTCCAATCACAGCAAGATTCCGCGGACTCTCGCTATACTCAAACACAGGCTCAACCCAGCACTCCTTGACCGAGTCATGCTCTCGCAAGAACTGCCAGCGATCCACGACGATGACCGCCTCCACAACCTGCGCACTAAAAGCCATCAAACTCCATACGACGCTCAGATTCTTTTTCGTGGGGAAATAATCCGCCTCGTAGCTTTGAATCTCTTCGTCCGTCATCGTCGCAATGTGCTGTTGGACCTTTGCACGATGCTTGGGGTCTCGCAAGAGTCTAACTGTTGCGGCGCGCACATACGCAGTGAAAGATTCGAATGCACGCTTAGGGAGTGATCCGATGATGACAGCCGCGGTTGTTTTGGCGCCCTCGTCATCGGCATAGAGATCCTCTGGAATCCCGGGTTTGGGCGCAACCCCTCGGTCGACGAAGATGCGTTGCAAAAGCGCGCGGAAGTGATGCCGAGCGAAGAAGCGTTCGCTATCATCGTGGCCCCAATTATACGGTGCTTGCACGGCCATCATGCGTGCCGTGATGTTGAACTTCATACCGACAGCGCCGGGGCTTTCGTATGTCTCGAAGTATTTGGACATGGGGAAACCGTGTGGATCGTAGGAGTTTCCAGTTGCTTGGAGACGGGGGTGAAGAGAGCAGAGGACGGGCAGTTTGTACGTTGCTGGACCGAGGCGTTCGGTCATGAGGTTGTAACAGCAGCCGATCATGGCGACTGCTACCACGGAGGGGTTGAGGATTAGGGAGCGGACGCCGTGGTGGACGAGGTTGCCGCAGGAATGGAGGGAGACGACCATGACACGGGCATCACTTTTTTGCTGCTTGTCTGATTCGATTGTTATGGAGGTGGTTGTTACGTCTATGGTGGTCTCACTCGGTGTAGTTGCAGGAGATGGATTAACCACGTGGTCGATTATGGGCTCGAGGTATCCGTCTTGAATATTGTGTTCGATGTAGCTGATAGTACCCCGGGTGTCGATCTCGTGTTCAGGTTTCTGCTTTTGTCCTCCCTTGGTGATCGAGCCGAGTAATTCGTGGGGTTCGAGGGTGATCTCGCCCAGCATCTTGAAAGTAGTGACATCCTCCTGGTCGTCCACAGTCTCTCCTTGAACTGGAACATTTGGGGAAGTCTGCGACTCTGCCGTTTCAGATTGCGCCACCGAATTATCAGATGATGCCACTTCCGGCGTGCCATTGCAGTCATCGCATGACTTTTTGCGATTGTGCACATACACCGTCTTAGGCTTCTCCCTCTCCCGCAGCTTGGCCGAAACGTCCATGCCCATAGCACCGGCGATATACTGATGCTTCCGCTCAATTGCAATGATATGTTTATGAAACGGCGAGCTGGCCAGCGTTCGCCCCAGATAGTTCTGTCCGGACCCAAAATCCACAATATGAGACACCGGTTCACCGCGACACTCGCCCACGGTATCAGATAACGATGCGACGTAGCCGGAGAAGTATTTGACCTCGTGTTCCTTCTTCGTCTTCATACCGACAGCCACATGTCTCGGGAGTTTCGTTTTCTTCGAAGCCGCCAAGTCAAATTCCCGGCGAAGACTAAGTCGACGAACTTGGTGAATGTAGTCCAGCAGGCTCTGCGGAGGAAATGCGCCGTCTTTCCATGTTCGAGCGCCTGCGCTGGCGTCTCCGTCGGTCGCGTTTGCGCGCAAAGGCCCAATATCTTCTCGCAGAAGCAATTGCAGTATATCGTGAATGTCATGGTGTTCGAAAAATGCTCGCCATTCTTCTGGGAGAAGAGTCGTGTATAGATCGGGCTCGCGGGTCAAAAAATCGAGGATGTGCACGCCACCGCACAGGTTCATGAATAGGAGATTGGTCGTCGCGAAGCCAAGGAGCTCTTTGACATAGATGTCGGGATCCTCCCACTCTTCGGAGAGTGGAAGGGGGCGACTGCGAGCCATTGGAAGAGGGGGCTGTAATTTGTCTTGCGCAATATGCAAAAAACCAAATTGAATATCGCGGGGAACTGTTATCTTTTTTATCGGCGACCCGCTGAGTCAGGCCTAGCCCAGCAGCCCTCGATGGGGAAGTATGCGGTCGATAGTCTTGAGTCTAGCAATGTATCTATAACATGGTATATCATGCAAATATTGCCGTTGGATTATCGGATGGCTAGTCATATCTTAATCTAAATAAATACTTCTCTCAGTCTATTCATCTTCTATGCTGATCCTCCTGTGCTTCACCGATTACCGCATGCGCCAACACGTGATCTTCAACTTCCCCGGAGCTGCCAGCTCTCCGTCCACATCATTCCCGATCCAAACAACCTCCTAATCCAATACACATCACCAACCATGGAGACAACAGACCCCTTCCTCCAGGTCCAAGCGTAAGCACCTCTCCTCTCTCCACCTCCATAACAGACCCTATCAAAGTCCAGCAAATCTAACCCACCCTCCTCAACTCTCAGGGACGTCCTCGCAACCCTCCAAACCAGCCGACCACTCTTCTCCTCATACCTCCGCATCCGCTCACTCGCCAAATCCCCCAACAACCCGGAACTCAACCAATCCCGCACCGAACTCGAAACAACGCTCACAGAACTCACCGCTGACCTCGACGATCTCGTCGAATCCGTCCGCGCAATCGAACAAGACCCCTACCGCTTCGGCCTCGAACTCGACGAAGTCCAGCGCCGGCGCAAACTAGTCGACGATGTGGGCGGAGAAATCGAGCAAATGCGCACCGAGCTGGCGCAGGCAGTTTCCGTAGCGCCGGTCCCCGAACTACCGAATCCGACGGAATTTGATGCCGCGCTGGATGAGGAGGAGGGTGGTGGGCGCGGGGATGATTACTATGCGTCGCTGGAGCAGCAGAGGCAGACGGAGTTGATGCATGAGCAGGATGAGCAGTTGGATGGGGTGTTTCAGACGGTGGGGAATTTGAGACAGCAGGCGAATGATATGGGGCGGGAGTTGGAGGATCAAGCTATCATGATTGATGAGGTTGATACGCTTGCGGATCGGGTTGGTGGGAAATTGAATAATGGGATGGCGCGGATACGACATATCGTGCGCAAGAATGAAGGTAAGCAGTATCCTCTAACCTTCGAAGCTGGTTCGCCTAGCAGGCGGTTTGACATCAAGCTATATGGAATGCAACTGTGCAGGGTTGTGACAACAAATGGGAATCATGAAATTCAAACAAGCTAACTTTTTCCCTCTCTTCCTTAGATACATGGTCATCCTTTTGCATCGCGGCGTTGATTTTCGCCCTCGTGCTATTATTAATTCTCGTTATCGTCCTGTGATAGTACATCATATGGGGCGTGACAAATCGGACAAACCACCATCATCACATGGAGCATGGGGTTTGACGTTCTCCGGGCAGGCAATTCAAATCGAAATTGATTTTAGTTGCGAGCCTTCTTGGCGGGGGGCTGGTCATCGCCCTCATCTTCATCTTCATCATCCTGCTCCATGAGCTCCTCCATGGCCATGCCCTCGAAGTCAAAGGGAACCTCGAACGATTGAGCTGCACATGAAAAGGCGACAAGTCAGCGAGCGGTTCCTAAATGCTATTTGGGGCCTTATGTGTCTCTGGGTTTGACATACCGTAATACTTCAAGGCGTTGGCCCAGAGATCCCCGGCGAGGAGAATGGCGAGCTCCTCACCCTCGGTGCAGATCTCAGCATCCTCGAGGTCATCGACGAGAAGCTCGAAATCATCATCCTCGTCATCCTCCTCGTCCTCATCGTCATCGGGAACCTCTTCACCGTTGGAGATCTTGGCCCAGCGCTCCTCATCTTCCTTCACAGCCTCCTGGTTCTGCTCGGCAGAGATGGCACGGCCGCGGTAACCGAAGAAGGAGAAGAAGCTGGTACCAGTGGGGCTCTCATCCTCATCATCGGACAGCTCAGCCTCCATATCGACATCGTCCTTCATATTCTCGATATCGCGTTGCTCGAGCTTCTTGACGAGAGCCTTATACTCGGGCAGCGACTTCCGCTCGCCACCCTTCTTCTCGGCGTCGAAGAGGTCACAGGCAGCGTCGAGCAGACCCTTGGTGGGGTCAAGCTCAGCCTCCTTCCAGTTGATGCGGACGGGGTCGGAAACAAGGCCCTCCCAGACACGGCGCTTGCCGCTGGAGGTCTTCATGACTTGCTTGCGCCAGTAGAACTCCTTTACGAGCTTGGCGTTGTCAAAGTAGGAGTTTTCCTCGGGGTCGAACTCGAAGGTGAAGCGCAAGCTGCGGGGCTCGCCCTTGCCCTGAGCATCGACCTCGAAGCGCTCGACGTTCAATCCCTTGAGGGCCTCACCAATGATTGCGGCATCGTCCTGCAGGATATACTCTTCGATCTCGGCGGGAGCGCTGTCAAAGACGCGGGCCCAGAAGTCGGGCTTGACGCTGGGCAGAGAAATGACCTCCTCGCGCTTCTTAAAGGCGGGGGCAAAGAGAGCGACGGACTGGCGCACTAGTGAAGGAAGTGTTAGCGAAGATTCAGTGTTATTGTTTTTCAGCGCATGTATGCATTTAGAATCAATCGATAGAAATAAAGCATCGCATCGCGATATCGGCCACATTCCTGTCACAGCTCGAAGCTCGACAGATTGACGAAGAAAAGTAAAATCAAACTCAATATTCGCCAGAAGTAACGAATATGGTGAGGAAGGTAAATCACTTACTCTGCTCAAGCTCAGCACGCTCAAGCGCCTCCTGAGCATGACTGAACTTGCTCCGAGCCTCCTGAGGAATGGAGGGGAGCTCAATGCGCTCAAGAAGAGACTTGTCGTCACCGGACATTGTGTTGGCGGGGTACGGAAACTTAAAACGTAGAGATGAGCAAAGGGGGGGCGGGTTCGCAAGCTCTCAAGTGGTAATCAATCAAGGAAGCTTCCTGATTGACAGCTAGCAAGAGTAGAGTGTGTGAGGGTTAAGGAAGAAGAAGAAGGGAGGAAAAAAGGTTGGGAGAAAAGAGAGATGAAAGGAAAAGGTGGAAAGGGAGGGGAAACTAAAAAAAAAAATCTTCTGGCAAAAATTCTGGCAGATCAGCACGGAGCTTGTCGATGCGCGCGGTCGAACCTTTCGCTTTGGGGCGGGCGGAGAGGGCAAGAGGTACTTGGGTCTACGGGGGAGATACTTTGGTCGTGGCGCTGTTTACACGTGGAGTCGAGGTACTGCAGTTGTAGTGAGAATGTACCCCACGCGGTCTCGCTGGGCAACGGAGTGGACGGACGGGATGCGGGCCTGAGGTGTCATGGGTGGAACTTTTCGTTCATTTGCGGCAAAAAGTCTTATTAATTGATTAGTTTAGGGCTGTGAGGGACTTGGGGTAGCTTGTAGCTATATGTAGTACCCTCGAGACTTGAATGTAAGGGATATTATAGCTACAATGCACTATTCATTCCAAGCTAACGTCCCCAGCCCAGCTCTTCAAGCTCTCAAGCTCCGTACCGTGGCTGGCCCATTCAGTGTCCACACCACAGTCATAGTCATCTATAATCCCAGCACGGCGCGTACATATAGCCTAGTAACAGCTCCTTCAAGCCTCAATCAACATTCGCCACCCCCTTCAACTGTCCTACGCCATAGATTATCTGCAATCGCCTATCGTTACTATACTCACCAACCCAATCCTTATCGCACCCATACAATTGGATTCTTCCCCCCAGTAGATTGCTTTTTCCGACCCCATCCGTTCTTACCTATCTCGCTTGAGCGGAGCCCTGAAGAAAGGCAAATACACTCCTTGGTGCCAGTAGGTTATTTCAACTCCATCTCTTGCGGGATCTACGCTCTTATCTGCGTTATCATGTTACCCTCAACGTGTAGGTATGCCGGCGACGGGTGCGGACTTGAATTGTTGGCATTGCGCCGGATTGGGGGGTTCGTTTCTGTTCCTGGAGGCTGCTTACTGATAACCATTTTACTAGGATGATCTTGGTAGCTATGTTCTCATTGGGTTATCGTGTCAGGAGCGGTCTTGGGTGGTGTGATTGGTTGGATAAGGGGTTGTCTTGTTATAAATGCGATGGCGTGCTTGGGAGGAGCTAGAGAGGTCGGTGTGTTCGCTTTGCTAGGTCTGTTATATCACTCAGCTGCTGAGATTTTTGAGCGATAACGTGAGCTAGAGAAGGAGGTACTGATATTGATGTCGGGCTAGAAGCGGAGGATGGAGTTGTTCGATCTTCGTTTGTTGAACAACCAAGTGCAAAGTATAAGATCTAATAAGAATAACGATATCTCATTTTGGGTCTTATTTTTTTCTGAGAAAACATATTCCAGATAGAGTAAACTTCACTCCTCAGCGAGGTATGAATATTGAAAATAATAGTAGAAAGCACCATCCATAAAAGCAAAATCAAACTTTTTTTCGGGGAATCAGATAAGAAGAGAGATAAAAGGATATCCCCAATGCCCGACAACCGAGGCATATGGATCTGTCGGAATCAGAGAGTAGAAGAAAGTAACAAGCCACAACGGTGATATAACCGTTCGAGAAATCCCATAATTCCCATGCCCATTCGCCAACAATGCAATGATTAGAGCCCTCAAGGCAGTAACCCATAAACAAGAACAGTAGAAAGAACAGGCTGCGAGGCAGGTTCGACATGCACAGACAACATCACCGTGCACGTCTGCCGGGGATCAAACAGTCGTAAAAGAATCGAGAAAGCGGGGAACACAATACGTGCTGCTAACCCCACTTCCACCCTCCCAATCGCATGGTCATCAGCGACTCGGGCAAACATGACAGTAAGGAAAGACGCAATCAGGAAGCCTCAAAATCATACGCTTGCTTCCTTTCAAAGCATCCAATCCAGTCCGTTCGCCTCTTCTTCCACGGGGAATACCTCACGTGCATACTCCTCCATATCGCGCCATCCCTGCCACAAATGCCTCGCCTCGTCCGTCACCCGCAAAGACACCACTCCACCGGGACCTTGCATCATCCCCGCGCCGGCACCCTTTCCACCGGCCGGACCCAAACCCTTCGGCGATCCGGCAGCGGGTTGTGAGAACTCGGGCTGCGGGAAGTATGGCGCATCGCACTCGCCGAAGAGCAACTCCAGCGCCTCCAACTGTTCCCGGTATCCGGGAGGGATCTTGACTTTAATTTCGATCCTAGGCACGCGCACGTAGCGGCAGGGTCGATTCAAGGCACGGGAGAAGGCGGCGCAGACTTGATTTGGTGAGAGGGTCTCGAATGTGAGTGCGATACTACGATGCGCATTCGATATTAGTATGCGTGAAGCTTATCGGTACAAATCAGAATCACTCACCGATGGCCGTGCCACTTCTTAGGCCCATCCTTGAAAATCTGCAACAGTGTCGGTCCCACATCGTGCTCGGCATCTAACCAGGGCAAAGGCGTCTCGGGATCAAACGGCGCCCGCCACTCGAAACTCCCATCATCAAGCAACTCCATCTGGAACAGCGGGTACGGCAGACTGGTGAAATTATTATTGTAGATACCCGCGTAGACAAACGTAGCCGGCAACCCGAGCTGGCGCACGTAATTCTCCACGGTAAACTTGGGCGCCCACTGCGGAACCGCGGGCCAGGGTCCATGCACGGAGTGATCGGGCATACTGCTATAGATGTAATGGGAGATGGAGCCTGCGCGCTTTGCGGCGTCCGCGAGAGCGCGGCCGATGGCGACCTCGTCGCCGGCTTGGGAGACGGTGTTGATGAACGCGTAATTGGCGCCTTGGAAGAGGGCGTCCATGAGCGCGGGGTTATTTAGGAGCGGGCCTTGCAGGAGGGTCACGTTGGGCAGAGTCTGGAGTTCTTCGGCGATGAGACCCTTGAGGGAGTGGATTTGCGCGCGCACCGCATAGCCGACGGCCGATGCGACGCGGATTAGCGACGCCGCTTGTCGCCCGGCCGCGTTGACCACGGCTATCGTCTTCTGCGGTTGTGTCATTCGGGTCGTTTGAGGGTGTAATCCTGAGGGTGTTTTGGTGGTAGTTCCGGCGGTGGGAGGAGGAGAGAGAGAGAGAGGTGGAACAAGGTTCCGGGTAGAATTCGGAAAGACAGGGTAGGGAGGGGGTAAGAAACAGGAAAAAAAGGAGATCAGGCGGATGAATGATGAGTGGATCGAAGGAGGTCAGGGAGGAAGGAAGACAAGATAAAAGAAAATCCGGAGTAACCGCCTTGGCGAGGAAAAAATGGAGGTGAGGGCTTTAAGGCTTTGCGATAGTGGGGTACCTTGGAGGAGGGGAGGTGCAAAAAAGTCGAAAGTTGTATGTAACGAGAACTAAAAAAGCCCGCGATCAGACGGGGAGGGGGTTCCACCAAGGGACCGACCGATTCGAGACCGAATAAGGATTAGGCGATAGAAACAGTCAGCCCGATGATCTGCAGCGATCAGAGATGAGAGAAAAGACGAAAGGGAATTTTTCTAGGAAGAGGGTTTTAATTCCTCGAGGTTTCGATTTCCAGTTCCGACCATAAAACGCGGAGGAGGGGGGGAACACGGCGGTGGAAGGAGGGGAAAAGGAGAAAGGATAAGATAACGAGGCAAGGAAGTAAGAACCGGGACGGAGCGCCGGTCGATTTCTTAGTCGGGCTGTTTTATAGGGGAGCCGGGGGGAGGGGGGAGAGAGAATTAAAGTAATATTACGATCGTGACTATAGAGTCTTATAGAAGGGGACTCCGTGCGACGGGCTGATGAAATGATAGGGGGATCAAGCATCAATTCGTAGTGTGATCTGATAGTCGGAGTATAAGAAACAAGTAACGATAAGTGATGGCGGGAAAATTAAAGAAAAAAAAATAGATAAAAAAATCAAAAAATATGCTATAACTAGCGTCAAAAGCCGGTAGTAACTTAGTTTAGTAGTAACTACTACGACTGCTATGAACGAACTACGGAGTATACTTCTCCAATTATCTGCCCCTTTCGGTTGGGCATATTTCCTCGAAGATCTGTCGAGTATCAAACCATCATAATACTTATACTGGTCTATTATTACGATAGTTTCACTTTTCTTTTGTTTGCTTATTCCAACAATGATACATATTCTACCGTTTGAGCCCTTTTTTCCTCTACCTCTCGCCTCGACTCTTCCGATGACACCATCGTGTAGACGACGGACTGGGCTGGGCGGTCTCGAGGCCCTTTTTCTTTACGTAAATCGGCGGCGTCGGCAGCGTCCACTGGACGGGAAGATCCTGCCAGACCGGCCATCGGGATCCAGGCTCGGCCCCATAAGAATGCTCTGGAAACAGGGCCTCCCTTGGCTGCACAATTGCACATTCAGTCCAATTTCGACCGTCCATCATGTACTGCCGTCTATAGGTCTGCATGGGTACAGGCCCGGTTTAAGCTCCTGCCAAGCCAGGATGATGCCATCTCGAGACATAGTACCAAGGAGTCACTACCCCAACAAAAGAGCGCTGGAGTAAATTGGAGAGAGTTCCGACAGACCTGGTGACTACTATAAGCACCTTGCTGCAGTAGTCCTCCACGACTACTCGTAGAGCTTGCCGAGCATCGCAGCTCAACGTGATTTAGCCACGGGGGCAACTAATCCCTATGACGCCTAAATATCAGATTGACCCAAAATCGCGCAACGTGGGGAATCGGATAACGAAGATGTGGAAAGAGTCAAAAAAAAAGTGGGCAACATAGGTCATACCAGCTTGAGAACAAGCACTGGAAAAAAAAATCTCTTTTTTCTTTTCACAAGAGTAGGACGGTCGTGTTCGCTCTTCGTTCCACCAACTGCCAGGGGCGCGCTCACGTGGTGCTAGGATGTGGGTTCCTGGTGTCATTTTTTCTCTCTCTCGTCAAGTCCAGTGGATCATGGTACTGATTGGATGGGGGAATTGGGTAGGAGACAAAAGAGGGTCGATCGAAATTCTGGCGCATCACCTGGACACGCCAACGCATGACCCCTTTTGGCCGCCTGCGAAAGGAGCTGGAGGATCGGTGAATGGAGGAAGGGGAGACCTGCCTCAATCGATTAGTGCAGCGATGTTCGGAGTCTGGTTCGAGTTATTATTCCCCCTTCTCAGAATATCGAGATTCTTAGTTCTATATTCTAGATTCCTGCGTGAATTCAGTTAAATAGTGATAATCTGTGTATGAAAGAGTACATAGTTAGAAGCACGGGCACGATCTGTAGATAATAAGGAACCGTACGGAGTACAGACAAGACAATTCAAGACATGGAGTAAGATAATCAGATAGACAGTGAGCGTAGCAGTATTCCGTTCGCTCACCAAATTAGACTCCCGGAGACACGTACTCTCCTTTCTCCGTTATCTTCAATATTGTCCCCAATAGACATCAAGTTAGTCATGTAGTCAACTAATATCTCCCGGATCGCATTCCGAAGGTACCTGAGAATGACCCAAGCCCTTGGCCCGCGATGTGTCATGGCTGAAAGCAGCTCGTCAGACGAACAACGCCAAAGCCAAACCCCGCAAAATTCTATCGGCCAGCTGCGTAGTGCGTGCAGGATTGGCTGGGGGTGACTAGTGATTGCTGCACGGAGGACCTGCTGAGGTACTCCTGAGGTACTGGGCGGACGGTGGCATCCGAAGAAGTTGTGGAAGTCGCCGAACCTTGAGCCCCGGACCCATGGAAAGAAGTCGAAAGAACCAAGGAATTTTGCAGATTTTTTTTTCTTGAAGATCATAATCGCTTTCGCTATCTATCAATATCTATCAATCATGTCTAAAGGCAATCACTATGAAGAAGTCACGGGGGAAGAGAAACAAAATTATCAACTTAATTCGTTCGAGTCAACCGAAATGGGTTGCAAAGCCCGGAACTCAGCAGACGAGGGAGGGGAAGGACCAATCCAGCATCCAGACGCACCGGCATTGGCCATTCAGCCCAGGTAACCCCAGAAAATTTTCGTTGAGCCCTCCGTCACTCTCGCTGGCTATTCGTCTTGCGTGGTACCCACTTGGCGACTGGGCTGGCCCCTCCCTTTGCTATCCTCCCTGGCCCCAGCGGCAGGGCCCGATCTCCGCGGACATGCAAATCCCACACATCGAAATGACCCAATCGGTCCTTGGCTTTCTGGCGTGATCATTGCGCTTAGCATATCGCCCGCACACGCTGTACTACCCGCGATGATGTGAATTCCTGCCTCGGTCGTCCACAGATTGGGAAGAGGGACATATGAGCCGATTTGCCAATTCGCCAATTGGGGGATGTCGGGGTTTGGCTACGTGGTGGTGGTAATGTTGCTGCTGGTGTTGTTGTTCCCCCGTTGGCCCCTCCTTCTCTCGCGTGTCGCGAACGCCGCTTTCTATTTCCTCTCAGGGTGCTGACCCGGCCATCACTGTCCGACCGCGCCCGGCGTTTTGATCATCCTCGTCCATCTGGCGTTGGTGGTTCTCACGAGGGTCAATGCCCGCTAAACCCCAGACTCCGGGGCGCCGTCGGGCCAGAAGCTCGGCCGCCGGTCGCTCATCAGAGTGTAGATGAGCACCAGATTTCCGCAACAGCAAGACGTGCTCTGATAGGCCCGCGTTCGCCGCCAGGAACAGCGGGGTGCGTCCATTACGATTGCGCAAGTGAACGGAGCCACCATGCGATAGCAAGAAGTGGAGAATCGAGATCGCAGGGGAAGTAGCCGCCAAGTGCTAGAAACCAAGCACCGAGTCAGTAATGCAAAGTAAAAAGCAATCTGGCGCAATTTGGCAATTTCCGAAAGAATGTGGAGTTTTTCTTTCTTTTTTTTTCACTTACGATAGGCGTGTTCCCTGAGTAATCCGCATCATTTAGCAGCCAGTGGTGTTCCGTCTTGAGAATCGTCTGAACCCGTTCGAGATCGCCTTGCGCAATGGCGTACCCCATTGCCGTCAGCGTCTGCACGCGCTCGGGCAGCGCACCGTCCGGATGACGGAAGACGGGCAGCGATGATTCGGTCAACTCACCCCGGAGCGATATTGACATGTTCTTAGCTACTGATTCCGGAGTGGAGTCTGGTAACGCGAGCAAGTACGCCAGTTTCGTCAACGCTGCCTCTGTCGTCATGTCAAGGCCCGCGACAACGCCGGCCCGGGAGAGGCTCATTCCCGTGGCATAAACAGGGCTGACACTACCTGTCAGGCCTTGGCGGAGAGATTAAACCGTTAGTATCCTCTTTGCTCATATAGGGCAGGGGCCGGATATAACTCACATTGCGTCACGTTGACAATCACGATGCCTCGTCGAATGGCCGCGGCCAGCACGTTGATCATGGCGTTGTCTTGTCCAGATGGGGCATTTCCTGCTCCAAAGGTCTCCAACACCAAGCCACGTAGCTCATCCAGCTTCAAGACGGCATCCACCATCTCCGGTTTGATACCCGGGAAGATACGAAGGCACGCGACATGGGCCGTATCCAGGTTCGTCTGAATACGGAAGTGCTCCAAGCTCGTCGGCCGGTGGACCATGTCCCAGTTGACATTGGTTCGCATCGAAGTGGTCACGGCCAGCGGCGGGCAATTGGGTGCATCAAAGGCCGCAAAGTCGCTCGCAGCCACCTTCGTGGAGCGATTTCCACGGAAGAGCTTGTTGTTAAAGAACAAGCATACCTCGGGGATCATGAAGTGGCCGGCCACTACTAGAGAACCGAGCAGGTTGTCCGTAGCATCATTTTGGAGTTGAAGCATCGGCGCTTGAGACCCCGTGAGGACGACGGGCTTTCCCAGGTTCTGCAGCATGAAGCTCAGCGCAGAGCAACTATATGCCAGACTATCGGTACCATGCAGAACGACGAAGCCATCGAAGAAGGTGTAGTTCTGGAAGATGGTCTGCGCAATCTCCGCCCAGCCCTTGGCATCGATAGAGCTGCTGTCCAGGAGTTCCTCAAACTCGTAGACGGTGTAGCGTACCTGACGGCCGTAGGTCGTGACGGGAGTGCGTAGACTGGGATGCGGAGTGATATCGCGACCTCCTTGCGTCACCACGTCCATCTCCGCAGGGGCAGAGCCATCGTTGAAGCATGGCACGCGGGCCATGCAGTTCTCCTGGAATCCTCTTGCGGGTACGAACCCATGTGGCGATGGCTGCATGCAGATTGTGCCACCGGTCATGATGATCAACACCCTAGACTCTAGGATAGCGAGTTCTGGAGGGCTCTGGAGCCCCGGACTCGAGGAGGATGTCTCCGTGGAGCCCATTGTGAATATGAGACTGAGATGATAAGTCTGCAACGAAGAATAATGTAGTGTTGCGAGTGTCAAAGTAAGTCAGACCAAAGGCGACACAAAAGCCCGACGACCTTCAATTCCTCTGGCGGTCCTCAAATAATGGCGCGTGCTCAACGCGACAGGCACAATCAACGCCGACGATAGCCCCTCCAAGAAATTTCCGCGATCGCTGCTCTCACTTCGGTGAATTGCGGGGGAGATGACGTTGGGTTAGAAATTTTTTCCCTCTGAGTCGTTTGTTCCTGCTATGTAAATTTTCTCAAGTCCGATAAATCGACCCGACAAGAAGTGAGACAGAAAGAAAAATCCACGCTGATGCACAGCTTCTCCAAGACGAAGATGGTGATTGAGTCTTTTGGCCGAAAACCCCAAATCGACTCCGATCGTATTACGTACGGGCATCTCATTGGAGAGAGATTTTCACGGGCTGGGCCAACTTTAAAACGCGGCTCCACCAGGCGCTGGGTTGAGCCAACGGTATCGCTTGGAGTCGGCGGAGTGGCTCCGAGGGGGTGGTTTGATGATCAAGTTGAGAAAATTGATGTTGACGAGAGAAGATGAGAGCAGTTGAGAATGGAGGAGAAGAAAAGTAGATAGAAAAAAAGGTAAAAAGAGAGAGGAAGTTGAGACAATCAAACAAGACGGATCGGTGGCAGACCACATGCGGGTGGATTTGCTTTTTCTCTTATCTCTTGCCATCCGCGGAGAATGTCCTGTCTAGCTTCTTCCAAACGCGTAAACTCAATTCGGTTGATAAGAACGATCCTTAAAATGGGCCAGCATCTTCGTGGCTTCATTATTTGTTCCGAGACTGCAATCCTTTCCTGGGGCAGATCGTCACCCTTGAACGAGCTATAGTAGGCAGGCGTTTCTTCTTACGCAAGCCACATTCAGTACCTTCCCTGTATAGTATCACTTACTACACATTAGCCTCCGGTCACCCGTCACAGAGAATGGCCTGTTTCCGGATATTTATTGGAGATGCGATTGATGAGTCCTCACGAAATCGGGTTGAAATCTCTTTCTGTACACAATATGACATTCTGATATTTAGACATTATGTTGGGTTGAACTGAAACATATCTTCCTCGAGCAACCCCATCATATACTGGTTACCAGAGAACCAATTGCTCAATTGCGCAGCCTGCGACATTTCCACCATCGACATATCCTGGCCTTGAGGTTGCCCCTGGGCTGGCATAGGCGGATTTCCATACCCAGAAGCCTGGAGCGACAGATCCGCCACACCGGTAGTCATAGACGAACCATCCGGCTGAAACGCGCCCCATGGATTATTGGCGACCGCATTTCCAGGTGCCAATCCAAGCGCACTCAGGTAGGCATCGAATTCCTGGCCGACAGATGCCATGTTCTGGTCCTCGCCGGCTTGTTTTCGTGATTTCGCTTCGACGTAGAGACGGGCGACTGTGCCGAGGACTGAGCAGAGGCTGTGAAGACGATCGATTGATTGGGAGAAACGGCAGAGGGGGCGTAGAGAGGCGACGAAATCTTCGAGGCGGTTGAGATCTTCGTGGTCGGATGTGGTGATGACGTGACAGAATATGACGATGAAGGGGACAAATGGGGAGAGGAAAATCGCCCTGTAGAAGATTAGTGATGGGATACATGATTGAGAGAATGTTGGGCAAGGGGGTCAGTGGAAACGCTTCTCTAGCACCCTTTCTCTAACTCACCAATGCATGTATGAGCATCGTAGATTCTCGGAAGCTTCTTTCAGACTTGCTATGCACATCTGATGGAGCTCCAAGGCCGCTCTGGCCGTCTCGATACACTCCGGAATGAAGGTGCTGGGCGAGCCGGGCTCAACCGGGATAGCACGGTATATCAATGTCAAAATTGCCAATCGACTGACCCCATCAGAGCGAAGGTAGATAACATCGACTTCGGACATGTTCAAATCGGTAGTCAGAATTCGCTGCTCGTTACGGATAAGTATCAATTCAAAAGCATGTAACGGAGTGAGTTTTGTAGGGTCCGCTTACATCGAAAGGTTCAAGGACGTCCCTCCGCATTTCATTAGCCAAGCGCCGAGCATGGAGCACTCGCTCGCTTTCTGGCTGATTTAGTGCTGTCGGGCTGTATAGATTGGTATATATGTCGCTCTGGATGACGGCTTGTCTAGCCCATAGGGAGCAAACCATACTCCATACTCCCATGTTAGGGAAGCATTCGAATGGCGAAGGTATGTCCACGTCGCAGGCTTGTACCACTGGAGCACGCCCCAAGCGCAACACCATCAAGTTGATAATTGTGTAGACAGACCAGAAAATGTCCTGCTTTCGGTGTTGTAGTTCAGGAGGGTCATGTTCCATGGAAGAGCGGCGATTGTATCCCAAAGTCTGGCACATTTGAATAGCTGTCGAGGCAAGAGTCCAACTGACCGACGGTTTCGATATCTCGATTCCATGAATTGCCTGCTCTCATCAGTGGCTGGTCTGTGCTGGGAACGGCGTCTTATGTGGGGGAACTCACACCAACGGCAAGTGCCACGACAGAGTCCATGGTTACTGGCATCAAAATATTCAAATTCGCCAATGCTGCCTCCAAATTATCCTTGCATACCTGGACATAACGTTGGTATTCGTCTCTTGTGGCCGGCTCCTTCTCGCAGTATCCGAACTCAACAAATATACCATAGAGACCAAAGTTAGCGATAATGAATGTCGCGTCGGAGTAATCATCTGTCGCAAAGTAGACTTCCTGGCACCTCGAGATAAAATAGTCTACCGTAAAGAAGGGAATGTAGCCACCAAAGGAGGCGGGCGGATTCTCTGTTTTTGATTAGAACCATCGAGCTTGCTTGTCCTTGGGTTCTCAGTCGTACCTTTGGCCTTTTTCAGTACGGATAAAACCACTGGTAAGGGTGGCATCTCCAATTCACGTATGTCACAGCGCGAGCCCAATCGACTGGAGAGTTGACCTCTCTGCGTTCCGGCGTCTCGCTGTTTACTTTGCATCTCAACAATCTGTTTCAGAGATGAAAGAGCCTCGCTAATCTTTGGGCTAGAGAACATTTCGGGTGTACTGTGTGAAACGGCAGATTCGAGAAACTCCTTTGCATACGCGGAATGAGCCGCTAGAGAGGAATTCCCCTCGAATGCAGAGCTGGAGTCGTGCTGCTCGATCGCAAGGTTAGAAGTGTACATGGGGGCTTTTGAATCTTCATGATGTTGCTTGGATGCTGAGGACTGAGTTCGGGCTAGAGTATCGGGTGATGATAGAGAGGATGCTGAAAATCTGGTGGTACTGGCCACACTTTTCTGTCGAGATGAGACTAGAAGCTCTCTTAGAGCCTGTTCAATTCCCCCGAGGTGTTGTAACGTCTCCTCGATGCCACCGAGACGCTCTTCGATGAGATCAATCTTCTTCTCACTGTTGAATTCTGTCAGCGCCAAAGAAACGTTCCGATCAGCTACCATTTTGACGACAATCACGTACTACTGGCTAGAGATCAACACGCGACGCCGGGGCTCGGCCGGTCTCTGTCCTTCACCTGTGGAACGACAAGTAATGTTCGAGCTACGGCAATTCGAACATGGGACACGCTTGTCACACCGAATCTGAGTCAAATGTTAATTTTAGTTCGAATGGAGACAACGGTCATGCGCATTGATGGATAATTACCTTCCGAGTACGGCATTGATCACACTAAACCCAGATGAATATAGTAAGTCAAAATTATCGTCATATCAAAGGCCAGCGCTGACTGCATGATTCGTGTTCTTTCAATTTCCCCTCGAGCTCTGGGGAAGTGGAGTACATACTGCACGTCGGGTCAAAGCGCTTGGCGTCTCGCGCTCCTCACGGTCGGAACCCTCGGGCTCCATGGCAGGCACGTTTTCGGACCACTTCGGTCTGATGTGATTCTGTCTGTCGAGGTTGCTGGAACCCCTGGGGTCTGCTATGGATAGCATGGACGGAACTGAGGTTGCCTGCTGGAGAGTCACGTGGCCTCGGAGTCGTCGACGGAATCGTCAGGCCATCGCGGACTTGGGAAATGGAGATTTGATAGTACAAAACATTCTACAATAAACGTCTGCGATTTAGGTTTAGATAGAAATACAATACAGTGGAACGAAGTCAGAAGTATCGACAAAGTTCATGATATGTTCATTCAACGTAACGCAGTCATCCAGGAGCTTGACCGAGTTCGGTGGGTCACCACTCCCATGGGCAGAGCGCGTCCAGCACACACATACCACCGTTGTATAGTCATCTATCCAGCAAGGAATCAAAATGATAAAATCAAAAGTGGCCAAGCAAAATAAGATAGCCACGCTACCGTTTAGGAGAAGGAGGTGGGACCCAGGTTCCGTCGCTACTCCAAACGCCGGTAGGGCCGTAAGCGCCGGCCTCGGCACCGCGTAAGAATGCGAAGCGGAAAAACAGTGCTTCGGGCTCATCATTTTCGTCCGAATCAATATCGCTCTGCAAGATGGACTGGGTATCCAGCTCGACGCTGTCTACCCCGCGAGGCTCAAGGATCGGCATCTTGTTCAGCTCAAGCCCGTTGTGCCCATGGCGATGCCAGGTGAATTCGCCGCGTTTCTCCTCGTCAAGATAGCCACGCCAGCGTTCTACGTCATTGAGCAGCACCGAAACTCCATCCACCGCAAGCTCGGACATTCGCTCATGTTCCCATAGAGCAAAAGTGATGTTACCATTGCCACGGTGCATGAAATCGGACCCTGGCTCGGGTAATGCAATTTGAACGGACGAAGCAGTGACGTTGGGATATGTGGAGCCCCACCATCCGTGAGACCCACGTCCTGGAGCTAGCTCTCCCAGGGCCGCGGGAGTCTCGATAATAGAAGCGAACCCCCAGCGCGCAACACCGTTGATGAAAAGACCAAGGAGCAACCCCTGGTACGCCAGGGAGGGGCGAGTCGGAAAGGCGGTGCCTGGCATCAGCAGAATGGCGAGGATATAATGATGGATTCGGAGTCGCAGGCCGGGCAGCGGGAGCAAAATAAGGATGATCAGCCCCATGGTGCAGTAAATCTTGAGGTAGCGCGGAAGGAGACCACCTTGCCGAATCTGCCATGCTTGGCTAAGAACGATAGTGAGCACAGTTGGAATTACCAATGCAAGGGCCAATTTTGCACCAGGCTGCTGCTGGATATCCATTGGCGTCAAACGCTGAAGGGGTATCAATCGTGCAAATGTGTAATTGTTCAAGGCTCCGATGAAAAGCATCGGAAGGAACAAAAGCAGCTTCTCCAGCTGATAGATAGGTGACCTAATCGGCTGAAGAAGTGGGAATGCACAGAACTTGTATAAAACATAAATCACGAACGATGCAGGTAACAGTCGAGAGAGCAGCGTAGAGACAAGGTCGGACAGGTAAGGATACGATGGCGGATCAGCAACCAACCCCGTATGGCAGAAGACCATGAAAAATGTACTGAAGAAAAGGACAGGCGGCGACGTGCAGAAGAGCCACAGAAGCCCGACGGCCGCAGCAGTCACTCCAAGAAGCGACCAGCGCGGATCGGCTGGGCAGTTTGACTGAGAAGAGGACAGCTGGGGAAAGCTGAAAGACTTTGGGAATGTCGATGGGAACTCCTCTGATCGAATCCCATTCTTTTTGACGGATGGGAAAGAGTGCGCTGCACCTTCGAGCTTCGCGACACCGCAGCCGCCATCGTTCGAGATGACCCCTGCATGGATAGCGGCTTGACAGACGAAACTGTCAGCACGGTAGATCCCACGATCGTCGGTTCCTGGCAGTGGACCACCAATCACGAGGCCTTGGTAGTTGAATGTTTGGTTCCCCACCACATGTGGTTCTAGCAGCTTAGTATCGCGGCAGTTAGCGGGACATCGGAAAGCCACCGTCGAGGCAGAGAAGGGGCGACAGTCGTTTCCGTTGAGACCACATCCGTTGTCAAATGCCCTGCATGAGCCATACATGTGTTAGTGTATGTAAATGCTGTCGATAGAGGAAACATGTCGATACGTACCAGAAATTTGTGGAGCATGAGAGAGTCTGCAGCTGGCCGTAGCCTTCAATATACCCCGAGGAGCGCGAGTGTAGGAGAACCAGGAACCAAGGCAGAAACCACGATGTGTAAAGCAGCAGCAAAAGAGCCAATTTCTGTTTGCGCTTCGGAAGAAAGTGTTCGAAGTACTGTACTGGCAGTTCTTGGAGACGAGGGAATAGCGGCTTCAGTAAAAGCACATGTGGAGGATCGGGACCCTTGATCCAATTCACAGTCGCACGACCTGCTTTCCTTAGTGGCAACGGTACCCAGCCCCAGCGAAAAGATTTGGACGATTCTTGTAACCAGATAGGTAGGCTGCTGCCGGCTTCGACATCAGGCGGCGGGAAATCCTCGGAAGCGTCGGGATTGATGCGATTCTCCTCATCATCGAGTAATGGAGGGACATAGAGGCGAACAGCCTCGTCACGACCCTCTCCTATCATGGCTGAAGGGTGGTTGAAAAGAATAGACCGAAAATGTGGAGAGAAAGGAATGAACGAACGACTATGATGTCGGTGTTGGAGAGGCTGGCGCTAGGCGCAAGTGGAGATCTCCAAAAAAAAAAGTGGGGAGGATCAACGGGGTCACCTAGCCATGAAGCAGAGGTCGTGATACAGGTATTAGAGATTGGAATAGGAAATAGGAATAAAGGATAGAGTCTGTGAATGGCCCAGTATGTATAAAGGCGACAAGAGACAACACACCGGAAGTGAAGTGAAGAAAGAAGAGTGGGAGAAAGAAGGGACGTCGAGGGAAGGGCGGTGTTTCCTGTGCGGTAGCCAATCAGCGTTGGTCCTGTGACCCAGTGGCGAGAGGGCACGAGACGGCCCCAGAAAGGATGTTCACCTTGATTCTGCCTAACTGAAATTATGCATAAAATGTGAAGTATAGAGTGCAGAACTTAAAGGACCACTTACTTAAGAGAGTTGAGAATTAAATCAGAATTATGCCAACACTACTGCAGGCCGGTGCGACGCATGGAAGGATGATCATTTCGGGTTTCCCCGCAAGGGCGACTTCGAGGATCAGTGCTCAGGTACCCGGCAGAGGCGAAGAAGGCACTCTCATAGCGTACTGCGGATGTATGCAAGGATTTCGGTACAGATATCGAATATATCATCGTAAGTGGAACCACAATGGAAATATGAGCAGTTCCTCTCCTTCTGAACCATTTTCTTATGACGGGTTTCTCGTCTGCTCGTCTCAAGGTGGTTGGATGATGTTATAGAGATTTATCATTTCTTCACTATGTTCACCTGCCAGCATAAAGATCTGCCAGTAAATAGATACGCCCTGGAGATGAAGAGATAATCCCTTCATGGCCCTCTGTGACATCAGCAAGACAGGCAGGCGAAGGACGAGGGCGGCAAAGCCCTAAAAGTCAAATAATGCCACCCTACTTCCCCATATCATGAGTACTTTCGCCTTGTTGGCCCTCTGACGAATAAGTAGATTACGAGGTATGTTTGTGGAGCCTGCTGAGTTCTGACCAGGATCTATAGCAATCGCTTGAAAGAGGAATAGAGCGGGCATAGCCCGTTCGTGCGCCACGGCACCGGAGAATTGTAAAAGTAGAAGATTTTGTGGATAATAGGCCACACTCCTATCCCAAACCAACGCTGACAGAAGGCGCACATCGCACGATTGGATTCTGACCGGCATAACCCACATCATTGACTGCAAACAGTAAAAGGGTACACTTCGCTTCGATAGTATCGTATTTCCAATGAACCTGGTTTCGAAACCCACATTCGGCACAGAATCGGCTGTAATTTTCGCTTCAACCCATGCCACGATCTTGCAGTATCTGGTAATGGTCAAATCTCTTCGATGATGCAGCTTTAGACAGAAACAACGGGAGAAGTACTCATCGTATCTGGAAATGTAAGATGCCAGCAATCTCACTCAAGGTGATTCTGAGGAGCTACGCATGGGAAGAAGGTGCTGACTTAGGCCATGTCTCAACTTGACATAAACATGACAGCTTTCCCCATGGTATTGAATCTGGTGTGGGGACACTGGCTCTAAAAACGAAGATGTTTAGGATAATATCAGTTGGGAGCTATTGAGGTAGCGCATAATTTCTAGGTGCATTAAGTGCAGCTCGCTTAGGAGGTCAAATAGAGTGATCGTTGCAGAAGTCACGGTATAATGCGAGACTGTAAAGGCAACAAATCGCTTGATTGTGGACAGCCAGTTCCAAAGCAGTTTAGGTCGAGGAATTATCTGGAAGGATCAGCAAGATCTTGTTTGATGGTAGAGCTCAGTTACGCACAGTATGGGAGTTGAGACCTCCCACCTATTATTTCAACTATTGAATGCATCATCATGAGGTATAGTAAGTGAAACTTACCATACGGATCTGTTTTCGGATCTGTCGTGGACTAGCGTGTTAATGTAAAGAGTTCGGAACGGGTTAAGAAGGCACCAAAGGGCAAGGTTGAACCCGGTCTATGGTGTACATAGATATGACTATATAAATACTTTGTTCGGGCCTCTTATTAGCCTTCCTCTTCCTTATCTCTGCCCTATAGTTCCCTGAGATCCTTGCAAGCTCTAGGCGTTGGTCTTCCAACTACACCTTCCGTGACCCACCGGACCCAAACAGTAACCGGTGCTTATCAAGCACTCGGACGCCCACGGCCAAACCGTGCGGGGGGATCTAACAGGTTTCGTGGAGATTAGAAATCGGATATTTTACTACTATTCTCCCTCGAACAATCTCATTTTGCTTTTCCACCTTGTTCTTATCTTTGGTTTCCAACCCTCACCCTGTGAAAAGTGGGCATATGCACGCCCGTTGATCTGCAGCGATCGCCATGACAGCCATCACATCTCCACAACCGTTGGACTTGTCCCACCACTACTCGTATGCGTCCAAGAATCGCAAACCGAGCAGTGTTAAGAGCTTCTACCAGTATTTTTCAATTCCCGGCATCGCCAATTTTGCAGGAGGTACATCACAACGCTCTGCAGTCTCTGTGTAACCAGAGCCTCGGCTAACCTGCTATACTTCCTCGCCAGGTTTACCACACCCTTCTTATTTCCCGTATGATACCCTCGAAGCAGCCGTCGCCCGCCCTCAGCGTCTCCAGCCATCCAACAAAGATGATACCAAAGCCGACCGGTTACTCATCCCGAAAGCACTCGATACTCCCGATCTCACGCGTAAAATCGACTTGACCACTGCTCTCCAGTATGGTGTTGCCGAAGGCTATCCACCGATTGTCTCGTTCCTCCGACAGTTCGTCCGCGACCATCTCCATCCCAATGTTCCCTACGAAGGAGGTCCCGAGGTCATCATGTCATGCGGCAACACCGATGGCTTCTCCAAAGCCATTGAGCTTTTCACTAATATCTGGAATCCCGACCGGGACTGGATTCAGCAGCGCGAGGGCGTCTTATGCGAAGAGTTCACCTACATGAACGCCATTCAGACCATTCGGCCGCGAGGTCTGAATACCGTCACCGTGGCTGTGGATAGCCAAGGTATGTTAGCTTCCGGCAAAGGCGGCCTGGCGGACGTGCTAGAAAACTGGGATTTCCGGCGCGGAAGGCGTCCGCATCTCATGTATACGGTGACGTGAGTTACGCTTCCCGTTGCGTGGTTTTCGCAATGAATGACCCAATATGCTAACGGCATTATGTGACAGAATTGGCCAGAACCCCACTGGAGGAAATCTTTCCATTGAGCGAAGACACGAAATTTACGCACTCTGTCAGAAATATGACGTGATTATCGTGGAAGATGATCCGTACTGGAACTTGCAATTCCCCTCCGCATACGAGATGGAGGCCCGTTATCGGGGAGCCTCTACGGAGGCTACGCCCTACAATCGAAGTTATAATGCCGAGGGCCGGTCTTCGGGATATGCGTTCTTGGACTCGTTGGTCCCTTCATATCTATCAATTGACACCGAAGGGCGAGTTGTACGACTGGATACGTTCTCGAAGACCATTGCACCTGGCAGTCGTCTGGGCTGGATCACTGCGCAACCTGCCGTCATCGAGCGCATCACTCGCATCACCGAGGTGACAACGCAACAGCCTTCGGGATTCGTACAGTCTATAATCGCCCAGACCATTATCGGGGAACAGTTAAAGGAAAATGGCGCTTTTGGCTTGAAGAAGCAAGATGTCCATAGCTGGCGCATGGATGGGTGGGTTCGCTGGCTGGAGGGATTGCGTGGAGGGTATGAGAGACGCATGAATGACATGTGCACCATTCTTGAAGAGAACAAGTTTTTGTTCTCGGAGCAATCTGAAGTTTCGCCCAGCGCCGACCACGTTAATGGCTGGGAGGTAGTCGATCGGGTCCAGATGTATGACTTTGTCTGGCCCAAGGGTGGCATGTTTGCTTGGGTGGAGATCCGTTTTGAAACTCATCCACTCCGCGCCAAATATAGTGAGCAGAGATTATCCAAGGCTTTCTGGATATACCTTACGAAGAAGCCGCATTTGTGTCTGGTGGCGCCGGGTCAGATATTCGCGGCAGGGCCAAAGTCCGTGGAGAAAGAACATCGCTTCATCCGCGTTGCTTTTGCACCGATGAATGCCGAAGACGTCTCGTCTTTCACGCGCAGGCTTGTTGGAGGCTTCCGGTCATTCTGGAAACGGGAGAATCTAGATGGCTTGGATGATGGCGATGATGAGACTCTGGCAATGCGTTCGATGCAATCGGAGTCGGTCATTAATTTTATTGGGCCAGGGTGCTGAGAACATCCAATTTATTGTCTGTCGTAGACAATCTTTGCGTTTTACTTGTCTTTACCTTTTAGCCTTGTGCAGATCAACCTATAGGAGGTAATCTGACTTCACGAAGTACAAGTTAAACCAGCCGGGAAGAATATATTTTGCCTGACTGACTGCATTTATTCCAACAATTGACATTCGCTCTTCCTTAAGCGTCCTTTTGTATTCTTGTCACATTTTTCGTTAAACCCCAGTTTGCAATTATTAGTACATGTCTCTCATTGCAAAATAGCGGGTGGTAGGCTGGGAGAACGAGCCCACGAACCATACGATGATGCCTTGTTGCCTGAAGAAATCGGTGTGGAGATCCGATTTCTCCGCACGAGGGGGGGAATCCGAATCGCAATCTTTACCTCGCCTCTCACACAAACAATGTCGGCGCTGGACGATCTGCCGAACCGAGAGCTTGCCGAAGAAATTGAAGCGATAAATGCCATCTACGAACCCGACACCGTCACGGTGACCCGCGCCCCGACAGCGCAATCCACTAGTACCCTCGATTTGGGAAGTTCCGGATCGTCTAGCGACGATGCGCAAACAACAGTGACGCTCCAGATCCCCGGCCAGTCAGATCTTTCTTTTCGTCTGGGATTCGGCGCCACATACCCCGAGACACAGCCCATAGTGCTTGGAACCGCCTCGACTGCGGCACGGGGAGAGGGGAAAATAGCAGTGGACGTGCTGGAAGATATCGTACAGCGGGCATGGCAACCCGGCGCTGTCTGTTTATTTGATGTGATCAGTGAAGCGGTGGAGGTATTTCCAGAATTGAACATCGGTGGGGCCAAGGACAACATGCAGATCAAGACGACCGCGCCCTCTGGGACGACAGGGCATACGTCTAGTCAAACGACGAGTTCCAATGGTGCTGCCACGAAACAAGCAACGGAAAGCTTTGCATCTCTATCTCTACAAGATACGATTGGACTTGAAAATCCACCAGATTGGATTCTCTCCGACGTGGTGACGGAGAAAAAGTCCGTCTTTCTAGCCCGAGCAGTCCGAGTAACCAGTCTAGCGCAGGCGCAGACTTTCCTCGATCATTTGACAGCGACGGATAAGAAAGTCGCAGTGGCGACGCACAATATCAGCGCGTGGCGCATCAAACAGAAGAAAGAGGCCGATTCTAAGAGTAATGACTCTGATGCGGCGGAGACGGCGGTCCAGGATTACGATGACGATGGAGAAACGGCTGCAGGAGCCCGTTTACTCCATGTGATGCAACTAATGGATGTGTGGAATGTCCTCGTTGTGGTCTCGCGATGGTATGGTGGGATTCACCTGGGGCCTGCGCGATTCAGACTCATCAACGACGTTGGCCGGGATGCTTTGGTCAAGGGTGGTTTCACTCAGGATGACAATACCGCCGCCACTGAAAAGGGCAAGAAGAAGGGAAAGAAATAAGCGGTTATTTCTATACATGTACCGCACGTCTATCTAAAAGCCCCCAGTCAGAAAGCTGGGTCTCCCTGCCTGGATGTCAAATGAACATCCACAGCTATTCCCAGGGAATAAGGGTGCTATTTTTAGTATTGCTAGATGTTCCATGTATATACTACTTGTGCTTCAACCTTTGGAGAGGAGGATAACTCTCTCTGAAGTTGGAAGATCTCTCTTGCAACAATGAGCTATACTTTTTCTCCAAGCGGTTAGATGATAATTCAATCTTCAGTTTCTTGTAGGTTGATGGCCTACAGTAGGCTGCTATACTAATACATGAATTCGTCGCTTTTGATCACTGAGTAGATCTGAGCACGTCTTTGAGCACCTCTGATCTAACTGTAAGCTCACTTATTGGCTCACTGAGCAAGTCTGATCCGCTCATTGATCGTACAAGGCTTTGGGGGCCAAGCATCCAGGATCGTCACTGGTTTAGCGTTCCCCTCAGGTTACTATGAATTAATTTTACAGCCCCTTGACGCCTGCCTCGAATTTCTCCTGTTCACCAACTCAAGATTCCACGATCTCCTCGCGTCAGGAACGATGCTATCTCTCTTTACCCGCCCAAACCTTATTGCGATTATCTCCATACTCTTCCACTCAGTCTCGGCCAGCACATGTTACTATCCTAATGGCACTGCTATTAATGATTCTACGTTTCAACCCTGCCAAAACACGACATATTCAATGTGTTGTGCGCTGGACAACAGGCTTAACTATACAGTAGACACATGCATGAGCAATGGTCTCTGCTATAACCCATGCGTGGAAGATGGGACATGCAACGGATCGTCGGGAACATATTGGCGCGAGTCTTGCACAGACCCAACCTGGAAAAGCTCATATTGCTTAAAGGGTGCTTGCACTAATTCTTCTGTAAGAATCTCCAGTTGCGTGATAGCATGAAGTCTCTCGGGCTAAACATTAACTTTAGGTCACTGGTGGCTCAGCCTCTGATAATGTCATTCTGACTCAGTGCCCGACAGATCAGAAATGGTGTTGCGGGAATAAATCCCCAAGTAACTGCTGTCAAGATGTTGAGCGATTTGCGCTGGCAGATCTGGATTCATCTGCTACTTCATCGCCATCTCCATTAACTACAGCTGCGAGTCAAACGTCCACGGTCAACACCGCGAGTCCGATTCCAACAGATGGCAATACAGACAGCTCGAATGCAGAGAAGCTCAAAGTTGGTCTTGGAGTTGGTCTTGGAGTTGGTATTGGAATTGGGGTTCCGATTTTACTGGGCTTGGCATATATCGTTTGGCTTCGGCAGTCCCATTCCAGCAGGAAACATGATATTGTGCCTTCTAGGGACTCATCGCAGGTTGAAAGATCAGAACTTGACGGTGCCGAGGTTTCCGAGCTATGCGATCCTGGAGCTCGCTTTACCCATGAATTGGAAAGTACAAGGGCAAAATCTTCCGTTGCAAGTCCAGTTGAACTAGCTTGATTTTACAGTCAGGCTACACCAATTTATGCCCCGTCCCCGTCCCACACTAGCTTCAGTAAGAGATCACTCGTATCCGTGCCTACCACTTACCCAAGCCAGGAAGCGGCCCGGGTGCTCGGTGTTATGGGTTTCCTGCCCTTTTCTCTACCAGTAGTCTTCTACTAGCCAATTCTACCACCAACGATGCCTAAATCTATCAATATTGATAAATCTCGCATAGTCAAGGCCTGCTTAGTGGTCTTATTCCAACAAAAGTCGAATATCACTAAGTCTGCGCGTGAATTCGGCGTAGATCGCAAGACCTTGACCAGATACGTAGGAATGGCTAAATCGCCCATTGCACCTACCAAATCGCTGAGAAATGCCCTAGAGCCACACCAGGAGAAAGCCTCGATTAGCTAGATAATCCAAATGCATGGCTAGAGCCTCCTACCTACCCTTGCGGTAGTAGGCGTATGGGCAAATCACGTATTGGCGCGATCGGGCTAGCCGGATAGGCAGGTTGATAAAAACTGAGCGTGCGGCTTTATAAAGCGTCTACCATAACGCTTAGCCTAGGCCCTGTGAAGCAGAAGCCCAAGGAACCGAATCGAGTGAATTGGAGGATGCAGGCCTTCTTCAACACCGGTACGACTAGTCCCTCTAGGTACGACAAGATCCGAAAACTCAATTACATCCTACAATGAGGCGACCTTCCAGCCCGCATCGCCGTCAAGGCTCACTCGGTCCCACGGGCAGTAACGTCTTCGTAGCATCCCCTTACCTCGTGACTGGAATGAACTCAATATCAAGCAACCAATTGACTGATCAGTCTTCTTGGGCCATGTATTGTGCCATCTCCAAGAGATTGGCTAATATCCACCATCGTACTATCCACCTGCAGCTTCACCGTCGATGTGACCACAGGGCTAGGCAGGAGTTGGGAGATGAAGTTATTGTGGAATACCCAGTATATCGTAGAATGAGAAACGCCACTGATGAAGCGTACGGAGCCTGTGCTGAGGCATTTTCCATCTCATACCTAGAATGTTCGACCCACGTTACAGTAACATGCTCGACACCATAGACTTTTGACTGCTCGAGTTTGATACTATACCCATCACAAACCACCAGGCATTATCATGTGAGAGAAAGAGGAAGTGCAGGTGGCATCGGTGAAGAAGAGTTAGAATTTCCCTTGTGATAAACATGCATCCAAGTTGGTACGTCTAGCTGGCCGGGCACCTCCATGGCGCCAAGCATGTTTGTTTGGTTGAGGGGTTTTTTCGACTGAAGTCCAGTTTGCGAAAGGCGATTAATCTCGAGATCAATCAAACTACTACCGTACCATGGAACGGAACAGGGTGGATGAACCCTGGTGAACAAGAGAGGCGTCTCAGGAAGTATTGCGACTGCAGCTCTAGATCCCAGGGTCAACTCCATAGTTTATTGACGTTACTCCTGCGAACCTACGCCACAGACCCCGCTAGTATATCCACCATATTTGCAGGGCGGACGTAACCGAGATTATGCGGCGGGGAAGGCTGTCCATGAGGTTGGAAATTGCAGGGGATATATGAGGGAGGGTTGCCAAGGAGTGGCTCCATGCAACTTGCAAGAAGGTTCCTCGGGACCTACATGAGGGATCAGTTGTCAACATGAAACGCTTCTGACATATGGATCTTTGAAAAACTTATAGTGGTCCACGGCATGACGAGATCGCTGGGTCCCGGAAAATAATGTTGAACCGTGGGTGACAATGTGGGTGCTTTGTATGGATTGGATTGTAGATCGTACTATGCGGAATTAAGATCCGCCAGACAAAGAAAAACAATGGGACAATCGGATAGGTCACATCTTGTATGTCCATTTCTCCCCAGCAATCCCTGTCCAAGATGTTCAACAACAACCAGCACATGTGAGGTCTATGTTGAATGTGTCGATCTTATATTTTCGAAACAGCAGCGTTCGCGGCATCTTCGGTTGACACCTTCCGTTTTGCAAGATCCACTTGATCTTCCCGCTAAGCCGCACCATCCAAGCCGTCCCTCCTTGGGGTGGTTAACCGAGGCTGCCATACGACTAGGGGTGGAGGTCTCTGGACCCTGAACAATGTCTTTTTTCAAGGCAGAGAAAATTCTAGCCTCGTGATCGACACCCTCAGTGCCGGGCATGGTGGGCCACAACGACGTAGCCCGAGAAGCTTTCAAGCACACAATCACCATCATGAAACTCCTGCGCGACGGGCGCGAGGAACTGCTTTCAACTGTAGGGTGCATTTGGGGTCTTCTCCAGTAGCCATGCCCGTCTTCGCGCGGTGCGTCATCACAATTCAAAGTTTTGGCAGCACGCAAGGATAGAGACTTGACAAAACCGCAAGCGCGCAAGCCGGTTGGCTAGACAAAGTGCCGTCCGGGGGACCACCCTGCAGTCAACAGGGGTGGAGCTGGTACCGTCCCAGCAAAGCGTGGGAGAAACATGAAACCGCCAAACGAGGCCCTCCGTTCACCACGACTGCAACCTCCAGTTTCAACGTCCACATAGTACACATTCGATGCCAAATGGTCGTGCAGTGTCGTACAATCCGTACCTTCTGCAGCCTGATTCGTCCCCTGGCCCGCTGACAGGAAACGGAGGCGTCAACGATCGGGATTCTCCACAACCAATCCACCCGGTTGGCGGCCCAGGTACATGGAAGTCTTTGGGACCCAATTTGATGGTGAGACGCTTGGCAAGTGGCCGAGCTCTGGTTCGGAAGGGGGAAAGGTGTAAATGGTCGTGCCTTGCGCCAGTGCTCTTCCGACAGGAGTCTTGTTAGGGCGGTGGTTGGCTCCTTCACCAGCCGCCTCGCCGCTAGGACTGGTCGATCTGCCCAGTCCGGGGGTCGCGATCCGAGCCTCTGAGTGGCCACGGCCCTCTGCCACTTCACCACCACTCACCGTTCGGATCTGGCAATTGTACGCTGGAAGGCACCACTTGAAACATCCCAGCTTTTCGAGAATCTACGTCTCCATTCGTCCTCTTGTCCCTATTGTACTATCACGACGCGTGCCATCGTCGGACCGACCAGTTAGAATGGTAGATTGGCAGGATTGTGGAGGTGATCAAACTGTGGAAGTATCCGATTTTATTAGTGGATTTTTCAGCGGATCTCGTTGTGACTCCATCAGGGACCGAGATGTCCGCCGCGACTCAGTACCTGCGGGTTGCTGGCTGATGGGTGCACGACCCTACGTCGTACCTGACCGATCCTGGCGGGAAGCGAAGAGGAGAAAGTATGGGTGGAGGAAGGAAGTGGACGGAGAAAGAGGAGGAGGGTCAAGTGGCAGGTTGGATATAAAACCCTTTCACACCACGACTGCACCTTCTCTTTTTTTTTTTTTCTTCTTTTCTGTAGTACATCTCAATCCTTTTCTTTCCCTTCACAGGTTCGACAACCGTTTCAACAGGCCAGTCCTGTCTTCCTTTCTCTTCTTCTTTTTTGCTTGGTAGTCATCGCCTGTGGCGAACTACAACACTCCTTCTAGAACCTCATCGCTTCTATCCAGACATTCCATAACATCTGGTCCTACATTGTCATTGTCCCAACTGAGACACCCTGAAGAAAAAAGCTTAGCAGAGATTGTTTGATACAACTCTGCTCTGATCTGTGACAAAGGTATTCTTCTACGGAGCTCTCCATTACTATGCATTACATCGCATCAACGTGGAACTTTCCGTCCCCTTGTTCTTGTGCCCCTGCAGTTGATATAATTCCATTGTTGGATTGTCTCGTTGCTGCCTCGCATATCCTATTCGGATGGAGTGCGAGGACATCCATGCATGATATGAAGATGATGCCTGCAACAATCCAACATTGCCTTTATCCGCCCCCGGTGAAATACATCGCTGCCTATACGCCCATCTCCAAGTGAACTGCCCTCTATGGAATACCTTATAAACACATACCATACCCTAGCATCGTACCCTCACTCTTCCCTTTTCTCATCCACTGACTCTTCTGGCGCAGGAAGCCTTGATCCGTTCAGCTCTCGCGACTACCAACATCCAATCCTTTACCACTTGATCCCTTTCGTCTGGTACGAATCGGGTATCCAACTTTGAATTCATCTGTCGAACCATCAAAAAGTCTACTTCACCATGATGCTCGCCAAATCCTTCTTGATCGCCGCCCTCGGTGCGTCTGTGGCCAACGCCCACATGATCATGACCCAGCCTGTCCCCTACGGCAAGGACTCCCTCACCAACTCCCCACTTGACGCTCAGGGTGGTGATTTCCCCTGCAAACTCCGTACTGGCACCTACGATATCTCCCAGGAAAACGTCATGGCTATTGGCGATGTCCAACAACTGCGGTTCCAGGGAGGTGCTACTCACGGCGGTGGTTCGTGCCAGATCAGCTTGACTGAAGACCGGGCCCCTTCTAAGTCGTCAACTTGGAAGGTCATCAAGTCCATCGAGGGAGGCTGCCCTGCGAATGCTGACGGCAACCTGGGTTCCGACGCCAGCGCTGCAGACCCCTATCACTTCAACTTCACTATCCCTGATGGTATTGCTACCGGCAAGTACACCCTTGCCTGGACCTGGTTCAACCGCATCGGCAACCGTGAGATGTACATGAACTGTGCCCCCGTTACTGTTACCACTGGCACCTCTTCCAAGCGATCCGCCGAGGCCCCTGTCATCGAGCAGCGCTCGTCCAGCTTCCCTCCTATGTTTGTTGCAAACATCAACGGCTGCACTACCAAGGAAGGTGTCGATATTCGTTTCCCTCAGCCCGGTAATGTTGTCGAGTATGATGGTAACCCGACGAACCTGGCTCCCGCGAGCGATGCTGCTTGCTCTGGTACTCCTACTTTCGGTGGTTCAGGTGACACGGGCTCGGGCACTTCCAGCTCGGGCTCGGACTCTGGCTCGTCTGGCTCGGGCTCCGGTTCTGTGGCCTCATCCACTTCAGCAGTCAGCCCTCCCATCGAGACTTCATCCCAAGCCGGTGTTCCCGCTCCCACTTCTACCAGTACCCCGGCTGAGACCACCGCCCCTAGTGTACCCCAACCTGTCGGCTCTTCTACTACTTCGGCCTCTCCCTCTGAATCTAGCTCCTCTGACTCCTCCAGCTCTGGTTCCCTGACTGGATCCTGCAGCCCGGAGGGCTCTTGGAACTGCATTGCTGGCAGCTCCTTCCAGCGCTGTGCCAACGGACAGTGGACCCCCTCCCAGCAAATGGCCGCTGGTACTCAGTGCACCGCTGGCAAGAGCTCCGACCTCTCTATCTCTGCCATCAAGGCTGCCCGCGCAGTCTCTGGATTACGCTTCCGTAAGCGCTTCATTGGTGCCTCGCACCATGTCTAAGCATGCTCGGCTCGGCCATACTTCATCCACACCTACGGCAACCGCTGGTGTCGGTTGCTGTACGCTTACCTTCTCTCCATTGCATTTTCCCACTGATACTTCTTCCTGTCTTCTTTCGTTTCCGTTCCTGGGAAAGGCGCTCTAGGACGGACCCTTTTTTCATTACATCATGTTTCGCGGTTCTTCCCGTCGTGTACATTTCTAAGATGAGACTTGTTGAAATCAGATTATCTCATTAAATATATTGGTACTGTAGAATCAAAATTAGTGTACAAATCTGCGGAGTCCCGTCAAAAGTAAGTCAAGATACTTTAGATAAGGATATCATACTCGCTAGCAGGGATTATCAGCCCTATGAACTAAGTCTAAATAAAGCAAGTCAATTGCCGAGCTTTATCGCTTCAAGAAAAGGTAGAGCCAATATGGTCGTTACGGGTTGATGTTAGAATCCAGTGAATCTTAGCTAGAAGCTCGTGAAACAGCAGCGATGAATAACCGGTCGCCTTAGATCTAACAACTATCGGGACAATGCAGTATCTGATTCATCGAAAATTCTAGTTTTAATTCGAGAAAGTTTACTCCCAGCAGAAGGAGGCTTCAGATAATAAACTTTACAGTTCAAGCAGCCATCGCTCATCCTTGTTCCTCTTTCGACGTATGATCGATTGTGAACACTTTTCCGGGTTCTGCCCCAGCTGCAGACCCGTTTTCCCACCATCCAAGATAGAATCGACGTTTGGCAAAGGTCTTCTCAAGCGACTTGTGGTTTGGATCCCAAGCTCCGTCCGCAAATTGATCGAGTAAGTGGGAATCCGCCAAAAGGCTGGCGACTGCCGCGATGCTGCATGGATTCTTTGGCAAAACGTGGTCTGTGTTTAAAAGAACGGATCCAAGGATACCCAGGGCGAGCATCATTCCTAAAAGAGCTTCCAAGATCCGCGTCGAAGTGGCATCTTGGACCAATCTCAGACGACTTGAATTCGTGATGTTTCCTTGGAGTAGTGGGTGAGGAATGCTGTCGTTTGCGGTCCCCCGGGTGTAATTATTTAGCTGTTGCGCGTTGATAATTTTGTGTTGACGTTTGATCGCATCGATCACCGTTTGGTTCTTCTCGGGTCGTTTCAGGTAGTCGGATGGGATTGCGTATTTTCCAGTAACAAGGAGATAGAAGAATCCATCAAGAGTTGGGTATTGACCACCAGTGTTCAAAGTCCACCATTCGGGAATTGGGGTATAGAGATCCTTGTCCAGACTGACAGATGATTCATTTGGTACTGGCGGATGACTTTGGTCAATTTCCAGTTCCGGCAATTTAAGTCGCGCGTCCACATCGACATTTTCCGCGTATTGCATGCACGTCATCGCCATAATGTACTCAACAGAGGTGCCTTTCACATGCCCCCATATGTAGGTCTCGGTGTAAGTGGATGAAACGTAGTACCTGGCATAGCAGGTAGATTGGATTGAGTATCCAAATGGTCCATCCTTGAGGTCCTTCAGAGTGAATATTGTGGCGTTGAAAGTATAGTCGGTGTTATTTCCCGGACAGGCGGGGGTTGTCAGTACACTAGTGAGCTGGTACTGTACGGTGCCCTCTTGGACGTAGGTACTAATTTTGGGCTGTAGATCGTCTGCAGTAGCAAGTTTGCAAACAAGGGTCGATCTCAAGGCTGGAATCCGAATATCCACATAAGAGCCATCCCCCATGGTGTTGATCGACGAGTCATTCATTGAAATCTCTGCGAACGCAAGCTCTTCGTACGTCCAACGAGGGTAGCTAAAGTTGTATTGAAGAATGTATTCTGCAGTTAGAACTCCTGCGACCTCGCCAGCCTCATCCAAATTAAGCTGGACCCCTGCGATGGTCCTCGGGTCCGGGAATCCGCCCACGCGCGTGAAATTGGCGATCTCACTGGATGGGACTGCAACTATCGAGTACAGACCGCTGATCACGATGGTGAGAAAGAATGCCGCGCCTGTGGCGAGAGTTGTTGCTAACACGGGAAGCTGTTTGGAACGAATAGACCGATAAGCGTTGGTGAAGCCCTGGGCGTCCAAAAAGTCCAATTTCATGGACTGTGAGATTGAGGCGCCGGTGGGACGTTTGAGGTGCGAGTAAGGAGCAAGACATCTGGTGTTGAAGTCTATGCTACCGAATGCAAGACTTAAACCGGTCATCATGGCACCGGGAATAATGGTCCACACATAATGCATGTACTCGTTGACGTAAGTGACATTACCGAGCCCATCATTGACTTGTGAAAGGTGTAAAAGGACCTCCAAAACTGCGATTGCTGCTGTAACCAGTATGAAGATAGCAAGGCGAGAAAAAAGACCGGGGAACGGTTTCCAATCGCGATACTGAGAATCAATTTCGTGTGTCAATTGAGATTCATTGGCAACATTCTTATTGATCTCGATGGATATACCTTTTGAGGTACATTGCGAATAATAGTAGTCATCTTTAAGACGCTTCTGCAGTGTCTTATCGGACACTGCGCCCAGTCCGCGAAGGGATCCACGGAGCTCTTCACTGTTTGCTGCTATGGCTGCAATGGCTAAAATGCAGGCTGGGTTCCACGTCGTTGCTTTTTGGCGAGCAATATGCACAATGATCACTATTACCAGCAATATCACTATTGCCAAGCATGCCTCGATTGCCCGGAGTGGCAGCTCCATCATCATCACGCGGTTTTCGTTCACAACAGCAGAGCCAAGTGTCGTAGACTCTTTTTCTTGCAAGATACCCATATGCATAAGCTGGGCAGTCATTGCACGATAATATGTAGACGCTGAGTCACGAAGAACATTGCCCTGCCAGAGGTTTTGAAGAGTGGCGTCTTCTTCTGCAAGTAGCAATCCAAGCCTCAATGCTTCATCAACCTGCACATCATCTGGGAATGGATTGAATAGTTCAATGCCTCTGAACCCCGTAGTATCACTGGAATTAGCCATAATGTATTTGGCAACGTCTTCTGCGGTCAGACCTGGGAGTGTGGCTTCCTCGGAAGCGATTGTTTCAAGGCTAATGTCAGAAGAGAGGTCGGTTGCGTTTCCTTTGGCTTTTAGATCTACACGATAAAGTGTTGGCTTGCAGATCATGATTTTGTGGCGCTTTAACTCGAGTTGAACAATCTTATATTCAGGCGAACCTTGGTATGCGGAGGCTTTTGTGCGGGTCGCATTCTTGTCTCCGATCTCGACCAACAAGACCAGAACGCGCATGTCATCCAAAGTACTATTTCCACATTTTGTCCATTGGAAATGTCCCATTTGGGTATACTCTATCGCGCCTAGCCCAAACTGGTCGTAGTGGGAAATGTTGCACGTTGGGGTGACAATCTGGAAATCGAAGACCACGCTGACTTGACTGCCGTTAGTCTTGAGCCATTCTATGTAGTACAAGGATTTGGTATCGACGCTGATGGTATCTTCACAGCTCAAATCCGCTTTCAGCCCTTCTATGGGAGCAGTAACAATAGCAGCAGAGGAGACATTCGGAGCAGAGAATTCTTGAAACACCAAGTCGACATTCGTACCACCGGGGTAAGTCAGGTTGTCGAAGACTATACCATTGATTATGTCGTAAGGTTGTGATCCGACCGCTGCAAGTGTCGAATTTTGAGTGCTGAATGTGTCATGTAGTTGAATCGTGACATTGTTTTGTTGGATTGGAACCTCCTGTAGCGAAAAGAGACCGGTTGAAAATATAATGACCAGCTGCACGAGCAGTGTACAAGATACACTCGCGAAAACGATAATTTGTTTGTTCTTGAAGGCTTTCCACATGGTGACGGGCTGCATTTCGGATATGTAGTCCACGAGCACACTTTTGTCCGCTGGCTGTGGAGCTTCGAGCATTGACTGCCAAGGCGCATTTTGTTTTGACTGAAACTCGACTCGTGACCAAAGAGTGGCAATAATGGTAAGAATTGCGGTTGGGCCGTACGTCCAAAGATAATGACGGCCTTCAGTCGATGCTGCAATACCACTTTGGGCTTCGGACGTTTGGTATAGAGCCTCTAATGCAGCAATTATGGCGGCAAAAGCGAACACAAACAAAGCCAGTATTCGTTTTCGCAGGTATGATGGCCGCCAACCATTGTTTTGTGAATTTTTCAAAGAACCCACATGCTTCTTGATGAGATCTGATAGCATACCGAAGGTAAGAGGTGGAGGCACTCGATATATAGCGCCCGCAGCACGGCGGGCTATAGCTCCAACGAGAGGGACGTAGGGTGGTGATTCCTGCTTGGCATAGTTTTAGCACTTCTGATGGACAGGAACTATAATTATAAAGAACAGAGGAGTTGGGCTTCCTATCTATCAATATATCCCATTCAAAGTGGGAGTAAACGCGCGACCATCTCTACCCCTAGGCCCGTGCAGCACTTTAAGCGCCGGCCCCAGGTGGTAGCAAGAATCCAGCCTGAGGAGTTCATGAAACACGATTAATCCAGAAAAGCCGTCCGGGCGCTTAGAATACAGTATTTTCTCCAGTAAAATGAGCATGCGAACTTTGGTATTGATAATGTCGTGGAGCCATCCTTTGGTCGCTACCTCGTGATTAAGATGATCAGAGGGCGCCAAGATACTTAGCCGCATGAAAGTGAAGCCCCGGATGTTTCACAAGGCTCTGAGGTGGATAAATTTTCAAGATGTTAGGGAAAGATCTCCCTGGAATTGGGGGCTGTCTCGTCTATTTGGGGTTGTTCAGTGAGGAGAATAGAGAAGCAGCGTGTGCTTAAGTTAGACCCAGTATGCGTCCTGGCGGCAGTTTCCCCAGCCTAATTACATGGTGAACTTGTGCCCCCCTGAGCTCGTTATATTCTCACAGCTCTAAATAGATTGATGCTTTGGCATTGAGGAGCCAGAAACTATTTCAACAGTAGACTACTCTCTTGAGGTCATGAACCATTTCTCATTAACTCGCAAAAGACCGCTGTATACTTCCAGTCGAATCACGTGGTTGTAAGGGTGGGGTATTGATGACATAAACAGCGACGGGCCACGGCTCACGCTATCCTAAAGGGGAACGAGGGCTTAGGGTTTTCGTGACCCACCACCGGCCAAGCTCAGTAAGCGAAAAAATCCACAGGTGAAGCCAAACTGGGGAAATCTTTGGACTTCAACCTCACCATCGACATCGACCGACAACAATGGCCTCCCGCCCGACCGTCTCCATCGCCACGGCTGAGGGTAAGCCCTCCGGGGCCACCCAGCCCCTGCCTACCGTCTTCGGTGCCCCCATCCGCCCGGATATCGTCCAGTACGTCGAGCCCGCAAAATTCGAACATTGGTGATGATGGAAGGTGGAAATGCTGACGGATTTTGCTCTACAGGCAGGTGCACACCGGCATGGCCAAGAACAAGAGACAGCCCTACGCTGTCAGCGAGAAGGCTGGCGAGCAGACCTCCGCTGAGTCTTGGGGTACCGGTACGTGGAATCGAAATTTCGAGATCGAGCAACGAAATTTGGCTGGAGGGGGGGATGAAGCAAATTTTTTCTTTGCGGGGAAGGTCCAATTGGTATACTACGGATAGACGCTGACAAGACACTCTTTGATATTCAACAGGCCGTGCTGTCGCCCGTATTCCCCGTGTCTCCGGTGGTGGTACTCACCGTGCCGGTCAGGCTGCCTTCGGTAACCAGTGCCGTTCCGGTCGCATGTTCGCTCCCACCAAGGTCTGGCGCAAGTGGCACCAGAAGCTCAACCTGAACCAGAAGCGCTTCGCTACCGCCTCTGCTCTGGCTGCTTCCTCCGTCCCTGCCCTCCTCTTCGCCCGTGGCCACCGTGTCGCCAAGGTCCCCGAGGTTCCCCTCGTTGTCGAGTCCAAGACCTTCCAGAGCGCTGCTCTGACCAAGACCAAGGCCGCCATTGCCCTCCTCCAGGCCCTTGGTGCCGGTGATGACCTCATCAAGGTCCAGAAGTCCCGCAAGCTCCGTGCTGGTAAGGGTAAGCTGCGTAACCGCCGCTTCCGCCAGCGCCGCGGCCCTCTCGTTGTCTACAACCCCGAGGTTGATGGCAAGGAGCTCGTCCGTGCCTTCCGCAACGTTCCCGGTGTTGAGACTTCCTCCGTCTTCTCCCTGAACCTCCTCCAGCTCGCCCCCGGTGGTCACCTCGGCCGCTTCATCGTCTGGACCTCCTCCGCCTTCGAGGCCCTTGACCAGGTCTACGGCACCACCACCACCCCCTCGGCTCTCAAGAAGGATTTCCTCCTGCCCTCCGCCATGGTTGCCAACGCCGATCTCACCCGCCTTATCAACTCCTCTGAAATCCAGGCTGTTGTCCGCGCTCCCAAGGGTGAGGCCCGCACCAAGCGTGTCAACGTCCAGAAGAAGAACCCTCTCCGCAACAAGCAGGTTATGCTCCGTCTTAACCCCTACGCCGCTGCCTACTCTAAGCAGAAGCTCGGCCAGCAGAAGGTTGAGGCCGGCAAGCCCGAGCGTGCTTCCGCTGGTTTCGCCAAGGTTCTGTCTGAGGAGTAAATGTTCTCTCCCAACTGTTCTTTGGATATGGTGAAAAATGGTAGTTTGCAGCAAAAAATGAATCAATGACTTTTTTTGCAATACCCATGGGTCTATCGGAGTAATAATATGATCGGTTTTGTTCTCTCAATTGTTCAGCTGTTCTGGCTTTCCTAGTGGTAAGTTAATGGAGTGGGTTTGTAGTTCTGGGATCCTATCCTTTGCCCTGGTCACTCTTCAATTCTTCTTGAATGTTTGATGAGATTATCGGCCAGGCTGGTCGACTGCCCACTGTGTTTCTTGACTTGGCCTTGCTGCCATCTGTAGCCCAAACCCAACATTGTAGACACGTTCCATCTCTTATTGCACATGCATACCTCCAGCCGGTTGTACTCCACATGCAAAACCTATACCCATCTTCAAGTATTCCGCGGAGATTGAGAACACCAGCCGTAATTGCTAATCGACAATAAAATCTTCAGGGTGAAGCTGGTCCGCGTACCCGGCCATGCAGAACATAACTCTTCCCTGTTGTCTGCGGCATAAAACTCGAAATTTGGTCAAGGATATATAATTATATATAGTCTCGGCGGGGACTATGCCTAGGGTTCTATTGGTGAGATACCACACGGGTCGGTATGCATTATGGACGTATTCACGACGTCCCGTCGTGCATGACGACGGATATATATCTTCATTGGCTGGGTTACGTACCCTCCGCATAAGCGAGGAAGCATCCTTGACAAGGTGCAGGTTGGCGCAAATTAGCGACTATTATATTTGGAATTCATAATATAGAATGGACAACGTTACGCACAGTCTAAGGCGAAGGATCTCCGTACTATAGCTACTAGACTTTGATTCGCTTGTGGGAAATCTCGCAAGGTCTTGGAAACGCTTCGAGCAACGTGTTCATGCCGTGTTGTTTCTCGTGTTTCCTGTGTAGGTCACTGAGTGGTTCGGGGCTCACGGGCGCTCAGATCAAAATTTGACGAAGGACAGTACGGAGTAGGTAGTTATCACATGTGCTCTTCCGGAGTTCAAACCTAGGTAATAAGTTCAACGAATTGTACACGCAAATTGTGTATAAGAAGCAATTGTAAACAAGCAATTGAACCGACAGCCATAGCAGAGTTCAATATATCAAGATGAAACAGCCCGCACGAGGCGACGAACTAGTGCAAGGCCTGAAGCGCCCATGACATGACCAGCGTCTGCCCAAATAGGCAAGCCGGGAACTGTCAACCAGGCTGATTCCCGTTTTATTCGGCGATCGCACCTCCGAACTGAGGCTGAGTAGGATAGTTTAAGCGTCCAAACGTTGGAACCATACTTAACTTGAAACACGGAGAGCGGAACAAGGCAACCACCTAACCTAACTAGCGAGGAATATGAACCAGGGAAAGGCCAAGCTAGGCATTCGGACGTCCTTCATGCGTTCAGAGAAGCGCCTTGTTGCTTAGCTTCACATGCTAAATCCCTTTATTTTTCTTTTCTAGAAAATCTTCAATCAATTTAACTTTCATCGGCAGCCGCCGGCTCCCAGAATCCTAGACCCTCATCTCGCGGATCGACCTAGCAGAAACAGACGTCTTGCTTGTAACCCCTGGGGCTTGGGTCTTACGAAGGAGAATCTACCCCCTAACTCTTGGCTAAAGGTCCAGCAGCGACCAAAGCGAAACGGGGCAACGCGCAGGACAAGAGAGAGACAAAACAATTAGCAATTGTGGTCAGCACAGACACGGACAAATCGTTGGTATCGGGAAAGTCGACCGACCAGCCGATTCCAAGCGAGCTTGAACAAAGTAGACAAAGTGAAGATCAGGCCCTGCGACCCAGGACGCTAAAAATCGGCCCATCAGGGTCCACGGCTGGTAGTCGAATGTTTTTTCACAGTCCTAGGAGACTAGCAGGTCTTCAACTTGAGCGGAGTGGGGATGGAATGTACGTCAGTCTTTCGGCGAAGCGGATTTTCCGTGTTCTCGCAAACTGAACACGATGGAGTAAAAGAAGGTTGCGGCCGGCAGGGTTCTAAGGTTTTGCGATACTTAGGCGAGGTCGGAAGAGCAACCTTCGGACGAATTGAGTTTGGGGCGTTGATGTACGATGACACACCGATCCGTCGCGTTCTCGACGATGAGCTATGCAGGTGTGTAGTCGTGCATTCGGCTAGAGCTCGGTACGACCTAGTACAAAGTTTGAAGAGCTGCTTAGCATAATTTTGAGCTTGTAGAGTTGCAACAGGGTCAGGTTTATCCCCCGCTATTGCATCCCTAGCTCGCGAGTCCACTTTTGAGTTTATTGAGCTGAGCTAATGAATTCCAAGAATATTTGAGGGGAAGGGGGGAGTAGCAGGAATAGACAGATGCAACATCAACCAGGGGACTCCAGTGTGTAACCGAGATGATTTTCGTTTGGAAGCGATCATTTTATTGGAGATTTAGGACCCAACAATGACGCCGAGGGAGGCCTAGCCACACAAGACGCTGGAAAGGGGGGCATATCGGAGGAGGAAAATTCTCCGATCGAACCGCCGTTCCACCGGCTTTTGGAGGGTAAGCATAAATGCGGTCAGACCGCTAAGGATCCGATCGTAGAGAACAGCTGGCACGAGCCCTCGATCGTGTTTAGGAGGAGGGCCGAGTACTCGTAAATGGTGCTGACAATAGTTGATGCAAAGTACGAGTCTGTACATCCGTGATTAAGTGTGTACCGCAGTAGTTTACCAGAAAATACTTCGTACAGGAGAGTTCGTTGTTAACTGGAGGCTCCTCGGCAGGATCGGCGAAGCGAGCACGAGCAAATTGACGTGAAGAACCATGATCCTCATCTTACCTAATAGCGAACAAATTGTGCATTGTCTAAATTAATAACAATAATATAGATCACAATAACGCCCAGATACTTGGCAGACGAGGCACGGAGAAATAGGAATCCTTCATTACGGACCAAAAACTCCGATGGATCCCCCGGTTGAGGAATTGTATCCATTCGCAGATCATCCAGGATTGAACCGGACCTGAGAAGAAATTGCCTTAATAGCTATTGATTATAGTTGGTCGGAGACAGTTTTCCGTACCACGTATGGAGTACGTAGCATAAATAACAGACTTGGCAATGCCGGCCCCGGCGCCATCGCTAGGCGCATTTATTATTGTCTCACCTGCCAACACGATCCGACTCTAAAGGATTACCAGAGAGCTAGAGCTCAGCAAAGCCCCCCCAAAAAAACGATTGCGGCACCAAAGATTCTGTCGACCTGTGGAGTCCCTGGAGGGTTGAGCACGGGCGATGCAAAACATACCGAGAGCTGTTCAGCCGGCAAACAGCAGTAGAGTCACAATTGTAGTAGTGTCAGCAGTGGCACGGTGGTCCGTCTAGGAACCGGGCGTTAGTGAGTGTCTAGCGCCAGGCCGGGTGCGATGCGTGGATTCTAGATATTTTTTTTTGGAGCTCAATTAGACTAGCTAACTAGCTACATAGTTAGCTGCCATTTCCTAGGCTACGGGACCTCTTCTTTGGGATCTTCTTGACTCACTATTGACGCATGAAGCTTATGATATGATATGAGGGATTCGGCCTTAGCTGCTGGGCTAGACGGGATCCTCTATTCTAGTCTGATTTAGTCCACCATTGAGCGTTGTAAAGGATGCGAGCTAAACCCAGTTCATCATTTGCATCGGTACCTGGCGCGGGCGCAAAAGAAGCGACACGGAACGAAAACCTTAGTTCTCCTGAAGTGTCAATCGACGCCGAACCAAGTGGATCATAATCGTTTGTTGTGTCGAGGATTAGTATGGACTAACTGCAGTCTAGGACTACGACTGTTGACAGAGTCCGTAGAGTGGTATGCCACTGTCGACTAATATTGGTTTTTCTGCAGTAGTTTATGTGGTGGTCCGTCTCGGCGACATCATCTCGCATGCACTCTCCACCTATCGATTTTCATTACATACCGTATACTCCGTAACTCAAGACTTGCCTATTGTACGCAGTACGTTATCGCTCTATCTCATGCCCCAACCCCACGATCTCCATTCAAATTCATGATCCGTTCAATCAGCGTCGTAGTCGGTATTTGTTCGGAGGAAAATTGGGTCCCGATGGTGAATTGACCAATGGCGTGATCAAGTCTCTAACCGCGCTGAGCCACGCTTGCGAGTTTCTCGGGTGAAAATGCCAGATGGAGGACCGCTGAAAAGTTGGGTTGGGGTTTGGTTTTCTGGAGAGGAAAGTGCCGGAATCGAAGGGCCCAGCGCACTTCCTACTTTGGATCAATCCCGATGGGTCTCTGGATTTCCAGCATCATGGAGTATACAACCATATTATACACCATTTTTTTTCCCCTCATCAACTCATTACAAACATTTCGGCTACCCTGCTGCTTCCGGTTTCAGGCTTCCAGCGTAACCCGGAGCAGTAAACGCACCAAGGAGGGGCTGAGCCCAAATAGGCGGCGATCCCGAATGACGGCTTGCAGATCGGATCGCCATGCTTTTGAGACACCATACGTGGTCAACTCCGGATTGTGTCGCCGTTGAAGTAACTGTAATACGTTCGGCGGACGTGGATATGGACATGGTGGAGTGTCTCACGCCGGACCCATTGGACCATAGCTTCGTATGAGAGGGCCAGGGTTCCCTGTACTGTGGCATCGCTAGTCATCGGAGCTCCAAAGGTAAGTTACTCGATCGCGCTGACAAGTACCTGCACGGGACTCCTCGTTATACGATCTTGCGACGAGTCGAAAGTCGAAAGTAAGAAGTTGCATCGTGTCGAGCGCTCTATGGGCCGCCTGGCTTGATGAGCGCCCCGTACAGGATGTAATTCACGTGTTGTTTTGTGACGGAAGTGCTAGTACGGTTGACATGTATACTGTATTTAGTATTTCTTAGGAGAAGCCGTTTCATAGTGTGACGATGCTATCCATGATGATCATGTAGACGTTCACCGTCTTGTGTTGAGGACAAGAATTGTTTCTTCCAATGATCAAGTATGAGTATCTGACAAAGCCTATGACGAAGTTACTGTTCCTCTTCGTCTTGCATAGGCAGAATTTGCACATGCCAGCCAGCCACGGCATTCCAGCCCGAGTTTTGGAGGGAGCCACAATAAGTCGTGTGGAGGACGGTCGACAGCATTGTCCTCCACCCATAACGTGTCCGAAGCCCGAATATTCAGCAACTATGTATGGGTCAACCTTATGCTCTAGGTCTTGACCAGTACCAACCCTTCTCCATGCAGCACTCGGATCCAACCGAGGAGAGACACGGGTAGTGGTGTCGGCATGGACTCTGAATTCTCCATCCACTCATCTTGTATTCATCCCGGAGTCCGAGGAAGGCAGGACCATGTTCTCCATAGCATATGGAACGCCGAAGCTGGAGAAACGAAGTCAAAATGGCAGACCAGAATTCAACCGAGGGTCCTGCGCAAAATTTAGAACCCATCGAACCCACCGAGTCCACCAGGAGCACCACTCGATCCAGTGATCTTCGTACCGCGTCCGCCCAAAAGAGAGATAAGCCCTGCGGCCCCAACACCGGAAACCAGGAGGATTTGCCCGACTAGGCATCTAGTCGCCCGCGCCACCGGCCGAAGGCGCCAGTGACCCACTGCTGGAGGGGATTTACGGCCATCATTCCGGGTCCAAAACAAGCTCTTGTCTTATTTTCATCCTCTACGGGAGACACAAAGCTCGAGGAAAATAAGAAAAGCGAGAAGAAAAAAAAGATCCTTTTGTTGCATGATCTGTGTCGGAAATTCCGGCTGGCGGGATTTCTTCAGTTCTTCAACAACTCGTATTTTCCCCTGATTCCTGGGAAGATTTCTGGGAAGGCAGAGATATGTGGATTTTTTCGGGATTTATTATTGTCGGAGATCTCAGGGTTAAATCCCGAGACGTTTCTCTGGTTCATTGCGTTGCATGTGCCGGGAGTGGTCAAACTGTAAAACGCGTTTAGTAAGTTTAGTGCCTCCGGTAGAGTTAACGAACTAGGCTGCCATTTTTGGCTATGTTCACTATAGGCGAGCACAACACTCAAGAATGACTTGCAGTTTCTTTCAATACGATCGATGACTTTAGGAAATGGATGGCCCGATCGGGACGGGCAAAACCAGTCAGAAACGACTTCCAATCCTCCGGTAGTACTCCGGACAAAGGTGCATACATGGGGACGACCGGCCGCCGAGGCTGGGCACGCTTCGACCAGCATCACCAAGACGCTTACAACCTTCATCCTGGAGGAGGGTTTGTGATTAACATAAAAATGCCAAAGGTTGGAACTAAACATGGACCTATATAGACTCTGATGAGCCCAGAAGGGGGGGGGGGGGGGGCTATGATGCGCCAGTTGTACCCGTATAGTACTCCGTAGTAGCGTGGCCAATACCCCTCTGCCCCTCTAGTAAGTAGACTCCATGTCTAGCATCATAATTTGTGAAGAAGAAATTCTAGAATAAAAATAAAAATAAGAAGGCAAAATAACTAGAAGTTTTGAAAAATAAAAAATAAAAAATAAAAAAGGAAAAAAAAAAGAAAATTAACCTCGGATCCTAGATCCTCTCCACACCCGTGGAAAGCACCACGGCATTGTGGTCCAAATGCCGTTTGACAACGGATTACGCCAGCGTCCCCCCATAATTTGTGATCGGGAGCAAATCTCAGAGAGACTAGTCGTGCCCGAATGCCGAATCTACTATGTACTTACTTAGTACTGTACTAAGGACTGATCGCTGATCGGACTGGAACGGCGCGCGAACGGGCGCATCATTATACATACACTACTCGGGACTAAGGGCACAGATCCACTTGGAAAGTGACTTGGGAAGTGGTCGATATGACCTCAAAATTTCGATGGTCCTATAGAGGTGGCCCGATGGGACCGTAGCTGCCATCGGCGTATTAGAGACGGGGCAAAGGGAACGGCCCTGCATCGTCTCTGAATTGTGATGGGAGAGAGAGAGGGAAAGGAAAAAAAAAACGGTGGCGCTAAGGAACATTCTATATCTGATAGCATACTAGTTCCAACATTAAATGAAAATAAAAAAACAATCTATTATTTTTCCTGAATTTTTGGACGAAATATTTACTTTTTATCATGGTCTCCAATCTTTGATTGCTTGGGAGCCGCCTGCAGCAAAGGATCCCGGTAAAAACGGCCTCTCCCTCGGTCGAGCAAACGGAGCAGAGACGGGGCTCAGCGAAAGTGTCTCATATTCCGAATTTTCCATGTGTCTTGGTTCCAGTCCTTCGAGACTTGGGCTGTCCTATTGTGCGCGGACCGAACCCAGAAGAGTATAGATCGATCCCACCTCTTCGTCGATCGTATGGTTGGAAGCTTGTCATGAATCGTTAGTAGCTGGATACATTTCCTCGTCTCTATTGATTCTTAATTTCTGGGTCTTTTGGGCTCTTGGTATTTATTTTCCATTACTACTACTATCACCTGTCAGTTTGACTCGGTACTACTACTACCGCAACGACGTCAACCGTTGTTCCCAGAGTACGGAGTACTTTTGCTCTGGTAATTATCAACGCCCGATAACCCCAGAACGTACAGCCTGCCACTCTGTCGGTCCTTTTGCCGTGAAGCTTCCAGAGGCTGCAGGCCCCTCTTCTTCTTTTTCTTTCGTTTTTACTCTTTGGGTTGGTCGCATCGGTCTACTTTTGGGGATTCTTCGCTCCCGTTGTCCTGCGTGCCCTCCTTTCGACTCGGTCTCGGCCCTATTTCTTACCTCATTGAGCGCCTTTTTTGTGGTCCTTTTTTTCCTTTTACACGATCCTCAATAGTGCTTTTGTCAAACGGGAGAAAGACGAAAAGGAGGACTCAAATCCTGCGTTGGTTCGGGGCAGGCCCAGAGAGAGAAAATAATCCGCCCGGCCAGGTCCAACGTGCTGGTCTCGCGGGGCAATCCGCTACACTACTTTTCTCTGGCTGATTGGATTTACCGCGGGAGCGCTACTTTTAGCTATTTTCTTGCCCAGGATCCCTTGTTCCTACGGGCCAGTGACGGGCAACTCCTCCGACCAGGCTACCTTTTCCCTGTATAGTCAAGGCCGTGTGCCACCATCGGCTCCTGGATCGGTCGTTTCCGACCTCATTATCGTTGCCAACATCCAAGTGCTTCCCCCTCCCGGACAGACCCATTTCTGTCCCTACGTTACCTTTGCTTTTGGCTCTAGGTTTATCTGTACATGCGGAGAAAGCATCGTCTCGGCGCTCTTTGACCGTCCTAATCGAGCGGACCGTTAGTCCCTTTCGGCTTACCTGGTGGTCGGCGTGCATCCACTCCCTGAACGTCCGCGATTGTCTACTTACTCTGCTTCTATCGCGGCGGGGCCTTTTTCACTTCCTTGGTCGTCAAACACTCCTTTTCGGCCCGAGTCCCGCGACATCTTGGGGAAGATCCATGATTGTTGGTGACTCGCTAGTCTCGCCATCCTTTTTTCCCCCCAAACCCCAGCGTGAGCCGTCCTTGAAGCTTATGCAAAACACTGGGATCCTGCAGCCACCCTGGTTATAGCGGAACATGCAACCAAAAACCGTGAAAGACTAGGGCCGTTTGCGACATGTTGGTCTTTTGAATAGACTTGATCGCTTCATCATCTTGAATCCTCTGCTCAGCTCCCATTATCTGCAGGCAGATGCGACTTGGCGCAATCCGCGCACTTGGAATGCCCAGAGCTCGACTCTCTTCGCTACGATAATCGACTTTATTCAATTTGAATCAGCTACGTCTTCTACATTTATCTGCATTTGCGCCAATTGCTCTTCCCTTCAGGTGGGATTGTTATTCAGGAATTATCGCTTTTCTTCCAGTTTTCTTGGAACAACTTGATTGACTTACTCTTAATACTACGTCGGTAACGGAGGCTGTTTCATCCTGCAATCGGTGAGTATACTGGAGCTGAAGAGAAATTCCAATCGCAATTGGCTCCTCGAAGAATTCGGATTTACTAATTCTCTCTGTCTTGTGACTAGATTCTTTGCTTGATCCAATTTCTTTGGTGCTCGAGATTCGGCGGTTTGGTCTGAATTTTAACCGGACACGATACCTTTCGATCTATCCAGCAATTCTCAATTCTTTCGTTCGGCGACACGAGGCCTTAAACAGTACCACGGCGGGCTGTGCAGAAGCAGAAAATATTTCAATTGATGCTCAGTGGAAGTGTCATGTAAATGCTATTCTTCGAGAAATCAACCCACACCCCTCAACGCTCGATCCAAACGCCGGCCATGTCAGGCTACTATGTTGGACCATTCGGTCGTATGTTACCCATCGCAGGTGGTCCGTCGTCGGAGCAGCCCCCGGATTATCGAGCTAATCAATCAGAAACCGGGGATAACCCATACCAGCTTCCTCCTCCGCGCACACCGGCAAATCTACAATTTGGATCAGATCCCTTCCTACGACGCCAGTCAGGCGACAAAGCAGAACCAGTCAGGGGCACAGCTTCAGCCGAGCCTGCCCCTCAGCGGCAGAGGACCGAACAGCTTCCGTCGGTGAGGTCGCTATTGACGCCGGCCTCTGGGCCACATTCGCCACCACCGTATCATTCACAAACGTATGGAAGTCCTACACCGATTGATCCACACCGCGAACTATCATATCCATTTCGCCATCATGATTCAACACTGGCCCCGCCGCCAATCACTGGTCAAGATAGACGTCGATCAGAGTCTCTGCCACATTCTCAATCCGCGAGCCTTCCACCACTGTCGCACGTGGCTATGTCCAGCCCTCGAGATATGAATCATCATTACGCAGCGACACGAAGTGATCCTTCCACAGCGATCATGCCACATGCCCAATTACCTCCTCACGGTGCTCCGTATCACGAACCAGCCACTGCGGGAGAGATTTCCTCCCCCGAAAGTGTAAGCCGGCCAAATCCGCCTGCAGTACTACCACATGTGGTTGATGAACGATATATTGACGGCGAGCTTTGCTTTGTCTACGCTGATGGTTCCCATCAGCCCAAGATTGTTGATGGAAAACCCGTCAATCCAAATTGGGGCGTCACAAAGGCAGGAAAGCCACGGAAACGACTTGCACAAGCCTGCTTGACCTGCCGCGAAAAGAAGATCAAATGTCAACCGAACCGTCCCAAATGCGACCAGTGCCAAAAGTCAGGAAGGGAATGCAGATTCGAGAATGCGTAAGTCATACGTCAACTGTAGGGAGATGCTTGGGTTATTACAAGGAATTTGTTCAAGTTTGGATCTCTGCTAACACTTTTCAAAGCCTCCGTGGTAATCGCTCGAGAGGTTCACACTCGGTCGGGCCAACGAATCCAAACTCGGACCTCTCTGGATCGTTTTATAACATCGCCCGTGCTTCTGATAGCGGAGCATCACTTCCAGGAAGTGGCCATTCACCAATGTCGGAGAGCACGAGGTTGACACCCTCCGGCATGGAGAGCGCCCACGATCCCATGGTTGATGTGGATCGGACATACCGACAGCGAGCCTACCGAATCCCTCGCCCCTTTGCTGACGAGAGCCTTGTTCGACAGGTCGAACATACCGAGGCCAATCGGCTTCCCGAATACTCGGAAATTCTGGGTGAACTGAGGGATACCAACTCCGAAGACCCGCTGGTGGGCTCTTGGAACGTCGACCCATTTGATCACGACCCGGAAATGACTTTGCATTACGTCGAAACATATTTGTCAAACATTAATGATGGATTATATCACATTTTCCCGCATGCTCGATTCATTTTGTGGCTGAAGTCCTGCGACACAAAGTCACCCGAGGATAAAATGATGCTTTACTCCATGATGGCGCTGGGTTCTATCTTTTCCGATCGACCTGATAGGGTTACTGCGTTGAGGCGTTATTCTCGCATTGCTCGCTTTGCTATTCAGAGAAGCCAGCATAATCTGTCTCTTCAACTTGCTCAGAGTCATCTCATGATGAGTTTGCTGTACTACGCTGCTGGTTCGTTGGTGGGATCTTGGGACTCGATTGGAGCTGCAGGACGGGCTGTCAGTGGGCTGAGATTCAATATCGAATCTGGTGGTGTTATTGTGAGCCAGAATCAGGCGTGCGAGTACGGGTTACACCCACAGGCACTGATTGAGTGTCGTCGCCGGACGTTCTGGGTCGCTTTCATCTTGGATGTAAGTTAGTTTGATGAATTGTCGATGCGGACGCTTTCAAAATGACCAAGCTAACGTGATGCTACAGCGAGTTTCATCATTCTTCTCTCCCACGTCAACTTCTATCTCTTCAGATTCGGCTTTGATTCGACTCCCTTGTCGAGAAGACATTTACGAGGTCCAGCAATACGCGACGGCACCATATTTCCAAACCGTGCTCAACCAAGCATCAGCCTCCACTGATGACGACCGGTCGACCCTCAGCCCCATGGCCTTTGTGATCCAGATTCTTTCTATCTGGGGCGACGTCTCCTTCCAGGCTTTCCGCCTCTCTCACACGCCGTCCGAAGGCTGGGCACAGCTTGCCGAAGAATTCCATACGAACATTATTCGGCGGACAGACGACTGGATCAATCGGCTACCTGGACACCTCTCATTCTCCGTTGCCAACATGGATCGTGCGAGTCAAGTCAAGAAGGTGGATGCCTTTGTTGCGATTCACATGTTCTACCACGCCACATTGATGAAGCTGTACAGACATGCCCGATACCAAAGCTTACGGTCCGAAGTGCTGATCCAGTATATTCATCGCGCCCGATACCACGCAGTTGAAACGCTGAGAATTGCACTGGCCGTCGTTCAGTACGCTCATGATGTCCAGGCTGCTCGCTCTACATCTGATACCTCCTCGCCTAACGTGACCCTCCTCAGTCCCTTCCTGGGGTACGTGGTCCTTTCTGCGGTAGACGTGCTCAGTGCGGGAGGGATGGTGGCTGAATTACCCGATTGTATCTCCTTCATCAACGGCGCATACGGCATGGTCCAACTTCTGGGTCGTCACTGGGATAGCTCGATAAGCCTGGCAAACCTCATTAAGAAAAGACTCGACGCGATGATTGACTGCGCCAATGACCGATCTCGAACTCAGGACAAGATCTGTTTTGCAGTGGACGGTCCTTCGCTTGAGACGAAAGTGCCTGCCGGTACTCCCCCTCAGCCACCGGGTACACTCGACGAAGACCTCTTCTATGGATCTCTACCGCGGGATATTCTCCTGCGCGCTATGAGAGCCGACGAGACTCCTTTATCGGACAAGAATATCGCATGGCTGAAAGATCGCTGAAATGATTCGACACTGACCTGATCTGCTCTGGCATGACACCCTGGCGCTCAATACCCTTGAAGCCCATCAACCTATTCCCATCTCTTGACATAAAGTTTCTTTTTTACTAAAATGGGTGGCATCCTTTTTTCTGAACATAGAAATTATCAGCGTCCTGTCCATTGCGCCTTTTTCAAATTATGATTCTACTTTCCGCACAGGCATGGATCACCTTTATGCAAATTCTTCTTACGATTCTTGATTGTTCTTTTTACGATCTGATGGTATCGATGTCAATGATGGCGGTTCGACTGCTTCAAGTTCTTCTTTACCGGTGGAATATTCCAAAATTTGGCTAACCCATGTACTATACAATCTACTTCTCCGTTGCTATTTCACACATTGTCTATTTCTTCAATTTGAGCGAGCCCGTGTGAGCGCTTGTCATCTGTATATTATCTACCGAAATCGAACGAGGAAAATACTTGATCGGGTAAGATTCTTGGATACCAAGTCTTGAAAATTGAAAGTCGTTCTTTGGTAATTGCATAGCCACTATGCCCTAGTCACTCCCGCTTTCCTTTTCCCATTCGCTTGGATCATATTGTCGTACCCAAGCCACTTTGCCCTTGGACGGGTCCATGATAGTCGCGTAATGTGTGGTTTCGTTCAAGACCGGGAATGTCGTCAACCAAGAGATGATTTCTTTTTGAGTAGCAGCCACATCCGCGCCTTCCAACGAGTCCTGCATTGAGGCGCGTTGTTGCTCAGCCTCCTCGGCTTCTTCCTCTCGTTTCTTTCGCAGGCGTAGTGATGAACGACTGCCCTGCGGCTGATCAAGATTCTCGATATTTTCTGTGACCTTCTTCATAGCGGCCTCTTTAGCTTGTACAGACTTTTGTACTTTTTCATCCCATCGGGCTTGCATGCAATCGCGTCTTTCGTTGCTGTCTTCGATGAGGTCGGCCATGACTTGGCCATCGGGTGAGACGAGTGATAGACCAACGTGGTTCTTCCTCTTTTCATCAGCAATAGCTTTGGGTGGCAAAGAGTTGGGCTCGTGGTCGTGGTTCGTGGCTATGATGAATGAAGGTGAGGAGCGCACGACGGCAGTTCCATGGTCTTTCTCCATGGTCACCGTAGTCACCCCGTCGCTGAAGATCAAGTACACTGCCGTGGTCGGCATGCTGGGGATTTGAGCAACGATCTTTTCCAGTGTTGATAGAGATTCTTCTCTCTTCTTTGGCTTCGGTCCGTCGGGGAACGGGAAAAGACACTCTCGCAGTAGTGACGAGATCGATTGCCGAATTCCCAGCAGAACGAGTAGATGATTCGTGTAAAAGGCCACGTTCCGTGATTCATCATGCACAGGTCGGAAATTCAGTGACATGCTCAAATCCTTTCTCACTCCCGTCAGCACGCCGACATAACCCACGTACGTGATGCTCGTGGCAAGCACTTTCTCCGGGTCATCGTCTCGTACAAATTCCAGCTGCACGATCAAATCACGCAATGGATCCATACCCCAATCCAGAGTTCGGAAATGAAGCATTTTGGTCTGGGATCCGCTTTTGCTGCGCACACCACCACTGGTACAGCCCATGAGAAGGTCAAGTACCGTGTTCAGGCTGATGAGGAGGTACATGTCAATATCCGTCGTGCGACTGATCCCACGTAATTCGTCCGTTTCTTCGTCCGTGTAGAGTCTGCGCAAAGAGAGTTTGGCCAGCCAATGCACGCCTTTCAGTGGAATCTTGGGCGAAATGCCTCGGACCAGTTCATCGAACATGCCGCGTAGGGCACGCATTTTGTCTCGGTAGATACGCGCCAGCTCGACATAGCGTTCTGATGGCGGGAGTGAGAGGTTGATTCTGAATATGGGTGGTGCTTTGCCCACGGCAGCAGGGCTTCTGGGATCCGCCATGGTGATAGATGAGGGTTTGAGGAAGCAGAGTTGTGGTGGCTGCCTGAAATGACCCCCTACGGGCTGACATGCGGCTCTGTTGGTCTTCTCCGCAGTCCCGCACCCGTTGCGAGACCCGCTTTGGATGACCAGGTTTGTCAGGGACTCAGGGCAAAGGTGGATTGAATTTGGGCGAAGCTGTTGCCGCCCGTCTCGATTTCCAGCGTGTGCCCTAGATTTCTGCCTGGCAGAATAATTATTCAAGAATACGTAGTAGTCTAACTATTAGCCACCTCCATCTAACTGGCCCTCTACTAGTCGAGGTTCATGGGAAGTTCAGAATCTTGACTAACTTGAACTTCAATCATCTTTATCAGTCGTGCTTTGAAAGATCGTTAACAACCTACTTCGATCGAGAAATGTTATGTGGACTATCTGGTAAGATATCTCAGACCTTCCGAAAGATGCTTGTACCGATGACCAGCCGAGCAAGATTTAGCTTGTCAGGCAGATAGATATTCTACGGCCCCAGGGGGTGGCAGCAGCCAAAACCATGTTTATTAGGATAAAATAGAATCCATCGGGTTCAGTGTGTCTCAGATACTATATTTGGCCGAGTCGTGCAAATGAAGGACTATCTTTCACGAGCAAGCTCTATGTTGACATACAGAGTGCTGTTGTGAACCATTGACTCGACTGTTGATGCCCCTCGTTTCTGCTGGCCCCAAAGGCTTGGTGCTGATTTGGCCTTCCACAAGTATTCACTGAATACACGTCACAGCGTTTGATCGATTTGAGACCCTCTTGAGAGTTACAAATGACTTTTTTGTATCGTGACAGCTCCGCTAAAAATGGGGTTGAATTCTCGCACTTACCTTAGCCAGACTCATCCCTTCCGGCGGGGCCTGACTTCAGAGCGGAGCCAGCGGAGCTCAAGGAAAGTTTCTCCGACACTCACCCCAGCTTTTGCCCTGGACAACATCCGCTGCCCGTCGCTTTTGGGCTCAAGGCTATGGGTTCTCGTCGCCTTTAGATTGATAGACTCAGCATACAGCTAGCCCCCATGTCCGAGCCTGCTGAATCGACCGCCGCCGCGGCCGCAGCCCGGGCCTTCGGTGCTCACCCGGAGGATGACGATGGCCTCCAAGGCGAGTTTGGCACGGCCACCGAATACCCCGACCAGCTCGACTACTATTCCCTACTGGGCCTTGCACAGAAACCTCCTCCTACTGATGCCGAAATCCGATCCGCATACCGCAACCTGACCTTGATGTTCCACCCCGACAAGCAACCGTCGCATTTACGGCAATCTGCCGAGCAACATTTCAAGCGCATCCAAACTGCATATGATACCCTGATTGATCCGAAGAAGCGCGTGGTATATGATTTACTGGGAGCCGAAGGCGTGGCGAAAGAATGGGGTCATGGCGGTGCAATGGGCGTGGGAGGAGACGCCGAGAGGCAGCAAGTGGGTGTCAAGGCGATGACGCCGGAGCAATTTCGTCGCTGGTTCACAAAGACTATGAAGAAGCGTGAACGAAAAGCGGTGCAGGACATGGTGGACAGTCGAGTAGGTGCTTCAGGCCGTTGGGGCTCGATGTAGTAGGCTAGGGTCTCCTGCTGATTCGCTTCATGGAATGTTTAGGGCTCCATCACCCTCGGAATCAATGCGTCTTCGACTATTCGTGTTGACGAGGATGATGATGTGACAGTTCAGATCCCGCATACTGTCGTTCCGATGTCTTACGCCGCCAAGTACTCGTTTGAGACTCCTTTAAGCTTGCCCTCCTTTGGAAAGAAGGTGAAGGAAGAGGCAGTGCCGGTCCAAAAGAAGGAAAAGATGGATGCAAGCACGGCTGACGAAGAAGAAGAGGAGGAGGAGGAGGAGGATGTAGAAGATCCTGTGCATGTGACATTCAATGCGGGAATCGCCGGCAACATTGTTCATCGCAGGCAACGCGCAACGGCTCAATTCGAGGATGGCACGGAGGAAGAGATGCAAGTAAGTCTCGGCTCGCCTTCTACAACATTTGAGCTGCATTCTAATATATTCTAGATTCCCTTGCCTCCAGTTCTGATTGCCAATAATATAAGTCTGGGTGCAACCTTGACACCCAATGTTAGGGAGTTGATCGGCACCAAAGGTATCTGGAATAACCGGCTGTTCTCAACTTTGAGAGATTCAACCGTCCTGGTGGAAACCAATCTTTTGCCTGTTCCAATGTTAAGGACAACCGTTGCTCGGGCCTTCCAACCGATTCCCGGGATCAAGCCTTTCCAGGTGACTACGAAAACCACCTTTATGCGCTCCCTGTTGGAATCACCGCCTTCGTTAGAAGTGCATGTCACCAAGGAGGTTGCGCCAAGGAAGCTTGCCTTTTGTGCTTGGTCCAGTGGTCTCTGGTACTATCCAGATTTCTTACTTGACAATTTCTTTTTCCGTGGGATGACATTGGAGGACATGTATGCCTCTGCTGGCGATCTCAGCAGTCTCCAAGTCGGCCTAGTCTCCATACCAAAACAGCCACTCAATGTCGTTTCTATGGACGAGGATGATGTAGAGTCTGAAGAGGCAGAATTGCGCCGACACCTCCAGAAGAAGCAGGTGACCGATCGTGCCGCCGAGTCTTGGCAGACCTTTGTTCAAGTTTCTCCTGGGGGAGGTGGCCTGGGTCTAACATATTCACGAAACTTGTTCTCCGGAACGCCAGCTGATGATCCTTTGAAGTCGGAATGGAGTGATGAGGGCTACGCTCCAATGGCAAAGATGGACGATGCCAGAGCTGTACGTCTAGAGCTCTCCACTACAGTCAGCCCGAATCTCTCCTTCGTATGGAGTCTCAAAGGGACTCGCCGGATTGGTGAATACACAAAGATGGGCATTGGAATTGGCTTCGCTGATCAGGGTATTTTGATGACGATTGGCTGGAGCCGACTGGGCCAGGGCCTCAACTTGCCCATTGTGCTTTGCTCCAAGGATGAGGCCACCCACGACGCTGCTATCTTGGCCAGCATCTTCACGTGGGCTAGCTACCTTGCAATCGAATTTGGCTATGTCCGACCGCGTGACAGAAGGCGACGTCGCGAGGCGGCTGCTCGTCGTCATAATCAGCTGAAAAAGCTGGTTCCACAGAAGCGTGCAGAAAGTGAACAGGCCATCCAGCTTATGGTTGACCAAGTTCGGAGGCGACAGTTGCGCGAGCATGAACAGGACGGTCTGGTGATCGACCGGGCTGAATATGGATACTGGCCACCGATAGACCGCAAACCCAAGCCTGGATTCGAAGAGCCTCGCACGACCGATGTGTTCTTCCCCGTAGCTAACCTCGTCGACCGTGGCCAGTTGGTGATCGGTGCCAAAACCGTCAAAGTAAGTGAATTCTTGACGCTTCATATCATGACAAATGTATAACTGACGCGATATCTACCTAGCATCAAATAATAGGATTCCATGATCCAGCACCGCTGCTGAAGAAGCGGCTGAAGATCTGGTATACTTTCCAGAACCGGTCTCACTTTGTGGAGATTGGCGACAAAGAGGGTGTTATTTTGCCTCAGCGAGCCCATGTCTGTCCCGAGTCCGAACAGTTCAATCCGCTGGCTACTTAGTAGCCTCAGAGCTCTCACCGAATATAATGCCCCATATCTCCCTCTTCCTGTAATATTAGTGCATTTCGATATCGATAGACGTTCATTATACGATCTTCAATTGCATAGTCTGCGCGTGAATCTGAAAGGACTACCTTCCTTCATACATGGTCTCTCTTCGTATCTTCTAGCCACGACTCGGGATAGACATTTCTCCCCTATCTTCTCAACGATTGTGATACTTGCATTGATGGGCACAATTTGACTTCGTAGATCCTCTCACGTGACTACATTTGATAGAAAGTCTTGGCGTGGGGCTTTCCAAGCAGACCACCTGCGCAAATCTGCAAAAGCTAGGCGCATCTCGACAGCCACCTCTCATTCACCACTTACGACTTGGAAACTCTCGAATAAGGGAACAAGTCTCACCATGGCATCCATTGCGTCGGGGCTTTTCAAGTCTCTCCCCAAGCCCAAATATACCGGCGAGGAGGAGGAGTTGCCACAGCATGCGCAACCTCGTGGTCCGCGTGTGGTGGGCGCCGACCAGCTTGATGAAACTCAAGTTGTCTTACGGGTGAGCTTTCCATTCATTCTGGCTTGCTAAATTTACATATACTGATTAAAACTTTCTTTTACCAGAGAACCGGACCTCCCCCATACGGAAACCGGACAGGATGGCGACCACGCGCGCCCGAAGATTTTGGTGACGGCGGCGCGTTCCCCGAAATTCTAGTTGCACAGTATCCTCTTGATATGGGCCGGAAAGGGACATCCTCGACGTCGAACGCGCTTGCTGTGCAGGTTGATGCGGAGGGCAAAGTCAAGTATGATGCAATTGCGCGTCGTGGCCACGGCGATAACCGCATTGTCCATGCCTCATTCAAGGATCTGATCCCGCTCCGACAGCGGGTGGATATGGGAGAGATCTCTCTTGATAGGCCATCCGAGGAGGAAGTTCAGGCTCAGATGGAAAAGACCAAGAATGCGCTTGCTAGCTTGGTGGAAGGAGCTGTGCAGGCGCAGAAGCCCAAGAACGTCCGGGGCGGTCGACGCGCAGAGCCGACCTTCGTCCGCTACACGCCAGCGAATCAGATGGGAGATAATGAGAAGAAGAATGACCGTATTATGAAGATCGTCGAGCGCCAGCAAGATCCTATGGAGCCGCCCAAGTTCAAGCACAAGAAGATTCCTCGTGGACCACCATCGCCCCCGCCGCCCGTTATGCACTCGCCGCCACGGAAGCTTACCGCAGAGGATCAGGAGGCTTGGAAGATTCCTCCGCCCGTGTCAAACTGGAAGAACCCTAAGGGTTATACCGTCCCCTTGGACAAGCGCCTGGCTGCGGATGGTCGTGGATTGCAGGATGTCTCTATCAACGACAAGTTCGCCCAGTTTGCCGAAGCATTGTTCACAGCCGATCGGCACGCCCGCGAGGAGGTGCAGCTTCGAGCTCAGATGCAACAGAAGCTGGCCGAAAAGGAGAAGGCCCAAAAGGAAGAACATCTCCGTCAACTCGCCCAAAAGGCCCGCGAGGCTCGTGCCGGACCCAGTCGCCGCGACTCTGTGGCCCGTTCTCGCTCTCGCACTGCCAGCCGCAGCGTATCCCCTTACTCCTCAAGGTCCGGTAGCCCAAGTGACGATGAAGAAGCCCGGGAGCGTGAGCGACAGCGTCGCGAGCGACGACAAGAGAATGAGCGCCAATTGCGCCAGTCTCGCATGGGTACTGAGCGCCGCATTCAGGCTATGGCTCGCGAGCAGAACCGTGATATCTCCGAGAAGGTTGCATTGGGTCTGGCAAAGCCTTCTCAGAGCTCCGAGTCTATGTGGGATTCGCGATTGTTCAACCAGACCAGCGGTATGAACGCTGGTATCAATGAAGATAATCCCTACGATAAGCCGCTGTTTGCTGCGCAGGACGCCATTAACAGCATTTACCGTCCCCGTGCTCAGCTCGATGCCGATGATGAGGAGGGCGGCGAGGCTGAGATGGGCAAGCTTCAGAAGACTAATCGCTTTGAGGTTCTTGGACGAGCCAAGGAAGGCTTCAAGGGTGCTGCTGATGCCGAGGTATGTTATACTTCGATAGAGATTATGGTGTTACTTATGCTAATTGCGTTTTCCCATTTTACAGGAACGACAAGGACCAGTTCAGTTCGAAAAGGACACTGCCGATCCCTTTGGTATTGACAGCATGATTGCCGATGTGACGTCTGGCCAGAAGCGCTATGGTATCCAAGAGGCCGAAGGCGAAGACCGAGGCTCCAAGCGGGCTCGCGTTGACGACGATTAAGCGAAAAGGGTGTATACCTTTTGTGCAGTATAATATGTGTTTTGGGCATGCCCCTGGGTCAAGGTTTCTCTTTGTGCATTGCGGGCGTTCTGGCAGTGCAGTCAATATCCACCATTCCGTTTGCTTCTACACCAAAACTTCGAGCGATTCAACCACTGGGTTGATTTCGATAAAATGTCATGAATGTACCTCTACATCTTCGGATGCAATCACTCATATAGTAACTCATGTTCGACGGCTAGTTTACTGGCATTGTGGCCATGCAGTAAGTCTTGAATAGTGTCTTGAACTGTGTAGGGAAAAAAAAGTGTATTGCAGTGTGGATCAACGACAAGCTACCGAACTAACATCAGAGGCATTCCTGCACTCTGAGAAGTTTAGGTTTTCATCTAGTTCTTCACCTCTTGTCTGTTCGGCGACAGCACATCCTCCAGCCACTTGTATGCAACTGGCAGACTATGGGGGTATCCCATATGGACCATGCCCTCGAAGAACCGTCCTTCCTTGGGACCGCCGTGGTTAAAGAGGATCATTGAGTCCTCAATGGGTACGACACCGTCATCGACGCCCTGAAGAACAGCATATCAGTATCAACACCACACGCACTCCATTTGACAAAAAAGAAAAACTTACATTCAGCAACAGCAGTCGACAATTAGGCTGGTCCATGACGCCAGTCTCGATCAGGGAGAACTTCTTCTGAGCATTCTCCTCAAAATCCTTGGTGCTGGAGTAACCATACTTCTCAGCCCAGGAGTCGGTGATTCTACATGATGCATATCAGTCCCAGTCCAATGTCACTCCATTCACCTCTCACCCTTCCCCCGGGAACTCTCGGAAAAACTACTCACGTAAACGGGTACTCATGATCATTCACCCGACTCAACCACTCCTTGCCCAAGAAATGATGCGAACCAGGTCCGTGTGCCACACAACCCACCAACCGGTGACGATGGGTACAAGCCGCACGAATGGCATAAAAGCCACCCGCACTCAGCCCCCAAACGGCAACGTGGCCCATATCGAGCTCCGGCCGGCTCGCCATATAATCCAGCACGCTCTCCCACAAACGGTCCGGCGACTCGGGGTCCGCAGGGTCCGCGGGACAATCCGCCGTACCGGGGATCTCGACGATAACGGTCGCCCAGCCTCGATCGAGAATCTCGTGCGTCCGCTGACTATTGTCGGGTCTGTACCCGTCCAGCCCGGTCATGATCAGGACGACGGGGACGCGGTTCGACGCGGACGCTTCCTCCGGTAACCGGATGTACAGCGGGATACTGGATCCATCTGTGCCCGCGGCATGCTTGTGCGGGATAACCTCTTCCTTGAGGGCGGGTTTCCACAGGGATGCTGCGGCGAGGTAGACCTTCTTTTGGCGGTCGAAGGCGAGACGCTTGAGGGAGGTCTCTGGGCGGCTGGCGGGACTGACGTAGGGGAAGCGGGAGATGCGGAGGACGACGGCGGCGCGGCGGTAGAGATCTGAGGCGCGGTCTGGGTGGCCGTAGTTTAGGGCTTCGATGGCTTGTTTTTCGAGAGAGTCGGCGATTGGGAGGAAGGCGTTTGTGTAGGCGTCCGAGAAGGCGTCGTTGATGTTGTCCTAAAGGTTTTGTTAGGGCTAGGGACGATGGGATTGGAGTGGAATGCGGAACGTACAGCGATCAGTTTCTCGAAGATTGGCTCAAAGTCTTCGATGGAGCCATCGTGGAATGGATAGATTGATTTCTGGCACTAAAAAGGTTGTGAAGAAAAACATTAATTACCGTTGTCTCCCAACGTCTCTGGCAGGATCCAGATGTTGACCCTGATGTGATGGATAATGGAGCGACGATATGGACATACACAGAACTTCCACTTGGTCTCCCACAAAGCCTTGATCGAGCCCTTGTGTGGGTAGACAGTGTTGAATCGGTCTCCAAGAATCCAAGGCGTCATTTTGATCAGAGATTGATGCAGATAACGGATCTGTGAGATTGAATGAATATTGGTCAGGATAAAGGAAAATAGATCCTACGGTTCTGACAGCCAGATAGTCTTCTAATTTAAGTATAATTCAAAGAGATGACAAAAGCAGCTGAGAACAGAACAGCACCAGAACAAACCGGATTAGGTCTACGATATTACGAGGGTGATGTTAGATGTTGACGAGAACAGTAGGTTGGTCTTTTGCCGGAAGAAGTTGGCGATGATTTAATTTGAGCGGGGACGAATCATCAGAGACAGATGGGCCGGTGGACTGGCCAGCCAGCCAGTTAGCATCGAGCTAGTGCGATCGAAGGGCTAACAGTGCGATGAGTGTGTAGCTTTCCGAATCCGGGGGTATTCCTGGATTGCTTGGAGTGGCTGGGCAATGCCGGGTGGGTATCCGTCGATCCTGGAATGCGGCGCCTTGGGATGCCATGTTTTGGGGCACTTGGGGAAATGGTGGCCCGCAGACATATCGACGCAAATGCTGGTTCTGATGATATCTTTCCAAACCTTCGGATAGACGTGCGATCAGACGAACGTCTGTTACATTAACATCGTCGAGTGAAGCACCCCTGTGCGTTGTAGCGAGCAATGAATTTGATTCACTTCGACCAAAGCAGTTCCATCTTCGAAACGCCCCTTGAAACTTTTGGATTTCCAAGTATCTAAGAAGTTGAGGAGAAAAGGAACTCAGAGAATGTTGATATTTTTAAATGCAATCGACGCCAAAGCTTGCTCCAAGGAGGCTAGAACCCAAATCACCTAAAACATTATAGGAGCGTGAAGCTTATATACAAGCTCTGAAGAAATGAATAGAAAGGAGAAAATGCTAATGCAGGTAGTCTACCACTAATGCTCGTACTGTTGCCAGTACTCGTATCCCTGGGGAAGGTCATTGGGACTGGAAGGAAGTATTAGCGCATGTTTTTAGGGGCGGGATTAGTCGTGACATACCCATTGTCGTGAGTCTGGATGATGTGGCCACCTGCTTGAACGTAGCCGCTGTTCTCGTGTGTATTAGGCCACGGGCCCCTATATTAAGATGAGTAAAGGTCGTGGTCAAAGAGACGATCGGGGAAAACTTACTTGATGTCCTCATTGTGAGCAATGATGGGTTGTCCACCAGGTCCGTCACCGATCTGTGCGTGGGACACGTCACTGTGAGGGTTGGGCCATGGACCCCTAAATATGTATTAGCTGGAGTTACTTGATTCTGGTTCTGTGTTTGAGGGAAACGTACTTGGTATCCTGAGAGTAGGCATAGTCCGCATCTGGACCGTCTCCAACTTGGGCATGGCTTTCATCAGTGTGAGGCTGAGGCCAAGGACCGCTGATAAACTCATTAGTGCGTTTCTTGATGGAAGAATGCCAGGTCCACTTACTTGCTATCGTGCTGATCCACGTAGATTGGGTCGTCATGCGGAGGTGGTGCCAGGGGCACAGGGTAGACGGGGACAGCCTCCAAAGGCTTGGCAGCAGGATAGTCGGGGTACTCGGGCCAAGCAGAAGAAGCGGGTTGATATGCGGGAAGCTCCTGCTGAGGCTCAGAAACTTCTGGAGCAGGCTGCTGGGCGGTGTCTTGAGGCTGCGCGGGAGCTTCTGGGGCAGGGGCGAGAGGCGCAGGAACCTCCGGCTGAGGCACGGAAGCTTGAGAAGTAGGCGGCTGAGCAGCTTCCTGAGCGGGCTGCGCGGGGGCTTCTGGGGCCGGGGCGAGGGGCGCAGGAACCTCCGGCTGAGGCACGGAAGCTTGAGAAGTAGGCGGCTGAGCAGCTTCCTGAGCGGGCTGTGCGGGTTGCGTGAGAGCTTCTGGGACCGTGGCCTGGGGCGCAACTTGAGGAGTAGGCTGCTGAGCAGTGTCTTGAGGCTGCGCGGCAACTTCCGGCACCTGAGGCTCGGGTTTTTGATGAGGCGGACGTGAATGAGTAGGAGTAGATTTCGGTGGCTGGGCAGGAGGAGGCGCCTGAGTGGGCTCGGGTGCAGGAGCAGCCGGTGGGGTAGAAGACTGGGTGCTTTGAGGGGCAGACGCTGCAGGTGCAGGCAGAGACGAAGTAGTCTGGGGCTGCTGAGGAGCAGGCGCAGCGGCTGGAGCAGAAGACGCCGGAGCAGAAGAAGCGGCACCCTTGTGATTATACATAGCACCATGAGAGTCAGTGTCAATCTCTGTGTTGGCACCGGTGAGATCAAGACCTTGCTTCCCGGCGGCATTACCATTGGTAGGATCAGGATAAGCAGCACAAGTATCATAGTGACTCTGTGGAGGGGCATCTTGAGACTCCGGGAATGTCTCGGGAGCTTCGATGATCGTGGCGACGAGACCAGCTTCAACATGCCATTCGACGTGGCAGTGCAGCAACCAGACACCGGGGTTATTCGCGCGGAAGCGGAGCACGGCGTGACCGTGGTTCTGGACCATGATCGTGTCACGACGGATCGGGGTCTGCGAGACGTTTGGCGAGTAGGCTCCCGTAAAGTAGCCACCATCAACGGAGGTGCGCTGTAGAACTTGGAACTCGTGGCCGTGAAGGTGCCATGGGTGCAGGTTGTTGTGGTGGTTGTTGACTACGATCTCGACGACATCGCCGTAGTTGACAATGAATGGGTTGACTTGACCGTACACGGCTGGGTTAGATGCGAGATCTTTGCCGATGGTGTTCGCCGTGTACAGAGTGGGCACTTCCTGAGGAATATAAGTTTTGTTGTTGATGGTGAAGCGCCGGACACCGTCGATCTCAGTAGAGAAGGTGTCGATGATGATTTGCTTGTTGACTGGCTGCAGCAGAGGTTCCCTATCCAGTGGGACAAATTCGACATCATCGGCAAAGTCAAACTCGTGCAGAACGGGCGGGGGAGGCAAAGGCTTCGCCTCGTCATAGACAAGCCAGGCAGTGACGTTGGGGTTGTAATTGGCTGGGATCGTCCGGCCCTCGTAGATGAACATCATGTTGATATCCATGGTATTCCAGATAGCAAAGTTCTTGCTGGTATCAGGCTTCGTGTGGATGAGGACACTCGTGCGCTGACCCGGAGCAACACGAAGCATCTTGTTGCCCGTAACATAGGGCTCGGTGTACACTCCATCAACTTCGACGACGGTCATCTCGTGGCCATCCAGGACCCAGGTGTGACCGGGCCAGTTGCCAACACAGATGATATGGACAAGGTATGTCTTGTTGGGCTCGACCTTGATCTTGGTTTTGGTGGAGTCGTTGATCAGAGCCGAGTTAGGGACGGGCTCGTTGCCAGCAAAGGCTTCCAAGTTCTCCTGCGATTGGTACTCATGGAGCAGATCGGCCATTTCACGGTGGTACCAGTCGCTGAGAGTAATGGTGAACTCATCATCGTAGTGGAATGGGGGCTTGGGGTCATGAACGATAAAGGCACCACGGAATCCATCCGGATATTGGCCCATGTTGTGCGAGTGATACCAGTAAGTTCCGGTTTGGTTCACCTATATCACCGAGTTAGCAAGTTCCATCGATGCCGTTTCTTCTTCGTGTGAAGACTCACGTCGAAACTATATGTCATCCGCTGGCCAGGGGCAATAGGACATTGAGTCACTGAGCTGGAACCATCCATGACACCGTTATGGTATTGGTGGAAGCCGTGCCAGTGAATACCCGTAGACTGGTTTCCCAGTCCATTGTATACATCCACAATGATCCGGTCGCCAAGGTCCACATCCACCTGGGGACAGGGCCATTGGTTGTTGATACCAATGACCGGTCGTTGATAACCATCCGGGGAGGCATTGACCCAAGTGACGTTCCAGTCGAGATGGACATCCTTGGCAGCAGCCAGCTTAGCGGCAAAGCCAGCCAAAAGAAGGAAATTCAACTTGGCCATGACGGCAGTTGATCTAACGAACGAGTGACAATCGGCTTCTCCGATTCAGACCAGATAGCTAAATCCTCCGAGTAGAGGGAGCCGAGGGATCAATGTTAGAACAAGCCGATACTAGAAATTAAGAATTAAAAAAAGAAAAAAGAAAAAAAAAACCGATTGAGGCTGTCGACAAAAGCCAAAAACGAAGGTCGGTGCAGGTCGTCTACTGCGATGTTGTTCGAAGAATCCCAACCCGAGTGACGAGGGGAAGGCCCTATTTTAACATCAGGCATGACATTGATCTGCACCAGGGGGGACAATGTTAGGTCGTCCCTGAATATCAGAGGCCATGTCTACGACCATGCCAAATGCAATGCTGCCATTCAAGGAACAGGAAAACAAAGGTAACCTCATAGGCAAAGTGTCCCTCTCGCGCCACCTATGCGAATGCTTTGTTTGGGTGCCTAGGCATTCTCGGGGGCTGGCATGTTGATTAATCTCCCGACTCGGCCACGAATCGGGACTTTCACGCAAGGGGCGCATACCGGGCCGACCAGGTCGGTGAAGGGTAAACAACAAGCGGACGGTCGAGAATTGAGCAGGGCAATACGTTGAATGCGATTATGAGCAAGATGGGCTGTTTTCAGTGTCCAATTGAACTGAGAGGGAGGGGAAACCAGGCTTTTGCGACTTGTCCATCATTGCGTGGAGCACATGGCTGGCTGGGCCTTGCCAGACATATTCCAGTATTCCAGAAGGTCCCACCAACAGGGATGTATTTTGTAGCCATACCCCCGTGATGTCAGTAGGAACTAGTTGCATCCTTGTTCTCGACGATGGTGACCTAGACTCATGTGGCATTGGCGGGATTTGGTGGGTAGAGAGGGAGCAGTGTCCCATCCATCTAGCCCAAGGCTCCACTCTCAGCGGCGATGTACGTGCAATATCTCTTATCGGAGGATTACCATTTGGCCGAGGCGTTAAGATTTTGGGAGTGTTGGCCAGCTGCGTGGAAAGGCCCAGGAGAGCTGAAAGTGGGGTGGCCTGGTGCCCGACAGCCCTTTTGACTTTCCGGGCAGTTCAAACCCCACAGATAATAGGACGATAGAGGCTGGTTACTGAAGCGGGCCATTGCCCTCGTGGGAAGCCCAGATCCCGAATGCAGGATCTATCTTCCCCGGCAGGTCGACCCGGTTGGCCATGCCGGCCGATTGTGCAGGTGAAGACTAGGCGTGTGAGGGGGCCACATTGACTGGAAATTATCGGGGTCACTTCATTGGGCGTGATCGAGGTCTTAGCTTAGAGGTATTTATTTCATGCTCCAGCCCTGAGAGAGGGACGAATCTGTGATGCAATCATCAGCAGGGGTTCCCCGCAGCAATGTCTTGTTCAGGTGTTCAAGTGTTCAGGTACCAAATGCACGACATGAAGTCCGTGCGGGCCCGGGAGCAGCGCCTAGCGCGGGGCCTGCGATAAGCAACTGAGCGAAAGAGCTAAGTGGGGGGGGAGTGTGGATCTCACAAAGATTGGTGAGATAAACGGTTGCACGAAGAGATTTGGTAAACGGGAGGTTGCTGATAAAGTACGGAGTCTTGAGGGGGTAACAAAGGAAAACCGAGAAGAGAGAAGTGAAAAATGGGTAATGGGCTCGGGTGAAAGAGCGTGTGACTCGACGCAACAAGTCCATTCGGTTTCTTTCTTTGCCTCTTCCCTTTCTTCTAGCTGCCACCCCCGGATTTGATGGGAAAAAAGAAAAGAAAGGAACCCTAGGCGCAACCCACTATCTTCGGACCCAGCATTCCAAATTTGACTCACTGGATAGCTTCAATACGGTCTCTCCCTCCCTCCCTCCTCCTCCCACTCCTCGTCTCTAGCTGCTCTCTTCGTGCTCCCAATTCCTACTGACGCCATCCCGCAGCTCTGTCGCCATACTACCGCCATAGCACCGCCGTACCACAGTACTCCATCCCGGAAATGGCGTAATAGAGCTGCATCGCCGCCAACCACTCTGCCACTTTAGGCGTCGGTTCTCCCAAAAGACCACGGCCACTAAATTGATCTACGTGAATTCCCTAGAAATTGGCATATGTCGGTCTTGCAGTCACGCAATCCCGCTCTTTGTCGCTGTTCTTGCTAGTCACAATCACCTATACCCAACTACCTTCGATCGCCAGTCAAATCCACCATCAGTTCTTTTCTCAACCAACGTGGACACGCAAGGACGTGGTAAATTGTACATCTATCACGAACAATGGATCAATCCATGTCTATGATCGATGCCCAGGTACAATTCCTAGTGAGTCATTTCCTATCTACGGGATACATGTATCACGAGGCTCAACATATATATATTCTAGGAGGAGCAACTGGTTCTAGTCCACATCCCTTTGGAACTGTATCCATATTTCTTCAAACCAGTGCTACGACTCATCTTTGACGAGATCGCCCCGTTGCAAGACAGCAACCAGGATGAAGCGGATGTGCTAGATGACTCCGAGTCGATTTCGGACACGGGCGCTGAGTATCGGGAACCTGCATTCCTCAACGTTTCCATCACCCCCGTGGAAGTCTCGGTGATCTGCCCTCGACGTCTGGTAGAGAAATACTTTGACCCTCTCATCAACCAACTTGCCCAGATAGATGCTTCACTGTGGTCTCGTGTAGATATAAGTGACAATGACTATATCGCCATGCAAGTTCTGGGCCAAGGCCTGGAAGCTGGCAAGCGAGTCCTCGAACTGACCAGTCCATTGTCCATGGCAGGAATGTGCGTATCTACTCATATTTTCTACTATATATATGCATATATATATATATATACGAACCTCCATACCAAGACTACACACAAAAGTCATTTACTAACACTGCGTCCAGTTCAATCTTCTTCATCACAACCTACTTCTCCGACTACATCCTAGTCCCCCTCCGCAGCAAATCCAGCGTAATCTCCACCCTCGAAAGCCGAGGCTTTCAATTCGAAAATTCGAACACGGCATTCACCAACCCCCTCACTCCAATCATAGAACGAAAACTCAGCGACGCAGTACCTCCAGTGACCCCGCCACCCTCATCAGTCGCAGAGCTCCAAGCCCGCACGTTCGAGAATCTCCGCAAACGCCAGATCCTCCCGGTAGTAGACGATACTCTCCGTCTCGTCCAATGCGCCGCGCACCATCCGTACCATCACCAGGAGAGTTCAATGTCCATTCTACGGGATGCGCTAGCAAAAGTTCTCCTCGTCGACGAACCGCGGTTCTTGTCGCTGACTCTGGCGGCGCTGGATCCGGCTGCGTCCCTGCTGTTGGAGAAGAGATTGCTTCCAAGGTTTTCGCGGCAGACCGATGATGATGATGGGGGGTCGAGTTTACTTCTCGGTGCGCAAGGGGATCATCTCGTTCCTATCATATTGGATCTACGTGATCTACCGCTGGAGGCATCGGGTATAGTCTGTGGTGTGGCGGGTCGACTCGCCGAAGCAACGAGCCATTCTTCACGAGATGATCACCCCGACACCAACAACCGTGTGAGCGGCCAACAGAGTAGTGTGGTCGGCTCCGTCCCCAAATTGGTCGATACGTTCGGTACCCGGTTGGCACTTAGTGATAAGAAATCATCGAGTCAGCACCAGCTCGCGCCGGCGACGCACCACCTCAAGCCGAATTTGGATTCGTCCGCCGATGCAGTCGAGATTAGCTTCCTGAGTACTGCGCGAGCAGGTACGATTATCGTGGGCGAAGATGAACTGCAGAGAGCTATTGATGCCCTCGATGCAGAAAAGGTGCAGGATTCGCCTGCCGAGATGGTATCTGAACCTGGCGAAATCGGACTTGGACTGGAGACGGATACCGTCGAGGTTTCTTAACAAACTTGAAAAAATAGGGACATGTGTGTTTTCCCCCGTGAATCCCCACTGCATATTGGCATTTTTTGGATTTGAATTGGACAAAACGAGAGGAAAGCTGGACAAAAAAAGTGATTTTATATTGGGCAATGCCTGTATGAGTACATGATTCTGATTTCTGTTTACTCTGAGCCCTGGCGTTGATTCGGGGCATTGCTGTTGATAATTCCGGACCAATTTTTACCAATGAAAAGAATCTCCCATCTCTGTAATCGAACCCCTGATTTATATGTTCCCATACAAACTCGTCTCGCGATCACCTTTGACCTCATCTTAATGCTCACCTTCAACATATCCCGAACCAACCTGACCACTACAAACATATAGTTTATATTTTTTTATGGATGTTAATATTCTGCTCGTCTTTCTGGTTATAAAGATACAGATATCTCATATCAAAAGGCATAAGAAGTTGATGTGCTGGAGTGATGTAAATTTCCGCGGACATAAAAAGGAAGAACCCCCACGTCGGACCTACCGGAGCGTGGTACATTTCTGCATTGCTCATCGTCCCCGGATTATGCGGGTAGACACCTCAATTCTAGGTCTAAGCCGCTAAGCCAACAGAACGCGGGGTTGATTTTTGGAGGTAGAAGTCAATGATAACCCTCATTCAGGTCATTTTCTTGGTCATCTAGGAGAACCCGTACAAAAGGCCGACATGGCTCAACATACCTACTAATGTATGATGGCTATTTGATAATAGGACAGAATTCCATAGATGAATCAATTACTAGAATGCATTCATTTTGCACTAATATGAGCCAATGTCGATCAGCTCTTGTTCAAGATTCAAGCCGCCTCGTAAACATAGAGCGTCGACTTATGCTGATCCGGGAGACAGTAAATCCTCAACTTTCCATCCACAACCGCAATGTCGACTGGATTCTGTGTCACGGGCGCCCCGAGATCACTTTTCATTGCGATCGGAACTTCCCACAGCGGCAACATGGTCTCGAGATCAACCAGGGAAATACCACCCAGACTGAACGACGACCCGATAGAAGCAACGCCGCCGCAGAACATAATCGCTCTCTTGCTTCCCTGATCACCAACACGGGCGGCCACGGCATCGGGAAGGGCATGGTGCCCAATGAACTTGCAATCTTGGTAATCAACGAAGAACGAATGGTCTGGGACGGAAGACTTGGGAGCCGTAAATCCGGGCATTGGCGTGAATCCATGCGGGTAGTCTTTAAGAGACCAGGTGGTAGCATTGCGGCCACCCCAATTCAGCGTGACGAGGTCATCAGTGACAGTGTCATGCACGATTCCACCATTATGATCAGTGGTGCGAAACATCTCCTTCTTCTGGAGCGTAAGCGGGTCGATCTGGACGATAGTTGCAGTCGAATTGGGCCGGTACTGAGACAGCGTTGCCCACAGGTAACGGCCATCGTAGTCGATACCACCGGTGTGATACTCAAGATCTCCGGGCTCCGTCAGAGTGGCATTGGCAATTAGTTTGCCCTTATCGTCGTAGATGAGAGCGTGGGCGAAACCCGCGCCGGGAGTACGGTCGGTACCGTTGATCGGCTGAGGGTATTTCGAGGTTGGGACAGTCCATTGTCCGGCGGAAACGAAGTATCGATCGTCACCGACACGGACGATACCTTCTGGTTCGCCAGTGTCGCCTTCAAATTTGGTCTTCGAGATGAGGTTCCATTTAGTGGAACGACCAAGGTTCGGGAACATTTGCACGATAGAGGCTCCGTCGGAAGTGGCATGCGACGGAGGAAGCTTGTTATGTGGCAAAAAAGGCTCGTTTGGGCGGACGACGGAGACATTGGTCGCTATAGCAGTCGTTATAGCTGACGCCGCAAACGCAATCGGGGTGGCTCTCATGATGATGTTTGGCTGTGGCAGCTAATCAAACTCTCAGGGTATGGATTGAGTCCCCTTGAAAGGGAGGACTTTATAAATCCCCTGTAAACCAAACGGGGACCAAGCATCGGGGTATCGGGGACAATAATCAAGATTACGCACAGGTCCGTGCCCTGCAAGATGTGAGGTTATTTCTCGAGAAGTATGACGGAGTGGAGACGCGGGCAGCCACGTTCCGCAGGAAGGATCGGCCGTTGGCTCAACCAAAGACCCGGACGGTACCTTAAAAAGGGACGATAGTCAGTGCGTGAGCCCTACAACATGGAACACATCCACCAGTAGAACGAAATGGAAATGGAACTTACTATCCGCACATCCGGCTGCCCAGTAGCCCTTCTCGTTCCACGCCACGCAGCTCACAGCCTTGACATCCTCTCCCATAGGCACCGTCGCAACATTTTCACCACTCAAAATATCCCATGCGAACACGGCTGCCCCCATTGCAGTGCCATCGCCTTTGGGAGCCGCCTCACTTCCACTGAGAACCACTGCATCGCCCTGCGCAAAGACGGAGCGAACTCGCAATTCGGTGTTGCGATACCTATGGCGTGGCATGGTATCGAGTATGCCCCGCGCAGGCCCCTCCTCTTTCGTGGATGGTCCGCCGAAAGCAGCGAGGAGCGATCCATCTGTGCGATCCAGCATTCGAATATAATTATCCAAAGTGGACGTCAGCAATGCATTGCCATCTGCGGAGCACCGCACACTCGTCACAGGGTGTGCCAGAACGTCGATCGTCGTCTTGCCCATGCGAACATCATAGACGCGGACATGACCATCGTAGCTACCGCTGGCAATCAAGTAGGTAGACATATTCACATGTAGGGACGAGACGGTGTCACTCGCTTCGGTGAGAGTCTGGATAGGCTTGTTGGCGTTGGATTTAGTATCCCACAGATTAATCGTGGTGTCTGCACTGCCTGAAACAGAGGAAAGAAAACTGTTAGCATGGGAAATATCAGAGGTGAAGGTTATCCGCCGCGACTAAGGATTTTAAGAACCGTACCAGAAACGACCACCGAATCACCATCTCCCGCAAATTGCACAGCCTCGACTTTGCTATTGTGGCCGGTCCATCGCCTTGTAGTTCCTCCCTGCTCAACATCCCACAAGAAGACCTGTCGATCGCCTCCGACACTGGCAAAGCGTGCATTGTCCGCGGCGACGGCTACGTCGAGTACCGAGTAACCGTGTGCCTCATACCGCTGGATGGGAGTGGTCGTTTCTACCGGCGTCGCAGAATTTTCCGCATTGCTGGGAACGGCACGAGAGAGGTGAATAGCACGGTCTGAGGAGCCTGTTAGGACATAGGTGCCTGGGTAGCTGGAGAAGATAACCGCGTTGACGGGGCCTGTCGCGAAGTGGAACGGTTAGTGTTTGGTCGCGCGCAATTTGAGGAAATCCTGGCATACCATTATGTGTTCTGAGGGTGTGGAGATGCCGCGTGGGAAATCTTTTCGGAGGCATGACCGCTGGGGAGAAGATGGGACCAACAACAGAGCAGATAAGAGGCCTTTTTTTGAAGCTTTAGGGGAGCGCGAACGATGCGTGGGGCTGGGAGTCCGGCGAAACGGGGCCCGGGCATCCACTTTTGACAACTCCGTTCAGGCGGGAGCTAAGGCGAACTAAAGTACAAGAATAAGCTACAGCAGCCAGATACTCGAAGAAATGAATTCAATCAAAAACACCTAAATTTAATTTCGACCAAAGAATTAACTCTGTATTTTCCGCGCTACAGAATACAGGAGGGATTATTATCAAGGATGTAGAGACACCATCGCTAGCTACCAGCGGTAAATGGATATAACAAAACGAAACGAAGAAGCCCTTCAAGGCGAAGGTGCGCCCTCCCAAGCGCGTGAATTGCAAGACATTGGGTACTCAAGAGAAAGAAACGACGAGAGAGTCAACACAAGTGTGCCAACTCCCCTTTTGAACCACCATTCTAGCGACGACCGTGGCTGCGAGTGCCGGAGCCCTGCAGGCCTTCGATCTCTTGCTCGAGGGATTTGATGCTGCCAGAGGTCAGTAATTGTAAGCGCACGAATGGATAGATTCAAAACATACGCAGCGTGAGTGGCCTCGAGATCCTTGTTGAGTCTGTCGCGCTCGGAGATGAGCTTCTGCTCCCACTGTCGGAATCGGCTCTCCTCGACCTTGACTTGCTCGGTGAACCGCTTGCGCAAGTTCTCCTCCTCCTCCTTGAACTTGGGGTTGTCCAACTTGCGGGGTCGGGCCTCGCCGAACTTGCGAGTCTCCATCTGCTGGGCGCGGTAAGCCTCGTAGTGAGACTCCTCGGTAGTGTGGATGAGATCCAGCATGTGGGTGCGAATCAAGATCGAACGGAGCTTCTTGAAGTCACAGTGATCCTCGTTTTCCACCTCGGCAACACCCCAAGCATATTGGCGACCCTTGACAACACGGCCGTCGTTGGCCTTGACATCCTTCTCGGAACCAATCACAGCGAAAGGCATGGCAGCCATCAGGCTGCGGGCGTGGGTGGCGGCGTGCTCATCGTCCTCCTCAATTGGCGGGGTGTAGATCTTAATGCCCTGGGCCTCGATAACGGCGCGAATCTAATTGTCTCTGGTTAGTCCAAAGTGCTCCTTGAGTGCAGCTCAACTCCCCGGATCCGACTCACTCTCTCCTTGTACTTGGCCAGATCGGCGTGGCTCAGGGTATCGGCCTTGGCAACGACGGGGATCAAGTTAACGCGGGAGCTCAGGCGCTTCATAACCTCAATGTCGAGGGGCTTGAGGGTGTGTCCAGTGGGGCGGATGAAGTACAGGCAGGCGTGCACACGCATGTCAATCTTGTCGGTACGGCGGGGCTGCTGCTCCTGGAGCATGTAAGACTCGTGCTGGTCATCCAGGAACTCAATAATGGGCTGCCACGAGTCGCGGTTGTTGACGTAGTCGCCGAAGCCGGGGGTATCAATAACGGTCAGGCGAACTGTGCAAGAAAAGCAAGCCGGGTCAACAATCCGTAATTGCAACAAGGCAGATGTAAACAAAGCCCCCATCCATCCTTATTGCCTGCTTGGGGTCCAGCATTATCGCACCTTTGAAGAATTTCTCCTCCAGCTCGGCCTTGGTGATCTCGATCTCGACGGTGCGGTCAACCTGCTTCTGGTGGCGGCGCTTATGGTCGGCATAATTTTTGATAGTAGTAGAAAAGAGGGTGTTGATGAAGGTGGTCTTTCCCAATCCCGACTCTCCAGCGACCTGTAGACAGGGTCATTAGTGTGGATGCTCAGGCCGGGAGACATTTCAAGCTTAGACACACCATAATTGTGAAAGCCGCACCCCGCTTCGCGACAATCTTGTGTCTGGATACCATCAATTAGAAGCTAACCCTTCGAGTCAATTCGGCTTCAATTCCGTCAAGTCACATACCGCTGGTTGGGGAGCTAGAAGGAATGACATATGGTTAGCTATCATGACGTCCAAACGCGTTTTCGGAGATTCGGGAAACAAGCGAGGGTCTTACATTGGCAATGCCAATGGGAGTGGCGGTCTCCGTTGTAGACATGATGGGTGTGCTGGTCGGGTGGGGATATCAAAGGGTGTGAAGGTTGGAAGAAAGCGACGAGAGACCCCTCAGGTATGGACCGGGCTGGAGTGGAAAGATTGGTCGGAGATCCTGGAGGAAAAGGGGAGAGAGAGGCGATGAGCTTGCTCGTTGCTTGCTTCCCCCTGAATCTCCTTTCGTTTTCTGGAGTATACCTGGCCTTGCCTATCTGGGGTTAGCCTATCCACTATCCCCTTTTGGGTGCGGGACCGGACTATCGCTGATCCGAGGCTTATCTTTTTGGATTTGGCCGTTGTGAGCGAAAAGAGGAATTTTTGACGGAGTGTCTCGAGCTGTCGCAAAGGCAAAATGAAGACGGACTACAAGGTTGGTATGGTCTTATCTGCTTTTCAAAAACACTGGCTAACTCTTTGACCAGTTCTCCAATCTTTTGGGGACGGTCTACCGCAAGGGCAACCTGCTCTTTACTCCCGATGGAACCTGCTTGCTCTCGCCAGTAGGCAATCGCGTATCGGTCTTTGATCTTGTGCAGTAGGTCGTCCGCATCATAAAATTGCAATTTTTTGGATCTCAATTACTCATATCTGTGAACCTTTAGCAACACCTCCTATACCCTTCCATTTTCCCACCGCAAGAACATCGTCCGCCTTGACCTCACGCCGCGAGGAAATCTTCTGCTCACGGTCGACGAGGATGGCCGAGCTATCCTGACCAATTTCCACCGTCGCATTGCGATTCATTACTTTACCTTTAAGGGTAAGGTGTCAGCCCTCAAATTTTCTCCGTCGGGCCGACACTTTGCCGTGGCCGTGGGTAGACGCCTGCAGCTCTGGCAGACCCCCTCGACTCCCGGTACCGAAACCAATGGCGAGATCGAGTTCGCTCCCTTCGTTCTACACCGTGACCTTGCGGGACACTTTGACGACATCCAGAACATCGAGTGGTCAAGTGACTCTCGGTTCCTGCTTACCGCATCCAAGGACTTGACGGCGCGAGTATGGAGTCTGGATCCCGAGGATGGGTTTGAGCCCACGACCCTGTCTGGGCACAGATATGGAGTTGTCTGCGCATGGTTTGATGCCAATCAGGAATTAGTGAGTTACTTCATAGTCGTGGTCTCTAGCCGTGACATTAGACTAATCCTTCAAACAGATCTACACAGTTAGTCAGGATGGTGCACTTTTCCGTTGGGAGTACCTCACGAAGAAGGATCTCGAAACGGGCGAGGATATTGCATTGGCTCGATGGAGGATCACCAAGAAGAACTTCTTCATGCAAAACGATGCCAAAGTCAACTGCGCGGCGTTCCATGCGAAATCCAATTTGTTGGTCGTTGGCTTCTCCAACGGTCTGTTTGGGCTTTATGATCTACCAGAGTTCAACACGATCCACCTTCTAAGGTATGCATCAAAGACCGACTTAGATACCAAACTATTTTTTTTTACTAACTTTAATCACAGTGTCTCTCAGAGCAACATTGATGTGGTGACGATCAACCAATCTGGAGAGTGGCTTGCATTTGGATCGTCCAAGTTCGGCCAGCTGCTCGTCTGGGAGTGGCAGTCCGAGTCGTACATTCTGAAGCAGCAGGGTCATCTCGACTCTATGAACTCAATTGTCTATTCGCCAGATGGGCAAAAGATTGTTACGACTGCCGACGACGGTAAGATCAAGGTGTGGGATGTCAAATCAGGCTTCTGCATTGTGACATTCACCGAGCACCAGAGCGGAGTGACCGCGTGTCAATTTGCAAAGAAGGGTAATGTCTTGTTCACTGCATCCCTGGACGGCTCGATTCGCGCGTGGGATTTGATTCGGTACCGCAATTTCCGCACTTTTACTGCACCTACCCGTCTCTCGTTCTCCTCCCTGGCGGTGGACCCTAGTGGCGAAGTCGTGTGCGCCGGCTCGCTCGACGATTTCGATATTCACGTATGGTCCGTCCAAACCGGACAATTGCTCGATCAGCTCTCCGGCCACGAGGCCCCCGTATCCAGCCTTGCCTTTGCTGGCGATGGTAACCACCTGGTTAGCGGCAGCTGGGATCACACCGTCCGAGTGTGGAGCATCTTCGGCCGCGCCCAGACCAGTGAACCCCTCCAGCTCCAGTCAGACGTTCTGAGCGTCTCTTTCCGACCTGATGGCTTGCAGATTGCAGCCTCTACTCTCGATGGACAGCTGTCCTTCTGGAATGTCTTCGAAGCCATTCAAGAAGGTGGCCTTGACGGACGTCGTGATGTCTCTGGCGGTCGGAAACTATCCGATAGGCGCACTGCTGCTAACTCAGCGGGGACCAAGTCCTTCAACCGTATTACCTACAGTGCCGACGGTAGCTGTATTCTTGCAGCTGGCAACAGCAAGTATATCTGCCTGTACGACGTGACGACCGGATCGCTCATCAAGAAGTTCACGGTCTCGGTGAACACGTCCCTGGACGGTACACAAGAGTTCTTGAACAGCCGTGATCTCACCGAGGCTGGACCACGCGGCCTCCTGGATGAGTCTGGTGAGATGTCGGACAAGGAAGATCGCATTGACCGCTCACTCCCTGGCGCGCATCGTGGTGATCCTGGCGTGCGCAGTGTCCGACCGGAAGTGCGGGTGACTTCGGTTGATTTCGCCCCAAGCGGTCGCTCTTTCTGTGCGGCTTCCACAGAGGGTCTCCTCATCTACAGTCTGGACACAGACTTTGTCTTTGATCCATTTGATCTAGACATTACCATCACTCCGTCGACCATTCTAGCCACTCTTGATGCCGCCAAGGCGGCCGCCACATCCGGCACTGTGGACGATGAGAACACATTCCTCAAGGCCCTTATCATGGCCTTCCGTCTGAACGAATCGAAGCTTCTACGTGCGGTGTACGAGGCAATCCCTCCGTCCGATATTCCGCACGTGGTGCGGTCTGTGCCTACTGTTTATCTGCCCCGCCTGCTTCGCTTTGTCGCACACGCGGCCGATGAGACCCCCCATCTTGAATTCAATTTGTTGTGGATCGAGTCTCTATTCAGTTGCCACGGTCGTTACCTTAAGGATAACTCCGGGACTTTTGCGCCCGAGTTGCGTGCCGTTCAGCGTGCCGTTGACGAGATTCGGGAGAACCTTAAGCGCCTCACCGAGAAGAATGTTTACGACCTGAACTACCTTCTGTCTAAGCCTGTCCTCGCCGATAAGAAGCCGTCCACGGCCTTGCTTGCACTGGATAATGGCGACGCCGACGAAGTCGAAGACCAGATGGTCGAAGGTGACGATGATGAAGGCTCATGGGTCGGTCTGGAATGAGTATCGTGAGAGATTCCCCTGTAATGTCTACTTTGCATGTGCGCCTGGCGTTTGTATATTAGGAGAAAAAGGCGACCCCTTCAAAAGTGTGTATAGAGAAAAGGGTCCTTCCCAGGATCTTTTGTTTGAACAATAGAAGTACTGCAAACACAAGTGCAGTTCCTTTCCAAAAAGGGCAGCTCCACAATGAGTATTTAGGACTATCTAGTTTGTTCTTCTTTCGTCACTGAAAGATACCCACTAAGCACCGTGGAGCGTCTTTCAATACTATCCGACGGCTTCTGTACAACCTCCATCAATTTTATCCTGACACAGACAGTCCACCTTTAATTTTCTAGGAATCCTTGTGAGCTTTCCAATCCGACCCCTACTTTTTTCACGCATCTCAGATGGCTGGCTCAGCAATATGGTTTATCTTGGGGATCTTCCTGGCGCTCTATATTTTGCGCCAGAAACCCGATGCGCGCCTCAAGCACATCCCTATTATCAGATACAGCACTTTCCTGCCGGACCTCTTTAACCGGTTCATCTTCTACCCAAAGGCAAAGTCGATGATATACTGGGGTTATGAGAAAGTCCGGTAACATGAAGATAAGGATTTGCACAGTGCTGACTTGGGTAATAGTTCAACAATCATCCGTTTCGTATGCTCACCGGTGATGGCGAGATCGTCGTTTTGCCTATCAAGTATGTAGAGGAGCTGAAGCACTTTCCTCCATCGATCATCAGCTCGCTGGATGCACAATTCGAGGTATCGTTGTTATTTTTTTCTTTTAGTAGTCGGTACAATCTGTTTTCAGCAAATTGCTAGCTGAGTATACATTGTTTAGAATGCGCTGGGGGAATACACCAACATCAAGGTCAACAGCTATTTACCGTCAAATACTGTGCGCAAACGCTTGACTCCCAGCATTGGTAGGATGCTCTATACAATTTCAGTTTGAAATATCACATTCTCATCAACTGATACGATACAGCTCGAATCACGCCTTGGATACTTGACGAGTTACGCTACGCCTTCGACTCTGTTCTCCCGGATTGTGAAGGTGAAAGCCCTGATACATACCACAAAGACTATCCTAATATACATCTCCCGCGGGAACAGATCAATGGATCACCATCAAAGCGCATGAAATGTTCGTCAGTCTGATTTCGCGTGCAACATCCCGGGTCCTGGCCGACTCGCTTCGACGCAACGAGCAATGGCTCGACATCGCAAGTAACTACTCCGTCAACGTGGGCATTACCATCCTTCTACTACGTCCATTCCCAAACTTTATCAGGCCCTTTATTGCGACTTTTCTCCCCTCCGTTCGACAAATGAAGAAACAGCTGCAATTCGCCAAGAACCTTTTCATTCCCATGATCAACGCGCGCCGCGCTGCCGAAGCTACGAATGACCCAAGCTACATCAAGCCGGACGACTTTCTGCAGTGGATGATGGATCTGGCAGAGGACGAGCAGGATTTGGACCCCGAGGCACTGGCACATCATAATCTGATTCTAATGAGCCTGGCAGTGGTGCATACAAGCTCTATCGCGCTCTGCCAGATTCTTTACGATTTGATTGCCAGACCGGAGTATATCGAGCCATTGCGTGACGAGATTATGCAGACGCTCAGCAGTGGATGGGATAATGCTTCCAAAGCATCATTCGACGCCCAGAAACGCTTGGATAGTTTCCTGCGCGAGTCACAGCGTTGGGGTCCACCGGGTGAATGTGCGCAATCTCTTTCTTCGAGTGTTTTATCATTTGCTAAGTCCAGCACAATCTAGTGTCAATGCATCGCATTGTCAAAACGCCTTTGGCATTGTCAGACGGCCTGCACCTCCCCAAGGGAGTACACATCTGCTTCCCATCCGGCCCCATCAGCAAAGATCCAAACTTCGTCTCGAACCCGGCTGTCTTTGATGGATTGCGGTGGTGTCAGGACCCGGCAGATCGGAATGCACTTCGACCATCAAACATAACTTCGAACGGCAGTGCGGGAAAGGAGCAAAACGAGCAAGATGGGACATCACTTGCTCCGTCTCCGACTACCAGCTTTATCAGTATTAGCCCATCGAACATGCACTTTGGATTGGGGCGCCAAGCTTGTCCGGGTCGGTTTTTCGCTGCGAGTACGATCAAGGCAATCATGAGTCGGATTATTATGGACTATGAATTCAAATTTGAGGGTGATCGGGTTGGATGGAGGCCGGCAAACATTGGGATTGGGGAACATATCTTCCCTGATACTAACACACGAGTGTTGTTTCGAAAGAGGCAAAGGTGAGTCGGAGATGTCTCACTCACGTGCAGCAGCGGGATTCTGGAGGCTGCTGGCTACGATGGGATTGCTTGGCTGCACTTTGGGGTTCGAGCAGGTTGGCGGGAGGAATAGATGATATTTGTCGAAGAAGAAGAGATTATTAAGCTGTGGTATCATTTCGATTCCTATCTTGTTTTCTTAATATTTACTTATTTCAAATACACGAGCCCAGGCATGAATACCAGTCGTGCGGACTGTGTACACAGTCCGCACGACCAGACTATACCCATCAAAAAGAATTTCATGCACAGTGGTAAAGACACATAGCTTCGTCAATCTTTATCATCTACAGGCAAAATTTTCGTCAGGTCACTGGCTAGCCACGGAGGGAGCACCGCCTTGACCCCCTCGTCCGCGCCCACGCTGTCCATTACCCCGTCCTCGTCCGCGACCACGCCCACGACCGCGGTCTATTCCCTGAGGCGGGGGCACCTGAGACATGTTCTTAGGGCGGAAATTGGGGTTGTTCTGGATGACTCCCTCGCCGGGGTCGCTGTTGTCAACAGAGTTATATCCACCTCTGAACCCACCACGGCCACGATTTCCATTTCCGCGGGGGCCACGAGGAGGACCATTGTTGGGATGAGGACGGTGCGGGAGCACCATAGGCTGGCCATTGTTCATGGCAACATGACCTCCACGATGCGTACCTTGGCCAGACACGGCGCCTCTGAATGAACCTCTCAAGGGCGGAGGAGCCGGAGCATTTCTCAGCTGGCCCTGTCCATTGGGGCCCAAAGGAGCACCATAGCCACCAACGGTGAGGGGGGTTGGCTGTTGGCTAGGTTGCTGGCTAGTCGCGGCACGGGAGGAGGCAATCAGCTGTCGGAACGAGACGTTGAGAACAGATGATGCAAGCACTGTCTGTCCACGGAATGGGGAGCAGCGACCGCCAAGGGTAGTGCCACTCATGAATGACACGTCGAATAGGACGTCAAGCAGAAGAGCACGAGATGTTCTCGTGATACCAACCACTGTGCCACGGGTGGCGATTGGCACTTTGCCCGAGTCCTGGCAATACACGACCCGGTCTCCAAGCTTGAACGTCTGGTTGCCCAGACGATGTTCAACATCGGCAGGACGAAGGAGAGCACTACGAGGAACACCGCGAACCTTCTTTGCTTGCATTTCTGGCGTCCCGAGCTGGTCGGCATCCTGTTCAATCAACTGGACGATGTCGGAATCCAGTTGCTCGGCATCAAGAGGGACTCTCTCAAAGTTCTTGCTCTCCATTGACTTCAACCACTCACGGATATCCTTCATCTTGGCAATGGCGATCTCCTCCGGGTAGAAATCAGTAGGAGCGTAGCGATCCTTTTGAGGATTACGCTGAATTCCAGCGATGAATTCCGGGAAGGTGATCATGTATTGTGCCAGTAAGTCCACTGCTTTCTGACTGAACTCCCATCCAGACTGTCCACGGCGAGAGTATCCAAGGACCTTTTGCTTCCGAGCCTCAAATTTGAGGTTCAGGCCCAGGTTCACTCGCGCGCCGTCAACATCAACGGAGAAAGAAGAGGTAATCTTGGCCAGCACCAAAGGGTTGAGGTTGAGACTGCGAGCAACAGCGTAAGAGGGCATGTAGGGGCAGTGTTGTTCAGCCTGCCTTACACGGGCCTTTCCGAACTCGGGTTCGCGGTCCTTCACAGCTGCGAGCAAACCGTTCACTTTGCCGTCGGTATGGCCGCTGACATGGACAGGTCGACCATAATTGAAGTCACCCAGGAAGAATGCCCGAGAGTTTGCGGGGAACTCTTCTTCGATAGGGAGAGCTTCCTTCTCAATGAAGCGTTCATCAGGGTTGACAACATCATCGACAACGATCTGAAGGGCATAATCGGTCTCTTGGCCGGGTATGTCGGCAAACTCCTTGACAATGGCACCTTCTTCGGTCTTGGTCATACCCTTCAAGGGCTGAATATGGACTAAAGCTTCCACACTCCCAATGATCATAGCAAGACGCTTGCTGTAATGACTTTCAATCCGGTCCGCCTTCTTCTTGAACTGCTCGATCTGCTGAGGAGTGTGCGGAATTTGGACAACGTGTTGCTCGCCTGGCGGAAGGATGTAGTCGAAGAGCTCGTCCGATACACGAATGATGAGCGCTTCTTGCAGGTACGGATAGCCGACATGGACTCGCTTTCCAAGTTTCTGCTTGGCCAACTCGATGCCGGACCGGCTTCCTGGGTCAAGGAGAGTGATGACTTGACTCTCGTTGCGACTCTCCTGCTGGAACACGGTAACTCCATGGAAGCCCAACTGGCCGACATGGGGGAGTGTCTTGATACTAGGGAAGCCGGCCAGGGCTGCTTCGCCTAGATGTACGCCCTCCATCAGGCCATTGTACGGCTCCAACCCATCCATAGTGGGAAGATCGAAGAGATTCTCGATGCAGTGGCAACTCGGGAGATCAGGGAACACGCCAGGCATTGAAGAAGGATACACAAAATTCACATCGGGTGAGTAAGTGAACCTCAAACTTGCCCCGAAACCATTGCGCGCTTTTTCGTCGGGGCTGAGGAACTTTTCCTTGGTCTTAAGGGCATCCAACAGACGCGTCTCGTCGATGAAAGGAATTTTGACCACAGCCTCCCACTCCATCTTTTTTCCATTCATATCCAGATCGAAATCACGAGGATAGAAATCAATGATAGGAGACTCGGGGGATGTCATGAGATCCCAATAGGCAGTTGGCACAATGCTCTTACTGCGATCCGGCAAGACGCCCATCAGCTGCTCATATGGCCGGAAAGGCTGCCCAAGTCGGAAATTCATGTCGGCACCCAGGCCCTTTTTCACATCTGAGAGTGGTGGTAAGTATATGATAACACAGAATCAAAGCACGGAATACAGCGTCCCTGTGTAGATGAACTTACCAGAAATCATGGGAGCATAGTGGTACCTGAAGAACCAGGGCCACGAAGCAATACCGCGGTAGTAGTAGAACAAGACCCACTGCAGTCCTTGCACGTAGTTCTCTGTCAACTGCTTCATCTCCTCCTCATTATCGAGTCCCCAGCCAAATTTGGAGCGGTAGTAATTATCCTTCCATTCCTGGAATTTGGCGTCATACTTCTCCTTGGCGGCCTGTTGCACCTCCTCCGGTGTCATATCCTGGACCTTGGCCTTTTCGTACTTGCGAATAATGCGCGAAACAGCTATGAACGATTCTCCCTCATCGTCATCTTCGTCATCGCCCTGCACCTGTGGAAGCTGAATGCGCATGAATCTATCGCCAGCCTCGTTGTCCACGGTAGACCACTGCACATGAAGCTCGTCTGCAAGTTTCTCAATGAACGCGCGGTCACGAGCTGGAAGCGTGGGAGGGAAGTCGAGCGGCTTAGGCTCGGATTCCTTGCCAGGCCGATTCAAGACATATTGCTTCACTTTCTTGAGAATGTCCTTTTGGGCGGAGGTGACCGTTAGCTCCCTCGGCCTCGTGTTCAGCTCCAGAGAGCCATCATTCTGCTTAGCCTTGATCCACTGCGCATCGGAATTCTCGGCCTGGAAGAACCGGTGCTCGACCTCGCTGAGGGCCTCGACCAGAATTCCAAGCCGTTCGACATTAATGGTACCTTGCTCGTTGATATATCCTCCCATCTTTCGCAACACGTCCTTGTAGATCTTAAACATGAGCGCCAGCGCACCTTCGTTGATATGTAGGTTAGGCAGATTGGGCAAGAAATCGTTTCCAACAAAGAACGCCATTAGGATGAAATCATCAATCACTCGCTCCATATCGAATGGGAAATTGAGCGCGCCTTCCTCTTCCAGCTCCTGGAACTCCAACTCCAGATACTCACGAACCATGCTAAGATGCAAAAGATAAAAGTTCTGGTGCTCGAGCTCCTTTGGCTTCTTGGAGACTTGACGGCCGAAAGTCACCTCCTCGCGGAGGAGGCAGAAGTGAGGGTCATGACTGAGCAGACCCAGCATGATAAGATCAGCATCCAAACCGTAAAGACAATGGCGGACATTAGGATGGTAGTCGGGTTGCGCTTTCGCGCTCCGAATGTATTCCATGATCTTGTGTTCACCCTCACCGGGCACCTCATGGCCCGAGAGCACGATCTCCACTCCTTGCCAATCGGAATCCTCCGAGATCTTCTTGTTGATAAAATACTTCAGTTGTTGTGTCAACTTTGCCATGAACTCGGTACCGGGCGTAATGCAGTTGCTGTCGAATGCATCCTCCTTTGGCATCTCCACGCCCTGTTGGATGGCCTTCTCCTTCGCCACCTCGGCGTCCAGCGCCGTTCTAAAGCGACGCGCACGTTGTTGGTTCATCTTAGCACGTGGGGCCACACCATCAACTGCCATGAAAAAGAGCTTCTTCGGTTTGATTTTGCCGAACAAATGCTCGATGTAGTTAAAGATTGCGATGAACATCTGCTCCTCGGTCATACGGAATGTCGGGGAGTCGCTGTCCTTATGCGTACAGTTATGAATAATACCGTTCATATCAAGGTACAGGCTGTCAAATTCGGGGATGCGGCTCTCAGCGATCAGCATGGAGATCGCGGGATACCGCTCACTGAGCCAGCGGAAGAATTTCGGAACACCCATAGTGACAATGGGCTCAAGTCAAACGCTTCGTGATTTCAAGATATTGATACAGATGAAATGGCCAGTTGCAAGATTTTTGCTGGAGCGAAAAGAGATCGAAAGTGGTCGTCAGAGGTATCAGGATGAACTTGCGACCGAAGAGAGCAAGCTCAACCAAGAACTGAGGAGATCGTAAAGTAGTAGAGAAAAGGCCTTAGGCAACTGCCGCAGGGCTAGAAATTCAAGAGTTATGTAATGTGAAGCGAAAGCCCCAGTTAGGGGGGGGGGGGGGAAGGGACGGAGGGAGGGACGTCTTGAAGTCGTGAGTCGTGGAGGAGGAAGCTTTCCAAGGTATCGGGGCAGATCTGCTGTTCTCGGAGTCACCGCCAAAGCCCCCGGCTTCCCAAATAAGACTAGTGGCCGCTTAGTCGTCCTCCATGAACAATTAACGATTAAACGCGGTCTGAGCTTGCCCGCCTGTCGCAAGTCGCGTTCGTGTTCCGTGAAATCGCAGTGTCTTTCCACACGATTCACCCATTTCTACCTACACCTTGTCCCGCAAATTGACCTTCAACACCATTTCTGTGATCGCCTTGAATATCGTTTAGTGAAGAACTGCACAATGGAGCCCTACGAGGAGGAGCATGGTAAGTCGCTAGAGCTATGCAAAGCGGCAGGAAATCTCAAACTAACAGCAGAATAGCTGGAGTGGAGGAGCAGGAGAAGGAGCATGAGCACACCCAAGAGAAGATTGTCAATGAAGGTATGGATATCGACTTATCTTAGTCCCCTTCTTCGTCTACCTCAACATTTACCTTGCGCGCAATCTTGATCTGGATCTCAATTTCGGTCATCATGGTTAACCTCAGACACCTCTACTCAGAGTACAAGACATGGAAGAAGAATGCGCCTTTCCTCTATGATATGATTCTCAGTACAGCTCTTGAATGGCCCACACTCACTACTCAGTGGTTACCTGATGTGCAAGCGTTAGTACCTCGAAGCCCTAGAATCACTCGCTCTGAGCCAGAGGATCCTAACCGGTCTTTCTCTCACAGTGTTCCCGACAAGCCATATTCGACTCATCGTTTGCTTATTGGCACCCACACCGCTGGTGATGCTCAAAACTATCTTCAAATTGCCCATGTCCAACTCCCAAATGCCAACGCTCCTAACCCTGATGACTATGACGAGGACAAGGGCGAGATCGGCGGCTATGGGGGTGGCTCGAAGAAGTCGCCCATGGAAATCAAGTTCAACATTGTCCAGAAGATTGACCACCAGGGAGAAGTCAACAAGGCCCGCTACCAACCACAGAATCCGAATATCATTGCGACCATGTGTACGGATGGCCGGGTGATGATCTGGGATCGCTCAAAGCACCCGAGCATGCCCACGGGGACTGTAAACCCTCAGATGGAGCTCCTGGGTCATGAAGCGGAAGGTTTTGGTCTGAGCTGGAACCCTCACGATGCTGGCCACCTCGCAACCGGTAGTGAAGACAAGACGGTCCGACTCTGGTGAGGAACAATCGGCTCTAATGAGTTTGTCTAATCGGAGATCTGGATTCTCACATATGTACAGGGACATAACTACATACACCAAGGGCAACAAGGCCGTCAAGCCCACCCGTACCTACACACACCACTCCTCGATCGTCAACGATGTCCAACATCACCCCCTGCACTCGTCCCTGATTGGTACCGTCTCCGACGATATAACGCTCCAGATCATTGATGTGCGCAATGCGGACAGCACTCGGGCTGTTGCCTCCGTTGGAGGTGAGCACCGGGATGCCATCAACTCAATTGCCTTCAACCCTGCTTCAGAGACGATCTTGGCCACTGGATCTGCCGATAAGACCATTGGCATTTGGGATTTGCGAAACCTCAAGGCCAAGCTGCACTCTCTAGAGGGGCACACCGACTCGGTGCAATCAATTGCTTGGCATCCCTTCGAGGAGTCCGTGCTGGCTAGCTCCAGCTACGACCGGAAGATCATGTTCTGGGATCTCAGTCGCGCGGGAGAGGAGCAGACTCCCGAGGATGCCCAGGATGGACCGCCAGAACTGTAAGTCACACCCTGTCGCACACCTTACTCCCTTTTCATCGTTTCCATATCGGCATTACTGACTTGTTTCTTCAGTCTATTCATGCACGGTGGACACACCAACCGCATCTCCGATTTCAGCTGGAACCTCAACGACCCCTGGGTCCTTTGCTCGGCCGCCGAGGACAACTTGCTGCAGGTATGGAAGGTTGCGGATGCAATCGTGGGCAAGGATCTGGATGATGTACCCACGGAGGAGCTGGAGGCATGATTTCTATTTTGGGTCGGCTCACTCAACTGCCACTCTCGGATGGTTCTCGTGGTCGATTGTTATTCTATTTTTTTTGGAATTAAGTCGCGGGCGAAAAGCTTCATACTGGGTGATAAATTAAAATCGCATGAATACCAATATCTAATTTATTCACGGAGTCCATAGAGGTGCCGATGCCTCCAGACAAGCCGCGGGTAGGTCCATCATTGGACGTAGTCATCTGTGGCTTCCTTTGTATCTCGACTTCCGCAAGTGGATGTTCTTTGTCTCGTGCTCGGAATAGCCCTGTATATACTTGCTATTTCAATTCCCTTACGATGGTCTCACAATAGTACTAAAGGTTGCGATGTCTTCAATGAAATACAGTCGGGCATAGCTATAATAGTCATAGCTATGATGACTATATGTGTGAAAGTAGTCTACTCTATTGGCCTAATCAGAATAGGCCACGATACATGGATACAGTGTACGGTACGTATACGCTTGAGAAGGGAAAGGTGGATTGGAAGCCGTCGACAGAGTCAAACAGAGCATGGGATTTGACCAACAAGCTATGTCCTTCTGGATCGTTGCCCAGGGTGTAACGGGGCGGTGGAATTCCATTATGCAGAGCGAAGTGGGGTGTGAAATATACTTACAATTGGTGAGATTAGCCTTAGGGATAACTTTGATTGAATTGGCATTCAAGTTTCGTATTTCTTAAGACCGACACCCTAAATAACCAATTCTAGAATTCGAGGAGAATAATAGCACACCAAGAATCTCCAACCTGTTTCAATACCTCAACCCTAAGGAAAACCCCTCGAGTGCCCTCCGCGGACAACGTGATGGCGCCACCGGAGCAGGAGGGCTGAAACAGGCAAGCGGTGTCGGGAAGATTGAGGGGAACTCTTCCAAACGGGCTTAGCGCCCCGTGATTTCGGATTGCATTTGCGCCAAAAAAAAAGTAGTCATCATGTCGCTGACAATGTTCTGCTAAGCCCATTGTTCTTATTCTGCCTCGCTATCAGGTTCTTTCTTGAGTCTACCAACTCCTCCAAAAACTCTCAATCCATTCTCCATGGGTGCTGGTTCTCCTCCAGGCCCGGCCAAGCCGTCGGCTATCCCGTCCCACATGCTGAACGGCAGCTCACCCCTCCAATCCTCCACGGCGGCTGGTGGTGTGACTCGTGTCCGTGATAATCGCGAACGAGAGAGCCTCAATTCTTCCATTCGCTCCTCTTTTGCGCCTCGTGTTCCCCCTGAGTTCGAGTCTCTTGAGGCGGGGTCTCACCCCGCGGGTGAGCACACTGCCGCCTCCACCGCTGCTACCGAAGCAGGAGCTGCCCAAACTGCCTTGAGCCTGCGGTATATTCCATTCATGTCGTGAAATTCACATATCCAGTACCATCTCTGACAATGCAATAGCGGCAGACTCCCTTTGAATGACCCTCCCCGCGATCCCCGCGATGAGGGTGCTCCGTTGACCCCACCGGCGACGTCAAGCCGCCCCGCCAGCCCCTATACCATGAACCCCCCCATCGACTTTGATGGTCTCAGCTGGCCTTGTAAGTGGCTTGAATTCAATTACCCCGTTATGCGTGTATGACAATTGTTCTAAACATTTTTTTGCTTCTTCGCCACCCAGGCCCCGGTACTCGGCAGCGATTGGAATCGACCCCAGAGGAGAACGAAGAGCGTATCAAGAAGCTTGCGGGAGCAGTGCGAACAATTCTGGAATGTGTTGGTGAAGATCCTGAGCGAGAGGGTCTCCGCGAGACCCCGGAGCGATATGCCAAGGCCATGCTCTACTTCACCAAGGGTTATGAGGAGAATGTGCGGGATTTGGTTAATGGTGCAGTGTTTCACGAGGATCACGATGAACTGGTCATTGTCAAGGATATTGACGTGTTTTCGCTATGCGAGCACCACATGGTACCCTTCACTGGAAAGGTAGGACAGACCCTGCATATAGTTCCCATCGAATTACGCTAACCATGCGGGGCAGATGCACATCGGCTACATCCCGGATCGCCGTGTTCTAGGACTTTCAAAGCTAGCCCGCTTGGCTGAGATGTTCTCTCGTAGACTTCAAGTCCAGGAGCGTCTGACCAAGCAGGTTGCTCTGGCCATCTCTGAAGTCCTCAAGCCCCGTGGTGTCGGAGTTGTTATGGAATCCTCCCACCTGTGCATGGTCATGCGTGGTGTCCAAAAGACTGGCAGCACCACGACCACCAGCTGCATGCTGGGGTGCATGCGGTCCAGTGCTAAGACTCGCGAGGAATTCTTGACCCTGCTGCATCGACGATAGAGCATTCTTGCCGTTTTGACTTTCCCCTTCTACCTTGTGCCATTTCATTTTTCAAACTGGGGAGACAAGTTACGATTCCGGAGTTTTGGTGGTGACCTTTCAACAGGTTAATGTAATGTTGGCTTTCTTTTCTCATGAGCATGTTGCTCCAGCGCGGATCTGGGTGTTTATCTTTCTCCTCTGTCTACGTTTCTTTTGACGTTCTTCCCGGATGTTTCTTCTTGCATATACCTTGAAATGATGCCGACGCCCTGCGATCCTTCAACCCGCCGTCTTTAGGGACGTTGAAAGCAAGCATCCCACCATTTTCACGCTTGCATTTGTCCCAACTCAACGATGACACACTTTCATTTCATGATATTAGACTTACACACCCTACACAGGGCCATTTCTGTCCTTTGAGTTTAGCCAGAGTTCTGTTCTGGAGACCGAGAACCTTCTAGCGGCACCGGCGAGGCTGTTTCAACACTTGACGTTCCATACTGTACCTTTTTACTCCCCGATGGCAGGACCTGTTTTTACTTCTTTGTACATGTCCCATGTCCGATTCCTCAAAATACAATGTTGAAAATCCCTGCGAACTCTTTTCACCCCTCGTATAAGAAGATAAGAGCTACCGTCTTACATAGTTATTATTACTGTATATCTCCGGTAGCATAAGCAAGTCAAGATTTCCGACCTCCCCCTTCGCCAGAATTTGGTATTGTAGACAAAAATTCAGGGCCGCTAAGAGAAGTGGGAGGTGAGGAACGAGTCATCAACTGGCGAGGGCAAACAGCCAGCAGGGGACCCGATTGAGATCCCAAAGAGGAAATAGAGCAAGCAAATGTTCCAAGGCAACGATCGCATCGCTGGGAAATCAAGCATCTTTCTCTACTCCCTCTCCCCTCTGGAACACCACTGTGACAATGATAAATATTCTCTCCTTGTCCCTTCTTCTCCTTTGCGCTCTTCTCGACACCCCAGGACCAATTTCTCACCGACCCTGACATTACTTCTTGCTACTTCGAGTTAATGGGTAGGTTTTTGATGACGAGTTCTACGCGGTTATTACCATGCTCCCGACGTGACCGTGCCTGATATATGGCGGTCAAATTTGTTGCCATATGTCCTGGGCAAACTGTTCAGCACTCTCTCACAGAGAGCTCCCCCTTGTCTATCATTTAGTCACCAGAAGTGAAGCTAATGTTGAAGCATTTTTTAGTGCGAGACCCACGAAAGAGCAGCCAATTAATAGGACGGTTGATTTAAAGATGCCCAACCCGCCTATCGACCCTCAGGCCGATAGAGCCAACGAACCTGATCCATCGGACACCGATATGATGGGCTTCACAAGCTTCGACGAGCTTGACAGCGCAATTCTCGACGGATTCGATCCAGCCAACATTAACCAGATGTTTGCGGAATTTACAGACTCCCTCAATGCCGAAATGGCAAATGCTATCGCAAGTGCCAATATTCAGATGCCTCCCCAAGCAACGCACTTGGTATCCAGTCAACAGGGCCTTGAAGCCTACATGGTTCAAATGCAAATTTATGCTGGAATCTCTCTAGACCAACTTCAGCCAATGCGAGCATCACCACAGTCCCAAGGGGGCCGGAGAGCCCCAGTCATCCAAATCGTTAACGGTCGAACCATGCTGGCTGTCATCCCTCCAGCGACCTTTAATGGGTTTTTGGCTCCGATGTTAACTCACCAAATTGGCCCATGGAACTCGGAAAATGTGGAAGGCGGCCCTGTGAGCTTCAGTTTTCTTTTAATGAGAAACTAACTGCCTTCTGGCTCTTTCAATATTTCAAAAAGTCTCTGATATAATAAATACTGATATTTGGTGTCACCAGGGTCATAACGCTCAGCCTGAGTCTCAATACACTGGCTCCAACCCCAATGGCTCCAAAACCGACGAGTCCGACAACAATGGTTACAATACCGATTGTTCCAATTCCGATGACTCCGACAACGATGGTTCCAACAGTGATGGTTCCAACAGTGATGGTGCCAAACCCGATGGTTCCGACACCGATGGTCCGGACAACGAGGGTACAGGAACATGCGTCTATATCAGAGCTGAAGATTCTGACATTGAAATCGACATGGGTGAAAGTGGAAATCGGTGAACTTGAGGCTAGATGTGGCTGCTCCACATTTCTCGTCAGTGGCAGAAAGCCGACATACCTGATAGATGGCCGAGGCAAGGTGCAATGCTCTTGAACTCAGACGAAAGAAGGGATGCTGTGTTTATGAACCGAGTGGAGGAAGGGGACGGCTTAAATGCTGATTATTCATTAATATCAAGGAGTATCAGAACACAAATTGTATTCATATCTCGAATCTCCACGACCCAAGCAACAAGATAGCAATCAACCACCAAGGGTAGGGTATTTATGAGTGCGATTATGTCGCGAACAATTTGTGTCATTTTACCGCTAGGCCAAAAATGCTCCATGGGCAACATTCTTAGTCTAGACGGGCTTCTGTTGTTCTGACAGATTATAATGCACGGATGTTGTATACATTGGCTTGGCGCCCCGCAACATCATGTGACCATCATCACATGACATGAACCTCCCAACTCCGCCGCAACCTCAGCCTGACAAGACATTCACACCACCACCTCCGAGTCATGGTACAGGCTCCATGAGGCGTACTTTTCCCTAGTGGATTTCCACAAAAGTGATCTCCATTCTAACGTATCAATCTTCGTACCTTTTCTTTTTTTTCTGTGGCGATTCTGTCACCGTGAAGGGTCGCAGTGCTTCAAACCTCGTGCCCAGCTCATCCAGCCAGACCAGTATCGGTTCGCTCAAGATTCCCCTTCACAATAACGCGTGTGACATGGAAGAATCTGGCATTCCTTCTGCGTCACTCAACATGGGTTATTTGATCTGGGTTGATGCATCTATTCTGGCGACCGTGGAATGACCCGGATGTACGGGGATTATTGGATTACTCCGCTAGACATGCCTCGGCTTAACTTGAACACACTCACGGCAGGCTTTCGGAAATTTTGATGTGTTGCTGCTTTCATGAAAGAGCAGGAATGCCACTAGTTCCTCGGCTCTATATTTGACGACTTTCTCCTCTTCGCCCAGCACGATCTCCAGACAATTCCAGATTGCGACACTATGGTACTTACAGGAAGGTTTCTTGAGCTTCCTCCTCCCGCAGATACAGCGCTGTGAAGGCCTAGGCCTGGGAGATCTTTCTTCAACCCATCAATACAGCTTCCCCTGGCCCATTAGCCCAGCCCCATCGGTGGTCTCTGTTGTCTTCAGATGATCGTGTTTATACATCTAGCTGCTGTAAAGGCATTGACTATCACTTTTTCTGCCGTGGATGACGTACGATTACTATCAGCATCTCCCAGAAACATTAACGACGTCCCCGAGCTGGCCTCATCCCTTGTCACCCGGCAGAGGCCAATCTGAGAACGGAAACTGTCGACAATGATGCAGCATGTTACCCGAGATAAGCCCCTACTTTTACAATGGCGACATCGGAAGTGAACACCGAGGCCGAAGCAACTGTACCGCATGAGCACCGTGCTGAGTTTGGCCTGGTTGTGGCACCTTTGGGCCTGGGCGACGGTCATTGTGACTTTATGCAGAACGTAGATAGATGCAGATCCCTGGGGATGAAACCCATGATCTTTTCATTCAGAAGCCACACAAGGCACAGAGAGTGAAGCCGAGAAGCTGATCGTTGGGGACGAGTTTATGCAAGACCTACGAGATACTCTCCACACAGCGATGCGAGTCACGTCCTGGTTTTCGCTACTGGAAACCAATCGGGCAAAAGCTGCTCCAGAGGAGAACAAAGAACAACAACTGGCTATTGCTGAGCTCCAACCAGTCTCGCAGATTTACCCTGGTGGATGCATATTACGACTGTCTCGTCGTCGAATCGTGCCGTAGAGCCTCACAGGTTGACCGCCCACCGCCAACATTTACCGCACCAGTTTATGGAGGGTTATGCGACGGCTTTGCACAAGTCAATCATATCCTCCGAAACCCAGTAGACTTTCAGATTCTGTCCATCAGAGGGACATTTAAGTCCAAGTAAAGGGTGCGTATGTATTTTCCATTTTTGAGTGGTCTACAGGCTCACAGTTGACAGGGCACCGGAAAAACAGTTCCTCCGCCGCTCTCCCCAGTCCGAAAGACTTCCGCCTGAGAACGCGGTCACGATCCAGGTGCGGCTCCACTTACTTCGCTTCCCTCGACATCTAGCGGATCCCTCCTTCATTGCTGGAACATCTATCCTTGTATCTACCTTGCTCGGCATCTGGTGATGCCGTTAGCGCAGATATAATGGCAGGGTCCCGTAGGAGTCCGGTGCTGAGAGACCCGAGGACCGGCGATCCAGACCGTGATCCCCGGGACAGGGACCGTCGCAGAGGTCGAGGATCCAATCGAGATCGGGGCAGAAGTCGCTATCGTGATCGAGGTGGCCGCCAGTCGCGACCAAATGACCGCCATTTTGACTATCCCAATCGATCGCCACCATCACGCGCCTCCCGCTTCGGCCCTGACCCATCTCGTACTCCGAATGACTTTCCTCTGGATCGATCTCCTCCGCGTGGTTCTCCCGGTCCTGATCCAGCATTTCGTGACACTCGACGGTCGGACCATGACCATCCGCGACCTCCATCATCTAGTGACATGAGGCACGCGCATACATCTGCGCCCATCGGGAACGATACTCAGGGCTTCCGGCGCGACGATTCACCATTTGGGCCACCCTCTAAACGCAAAAGAACTCGCAGTCCCTCTCCTCGCGGTCAGCGCCCTCAATTTTCCCAGCGACGTTCATCGTTTGCCAAGAACGGGGACAGACGCGACCGAAGCCCCCAACCTAATAGCCGAGCCCGCTTCCCAGGGCGTGGTGCCCCTAGAGGCCCAAGAGGGCGCTCTCCTCATCGGGGTCGGGATCGCAGAGGTAAAGACCGGCGTCGCCACGATATTCCACGCTCAGGTCGTTCGAGATCGCCCCTTCGGGACAGGGAACTTCGTCTTTCCCCTGACCGACGGCCTCGATCACCAACCGACGACTATAGCGACAAAGATTCTCGATACCGGTCTCGTTCCCTATCACGGCATTCTGTACGATCGGCGGCATCGAAAGTATCCGCGTATTCCTCCCATTCCAGAGGTGTCGATGGCATGCACTCGACGAGACCTATCAAAGGCGCTGGAGACGACTATGGTCGTTCACCTTCGCCTTATCGCCGAGACTTGAGCCCTAATGGCAGCAACAAAGTTATATCCAGTAAGACCCGAGCCAACTTGCGAGACGCTTTCCCAATGCTCGACATGCGTGCATCCGATGTCCACAACAAGCAGCAGCGCCGGCCATCACGGCCACATCTAGAGACCGGCTCCTATTCGACTTCACCACATCTGAAAACACCAACGAGGTCTCCACGGGGATCTCCTCAACCAGAGTCTCCTTATGGGGAACGAGGTAGCTGGAAGGGCCCGCCGTCACATTCGGGGTCTGGGTAAGTCTCTTTTTCCATTATCCCTGTCTCACTTTCACGCCACCGGTCCCTCGACTAATCTTTCTAATTATTGTCGCTTGTACAGCCACTCTCCAAATCATCGACACGATGGACACTATTCACAGAGTGCCGTTTCTGGGCAGCGCTATCAAAGTCACCATGATCCTTTCAACGGCTCCTCTGAGCATCAGCCGCAATCCTCCCATGGCGGTCCACCTCGCCGAGGCGGATCTTCCGACCACCCGGGACATCAGGCTAGTCGTGGATTGGACCGCCGATATTCCGGTTCTGGTCCTAGCGGCCCTGCGAACCGTGGCGGACATGGCCATTTCAATAGTTCACAATGGACTGCCTCTGGATCTCATGGTCGTGGCGGCCCGTCTAGCCCCCGTGTAGCACATACGCACGGCTCACCAACCGCTCCCGCTCGGCCGCTGTCAGAAATTGGCCCGCAGTCTCATCGTGCGGTTGGGCCCGAGAACCAATTTGAGTCTGGGGGCAGGGCCTTCCAAAGAGACGATGATCGAGCTCCGCATGCATCGGCAGAGTCCAACCAGCAGAGTATGCCTCCTCCTGAGCCGCAGGTTTCGACGCCAGCAGACAAGGGTGGAAAATTCAGCTTTACCTTCAAAGCAAAGACTACGCCTAACCCTGCTCCAAAACCTGTCCCGGATCTTGCGCAACGAATGCAAGTACGTGGGCCACCTCCTCGCGCGCCTCCAGCTGATCCGCCAACTCCTCGCAATCGACTCACCAATGGCCCAATGCCCACGTACCCCAACAAGCCTAATCCTCGATTTGATCGTCGGGATCGGGGCCGGGATCGGGGTCGCGACCGAGGTCGCGATCCGCGAGATCGCCGGGATTTCCGGGATCAGCGAGAATCGCGAGACTACCATGGTGATTCCCGGGATCGAAGAGACGACCGCCGGCATGAAAATCGTCGGGACCGACGAAAACATGATCGTCACTCCGATGTGCGGGACGATCATCGCAAGGAACCGTCTTCCGAGCCTCCGCGAAATGTGCCCGTGCCGCCAAAGCAGAGGAAGATTCTTACTCGTGTGAAACCACGGCCGATATTCCCGGAGGAGTTTGCAAATGCCGATTCCGTGTACTACCGGAAGCCGGGTAACGAGTCTGTTATCGGCGCTGGTACATACGGCAAGGTCTTCAAAGGCATTCATGTTTACACCCAACGCAAGGTTGCGCTCAAGAAGATTCGAATGGAAGGCGAAAAAGATGGCTTCCCCGTGACAGCCGTGCGAGAGATCAAATTGCTTCAGCACCTCCGCAACCACAACGTGGTCAGCCTGCTGGAGGTGATGGTGGAGAGAAATGAGTGCTTTATGGTCTTTGAATATCTCTCGCATGACCTCACAGGCCTGATTAATCACCCTACGTTTTCTCTCACTCTCCCACACAAGAAAGATTTGGCCAAGCAGATGTTTGAAGGACTAAGCTACCTCCACCACCGTGGCGTCCTTCACCGAGATATAAAGGCTGCCAATATTCTGATCAGCAACACCGGCCTGCTGAAATACGCAGACTTTGGTCTGGCGCGTTTCTTTTCGAAGAGCCGTCAGCTTGACTATACCAACCGAGTAATTACCATCTGGTACCGGCCCCCGGAGCTTCTTCTGGGTGAGACTCGGTACGGCCCCAGCGTTGACGTATGGAGTGCGGCATGCGTGTGCATGGAGATGTTTACCAAGAAGGCCGTCTTCCCCGGCGAGGGCAGCGAACTCAGTCAGCTTGACAAGATTTACAACTCTCTGGGTACTCCGACACGAGCTGAATGGCCAGACGTTGTAGAAATGCCGTGGTTCCAGCTGATGCGACCCGCCGAGCGCAAGAAGCGCGTCTTCGAGGACCACTACCGCGACATACTCACCTCAGCTGCGCTGGATATGATCACGCAAGTCTTCCAGTACGACCCCAGCAAGCGACCGAGCGCCGACGAGGTGCTGCAGCATCCATTCTTCGTGTCGGAGGAGCCCGCCCCTCAGCAAGCTATCGAGTAAGTGCCCGTTTTCATTGGTCTGCTCGCCTCTTTCCGACTAACATTTCACTGTAGATTGGAGCACGTTGAAGGGGACTGGCACGAGTTTGAGTCCAAGGCTCTGCGTAAAGAGGCCAAGCGAGCCGAGCAGCAGAGCCAAAGGGACCGGGAGAAGCGCAAGGCCGAGGTATCCGTTCCAACAAGCGATCGGGACGCTAAGAGGGTTCGCCCTGAAGGCGCTCACCAGACATCTGGTCCTGTATGAGTGGAAATTGACGCAGCTACGAGCGTGATCTATTCATTTCCGGCATCGAGTGTTATTGTACGGCATGGGGCATAGCTGGAGGACCGGCTTGCATTTGCGTCTCGATGTTTTTCTTCCACGAGACTTGATTTTCAGGGGGATATCCTGGGCTTATTTTTGTGACATATTGCTCACGAGCATTAAAACTTCTTGTTCAATATTCAATTGGTTCTTTGCATGTAGAAAGTAGATTCTCAGTCTACTTATAGTATATAGGGAGATGTAGACGAAACAGGTAAGAGGACACGAGGGTATTCGAATATACGTGATGGCCATGCAGATGCAGATTCCGTAGCTTCCAGGGGCCGGGGGAGAAGATTGAAGACTGAAACAGAAAGGAACAGAAGAAAAAGCTACCGGATGCTCTTGTTAGCATCAAGTCGACTCGGGATCCCAGTGAATAGTTCGTGCCATCAGGGTGTAGTGTATAGGATCAGACTTTGCCTGTTGACCTCACGCCCAACCAGCCTAGTAGATTGAAGGCGGTTGAGGCCTCGGATTACCAGAGAGCTCATAAAAGATTTCATCATAAAGAAACATGTTCATTTTGAATTCTCATGTGAATTTTGATTTGATTGATTGAATTGGGAACAAAGTAGCTATCAGGGGACGTACCCTACCAAGGTCGAGGTCCAACATCATGGAGCCCTGACTGAAAACACGTCGGCAATTGTGCAAAGGAATGTTTCGTCTATCAGGTCATCAACGCATCCTGGGAAGCTCAGAAGAGCCCTCGTGATGATGGTTTTAGAAGCGACATTTTATTCTCGACACACACGGCGGAAACGCCAGGGTAGTGGAAAGGACAAACCCCGGCGGTGATTTGAGTAGGTGGTCTTGGGTGAAGAAGAAAAGAAGAAGAAAGGAACCGAAAAAGGAAAATAAAAAGGCGGCGACGGGAAAAAAGACGGTGCGGGCGGCAGGCGAAACGGGCGGTGATTGGCCGTCGGTCCTTGGATGGAGCTGGCGGGCAAGCAGAAGCAGACTATCCAAATCCAAATCCAAATCCATTTGCAGTTGGCATTTGCATTTGTCTGCTTCATCTTTCCCCTCCCCTATCACATCTCTCTCTGCTGCACATCCATCCCTCAACCTCCATTTTTCTTTCTCTCCGCCATCCAACCTTCCTACTACCACCACCTTCCTCTCCGATATTCCCCGTCGCTGCTTAATCTCTCCTACTACCTACCTCCATCCGCCCTTGTTCGACGACATCACTCGGCATCCGAACTTATACCCCCGCCACCTCAACCCGCTTCCTCCACCTCCGTCCACCCTTCTTCTATTGCCCTCGCCAAACTCGAGCTCTTAGTCGCCGTAACACGTTCTTCCTTGTCTCATTGAACTAAGCAAGTGGTCTCCTTGGGTTGTGCCGTCGTCTTTCCCGCGCTCTTTGTTCCTCCCGCATGACCGCTCGTGTCTCGGGCAGTCACACCCGCCGTCATGGATAATGCCAACCTGTGGACTCGTCGAGCAAAGTGAGTACCCATGGAGTGTGCCAGCCCCAAGTAGCATCGCTAATCTCATACCCCTCCTCTCCCTTCTAGCTCCTCCAAATTGTCCCTGTCCATGTCCGGGACCGACGGCAAGGACGGTGCCCGCGTTGAACTGCCCCGCCCATCCAAACGTTTTGGCCCTGACAGTTCCCACGGCCGCTCAAATCCTTTCAATGCCATCTCGCCACTATCCGCTGGCGTCTCCTCGCCCTCGACCAATGCCTCGTCTGCATTCGGGCTCGGCTCCGGCGCTTTCGCATCGTTCGGCGCGCCCAAGACACCGGGTGGTTCATCAGAGGTTAAAACCCCGGGAGAGAAGCGCGATCTCTCGACAGAGCAGGAAGATCTGATGAGGTCTAAGTCCCACGCCAACGGTTCCGCTGGTCCCGGAGAGCATGGGTTGAAGTCCACCTGGATCGTCTGGTACCGCCCGCCCACACCCAAGTACTCCGACTATGAAAAGTCGACGGTACCGCTCGCCTCGATATCCTCGGTAGAGAGCTTCTGGGCAGTCTATTCGCATCTCAAGCGGCCTTCGCTCCTCCCGACGGTGTCGGACTACCACATCTTCAAGAAGGGTATCCGTCCTGTGTGGGAGGACGAGGCCAACAAGCGAGGTGGCAAGTGGATTGTTCGGCTGAAGAAGGGTGTCGCCGATCGGTACTGGGAGGATCTGCTGCTTGCTCTGGTGGGTGACCAGTTCGCCGAGGCTGGTGACGAAGTCTGTGGTGCCGTGTTGAGCGTGCGGGGTGGCGAGGACGTGTTGAGTGTGTGGACCAAGAACGATGGCGGGCGGAACATTAAGATCAGGTATGGCCTCGGATATTGCTATTGATTGGACTAAGATCCAGGCAGAACATCAAAACTGACATTCTTTGGACAGAGAAACGATCAAGCGCATGCTCGCCTTCCCCGCAGACACCAACATCGTCTGGAAGAGCCACGATGACAGCATTGCTCAGCGCTCCGCCATTGACCAGGCCCGCCACGAAAAGTCCCAAACCTCCGGCTCCAACCCAACGGGTCAGCGACGCACCGGCCACGACGATTCGGATAAAGGCAAGGGAGCCGCCGTCCTGTAAAGCCTGGTCTCAGCATTCTCGGCCTTGAGCCCTGTATAGTAAAGCTAACCAAAAAACATATTATGCACAATTTACTACTCATTGGGACGCGTTTGGGTCTGGGGGGACGGTGGGCATCGAGGCGAACTCAGCGGGTTTGATTTGTTTTATGTCTTGGGTGAAGCTTATGTCTCTGTTCTCTTTTTTTTCTTCGCCTTGAGCTTACGTGCGATGCTTCTATTGTTTCTTTTTTTTTTTTCCCTCTTTACCTCTACTATTCTTTGCACAACAAAACCACTGCAGCATTGACTGCAGCCGGCGTACTTTGCCTGGATGTCCAAATAGCTCTCTGTTTTGCGAGTTACCTTTGACGGTGGCTCCTGATAACCACCTATGACTGATAGCTCTCTGATGCATTCAATGAAACTCTAAGACTCAACCCGTTCACAGATTATTCTTTGTAGACCTATCGACCGCCCATCTCATGCTTCGACAGATGCCCGTTCATATCAGTCATGTCGCCTGAGAATTCAGGCGTTCACAATTGACCGCCCGCGATAGTACGATATCGCAAAAGCAACCGCATAGTTGCGACGATGCAGACAAAGCAACTCTTCCCGGCAAGATGAGACACCTATTGAACATGGTCCTGCTTTAGTCCTTACTCTGTCTGGATGTCTTCATTCTTCCAAAATCTCAGTGCGGCTTTTGCCTCCTTCAACTCATCGCCGCTTCGTCCTCGAAGTGACGATCCTCAACGGCCGCTAGACCGACACCGCCGCAGTTCGCTCTCAAAGCAGCGCGCCCATTCTCCCTCCCCACATCGTCGTTCCCCGCCATCACCAACTGCTGGATCTCGCCGGCGTATACCGAGAGCGAAGAACGAGTTCTCTTTGGGCCTGGAAGACAACGATCATTCCCGAGCTGATCTCGGCTTTGAATTCCCACGCGATATCGCTGCTTCGCAGGTATGTTCTAGCTTGTCCAAGCTACTCGAAACACCTTGTCTGCTTTGATCCAGTGGTCTCCCAGTCTCAGCTCGCTGCTGGAATTTATTGGACACTGGACAATACCCGATTTCGCGAGGAAACAGAATCCCCGCACGTCTTTTACCTCTCTGAACTTTTTTTTCTCTCTCTCATTATGTTCTAACGGAAGCTTATCCCGCTACCAGATTACTCAGAGTTATGCCAACGAACTTTTATTTACGCCTGGATCTGCACGCCCCCGTGGACAATTACGGTATCTGCCCTCGCCCTCTGTCGTAGGCTCTAGTGCCTGGTAGACATGCCTTCGCAATATGGATCCACCGGCAGACCGTCGCTGATAACCTCCGCGCGCAGGCCGGGCGACCCTTCGCAGATGATGAACAAGGATAGGGAGGATGAGGCTCGACTGCTTCCAGGCGCCACTTTTCGGTATGAGCTCTTTTCGGCTTGAGACCATGGGGTTTAAACTGTGAGAACACTTGCGCTAATTGAAGTTCTTTGGTGATCGTAGGCCTCAAGGTGCATTTGAGATAAGACCGGGAGCAATTCGAGCAATGAGGAAAAAGCCCGGTGTACGTGTCAATTACTGTATTCTGCACCAGCGGGGGCTTCGGGCTAATATCTGGGAGATTTAGGCTTCTGCAGCGTTTCAGCCCACAGACAGGATATCTCATGCGCGCCAGAGCGGACCAATCCGCGCGTCGGGAAAGACTAAGAATGGGGATGCATTCGTCAACATGACTTACCGGCAATTAGAAGATGCACATGACTTTCAGGACTCTGACCGGCCGAATAAGCGGCGGCGTCATGAGGGCTCGAGACTAGTTGATCTAACCCACGAGGATCAGGCTGGCTCGGTCACTTCTGAGATCTCCGCTTCTGGGCGTCGGTCATCCCGACTTTCTCCAGGCTCGAATCTATCCATATCGAATCCTAGGAATAGGGCCCGTGCTCCCTTCGTCTCTGAATATAGGGGGGTGGAGGCCATGCTTGAACGGACACACCACCCTCGCCCGACAGATCGTCGGACATCTAACGCTAGCTCTGCAGACGAATTATTCACCTGGGAAGCTGCTGCGGAGCGGCGCTCCTCGGGCACTGCTGTCGAAAAGGCCGACAAGCATCATACGCAACCCTCTCTTGACTCGCCTAAACTAAAACGCGCTCCACTCTGGACTATCGAGATTCCAGATCCAGAAGAGAATCATTCAGAGGAAGCCCGCCCTCAGACCGACGCGCAACCCTTGACTCCATCGAGAAGGCCGCCGGCCGCCTCAGACCCTGGTGACAGCCCGGATGAACTGCAGGGTGAGGTGACGACTAGGCCGCCTCCAAAGCATCTTGCAGAGAAAGGTCTTCAGAATTGCCGCCAATCAACCCCAGAGGACACTGTGCTATCTCCCCCGCGCAAACGCTCACCCTCCGATATTGAGCCGACCCGGTTCGATTCACCACGAAAAAAGAAAAAAGCCAAGCGCGGGCAGCCAAACCCGGAATACCGCAATCTTCCCATTCAGTCTATTCGGTTTGGTCCTATTCATAAGCTCGTTAAGGACGGGGAAAAGGCTGTCATACAATTGTCTCCTGACAAAATTTTGCTGGGAAAAGACATCACTGGTGATAGACCGGAAGGGGTTCTTTTCCGCCATGTGAGGGTCACTTACCAAGCAGAGAACAGTCAGAAAGTGCGCTTGCAGTTGAACGGCTATCAGGGAGCTCCAGGCTCTAAATTCGATATTCACTTCACTTTGAGGAGCAGCAAGGACGCGTTAGTTGAGCGTATAAGAGAAGGCGGTGGCAAGGTTCAAGACAAGGACTCGTAGGTGTTTGCTCTGATCCATCGGGTGTGGAGTCACTGGACTAATAAATGAACTAGGAAATGGATCGACGACGCTTTTTCTACATATGACAATGAAATGTGCCACCGTCGGATTCCCCCGAGGTCTCCTTTGCAAGAAATTACCGAACTGGAGCCAAAAACGCCGGCGTCTACCTCTGTCCATCAAATGAAAGGCAAAAAGCTCTCTTCGCTGTTGGAAGGCTCTGCCAGCGAGTCCGATGGGCAAGCTCAAGACCAAAAGAAGGGCAAACCTGAGGAGGGTTCCAAGCTCATGAGCAGCGTCGAACTCTCCCGAGGAACAACAAAGGACAAGCCGAAAACCACGGACGTGGAAGTCGAAATTCCGGTAAAGAAGATTAAATCGAAAGAATCTGGCGAATCCGAGACGCGACGGTCAACAAGAACTACGACGCGACGGAAGGAGAGATCGGATGATGACGACCCGTCGACAAATAAACCCGATACCGCGTTGCAGAACGATTCATTCCGAGATAACTGGAAAAAGCCCTTGGTTTACCCCAAGGTTGGAAAGAAAAAAGAGGAAGTCAGCGTCGACGACCGTGACCGGCTGCGTGAGAACGAGTTCCTGAATGATAACCTGATCGCCTTCTACATTCGCTTCTTGCAAGACCATCTCGAACGTACCAATCCTGACGTCGCGAAACGGGTGTACTTTTTCAATACCTACTTCTTTGCCACGCTTACAAACAAGGGTTCTCGCGAGATCAATTACGAGGGTGTGGAAAAGTGGACGAGGGCCGTTGATCTGTTCAATTACGACTATATCGTTGTCCCTATCAACCAGAATGCGCATTGGTACGTCGCGATCATTTGCAACCTGCCCAGTCTCGGGCTGGGCCCTGTAAAGAGTTTGGGGACCTCCTCCGCACCACTCAGTGACAAGGAGTCTTTAGCTCGACCAGAAAAGGAAGTGCAGGAGCTCCTCGAATCACCCGAGCCTGAAACAGTGCCTTCCCCGGGCAGACTTTCCAAAAAAGCCCCAGCGGAGGAACGAAAACCAGATTTCGTGTCTCCCCCGTCGGAAGAGACCCGGAAATCCTTTGCCTCTATGACTCTTATAGAAAGAAAGAATGCGCTCGCCCAGACAGTAGTCCAACAGGGTCTGTCTTCGACAGCCGAAGCTGGACAAGATCTCGAAGAAGCCTCTGCTTCTCAGGCCGCGAAACAGACCGTCCGTCAGGACGGCCCCGCCTCTGGGCAAATTGGCAAGGCCAAGCCCAAGAAGAAGCGAGGTGGAGTCAAGTTGGAACCTGACCAGACAGCCATCGTCACCTTTGACTCTCTCGACGCCAACCGTTCGCCCACGGTAAAGGTCTTGCGTGAGTACATCTGCAAAGAGGCGGACTCGAAGCGAAAGGTGGAAATCAAGAACCCATCATCGGTGATCAAGGGCATGCGTGCGCAAAATATTCCCCTGCAGCCTAACTATTCGGACTGCGGATTGTATCTGCTGGCATACATGGAGTGCTTCGTGCGCAATCCCGATGAGTTTATTACGAAGGTCCTTCGAAGAGAGATGAACGTGGATGAGGACTGGCCTCCTCTCGGGTCTGGGCTTCTTCGTTTACGCATGAGGAATTTCCTTGATCAGCTGTATCAAGAACAGTGGAGTGATAAAAAGGAGGATCTCATGGTGGATCGACAGCCTATCTCGTTTTTACTGGGGCCGCCCAAGGCACCTCGGGAGGATGACCATGAAGATACCAAGGCGGTTGAGAAGGAAGGGCCTACTTCATCTTTGAAAGTAAACAAGGCTATCGGGGAGGGACGAGTGCATGACCAGTCTCTACAAGAAGTCGAGGCGAGCGACAATGAGGCTACGGACATGCCTGTCTTGGTGCCCACGGCCGCAATACCCGTTCAGAAACCAATCAAGCGGACGCTCAAGCCATCTACACCTGAACCAGCTCGGTCTCGTCCTCCTCTCAACGAAATTGAAGTTGAAACGATACCTGACAGCCAGGAGATGGCTGCATCTTCCATCCCAGAACCAAAGCCCGGCCGCACGGAGAAGAAGAAGTTTAAACAGGCCAAGGCGGATATTTCAAGCAATGAACGCGAGCGCAATCGGCCTACTACTCCGGAAAACAGTAGTGCACGAGGCCTCGATCTGGCCCTTGAGGAATCGGCCTCGTTCCCCCGAGTTGAAATTCAAGTTCCGCAAACACCCCCGCGAAAGGACTTGAAACAACTGCGACATAGCCCGCGAGGCCTGACTCGCAAGAGGTGAAATGGATTCACAGTTTTATCTTACCCCCTCGTTACCCTCAGCACCTTTCTAGCATTATCAATTATTTAGCATTGTGGTCCGTGTGGTGTTAACCCAAAGCATAGTCCAGGTTGGCCTGGTGGTTCTTCTGTTTCCGTTTCCTTGTACTATTTCTTTGTGTGTATTATTTCCCTCTTTCGTTCTGGTTTTGCATGTTGAATAGCTTTTCAGTGTGGGATAGAGGCGTCGAACGAGCCAAGAAGACCTATAATCCGTTTTTCTCTTTGCCATGAATACATGAACTAGATATCTACGTCTGCAGCACACAGCCCTTCCTCTCTATCGAGTATACTATGCTCAATTAGAACAATCACCCACTAAAACACATTTAAATCTGCGTCCACACACTTTATGTACAGTTCATCTCCAAACCATCTACCACTCACTCTCTTTCGCCCCAACCCACCACGCAAGTTTATCCCGTTTAAACGTCTCAAAATCCCACTCCACCGCCTCCAGCCTCTCCTTCCCTGCAATCCACACATAAGTAGCAGCCATAACTTCTTCCCCTTCATCAATAACCTGCGACCCAGCAGCAATCAGCATATCCCTCAGCTGCCTTTCCGAAGTAACATCTCCCTCTTCCTTCGAGGCCCCCTGTGCCGACGCACGCGCCGTGCGCACTTTCACAGTTTCCTTGACATACTCGCTCCCCTCGTACTTGTCCAGTCGATAAATGTCACCGTCCGTTAAACCATAGACGAGTACGCCTAGAACGGCGGTGTCTGATGTAGACTCCGGGTCGGACTCGGCCACGATCCCCGGATAGTCTGCGCCCCGCACTCGGTGGCGTCGATAGCCATGGAGGAGGGCGGGTTGGAAGCGGATGAGAGATTTTTGCCAGGGTTCTGGATTGGGACTACCGTGGATTACGCGATGGAGCATTTGTGGTGCCATCAGGGTTCCTGGAATATAGTTAGCATGGCTGTATATATAGAGGTTGACTTGGGGGTGGGTGGTCCTGTTGGATATGACTGGGCTAAATACCATAGCAGAAGAGGATGTGGTCGCCCATGATGAAGTGGTATTTTCGAAATCCAGCTGGTAAATAAGTAGGTATGTATCAGGGTCTCTTGTTCTGAGGCAGCTTATCGAAAAAAGAATTGAATTCAAACAGGATTGTGAAAAGAGTAAAGGTCGTTCGGAGGTAAGAGATCTCGGAAATGTATACAACCCGCTTATCGCGATAAGTCGATAAGCCCCAAACACGCCCAGCTGGCTTCATCTCCACCCTTGACCCATCACCACCGCGGATTTGCGATTTGCGATTTGCAGACCTCGTGTGGACAATCACAGACCCTTTTCCTGCGCCCACAATGCATTCCTCACTCAATCGTCTACAAGCCGTCTTCGGCTTCTTCACCACCGTCGCGCTGGTGGTGGCCGGGTTCGCCGCGCTCTCGGTGCTCCTGTTTCCCACGGATACGACGACGGCTACGGTGCAGTTGAAGAACGTCCAGGTGTAAGTCTACACCCTCTGGACAGCTTAATAGTACATCAAAAAGCTACAAGGCGATCTATCCTACTGAAGACGACCACAAAAAAAAGGAAAACCAAAGCTAACTACTTCCCCCGGGACTCAAAACAGCGTCAAAGGCCGACCACACTACTACTCCACCAAACGTGAAGAATACGCCCAAATCCGCTTCGACCTCGACGCCGACCTCTCCCCACTCTTCAACTGGAACACGAAACAACTCTTCGTCTACGTCTACGCCACCTACTCCTCCTCCGACAACACAGACACTCAAACCCGTGACTCCGAAGCTATAATCTGGGACTCCATCATCCCGGCGTCTCCATCGCCGTATTCCTGGGAGATCCTGAAGGAGAAAGCTACCGCTTTGATTCCTTCCTCGCTCACTGCTTCTTCGAAGTCCTCGTCCGGGGGTAAGCGCGCTACTAAGCGCAATACCAAGAGCAAGACTAGCGCCGCGAAGAACAAGAAGGCTGCCGAACCCGCTACCCCGGGTGTCCTGCGTTTGCGGGGACAAAAGGCCAAGTATCAGATCAGTGATATTACGGGACGATTGGCGGAGAGGCAGAATGTGACGTTGTCGGTGGGTTGGAATGTGCAGCCGTGGGTTGGAGCGTTGTGGTGGGCTCCTGCGACGGGGGCGGTACCCAGGACGGAGGGTCAGATTGTGAGCAGTGAGAGCTTTGATTTCCCGGCTTTGAAGGGGAAAAAGGTTGAAGGGCAGACGGGGCAGGCGAGTGCGCAGTAAGAAGGGCGTTTTTTTTGTTGACGGTGTGGAATGTGTACGGTATTGAAGGCCACATTTATCTTGGACTTGGGATTTTTGGGAAAAGGATACTTTGGTATTATATGCATACAAAACAAGACTACAGATCTATTTCCGGTTATTTGACGGCTGCTACAAAATGTTGGATGTAATCAATCGGACTAAGATGATAATTGGTATTGGGGTAATCGGCGAATTGAATCAAAGTACAGGATGAGGTTGTTCATGGGAGGTATACTACACCTCACTTGGCATGAAGTGAACAAGAGTGTGTAGCAAAATATCGCGAAGGCTCTGGAATCGCAAGGACGGACGCCATAAAGAATCATTATCGCATGCGAAACGCCATTCAGACGAGTCGTTTAGACGGTGCCGTAATTGCGCGCATGCGAGTGACCGCCGCTTTGAATACGATCCGAGTACACGCCCGGCGCAGGTCGCTGGGTTGCGCGAGTTATAGGGTCCCGATTGCGGCGGTCATAGTACACATATTCCAAGTAGAAGGCATGGATGTGTCCAGGAAAGTATCTGTGAGACACGACGCAATTAGCCATCGTCCTTGGTAGAGCTGGATATGTATATGAGATGGCGATAGCAAAAGTAATTTACCCGAGAAGAGTTAGAAGAAGGTTGATCCAGAAATCGACGCCACAGCCGGCAATGAGAAAAACACCCAGTGGAGGGACTAAAGCAAGGTTAGCCAGGTAATATTTTTGGCTGGTGCTTGGCATCTAGGCAGCAGAAAACTCTCTCGTTCACGGACAGCGCACCTGCGCTGAAGGAACCAAGAATCGCGCCCGATGAATGCGATCGCAGGACGAAAAGTATCATTACTTACTGAAGAGGGTGATAATAATCAGACACAGCATTGAACAAGTACCTGCCATGATGGAGTGGAGGAAGGAACGGGCTGCGGAGTTGAGTAGATCGTGGTAGGTGAAGTTTGTAGTCGCAATTAAGTCGCGTCGGTGTCGGAAGAAGGTTCAAAATCGGCAGTGGCTTGAAGACTTGTGGAGGAAAAAGGGCAGAGAGGAGGAGGAAGATATAAATAGGGTTTGTTATCGTCTTTGGGGGGAAAAGTCGAGGTGTTCATGATCCAGTGATCGGCAAAGACGTCAGCGGTGGTGCCAGGCTCCTGCGATCTGTCTGTGGTAACTGGTAAGGCTGGGATTAAAGAATCCACGTAATAAGCTTGGCAGGTGAGCTTTGCAGGCCCATATGGATTGGAAATTCTTAGTGACCACCACAGTACTAGTGCGGTACAGGGGTACGTGCCTTGCTCGCCGTAAATTGAGCAATTCGCACAGTGCTTCGAGTACTTCGAGTACTTCGTAGGGCTGAGGGGCTTCACCGCGGGGGCCGCACGCCGATTGGCTGATCGACCCACTGACGTCATTCCCACTCTCGAGAGGGCGAATACTCCGTACTCCGTATTGGGTAAGAGGATATACAGTACTGTACTTGCTCTGGAGGTCATACAAGGTACTTCATTCAATCCTTGCACGCCTCGTGAAAAGTACATATCCGAAAATAGCCGATACTAGGGGAACACAAGAGGCGAACGACAAAAACCAGGTCATGAATAGAGAGAGAAACACCCCTCACACCGCGTCGATGGCCGCCCGTGTCGTCACCTGCTCGTTCTTGTTCCCCAGTTTCGAGATCTGCAGAAAGGCATCTACCCCATACCCTTCTAGACTGTGCAGCTCCAGACTGCCTGCCCAGTACTCTGCATAGACCCGGCTCATCGGCAGGCCCATGCCCAGCCGCAGATTCGGGGGTCGCGACGTCAGCGAGTCAAGCGACCCTTCGTGCCAGGCTTCGCGATCATGATCATGCTTGCGTTCCGGAACTTTCAGCTCCTGCATGGTGGCAGCCATGGCGGGGACTTGCCCCAGATTCTCTAGCCGAGTCTGCGTGCGCGGTCCCTTGCTGAAGGACCACAGATACGGGAGGATCTCCCGGGGGATCCCGCCGCCCTGGTCGGAGATGCGCATGATCACGTGTTGCGGCGTTTCGCAGATCAACACTTCGATGGGTGGTGGTGGTTGCGACGAGTCGTGATATTTCTCGACTACGGCCTGTACCGAGTTGCGCAGCAATTCGCCGATGATGTATTCTAGATGACTCAGGATGTATGGGAATGTGGCATCCAGATGACCCTGAACCTTGATCTCGGGAAGCTGCGCGGTTTGCGAGGTTTGACGCATGAGATCCTGTGCGACCCGTCCGCATCGTTCCACAACCTGTTTGGCCTTGCATTTGAGGAAGACTTCACCGACAAAGTCTGCGTTCATATCAGTTCGTTCATGAGAGTCTGGGAAATGCCATGGCGAGTTGAAGGTCTCGGTCAGGGCGAGGTGTTGTTCTGCAATGACACGCCGGGAGATTCTCTACAACAACGGTTCAGTTACACGGTCGTCTAAATTTGGGGGTTATGGAAACATACCGCTCGCAGAAGGGTGTTCATAAACTTGTCCATCTCGTTCGGCGCCACGAGATCACGGCACTCTAGCACCCCCATTGCCAGGTTGGGGATCACCACTAGGTGCTCCCTCAGCATCTCTCGAAGGACATCACAGAACCGGTCATTGTCTTCCAGACTGCAGATCTCGGGGATCGCTCGAAACCGTTCAAATGCCTTATAATACAGTTCGTAGACGAGGGATAGGTGCGGGTTGGCGACGACGACGTAAGGTAGTTGCTGGATATCTCGTAGACGGTGTGCAAGACTACATTAGTGGCCAAGGTCAGCTATCCAGTGCTTTTCACCACACCCCAGGATTCACTCCATTCCATGACCGAACATACCGAGTGGGTAGCTCGGTCCGCACGTAGTTCGCCGAGCTAATGAGTCGAGGTTCGGTCAAGGTACGACCGAAAAAAGTCAACTGGCGCAGACTAATCGGGCGGGCTTGACGTTCAACCCATCTATATCAAAAGGTGGGGCTAGTTAGTCTCGACATTTTCCACCGGGGGCAAGCTTCTGAATCATACTCGTCCAAGGCGGAGACGGGCCGCCACGGCGGCGGTTGTTGCTCCCGCACATTTGAATAGAAGCGCAGCTGGGGAGCACGCCGGAGGCTATTCCAGCATCTGGCGGCATGACTCGACCGCATTGTGCTCCATGTAGTCCCAGTCAGTCTGGGGGAAGCCAAGGAGCCATGCGATGGGCGATTGGGAAAGTGAGGAGAAATGAGCTGTTTGCATGTGCTGCCCGCTTTGTGGAGGGCGGTGAGGCATGTGACGTGGAGAAAGCTTCCCTGGGCCGAGTTTAAGAATTGAACAGTAGGATTTAAGGGATATCACTATATTTCAAGGTGGATGGATTCTTCTATTGGGTCCCGTTTTGTGGTTGGTCAATAATTCTATACAATTTCCATTTTTGTTTCCGTTAGTGCTGGGGTAAGATGCTGGGGGTAGGACCGTTAGTGTCGTTGGCTGGCCACTAGGGTCTGACCTTTTGACGAGTTTGCAGTTTGCCTGGTATAGAACCAACTATGACGGTGATGTTATAATATACTAGAGCCTATATAACCGAAAAAAGGATCCGGATAGACTGATATATGTCTTTCTTTATCCATCATTGATCTGAGCATTACTCGTGAAATAATCAGCTGTGAGTGAGAGTGGCCTGCAAGAGAAAGCAAGAAGCAAGTCGATCACACACCGGCCGTCACAAGAATCAGCCAACACTCTCCATATATCTTGCACCCACCAGAACTCCCCTAGACGACAAAAGCTCCTTGGGAACTGAGATCAACTTCAATATCGGTTCGCTACCTTCAAATCATCATTTTTCACTTTTCAAATCTCTCACTTGGTCCCCCTTCGACTATTGTTCTTGTGAGAGAAAACAGATTCACTGCCGAGTCTCCACGGGCTCCGCCACCGCTAGCTGTCGGACCCTCTCATTCTGCGGTCCAGAAGAAATTCCTCCCGACAAACACGACTACTCCGTCCTCTTCCCGTTCAAACGTTCCTCACTTTCCTCTCCCCATTTGACCATCTTACACCATCCTCATTCCGACCAGGTGTCTTACGGCTGGACGGGAGGGTCCATTTCGCCATGGAAAACGTGAGTGCTGTTGTGTCCTTTGCCCGTGCCGACCGTGCCCCTCGCATGTGTCGTCATTGCAGATCTAACCGTGCTTCTCACCCACCCAGCTCGCGGAGAACGAGATGCTTGTCGACGACTATGAGCAATATTCCAATGAGAAGACCGATGTCGTCGTCGTCTCCCGCTCGGGCTCCGATGAGCCCGAGCCCGTGCTGTCCGCCGCTGACCGTACGTTTCTTTCCATGTCTTTCATTCCGAGTCTACTTCTTTTCTCTTTCGGAGCCTGCCTGCCCTCCCTGGCCGATCTCAAAGCATGAACAAAGCCGGCGTGATAAACCGATAGAAACGAACCTTATCCGACCGAAAGAGCTTTGGGATCGCTCATCCGGGAGGGTTGCGAATTAAATTGCAGCCCGGGACTACGATGTTGGAGAAGATGGCTGACCGAGGTCTGCAACCTTGTCTTAGATACGGCAATGATGGCGCGAGTCCTCCCCAAAAACCCCGACCTCGAGACCCTAGAAGAGGTTCACAATACATGGCACATCCAGAACTGGAGGAAGATGGATAAAAAGTCCCACGGTCCGGTCTTCAAGTGCGGCGGGTCGTCTTGGTGAGTAGCAGTCCTCCCCCGGATCACTCGAAGAGGCGAAAACAAACGAGGCACACATTTCTGATCCAAGTACAGGCGCATTCTCTTCTTCCCATACGGAAACAATTCGGAGCACGCTTCGCTCTACCTTGAACGCGCAGGGGAAGATGAACCGCCCGAGAACTGGTATGCCTGTGTGCAATTTGCATTGGTGTTGTCGAATGTGAAGGACCCCACAATTTACTTCTCCCACGGTAAGATTATAATTTTGGGTGGTACATTGAGTGAAATTGGATAGACTAACGCCGTAAACTAGTTGCAACCCACCGTTTCACTGCTGACGAGGGTGACTGGGGTTTCACTCGATTCTATGACCTCCGGGGTCTGTTCAACGATCCGTGGAAGGGCAAGAACGTTCCGCTCGTCCAGGATGAGGAGGCTAACGTGACCGCCTATGTTCGCGTGGTCAAGGACCCTACTGGTGTTCTCTGGCACAGCTTCCAGAAGTCAGTCATTCACGCAAGGAATTTTTACAGCGGTTCTTCGAGCTAACGGCATTTCCAGTTATGACTCCAAGAAGGAGACCGGTATGGTAGGCCTCCGCAACCAGGGTGCTACCTGCTACCTCAACTCCCTTCTCCAATCTCTATATTTCACCAATGCTTTCCGCAAGGTACGTTCCTGTAGATCTAAGAATCATTTTTCTAACATGTATAATTCGTTCTGACTCTCTTCCTAGGCTGTATACGATATCCCTACAGAGAACGATGCTTCTTGCGAGAACAGTGCTTGGACCCTGCAGAGACTCTTCTACAATCTACAGACCATGGGAAAGGCCGTGTCAACAACCGAGCTGACAACCTCCTTTGGCTGGGACTCGAGACAGGCGTTTGAGCAGCAAGATGTCCAAGAGCTGTCGCGAAAGCTGATGGAGCGCTTGGAGGAGAAGATGAAGGGCACCGTTACTGAAAAGGCTCTGCCTGAGTTGTTCGTCGGAAAGACTAAGACTTATATCTCCTGCATTAATGTCGATTACGAGTCCTCTCGTGTCGAAGATTTCTGGGATATTCAATTGAACGTTCGGGGAAACAAGACCCTCGACGACAGCTTCCGGGACTACATCCAGGTTGAGACGCTGGAGGGTGAGAACAAGTATGATGCGGGACCCCCATACGGCCTTCAGGATGCCAAGAAGGGCGTCATCTTTGAGAGTTTCCCGCCAGTTCTGCATCTTCACTTGAAACGATTTGAATACGACCTTAACGCCCTGACGATGATGAAGGTCAATGACCGTCATGTCTTCCCGATGGAGTTCGATGCCGCCCCTTACCTTTCCGCTAATGCTGACAAGTCGGAGTCCTGGGTGTATGAGCTGCATGGTGTGCTTGTCCACAGCGGTAGCCTCGATGCCGGCCACTACTATGCGTTCTTGAAGCCGACCAAGGATGGTCACTGGTACCGCTTTGATGATGACCGGGTCAACCGTGCTACCGAGAAGGAGGTCCTGGAAGAAAACTACGGAGGAGAGTACGAATTCGCCAACGGGACAACCGGTGTTCGTCAGCCGTACACGCATAGATACTCCACCAAGCGGTCCATGAATGCCTACATGTTGGTTTATATTCGGAAGACCCGTTCGGACAATGTTCTTCTCCCAATCACTAATGAAGACGTTCCATCTCACATTGGTAAGAACGAAATGACTCAAGACTCCAAACGGCGTGGCTAACTTTTGACTCTAGCAAAGCGCGTCGCCGAGGACCGAGCGGAGATGTTGCAGAGACAAAAGGAGAGGGATACGGCTCATCTGTACATGAACGTTGGCGTTTTGAGCGAGGAGACCTTCCAGAATCACCACGGCTTTGATCTGACCAGCATGGATCTTCCAGCTGAAGACCCTGCTCTACCGGATCAATACCGGATTCTTCGCACCAAGACACTTAGCGAGTTTGCACAGGAGATTGCCGAAGAGCGCGGTATCGATTCAAACTCCATTCGATTCTGGACGATGGTCAGCCGTCAAAACAAGACGATTCGCCCCGACCAAGTCATCGCCGACAAGGAAATGACGATCGAAGAAGCTTACACCAAGTACGGCCCCCGCACTAATAGCCCCAATGCTCCGCCTTTCCGACTGTGGATGGATGTCTCGCCTCTAGGCCCTAGTGGGCAACCCCAAGAATGGTCAGACAGTGATTCCATTTTGATTTTCTTGAAGAACTTTGATGTGACCACGCAAACACTGTCCGGTATTGGCCCCGTCTATGTCCACAAGAACCAAAAGGTGCAAGACTTGGCGCCCATCATTCTCTCAAAGATGAATTGGCCTGCCGGGACGGACTTTATGCTGTTTGAGGAGATCAAGCACAATTTGATCGAGGTGATGAAGCCCAAACAGACCCTCCAACAGGCGGAGATCCAGGATGGAGATATCATCACTTTCCAGCGAACTGTGAAGGACTCGGAGCTTCCATCGACGGCTCTGTACACGGACGCTAGGCAATACTATGATTACCTTCTCAACCGGATGGACGTCAGTTTCGCCCCTATTAAGACTGGTGATGGTGATGGGTTCACCCTGGCGCTTAGCCGCAAGATGACCTATGATCAGTGGTCAAAGAAGGTGGCAGAACATTTGGGCGTGGAGCATACCCACCTTCGGTTTGCGCCCGTCATGGTCAGCACCGGCAAGGCCAAGGCTTTCCTGAAGCGGACCACTACTTCTACTCTGGCTCAAACCCTCAGTGGCCAATACGGCGCATACGGGTACACTGTGCATAGGTCCGATGCCTTGTACTATGAGGTCTTGGACATGAGTTTGAGCGAATACGAGAGCAAGAAGTCTTTCAAGGTGACGTTGCTGCCGGAGGGCATCACGAAAGAGGTAAGTCACATTCGTCAGCCACATTTGTCATGAAGTGATCACCTGACAAGTCTTTTGTAGGAATTGGTAGAGGTTCTGGTGTCTCGAAACGGTACTGTCGCTGAGCTTCTTGATGTTTTGCAAAAGAAGGCCAATCTCGACGAGAAGGTCATCCAAGAGATGAGGCTCTTTGAGGCCCATAGTGGCAAGCTCTATAAGGAGCTCAAGGAAGACACCAATGTATCCGCCATCAATGAGTACTCTACGCTCTATGCGGCGAGAGCACCGACCGAGGAGCTGAATATGGAAGGCGACGAGCGGTTGGTTAGCGCTTTCAACTTCGACCGGGAGCCTAACCGTACCCATGGAGTACCTTTCAAGTTTGTTGTAAAGCCGGTCAGTGCTACACCAGAAAGTGCTTTGGCTACGAGATGACTGACTATCTGGCAGGGTGAAATCTTCAAGGAGACCAAGGAGCGTCTTTCCAAGCGCACAGGTATCAAGGGCAAGCCGTTTGAGAAGATCAAGTTTGCCGTCATCCCCCGTGCATCGTTCACGACCCCCAAGTATCTTGAAGATGGTAAGCACACCAACATTCGTGTCCTAAGCTTGTTGCAAAATGTAGCCTCTGACCATAATCTTAGATGACATTCTCTCTGATGTGATCGGCCCTGACGACTACCTGGGTCTTGACCATCCCGGCAAGAGTCGCGGATTCTGGGGCAAGAGCGAGAGCTTCTTCATTCGATAAAGTAATTCCCCGGGAGGGGGGCGCTTGTGGGGTTTTTGCGGGCGGGCTCGATGCTTGCGATCCGGTACATGAGCAATTGACAGCCCGAAGTGATGATTATGTTCTTTCTTCCTTTTCCGATTTTAAATTCCTTGTTTTCTCCCTTCTATTTCTATCAAGTCTGCGTCTATCCTATAGCCCCATAGTAAGAGTAGAGCGAATAAGACGACCCTCTAATTGTACCAATTAAAGTTTGTGAGGCTGCGAGGTTGTTTGGGTGCAAACAGAACAAACACCGACTCTCCAAGCTGGCCAGAACTCCTGACACGCGATTCCCCGAGACCCTGCGATCTTCACCGTCAACCATCAATTCCTCCCTCCTCCAGGCACCATGCGGTTCGCTCTTCTCGCCGGCCTGGCCTCCTTGGTCTCCTCCGTCAGCGCCACCGCTCTGACGTATAGGCTCGAGGCCAATGAGAAGGCATGCTTCTACACCAATGTTGAGCAGTCTAATGCCAAGGTGGCATTCTACTTTGCTGTCAGTATATCGTCCAAGTTGTCTTTTTCCAATTGCTAGAGACGTTCATCTGCTCTGCAAGCTTAGCCCGATCAGGGATAACTAATATCTCGTATTTGTTTAGGTCCAATCCGGTGGTTCCTTCGATGTTGACTATACTGTCACCGCACCTGGCGGCAAGATCGTGATGGATGGTACAAAGGAACGTCAGGGCGACTTTGTTTTCACGGCGCAGAGCATCGGCGAGTACGCATTCTGCTTCAACAATGAGATGTCCACGTTTGCCGAGAAGATGGTTGATTTCGAGATTGCCGTACGTTGTTTACTCTTTCCGCCAAACATATCCACCCGAGCATCAACATGTTCTCTACAACCCCCAATTCCGTCCTAATTTGCACCTCTCCCACTTGCTTTGACAAATTGCTAAACCCTACATTTTCAGGTCGAGAACGAGCAGCGCGCCCAGCTCCCCTCCCGCCAAGGTGCCAGCCCCGAGCAAACCACCAACCTCGAAGAGTCCATCTACAAGCTATCCGCACAGCTATCGACTATCTCCCGTAACCAGAAGTACTTCCGTACTCGTGAAAACCGCAACTTCAGCACTGTCCGCAGCACCGAGCGTCGTATTTTCAACTTCAGCGTGATCGAGAGCTTGATGATGGTTTCTATGGCTGCTTTGCAGGTGTTTGTGGTGCGCTTCTTCTTCCAGGGCGCGCGGAAGGGTATGTTTTTCCTTTGCGTAATACTGATTACACTCTATTTCTTCTTCTTATGTCGTTGGACTCCATACTAACATGCTTTGCTAGGTTACGTGTGATGAGCATGAAGTCAATAATATGATGCATTTACTTTTTTTTCTCTCTTCTGGAGTAAAATCCCCCCCCTACCCTCGACATGTCTTTTGTTCTAGTGTATCCACCTTTCATGCTATAATAGGCTACCTACTAGAATTACTCATCTTTCAATTGAACCGAAAACAGGTTTTTGCATGACATGAGATTGATCTCCTCTTTGAATTGTTTGTGCGAGTAGTCTTGTGCTGATGACTGGAGCTGGAGTAGGTCAACACTATACGACGGTCTAAATAGGAGGATGACCTAGTGATACGTGCGGCAACGTAGCCTAGCCATCGAAAACCTGATACTCTGGCAGCTGCCATGGCTGGATCCTCGTTGTTCAGAGGGTGGCGGACAGATCTAGCCGGTAAATGGCCTCATTCAGAGGTCGCTAGGGTCCTCTAAAAGCACCAATGTCGGGACAATGATTCACAACCGGCGTCATGCTTGAGGCGGTACGACCCTCTCGGAAGCCAACCACTCAAGTCCGACAGAACGACCCGAAATCCCAACACTCCATTCCATTTATGATGCGTTTTTTCCGTTCTTGGTTAGCGACAGGTCTCGACAACCAGCAAGAATCAGGTATCGGCCCATTGGTGTGGTACGTAATTTGCTTCGAAGGCGTGTTATCGTACAGTCTTGGCTCGTTTCGAGGGCGTTGATCTGCTCTGGTCATCGTCGTGGGGGAGGTCCAGGCTGGACGATTATGCACGGCCTAGGTCCTAGCGATGGTCATACCTGTTTTGGCTGTTATGATTAGGATGGCCATCGTCGTGGCAATGTTGCGTCGATGAAGATAGAGAGGGTCACATTTACCGACAGACTGTTTCGCACGGCGATCGAGCTTGTTGGTCACGGTATGACGAGCTGTGTGAGAGTGGGATGTGATCAAGATCGAAGATACCAGACGGACTTCTCATTGAAGTTGTGCTTGATAAACTACTCATGTATGTCTAGTCGTTGTGTTTTGGTCCGAAACAGGTTTCTCGAGGGTTCTAGGCCATCGCCCTTCTCGTGGCGATATGCATACGAGACTACCGTGACTTGGACACTTGCAGGGTTGAACAATGATCCTCGTGGCAGGGGGGTTACTTTGTTCAGGAAACTGACCAGCGTAGGGAGAGAGGAAGGCAATGATGCCGAAAGGAGTTTGTCATACGAGGAGGGATACCTAGAGGGTACCATGACATTCAACCCACGATAGCCGTGGTTCGACATGTTTCATCTTCATGCAGAAATAATTATCCGATCGCTCGAATGATTTCATATCAATTAATCCATTCAATATAATTCAAAATTAATGCTGACATGGTCGTGTTCTCGGTCTGTGGGAATGCAGCCGTTCAGCTCGGGGGAAGTGATATCATCGGCCCAGCAGCCACCGACGAGTCGGCTGGTTTAGATCGTCATATTCGCCTCCATATCTGATATGATGCCGACAAGCTCGGCTATAGGATGACTTGATACGTCTTCTGCGGCTCAACTCAGTTGGGACTACTCTTCTCAACATTGTAGACTCTGGAATGATCTGGATGGGAGGATAACCCTGCTTTCATGGGTTGGCATGGATGTGCTGGTGTCAGGGCAACATCTCGATGTTACCTATGATTATCATATTTATGGGTATTAAACATTGGCAATGCGTTCATATGCTCCACGTAGCGGTCGGGAAGACTCTCTGTATGACGCACGAGTCCAACATAGAATTATCTAGCAGATGAAGTGCTTTGGCACGGCCCCGGTTGAACGGCATTGCATTTTCTAATCGGGTAGTATGTGTCCTTTCAGCTTGCCGCCATGTATGTAGGACCCTGTCAGGTCTGATACTCACTGAAGTCTCAAACAGGACGTCATGCGCAATAGAAGGGGGTCCTACTCCACTTTTTCCTTTGAGTTGCAACATTGCACGAGACATCCAGTGCTAGCGCTGATATCATCAAGGCATCATTTCCTTTTTGGCAACAATCAATCCGCCCAGTTGTGTTTGTTCGATGCTACGCAATAAGTCTTTTGAGGGTTTCCCTTTTTGGGAAGCTCGTTGTGAGAGATCAAAGTCATTGGTCTATATGACTTCAGTGATAAGAACAATGGTAATTATTACTATAACAGAGAATGGCGCTAAATTCGGCCATTGGGCGTTCTGCGCAGGAGTTTCTGCAAACTCCCATATCTGAGGTCGCATTCGCGCCTTCCTCGAGGACAGGGGCAGACTCATTGTCATCCCACTCCTCCCATGGAACAGGAAGCAAAACTGCAAGAGATGATTTCCAAATAACCATCTGATTATAATAATGGCTCTTTTCTACTAGTGGAGAGCCAGAGGAGTGGCGATCTTGGGAAGAGGGTACTCCCCGTGTGCATGAAATGATATATTTTCCGAGTTTATCCACTTTCTTTGCCTCCCCCGCTAGGGTAAACTCAACTAACGATCCATCGTTCGAAACCTCTACACCCTACTGAAGCCCTGGACGAGCAAGGGGCTTTTGACTGGTCGTAATGATATTTTATCCCGTTTAGATCCACTTACACTGAGCGCAAGTACTGTGCTCCGCAGTTCTTGAGAAAGCTTGAGTGGGGCTGTCATTCCATCAGATTCTTTTCACTACTTTGTTCTTTTCCATTGATGGCCTACAGCATGCATAGTTGGGGGTTGATTCTAAGCCTTGGCCTGTATGGGAATTGCCACAATCACGAGGTATACTCGGAGCGTGTCGCTCCGTATACCTGACCCCCGTTGATACTGCTTTCGTTCGAAATGGCATGGCTGAGACGTGAAATAAATTCTATTCCGATGAGTAAGAAACAACATATTATTCCAACCAAGAATAAGATGTCCTTATGGTCACCTAGTTCTAATGGGTGGCGAGGTATCTCGAATATATGGTCTCGAATATAAGCAAGAGTACACTGGAAGTCGCCCGTTCAGGGCTTCTGACGTCAGGTGCCTTTCCTGCCTCAGGTGTCTCTATGAGGCAACTCGTGGAGAAGAACCAAGAGGGGGAAAGACAGTACCCAATCAAAGATCTTAATGACGGCGTTCCCTTATTAACGCCATTATGCTAATTCAATTTGGGCGATCGGTCCCGCCGATCGGTGCCCCCTCAGGAGTAGGAATAGGAAGAGTTGCTGGGGGGCCGGGAAGTATAGAGCGGTAGAGTATAGGCGCCGTTTCTGACATGATGGTTTGTTTGGCACATTGTAGTCTACGCTTATCATGCCTCTTTGAAGTATAGGACGAACTCGACAAGGTCGTTGGCTGGCTGAATTGCAAGAACAGCAAACAAGCCATAATAACAACCGTTAGGGCAGCAGGCCAGATCGAAGCATGGATCGTCCCGACCTTCTGGGGATGACGTTATGGCGTTCCCAACTCCACTTGCTCGAGCCTCAGCGACTCGAGCTTTGCCGCAATACGGAATACTCCAGCGAAGGCTGTCGAGGAAATGAGACAGCGCCTTCAATATTTTGCGATTGATCTGTGAACCTACACAGAAACATAAAGAAACAGATCAATGGCCCATGTGTCCAAAGGGGGCATGCTATGGGACGTTAGGAAGCTGACCATCGGGCTCATTTCCAAGCCACCGATGGATCAAGGCCCTCCAAGTGATCCTCACCGAATGTCATTTCTTTTCTCCACGTCTGATCTTTTGTATCATTATCATTCTAAAGCCGATGGATCAGCAGAAGTCCTCTCGTGAGACTAACGTGGATGAATTGTGGCTGCAGCTCTCCACTGGGTATGTCCACCTTGCATTTCCGCTACTCATCCAGCACGCTCTGTGTCCCACGGCAGTAGCGAAACGCAAAGACGAGGTCTTCGTTGATCAAAGTGATGGCTTGTCTAGCGCCATTCTGATTCGGTCCAGAGACGTCAAAGGAAGATCTGCAGGGGATGGTCAACTTCCGTCTGCCGATCTTAGCTCAACGGGTTCCAACTGGTTCCCATCCGATCCATTCGGTCCATCTGGCCCATTCGCGCATTCCCAAGTGACCTCATCGGGAGGAGGTGGTGGTCCAGGAGGGGATGGTGATCCATTCGCGGGTGAACCGTAACGAGCGGTTGCTCCCTCAGCGTCCAGAAACTTTCCAGTTCTTATGGAGATTGTGGAGGTGGATTATGCCATGATGATTATCATCTCCACTTTTCTCCCCCTAAGCATGAGCGGCAGTACCGCAGCGGTAACCTTTTGCGAGCTGGTGGGAACTGTCGAATGTGAGGAGGGTAAGGCGCAGTTTCTTATGATGTCGTCTATGTTTAGCCTGACGCAAAATGGAAATCCATATACATCCAAACCCCCTCTCCTTCAGCCAATGATGTCACTGCGCCGGGGCCCAGCAATGATTTTTGTCTTTGAACGCCGCCCATGGGCCCTCTCAGGAGAAAGATGGAAACTATAGCCTCATACTCCAGGACCAATTAGCAACGGCCAGCGCGATGGGAGTTCTTTTGCCATCCTGATCATCCGCAGTGATCTCATTCGGGCCCATCGAGTCACGTTTCCGTTATATATCAAATCGAAACTATCCTATTTTCGATTCATTCTTCCTTTTATCCTCTCGTATGCACCCTAACCCCGTGATCGCCCCATAGCCCGATTAACCCTTTAACGCTGAGCCCCATCGCACCCGCTGCCCAAAGTTCTCTCCTACATCTGAAAGAACTTAAATTATTCAACTTTGGTTCTGGTTCTTCAACAGCCGGTCGTAACAGGTTTCGTTTACTCTTCTAAAGGTAAGCTATTCCAAACCCATTGCCCTGCGAAGCTTCTACGCCATTTACCACTTTGGCTGTGCCTTCATCTTTCCCTACCTACTCCTGCCCATCCACAACTATATCCCACCTTCCGAAGCGACGTGTCGTCCCTATATGGCTACACAGAAGATAAGGAAAGATGCATTTATCTTTCATGATCCCACTAATCCCTCGATCCATCAACTTGTTTCACAAACTTCCACTACTTGATCAACGCCCCATCCAACTGATACCCACCTAGGCTTTCAGTCTACTAACATTGTCATCTGTAGACAATTCTCACCATGACTGGAGGCCACCAAATGCATCAACCCGCGGATAATATTCAAACCATGTTCCCTCAAGAGTCAGGAGGGACCGGCCCCGCTCACGGGAACCATGTCGAGACCCAACGGTCTACGGACCCTGGAATCACCCTCGAGGATTACAACCGTACCATGTTGGAGTATACTCAACGCCAAATGTCGTCCTTTGTCGATCATGACGGAAACAACAGCCCTGGTGGTGGCAGCAGCCGTAGTAGCCAAAGCAGCGGCAACAGTGGCCACAGCGGCAACTCGAGCCATGGTGTACTTGCTCGCCAGGCCAACGGACCTCCCCCTACTTCGGCTGATGCTGCTGCTGCTGCTACCCGTCATGCATCTCACCAGCATCCTGGCCAGAAGCCCCCGCGAAGTTCAAACGAGGCCGAGACGTCTCGACGTTAGGATCGCTAGCATGTCCTGAGGTATCTCTCCCCCCCCCCCCCCACCCCCAACCCAAGTGACAGTTTGCTGACACTTGAAAGTAGCGGTTCTTTCTCATGAAATGATCGTTGTGATGCCTCGGACCACATTCGTCTGGAGTTTGATGCAGCTCCTCGACGAGAGTTCATACGAACACATTCCCTCCCGCGTATGTACGCCTTTGGGAGAAGATGATTTCTATTCACGGAGTATCAACAGCAGTTTGAGAAGGTGCATTCCCTGTTCTCCCAGCAGTATGGCATTTCCAAGCATTGCATGTGCTCCCCACGATTGTTGAGTCACCGTGCAATGGTCATTCCTTTTACACACTCCCACTCCCCAGTATCCCCATCTGCCCTTTACCCTCATGGACATCTTATTTTGCACAGCCTTTTTTTCTTTCTTTTTTTTCCACAAGGGACATTGATTGAGTTACTGTGGCGATTCTTGCCATCAGCAATCTACCTCTGCCTTGACCCTTTCCTACCCCATTCACCGTCATATCAGAAAACTCTTGCAAAAAAAGCCATGAGACCCGACCTGGATTTTACCCAATGCCCTCAAGTTCCCTTCTTTTTCTCCACATTCTTTTTGATTACTCTTCTTCAGAATCCTGTGGCTGGCTCCTCGTTCGCCTCTGGACATAGAGCAGTCTACAAATGATGTTCCATTCACACCGCCCATCCATCCTCATCCACTCCTACCACCCTACCAGCCAGTGTGTCACTGCTGCTTCATTCTGAACCCTGTCGTCCCCTCTGAGGGGATACAGGTTGTACATTACTTCCCTGCGATTCCTTTAAGCGAGCGAGCGATATTGTTTTCCCCACCTACCATCTCCCTGCTTGTCACTGCGGGATGATTGTTGATGATGTTTTGCCATGAATGCACCCATGTGATGACCACTGACATCTCGACCGGAGACGCGACCCTCTCCCTCGAGAAAAAGTCTGTTCTTTAAGACTTCGACCCCATGTATACTTACCACTTCTGTTATCTCTTACTTTGCCTATTGGCATCACGACCTGTACAACATTCATGACCAAGATTGCCTGGTGCAGCTGAACTTTCTGATTTGATACCGGATCCTCAATTTGTATTTGGGCCACTGTAGCTTGCAAAAGATTCTCGTAGTTCCCCCTAGAAACACCTGTGAATTTACCCAATAGAAAATAACAAAGAAAACAGGACTAAATGAGCCCGGTTGATCACTCAGCGAAACTTCCGAGGGGCCATCCTGGGGCCTAAACTTGAATGCCCGACCACGTTACGTGGATCGCGCAATGACCCGATCGATCAACGAGAGCCGTGAGTAGGACTACGAATCAATTGTGACCTAATTGCGGAGCAAACTTGTTCCTGCATAGAGTAGCAAGGCACGAGTTCCCCTAAGTGGCAGGGGGCCAACAAGTGGATTGAAGGCGCATTCTTTAGCCGATCTCGCGGTATCCCTTGCGTCCTTCGTGGATTGTGAGCTCAATTGGTTACGCTCTCAAGGCATTGTTTTTAGGTACTCTTTGTGCATATGGAATACAATGGGATTAATATTCAGTCTAATTGAAGCAGTGACCGGATGTTGTGATGGGAGCGGAAAAAGTAGGGTATTGATTCACACGGTACTAATAGTCAGTGATTCGTGCAAGTTTATAGCAGCCTAAATGTGAGCATGCAGTACGAGACAGGGACCTGTAGAACCAATAAGAATAATGCAAACTTGCAAATACCCATATTTCAACATTCCAGATGATTCAGACAGCCTATCTGGCCAACCAGGAGTCGACGGACCTTTCGTTGCAGACTGAAGCTCCGGGCCCTGGATTCCCCTGACCAAGGAACAAGGGCTCAATCACGACTCAAGGGAGCAAAACAGTGCACACTTCTGCGTGGATACCGGTAATTCCAGCCAACCAGCCCCGAAAGGGCCTTCTGGAGCGCCGGGAGGGTTGGAAACACCCTAGCAGGCAAACATCTGGCAGTTCTTTGTGGCCTTTCGCCTATGCACAGTCGACATCCTCCAACTATCATCGACAACAGACAACTACGCCATTCGACAACCTCGACTTCTCGCCCAGCTTTCGCCGTTCTTTTACCAGACTCTCAGAAACACGCCACGCCCTATTACACTCTTTTGGATCCGACCGCTCCATGCAAGACATTCCTTTCAAATAAAAGCACTTCTTAATCAGCGACAATCGCACGAGGCTTTACCGCACAGCCCAATATCTATAGGGACTGCTTATACCTCAAGCCTGGAAATCAACAGATCAGATACTAAGACGACCAAGATGTATTTCCCAACGCTCTTCTGCGCCCTCACAACCCTTACCATCGCCGCCGCTGTCCCCGTCGCAGCGGGAAGCTCAATGACTACGCCTACTCCCACACAAGCCATCGTGGATCCGTCGGAGGCTTACCCCGTGGATTACCCTTGGATGACACCAGTGGGTGCGTACCAGTGCCCACAAGAGCAGGTCAAGCGATGCTGCATGTCTCTTGAACAGACATCACGCATGCTCATCGACGGCGTTGGAGAACTTTTTCCGGTTGTGAATGGCCTCTCTATTAGCTCGCAGATCTCGTTCCATTGTATGTTTCCATCCATCTGTCACGCTATCAGCATTATCTATAATGTTGAGGGATTAAAATACTAACCGCCGTTTCCAAAAAATGATAGGCAAGGATATGGCCGATGGCGTTGACCCTAACACGTGTAACCAGAAGGGATATGCCCCGATGTGCTGCAATTCCGGGGGCGGAGTATGTTGTACCCAATTGCCCGGCTTCATAGCATATATCTAACGCTTATTTACTTTACAGAGTACCGGAGCCGATGGTTGCAAGCCCTTTGAAGAAGTCAAGGAGAAGTACTACAAGTCCTTCGGATACAACAAGGACGACCAGTCTCAAGCAGACTATATCATGGAGGCGGTCTCATAATTGAAGAGATCTTTTTCAGCACTGGATGCTGCGATCGTATTCTCCTGGATTGCCTAGACGTATCTTTGGGTTGGAGATACTTCTTTCGTCGGGGAAGTACAAGATGGTATTGACGGTCTATTTTGTTTTTTTGTCCCTTCACTGAATATTAGTCTGGCACGTTGTTTCATTTGTTTGTCTTTTGTCTATTATTTGTGTAAGATCATTCTGCATCTTTAATGGTCTTGTTCGTTTTCATTCCATCTAGACTTATCTCTTCTATTTGATGGTGTTTGAGGTCAAGCACCTACCAATGATAGCTGGTGCTTCAATTGACAGGGGCTCATCAATGCTCATGTATTCAGTATCAGATCCAAGACAAGTAAAAACTAGCACCGGCCTACCAACAGTCTCTCTATGTATCATAATAAGTCCACTCTCCGTTACTCTGTTTGAAGACCTGTCTCCCAATCATCGTCACATTCATTATCTCGCAATAACAGAATCATCGAGAAATGATGATTCCGCTATATAAGCCGTGGAAGCTACATAATTTAGCATTCTCGACCTTTTCAATGATCTCCACAATGACTTCCTTATAAGCGAGGGATTAGAAGTTTTTTTTGTCATCGGCTCTCTTCTCTCGAAAAGACTTAAGGAAGATTTGAGGACACGGAAAAACCACTCTTGACCGATGAGGTAAGTACCATGGTAGGTAAATCAGAGCAATTTGTTCCATCCCACCAAAGCCTCGAGTCTACAGCAGAATGGAAGAGTGGGTGGTAGAGGTTCGAGCAGGTATCTCATTATTAACATGCAGTAGCTGTCACAATCGGCAAAGGTGCCCGTACGAAACACGAGCTGGCTAAGAGCCCTACTGAAGCCTATAAACTACTCAGGCAAGACTGGGCACGGGTTCATGACCCTTCGTTCGAATCATTTAGCTCCGTAAACTCTCCAATCTCATATAAGAGAGAGGGTTTCAAGCCCGTAATTTTCCAATCACCATTTATCTTGCTCAACTTTTGCTCCATGTAAGACTTTCCATCACTTGTCCTATCAACTTGCTTTTTCAAAGGGTGGGAGCCCTGTATCCATCTGCCATGACCAGCAATCTGTTGCCATTCCACGACAATCTCGTCTTCCGAGACAGACTTGAAATAAGGTTGACCAAGTAGATGTTGCGTGAGGAGAGTCTGCCTGCCTAAATGTTCTGGAGATAGAAATTCATTGACGAAGTCGATTTGTTTGTAAGTCTTGTTTGGGATCGTCGCTGAAATCAGGCGATAATCAACATGAATCTCTGGGCCAGTCACACTAAGTAGCCGTTCTCGATCCTATACTTGATAAGTCTCGAGCTTTCCAAAAGGCTCAATTTTGGCGTCAATTACCATACCTTTCTATCGTAGCCGTCGGCAAACGTACGAGCCGTTTGGACAACGGCAATGTAGTCATCGAACTTGAACCCCCGAGGAATATAAAGTTCAAAGCTCATTGTGGCACAAATAGTAAGGTGAGTATTCTGCAAAGAATGAGATTTTGGGAATAGCGGGCGGATTACGGTCTCTATTAATACCGCAAGCATGCATCTGTTCAGGCCAAAACGTGGTGGACAGCCGACAACCCCACAATGGCCCCCGAGTTCTCCCCCCGAGGTGGGGATACCCCGGGCTATTCTTGACTTATGGCCAACACCTTCTGGTTATGAGCTCTGTTTATGGGATTAAGATGAAACAAAGCTCAGTGGTTAGTTGCTGAAGCTGGGCATATGGGAGCGGGCGTAAGTATCATTGCTAGGACGGGTCATTCTGCAGTTGACGTCCTTGCATATGTGTTTCAAGCAGGGTTAAGTCATGTACTATCAGCTGAACGGGTTCATCGTTGACCTGAGCAGGTTCCGAACCTTGTATAGAATTTAGTCGAATCACATCAAGTGCAGAAAAGGCCTAGAAGAGAAGAATGTGAAGGTGTTGGTAAATGCCTTCTGTCGCCAGTTGTAAGTAAGAATATAAATTGTCATTGTGAACTGATGAGAGCCCATGGAGATAGCTGCCCATCATTACGCATGCTCTCGGGCTAATTCCTTGATCACGCCTGGGAAGATGATCACTTTGTCACGGAAGATCGTCTGATTTGGTCTCTGTATTCACAGGAGCCCAAGCCCGAAGTTGTTACTCTTTCAGGTTTAGCTTGATCCATAGATCCGCAAAGCTTGGAAGATTGTAAGGCTGGTCTAGAACTATAGCCTAAATAAGTTTATCGAGATAACAGTCGAGATCAAAAGTTGATAAGGCTATCACTCTACAAGAGTATTGTCCTCGAACGGCTTGGAGCGGGGATCCATATGGCCAGTGCTGCAAACGTCTTAGTGCCCAGCTTGTGCTGAATATATGTATCCATATATAACCTGTGACAGATATTGGAGTTAAAGTTAAGTTCCATTGCTCGCGACATGGTTAATTGCCAACACCCAAGAGTGATTCACAACGGACCAGATTCGTGCATCTACGTGAAAGCCCACAAATTCCATGGTACGGTCTTTGTTTTCCTGAGACGATGTCGAGATTCCATTCCATTAAAAAACTTGCTAACAAAATACGATAGATCGTTATCACATATCCGTAGATCGACATCATCCCCAGAATTATCACAGCCTCGGTAACCTCATAGGTTGCATGACATTCGGATACCAGACGATGAAGCCCTTGTCATTCACTGTTCCGAATCACTTCTTTGGCTTGAGACCAAGCATGCGACGCCACTCCTCGCAGGCATCCTCAAGATCCTCCAGAAAGTCCCAATACTCACTATGCTTATCCGGCTCAGGCACATCCTGTCTCAGAGCCGGGTCAATCGACTCCCAGATCATGTGCAGCGCCTCCCAGTGCTCGTCGCTCACTGGGTTGGCGCGATTGAACTGCTCCGCCATCCAATCCTCCACATCCCAGCCCTGTCGAACGACGGTCAAGTCCAAAGGATTCTCGTTGATTTTCTCCAGGTACCACTCTGGGGACCGAGAGAACCGGTAACGCAGAGCATCGAGCCAGTCTTCAAGAGGTCCATCACGAAGGTCTTCGCGGTCTTCCTCGGTTAGTTCTTCTCGGTACCAGGTGGCCGCCGAGCCCTGCAGGCAGTCTTGGAGGTGTCGTGTGAACATGCGATTGCTGTGTCCCCAAATTGATAGTCCCATTATGTGCTCCTTGTAAGCGCAAGGGTCGGTGAACTTCTCGCCGTCATAGGTCCCAAAGTCGAAATCCGGGTCGTCAGGATCGAAGACGGGATAGTCGCTAGCGCACCAGGGCTCGCTCGGAGTGCTCGCTCGGGAAGTTAGGGGTTCATCGCCAGCAGAGAAAGTGTCCGGCCCGGTGGCTGCTGGCAGACAGTCATTACTAATGGAGATGGAAGCCCATACGTGAGGGCCGAGAGGTGGGCTGGTAGGAGGAGGAGTTGCAACAAGGCACCCAGCGTCGGCATCGATAGGGGAAGTAGCAGGGGCTTCGTCTTCAGGAGAAGCGGCCCTTTCGACTAGAAAGGGAATGTCGTTTCCCTCTGCATCTCCTGCAGAAAAACGGGGGGTCAACTTGACCTTCTTCGACGGGCCCCGAACCAGCTCGTCATCAGAGGACATGTTGAAATCGTATGAGTCCTCAGTTTTCTTGTCCTTGATCACTCCGGTTGGAGTAGCCGAAGTAAGGTTAACGGAGCCACGAGCCGGAGTAGATGGCGGGTCGGGAAAGGCAGACATTGCAGGTCGGTTGAAGGTGTCGGAGGCAAGGAGGGGATGGAGTGTGGAAGAGAAAGAGAGAAAGACAGAAAGGAAAGAAGATGTTTACATCTCGTCGTGAGAAAGATGGACGCGTCGCGAGGCGTTGTGATATCTTTGTTCCAGCGTCGCGTTTTCCTAATTGGGAAATTTGTATTCCCAGACCGCGTTGGATCTTGAGATGAGTAGACTATAACTAGGCATACAAGAAGACAACTTTAAAAGGTCACTGCACAGCCCTGTCATCGATTGTCCAAGTCATATTTTGAATACTTCGGGGCAGAAACATCCTACAAAAGTTCATCAGAAGTTCAAGAAGTCCTAACGACTACACGAAGATATTAGCGCGAGATATACTGTTTCGATATTATATCAGAGATTCGTTTAATGTATTGAGCATGGTATCATATTTGAAAAGTAGAATTACATGGCCAAGAGTGGCCACGGCTATCGCCAGCCACGCCCACCCTGCTGTCCCCAGCCGTCACCATGTTGGCCACCAGGATGGGGAGGAGGGAAGTGATACTGCCCAGGAGGAAGCTGTTGACCAGGAATCATAGGCATTCCTGGGAATGTCGGAGCAAAAGCAGGGTTCATTCCCTGGCCAAGTGGGGGGAAGGGCATGCCCGGCATATGTGGGGGTGGGCCGGGCGGCCAAGCGCCGGGATATGGAGGTGGAGGTGGGGGAGCGAAGTTGGCGCCCGAAGGAGCCGCTGGATATTGTGGATTGTATGGTTGAGGCTGATGATAGGGTCCAGGAGGTGGTGGTGGCGGGGGAGGAGCGTGCGAGGGTTGATGTGGAGGCGGGAAGCGTGGTGGAGATGGTTCTCGCGGCGCATAGGAGCTTTCGCTCGTGCGAGATCGAGATCTGCGGGGGGAGCGGCTCCGCGAGCGTGAGTTGTAGCGTCGATTCTCCCGTTTACTAGTACGAGCCCGACTGCGTGATTGAGAATCGGAGCGTTGGCTGTCCTGGCTCAGCGAGCTGTCGCTGTATCGCCGTTTGAGGGCGCCACGGGATCTGCTATGGCTCCGACTACGACTGCGAGAGTCGTCAGGTCGCTTTTTCATTTGCTGACAGAATGCCCGAGACCATCCGTAATATGTCTCGCCATCCAAGATGTCCCCTGTGATCTCGTCTCGCGTGACCCGCTGGCCGAGCTCATCGATATCCATGTTTTCGTCATCCTTGATGAGTTCCTCGGCACCATAGATCAGATCCGCTTCCTGCAAAAAGTCTTTCAAAGCCTTGACTAATGATTGATCGGCAGGGCCGGCCAGGAAGTGTAGTGGTTTGATGCTATCCGCGTGAAGAGGAATGCTCGAGTTGGGAATGATATGAGGAATCCAATTGCCGGCCGGCAGGTCGTAGTACGGCGTTGAAGGGTCGCCATGGGTGGATGGCATAATAAAAGGCACTTCCTTCCCGGCCAGCTTCTTTGCAGCATCGGTTTCCTCAATCAAGACATCAGTCGACGAGGACGGGGCAGTGCCCGTGATTCCCATGAAAGCAGAGTTCTTCGCCGTTTCCCGCAACTTCTGGACCAACTCGGGACCAAAGTATCCATGCTCAGACCATATATCGAGTAGCTCATCTAGGCGTCGATGATGCCGGGGATTTTTCTGTCGATCATAGGCTGCAGCATGCCCGAGCAGCTCCACCACGTATGGTTGCAGCGATCCGCTGACCGTAGAGAAAGTTCCCGTTGTATCGAGGTGGTACTTGCTATGATGGAACAGATCATTGAGAAGATAGAGGATGTGAAGCCTCCGGCGCTTCACTGAAGTTTTAGATCGGGTGCCAGCACCGGCACGGCCGCCAGGGCCAGCAGCTGCGGTGGCCGGTTCATCAGAGGAGCCAGCGAGGGCCACGAGATATTTGGCTAGGCCTCCGACCCGGTTAGCGGAGGAGGCGACGTATTGGAGTAGCCATGTCTTGCAGGTCTGTGTGGACCGAGGGGCAGTTTAGTTTCTGGGGCGCGATAGGAGGAGAGAGCTTGTTACGGATCAGACCTGGATGTTTGCTGGGGAGCAGTGGTTGAGGGCGCGTTCGAGGGCCGTATGAAACGCAGCGATGTCATCCCGCGGAACCGATGAAGGGTCCGGACGCAAGAGTCCAGCCGAGAAGGAGGCCTTGGCGATGGCGATCTGGTGGGAGGCCATTGAGTGCTCGGCGCATTAGATCTGGGGACTTGGGAGGTGCGCGTCAGCTACAGAGGGTTGAGTTCCCGCTCCGCGATTACGAAGAGTTATCACACGTGACTTGGCACGGCGGAGCTCCGCTCATTGGAGGTGCCCCCACCGTGCTTTATTGTGTTGTACTGTAGTCTAGGGAGCTCCATCATTCAGATCCAAGGAAGCTTGTTTGTTGACAATGGCTCCCGCAAAACCCGAGATTTTTCTTCTCTCCCTCGTATACCGTGACTTCTTGGATGAAATCTACTCCTCTTTGATCGACAAATTAGCCGCATCGGCCACCTTGAAGCGAGCCAAAGAGGCGGACGCCGCGATTCGCTACTTGGAACAGAATAACCCCCAGGCCATCATAATTACGGATCAAGGCTTGATCGATCGTGCAAATGCAAATGTTCTACAAAAAGTGTTATCCTACACACGAAATGGTGGCATCGCTATCGTCGGTCTGCATTTTCCCAGTTTCGTAACCATGGACGCCATGAATTAATTTCTTCGCTTCTGGCTTTGGGCTGCCTTGGAGGCGTGGCGATTATCACCGCACCGAATTTGCATTCAACCCTCGTTACGCTCTTCCTTCGGGAGTGAAGGTAACCTCGCTCCCTGGGCCATATAGTATGAAGGCTCTTCATATCAAGAATGCTCGCCGTCAGGAGAAGATCTTTGTCCCCCTCGCCGATGCTCGGACTCAATCGCATGTCTTCCCCCCTGAATCTGTGGATCAGTCACAGGCCGCAGTCACTGGAGCCAAAATCGGAAATGGACAGCTCATCTACTGTGGTGATGTCAATCCGAAGGCAGGTTCCGATAGCGTTATCTTGGCCTTCTGCGGCCTCTGAGAGAGACCGTCACAGTTCAAATGTCCGGAGTTGCTGGTGCCCCGTGCTGTTAGGCATTTAGGGGATATCATCCATCGTCTTAAATCTCGCCCTCATGCATGCCATGAAGTATAAAGTGGGATCTGATTGCAATTGTCGCTAGCTAGTTATCTAGGGAAGCTTTGCTATCATGTATGGATACCGGATATGGATACAGGACATATCTACAGTTTATTTGTAGCCGTCATTTTCCAATGGAAAAAAATCATAATTGATATCTCGGCGGCTGTAGTACATGATCATTGGCGTCGGATGTAGTTGGGAGATTAGCGTTGCGAAGGGCCAGTTGATTGTATGCCCATTTGGTCAGATGGGCGGATCATCGGTAGTCCGTCGGGTTTCTATCGACGCTCTGATGTCGCTCCAAATTAATCTCTCGCACTATGCCCCCTCAAATGCCCAGAGGTCTTGTCCTGATGCTTGACTCTCTCCCCTTTTAGTCCCCATTCCTTCATGTGGAGGAGCTCAACAAGCTCCCCCACAAAGTTGGGTCCTCAGAAGATAAGTGATCTGATCCGGCAAGGTGCCCCGGATTGTACTTACCCGCCATCAGTCTATGCAGTACATAGATCTATTAATTGTCTCGTTGTTCGGCAGTTCAGATCGGATGTCTTTCATCCCGCATCATTCCATGAGCCGTACATTTTTAAAAGCTCTCTTCCGAGTGTGATCATTTCCACAAACGGTGAAGCCCAACATCCAGACCCTAGAAACCCCGCTCTTGTCTTGTTTGGTTGATTTGTGTGCTCTTCCTATTAGGCTCGTCCTTCGTTGAAACTTGAGGGGCAAATGCCGCCCCACTCATTCGGCCGACGTGAGCCCCGCGATGGCGTGAGAAGCGCACGTTATGTACCACTCTAGGGTGGAAGAGAGCTAGAAATGACGAGATTACCGCTCTACTCAGATGTCTTATGGCAGTCTTGGTAATAGTTAGAAATAATTAGGCAGTAAACTAGTAGTATGATAGCAGCTAGTAGCAAGCCTGGTCCCTTGCGGATTCTGGTTCCCCTTTTTTCATACCTAGATATCTATTCGTAAGCAATTCCTCATCATACCTGCTGCATCACATCTGTCTACGGCCTATGGCCCTTCGTGCCGACAGGCCGATCCGTCATGAGGTACATGATCATCCTTTCCTCAGGAATGCGATGAACATCAGCCCATCAGCCCAGCACCCTCCTGGTCCTAGCGGGCCCCGCAGGCCATGACTCTTTCGCTATGCCTGGTGGAGAACCGTAACTCATGGATCGCCCAAGGTTGCCGAGTTCCTCCCCCACACGGGTCACTTGCGCCTTTGCATGGCCTGACTGTCTCATCGTCCCACGTTCTATAAATGGCCTTGGCCCCCCCCTCCCCCCTCGTAATTAACTGTCAATCTAAGAAACAAAAAACTATTAATCACTCAACTTGGGTTATCTATCCTAAACTACCGTGCCACCACCATACCACCACTGATCACTCCACACAAACTTCTCCTTCCAACATCCGCGATATACCTCGAGTCGTCGTCTGCTACTTTACAACTCACCCTTCACTCTAAAGTCTCCAACGCTCGAACTTCCAAATCACCACCATGGCCACCATCGTCGCCGCACAGCTCGCCCGCCCTTCTATTCGGCACTTCTCGGCCCACCGACCACGACCTGACAGTCGCGCTGCTCGCGTCGTGGCTATGTCCTGCCTTGTCACTGGCGTGGTCCTCCCCTTTGTACCCCCCGCCCTCGAAAGCTCGCGGCAAAGGAACTCAAACTCCCCGGACAGCACCAAGTGAGTCTAGCCAATCTTCTCGACACTTTGAACGCGTAGTTCTTTATTAGCGCTCGCTTTGATTATGCAATGCGAATACTACTTATGCATATGGACCATCGACGCTAATCGAACCATAGGCCCCACCCCCCACTGTGCTTCCATGCCCGTTAGCACACGGGCGCGTCGATCTGACTTTTGACACGATTTCCTTTTTACAGTTGCATGTTTCTTTTCCATTGAGATTATGGGTTTCCAGTGCTCAGTGCCGGCACCAGTGCGGGACATCTTGACTCTTTGCATATGATACGGGGGCGTTGGGGGATCGGGCGTTGAGTTTGACTACCTCTCTTGATTATGATTTTCTTTTATTTTCAGATCCTTCTTCAGCATGGGATCAATCGTTGGGGAGAATCACCGTTACGAGACGGCTGGGAAGAGCTGTTATAGCTACGGAGATCTCGAGCAACGAGGCACGTAAGGATGGACGTTACCGAAGACCAGCAGTATATTCATCATAGCATGATGCAATTCTAGTTCGATAGCAATATGCAATACAATTTTTTACATACAAAGGCCACACCTCCTGTCGGATGTAGTCTTGATTGTCAAGCCAAATAGGAAAAAATCAAGAGTCGCAGATCAACTCGCAGACTCGCTCTGTAACTGCATACCAACCTGGCGGCACGCCGCATTGGATGTCTTTTTCCTCAGTATTTTACACGTTCACATATACAAAAAAAAACTTTCAGGACGCATGGAAAGCTTCTCAACTGAAGCGGTTCCCCCGCGGCGGCCGGAACGGCTCTGCAGCCTCGTATTTCCCCTTCTCCGATACCCGATCGGTTTCGGTCATCGGCTCATGTCGCGTTGGCGCCGGGTCATGCGAAGCTTCGGCACTGGGCGAGGCCACGTCGTCGGCCGCATTCTGGAATCGGGTCATATTCGCGCGCTTCAGACTGGGGTCCTCGCTCGGGTTCGTGGTGCTCGCGGCAGCGGCCAAGGCCGCCTGTCGTGTGTGCTCAGCTTCCATTGCTTTCAACTGGGCCTTGCGGGTGACTTCGGCCTCGAAGCGGGCTTGTCGGTCGGCATTGATGGATTGTTTGGCAAAGTAGTAGGCGCCACCGCCGGCTGGAGGGGTGATGTCAGTGAAGCCCTTGGGATCGGTTTCCGACCGGGATTAGACGGTGGAACTGAAAGTGACATGGGGCTGAAAATACGTACCGACACAGAGAGCGCCCCAGCCAATCCTGTCACATGGGTAAGGAGCTCTTCGTCAGCTTTCGTTGCTCCGGACTAGCAATGGGCCCATATCGCCTCGAGGACTTGGGGGAATTTCTGCTTACCAGGTTGATCTAATCTGAATGCAGAGAAAAGGGTTAGCTATTTGATAAATTTACCTGATATGGAATAGACAACTCACTGTGTTCATGGCTGCGTAGTGTGACGGAAGTCTAAGTGAAGAGAGAAATATGATGGCATGATCCTCGACCTCCGCAGAGGAAGCTCCGCGGTGGAGCCTTTCTGCCTGATGCCTCAGGCTATGATATGTCAGCCTTAGAACTTTCCCAAGGTTGGGGTCAAGAGTCCAGACACTTTCGATCGTTATCCTTCTTTCTCCATCATCCTCGCCTTCCACAATAGCCTCACTTCGTCTGCAGGAACTTGACCTGCATTTCATCTGCACCTCACAAATTTGCATCCTGTCTACTGCACCACCAACACGAAGCCGTTTGTTAGATCCTGCCAGCACACGCCGCCTGTTGCCTGCGGCGCCACTGTTCGTGGCATGCAGTTTTGAACAGTCTTACCTGAGGCGGTATTCGCCTCCAGCACCTCCCTATCCACCTCCTTCTCCCTATATTTACCTCGTTCGCGGTTCAACCCTAAAATCCGAACAAGATGCCGCCGAAGCGCAAGGCCGCCGATGGTAAGTTCTATGAGGCGGCCGATCTGCTCCCCCGCAGACCACAGAGCTGACATTCTTATCCAGTCGGCCGGTCTAGCAGCGCCTCGAAGCGAGCAACTCCTTCCTTGGACTACACCGAAGTCTCCAGCAGTGACGAGTACTCGGACCCAGATGATGGGCCGGTGGACAACAACTTGAAAGGTAGAGTTGAGCAGTCTGCGCACATTTCGTGACTCAGATGCTAAAACTGGTGGTTGAAGATGTCGTCAACAAGTTCTCGCTAGAAGCATACAGCAAGCGCACACAGTCCCAGAAGACCGATCCCAGATTCGGCTACAAGGACCTCTCATATCTCACCCTCAAGCGTGACCACTACAACCGACCTCTATGGATCGAGCCGGTAAAAGGCACGATCACCCTTGAGAGTTTCTCCCCGCTGGCGCCCCAGGCGCAGGACTTCCTGACCACCATCGCCGAACCCCTCTCGCGTCCCACCCACCTGCACGAGTATCGCCTGACTGGCCACAGTCTTTATGCAGCGGTGTCTGTCGGTCTGAAGCCAGAAGATATTGTCGAGTTCCTGGACCGCCTTTCGAAGACTCCGCTCCCCGAGAGTATCTCTCAGTTCATCATCGAGTTCACCAAATCCTACGGCAAGATCAAGATGGTTCTGTACCACAATCGATACTATGTGGAAACGGTCGAGCCGGAGATGCTACAGATGCTTCTGAAGGATGAAGTGATCGGACCGCAGAGAATTTCGAACGAGGAGGGAATCATTCAACGAGCGGCACCAAAAATGGGAGCCCTCGTGATTCCCGGAACTAAGGATGCGGCCGGTGTACGAGAGACGGGCGGTCAAACAAAGGCGTCTGCTAGTTCTCGGACCGAGAATCAGGGGGAGAGACAGGACTATGGCATCAATGACGTCGGCGATGAGGTCTCCGAGGCCCTCACATATAGCTTCGAGATCCCAGCTACTGGTGTCGAAATCGTGAAGGCCCGTTGTCAAGCCATCGGCTGCCCGGCTCTAGAGGAGTACGATTTCCAGGGTGACACCATAAATCCCAACCTTGACATGGACTTGAAACCTACGGCGCGGATTCGTCCATACCAGGAGATGAGCTTGAGTAAGATGTTCGGCAACGGACGTGCGAAGAGCGGTATCATCGTTCTTCCTTGCGGTGCCGGTAAGACCCTCGTCGGAATTACCGCGGCGGCTACCATTAAGAAGGGTACGATCGTCCTCTGCACCAGTTCCATGTCCGTAGTCCAGTGGCGGAATGAGTTCTTGCGCTGGACTACCATCGACCCAGGGGATATCGCCATCTTCACCTCCGACCACAAGGAGAAATTCAAGCGGTCGACGGGTATCATTGTGTCCACCTACTCCATGGTGTCGCAGACTCGAGCACGGTCTTATGACGCTCAGAAGATGATGGACTGGCTTCAGAGCCGTGAATGGGGTATGATGATTCTTGACGAAGTGCACGTCGTGCCGGCCTCGATGTTCCGAAAGGTCACATCGGCCATCGCTGCACAGACCAAGCTTGGTCTCACTGCGACGTTGCTGCGTGAAGACGATAAGATCAAGGATCTCAATTTCCTGATCGGACCAAAACTGTACGAAGCCAACTGGATGGAGCTTGCGGCACAGGGCCACATCGCCAAGGTCCAGTGTGCCGAGGTGTGGTGCCCCATGACTACCGAGTTTTATTCGGAGTATCTGCGAGCGAGCTCAAGAAAGCAAGCTCTGCTCTATATTATGAACCCACGCAAGTTCCAGGCTTGCCAATACCTCATTGACTTCCACGAGAAGCGCGGTGACAAGATTATTGTGTTTTCCGATAACGTTTACGCCCTGGAGAAATACGCACGCAAGTTGAATAAGGCCTTCATTTACGGTGGCACCGGCCAAAATGAGCGCCTGCGTATCTTGGAGAACTTCCAACACAACGAGCAAGTCAACACCATCTTCCTGTCCAAGATTGGTGATACCTCGCTTGATCTGCCCGAGGCTACGTGCCTTATCCAGATCTCCTCTCACTACGGCTCTCGCCGTCAGGAAGCACAGCGTCTGGGACGAATTCTCCGTGCCAAACGCCGTAATGACGAAGGCTTCAATGCCTTCTTCTACTCGCTGGTCTCCAAGGACACCAGTGAGATGACCTACTCGTCTAAGCGACAAGCCTTCCTCGTCGATCAGGGTTACGCATTCAAGGTGATCACCCACCTGGAAGGCATCAATGACTATGAAGGGCTTCATTATTCTACGCCGTCGGAACGCCGCGAGCTACTCACGGAGGTCATGCTACAGAACGAGTCCTCGGCGGACGTGGAGGAAGTCACTGACGACCTGTTCTCGATGCGCAGTGGCGGGCGCAATGCCGCTGCGAAGAGGGCCAAGGCCAAGCGCAGTGCTGCCACGCTCAGTGGCCTGGCTGGCGGTGACGACATGGCTTACATTGAATACAACAAGAGCCGGAACAAGCAGCTCAAGGACAAAGGGGCTCAGCACCCGCTGTTCAAGAAGATGGAACGGGATCGTCTGCGCCGGAAGAAGGAGCGCGAGACAACCAAAAACCAGTAGACTCGGGGACCAGCAACAACAATCGTTTCCCAGTCTACATGAAGAGAGACCCCCACTATGAATACCCCCACCGTTCACATTCCCGTGTCACATAGAAAGAAAAATGCTCGCAGGAACGTCTTCCGTGATGATGCAGACCCAGATTGTAACGAGCCTGGCACATTTATCCTCGTTCTCGCTTCATGACCTTTATCAGGCGCGTTATTGCAGTCTAGCAAAAAGAATGACAATCTGTGATCTGCCAATGTTTAGATGCCAAGTAGACCAGCCCAATCACGACCCGCACCGCTCTCTCGTAGCTGACTGATAATTGTAAGCATCCAATTTGCAATCAACTCGTTCCCGACTGGTCCAGACTAGATCCCCACTTCTTTAGTAGCGAAATACGGGGACCCCCCTTAACAATCTGTCAGCAAGGCCGGTCCAGTCTCCCCGCTGGAAACCGTATTACTGAGCCTAGTTAGTTCACTGCGTATACTCAAAATAATCATGGCTCGGGCATTGGCCCAAATGACGTCTATTCGTGGCAACGGAGTCCCGAACCCCCGACACCTCCGCTTTTCGGGCTCGAGCTCTGGACTGTACACGAGCACCAGCTTGCTTGAACTGTTTCCCGTTGGATCCTATCGTTTGACCGAGCCTGTCTGGCAAAGTTACTGGTAGGTAACACCGTCCGGTCTGGCCACCTCGCTAGGTACAGTAACGAGATACGAGTTGGAGACGTGTCATGCGACCATACTATAAAAGGGTCATATTTCCCCGGACAACAACCCCCCGCAACATCGGCTTCGAAACACCGACTGCGAATAAGCTTCTTTATCGTACGATTGTTCGCCTTCCTGGTTCCTTGCCGGGCGTGCGTGCTTTTGCGACAAATACCCTTCCGCCACAAAGATCTGTCGGGTGTACAGTGACCCTGCCCAGGAGCTTAGACGCCGCTTCTAGGACTCGATTCGCGCAACGCAATTCCGCATATCTGTCTACAATGGCGACTGCGCGCAAGATCCAGCTCTCAGCCCAGACGGATACGGGTATCTTTAGCTCGGGTGTGAGAGAGGATACCGCGCGGGCGGCGAGTGAGGCTTTGCAGACGGACATGGAGAGTCATCATGTTTTCTTCAACGATGATGGTTTCCACAGTACGATATCCCCCTAACCCAACCCAGTCTCCGTAGGAATGAGATGGATGTTTCATTAACCCTCATAAAAGACCACATCCCGCATTCCCTTCTCAGCATCTACGCTCTCGGCGGATCGCCCGAGGATATCCGCGCAGCTTATGAGAGGAATACATCCTACCAGCGCAAGGTTGTACCCGCCGTTGTCGAGGTGATCGAAGAAATGAACAAGACCGGAGACTTCAAAGAGTATCTTGGGAAGGAGAAGCATTATCCGAATTTCTTGTCGTTCTTCCAGCGCCAGATCGACGAAAAAGGTGTTGGTGCGGTACTCAATGAGTATCTTTTTGCCGAGACTGAGCAGGCGGAGAATATGCTATGCCGATTGTGGGGAGGTATGCTGTCCCCAAAATCAAACGATGATTCATACTTACAATAGAAAGAGATGCTAATTTCTTGATACAGGTCTCGTTCATCCACTGATTCATCTCGGCTTCGGGCTTGAGTTCAATCAACCTGCCATTGTGGCACAGGCCCTCGCACAGGCTGCGGTTCATGAAGACCGTCTTGGTCGTGATTTGTTCCTACCTGCGGAGAAGCTGGCTGGCGGGATCGGAAAGCCCGGGAAAAAGTCGCTGAGACAGCTTTTGGAAGAAATTCGCAAGGACGAAACCTTGTCTCGCTCAGTCAAGAACACCGACGTGAACAAGATCCGAGACGGAGTGATGCACCGTGCTCCGCAGGAAATGCGCCAGTATGCTGCGCAGTACACGGTGTCCGAAGACCAGGTAGAGGAGAGACTGGCAGATATGATCAACAACGTTGGTGAGTTTTGGATTCTCCCGGATCTCCGTATGCTCCGTCTTTAATCGATTTGCTGAGCATGTGTCGTTTAGTTTACTACACCAGTGCCGCCCAGCGACCTAACAAGGCAGTGAAACTGGACTTTTTCTTCATTCACTGCGTCAATTCGTCCATTTTCTTCTCGAAGCTCGCACATATCCCAGAGCTGAGCCAGCGAACTAGACTGCGTCTCCTGGAATGGAAAGGTCGCATGGACCTACTGATGTACGTGTCGCGCGGTTGCCCCAAGCTTCTCCGGGATGAAATCACAAACTATCCCGTGAAAAATGACTGGTCGACTCTCTTTGCCCGCGCCGCATCCCATCCTGTGGATGACGGGCATTTGGCCAAGTTTGTGCGCGCAGCGGCACACGGGGAGAAGGCGTGCAAACCATTCGAAAGCCAAGGACCACAGGCTATGCCCGTATCTGGCAATATGTGGTTGCAAATCGGAAATTTGGGTAAGTTATAGCATCGTTTTTTCTGCTTGACTGTACGACTTGATTTTTTTTCGTCATCGCTGACTGCTCAACAGCCATCGACTCCACTGTTGGGGATGAAGATGGCGCGATGTGGATCCGCTCCACTGGTTTCGATGAGGCATGGCAGCATGTCCCCGGACGCGCCCGGCTGTGACGATGATGGATTCCAGGCTGTGAGAGGATATGCCTGGTAATTGATACTACTCGAATGTATACAGCCCAGTGTATGTGAATTTGACGGCCGTAATGAGCTCTAAATTGACGATCTTTTACGTTGATGTATGGTTATCGATCTAAGCTGCAGTGGGGCTCGGCCCAGACTGGCCGTGGTCATTGCGTATGGGCGCGTGCAGTAGGAATTGATACGATGAGATAAGACTTTGATATTCGTATGATAGAGTTGAGACACGGGTAGACTTCAATTGAAAGAGAGATGAAGCATCAAGATACAAGTAATTGAAAAGGAAAGAGGTCACATGTACCGAATACTCGCAGACGAAAACATCAATGGGTGGAGCTCACGTGGCAAAAGTTGAATGTGGGGCGGGCTTCCCAACAGCTTCACCTTCAACTTCTTCAAGACTCTGCCATCCTCTTACACCAAAATCTTACTGCAAATTCCCACGATGCCCACTGATCGAGACTCTGAAGACCAAGATCGCAACAAGAAGCCTGACAATATGCCCCACGAGGAGAGCGAGAGCAACCCGTTCGTCGCCTTCCGTCGCTTTGCCGATGAACAAGTCTCCTCCGTCTTACAATCCATCACTGGTCTCCCTTCCGCCGTGTCGCCTCCCCAGCCAGACCACTGGACTATCTTCACCGATGATAAAGCCTACAACAGCATGAAATTCCGACAGCGAGACGGCACCAGCGCAAATAATGCGGGGGATCAGAACTATACGTCAGGTGGAAGCGCCGGTGGTAGTTCGTCCGGAAATCGGGACGACGACGACAAACCTTCTGATAACAACGGCGGCACCCCCGTTTCAAATTCATCCCAATCGCGACCACCCACAGAAACAGACTCCAAGACGTCGCAGTCGCGCCAACGTTGGTCCAACGAACCCTCCGACCCGCTTAGCCTCGACGCGCTCTCCTTCCCCCTCTTCTCACAGCCCTTTCGTACAAACTTTACATTTTCCATGCCATCATTCTTTCAGCACTTCGACGACAAATGGCCTCTGAATTATATCACATTCAGCCCCTACTCCCCTCTACATCTCGAACGGCAAGCACGCGAACGGGCGCGCCACGGAAAGGCCGTGTTTTCATCCCTCGTGTCCTCTTTCCGGGAAGAGTCGGACCGTGATCTCAATGAACCACAATGGCGGGAAGCCTTTGAAGACCTCCTCCGAGTAGAAAACGGGATGTCGCTGTTGGACCGCGACAGGTTGATCGCCGGTAGGACCGAGAGCGAATGGGACTGGCTGAAAGGGCTAGTCAAGCGGGGCAGTATGGGGAGCGGATTCCAACTGGTTTCTGGCCCGAGCATGGACGGAGTCTTGGGAATTCAAGGCGCTGAAACCTACCGAGACAGATTCTCAGAGGCTGCGGAAGCAGAAGCGGACGACGAGCTGGCCTTGTACGAGCGCTTCATGCAGGATCTTGAGGCTTGGGGGCGAGATTTCTCCGAGACGTTTGACAGAAGTCATATCCTGCGCTCTCTTGTTGAAAATCGCCAACACAGAAATCAACTCGAGGAGTTGTATCAGTCCGACTTCCCTCGTGGCTTACCTCCACTCGAGGACAAACAAGGTGACGACGATAACGAGAGCTGGCTCGATCTTGTCTCAGGCGGCAATCGCAAATCTGTGCCTGAGACTCCAGTCGACTCTGCTCCTTCAGACGGATCCTCATCATCTCATATCATCTCCACCATGTCTCGGACAGAAAGAACACGGCTCCCCGATGGCTCGGTCCAAACTAAGAAAGTTGTGACGAAACGTTATGCCGACGGCCGCGAAGAGACGGATTCCTCCGTCGAGACGACTCATCCTCGTTCTGAAAACGCAGATTCTTCGAGCTCGGGGGAAAGCGAGTCCAAGCCGAACACTGGTTGGTTCTGGAAGGAATGATCTTTCTATCTTTGTGATGCATGAAACCTACAATATGCCAAGGCTGGCAGTGACACGATCCATGAATATTTACCACTCATTTCTTGTTAGCGTTTTCCTTCTGATCATTTTAAAATTTCTTGGCGCTTGCCATTTGACTTGACAGTCTTTTCCTTTCCTGTTAAATACTTCATCTCAATCGTTATACTCCATATTGAATGTTGACATTTTCTGGGATCTTGATACTTTATCAAACCTTTCCACCCCTGAGATCCCCCCGAATTCACAAGAGCTAGTAGCACCATAGTTGTCAAGAAGGCTCGAGATATGAGTAGAAAATTTGGGTGTTTCATTGCCAATCGGCATTGCTAAAGCCCCTTGCGCAGAGAAAAGCGATTCTAAACATCAAAGTTGATTTAAATCTCTGAAAAGAAATCAACAAATAGAATACGACATAGGAGAAACTAGGTCCAATCTACGGCAACGGCCTTTAATCCGCCTTAACGCTCTTCTTCTGGGCCTTGCCAGTTGTCCAGCCTTTGGACTCCCAGAATTCAACATTCGCCAGCATCTTCTTGTATGCCCATGTGAATGGGGGGTCTGAAATGATTAGTATGAGGCACTCTTCCCCGGGGCAAGAATGGCATAGCTTACATAGGAACTGTCGGAGATCATGTCTGTTGTCCTCGGGGGAGTAATCGAGTGCGTGACTAAATGAGATTAACTTGATTAGCATAGGCAAAATTACGGTCGTTACGGTCAGAATGGCTGGATTGACTCACTATGCCGGCGTGATTGTTGTCATCTTGTGGCGATTGATAGCTTGAACATTGTCAGTACGTTATTTTCCGCATATATGGAGTGATCCACAGAAATTCTCGACTGACCATAGTAGAAACTAAAGTGGCGGACCTTCTCGTAGATCTCACGCGGGCTGAGCTCATTGCCCCAGACGTGGAGCAACTTCTCATACATCGACCAAGGGCCGAGCTTGGCTACCTTCCGGAGATAACTGCAGTCGTGTTAGCTTCGTGTACGGTGTTAGATGGAAAGGTTACCGCACCCAAAAGTGCCCAGTTCGGAATATTTGACTCCCATGTCAACCTCGTCGGATTGTGCAGCTGCCAGAGGTTCCAACTCAGCAGTCGGGGTAGCCTCTAGGAACTCGGTCAAAATGGGCATGTCGAATTCGTGAACACCCCAGGCGATAAATCGCTTGAGGTCAACCTTGTTGAGACTGCCAATCGGGTTGAGCTGTACAGCTGTTAGTACGGAGTTTGATGGGGTAAGAATTGGAGCTTACATCGGCAGATGAGGCGTCGTATTTCGTAAGGTAGCCTCGCAAACTTGTATTGTTAGCATTGTTTTACTAAAGCAGAGAATTCCGAAGAGCGAACCATTCTAAGAGCTCGGTTAGTATCTAGACATCAAGGAAGTCCTGACATGACGTACCATCCACGTTTGACGATGCAAGCACCAGCAGACCGCCCCCACCAGGGCGTTGACGGACAGTCGGTAGTAGCGAAGCAAACAAATAAGAGAATACCATTCTCATACGGGCCTGCACATTCTGCAAAGCCAAATTTTCGGCAGGAGCACCACCGTGGAATTTGAAGCGTGGCTGAAAGCTTGTTACGGCAGTGAAGACGTTCATGATTGCAGTGACGACCGTATCGAAATTGAAATCGATGTGGTAGCAGCCGATATCTTGCGCAAGTCTTTTGGCTCGGTCCCTGGTCTCATGGCTGGAGTTTTGGGTACCCATGTACGCTGTGTGGAAGATGCACATGCAAATCTCCTGGCTTGAGGAGGGAAGCCAATCCGAATCCGCAGGTTTAGCACAGAGCCGGCGAACATCCTTGATCACCTGTTCATTGCCCTCCTTGACGGCCTTCAACACTTGTCGGCACATTGAGTGAACGATTAATGCAGAGGAACAGCTGTCAATACCACCGCTCAAAGCGAGGAAGAACCCGGCAACACCGCATCGCCGGAGGTAGTCCCACAGCCAGCAGGCTGGTCCAAGCGCAATTTCTTCTTCTGGTGCATGAATGCGAGCCTTGCGGGGCTCAGATACCGTAAGGCTAGGCTCAGCATCCTCGGGGCGACGGGATAGTCGGACATCAAGGTCGATGCGCTGGTAGGGTGATTGCTTGCTTGCCTGCATGCCGCGACTGACACTAGCCCGGTAAGTTCGAACCTACTTGAAGTTAATAAGTGGCATACGAATGATTTAGAGACGAGCGTACTTCTTCAATGTCCACAGTAGCAGTGACTACTTCTACATCATTCAATGAGAACTGGGAGCCCTGAGCAACGATTTCTCCGTTGATGACAATCATGGCACAACCATCATAGTAAAGCCGGTCGCCGTCACATCCTTGCTGGTTGGCATAGAGGTAGATACCTCCGCTCTATATGGTGTCAGTATGAAGTATAGACATCTCCAGAAAGCACACTTACCAATTTGGTGGCCTGGGTGATGAGGTTCAACCGCGTGTCGAGCTTTCGAAGCTCATGATGGCTACCGGAAGAATTGGAGATAATTTCAACACCTTTGAGAGAAAGGTCAGCAAGTCCACTTGAATCTGACGTGAAGATACATACCTGCCAGTCCATAGGGAATGTGAGGGCTTTGAGGATATTAGCGCATGGTACCAATGATGCTAAAACACTATAGTGGAGAGCGTCTAAGCAGGTGAGGGGTAGAAATCTACGCACCCATTGGGCGTAAATAGCTCTTCGCAGGTCTCCAAGCCTAGACAAGTATCTCTTGTGCTGATAACCGCGTCGCCGAAGGGGACCTTGTACTGTCCAGTAATATTGCCCGCAATTTGTTCGAGATAGTAGTCCTCCGTCTCTTGGGGGCGCTGCCAGGGCGTAAAATGGCGGTATTCGCGGTAATTTCCATCTATCGTCGAGAAAGCATCAATTACCAATGGCGTCTAAAAGGTCTGCAACGGTAGGAAAGGTAAACAAACCATTCGCCAACCACATTTTAGGGCGGATGAGGATAATTTTGCGGTTGTAGAAAATAATACTAGAAGCTTTGTTAGCAGAGTTATTTCAGAAAGCGAATCCAAAGCATACCGGCAGTTGTATCGAACATTTCGGTGTCGGACTGGCATACCAACGTCTACGACAATGTCTTGACAATCAGGGTGATCGATGATCTGTGCAAGCATTTCCCATGAGTGGAGGAAAGTATCGCCCTCCAGGAAGGCATCAAGACAGCCATATCCTGCGGCCAATCGTCAGTGCCTTTGCGCTGAGTTTCATATTTGGACAAATAACCAGTAATCTCAAGCTCGGGACCAACTCGCAAAGTAGCACCAGCAGCCTTTGCTTGCCGGATGCTCTCAATGATCCTGTCTCGGTTTCCCTCCCAATCCAGAGCCCATTGGTTCAGGTTGCTGTAGTCATATTAGCGTCATGCGGTAATGGTGGGGAGGGGAGTGAAGCTCTGAAAATGAAAATATAAGCTTCAAATCCAGCCGGGAAGCTCCTACCATGTCGCCAAGGTTACCAGATGCCCCATGATGAAATGACAGTCTCCGTTCTTGCGTGCGATAAGGTACGGAATTGTGCTCCCTCATTCTCCGATGGAAATGATTCAACCAGGTCACGTGTGTGGGAGGCTGCATGGTGAAATGAATGATTCCCCCGCTTTGTCACGTATTACCGTCATTTTGGGGCGATAACGGCGATAACGGCATAAGTCCGATGAAAAAATGGAAATATGGATACCAACGGGAATGGATCTTCCCGGCTGATTAATTGCCTGCTGTTTGGGTCTTGTTCCTGGTCGTACTTCTTCTCAACTTTCAACATACCTCTAGACTTCGTTCCAGCGCCTTTTCCCTATAGGTCTGCCTGCTAGCGCATCTACATTCGTTATCAGCATGAGCGCAGCCTCTCAACTCCCCAACCCGGCCCATGCGCTCGCGGAATCTATGTTGTCGCTGCGTTTCGGCAAAGAGACGGTGAACTATTTCTCCAGTACGCAGACAGTGGCGATTTGCTAGAGCTTTCTTCGGGAGTACGACTAACCATATATAGGCTCTCCAATCAATCGGTTGTCATTCTTGCGAAATGACCACCCATTCCTATCCTCGGCCTTGAAGCATTCATCTGCCCGATTCCTTCTTCTCAATAATCTTGCCCCGCTCACCCGCTCGCCGACCGAGGTATACTACGCCAAATATGACGAAGTGCGCAGCCTCATTCCCAGTGACACCTTTGACCAGTCCGAGGAGGAAATGCTCAAGGGGTTCGACTCGCGCAAGACGCATGCGACCTTGATCTTCCTCGGACTGGACGAAAGCCGCAAAGAGGGCAGCATGACGCATAAGATCTACTCGGGAATTCCGTTCTTTGCTGTCGACGTGACGCCCAAGGGCTCTGCAGCTCAGCAGACTGCTTGCAAAGACATCATTAGCGCTATGGAAGAGAAGGGCTTGTCATTCTTCCAGACGAGAGTTATTACTACGTTCACTCCAGATGATGGTATGTTCCAGAGAACTACGATTGGATCAACCCAAGAAGCTCATCCTTTTTTCTAGCCGCTATCTATGCGCAGGCGCGCGCTCTGACGGACTGGAACACCCGCAATACCTTTTGTGGTACCTGCGGCCACCGCACGCTGTCCGTCAATGCCGGCACCAAGCGCGCCTGTCCCCCCACGGATGCAGCGCGGACTGCCGAAGGCCTGCCGCAGGATCGCCCTGAATGTAACACGCGCACCACGCTTTCCAATCTGTCCTTTCCCCGCACCGACCCCACTATCATCGTGGCCGTTGTCTCTGCCGATGGGAAGCGCATCTTGCTCGGTCGTAGCAAGCGGTTCCCACCCAACTGGTACTCAACATTGGCTGGGTTTATTGAACCCGCCGAGTCTATCGAAGACGCGGTTCGGCGCGAGGTGTGGGAGGAGGCGGGCGTGACGCTTTCACGAGTCGTGATTCACTCCTCGCAGCCCTGGCCCTACCCGGCCAATTTGATGATCGGAGCGATTGCACAGTGCAGTGATGCAGCCCATGAGAAGATCAACCTCGAGCATGACCCTGAGCTGGAAGATGCTCGTTGGTTCGAAATTGAGGAGGTCGAAGAGGCACTGCGCATTGGTACAAGCGACTTGAGCTCTGGCGCGGGCCCCGAGTATAAGGGTGGCTTGCGACTGCCCCCTGAGACGGCCATTGCGAATCAACTGATTCGTGCAGCTGTCAATGCCGATTATTTCCACTCAGAGAGATCTAAGATGTGAGGAGTGAAGCGCATAGTGTATTTACAAACAAGCCCCTCGTACATATAGAAAGACAAGGTGAAAAAATACAGAGAAGCTCCTAGATAGTTGATAGATCTCATATGGTTCTTTTGATTGAGAATTATGATAAAGATGTCCGCCGTTGACTCTCATTCATTTGCATAAACCGTGCCATCACGCAATTCATGAATCCCGTGCTGGCCGCTAGGGGATCCGACCTCGGTGTAGCGAGTACCGTCTCGCAGCTCATGAATAGTAACCCGTCGGTGACTTCGTCGAGAGCGGCGCGAACCCCGAGCAGATTCCGAATCTCGGGCAGACGGTGTTTCATCCAGACTACCAGCATCACTTCCCGCTATACTGCTTGGCGTGAACGACCGGTTATCCCTTTTGATGGATGCCTGGAGTTGGCTATCGGCCACCATGCTTGCTCCAGTTTGAGAGTACCATTGCCGCAAGCCAGATGCAAAAGCCAGTTCTTCAGATTCGTATTCGACCGGCGGGCCAGTCATCTTTGCCTCGGGACCGGAGCCATCGAACACGGCCCAAGAACTGGATTCGAGACTCACAAGTGTCATGGAATGACTATGACTCTGGACTTTGAAGTCTCGAAGAAGGATGGCTTGACCCTCTGCCACCGATGGCATAGCAGACTTGTATCGACGGAAAATTTTAGCCTCAAGGGTTGTGCCACCCATCGATGGATCGGTGAGAAAGATCGTCATAGTATAGTCTTTAGGGCCAGAAGTCGCCTTGGCGACAGGGGAGGCCTCGTAAACAACAGAGATTGTGTCCACAAGCGTATTGTAATGATCCGCAAGCGTAGCAAGAGGGGCGAAGTAAGACAGTTTGCTCCGTAGCCCGTGGGCATCGCGATCTGGCCCTGGGGGCTTGCTAATGACGACAATTGGGGTTTTGGGGGCTTCGACTGTCAACCCGGACGCGGGAATATGTGGTTCATTATCTTGATGATGATCATGGATAAGCTCGGTTGTCTGTAAAACAACATCTGCGCTATCTGCATCGTCTTGCTGCTCCAGTTCAATGGGTCCTTCCAGTGCAGTGGCGAGAGAGATGTTTGGATCCCTTGGTGAAAATAGCTCGCCAGTCACCACTAACTCTTCTTCTTGCTGATTAGTGGCTCCTGACTTGTCGCTAGGCAATAATACCTGGGTTGGATCAGGAGTCGGTAGCTGTTGCTGAGTCGTATCGAAGGTTGAAGCATCAAATGAAAGGCTCTCGTTGTGGTGCTGTTCAGCGGCAAGAACGTCGGACCTAAGGGCCTCTTTTTGCATTTCAGAAATTTCTTGCTCCTCGATGCCAGTGGTGCCATCCTCGAATGAGATTTCATGGTTGTCTTCTGATGGGTTGGTAACTCCGGACCAATCGTCAGCCCCGTCCAAGGTCATAAAGGCCTTGAGCTTTCTACCCGATGGGCGCTCCTCATCATGGGAAGTTGGGTGCTCCGGCTGCTTAGCTGGATCATGAGGTGGTGGTTCCTCCACTGAAATCGACGTGCCAACGGCTTCGCTGGGCCGGACTTCATGAGCTTCCACATCGGTAAAGGCCTCCAGTTTCACCTCATATTTAGACACATCATCCGTTTCTGCAATTGGTTGAAGGTGCTCCTCACTATCTGGCACATCCTCAACAGACCCATCCCGGGTAGAACCCTCTTCGCTGTAGTCATCTTGAGCCAAATCATCCACAGACGGCTCATCATCCTCCATATCACTGTCGTGTACACGGTCATCTCGTTGATCGTCTCGACCAGGGCGCCCGTCATCATACTCATCCTCAGACTCATAATCGCCAGACTCTTGATCTTCTAGAACATTGTGATCTGAATTGTCTTCAACAACAGACCAATCCTCTTGCTCGTCCTCCGCCGATGATTGTGAGCCTTCGGAAGACACAGACTGCTGACGAGCATGGTGTGGGGATGTCACTGCCGGTTGCGCCGAGGCACGCTCATCTTCGCTGTCACTATCTAGTACGATGATTTCGGGTTGCACTGGTGACCGTCTAGGCGCTCCACTTTCCTCATCTTCACTTTGATCCGCATCACTTTCATCTCCGTACCCAGCTTCGATCGCTTCCTCTTCCTCATAAAATTCATCATCAGAATAGAACTCTCCCTCTGCATCTTCCTCGTAATGAACTTGGTCTGCGTCATCGCTTTGGTTGTCGCTATCACTGTCGCTTTGCGTCACAGTAAAACCATCGGCGCTCTCAGATAGGCCTTGAGCCTCGTCTGGACCCGCAGTCTCTTCGAGCATATCTTCGTCTGATTCGGCTTCGTCGAATGCCGTCTCCTTTGGCACTGGAGGAGAGCTTGCCCCCTGGGACACTTCAACCTCTGCTTCTGCCACCACGAAACCAGGTGCCCCATGAGCCTCGTAATTATCTCGTAGAGCCTCATTTTCTGCCTGGTTCAAGAGCTGGGCGTCGGAGTGTTCAGTCGAGACCGTCATATGTATTTCTTTAACAATCTCCATCCGAGTATCTGTCTCAATAAAGCTGGATTCATTCACAGCGCCGTGAGAGTGGAATTGATCCATAACGACAGTCGGCAATTGATCAGCCGCACCTATGAGAGGATATCCAGGCATTGAATCCAGGGCTTGATGATCATCGGAAAGAGGCGGTGGGTGAGCCAAAGTCTCGCCGTCGTGTACAGTCTGTGGACGCTCCGTCAATTCCGTTGCCTCGTGCAGTGCGGTTTCTTGGGCATCTTGAGCCAAAGAATCTAACCCTTGGACGACCGTGTTGAAATCCGACTTCAAGGCATGGTCAGGCGGACCAGTATGGAATGACGCAAAGTATTCCTGCTGATTGTTCTGGTTGGAAATGAGCGGCGATGGGATTGGAAGACCGGGAGAAGGTATTGGCCGGAGTTGAGGCGTATCGGTGGGTCGGTTGAACAGGTTTCCAAATGGACTTTGGGAAGCAGAAGTGGTCAGCCCAAAGTCGGAGTTTTGGGGCACACGTCTCCCAAAGAGACCACCAGCGAGATCCAGGGATGGTTTGACAAAAACAGCAGATTCGTCTTGAAAGGGGTCCTCAAGATTGGCCTGATTGACGGTGTCCGAAGTGTCTGGGGCGGTGTCTGGAAGCGAAGCGTCCTCGGCGGGCTCGATAGCCGCCGACTCTTCAGTCTCAGATTCGACATCTACTTCATCCTCCAAGACCTCTTCCCAGTCCATTGGCTCTTCACGCTCTTGGGGACTCTCCGGTTCGCCCACAACGCGCCATTCGGTTCGTTGGAGGCTGTACCTCGGCCGTTTTCTTCCTTTCCCAGGCACGAATCCATCCTCTTCGGTGAACGGATCATAGGCGAAACCAACTGCACTTCCAGAGGACCTCCGGGAAGACTTGTGGAATGCTGGCGACCCCCAAGACTCTCGAGTGGGTGCTAGTGTGGCATCGGGATCGATTGAGATCAAGCGGGGGGTAGAGGGTGGCTCGGATTCATGCGGCGCAGGGAGCTCCAGTTCGATTCTGACTGAGGGTATGTTCTGGGAAGACCGATCAACCTAAAGGGGGTGGCTGTTAGCACCTTCTGGGGGAGGGGGTGACGTTTTTGAGGCTAGCATACCTCGAGCGTCAAGCCGCGTTCGAAGTGAAGATCCCACGCGATACTCCTTCCTGGGGTTTGAGACGCGCCATTGTTGGGAACAAAGCTCGAATCTTTCAGAGAAAGGCAAACAGTTTCTCCAATCCCAATATGCTGTTCCGCGACGCTTTCTGCGGCGTGCCCGTGAAAGACAGCCTTCACCTGACCATTCGGTCGGCGAAGGCGAAAGTCCGGCTCGGCCAAGAGTAGGGCCAGTGATTTCGTTGAAGAGGAGTACGGCCAGACAAGGCTAACAGTCGCATATATGCATTTTTCTTCGGGCTGTTCAAGGGTAGGAGACAGGCGAGCGATTGGAGTTTTGGTCAACTGCGGCCGCATCGGCGGCCCAGACGGCGCAGACTTGTCGGAGACATCCATGATCATTACACCGGGTTTTCCTCCTTCAACACCAACATTTCGCCATCATGTGTAAAGGTTCAACCATCTGGACAAGGCGGGACGAAGGTGGTAGATTATTGTAGCGGTGGAAAGAAAGACCCGGGGGAACAAAGAGCTGGGCAATACGCGAGCTTAGTGCCACTGCGGGAAATTGTAGATCACAGGCATGTGCTCCGGTGTGGTAAGACCGCCGTACAAGTACAATACCCAGGCAGCGAGCGGACGTCATGTATTACCAAAGTTACGAGCTCCAGCCTTGGCCATGGACCACTGGAAATTCTACCAGTCAACTATAAGGTTCTTGAGGATATGCATGACTCTCGAATTAAGCCGAACTCACAGATAACATACTTCAATCACCTTTCCATCAATCAATCAATAGATGACAGCTCAATCGCCTGGGGGTCTTTAAAATCAGCATGGGTAGCACGTAACCCCCCGATAAGCTTGAGGTCCCACCTCCACTATGGCGACAGCGCCCGCTGTCCCTCCACTTTCCATCAACATCCCCTCAGCTGATAGAATTGAATGATGACCCTCACGAACCCAGTCCGCCAAGTTGCAATCATTGGGGCAGGGCCATCTGGCCTTGCCTCGTTGAAGTATGTGCGATCTAGGAAACTACTATTTGCGACCAAATACTAGACCTCGATGTGCTAAATACCGCGAGTAGGTTCCTGTTAGCAGAGAAACACTTCGAGCGTATCGACTTGTTCGAACAAAGAAGCTCGGTTGGAGGTGCCTGGAATTACAGTCCCAGCTCTGCAAAAGCTGGACTGGCCACGACTGTCCCTCAGCTTGATCCATTTGAACCTGCGGAAAACCCGACCTGGATCAAAGAAGCAGATGGCTCATCCAGCGCCGTCTTCGTATCGCCTCTGTATGACAGGCTCGAAACCAATATTCCAAAGGAGTTGATGCGCTTCTCTGATCATCCTTTTCCGCGAGATGCTCAGCTCTTCCCCAAGCACCACACTGTGAAGCAGTACTTGGAGGACTATGCTGAGGCCGTAAAGAGCCATATCCACTTTGAAACCCAGGTGGTGGATGTCAAGCTGAGTGACCCCAAACTGAGCACTTGGGAGGTGACGACAAAAAATCTCCGCAACGGCCAGAATACTACTCGACCCTATGATGCAGTTGTCGCGGCAAGCGGGCATTTCACCGTCCCTTATCTCCCCAACATTCCTGGGATCGTGGACTGGGATCAATCATACCCCGAGGCAATCTCACACTCCAAATTCTACGACTCCCCTGAGCCTTTTGCGGGCAAGAAGGTCGTTGTAGTGGGAAACTCCGCGTCGGGGCTTGATATTGGCGCCCAAATCAATACGGTTTCCGCAGGCCCGATTATCGCGTCGCAACGCTCAGAGTCCTATTTGTCTGCATCTGCCCCATCTGATAAGATCATCTGCCCGGAGATCGCTGAGTTCCTATCACCGGCCAATTACAACCGAGGTCTTCGATTCGCCAATGGCCGTATTGAAGAAAACGTTGACGCGGTTGTCTTCTGCACGGGTTATTTTTATTCGTTTCCCTTCCTCTCGTCCCTGAATCCAGCGGTCGTCACACATGGATGGCGAACCATGCATGTCTATCAGCAATTATTCTACTCTGAACACCCTACGCTAGCATTTCCAGTCCTTGCACAGCGTGTGATTCCATTCCCAATGGCTGAGAATCAAGCAGCTGTCTTCTCCCGTGTTTGGTCCCAACGACTCGTGCTCCCTTCAAAAGCAGAGATGCAGGCATGGGAAGATACACAAGTGACCAAAAAGGGAGATGGAAAGCAATTTCATCTTCTACCATTCCCGATGGATGCTGATTATTTGAATTTCTTGTATACGTGGGCCACATCAGCTAAGCCACGCCCGGGACTCTCGACTGGTGGGCATGGCAAACAGGGGGCGTTTTGGGGAGAACGGGAACGGTGGATGCGTGCGCTATTCCCTGAGATAAGAAGAGCCTTTGTACAGAGAGGCGGTCAGAGGAGTAGCGTCAGGACTCTTGAGGACCTTGGCTTCATATTCGATAATCAGAAATTAAAGAGTAGTATATAGTATAGGTATAGAATTAGATCATATTACTTGACCTGAGTTTTAAGTTAAAGTTCGGTCGATAGCGATAAGGATAACGATAAGAGGTACCTATCACGTGAAGACCGTGGAGCTCCGCCCGAGTCGCCAGCGCGCATTCACTCCTATCCTCCTCCATTGACAGCGACGACGAACAGAATCACAAGTTGCGCATCTTTGTAACAAGTGAAAGTTCCATGGCTTAACCTACTATCTGCTCCAATATTCAAAGCCAATTAATTCTCTTTCAAGATGGAGGACAAACCAACGCCTTCTTCCCTTGGTGATATCGACGCTACAGTGCCTACATCTATTCCGGAAACCATAGTGCCTCTCAGTGTACGCTCTGACGCGGACTCTGTGACGCACTCGCATACGGCTATTCACCATGCTCATTCTGAAGCACTTCTTCAGCCTCATTTAACATCTGGTGCCTCAGCATCCATGCATACTATTCAACCCAGCGCTCTAACAGTCGAGAGCGCCGAGGATGCTCCTGCGGGATCGGTCCGTCTTGGACCATCCGAGTTTGCGGTGACTCTTCCTATGGACTCGCGAGTGAAAGACGATTATGACCGTGTCTTAACCGACTCCGCTGAGATCACAAGGGAGTTTCTCGCAAGTCTAACCCATGCTGGTCACGCCTCTGATTCTCAGGTAAGTTCACCCACGTGTGTCAGGAAAGATAGACCAAACTGACGGGAGATTGCAGCGAGGCTATCTTTCATCAAAAATGCATGAAGTCATTGCGAAACTTAACAATGTATCTACGCATCCAGATTTGAATATTGCTCATCATGTCTTATTCGAGGACTCGAAACTCGCTCGGGAAGCCGAGTGGGCTGAATACTCGAGTGCCAAATTCCGGCTCCTTGGATGGCTGATACGACTTGGTTGCGATCGCGACCTGCATATCATTCTGGCTGTTCAAGGCGAGGACAAACGTCAAATTCTTGAACGTTACTTGCTCGGCAAAGGGTTCTCCCATACCAAGCCTCGGGATCAGCTTGGTGGTAGCTTGGAAGTCTCATTGCAAAAGGACTCACTGAGCTTTGCTATCCACTCTGAGGACGGGGTGCAAGAGATGTTCAAACCACCATCTGCCATCTTTGTCTTCGACACATCATACAAACTCGAAAGCCCTGCAGTGCAGCATCTTCGAACTACATACACCAGGAATGGGATGCTTCTACCCGTCATCTGGTTCCTTGTTTCCAATACATGCGAACATATTGAACGATGTCTACCTCAGCTGCCTGAGCCTGAGCGACTGCGCCTTCTCATGCAGTACACCGACTATTTCCACGACGACGTCGGCGACCTTCAGGATGATGCCCTCAATGTGTGCGAAGATGCCGAGGAGATTCTCAACTACCTCTCAGATAGCTTTGCCAGTTGGTCACTCCCCGCCATTGAGCCTTTGCACTTCGTATCTGCCAATGAATTGGAGTCGGCGACACCTTCTTCTGAAGAGCAAGTACTGGGCACTCAGAAACGATCACTCGTAAGGTCTACATACTTTCACACTCATTCACTATCTAATAGGCGATCAACAGGATGACGAGCAGGAAAACGAAGACTACATATCAAAACGCGCACGGGTTAATACTCAAGATACCAGCCAAATGACTCAATCTACGAAGCCACCCAGTCAAACTCTGGATCGGGATCTGGCATCGTTGGAGAGAAGTCTCATCCAAATGAAGGCCACCCACGACACAGAGAAGCAGCAACTCCAGAGAGAGCTTTTGCAGACCCGGGCTCGCTTGCAAGAATTTGAGACTGCGTTGGGTGTCCTCCAACACCGCTACGAAGCCCGAACCAAGGAATTACACCTGACTCGTCAAGAGCGCGGTCGCCTATCAGAGGGCAAGGCATCCATGGAGCAACGAATCGAGAAGCAAAGGGAGGACTTATTCAAACTGAAAGAGGAGCGCTCACAGTTAAAGGCCGAGCTCGAGGGAGCGCGACAGGAGCTCAAGAATGGTGGTGGCTCTCTGGCAGAACTGGAGACAGCTCGGGAAGAGATTCGCCGTCTTACCAGCGAGAAAGCAAGTCTCGAGCGTAAGGCTGAGTACGAGAAGAATCAAGCGGAGTACACTCGCGAGCAATATCAGACCGCCTCCACAGTGGCCGCACAAGCAGGAAATGAGCTTCGTCAAGTTCGTCACGAAAATGAGGCTCTAACTCGCAAGGTGCAAGGTAACATTGTTCAACTTCGGGAAATGAACATCAAGAACGACGCGGTTCGTCACCTTGCCCGAATCAACGAGCTAGAGTTGATTCTCGCTTCGCGGGACGATTTGCTACGAAAGAAGGAAGATGAACTGCGGGAGATCCGTAAGAATCGCCCATCCACGCGTTCGACAAGCACACAGCCGCGGAGTCCGAAGTGGGCTGCCAGTAGCCGTCCAACGAGCCCGGGCGTCGGCCATAATGGCAACGGTAACGGTCTTGCTGGCCGGGGCAGTGCCCTACGGTTTAGTTCCGAGATGCCTTTCTGATGATATCCATTCCGTCTCGGCCCAAGTATTTAGCCTTTTGCATTTTAGAGAGGAGTTACAAAGCGTCAATCGGTAAATCGCAATTCAGACTTGCGCTTGTCAATTTCAATACATACTTCTTATCTGCATGTGCAAGTACTTGCAGCCTTGGCACATGGAGAATGTCCAACGCTATTCGTGAGATGGAGATATGGTAAATTTCGGTCAAATGGTATCTATCCATGAAGCCGTGGGTCAAGGAGCACTGCAACCCGCCTTCTAATGCTACCGTTCTCTACCATCGCGTATTGGAACCGATACTCGCTAGAAATGGCTATCTATGACGTTTATATCGTCATTCTAACAAAATTGTCGCCCAAAGATTCAGGTAGGTTCGTAATGTCCCTCCACATTATCCGCTGTGTTGAATCACATCCATATTTCTGAGAACAATCTGTCATATTTAGAAATTGAATTATATCCTATGGATGAGCTATTACACGGAATTATTTGTATGATAATAAAACAAACAAGAAGAGAAGATTAGAAGTATCATCAACCAACAGAGGAAAAGAATGGAAACAACCGTACGCCGTTAGCCAACTTCAAGCATCAAATGATAAAACCAAAAAAATGAACTTGACTATGAATGCAATTTGTTCAAGAAGAGTTCATGGCACCCGCAATGAATGCTGCCAGTTCCTTCGCCTTCTCACCACGAGTCATGGTGAAGTGGTTAGCCCCCTCCATGACAGTGATGCCACCGACATTCTTGGGACCAACAAGTGTATCCCATCCATTGGGACCAAGGTTGGTACGGTTGTTCAGCAACCACTGCATCTCCCGAGGGTCGGGGCTTCCATCCTCGGCAGGTTCAGGGCGCGGGTCATTCGGCTGGTTGCAAACTCCGTCCTTGGCCCAGACCAGGAAGGTCTTGGGAATCTTTCCGGCATGCTTGGTCTCATCGAATGGGAATGGGGATGCCTTATAGGCATCCAATGAGTCAATAAAGGCCAGGAAGTGAGGGAGAAGCCACTTTGGAGGAGGAGCCTTGCCCTCGCCAAAGAGACCAATAGAGTCGAAGAATCTGTACAGGCGACGAGGAAGCTTCTCAAGGCCAATTGGGAACGGAGAATCGAGAAGGAGCAGCCGCTCAACTCGCTCACCTTCCTCGAAGATGAGGTGCCGTGCAGCATCATAGGCACAGATACCACCAGCAGACCAGCCACCGAAGTTGTATGGACCAGTTGGTTGCCGGCGCCTGATCTCAGCCACGTATGGATATGTGAGTTCGTCAAGGCTGAAGTTGAGCTTTTCGGGAGTACGCATGTACGGACAATTCAACCCGTAGACGCAAACATCAGGGGAGATACCGGGAATCGTTGCATAGGAGGTGGCTGATCCAGAACCATCGGGAAACAAGAACAGCTTTTGAGTCGCAGTCTTGGGATTTCCTTGCAGGAGGATCGAGGTTGCCTGTGGGTGTTGGATCAAGCTGCGAGCAATCTTAGGGGCTTGAACATGAATCTCCTCGGGCAATCTGATAGGCTCAGAGGGTACAGCCTTGGGCTTCAAGTCTAGCGCAACCTCAACTTCATCGAGTGTCTGGTTCTCAATGAAAAATTCTCCAGAGAGCTCGAGATCCAGAGTCTCACGAATCTTGCCAAGCACGGTAAGTGACATCAAAGAGTCCAGACCCATCTCGGCAAGATTAGCGTCACCCCGAAGCTCTTCAGGTTCAATGCCAATCTCCTCTGTCAGAATGGCGCAGATTTGCTTCATGGTCTCATTTTGTCCGAGCGTCATGGACTTCTCATTGGCAGGCGTAGGCAGACCGCTCGAGTTTGGAGTCGAGAGATCAGTTGACGAAGCCGAAGACGACAGATCCGGCTCGCTGCTTGATCCATCATTGCTGCTATCCTGGGGACTCATCTGTACCAGCAGCTGCTTGAAGTCCTTGATCGTGGGTTGATCCACAAAAACGTTGGAGTCCAAGTCAAGGCCCATCTCTTCACGGTAGCGACCAGTAACAGTCAAGGAAAGCAAAGAGTCCACTCCATAATCAGCGAAGTTGAGGTCGTCAGTCATTTCACTCGTTGAAAGTCCAACTTCCTCGGCTAGAACAGCAAGAGCCTTCGTGACGATACTAGGTCCTGCAGACTTTGGTGACACCACAGACTTCTTAGGCCTAGGAGCCTGCGACTTTTCCACATCAATGGGAGCAGGTTTGGGCTTAGAAGCAGCAGCAGGCTTAGGGGCAGAGCCACCGGCAGGAGGAAGAGCAGTGTCAAGAATCTTTCTAGACAAGGCTTGGAACTGTTTGTTTCAATGTTAGTATTTATCGAAGTGAGGTCCGAGCTTGCACAACATACCTGTACACCCCCGTAAACGGCCACAATATCATCTCCGTCGAAGAGATATACATCACCAGCGTAGATTGAATTTTGCCAGGGCTGCATACGCACATATGTGCGATAGGTGACGTTGGGATCAAATTTCTTCAAGCAGCGCATAGAGTCCCACCCATGGTTGACGTAGACTAGGTTCTTAGAATCAGTCGCATCGCTTGCGTTCATAATGAAACCGGACAAGTGACCGATACTGTCGATCCAGAAGGGGTTGCGGTGGTAGTTACCAGGCGGCGCCTGGAACTTAACCAATGCAGTAGCCTCGTGCTGATCGCTATCGAGGATGACTTCCTGAATGGACTTGTAGTTTTCGTCATACTCGACCAGGGCACTGAACAGCTTATAGACCATGCCACGCTTCATCCGGTGAGCCTGACCAGTCTCTGTGCTCTCTTTGAGATGCTCAATGCTCCTCTTGATGAGGTAGGCGCTCCGCTTCCACTCGAGTTCAGCGACACTTGTGTCGAAGAACTTGATTGTGCAGGATGCGTGGTCGAGAATCTTCTTGCCCTCCGGGGTGACAGACCACACCTGCATTTTGGCGCTCTCTTCAGGCCAATTGGCAGTAGCAGAGACGCGGAACAGCTGCTTGCCCCCCCTGGCAATGAGAGGCTTGGGAACCACCACATCACATACGTTGAAGCCACGATCTTTCCATTCAGACTTGTACTTCTCCACAAGGAATTCTCCCAACGTCTGGGCAATATCTGCATAGAGAGACTGTGTTTGTTGTTAGTGAAAGGATTATCTAAACTGCTGTGGAAATGAACGACTTACTGATGGGCAGAGCGCGGCCCCATTGACCTTGTGACCTTGAATGACACGGTTCAACTCTGGGTCCGCTATGTCGTTCTCAATCGTAACAGTCGCCGACGTCCGATCGCCGCTAGTCTCCAGAACCTTTTGGCAAGAGGAAGTCAGGAAGGTCGTGACTGGTGCAGCCTCAGCCGCAGGTGTGGCTGGAGCACCCTTAAGCAGACAGAAGTTGTTGGTGTACGGGATCCAATAGTTCTTGAGATCCCACTTGTACGCAGGTAAAGCAAGGACTTCGTGCGCCGTGCTGAAATCTTGATGATATTCCTTCCAATTGAGATCAATGCCTGAGAGATAAAGAGCCGAAAGACTGTTCGACAGGACCTTCCAAGTATCTTCCTGGCGACGAAGAGAGGTGACTGTCGTCGCCTGAGGCCCGAAGGTCGACTTGACCATTCCAGAGCAGACTGGGTGCGAGCCAATCTCAAGCCATAGTGTTTTGTCATTCATGAGCTTAGCATGACGGGTGGCTTCCAGGGCAGCAAGGAAGTTGACAGTCTCCCGGCAGTGACGAGTCAAGTAACTAGGACCCATGACTTCAAGGTTTGCCCCATCGATGACATCACCCAAAAGGGCAGAGACGAACGGGATGGTGGGTTCATGGAAAGTTACTCCCTTGGCAATCCCTGCAAGGCCTTGGAGGATGGGTTCGACTTGGGCAGAGTGGAAAGCGAAAGGAACCTTAAGCTTGGTGGCCTTGAAGCCTTCCTTGGAAAGCTTCTCTGCAAGTTGGTCGATCGTCTCAATGGCCCCACTGATCACAGTCTCACCGGGTGCATTGATACAGGCTACCTCTGCAGTATCGTCATCAAGGAATTGTTTGACCTGCGCGACAGACGACTTCACAGCCAACATGGCGTGGGTTCCCACCTTGCATTGCTCCACCAGCAGCTGGGCGCGACGACCAGCGAGGTAGATCGTATCACTGGTTGTAAGAATACCAGAAGCATTCAGTGCAGCATATTCGCCCAGGCTGTGACCCAGAACAAATGTAGGAGTCACGCCCAAGGAGACCCAGAACTTTGTGAGAGCCATTTGCAGGCAAGTGGTCCCCAATTGGGTGACAACAGGGCTCAATTCCTCAATAGGCACACTTCCATCAATCAAAGGCATAATGGACGGGAAGCCCTGGCTCCGGCCAATACGGTCCAAGCGCTCAATGTTGGCACGGAATTGTGAATTGTTTTCAAACAGTTCCTTGCCCATTCCAGTGTACTGAGCGCCTTGACCTGTGTAGACGAAACCAATTCCAGGCGCAACTGCAGGGACCGGAGAAAAGCTGTCACCGCTTGCACTCGAGTTCAATGCACTGCGGATCTCCTCTAGGGTAGAGCCGGTGGCAGTGACTCGGAATGGGTGGTGGATTCGTCGCGCCGTGGTGGTGTAGGATAAATCACCGAGAAGATGTGACTCGTTAACGTTGAACAAGTTTTTGTTCTTGTCAAGGTATTGAATAAGGTTGGCAATGTTGTTCTTTAGGGCAGACTTAGATCGCGCAGAGATGGCCACCGGGTGGACGGTTCGGGGGTCCTTGCCAGTGCGTTCACGCAGGGGTCCATCTTCCATCAACAGTGCCGTGTTTCCACCGGCGGCTGAGAAGTTGTTGATAAAGGTCTTGCGCTTACCACCATCCGGTCGGTTCCAAGTAGTTGGCTTAAGAGCGATATGGACGTTGCGCTGTGCAAGATCGGTGGGGAAGTTGTGATTGATCTTGGATTTGATGCCACAGTGGGGAGGGATCATATTCTTTTGCATCATCATCAACACCTTCAGTAAGGCTGTAACACCCGAAGCAGATTCTCCGTGGCCAATGTTCGACTTGGCGGAACCAAGGTGAAGCGACTGGTTTGGCCCGCGGCGATAATCTGGAGCAAAGACGTCCAGAACAGATTGCATTTCGACAGCATCACCGGCCTGGGTTCCAGTACCGTGCATCTCAATATAGCTGACTTCCTTAGGGTCATAGTCATTTTCGTTGAGAAGCTTGTCAAAGATGAATGCTTGAGCGCCGGCATGGGGCCGGGTGATAGAAACTGCTTCGGCGGAGTGATTGGTATAGGCCCCGGAGATAACGCCGTAGATGGGATCATTGTCAGCTTGGGCGTCCTCCAGTCTCTTCAAGACAATAGAACCAATGCCATCTGCTCGGCAGTATCCATTGGCACCATCGTCGAAAGTGTTGCAATTTCCAGTGCGCGAAAGGAAGTGACCGCGATCGAGTCCAGCGTGATTGTCGGGGTTGGTCAGAATATTGACACCGCCGGCGACAGCAGAGTCACATTCATTTCGCCAAAGTGAGTTGCACGCCACGTGAATTGCAGCCAGACTTGAAGAGCAAGCGGTATCAACACTGACACTGGGTCCGCTAAACTTGAAGTAATAGTTGATTCGACCAGGAGTGAAAGCACGGTTACCGCCAGGAATGAAATAGGTATCAATGTCCTGTCCACTGTTGATTTCACGATAGTCATCACTGGTCATTCCATAGAAAACACCAACTCTGTTCTTCTGCGTAGACGGGGTGCTGTCAGGAATAAAGCCAGCCATTTCGAAGGCCTCATAAGCGGTGAGGAGCGCAAGGCGCTGAGCCGGGTCGGCTTGGAGTGCCTCACGCGGAGACATGTTGAAGAAACGAGGATCAAACAGGCCTGGCTCATTAATCCAGCATCCGTATTGAACTTTGCTCGTGTTCCTCGTATCTCCTTCCATATCGACGTGGGCCTTGACATCCCAACGCTCCGGAGGCACTTCACGGTGAACATCGAGTCCCTTGTACAAGAGATCCCAGAACGCTTCAGTGTCTGGAGCTTCGGGAAATCTTCCGGACAAACCAATAATCGCAATCTTAGACTGATCGGCACGACCGGTGCTGTTGGGAGTCTCGGGATTCTTCTTCACGTCACCAATAGTGCTGTCGAGCTCTAGATTTGATATTCCGATCTTCTTCAGTGAGCCGTAAAGGCTTTGAGTTGCGGTGCTTGAGATGGGATACAACGTGCATGTTGAGGTGGCCGGCTTCAAAGCAGATGCACACGAGTCAATAACCTTGTCCCAGCAAAGTTGACGGAGTAAGATTTCCTCAAGCGACAGCCTCAGAAGATCTTCGAGGCTCTTGGCATTGAACGGTTTGCCACTCGCACTCGATAGCACAGGGATTAGTGGGACATAGTTCGCGAACTTCTTCGTGGGCCAAGATTCCAGAATGCGGCCAATGTCTCTCTCATCGTAGAGGTGCATGGCATGGTACGGACCGTGGATTGGAACTCTCACGGGCTTCGACTCTTTTGGGAGTGAGGTTTCGATGAATTGCCCCAGAACACTGGGTGCTCCACTGATAGTCAGGCCATTGGGGCTCACAGCACTAATATATGGCAGTGAAACGCGAGGCAAAGCCTAAAGAGAGTGTCAGAGGCGGGATTTCTTTCTTGTGTCTGGATTTGTTAATTACTCACATTTGCTCGACCGAAATTCTCAATGATCTTTTGAGCCTCTTCCTGACGCATGCCAGAAACAAGGACAGACCAGCTTTGTGAGTGCCCATTCTCCTCAACAAGCTCACGCATTTTCACGACACAAGTTCCTAGTCTGAGAGCCAGAACAACGGTCTCAACGCCGGCTGGGATCAGCTCTCCAACTGTTTTGGAAGAGCTAACAGCGGCAGAAGCCAGTTGACCTGTGCATAGGCCAACTATGAGACTCTCGGACTTTGATGGATACTGATGTCCAAGATCTCCATAATAGCTGTTCATACCTTGATTAGTATGCCAAGATCCAAATTTGAACTTCTGGGATTGTCTTACTGGATGAAGCATCCCAGTTGATAGATTGTCGTCAACGCGCTCTCCAGAGCTGGATTGGGTCCAAATTCTCTATATCTGGCCAGGAGATCGACAATGCTTGTGAATCGCGGGAACATCTGTCGCTGGGATGGCGACAGCTGGCTGATTTCCTTGCGTAAGGCATGATAGCACTTCTGAAAGAAGGCTATCAGCAGCGAGTCATTCTTGGCTTGCAGCAGGCGGCGAAGACCTGAATCGAAATCTGCAGTCTGGTCTCCGAAGAGATACACACCACTGGGGCTCTCCATCTTCAAACCCAATGCTAGCCAGGGGTTCGAAACTTTACGAAGAAAGAAGAAGGAAAAAACAACCCAAGTATCTGCGCAAATTATTGGGGATCATGATTTATACATGCGACATCCGGCTGTATCTTTGTGGGGCGATCTCATGTCTCAGGGCATCATCACACAGAAGAACCAATTCTTGGATTTCTTCATGTGTTCCCTGTTTTCCATGGTAGGCTATAGTGACGATATGGGAATTTCGAGTTGGGCAGATCATTCCACGGTATCGCATCCAGTACTTTTGCCTTGGTAGCACTCCGGTCGATCGGAATAACAGGCGATCTGAGTCTGGCCAGTGGAACGGTTACTGCAGTCGGCGCTGAAGCTAAGACCTACGATGTTGTTTTCAAGTCTGTGGGTCGACCACCTCAAGCTATGGGTCCGATGGTGGCGCATTCCCTGGAATCATGGCTGGACCCTGATTGCTCTCACGGGATGTCAGAGGTACCGGTAACCCGAGGATAGCTCCTTGCTGGCCGAATGCTGTTTGCGGATACAATAGACATTTTGCAAAGTAAATTTCCCTGATATACGACATAATCAAGATCAAGAGCTCCGGATGAGGAACCGGATAGATGGAAAATGCTAGGGATCGTTGCACTGACAAGAGGTCGTCGCCGCTTTCAGAAGGTTGCAGCCGCAATCATCCACCTATCACGTGACTGTCTTGCCCTAGAAATGCCTCTTACTCCTGTGCCTTTTTTTGCACGTCCAGGGGGCGAGAGCCTCTGCTGGAGGTACAAAGTTCAAACATGAAATCTTTTTATATCTTACTCAGATGTTCCATAGATGTTCCATAGGTATGAAGATCGGGAAAAATGATCGCTTCTCTTCAAAGGATCAAAATAGAATTGATCGATTACTGTTCGATTAGTAAACTTTTCTGAATGCAACAACACTAAATGAAGTAGGTGATACCAAGATCAAAATTCAAATAGAGCATTTATTTGTAGATGTTCTTGAATTATCATACCAGTGTCTGTACTACGTCATGACTCGATCAAAATGTTCAGATCCTGGGTAAATATGCACGATCTTTTGTAGCAGATCCAGTGCCGTGAAAAGCGCATATCCAATGTCGGTCGGTCATCTTCTAGAACAATCAAAATCTAGACCACTAATGGATAATTTAAATTGATGAGGCTTCTGAGTATGTGTCACTTGCAATCAGTTCCCTGAGCTATTAGACAGGATCCGGGAGTACTTTCGCATTCTCTGCATTCATGTCAATCTAGAAGTAGCAGCCATGACCTTGCTCGACACAATTTGAGCTTCATGAGGCTCTAAAAATGGTATCAAGTCTTCAGCTGGTTGATTTCGAAAACTTTGCGACCCGCGATTGATCCAGAAGCCTAGATCAGCATCGATCATGGTGGGTCAAAGGTTACGGACCGATGCCCACCTGGCCAAGCTGCAGTATCTAGAATTCATCGCCGGAAATAGAAATATCGAACATAGTCTAAGAGCGTAATGAGACATTTTTCTCCCTCAAGTGTTGTCGGTATGGTTTTGCCATTGTTAAACGAATTTCATTATTTTATTAAACCAAAATCATGCACCAAGTCCCAAGAAGTATTAGTATAAGTGACGAGGCAACAGCCCTATTTACATATTGCGAGAGGCGCACCCGCCTCGATTCAATTCTCGAGTCGTATTTGAAGCTTGCGCATAACCCAAGTGGTTTCGGGCTCGGCGTAAGTAGTAGTTTGGGGGGGGGGGGAACCACGTGCGAGCTAGGAACCTTAACTGGTGTAGAGACAGCCGGAGCAAGCGTTGTGCTTGGAGTGTAACGCACAGGAGCGACAGGTGCATATGAACCAATAAAGGCAGTGTATCCCACTTGGCCTCCCGGCTGAACTCTAGCTAGCCATCTGTGCCTCACTGATTATGTGTGCCGTGTGGGGCTTTGGTCCTCGCCTGCTGGAACCTGGGGCCACACATCAATACCATCAAGCAAGGCGACGGCCATGCCGTTGGCAAGGTGTGTTTCAATGTGACAGTGGAGCAAGAATGGTCCTGGGTTGACTACCTGGTACCGCAAAATCATCCACGTCGGACCCGAAAGACCATTTGTGACAAAAGTATCTCGCCTCTGAGGGTTGTCCAGCTCGAAATATTCAGGATGCTCGTCAGCAGCCTCCTCAGTGCTGGACCAATTGAAAAAACCGGGACCAACACCCAGGATGAAGGCTTTGTTAGAGTGCTTGTGCATAATATGTGGACCCTGAGTCGCGGGAGAGCCCGGCATCTCTCCCAGTTGTAGGAGCAGGTCGACCCACGTCCCATTCAAGGTCTGGATGGTCACTTGCTCGGCCAGATTGTTTCTAGCGTCGAGGTCGTATAGAATAGGGTCATCCCAGTTCGCCATAACGTCATAGAGTGCATTCCCAGCAGCGGTCCAGGTGTAGGCGGAGCCCCAGCGGCCGAGGGTTAGGTTAACCAGCTGGTCAGCATGTCGAGGAATGGAAACCTCTGGGTAAGGCTTTATGGCTCTCTGCTCTAGAGCTACGACTGAATCAGAGGTGCTCTGTCCGCCATAGTTAACAGAAGGCTTAGAGGGCTCGGTGTTTGAGGAGCCTTTGTATCGCATCGTAGCAAAGCCAGAGATGACCTGATCGCCCTGTGTGTCGGGAACTCGGATGGTGTAGTCTTTCCCAACCTTGTCGAGCTTAACCATAGCGGAATAGCGTTCACCATTATAAATGCTGACACTATCAGCAGGTAGCGGCTCAATGTAACTTCCATCAACTTCATAGATATACATCTGGTGCTCGTCGATAGAGAACATCAAGGACTTTAAGGAAGCGGCGCTGATAAACTTGAGGGCAACCCATTGATCATTAGGGTCTACCTCAATGATCTCATGAAGGCCTGTCGTTGGAACACAGCCAGAGTTGAGGCCCTCAGGAATGCGCTCCGGGTTCGTGGGTGGGAAGTTTCCTTGGGTTTCGTAGACGTTGGGCAGGCAGCTGAAGTTGGTGAACAGAAATAAGCTATCGTACAAACGCATAGAACTTTCCATCAAAGTTTGGTGTCACTTACCCTTTGTCGGTAAGCGGTTGGTTGTCAATCGCGGTCTTGAGAAAAGAAAGCTCAACCGCAGAGATATTTTGAGTTCCAGGGCAGTAAACCGCACCCCGGCCATTGACAAGAACGCTGTCCATGCAGCTATCTTTGTATCAGTAACTATGAATCCCATGATCTATCTAGACCTGCACTCACAAGATGTTCACTCGGGTGTCCTGTTGCACCTGCTGATACTCAGCAGCCGTTAAATGGTCCCAGTCTGACAACATGACAAGTTGGGGATTCTTTTCCGCTTGACGCATAGCTTCGATATCATCAGGATCACTTGAAATGAGATGGAATGGGTCGAGCACATCCGGAGCCGGGCTGCATGGGTTAGTATCGAAAGATATGTCAGGGATCCAAAGATCTTACTTGATCCAGATTGGCCCATAGAGACCATCCATCATCTCGGATCTTGCATGGGCATGGTACCAGTAGGTTCCATATTGGGTAGCCTTCCAGCGGTATGTCCAACTGTGGCCTGGTTGGATAGGCTTTTGCGTCAAGCCAGGGACACCATCAGACCATGGGGTACCCTGCTGTTCAATGCCGTGGAAATGGATCGAGGTGTTGAAGGGCATGTTATTGTTCACAACGATCTAGAGCCAATTAGTATTGTTGGTTCCAATTCCCAGCATTCAGTCTAAAAACGTACCTCTACATCATCACCTTGGTCAAACCGCAACTCAGGTCCTGGAAATTGATCGTTCATAAAGATCATATCACGGACATTGCCGTTGGGGGCACCTTTCTGCCAAGTCAGGTTCAACTCGAATTGGGCCTGCTTAGCCCAAGCCAGGGACAAGAGGCCTGGGGCGGCGAAAGCCCACAGCGATTTCAGTGGCGCCATGCTTCAGTCACCTCTTGTATCGATTTGAGGTCAAACGTATGTAGAATCTACCAGATCGATTAGATCTCGGTCCAATGATGAGAACAATGGACTTACTGTCTCGACTGGTTAGATCAGCGGTAGATCTCAAGGGGCTTTCTCATGATCCTTGGGAGTAGCAAGATTTTAATAGTTCAGGTTTTGTTTCTCACCACATACCAGACCCTGTGCAACAGACGCCACAACAAGCCGATTAGGGTCCGAAAACACGTTTGCATATTCGACAAATTTAGTGAGGACTACATGTGGGTTTTGCAGCATTTGTCTGTGTGCATACTGAATTGGATGCACAATACATCTTAGGCCTTGAGGCTCTCATCATAAGGAATGTCCATGAGGCTGGAGGCGGCCTGGCTGCAACCGTTTTCAACCAGTGACGAATAAGTTGGTCACCTTGCGCCGGGGGGTAGCCTAGTCTGAGCTGAGTCATGCTCGAAGATCTCGCCCCAAAAACCTCTACGTGGTGCATTATGTGGTAAGCCTATGATTGTATGCAAGGGGTGCTCATAAATCACCCGCTAGAGTAAGATGTTTAGTTGTGGCTGGACATATTCGAGGACGGAGGAATGCGAGACATTTCCCAATCCGGACGCTTTGTACAGCATGACGAGGGTTCGACACCCAAACACCTTTTATTGAGCGGAGTGATGGGAACAATGGTGCTCAGACAGAGACTTTGTTGTGTGTTCGATTGCATCTCAGAAGCAGCGCTAGGAAATTCCATCTGTATAAGAAACGTTGATTGTGGCGAACTCTGCTCGAAAGAACCGTTGAACGGCTCCGGTTCCAGATTTGCAGAAAGTTCTTGATTTAAGTTGCGAAGTAGCCCAAGTCCCTCGCTTTACGAGGTCCAATCGTAAGATTCCAAAGTCCCTGAACTATAGGTCGTAGTGGCTCCGTTAGCTGTTTGTGTCCTCATCATCGAAGACCTCCATTCGAGCCTATGGGTAGGATGTTTACCTATCGCCCGCCTAGTTTTCGTAGGGTCAAACTTTATAATATATACCTCGATGTCCAGATGGCTAGAGACACATAAAGTGGCGGCGTTGGGTGCTTCCAAAAATGTTCGAACTAGCTCCAAACCAATCGCATCTTCTGTAATGATATCGCCCGCATCGACGCCTCGGAGGGATTATGATTACAAGTGGCCCCCAACCCCAACGAGTGGGGGAAGCGGGAGGTTGCCAGGGTCAAAGAGGTTTGGTTTGCGCCAAAGCAACCATGGATCAAGCTCGGGAGGCGCCATACATCAGCCACGCTTGATGCCGGAGAAACGAGGTTGATTGAAGATATTCAGCAACCGGACAATAGCCTGTCTCTCTGGTCAATAATCGATTTCCTCCACCAAAGAGACTTCAGGAACTAAGGCGATCCTTGCTCGGTGCCCTGGAAACCAGAAGTATGACATAAGCGCATTAAGCTTATCGATAAGGCAGGTCTCCGCCACTAGTCCCGATCGGGCCACCACGTAAACAACCCAACTCGGGCCTCACCGTCTGAATCACCAGCCCTGCTTGATCCCTCTTCCTCTCACTCACTTCCTTCGCATTCTCCTGCGGCCTGCAGTACTTCGAGTGGTATCATCTTTTTGACATTCCGATAGCCCTCTCCGAAGTCACAATGCAGGTTGTTTGAGCTTTTCCTATCATTGCGACCGTGCGTGCCTTGCAACCCCATCTGGGTCCCATCCTGCGACTACGACCTCCGCACCAACCTCCGATCCGTTAGCGGTTACCCATTGTCCAGTCCAAGCTCCTACGCTTTGACAAAAACCCTGCCATTAATCAATTTCAAGAGGCTACGCAATATTCTCTTTCGAACGTTTCCCATCCTTGGCGACCAACTTCACTAGGGTGGGTTGATCGCGATGGCACCGAGTGCGCCCCAGCTCCCAGTCAAGTTTCCGTGTTGGTGTCGAGCGGTTTATTCGTGGGGAGGTGAAACAACGCGAGATCTTGGCTTTGTGGAAGGCGATTTAATTGAATGCTTGAATGCTGGAGACGGACAATGGTGGATGGGACGTTTGCGCCGCGATAGGCGCGCTGTTGGGCTATTTCCCTCCAACTTTGTTGAACTCATGAGCGAGGACTTTGTTCCCATCAGTCGCGATACGAGTCCAATGGTGTTGGCCGGATCCTCGCCTATCAACAACCCGACCTCGGCCCCCAAAAAGACTAAGACGGTCTTTCGCAAGCCTTTTCAGGCGCACAAGGAGGGCTTATCTCCATCATCTCAGATGGCGCGGAGTGGATCTCATACTCCCGTGAAGAGCTCAATTCCGCAAACACCACCTCGAGCTGGCAGTATACCGAAAAAGGTCAAGCCTTTACGGACACATGCATCTGCAGTCAAAAACCAGGGATCCGTATCTCGCCCTTCATCAGTGTCCTCTCGCCCCTCGTCGCGGGGAATTTCAGTGTCTCCTCGTACATCTATGGAGCCGGAGAGGCCGTCTACTATGGTGCCCCGCGGCAGCGTCTCATCTTCGCGCCCGTCCTCGCGCGAAGTTTCACCCATGCCACGCGAAGTCTCCCCAATGCAACCTCCGCCGATGCATCGCGCCGTTTCTCCGATGCCTCATCGAGCCGTCTCTCCTATGCCTCAACGCGCTGTCTCTCCTATGCCTCAACGCGCTGTCTCTCCTATGCCTCAATGCGCTGTCTCCCCAATGTATCATCCAGCCTCCCCCATGCATCATCATTACCATGATCATCGCGAAGTGTCACCCATGGCGCGTGAAGTATCACCACTACAATTTCAAGAGCGTGAAGAATCTCCTCCGCCGCCGCCACCACCTCCACATCGAGTCGCTCTCAATCGCGCTCCATCACATTCCCCTCAGCCGCCTCAGCACGATCAATACCATCAGCGTTCTCGCTCTCCTCTACTACCTCAACCATCTCGATCTCCCCAGCCCCCCATGCACCATCAGCAGCACCAATCGCGCTCTCCACAGCCTCACGCCCATGCTCCACGCGCGTCACGCTCTCCAGCGCCTCTGAATATGAACGATCGCTATGTGATATTCGCACGAACACCATCTCCCGGGGCAGCCTCCACACACTCCGCCCACTCCGCAGTCTCAGCTCAATCAGACATGAATGGGAACACGCCCTCTCCATTGAGAGATGCTATGGAAGATGTAATGACATCATTAGAAGACATGGGCCTCCCTCGCGAACCGCCCTCGCCATCCCCACAACAAGCCCCATCGCCTTCACCTCTACCTCCTTCTTTCAACAACCCTTGGTCTGCAGATGAATATAACGAAATAAATGATCGAACACCACCCGCAACTCGCAGACGGCCTCTCACATCACTCGGCTTCGATGGGCAAAGGGAGCAAATGCGCGGTAATTCCGTACAGCGAAACAGCGTCTATTCACACGATCATTATATTGACGGTCCGCCTCAACTGAACAACTATGTACAGCGGATGGAGAGCCGCCTGCGCCAATTAGAGGACCAGAACCGACCGCCCGAGGATGAGGCAGGTGGGCCAGATGACGATCAGCCCCCACCACCGCCTCCGAAGCATGCAAGCTATCATCCCCGACACAATTCAATTGCAGGCCAGTATGCCCAAGTACGATCTGGGCAAGACCATAGGGGAGATATACTCAACAGGTCGCACACCAACAAGTCAAGCGCCACTACTTCCAGCGGCGTGCAAAGCATTGGGACCAGCATGACTAGCAGTACGGATAAGACAAACCAAAGCTTGATGAGTGGTATTTCTGCAGGTGGTTTCAGCGCAACCAGTGCCGGTAGCTATGCTAGACGGAATGGCGCCTATCAGCGGCCAAACACAGCTATGGATACCGTCCGATCACGGGGCTTCAGTGATGCTGGGAATCCAGACCGGCCGGAGACACCGTTGACTGGGATTTCCTACCACTCCAGTCACAACACATCTCGCCAGGGGGCCTCCTCTGCTATTCCTTGGTCCTCTACAGACAATGATGCAGGGGATTCTGGTGGAGTTTTCGGTGGTCTATCGACGCCCAAGACTAAGAAGCAAGGCTTCTTCAAGAAGATCTTCGAGTCCGCCAAGACGGGTGCTGCGAGCGCGAGAAGCAGCATTTCCGTTGGCCATGGCGCTGGCTCCCAGTCTCCGACCAAGGGAAATAGGATGATTGACGTGGTGTCACCACTCCTCACCCCCAACTCTTCGCGCGACACCGCACGGGACATGGGATTAAGTGCTAGCTCCATTGACTGGGTGCAAGTCCGTCGAGATGTCAATCGGGCATCCTCACCAAGTCGAAATGAGCGGATCGAAAGGGCTGAGCGGTGCCAGATGATGGATTATCCAGTCATCTATGCTATTGAGGAACTGTACGACACTGCAGAAGGTGACGAAAGTATCGACGGCTTACCGATCAGCGAACCCACGAATTTCAACGCTGGAAATCTGACTCTGGTCGACAAGAGTGCGCGGTTTATTAATAGCATTCCGCCACTCACGAACCCCGTGAGCCTTGCTCAGGGTTACATTTGCCGGCCATATAAAAGTGACGTTCAGCGTCTGCGGGCCATCTTCACCTGGGTCAGTGAGAAGATTGCATGGGAGGAGCCTGTTGACGGCCTCGATGTCGATATGAAGAGAGTGCTACAGGCGAAGCGAGGGAGCCCTCAGGAGATCGCCTATTTGGTGCACGAAATGTGTGCAGCCGTCGGTCTGCATGCTGAGACAATCCGCGGCTTCCTCAAGAATCCCGGTGACTCCCTTGATCTCGACAGTCTTTCTCGTCCGAATCACTGGTGGAATGCGGTCCTAGTTGATGGCGAGTGGCGTATCATGGATTGTGCGCTGGCGAACCCTACAAACCCCCAGCGAAGCAGGTTCGTCACCAACAACATGTCGGTGGCTGAAACTTGGTACTTCCTCACGCGGCCTCTTGACATCTGCTTTACTCATGTCCCACTTTACCCTGAAGAGCAGCACATATGTCCTCCCGTCTCTCCAGATGTCTTGTTAGCTCTGCCGGGAGTATGTCCGCAGTTCTTCAAGCTTGGTGCACAAGTCCCAGACTACGATACTAGCTTGATGCGCGTCGAGGGCTTAGAGTGTGTCCAGATTCGGTTGGTGGTGCCTCCCGACGTCGAATGCGCCGCAGAGGTTGAAGCCCCGGCGTTCGCTTGTGATGCAGATGGAGACTATTTCGAGAGCGGCGACATTGTCCGCAAGCGCGCCCTAGTCCAGCCAGACTGGTTCAATGGCCAGAAGCGGATTACCGTCAAGGCTGTCCTGCCAGGAGATGAAGGACAGGGTGTCTTGAAGATTTACGCCGGCAAGAAGGGCCTCATGCACTCTAGCCGCGACATCCCTCATCCAATGGCGCTCGCTCTGCCAATGGTACACACTGGAGAGAACCCACCATACGACTTTGTTTTGCGTCATCCCACGCCCCACGCTCAGCGCCATGATTTGTACATCATGCAGCCCCAGTGCGCCCGTCTAGCAGTGAACAATACCTTTGTCTTCGCCGTGCGACAGCACCCTTCTTCGCCTCAAGCACCGGCCAAGGATGACCATGCCGGTACGGGACGAGCCTCACCATCGGTTTTCAACCGTCCATCCAGTGCTCTTAGTATGGTATCTAGCACTGCTGGTGCATCCACGATCTCGAGCAATTCCAACGAGTTCTCCGCTTCGACGTCTGCCATCTCCTCGACCAGATCTGCGTCCGGACGCGAAAAGCCGGCCAAACTCGCCATCCAAGCGCCATCTGGCAAGATCCTGCGTCTTACCCGCAAAGCGGATCATATGATTAGCTCGCCGGATCCTAATGGCTGCTCCGTGACGGATGCTCCTGCCGAGGGCAGCGTATGGGAGACGGTCATCAAGATCGGCGAGCGAGGTACCTGGCGTGGCCTGGTCCTTGCTGACCGAGTTGCACGATGGTGTGTGTTTTGCGAATGGGAATGTGTTTAAATCCCTTTTTAGAAGTCGAAATATCGGCATTTACGTGACAGATACTGCGTGTTCTGTACTTGGTCTTTCTTTTTGATTTGCGGTTTTTGCATATCTCATGCTTTCCTGGGCGGTTTCCTGTTGTTCGACTTTGGCGCCAGCGATGCAAGCCGTGATTTTACCATGACTTTTCTTTCCCTCCCATACTTGGCATTTGCATCCGGTCGGTTTGGAGCATTGCATATATCTGCATTACAGTGTTTCCTTTTTGCCATCAGACATAGTCCTTTCTATCTGTCGGTGTTTGGTGTAGGTGTTAATAGGATCATTGAGGAATACATATGATGTTCCAAGATGTTTCATTTCATCATGTAGCTTCGTAGATTTTGACTCGGTCAACAAAGTGTTATGTAGCTTATAGTTTGGCAACTGCATCCCGCAGCATTGGCGCCACTTGTTTCCTGCTCGCGGTGGCATTTGTCTGCACCCACAAGTGCCTCCAGACCTCGGAGGTCCCATTCAGCGAAGCCCGGATATCGGCATCGACCAAATCCACGGACTCTCCATCCAATGACGTCCATTCGACCAGGCCAAGTGAGCTCGACTCTTCAATAAACTTCTTGATACCGTCCACTGTTAGACCGCTTTCCTGTGTCGCACAAATGAACAGCTCTCGAGTATGTTGCTCCTCGGCCGAGGTGAAAGAGGTCATGACGACCACCATGTCCAACTCTTTATCCTCCATCTGCGCAAATCGGCGAACGGTAGCCAGGAATTCTTGCGAACCACCTGCTTTTTCGATAATCCACCGAATAGGCTTGACCGATGAGCAAAAGCCGAGCTTGACAGTCTGCCCGGAGGACCGAGCCGTCTCGATCCAATCCTTGAAGTCACGATCCAGAATCTCTTCCGGGGTCAACAAGTTCAGGCTGTTCTTCTTCGCGTCCTGGATCCGTTCATAAAAGGAGTCCATGTTCCATTCGACGGCCGACTCGCTCGTTGCTCCGCAGACCAATTCGCGCAGAAATTCGAGGGACTGGATATCCACATCCTTGACCTTTCCTTTCGCGGTGAGATTAGATGTATCGATCAGAATCGGCGCCAGTGCGAGCTTCGCGACCTGCGCGATTTGTGCCGTGGACGACGCGTCCTGACTGGCGGTCCAGAGCCCGCGTTTCTGGAGCTCGCTGGTGATCAAGGACGAGCATGACCCGGGACCGGGCTGGATTACCAATGGCTGCTCGGACGGAAGGTCCTCCGATCCAGGTACGAAGTGCTCATCGGCGTGGTGATCGATACACCCCACCGTGCAGAAGGTGACTTCCTCCAACCCGCTCACGGAGCCATAGCCCGGTTTCCCTTCAACACGGTGCTGCATGGCATTCCAATCGACCATGACCGCATCTGCCTCTATTTTCTTCGTGGTAGGGAGCTCCTTCAGACTCCGTGCAAAGTCCGCAACCGTGACCAGATGCTCGCCGAGCAGTTTCCCCGCAGACTGGGAGTTGTTATCGAATTGCTCCTCGGGCCGAAGAGGGGGGCAGCCGGTGGAAAGCCATAACGCCTCGACAAATTCCGGTCTCAGTCGGTACAGCTCCGGACCTGCGGGTACATTGGAGAGGTTGAGGAGGGGGATATGGGGTCGCGGGGTGGTGGGAGGCACACGGTTGTTGGCGCAGTACGAGTACACAATGGCGGAGATGATGGAGTCCAGGTCGGCGGAGGGATTACCGAGCACGTAGATGGGGGGCTCGGGTAAGGCACCAGCCAGGAACTGGAGGTGTAGCTGGCGCGCCTGGCGGAGGAATTGGAGGAGCGTCATGGCGATTGGCTTGGGCTGAGCACAAGGAAAGACGTGGTTTGGGCGGGTGAGGCGCAAATCGCCTTTCTCCAGTTGGCTGCGACGTCACCGCGGGGTGCCGGTGCACAAGCTAAACTACCATTACGCCCAGCACGTTCTGATATAGACGGTAGTAGGACAATTTGTTATTCATAAGAAATCGTAGGAACTTGGTAATGGAATCAAATGATTGAGTTTGAGCTTAAAGACGCCGACCGAGTCCGCCTAGTCCGAACGGGCGTCCCGGTTTATATTTCACTCTACTTGGATGACATTAACGACACGACAGAAAAGTTCATGGCACGACAAGGCTAGTTCTAATGAGGAAACCCCCCTTTCAATACAAAATGCTATATTCGAAATACACCAGTTGCCTACCGAGTCATTATACATAATTTATATTGATACTTCTCGTTAACATCTTTAGCGACTGTATGCACGACCTCTATCTATTTATCCCTATAATAGACTAAGGTATTATTCTACTCCCCCTCCTACTATCACCCTTTTTTACGGTCTTTTCAATGGTCTTTTCTAAGATATAGGCTTATATATACATAAGGACTCTGCTGGTATTTTGCAAATCTCAAATGTAGCATTCTGTATTGAAGAGGTAGCGCTCCTCATTAGGACTAGGCTCGTCGTGCCATGAACTTTCTGTCGTGTCGTTAATGACATGCTTAAAGTAATTGCAACGCGATCAACACGCTCAATCAACAATCTCAATCTCGCATTCGGCCGTTTCTGTGTACATCCAATCGAAGAAGAGCGAATGCCACATGATCATGAGTATGAGGTGGTCGACTTAAAATCTTCCCAGTCAAGTCTGTCAACTGGTGGCTCTAGAAGTTGCTTAAGGCGATGGACCTAGTCAAGCTGTGAAAGCCCTCAAGAAATATCAAAATGGGAATCTGAAAGCTCGACGGCGTCGCGGTGGAATGAAACTTCGGACCTAGGATGCCCTTAATGCAGGGTCAATTCCGAGTAACTTAAGAGCCTCGTCCAATTGGCAAGTCCAATCTCAAAGTACGTCATCGAATTCCCCCACCGAACCACAATATCAACGATCAACAATCACATTACAGTCACCAGCACCAGCGCTGCCACAGAATTCAAGCACCACGCATTGCCCAAACATGAGGTCCAGGACGAGCACTCAACTGCCTCCACCCTTCAACCAACTCCCTCGTCACCCCATTCTATACCCCGATCCTTCTCCAATCCACACCCTCCCCACCCTCACGCGGATAAGCACCAGAACCCCCCACGCCCACCCTTCCCCCCGGATTTGCATCTTCGCCAAACGCGAAGACCACGGCTCCCCGCTCGCCTGCGCAGGCAACAAATACCGCAAACTCGAATACATCGTCCCGGACATCCGCTCCCAAAGACCGACATACCACTACCATGAATTTCATCCAACCACTCAACCCCTCCAGGGCCAAGCCACCATCCTCGTCACGGAAGGTGCTCTCCAAAGCAACCATACCGTCCAAGTCGCCGCCCTCGCCCGGAACCTAGGCCTCAAAGCCCTGGTCCTGCTGAACCGCGACACGGGCGGTGGATACAAGACAAGCTCCTCGCCCGAGCACTTCGCCCAACTAGGAAATGTGCAAATCAATAAACTGCTCGGCGCGGAAATCCGCACGTACAACGCAAACGACCCAGAAGCGACGGACGCACAACCCGTCCTGGAAGAGCTCCGAAACGCAGGCCAAAGACCCTACTGGATCCCCGGCGGGGCAAGTCTACATCATCTCGGAGGTCTAGGCTACGCCCGAGCCGCCTTTGAGATTGCCGAACAAGAACGCGAATGCCCACTCGGCAGCTCCGGCCGCTTCGATTTTATCTTCGTCGCCTGCGGGAGTGGGAGTACCGTGGCCGGATTAATAGCTGGGTTCAAGTTAGTGGACAGTCTGCGAATGGGCGCCGCCGAGAATTCGCCCCGGGCATCACGGAATATCATCGGCATTCTCAACTCCCCGACTAAACCACGCGCATATCATGAAGAGCGCGTGCTTCGGTTTGCGAGACGGGCGGGACAATTGATTGGTCTGTCCAATTCTGAACGGGAAATTACCATGGATGATGTGCAATTAGATGATCGGTTTGTGGGAGAGGGGTACGGAGTGGTCGATGATGAGACGCGCCAGGCATTGTCGATGATGGCCGAGACGGAAGGCATTGTATTGGACCCGGTGTATACGGCCAAGGTCGCGGCAGGGATGATGCACTGGGCACAAGGCGAGGAAATGATAGAATATGCCGAGAAAAATGGGTTGCGACAGGTGAATGTCTTGTTCATCCATACTGGTGGGCAAGCTGCGATGTCGGCATACTTTGACCGGGTCGTGTAAAGATGGTTGGGCCGAGATAGAGAGTCTTGAACCTGGAGGTAGATACTGCATGCACGAAAGGTGCCAAGATATCATTTGCATAAATGACTTGGAAGACGTCCAGAACTACTGCGAATACACCGGAAGGAATAGAATTCTATCGTCAAAGTGCTAAATATGACTAGCCCTGAGGAGAGGAAGTACCGAGATAGTCGGTTGGATAACGGCTGCATTCAACTAGTAATACAAGATATCGATGACGGGCAAGAGCAAGAGGGAAATCAAACATACCCAAAACAACGGACGGCCTCGGTCATCATAGGAAACATAGCCTGGATCGGAGACGAAAAAAAAAGAGAATCTCAAAAGAGGACAGAAGAAAATAGAGGGTGTAATAGGGCACGTAGTATCAAACACCATCCGGGGTAAAGTGTATCAAAACCGCTGCAATAGAAAACCAACCTCAACTCCGCGGACATTCGCCTGGCCCTGGCACCGCACCCCTTGTAGTACATCTTTGAAAAGCGGAATGAAGAATCAACCTGCGTGGGAGAGGAGAATGGACCAGAGTCACTCCATCATAGGAGGAAAAAGGAAGAAAAAAGATGAAACAGAAACATGAAGTATGTGAGAGACTCGGAAGGAGTTCAGACGGGGTTAAAAAAAAAGAAATCATTCCAGAACAACCAGAGAGAAAAAACAATCATAGCTCGGACTCGGGGTTCTCGTTCGTCTCTGCAGTAGAAGCAGCGGTGGTTTGTGCTTCCCCATTGGGAACTGCATCGTCATGAGGTGATGGAGCACGACTGCTACCATTACTAGCGTTGAGAGCCTCAAGGGCTTCGGTTGCGTGAAGATTCTCCATGGGCTCGGTCTCGGGCTCAACTTCTTCTTGGTTCGTGAGGTCCGCAAAGACATCGTCCAAGTTCTGACGAGGACTGCTGCTAGCAAATTGGGCATCACGGCCAAAGCCGGGAGGGCTGAAGAGAGGCTCCATGCCCTGCTGAGGCGTTGGCGATCGGTGAAGGAAAGAGGGAGACTCGGAGGCCGCGGCACCAGGTAGGAATGCGGAAGAGGACGTTGGCGCAAATGCAGGGGTGGAATCACTTGCGGGAAGAGAGTAATTCGCAGAAAAAGGATACGCCGCCGCACTGGCATCCGGCATGGGAGTCAACGTGGGTCCAGTGGCTGTGGGCACACCGTTACTAGGAGGAGATGGTGCGGGCTGTAAAGAGGTGGGTCGGGACGTTTGAGCATCGATTGACTTTCGCTTGCCCGCCACCATGTGCTTTGTGCGGAGGTGCTCGGGAAGGTCCTCCAGTCGGTCAACGCCAAGTTGAGCCATGATCTTCTGCTGCTTTGTCGGGCGCGGCTTGCGGGTTGACAGAGACTGCTCGAGGATCGGAGGGGCCTCTGGTGCAACGGGGGCCCACTTGTGAATCTCCTGACGGAAGAAATTGGTCTCGTAGGCCAAAAGAACTTCGGCACCCTCGATCTTTCGCAGGTAGAAGATCAACGTCGGTACTTCCTCAGTGGTGGTACAGGCAGCATTGGTGAAACCATGAAGGAAGTCACGGAAGGCAGTAGCTTGGTTGATAATTCTCTCAAGAACCTCCTCCTCATCAGGCTGGAAAGGCAAGCTAGCCATTTCCGTCTGCCAATCCAGCAGGTCTTCGAGCTTGGGTCGAGCTGCGTCTCGAGGAATCTTTTGCCGCCAGTCGCAGATGGGACAGGTGTACTTGTCAAACTCCTTGACTTTGCCGCGCGCAATCTTCAAGCATTTGCCATGGTACCATTCGTGGCAGACTTCGCATTCAATCATCATTCCCGCTTCGGAACGACGGCAAATACAAAAGACGTCGCGCTTCCGAGATTTCGGCCCCCACACGTTGGGAGCAGGGGTCTCAAGTAACCCATCGGGAGTGTTGTCCCGAGACGAGGGCTCCACGGGCGGTCGATAGCTATCCTCCAAATCGAAGCAGTAAGAGTTTCGGTTCTCCACGTACTCCATATGTGACTTCAGGATATGCAGAGGAGCATTTGCCTTGCCAAAGAGCTTCTTGCCCTTCCTCATCCAATCCTCATGGCGTTTCTGCTCGCGTTCCAGATCAATCGCCCCGATCGGACGACTGTTGAGCTGCTCCAAAGACTCCGTGAGTTCCCGAACCTCCTTATACTTGGGGCGGTTCTTCAATTCCGGGTCTTTGCTTTTCTCATAGAGCGTCTGAATCCGCTTCTGAGCTTCCCGTTGCTTGGTCAAGATGGCATCAACGGCCGCGAGGGTGTCGGGGGATACGGGGAATCGAGAGGCTTGTGCGGAGAGAGCTTCCAGTTGTTGATAGTGAACCGCTTCGACGGCTATTAGCTCCCGAGCCTTGGCCTCCCAGGCCTCACCGTGGCGAGACATTTCCTTCAAGTGGAGCAAATGCTCGTTATTGTCCTTGACACCAAGTTGCTCTCCAGAGACAATCAGATCCTGGCAGTCCTTAAGCGTGAGGTATTGCTCCCGTTTGCGGGCAGCTTCTTCGGTCCATTTCATTTGCTGATGGATTTTTTCCAGGTGTTCCACTTCCGGGATTTCGACGTTGAAGTTTCGGCCAGCTTCAACAAGGTCCTCGATCTCTTGGGCCGATCGGGTATGCGGGTTCCTCAGGGCAATGTTAAGGTCCTGACGGAATTTCTCGATTTCGCGGGTCTTCTCTTCCAGGGCCGCCATCTGTGGACAGTCGAAGGAAAGTTTATCAGCCTCTGCCAGAAGGGCGTAGATGTTCTCCACTTTGCGGACTTCTCGGTCGCGATCGTCCAGCTGCGCCGCCTTGGAGCCGGGTTTGCGCCACGCCTTCTCGTTCTTTCTCCGGTTCTGCTGCTTCCGGGTGATATAATTGTTCGCTTCCTCAACCCATTTATCGCAGCGCTGGACGAACGCCGCAAGATCTTGGAGGCCAGGCAGGTGGTACGGGATTTTCTCACCTTCACTGAGCAAATTGTGGAGAGCCTTTAGCTGGGGCTTAGGCTCATCCTCCAAGGTCTTGTCGAGCTTTTCTCCCCAGATTTCCGGAATCCTAGCACGTTCCTGAACCCTTAGCACTGCTGCTTTGAGCTGATCGTCGCTCATGCGGTAGCGAAGCGTATGACCAGGCCCGAGCAGCTTCTGTGATGGGGGTTCACCACAGCAGTCGTAGACCTCCGCATGCATAAGGCAGAGTGTCTTGCCTGACTTGTGGCAACGGAACTGAGTGAGGTAAGTGTACGCTTTGCAGTGCTGGCACTGGTAATCATCCTCTGGGAGGTCCTCCTCCTCTACTACGAACTTCAGCTGACAATCACCTTTGGGGGGGTTGGCACCAAGCCCGCAATTATGAGGTGCCGCATCTCTATGGCGAGCGAGGAACGATGCACGATCATGTAATTCCCTGTTTGTAGTTCGCTCAAGCGCAGGAGCAAGCCACTTTGCTGTTGTAATGGAATTGTCTCGCGCTGCTGCTGTAAATAGCAGCTCATCGTGAGAGAAGCAAGGGTGTCGACGGAAAGTCTGAAGACGCTCAACTCCTGCAGCGCCGAAAGGCTCCCAGTCGGCAGGTGCAAAGTTGACAGCCTCGTTGAAGTTGAATCCATGGTTGAACCCAGCATGGTAGGCTTGAGGGAAAGTAAGGACAAACTGGCCTGCTCTCTGATCCACTGCATAGACGTTGACACCAGCCTTGCGAAGTTTGTCAGGAGGCATCAACGTGACAAGCTGGAAAAGAAGATCGGGCTGGCCCTCGAATAACTCTGGGACTGCCTCCCGCATGGCATTCTCAAAGGCCTCGGCGTCGGAACCGGGAATACCATACCAAGTCTTGGTAGCGCCAAAGTGTTGATAGTTCGCAGAATAGGCATAATGATCCTCATTGTGCCAGCAGAAAGTCGAGAAGCACATTCCAACATAGACCCACGGCACTGTCATGCCGGAAATATCAGACTTGATATGACGGAACAGTGAATCACCGTAAAACGGCAGAACGTTCAAATTCCACGGATCGGACGAATACTGATTAAGAGGGTTGCGCTCAATAGTTGGGAAGCCACTACCATGAGTAGTAGAGTGGATGTCGGCGCCGTACTCGACTTCGACAGTCTCGTGCAGATCCACCACCAACTTCCAGAACTCGGCTTCGACATCATCCTCAGTCTCCCGTCGGTGGGTGTTGAGAACCGGATCAAACGGCATCTTTGAGGCGAAATAACGCTTTTTGAACTCGTTGGCCTTCTCCTGGAATTGTTTGAGGGAGTATACACCGCCATCCTCGAAGCCAAACTCTCCGGTGCCAACTAGGCACTTTGGGCAATGCCAATCGTGATCAGAAGCCGAGGTGGTAGTGGGATCAAGACACGTCGTATGGTATCCAAGCTCACAGCTGTCGCATACAAGAATCGTTGAGCGATTATCCGACTTGCCGCATGACTCGCATTTCTAAGGGATCAACATTAGAATTCTGGCTCGGTTTCATCAAGGGAAATGGAAACAACATACATCTCCAGTCCTTTGCACGCCATTGCGACCTTTGGGTGGTGCTGGTCGAAGGAGAGACATGTGAGACCCGGCCACGGTTGGTGGCATATCTAGAAAGACTAAGAGTTAGAGCGACCCGATGATTCTTGTTATCAACTTTTGAAAAAATACCTTTCTTGAGGCGCTTGCTACGGCGCCCACTTCCACCATCATCCCCATTCTCGGCCTGCGAGCCGCTGTCATCATGGCTGATGGCACGCTTCACAGGTTGTCCAGGCTGTCCGTTCGGCACTGGCGTGAACTGAGAGGGATGCTCAGAGACACTCTTCGGCGTCGAGACCCCATTATCAGCTTCGTGCTTGATGGACGGACCATTGTTGACTGGAGTAAACGCCGGAGAGTGATTCACAGCGGTGAAACCACCTGCACTGGCATTAACAGGAGTGAAGCCGGAGGGAGCTGGGCGAGGCGGAGGGGGAGGTGTAGGCTCCACAGAGGGGGTGGGCTTATCAGTGGCCTTTTCGACCGGGGTGCTCATCACCGGAGCCATGCGTATCGAAGGGGTTCCATCGCGGGTTTTGGATGGGGTACCATTCTCCTCCAAACCGGGCTTCTTGGTCATAGGCGACTGACGCGGAGACGGGGTGTAGGGGCCACCATGTTCCATTTCAAGCTGTTGTTGGACGCCAGGCTTCGCGCGGGCGAGGTACTCCTCATACGGTTGCAGATACCGCTGGTATGAGTTTTTGAGCGAAGTAGACAGAGAGGACATGATCTTTCCGCTGTAGCCAAGATCACGACCAATTTCAGCCCATTTCTTAGTTTTACAGACGGACTCAAACCCGCCTCGCACCTCGACGGCCTTTTTCAACTTGTAGAGGTCCAGAGGGCGTTTGTCCACACTGGGCAATCGACTGTAATTCGTTCCATGCTGCTTGTGAAACATGGCAAGCCCGTCGATATAGTTCATGTTCGCGCGGTTTCCTGGAGCAGAGTCTAGGTTAGAACCGCGCTGCGGAGAGACTCCACCGGCAGCAACATCGGCTGAACGCGGGGCCATACCTCCTTCGACCGAGTTAAGTTCCTGTCGACGGGTCTTGAAGTGGAATCGCTGTGAACACATCCCAAAGGTTAGCATACATAGAATATGATGGAATCTGTTGAAGGCGCAATCTGAATGAGAGCTGATGGCCCTGCCCGCAATAAGACTCGACCTCCAAGCGCAATCCGCGAAAACGGACTCAAGGACGGACGCGAGCACGGGGGAAAATCTACCTCTGTATCTATCGCGAAGGGGGGCTGCCAGTTCTCCGGAGGGATCACTCGGCAGATTCCATATTTCCTTCCTTCCGGCGCAATCTTTTGAATGTATGCCACGGGATCCTTAAATTCCTCCTCGGTTGGCCGAAATGTCGGCGCCTCGGGCAAACCATGAGGGCGCACGCGCTTGGAGGGCTCACGAGGAGCATTGGGTTGGCCGCGCCGCTCTACCGTGGAGAGATCCAGAGGCGCAGATCTCCGAGCGCTCAAAGGTACATTGTGTGAATGCGACGGGTGGGTGCTGGCCGAGCGAGTGGGCTGGCGGCCCATGGAGGATTGAGCAGCCATGGATGTTGGAACGGTGGAGGCCGGAGCCACCATCTCTCAGCGTTGTTTGAATGTATGACAGATTGGTGTAAACGAGGGTTTAGGGCCTGCGCCTGGATGATTGAGTACCGGGGGAGGTGTCAAGCGTGGTTCGAAGAGCGCATTGGAGGCGTAGGAAGGGTGGAATGATGAGACGAGAGAGCAAGGGCGGAGGACCTGCGATATCCGAAACGTGAGAGAATTACCAGTTTCTGTAATTTAAAGCAAAAACACTAGAAACGGGAAACGGGGTAAAGAGAGGGAGAAGTAGAGAGAGGATGGGAGAAAAGGGTTGATGAGCTGTGGGGGGATTTGAGGGAAGGCGCAGAGGAAGGAAAGAAGGATGGATTTGATAGTGGAGGAATGAGATTATGTGCAGTACAAGCAGTACTGTACAGAGAAGTCCGGGTAGACTTCGACCGGGCCAGGTTCGGAGACTGAGAGTCGGGGCCAAGGTAGTGGGGAGGTCACTGGACCGTATATTTCTCGCCGCAAGGAACCCAGGAGTGACCTGCCCGGTCTTGAACTCCATCGGACGGTGACTACTAGCTGATATGAACTCGACCTATTTACATACTTGAAACCATCGGTGACTGATTCAAACTTCTTCTATGGACCAGCGAACAATATATTACTATCATCATTATACTGCCACATGGATCAATTTTGGACCTCATTATTCGAGAGTGAGTGTCCCTTGGGCTACAGCCACGAAGCCATGGTACTTGCGTAAATAATGTGGTGAGCCAGTACGGTATGGTAAAGCTCGGTATGATCGGGCAAGTCAGACTCGGGGTCCTTCGGGTCCCTGTGCCTAACGGTGACCGCGGTCAATATGCAAAGCGGTAAATACCGGTAAGCCCCGTTTTGTTCAGGGTAATACTGTCTATACCAATTACCCATCGTCGATGCCGCAAACGGGCCCCCAATATTGGTGGCGCCAGTAATGAGCCTCTGTTTCTTTACCTTTTTTGACCTCCTCTTCTTCTTACAAGTACTTTCATCGGTCGACATACCGTGACCGAGGCCCAAGCGGCTTACGAACTACAAGGAAGGACGGAGGCTTGTCCTGTGACACATCAATTTTTCCTCGTACGGTTGGAATACAGCGTATCAAAGTAGATTTTTGGTACATAACCCATCCTGGCCCGCTTAAAAGTTTAAACAAATCCACGCATAAGCTGTAAGGAAATGAAAATAATAATCATAACAGTCAAGTACATGCATCATTACATAGATCGTCATCATCGTGGGTAGATACCAAATTTGCACTATAATCCCTAGGTATATTTTATGGCCCCTCAAGTTGTATGGATGTCGCTTACACTAGATTGAAACGGGCGTATCTAGGTTAGTTCTAAGCGATCTGAAAAAAATTTCTCTCGCGAAGAATGGACCAGACTGCGTCGCAGATTGCGTCGACGTCGCATCAAACTAGATCGACGAGATCTGCCGAGGATTGGGCCTAGCGGATGGCCCGGTCGTCGGCGTCACTCCCATACGGGGATCCCAGTCCCCGAGTGAGATACTCCTGAAATAGTCGTGAGAGTAGCCAAAGGGATGATAAGCATCATCATTATATCCCTATTCACTAATAATAATACAGAAAGTCCCAGTAGATTCCGATCAACTACAAACAAACCCCAAACCCAAGCCTAAGCCGAGTTGACCCCCGTCATGTGATCGCGCTGTTTATCAATTCGGCCCATGCAACAGTACTGTCCCTAGTCCAACTTCGTACAAATGGCTAACAATTGCTAACGAAACAAAGTTGCTGTAACGAATGGAAATCAGGTATCGAAGGCTTACATGTTAAATTGCTTGAAACACCGAATTTTTCCATCTGCCCCCCACCATGGACATTCAGGGACAGCCCAAACCCATCCCAGCTTATTACTGCTGCTATCTGCTCCGTTCGACCGTTCGGCACGCCTCGCTTTATATCGGTTCGACGCCAAACCCAATTAGACGACTACCGCAGCACAATGGAGACGCCAAAGGTGGGGCCAAGCGGACTTCGCGCGACAAATTACGGCCTTGGGAAATGGTGCTGGTTGTCGAAGGGTTTATGAGTCGCGTAGGGGCGCTTCAATTTGAGTAAGTCGGAGCACAAAATGCCCTCTCGTTTGAGATTAATACTGACAGGGATATAGATGGGCGTGGCAGCACTCTGAAAAATCACGCCATCTTCTAGAAGACGGTGCAGAGCTGGACATACAGTCTCAAGTCGCTATCGGTTCGAAGACGGGGAAGGCCAAACCGCGAGCTTCTCGATCAAGAAGATCATTGACTGCTCACTTGGAAGATTTGCACTTGCTGCTTCGGTCAGTCTACTTCGCTAGTTGGCCTTTACGTGTTCGCTTTTTCCGTGCAGACGTCTATCGAGTTTGGAGGATATGGAATGAGCGAGTCGACGTCCCGTTGCCCGACGACAAGATCATCCTGGACGGTGACTGTCCAGGTCAAGGCAACAAAGATCTTGTTGTTGGTAGCATCAATGGTTTGTCAGTAGACTATACCAAACTCGAAATTTACCTAGAGAAGTCTATGTTTCTTCTCGGCGATGCACAGGATCTTCAGTGCAAATTGTGTAGTGCTATGATGGTACCCAATACGGAACAGATTGTGGTCTGCCCGCACACACATTGCCGAGGCGCACACCATCTTCTATGCCTATCTAAGGCATTCCTCAAGGGAACCGATGATTCAGACATTCTTATACCAACGAGTGGAGTCTGCCCGGCTTGCGACAACATGGTATCCTGGCCACTGATGATGCAAGAGCTCAGCCTTCGCAACCGAGCCGAGAAGGAGGTCCGCACTATTCTGCGGCGGAAAGAGAGGCGTGACCGCAAGGGCAATGCTACGGCATCGTCTAGCAATGACAAGGCAGGCCCAATTCGCCAGGTGTCCGTCGAGCCTAGTCAGCACGGATCGCGGGACCACGGTCATCCAATGACCGCCGACGACCCTCTCTTAGACGACGATTGGTACGAAGAAATCGACATGGAATCGGACACGGAGCATGGGGCACAAAAGCAGCGATCAACACAGCCACCGTCCAGACTAGAGATCGTCATTGAAGACAGTGATTGGGACGACGCCGAAATCATTGAATGAGCAACGAAATAAAAAGCGCTCAAAACGCACGCAGCATTATATTAACATTCAGATCCATCTATGCAACCCGACTAATGGCCAAGCGGCCCCAACGTCCTCAATGGCCCAATAGTATCCAGTTGCGCCATGCAGCTCGAAACAGCAGTCTGGATATCCTTTGAGACCTCCTCCAGCGTCCTCCCAGCATCAACGACACAAACATCCCTCTGCCGCTCAAACAACGAGCGGAACAAGTCCCGCACGCGACTCTGCATACTCTCATTCTCGTATCTTTCAGCACCGAATCCGCCTCGTTTCGCAGCCTCCTCGGCAGAAAGGTTCAGAAACAGGCAGATATCAGGCTGCGGGAGCCCGATCTCCGGCTGCCAGGCCCACTCCAGTGAGAGGGTGGGGTTGGCTTTTGCGGCCGAGTAGACGGCGCCCGAGTATGAGTAGCGGTCGACTATGACCGTGATCCCGGCGGCGATATCTTGCTCGATGCTTTTGGCGATTTCCCATCGGTTTGCGGAGAAGAGGAGGTGGATCGAGTGGTCGTCTTGGTTGGCGGAGCCGCGGAGGTAGCTATCTATGAGCTTGCCGATGGGTGTGGTCCTGTCTGGTATGGGGATTAGATTATGCCATCACAATTGATACAAGGAGGAAGCACCTGGAAATCGAATATATTTCACATTGTGCCCTTGTTCGGAGATGTAGTTTTGTAGCATTTCGCATTGACTCGACTTGCCGGCGCGGTCGAGACCCTCGACGACAATCAGGGCTCCGCGTCGCGTCGGTGTTTGTTGCGAAGCTGTCATTTTGGTAGTTGTTGCAAATAATACGAGTAATATGACGGTAATTGGTCCAAGGTAGATTCGATCTCAATGGCTCTCTGTATTGCGTCTATACATGAGCATGGACGAGTGGTGATTCAGTAGGAGAGAAAGTGACGGGTCGTTTGTTTAATGGACTCGGTCCCCCAAGCCTCTTTTTTTCTGCCGCCTCCCCCGATAAGATCGCAAGATTCCAACGTCCGCCAGCATGGCCACTCAATAACCTCAGCAACCATGGATTCCGAGCCCTCTCCGTCCCACGAGATGACATTTAGCATCCTGGGCTCCGCCGCGCCAGTACTGGCCCCTCGAGCAGGCACATTGGCCCTCGCTGGACGCCAGGCGATAGCGACACCGAATCTCGTCCCGCTCACATCGCGGGGCGCCGTGCCGCATATCTCGCATGATATGGTGCGCAAGGAGACTTCAATTAACAGTCTTTATGTTGGATTAGAAGACTGTACGTGTGCTATGTGACCTCTATATTGAGATTCATCCTCAAGGGCTACCCTGACACGGCACATACTGACCACGCGACATGTCTCTGATCGGAACAGTCATCGAGAGGAAACACCCTGCCCCGCTCTATAATGTCCCCGCCAATGCACACGAGTCGCCTTTGAGGAAGTTCATCTGTGCACAGGGTGATGCGACCCTGCTTCTAGGTCCACGACGATACCCTGCGATCGCATGCCCGCCCAACAACACCGAGACCTCGATCGCGATCTCGACTTCTGTCGGGTTTCGGCAGCTTGAGGCGCACAGGTATATTGAGGCCATACAGAAGCTGAAACCTGATATTGCCATTGGTCTGGCGGATCTGGTTCTTGGGAGAGCGCCGGGTTTGAAGAGGCGGGGTAAGATGGTCGACCGGACGCATGCATATACTCGCGATGCACTGGAGCATCTATATGGGGAAAATGTGGCAGACGTAAAGAAGTCAAAGACAAAGTACTTTGCTCCAGTCTTACCGCTGGACAATACACAGCAATCTCTTTATTTAGATGATTTGGAGGACGAGTTCCGGGATCGCATCTCGGGACTGGCGCTGTACGAGTCGGCTTCTTTGGGCTACATCCCCGAAACCCTGGGCGATCTACCTCGTCTATTGCTGAGCGAGCCATCGAGCCCACACGAAATCTTGCGCGAGATCTCGCTCGGCGCAGACCTCTTGACCGTGCCTTTCCTGCAGGGATGCTCAGATGCTGGCATTGCGCTCGATTTTGAATTCCCCGTCTCCGCAGCTCTTTTGGCGCGCGGAAAGCCGCAGCCTCTTGGTCTCGATCTCTGGTCCTCAGAACATGCCAAGGATGTCTCTCCTTTAGTCCAGGGATGTGAATGCTACGCATGCCGGAAGCACCACCGGGCCTACTTTAATCACCTTCTTCGCGCAAAGGAGATGGCGGCGTGGGCTCTTCTCCAAATGCACAATCACCATGTGATTGATCGTCTCCTCGCTGGTGCACGCGAGAGCATCAAGCGCGGTACTTTCGAGCAGGATGCCGATGCATTCTACGGCGCCTATGCCCCTGATTTGCCAGACCGTACGGGCGATGGCCCTCGGTAAGTTCGACTGAACATTCTCCACCTGCTCCTCCACTGAATCATACTAACGCGAAATAGCCTACGCGGTTACCAAATGCCAGCTGCTGGCCCTAACCAGCCCCGGCGTATGTCCAAAGTATATGGTCGTTTAGATGACCTGTCGCAGAAATTTGCCGAGTCTCAGTCATCGGTTGCTACCCCCGATACGGACGCAGAAGGACTTGAGAAGCACGGGTTTGCGGAGAAGATATAGTTGAGCGATTCCTTACAGCATGGATGATCTTTTGCTAGAGATTCGTGGCGCTTATTATTAGAAGCATCCTGGAAACAGGCCTGCCTTTGGGGGAGTTTCTGATTGTGTCTGGTGTTTTGAAAGCATGCATATAAGCCTTAGCTACTCTACTTTTATCTTGCGGGAGAACCTCGGGTTTATTATATGAAAATGGGAGTTGCAACTCATGAAAGTAGTGGTTCAATTTCATATAGTCATTCCATCGATCGCAAAAGCACCCAGAAAAGTACTGTACAGGATCCAAGATCTCATGATACCACCAGTCTTTCTCACATGGCCGAAATAAACAGATCATCATGGTCGCAGTCAAGAATAAACAGGAAAGAAGCGGAAGAAGGAAAAAAAGGGAAAGAAGGAGGGTATATCTAGCAGATGCAATTTAAGCGGAGAGACTCTGTCTACATTACTGAGTCTCGCCCGCGAGCACACGCCACATCCACTTAACCTCATCCTCCTCTTCTTTGCTGCCTTGCGGTGTACCCGCGCCGAATTGTTGACCGACAACGCAGACAAGCCAAGTGTCATTCTTAGTCGTGTCCAGGAAACGCTCAGTAGGTGAGCCACGAGGGTAAATGCGGCGCCATTCATCCCAGATGCGGAAGGCTTCCTCGCCCCAGGCGCGGAAACTAACCTCTTCGATAATGGTAGGCGTGACAATCTCCTTGCCACGGAACACACCCCAGGTGACAGCATTCACACTCTCGGGGTTCGAGTTCAGATCGTCAAGCTCGACATCGGCCGGCTGGACAGGGAGCGAGGACTCAAAGGCGCCGGTGTTGTTGGTTGCGAACCATACGAGCTTGTCATGGCCGTGTTTGGCGAACAAAGGCTTAAGAATAGTATCATAGTCCTTGCTGGAACAGAAGAACTCGACGAAAGGTTTCTGGAATACAAAGCCTTCCCGCTGGGGACCCCAGCCGAAGATGTGGTGGTCGCTGCGGACACCGTTGACGGCGGGCTGAGAGGCCAATGTCCACCAGCCGCGGCCGTCAATGAGCTTGAGCAACTCGGGGCGAATAAGCTCCGTCTCTGCATTCAGACCGGTACCTTCCTCTGCGCCACCCTCAGACCAGGGCACCATGTACAACTCGCCGGAGACGTGGCGACGGAACAGGGTGCTGATATCGGAGGGCTCGACGGGGTGACCCCAAATTCGGCGGGCCACAGCAGAAGTGACATGGAGGGATGGACCATATCCGTCAATCTCACCGAACGCTGGAGAGCGGGCATCACCCCATCGACCGTTGGGGAAGTCATCCCATGTGGCCTCTCTGCCGAGGGAGCCTAGACCTTCGGAAATTTGAAGGGTTGTACCCCGGCCCGGGGGCATTGCCGGCTGTCCCACGCTGTTGGCAAGAGCCTCGTGGACGGAATCATGGGAGGACACTTTGGAGGAGAGCTTGTCCACAATCACACGGTTGTGCGGCTGAGAGTTGATAGAAGAGGCCCGGCGTCTGGCCAGGCGAGCTGACGCACCAAGAGGCACAATGCCATCAGCCTCCACAATGGCATAGTCATCTTCGATATCAGTCGAAGCCGGAATCAGATCGCATCGCTCTAGAATGAAAGACACAGTCTTCTCCAAGTTCAAGGTATAGAAATGGAATCCTCGTGGTCCGGGGGATTTGAGCTCTTGCATTCCACCGACGATCTCGCTGACAATATCCACACCGGCCCGCTTGACGGCGTCATCATCATGCTTCAGTTCCTCCATCCGCTTGGCAATGGGATCTGGGATATGCACGTGGCTGAGCTTCGTCACTCGCGTGAGAATCTTGTAGCTGTGAATGGGCATCAGACCCGGGATGATGGGAATGGTTTTGAAGACTCCAGACTCGTGATTCCGAAGCATATTCTCAAACTTCTGGTACGCTTCAATGTCATATGTGAGTTGAGTCATGATGAAGTCGGCCCCGGCCTGGGTCTTCTCAATGAGGTATGGCAGATCTCGAACCGGATCCTGGACATCCTGGAACGAGTCGGCGGGATGACCCTCGGGATACGCAGCAACACCGATGCAGAAGTAGTCGCCATGTTGCTTGCGAATGTACCGCACCAGGTCCACAGCGAAAGTAAAGTCCTTGTTGCTATCGTCCTCACCATGCATGTTGTATTCCTCGCTGCGCGGCGGGTCTCCTCGCAGAGCCAGGATATTGCGAATGCCCAACACCTTGGCCTCCTCCAACGCCATGTCGACCAGAGCGCGGCTCATGTTCGTGCATGTGAGGTGCAGCACCGTCGTCAACTGCAACTGGCGCTGGCAGACTTCCGCCAGCTCAAGGGAACGGGCCGCCGTGCTTCCGCCTGCACCCCAAGTGACCGTCACGAATAGCGGGCGTAAGGCCTGAGCCATGCGCTCCAGACGTGCAGACAGGTTCGCGAAACCCTACAGTAGCCATCGGATTAGCAAATCTGCGTCGTTGCCTCAATTTCTCCTGCTCTAGTCATCGCGAGCGCACCCGCGGGGTTACCCCACCATCCGAGTCTTAGGAGGGAAGAACTCCAGCGAGAAGTAATTGGCATCTGGCGGCAAGGCCGCAATCTTCTCTGTAATCTTCTTCTCCATTGCGAAGGGTTTCGTGGTCGGCAATGGGAGAGGGGGTTGAAGGGAAAGAGAGAAGTTTTGGGTAGAAGTGGACCGTCATGAATTCTCCGATGTAGGTTGGTCGCATCGGGAAATATGAAGTCTACGCCTGCCGATGACGGCCATTCCGCGCTATGCGCAAACGACCCATCGTTTCGGGCCTGTTACTTGTATCTAATGCTATTTACTGGTCTTCCTCTGCTTTCACGTCATTTTTCGAGCTCGAAACAAGCTTAACGGAAAGAAAAAGCGGAAAAAAAGAGGCTCACCCGGACAGGGGATTACTCATCTCGACCATGATGGCGTTTCTTGTACACTTCCATAGTTCATACAGTATTCCGTACTTATTTGACTGTGAACGAGTATGAGAATAGCTCCCTGGATAACTACTTTGCTAGGTATTCTACAGTTCTACAATCTTCTGAATCAATTCGACCATTCTTCAAGATGGGATATACTCTTTTGCAAACTAATCACTCTCGGCCGCCGTAATAATACGAGCCCACGCGATCGCCAACCGAAATTCAGCTACCGCAGCACGCCAGGACGCCCGGTCCTCATTGCCAAAGCGAGGCATATTACCCTCCTGACACTGACACTCGCCGTATACCTCCGACATACTCATTAGCCCTCCATATTCAACCATGATTGTCCGGCGTCCCTTAACTTTCCCGACCGTCCTCCGTTGGGTCAACGCCAACGCAGTGCGGCAGCCTCGACTGACACGAAGGAACCTGTCTACGCCTCCGAATCCCCCGCGAGCCCCAAAAGATTCTCAATTCCGTCTACATCGCTTCAATGACCGACTACCTCGATTCCTTCGCACATATACAACACCGCTGTTAGGAGCTCCGGTCACTCATGTCACCTCCTTCCTGGTCTTGCACGAAATCACCGCGATACTACCACTGTTTGGGCTGGTCGCTGCGTTCCACTACGGCGCATGGATGCCGGATCTCAGCTCGGATTCTGAGTCGGGGAAAAGTAACGCCTTTGATGAGGGAGCGAAGCGGTTCGGACGCTGGCTAAGGAAGAAGGGCTGGGTGGAGGAATCCGATGTCAGTGCCGTTGCGGAACATGAGGTTACAGGAGCTGCGCACGGCGCGCAAAAGGAACAAGCGGGAGTTCGACTGGTGTTAGAGTTTGCGACGGCGTATGCAATTACAAAAGCTCTGCTACCCCTTCGCATAGCAGCTAGCGTGTGGGCTACGCCGTGGTTTGCAAGGACGATTCTCACGCCGACCACGAATGCCGCTAGAAGGCTGTTCCGTAAGAGATAGATTCGACAGCATCCTTATCTTTACTGATACCAAAGCGGTCTGTACTCATAAATCATATGACATATGTGTGATTTTGTAGCCATTCAAGGCCTTGAACTCAATACTATTGCAATTCTATACCGCCAACAGCCGAGGGCAGGCACTTTTCAGGCACAAGTCTTGTGGAAAACGAGTAGTTTACTCGTAGACCCACTGGGCCTGGGTGTGCTTCCACTGGAGGACCTCGGAGGGAGAGAACCAGAGGGCAATCTCCTTCTTGGCGTTCTCGACGCTGTCGGAGCCGTGGCAGACGTTGCGGCCGACATCGATGGCGTAGTCACCACGGATGGTGCCGGGGGCGGAGGCCAGGGGGTTGGTGGCACCGAGGATGGTGCGGCCGGTCTTGACGGCGTCCTTGCCCTCCCAGACCATGGCGCAGATGGGGCCGCTCAGCATGTCTAGTAAAAATGTGTTAGACGCTTATCATGGGCGTGGGATGGAGGGGAAAGTTTCGGAGCATTGCAGAAACTTACAGGAGATGAGGCCCTTGAAGAAGCCCTTGCCGGCGAGGTCAGCGTAGTGCTTCTCGAGGTGCTCCTGGCTGGGGGAGGTGAGCTTCAGGGCAACGAGCTTGAAGCCACGGTTCTCGAAGCGAGAGATGATGGGACCAACGAGGCCACGCTAGAAGGGGGTTAGCGATTGAAGCTCAATTGATAGTTCGGCCGACTTTTCGTCGTAATGTCGGTTTCTAAATTCTGGTGATCGTACCTGGACACCATCGGGCTTGATGGCAATGAAACTGCAGCAATCGATTAGCTTAAACTTCACACCGCCATGTAGAGTCGCAAGAGAAGTCGCTGGGGGAAAACAGCAAGCGGGGGTGGGATAGAGAGCATAGACAAGGCATTGGATATAGTTTGGGTCACTTACGTCTGCTCGGAGGACATTTTGATGGATTGGGACTTGAAGATTTAAGGATCAGCAAGGGATGAGGAGCAAAAAGAGGAGGGAGGGGCAGAGGAGAATAAATACCTGTGAGCCTTTTTTTGGCTGCAATTGGTGGGGTGCCTCTGCCTGAGGCAAGAAACCCGACATCTCGAGCGCCGATTTTTGATGCCTGCTTTTCAGGCCTTCTGGCCTTGTGGCCTTGCAGCCTTATGTCCTAAGGCAGATTACCCCAGCTCTCCACCGTCAGGCCAGCCTGGAGCTTCCCTCGTTGACAAGTCTACCGCCCTTCGGATGCAGGTCCACGCCGAACTCTTACGAAAGCATTGGGTCAGAGATTGAGGGTCTCTGCTTGTATCTATCCTCGTCATGATGGCCTGGAGCCGGCCTGCGTCCCATTGGACGTTATTGCTGTCTTTGGTTGTTCTTATCGCATGCATTATTGTCCCCGGATGTGAGTTCACACCTTCCGCCACTAGAAATTACATTGTTCGCGAGAGTTGACTGAATATGGTACCGACAGTGGCTGTCAAACATGAAAACTTCAAAACCTGCGATCAGTCAGGCTTCTGCAAGCGAAACCGAGCCTATGCCGATAATGCCTCCGCTCACGGCTCGTCCTGGAGCTCCCCCTACGAGCTTGATCCTGCCACTATTCACTTCAAGGATGGCCAATTGACCGGAGTCCTTGTAAAAACTATCTCGAACAACGAGAAAGTTCACTTGCCGCTTACGCTTTCTTTCCTGGAGTCCGGCGCCGCTCGCCTGCTCGTCGATGAAGAGCGACGCTTGAAGGGCGATATCGAAATCCGACATGGCAGCAAGGTGAACAAAAAGCGTTACGATGAAGCCGAGAAGTGGGTTATCGTCGGTGGTCTGGATACCAGCAAATCGGCAGCTCTAGACGCACAATCTGAGACCGGTTTCACCAAGGTTTTGTACGGGCCTGAAGGCAAGTTTGAGGCAATCATTCGACATGCGCCATTTGAGGTCGAGTTCCAGAGGGATGGCCAAACCCACGTCCAACTCAACCACCAAGGATTCCTGAATATGGAGCACTGGCGGCCAAAGGTGGAGGGCAAAGACGAAGAATCCGGAGAAGATGAGAGCACTTGGTGGGAGGAGAGCTTCGGTGGAAACACCGACTCCAAGCCTAGAGGCCCTGAGAGTGTTGGTCTGGATATCAGCTTTCCTGGCTATAATCATGTTTTCGGCATTCCTGAACATGCAGACTCGCTGTCCCTCAAGGAGACCCGAGGTGGTTCTGGCAACCATGAAAACCCTTACCGCATGTACAACTCCGATGTCTTTGAGTACGAACTGGACAGCCCTATGACCTTGTATGGATCCATTCCATTTATGCAGGCTCACCGTAAGGGTTCCACCGTCGGTGTCTTCTGGCTCAATGCCGCAGAAACCTGGGTCGACATTGTCAAGAAGAAGGCTGCTTCCAATCCGCTCTCGATGAGTGCCTCTTCGAAGACCAACACCCATACTCACTGGTTCTCCGAGGCTGGCCGGATCGATCTTTTTATCTTCCTGGGTCCCACTCCCCAGGATTTAAGTAAGACCTACGGTGAACTCACCGGCTATACTCAGCTGCCTCAGCACTTTGCCATTGCCTATCACCAGTGCCGTTGGAACTACGTCACTGATGAGGATGTCAAGGAAGTGGACGCCAAGTTTGACAAGTACCAGATCCCTTATGATGTGATCTGGCTGGATCTGGAATACACTGATGACCGGAAGTACTTCACCTGGGACCCTCTCACCTTCCCCAACCCCAAAGGCATGCAGGAAAAGCTTGATGCTTCTGAGCGGAAGCTCGTGGTCCTGATCGACCCTCACATCAAGAACAAGGACGATTACTACGTCTCCAAGGAATTGAACAGCAAGGGCCTTGCTGTTCAAAACAAGGATGGTGAAGTATATGACGGATGGTGCTGGCCCGGTTCCTCGAACTGGATCGACTGCTTTAACCCCGCCGCATTCCCGTGGTGGAGCAGCCTCCATAAATATGACAGGTTTAAGGGCTCCATGTCCAACCTGTTCATCTGGAATGACATGAATGAGCCTTCGGTATTCAACGGCCCCGAGACCACTATGCCCAAGGACAACATCCACTATGGCAACTGGGAGCACCGTGATGTCCACAACGTGAACGGCCTCACCCTGGTGAACGCCACTTACCAAGCCATGTTGGAGCGCAAGAAGGGTGAGATTCGCCGTCCCTTTATCCTCACTCGGTCGTATTATGCCGGAGCTCAACGCCTGGGCGCGATGTGGACTGGAGACAATCAGGCCACTTGGGGTCACTTGGCCGCTTCACTCCCCATGGTTCTGAACAACGGCATTGCTGGCTTCCCCTTCGCTGGCGCTGACGTTGGTGGATTCTTCAACAACCCGGAGAAGGAGCTTCTGTCCCGCTGGTACCAAGCCGGTATCTGGTATCCTTTCTTCCGTGCTCACGCTCACATCGATACCCGCCGTCGCGAGCCGTATCTGATCAGTGAGCCGTACCGTACTATCATTTCTCAGGCTATTCGCCTGAGATACCAGCTCCTCCCCGCCTGGTACACCGCGTTCCACGAGGCGTCTGTCAACGGCACACCCATTGTGCGTCCCCAATACTACGTCTTCCCTGATGATGAAGAGGGCTTTGCCATTGATGACCAGCTGTACCTGGGCGATACTGGTCTCCTTGCCAAGCCTGTCGTGCAGGAGAACACTTTTACTACCGACATTTATATTGCCGACGATGAGAAGTACTATGACTACTTCGATTTCACCGTCTACCAAGGTGCCGGTAAGCGACACACCGTCCCCGCCCCCGAGGACAAGATTCCTCTGTTGATTCAGGGCGGACACATTATTCCTCGCCGGGACCGTCCGCGTCGCAGCAGCGCTTTGATGCGCTGGGATCCTTACACCTTTGTCATTACTCTCGACAAGAATGGTAAGGCCGATGGTACTCTCTATATCGATGACGGCGAGACGTTCGACTACGAGCGCGGCGGCTACATCCACCGCCGCTTCCAGTATCGGGACTCCGTCCTCTCGTCGGAGGATATTGCCACTAAAGGTGCCAAGACCGCCGAGTATCTCAAGACTATGGCGGGCGTGACTGTGGAGCGGGTTATTGTTATTGATCCTCCAGCATCATGGAAGGACAAGAACAGTGTCACTGTCATTGAGGATGGGGCTAAGGCTGGATCCACTGCCTCTTTGGAGTTCTTTGAGCAGAAGGGTGGCAAGGCATCGTATGCCATTGTCAAGAGCCCGAATGTTGGCATTGGCAAGAACTGGCGGATAGAGTTTTAGGCATTGCATTGTCGGTTTGCAGACATGATATGGCATACATGTTCGATAGTTTAGATGTTCAGAGATTTTTACGTAGCATACAATCTAGTTGATTGACTTATTTCCATCTAACCCTGTTAAAAACGTACGATGAGGATCGATGCGCCCAAAGAATCCAGTGAATCCAGTGAATCCAGACTAATGCCAAAGAGAGCAATTATGGCTATCGAAAAATCGGAAATGGATAAGAATAAATTTTCACCGGGGTAGAAGTGTGCTTTGCCACTAGAACCATGCTCCAATAAAGTGCGACTTGTACTTGATGGGGAGTCTGGTATCGGGGTAGCGTATGCTCTTACACGCAAAAATATGTACAGCAATTCGAACCATTTACAAGTCTGCCTAAGTGGTTCCAAATCAGATCAGTCAGTAGATACCTTCCGACATTGATGAAAGAAGAAACATCTCCCTAATTATCTAGGTAGATAGAGCGCTATCGAGTATCAAATGTGCGATGTCCTGATACCTAAAGCCTGGAAGCTTACGGTCTCCAAGACTACACCAAAAACCGAGAATGCACCTCAACAACAAACTTCTCTCCCTCCGAGCCAAAAGCAATCAAACACAGTTCCCCGCCAGACTTAACACGCCACCCAACTCGAATGTGGCCTGGTGTCTCATTACTGAGCCCAGAGAGATTTGAACGATCAATGAGCCTAAAAATATTTGAACGATTAAGCCCACCCCTCTCCCGGATGAAAGAACCATGCATACTTCGGAAAAGGTTTATCGCTGAGGTATTAGCCCTTTCCAGAGTCGTGAAGACTCTCTCTATCACGAATATGGGTTCGCTGAGCTCTCGGAGACCTGAATGAGTCATTACATAGACGCGCTCTCCGGTTTCCTGTTCGGGGGTTTGTTGGTTTGCTTGGTCGTATGCTTGATTGATTTGGTCTAATAATTCTCTTGGATAGTCGGAATTTCGCAGTACTCTGCGTAGACGTGAGTGTTCGGATAGCCTCAATGCCTGCGCCGGTGTATGTGATGGCGTTGGGTGATACTCCTCTGGATCATCGTTCTCGAAAGGAGGGATTGGCATTTGGAGATGTGGTATTCGGGGATGATGTGGGTAAGAATGAGTTCAGAATTTTTGCAATATATCTGATATGCACACTATCGGGCAGTCGTCGATACTGGGCTAAAAGATGAAATACTAGATGTTGTAGATCACTATGCAGAAGGCCATTTAGAAGGTCTATAGTTCCTTCCCAATCAGGTTTAGCACCTCCCTCTTATGGCAAACGTGACGTATTGGATGAAAGTCATTCGAAAGCCATGCATGATTCAAATCAGTGATCTTCTACGGATCTCAAATTTTGGAGTGAATGGATGTTCCCACGGGCTAGGAGATGGAAAGTGCAGCCGAAACTGGTTGGTGAGGGCAGCCGCCAGCAGATCGAGGTTTAGACGGGGCTTCGAGCTAACTCATTCCCGTCACTACCTAGTGATGAATAAAATAATTCATATAAATATTTAATTCACGGGCAGTTGTGTGTGACTGGGTCATCTTCTACTTGGATTTCTGGGGCTGAAGATTATACTTTGGACGTATGTCAAGCGGGCAATATATACCGACGGGTGCGCGACTGAAGTAGGCCCTCGAGTCAGTTGGCTCTCTGACCCATTGTCTGGTCGTCACCACATTTATCAGGAGTTATTTTCAGATTGACCAACCAAAGCCATAGCATGGATTGATAAATGATCCAGGATCAGTGTATATTAGGTCTGGTAAAATCGGAGTTGACAATCATCGAAGCTGTGGGCACAGACCAGGCGGGCTGGGGTGTCGCGCGACCAATTTCCCCTTTGATGACCGGCTGCTCGGTTCGCAACGAACTATTGCTTGTTTGTCTGTCTTGGGATAATTCAGTAATTACTTTAATCCTGTTTGATCCCGTCATGAACATCAGCCAACAAGTGTTGTCACTGTTCTAATTCCCCCCTGTATAGCCATTCCTTCCTTTGAACCCGAACTATCTTATCTAGCCAATCTATGAATCAGATCTTAGACCAGGCCGGCCATCTCCCATGGTGGCCTCCGTCATCTCAGCAGCCACAAGGCCGACACAATCCCCGCAGGCCCTGCCAAGGACGCGCTGGGCAAGAAAAGCCTCGAGATTACTTGGTAATTTCTTAGTTCGGCCCCAGTGATCGACAGGGTGCTGACATAAGCGGTGGAAAAAAGCCGCAAGCGTCGTGGCCGCGTTGGGACTCTCTTTCTTGTTGATTGCTGGTCCACGGGAAACTTGCCCCTTGTGCCTCGCTGGAAAAATTATCTGGCTTTTCTTTTTGCGCCGAAGCGCATCGGATTCCTGAGCCTCACCCGACACGATTACGTTTCGAACAATCGCCTTTGAGTTGTTTATCTTTGAGTGTATACCCTCCGGAGGCCGCGGAAGATCTTCAAAAAAGGCATCATGTACCTCATTCAGCTCGCCATTGAATATGGCGCGCCCCTGTTGTACGTTGCGAACCGCAGAATCAGGTCCCTAGGAGAGATCTCGTGCTAACGATGCTTGTATAGCCTCATTTCCTCTCCCCTCACGTCCTACCTGGACCAGATCCTCAGCATTCACCGGAATAGGAGTTCGGCTGGGTTTTCGCTCGACATCCCATTGATTATGCTTGTCGCATCGATCTTGAAGTAAGATCCTTCCAGTATACCTATGCAACCGTATCGATGGCTTGGCGCAATGTGGTTTGAAGTTGGTGGAATTTTGGAATTGACGATCTTCTTAGGGTCTTCTACTGGTTCGGAGAATACTACTCCAAGGCCCTTCTGGCCCAGGCCGTGGTCATGATCTTCGTGCAGATGGCGCTACTCAAGGTTGCTTTGGACAATCGGCCCGCCGTTGGCGCAAAGAATGGCATCGAGCACACACCCTTCAGCGGTGGCTCCCACGGTGGATTCAACCGGCCCTATGATTTCTGGCAGTGGAAAAACACCAAGCCGTGAGTCCACTTGCCCCCTTTACCACATGGTCAAATGCGCTGACACTCTCGGCCACTACAGGTACTGGCTCTTCCTCGCCTACTTTGTCGCCGTCCTGACCGTCTTCCACCTTACCCCCATCTCCGATTCCCCGGCCTACATCAGCCTCCTGGGTGCTGTTGGTCTCGCTGTTGAGGCTATTCTCCCTCTCCCCCAGATTCTGGCCAACCACCGTTCCGGTTCCTGCAATGGCTTCCGAGTGTCCGTTCTCGCTGCTTGGATTCTCGGAGATACCATGAAGATGAGCTATTTCTTCTGCAGTCAGGAAACCATCCCCTGGGCGTTCAAGCTGTGCGGTATGTTCCAGTGCGTGTGCGATCTGTACTTGGGCTTCCAGTACTGGATGTTCACCCGCTCCTCCGGCCGGGCTGCTGGCAGCTCCGTAGAGCAGGAAGGCGGGTGGGGGCAAGAAGAGAAGGATATTCGCATGAACTGAGAGGTCTTGCGATTAGGATTTTATGAACCGATTGCTGCATTTGGTGTAGATATATGGGAACCACCGAACCATAGCGACTTATAGACTTGTAATTCTGAATGAGATGACGTTTAATCTTTTCTTGATTCTTGGTATAAGTTGACTTTTCTCACTTTGTTTCTCAAAAGTAGAAAACCCGCGGGGCAATTCCGTTTCGGGCAGTTGAGGCATCTGCCCCGCGAATGCCGTGACCCGCCGTGCCCTTCCCCACGCGGTTGAACGTCAGAACTCGCAACTTTTTTCTTCATTGCGTTCTATTGTCAATCCAACACCTCCATACCACAGGTCAAAATGGCTTCCGTGCCGACTATCCGCATCGGCTATGTGCCCGGTATGTCCTGAGCGGAGCTCGACGGAGCTTTGCTATCCAATGCATGCGATGACTCGAGTTTATACTCCGCTCGCGCCTTATTCTTGCTTTGAGCCAAAGAAACTGACTAGTATTTTCCACGCGATATTAGAACACTATTTGACCCCTCTGCACCTGGCCTTGCGATCTCCGGCCGTATCCTCCTTCCCATACAAGATCGCTCTGACCCCATTTCCTTCTGGCACGGGACATATGATCACATCGTTGCGCGGCAATGAAATCGATATTGCCATTGGTTTGACCGAGGGCTGGGTGGCCGGTCTGACTGGAAAGACTCAACCGCAGAACCCCGCAGAGGGAGGATACAAGGTTGTTGGCCACTGGGTAGACAACCCCCTGCGATGGGCGATTGTCACAGGTCGCAACCGGGACAATATCAATGGCGTGCCGGACCTGAAAGACCAACGAGTTGGTGTTAGTCGTCTCGGAAGGTGTGTATTCCTGAAACACTGGCATCTGGTGGGGGATCAAAGCATAGAGCCATTCAAAGCTAATTACACTACTTACCCAGCGGCTCCCACATCATGTCCTTTGTTCTGGCTCAGCAGCAGGGCTGGAAGCCAGACTCTCTGAACCCCGTCCCTCTGGGTCCATTCGGCGCCCTACGGAATGGCGTCACTGGACAGGACGAAGCAAACCCGAGTCAAGAACCAAACCCAACAGCCGAGTTCTTCATGTGGGAGCACTTCACGACCAAACCATTCTTCCACCCCACTCCCGAAAAGCCCAATCCACCGTTGAAGAACATTGGCGAGATCTTCACCCCCTGGCCGTCATGGATGATCGTTGCTTCAACCGCTCTATTCCCAGACCCACAGAATGACCAGCGACTGCAGCAGTTGTTCCAAGCTTTGGACCAGGGCATTAAGGAGTTCGAGGCCGATACCGCCCAAGTTGTAAAGCTCCTGGGTACTGGTGAGCTTGGCTGCAACTATATCGAGGAAGATGCGACGGAGTGGTTGAAGGATGTCAAGTTTACGGATGCTACTCGTGGCGTTGATCGTAAGGTCATTGAGGGCGTTGTGGATATTCTGAAGGTGGCTGGTGTTATTGATCCCGCTATGAGCAATGATGAGGCTATCCGGCGAGTCATTGGTATTCCTCGATAGAAAATTGTCATCAGGGATCGAAGACGGTAAAATCTACGTCTAAAATAAGACATTGTTCTATAGAGAGAAAGTTCTTGTGAATACGTGCACTGGGATGCTGCAGCAAATTATTTTGTAGGATATCGCTCAGTGTTGACAAGCGGGCTATCGCAGCTAGCCCCATGGTCCAGTTATCGAGGGTGACCAGGGGTGCGATCAGAACGATTGACGTAGTAAATGATAAACGATTTCACTCTGAGGATTTGAAGAAGCTGGAAGCATGGTTCATCTTGAGTCCATAAGGAAGATCGGTATCCCCATGCTTGTCGTACGTGACCAATCGACCGACTGTGAAACAACCTGCCGTCTCGTGACAAATCGCCTAAATTGTCACAACTGGAAAAGAAATTCAATACATAATATGAGGTAATAGGAAGGAGGAGGAGGCCCTTTGGCGTCAATGTAGGGAGGGCCGTCATTCCCGGAATGTTCGTGTTGGCCAACCCTAGTCTGATAGTACAACAAGCACCTATCGACCGCCGAGTCTGACACAAGAACGAGGCCATTGATGCTGCGAGAACCGGTCCAGCCGGTAATGAGACAGCCTTGTATCTATTTGATCCAGTATCGTGAGCCTAGAACGTGATCCAAGGAAGAAATTGGTGACTGGTGACATACATTCCATGATCAGCAGCTGAATCCCCTGACAACGACTCTGGAATGTAGGCGAACCTGCTAGGACCTCAACACAACCCAATCACAAGGCCTGCATCCCAGGAAGTCGATGAGTGATATGTCCAAGTCTTCGGCCTGAGCGGGGTTTAATCTCTATCAATTTGAATGTTGGCGTGGACATAGTGGGCATCCCATGCGCCAGGACACCCACAACCCCCCAGATGACGGAGGAAATGGGCGCATTGTTTTGACTGATGGCATGCAGACTGGGAAACAACATGTGCCCTTGGTCTGCTATTTAAAAAGCTCTACGAGCTGAGTCGTCGTGCGCCCGATTGTCCATCCCTCGTTCTCGCCGTGTCGCCTTTCGTTCCTTTACCGGGTTGCGCCCCCGTCATACGCCCAATAATTCCATTCCTTATTATTATTTCTTATTTAATATCTAGTCTTTCATTTTCTCTTGCCAGAAGTTCAATTGGCACCCCCTAACAATATGCGTGGGTATGAAAAGTATCTGTCGGGGTCGGTCCTGTTGGCCACCCTAGGAGGAGTTCAGGCAAAGCTGGACCTGAATTCTGCCAAGAACATTGCCATCTACTGGGGTATGACATGCGATGTCACCTATCATATTCATTCAAGAAGCTCATGATCTTTTAGGACAAAACTCATTGCAAGGGAATGGTGGCGAGGTCCAACAGCCACTGGGACACTATTGTGAGAGTAAGTCGATTTCAAAACCTCACCGTGAACCAGGCCCAAAACTAATGATTACAACTTCAGACGATGACATTGATGTGAGAATACGAATCTCTATTATTTGAACCCCATTGACTAAGTATAATAAACTAGGTCATCCCATTGGCATTCGACATGATGATCAATGGGCCCGGCGGTGCCCCCCAGGTTGATTTCTCCGTCACCAGCAACGACTGCGACGTCTTCCCGGGGACCCAGTTGAAGAACTGCCCTAAGATTGGGTGAGTAGGCACACTATCTGGAGAGCACGTTCACACTAATGCTGTCCAGTGACGACATTGCAACATGTCAGCAGAAGGGCAAGACGATCCTACTGTCCATTGGTGGTGCAACGTACAGCGAGGGTGGTTTCAAGTCTGATGACGACGCAAAGGCTGGCGCGAAGCTGATGTGGGAGACCTTCGGCCCAGTCCAAGCATCATCCAAAGCTCTTCGACCTTTCGGAAACGTTAGTCTCGATGGCTTTGACTTTGACTTTGAGGCCACCGTCACGCACATGGCAACGTTCGCCAATGAGCTCCGCAGATTGATGGATCAGGATACCAGCCGACAGTACTTCTTGACTGCGGCTCCTCAATGCCCTTATCCCGACCAAGCAGACAAGGATATCCTGAATGGCCCGGTTTCCATCGATGCCGTTTTCGTGCAATTCTACAACAACTATTGCGGCGTGAACAACTTCGCCACCGATGCGACGGCCTCGAAATACAACTTTGAAGAATGGGACAACTGGGCCAAGACCGTCTCTCAGAACAAAAACGTCAAAGTCCTGATCGGTGTCCCCGCCGATACCACAGCAGCTAGCACCGGATACATCCCTGCATCTAAACTGACGGAGGTGATCGAGTATACGAAAAAGTTCGAAAGCTTCGGCGGCGTGATGATGTGGGATGCCACGCAGGCATACGCGAATGGTGGATTTGTTGAAAGTGTGCGCAAAGCGCTTGGTGGTCCTGATTCCGGTTCGTCGTCGTCGCCGTCCAGCAACGCGGCGTCGACCGCGGTGTCTACATCTACGTCCACTAACACCCCGGAGACCTCGCTATCTACCAATGCACCCGGCTCCTCGTCCTCCTCTTCCTCATCCTCTGGATCTGCCTCATCGTCCAATGGTCCTGAGCCCTCGGGGACGACCGCTCCCGCCCCGGCAACTACCGCACCATCACCGACTACCACACCCGCAACGACTGTCGAGCCAGCAGCGACTGCCGAGCCAGCAACGACTGCCGCACCAGCAACGACTGCCGCACCAGCAACGACTGCTGCACCCGAACCGCCTGCGTCCACCTCGTCAACTACGACTACGAAGGCACCGGCCCAGACCTCGGCGTTGTCCGATATATTCGATGATGACGACTTTGACATTGACACCGACTCTCCGGCTGACAATTACAATGCTGCAAATGGAGGCGTAACCAACTCCGTTAACGACGACACTCCCAAGGCGAGCACCCCTAGCAAGGGTCCTCTTGGCCTCATCAGCCAGGATCTCTTTGGTCTGCTGCACGGTTTGCAGGACGCCAACACGATCACTGGGGGTCTTACTCACGGCCTCACCAAAAATCTTCGTCGTGTCCGTCGCATCGGATACTAGGCGCTCCTGGTGTAGTCTTCGTCTTGTCGAAATATTGAGATCTAGCAGGTCATGTCTTGGAATAATGTATGAATGATTGGAAGGACTCTGATGTCTTTTGACCGTTGCTCATGCAAAGTCTGGAGACAATCCATCCAACTCGATGTACTTTTTACTTTCCTTGATACCCATTATCATAATCACTTTTTATACTTCACTGGGAACTGACAGAAACATTATGAAACGTACACTACATGCATAGTCGCCCGTAGAGAGGGCATCGGATATCACGTGTTCAACCAGCAGCAGCAGCAGATCGGTCACGTGGAAAATAGATTCGCGAAACGTTTTGAGAAGCCCCCCCCCCCTATTCTCTTCACCTTCCTCGAATCTTCAGGATTACTATTGTCAAATCCCAGCCAGGACAAGGTTGCTCTGATGGATGATTCATAAAGTTCCAAGGCCTGGAGCACTTGGTCAGTCATTTGGCTCGGGTAGCGACGGAAGATTTAGCCAAACATATGACGTCGGCCATGCGACGTGGTCCAAAATGGTCAAATCCAGCTGGACAGCATGGTTCAAGACTCAGCTTTATCCTCTGTGGTCATCACCTGCTGTCTCATGTTTCTATTTAACATGACAACGGGGGTTTTCCACGCAAAGATCTTATTCTGTGAGAAGGACAAATCTACGATCAAATTGAAAGTTCACAGCCAAATTAGCCTCGGCCAATGGCGGAAGCGAACGGGTACGCCAAAGACGCTAAGAACGCTTAGGGACGATCAACCCAGATATCCGCCCCGCGCAAGCTGTCCCGACTCCACCAGAGCTGCAACAGTGTGCAACTTTATTCTTCTGGCTGACAAGCCTGACAGGCTTTGGTTCCACAGGATGTTGATCATGGGACGACCAAACAGGATCGCGGACCCCAACACCGCTCGGGACCTTCTTAGCGGGCACTGGCTAACCTTTATTGGCGGCCCATGGCTGCTAGGAACTGCCCGTTGCTGGAAAGGTTCATGCGCATCGGGTCAGCCAATGTCTCATACGTCAAGAGCCGTCAAGTATTTTCCCTCGAATCACGGCCCACCGGTGCCTTTCATTAGACCTTGACGACCTCGCGAACCAGACCTTTCCTATACGGCTCCGCGGCACCTTCTGGGCCGGGGGCTTCCTGGTCTCGACGTCAGTATGAACGACTGAGCGAGGGGAAATCTTCTCGTACCTGGTGGTTGTTGGGTAATTTAGTCTTCTATAAGCTTCCAAAAGACATAATCGCCGTTGGGATCTGGATCTTTCCTGATTGCCTTGACTGCCTGGTGCATCGAGGGACAAACAAACTTCCGACTTGAAGGGCAGCTCAGATCTATTCAGCCTCTCTTTTATTGTTTCCCCCAAGTTTGTACCTCAGGCTTGCATCGCATCCGCCGCCATCAAGGCAAAAATTCTCTCTCTCTCTCTCTCGCTCGCTACGTGCTTTTCCCTCTCCCCTCCTTTCTCCCCTACTCCTCTTCTCGCACCTCTCAACTTCCTCTTTGCCAACTGCCCTCTAATCAACTTCCAAATCTCTCCACAACACTGCCCCATCAATTGATCCAGTATTTCGTTACTCTTGAAACGCCAACATGGCGACTCAGGGCGATGCTGAGCGCGACGCCCGCCGTGGCTCTCGCATCTCGCGGGCTTCTCTCAGAGAGGACTACGCCAATCTGGATGAATACGGCAAGCTTGTCAAGTACGTGTCTACCTACCGAGAAGCGGGTGCAGAGCAAGCCGAGGCCGGCGAGTACGAGGAACGACGTATTTGGTATGCGCCATGGAAGAAGCGCAAGGTCCATGTTCAACCTATCGAGGATCAAGCGGGTCATTTCCCTGAGGATTGGCTTATCACCAATATTCGCGAGGGTCTGTCGAGCGAGGTGGTTGACCAGCGCCGCCGACGCTCGGGATGGAATGAACTGGTCTCCGAGAAGGAGAACCCCATTGCTAAGGTCCTGTCTTACTTCCGGGGTCCAATTCTCTACGGTACGTGTCTCATTCTGTTTATCCGAGGTTCTGTGACTAACACCTGGGGGGTCTAGTCATGGAACTCGCTGTTCTGCTAGCTGCTGGACTGCAGGATTGGGTTGACTTTGGTGTGATCATCGGCATTTTGTGTCTGAACGCCTCCGTGGGTTGGTATCAAGAAAAGCAGGCCGCCGATGTCGTTGCAAGTCTCAAGGGTGACATTGCCATGCGTGCTATCGTTATTCGCGACAACTCTCAACAGGAAATCCTTGCCCGTGAACTCGTCCCTGGTGATGTGGTATGTTTCTGCACACACTATTATATTGATATGAAACACGTGTACTAATTACTCCCGCAGATCATCGTTGGTGAAGGCCAAGTCGTTCCTGCAGATGCCAAGATTATCAGCGATTACAGCGATCCCAACGGCTGGGAGGAGTTTAACCAGTTACAACAAGAGGGTATGCTTGATGGTGACTCTGAATCCGAAGAAGAGAATGAGGAGCACAAAAAGGAGGCCGACCAGGGTCCTAGTGATGGCCAGGAACAGCCTGCAGATGGAGGTGAGGAACAGCCACAAACCCAGCGACCCCGCAAGCGTGGCTATCCTATTTTGGCTTGCGATCACTCTGCCATCACTGGTGAATCTCTTGCTGTTGACCGTTACATGGGCGACATCATCTTCTACACCACCGGCTGCAAGCGCGGCAAGGCTTATGCTGTTGTCCAGACTACTGCGAAGACCTCCTTTGTTGGCCGTACAGCCAGTATGGTGCAGTCTGCTAAGGGCGCTGGCCATTTTGAGATTGTGATGGACAACATTGGAACATCGCTGTTGATTCTTGTCATGGCTTGGATCCTGGCTGCTTGGATTGGTGGATTTTTCCGCCATATTCCCATTGCCTCCCCCGGTCAGCAGACCTTGCTTCACTACACCTTGTCGCTGTTGATCATTGGTGTTCCTGTTGGTCTTCCCGTTGTCACCACTACTACGATGGCTGTGGGCGCTGCCTACCTTGCCAAGAAGAAGGCTATTGTGCAGAAGTTGACTGCCATTGAATCTCTGGCCGTAAGCATACCCCTCGAAACTCGTGATGAGTGTGTCCATCCTGACGCTAACTAATCATAGGGTGTGGATATCCTTTGCTCTGACAAAACAGGCACCTTGACTGCCAACAAACTGAGCATTCGGGATCCTTACGTGGCTGAAGGTGTCGACGTTGACTGGATGTTCGCGGTTGCTGCCCTCGCATCCTCACATAACGTCGAATCCCTGGATCCCATTGACAAAGTCACCATCTTGACCCTTCGTCAATATCCCAAGGCCAGAGACATCCTGCGCCGCGGTTGGAAGACCGAGCGGTTCACCCCCTTCGATCCGGTGTCCAAGCGAATCGTGACCGTGGCTACCTGTGATGGCATTCGATACACCTGTACCAAGGGCGCTCCCAAAGCAATCCTGCAGCTTACCAAGTGCTCAAAGGAAACCGCCGACATGTACAAGGCCAAGGCCCAGGAATTCGCCCACCGTGGCTTCCGCTCACTGGGAGTTGCTGTTCAGAAGGAAGGCGAAGATTGGACTCTACTTGGCATGCTTCCTATGTTCGATCCTCCACGCGAAGACACCGCTCAGACTATCAGCGAAGCGCAGAACCTTGGTATCAGTGTCAAGATGCTCACTGGTGATGCAATTGCCATTGCCAAGGAAACTTGCAAGATGTTGGCCCTCGGCACCAAGGTCTACAACTCGGACAAGCTGATTCATGGTGGACTGAGTGGTGCTATGGCTAGCGATCTGGTCGAGAAAGCAGACGGATTTGCTGAAGTGTTCCCAGAACACAAATACCAGGTGGTGCAGATGCTTCAAGAGCGCGGTCATCTTACTGCCATGACCGGCGATGGTGTGAACGACGCCCCGTCTCTCAAGAAGGCTGATTGCGGTATCGCGGTGGAAGGAGCCTCGGAAGCCGCCCAATCCGCCTCGGATATTGTGTTCCTGGAGCCCGGTCTCTCGACAATCATCGACTCGATTAAGGTTGCTCGCCAGATCTTTCACCGTATGAAGGCGTATATTCAATATCGTATCGCACTCTGTCTGCATCTAGAAATCTACCTTGTGACCACGATGATCATCCTCAACGAGAGTATCCGTGTCGAGCTTGTCGTTTTCCTGGCCCTCTTTGCCGATCTCGCGACTGTCGCTGTGGCCTACGACAACGCGTCATTTGAACTCCGTCCCGTGGAATGGCAGCTCCCAAAGATCTGGTTTATCTCGGTGCTCCTGGGTGTCCTCCTTGCAATGGGTACTTGGGTCGTGCGTGGCTCAATGTTCCTGACATCGGGTGGTATCATTCAAAACTGGGGTTCCATCCAAGAAGTGATTTTCCTGGAAGTCGCTCTCACGGAGAACTGGTTGATTTTCGTGACTCGTGGGATCGAAACCTGGCCATCCATCCAGTTGGTTACTGCTATTCTGGGCGTGGATATTCTGGCCACAATCTTCTGTTTGTTTGGTTGGTTCTCGAACGAGAACATGCCCACGAAACCGGTGGATAAGTTCGTCGAGACCAAAAACGGATGGACTGATATCGTCACTGTGGTTCGAATCTGGGGCTTTTCTCTTGGCGTGGAGATCGTGATTGCTCTCGTCTATTTCATTCTGAATAAGATCTCCTGGCTTGACAATCTGGGCCGTGCTAGGCGCAGCAAGGGTGATATCAAGATTGAGAATTTGCTTGGTCATCTGGCTCGTCTCACGGTCGAGTACGAGGAGCCTGGCAAGCCCAAGGGTCGTTTCTTCTTGGCTGCCAGTAAGGAGGAGGAAGAGGGAGAGTAAACTACGCCAGGCGGAATCGGCCAAGTGTGCCTTTGGTTCTGTGGCGAGTGGTTGCCGTGGGGGGAAGCCTGTGACTTGCTTTGGGCAGCATGGATGTCTGCTTCTTGGTGACCTACATCCTGGGAAATTTCGTTATGGCTCTGGCTGATTGTGTCGAGGAGGAAAGAAGAGACGGGTCGTAGCTGGTGCTCTTTTCCATTCGAATTCTAATGTGCCTGTATTTGGTTTCTGTGTATGTCCTTTTGGTAAGCTGTCCAGATACTCATAATCGGATTTCGGAGATACCTTTTATTCAAGGTTTCTTTACGTGATAAAGTGTCAGCGCACTCCTTTGCCATCCATCTCTTCTTTCCCCTCCATCTCTCCTTTTCCTTCCATCGCCTACCCTCATAAAGCCCTTCCTATCCGTCTCACCATGGCAGCTCCAGAACCTGCCTTTCCGATCTCTGACCTCCAGAAGGCCTACGAAAAGCTCCTCCTGAGTGGTGATTATTCGGATCTACAGATCGTTTGCCAGGAGACGACGTTCAAAGTCCACCAATGCATCATATGCCCACGGTCCTCGTTCGTTGGCGCTGCCATCAAGCATCCGTTCAAGGTTTGACAGTTGTGCTTTCCTGTTGAATCTATCAGATGCTCATCAGACTTACAGGAATCTTCCACGGGGGTGATTGAACTTCCAGCTGATCACCCCGGTACCGTCGAGAGAATCATTGTTTACCTCTACCGGGGGGACTACAAACAAACTGGTCATCTCATCTCAATGGCCACCGCCGAGGATGACAGTCCAGCTCACGTCGGCCTCAATCGTGCTGATGTCTACATCACCGCCGACAAATACGACATCCAACCCTTGAAGACCTTGGCGGCGAACAAGATGACTAGCTGGGCCAAAGGCAATTTCAAGACCCCGGGCTTCGTTGACATGGCGCGTCATCTTCTTCAGATGAAGCATGACCCCTGCCCCTTCAAATTTGTCGGCCAATGCATCAGGGAGAATGTGCGAAGCCTGACCCTTAATGACGCCCAAATTTTCAAGTTGATTGGCGATTTCGGTCATCTTGGTGAAGCTATTGTGATTGGGATCATCGAGTCAAGAATCAGCCCGAGAGTAGAGGCCGACCATTTCCGTGAGAAACTCTGTCTTCAAGACCAGATTGTCACTTTGAACCAGGAGGTTGCCGACTTGAAAAAACGTATCCCTGTTCTGACGGAGGAGATCGCTGGTCTGATGAGGGAGAACAGAGCCATACAACAAGAGTTAGAAGATTGGCACGAATATTACAGGCAAGACGACCTTTAGTACCGGGGAGAAACACCTCTGGTTAGTGAAGCCAGCTTTGCTAAGAGTGCTTCAAGGGGACTGAAGAATGGTCAAATGCGGAAGACATACGGTGAAGGTATGGATGAATCGATCTAAAGCGCATTCACAGAGTGAGCAAAATGGCCAGGACACAAGACTTCGGTATGTATTCGAATCATGCACTTTTAGCAGCTCATAAGCTTACTCTACTTGTGGAATGGGGCCTACAATTCGCATTATCGTGATATAGTATCAGTTCTTTGTTCATCCATTACTCTTCTATCACTGTTTCTATTTACTTCTTCACTATTTTCTTCTCGCTCCTTCTTTGATTATCACGATTGCTGTGTATCTGAGGGTCTGACTATCTGTATTCATATCTCTGATACTCCGTCCTCTCGCCGACCTTCTGTGTTCCTCCTATCTTCTCTGATCACCTCATGTTCACTATGGCCTTCATAACTTTAATATAATATCTCGTTATGGCTATCCAACGGCAAAGGCTATCCATGATCTCCCTATGGAAGGTATGCAGGCACTTTTACGTTTCGTGGAAAGGACACAAACTTGCAAGTAGAAGCCTAGTGGACTTAGATGGAAAGACCTGAACTATCAATATGGGAGTTGCGAAAAAGAAATGGATTCTAAGATTCATATACTGTGATCATTTCTTCTAGTAATCATTTTCTCCATCGCACGTCGCATTCATACATGCTAACCAGTGTTTACATCACTACACACCTATTTAGCCTTGCCAGTAGGAATGTTGAAGAAGACAGCCGGAGAACCAGGGCTGTAAGCACGGTCAACGCGGTAGAAGCCCTTGCGGTCGAACTGCATGATATCACCCTCCTTGAACTGGGCAACGTTGCTGTCAGCCAGGGCAGGCTCACGAGTCTCGGTGTCGTAGTTGAGGACATCCTCGAGGACGTCATCCTCGCTCAGGGTGTCCTTCTTCAGCAGGTAGTCGAAGTCAACGAGCTCGACGGGGACCAGATCGGGAGTCTCAGCCAACCAGGTCACCTTCTTCTCGGTCTTCTTGACGTCACCCTGGGGGTTCAGCTCAAGGTCGAGGTGAGTGATGGTGCCGTTGGCATCGGTAGTGATCTTGCGAACAAAGGCGTTGCCCCAGTTCATCAAGGTGATTTCCTCATCCTGCTTGAACGACTTGGCGTCAACTTGCTCCATAAGCACGTTAGGGGCGAAGGTAACGGTCTTCATGCCGACAGCGGCGTTCTTGGCGTGGCGAGGCTTCTCCTCGGTGAAGGGAGCGGGGGCATTGGTGATGGTAGTCTTGACAACATCCTGTTTCACGACGGCAGTGTGACGAGGAGCGACGGGGTCGATGTACTTCTTGTTGGTAGCCCAGATAAGAGCCCAGTCGAACATGGTGATCGATCGGGAGGGACCCTGCTTCAGGATGAACTCCCGCAGGGCGGGAATGGTCATACCACGGCGACGAATACCGCGAATGGTAGGGAAACGAGGGTCGTCCCAGCCCCAGACAACACCGCTCTCAACGAGCTTGGTCAGCTTACGCTTGGACAGCAGGGTGCGAATAAAGTTCATGCGAGCAAAGTCCCAAACTTGAACGTGGCGGAGCTTGAGGGCATCCAGCATCCACTGATACTGGGGGTTGCGGTCACGATACTCAATAGTACGCAAGGCGTGAGTGACACCCTCCATCGAGTCAACAACGGGGCAGGCGAAGTCGTAGGTAGGGTAGATCTTCCACTTGGAGCCGGTGCGGTGGTGGGGGTGGGGGTTGCAACGGTAAATAACGGGGTCACGGAGGGCCTTGTTCTTGTCGTCGGGGGAGATCTTAGCACGGATGCACCAGCGAAGACCCTCGGGGGTGGAGTTCTTCATCTCCTCCAGACGGGCCAAGCTCTCCTCGGCAGAAAGCTCACGGCGCGCGCTGGGGATTCCGTCCATACGCTGAGCAGCCATAGTCTCCTTGTCGGTGTCATCGGCGTAGGCGTGGCCAGTTTTGATCATCTCAATACAGTAGGCGTAGAGCTCGTCGAAGTAGTCGGACGTGTAGGATACCTTGTTGGGCTTGATGCCCATGAGAGCAAGATCCTCAACGATAGCATCCTGGAACTCCTGCTTCTCGTTCGAGGGGTTGGTATCGTCGAAGCTGGAGGGACAGTCAGCATCGGATCATGATCATTACTATGTGAACATTTAGTCATACCGGAGAAGAAGAGTACCGTTGTACTTCTCGTGGGCAAAGTAATCGTTGAGAAGGGCGGCCTTAGCGTGACCGATGTGGAGATAACCAGAGGGCTCTGGGGGGAAACGAGTCACAACGCCATTGTCGGTGTTGAGAAGAGCAATGTCGTAGGTAGCACCGGCCTTGGACTTGGCGGCCTTGGACTCCTTGGCAGAAGCAGTAAGAGCCTCGATAGCAGCAGTGGTCCATGGGCACAGCTCCTCGAGGAACCGGTACCAACGGGTCAAGTTGACAAGAGAGCCCTTCTTCAGAGCGGCGGCAGCAACACGGTTGCCACGCAGAGCACCCCACAGAGCAATGTCGGCGGTAGAGAGCGCGTATCCGGCGACGAAGGAGCGGAGGAGGAGGTGAGTGTCGAGCTTCTGGAGGACAGGATCAAGAGCCTTGAAGTCAAGGGTAGTCAAGGTGTCCAGCTGGGAGATCCACTGGTTCTCCTGTATGCGAAAATAAGTGTTAGACATGTATGAGTCAAACAGATATGGGTGTGAGCCATATGCTCAAACTGTATGGCGGGGTTGAGCTATCTGGCTGGGGAACTCACGAGGGTGGCATCCTTGCCCACAAGGTAAGGGAAGTGGGCGCACAGCTCCTGAATGGCAGGGATGGTGCCGAACACAGACTTGCCGGCTGTAGAGAGCTGCAGAATAGCCTTGTCACCCTCAGTGAGGAGAGCAGTATCCTCATACTTGATGTTGATGACGGGAGATGGGCGAGCCTCATTGATCGAGGTGGCAATGAGGACCACAGGCAGCAGGGCTGCGTGGCCAGCCCTGGTGGCCACAGTCAGATCGAATTGGGTCATTTTGTGCTTTTGTATATTGCACAGAACAATGTATGACTATGGGTAATAAATTTGGAGGAGGGGCAGTCATTATCATAATCGGTGGCCGGCGGTATAATGATCCGGAGCCGAGAGCTGTCCGGCAGAAAACAATAATTGCATGTCTCCGTCTGCGGCTCCGACGTCTTGCTCAGTCCACGCCTATCAGTCATGTCGTCTTACGGCACCGCATTGCCCGCTGTGGCACGCGGTATTCTTTCATCATGCCGTCCAGCTCTTCGGGAGAAGTCAATCGCCCCGTCTTTCGCAGTATTCCAGCAAGTCCGAGGTGCGAAGAGCAACCCGCAAGCCAGAGGCAAGGGGAAGAAGGATAGCAAGTCGGATAAGAAAGGTCCCCGTGAATTCCGTCAGAAGAACTTGAAGGATATGGAGCAGTTTGCTCTTTGCGATGCGATGCGGTATGCGGCCCTTATGAGTGGATTGATACAGGTCCATTGATGATCTCTCAAATATGGATCGATTTTTGACATAACGTCTTCTCCGCAGGTATCTCCGGGCTGTCGAAGTCGGCCGCGAGCCCACAGTTTCAAAGTACGAAGTTCACATTCGCCTGCGCACAAGGCGAGACGGTCCCGTTATCCGAAACATGATCCGATTCCCCCATGCTGTCCAAACCGAATCCCGCATCTGCGTCATCTGTCCTCCCGGATCGAAGATAGCAAAGGATGCACTTGCCGCAGGAGCCATTCTGGTTGGCGAGGATGAGGTGTTTGAGGCCGTGAAGGCTGGCAAGATTGAGTTCGACCGCTGTCTTGCTCACCCCGACAGTTTGCCAGCACTTAACAAGGCTGCTCTGGGCCGTATCCTCGGTCCCCGTGGTCTGATGCCGAGTGTGAAGACTGGTACCGTGGTGGAAGATATTGCTTCTCGTGTGGAGATGCTGCGTGGAGGTACCGTTTACAGAGAGCGCGATGCCGTCATTCGGCTGCCCATCGGCCAATTGGGCTTCTCTCCGGAGCAACTGCGCGACAACCTGCGCACTACCATTGACCAGATCAAGAAGGATGCTTCTGGGCTCAATGACCGTGTTAACAAGGAGATCTACGAAGTGGTATGTGTTTCGACCGTTCTGGCAACTACAACGATGGTGACTAACCCGACAATTCAGGTCCTGAGCTCCACCTACGGCCCCGGATTCAGCTTGAACGGCGAATTCAAGACCGACAACTCCCCCGACACCTCTGCCCTGACCGGCCTGTAAAATATCTTTGCTGTCTTATATTCATCTTGGCGTGTACAGAACTTTGTTTTATTAGGAAAGGACCTGGTGTATCATGGTATCATTTCTGTTCAATAGAAGACTCCCATAACCCTGAACGCCGACGCTATGCAACTCTCAAGCTTATTCCACATGTGATCAAGTGATGGAACAGTGCCGAGTAAAGCTAAATTTTGAGGTTCTTGAGCGCGGCCACGGCACTCACATCCTCGCCCATCAAGTCGTAGAGGCGGAGGACTGCCATTGTCCGCGCATCACGCTTATCACCCGCAGGACCAGCCCGTTCCAACGCAGTCTTCAAATCCAGCAGAACGGTGGACTTGATCTTGGACACGCGCGGCTGCTGCGCAAAAAGGAATGGGTGGTTCTCACCCACTCGTTTGGCAATCGAGGTCAAGAATACGTATTTCTGGACATGGCGCTCTAGTCGTTTCAACGATACAGGCGCAGTGCCGTCTTCCAATTCCTCGTCGTCACTTTCGTCGCTGCCGCTGCCATATAGATCGGACTCGGAGTCGGACTCATCATCAGCCGAGGCATCTCCGTTTGACCAAGATTTGTCCGCGATCATCAATCGGTGCTCTAATTCCTCGACGCGGTCGGCATAGTCCAGGAGGTCTTTGCCGATATCTGCCTGCGTTCGGAGTTGTCGTTTCTCGTTCAATAGCCCTTCTACTTCCTGGCGACGTGCTTCTACTTTATCCCGTATAGACTGCACATCCCGTTGGAAAGATAGCAGGCCCACTTTGACCCCCTCGATCTTCTCCTCTCCTCCGCGCAATGCGGTGCCGAGGGACAGGAAGTCCTGATAGTTCTCGTTGACCAGGTCCAGCAGCTCCTTGTTCAGCCCTTGCTCCAAGCTCCGCAACTCTTGACGCAGATCTTCGAGACTCTGGTGTCGATTCCTCAAAGAGGAGAGAAAGACCGCCGGGTCAAAGTCAGGGGCCAGGAACGAGGTTCGTGATAGCGGCTCGGGAAAAGGCAGGCCGGAGGGGTCCTCGTCGAAGTCGGAGGCAGACTCGTCCGAGTCGCCGAACTGGACGGTTTCGATTAGCTCAAGCCCGCATGACAGGATTACCGGAGCACCATCAAACCTACATGGAAACGATTCATGGTGTGCCGACTCGCGGGTAATATAGCGGTGCAGGTGAAGCTGAGTGGTGGAGCTTCGAAGCCAAACGTGTCGAGTCTTGGCGTTTGTTTGGCCGCCGTTTCGCGGGACCTTCCTTTCTTGCTTTCTCACCTTCCTCCTTCTGTTAGGCTTGTACCTTCTCTATCTCTTGTCTCGAGAGCCTTGATGCGCTGAGATTCTGCCAACGCATCAACACTTCATGCACTTGGGCATGCGACTTTGAGACGCACCTTGCCTCGTGAGTACATACTCGGCAGAACGTGCTATCTCCCCGCAAAACACATACACCCTCCGAGCGGGGTTTCCCACCTGAGGTCTGCGTTGTCCTGCATTAACGCGGAGGTACGGTATCTGAATTGGTAAGTACGAAATGGAAGCGGACTTGCGGTCGACTCGCTGGGACGGAAGTCGGTTATCATCGTCTTTCCCTAGACAAGGGTGGTCTCAACAGTCGCCGTCCTACGCGCCTTTATCAGGCGATGCAGGCCCCTCCCACCAAGCAAGCTGGCACTTCTTCGAAGCCTTTCCCGAGAACGAGTCATTCCGAGACCACTATTCTTCGCCTCTGCGTGAAGTGCACGAAGACCTCCAATCCGGGTCTCGAATAGACCGCGCTACTCGTCTAACATCTTCGCGGCCGTCTACCGTACCAACGCAGCCCGTTCTGGTCAGAGCGTACTCTGGAAATGCAGAGGATGAACCGAGGAGCAAGCTGTCATCCATGTCTCCGCGCCGACTGTTCCCGTTCACCGGGTCCAGGAGTTCGGCCACCCCCCGTCCATCTGGTCCGCCGCTCCCGTCGGATAAAGACTTCAGTATTGATAGTATACTGCAAGCCATCGATCCTGATATCCGTGGAACATTGGACTCAATCGCCGAAATCTGTGGACGCAGCAGATTGAGTCTTGCGAATGAGTACGACAGTCATATCGCCCCGTTGGGGGAGATTCGAGCCCCGCCAGGAGGTGGCCTAGTGCCGGTTGAAGAGGCAAGCTCGAGTGATGAACGTCGCGCCGATGAGGGTGTTCTTATCTTTGACGACGACCCCGGCATGATGGACACGGGACGTGATATGCATCCGTTCTCTTTCTATCGCTATTTAGAGAATCTCCGGCACGCTGCATCGACCCTGGAACGCAACGGAGGACGGTCCTCCTTGGTGGCTACGCAGTCTGCCATAAGAAATGGACAGTCGGGTGAAGTTGCAAATCTAGAAAGAAACACACTGCCAGCGATTCGCGAGTTTCCCTCGGGACCAAAGAACTCCAGCCGAGACCTGCTGGGGAAGCACAACCCCTCTGGCCTAGCCGGGCAGTCCTCACAAGATATAGCTACTCCAGCTATGGTCTCGGAAATCCACTTTGAAGCACAAGCAGACGATCAGCACACTGTTGCGGAGCCGCGCATTGCTGTGGATGGCACGAGTTTTGGTGGAATCCAAGCGTCGGACCGTTGGAACACGTCCGATGTGGTCCAATCTCTCCTTGGCTGGCTGAGGTGGACGACCCGAGTCGTTGAGCCAGACTCGCGGCCTGCCTTGCAATCAGCCGAGGACCGTCTACGGGCTATGCTCGGGCGAGCAGGCGACGAGCATACTCCTTTGCCAGTGGCGTAATTCTCCGGCGTACACGATCGACAGTTCCCACTTTGTAATGACTCATGACGAATGATGAATTTTAATGACTACGACATGCTTCAGATAATGTGGTCAGACGCGCACCTTTCCAAATGCATTGTGGAATCTATTCCAAGTAGACATGTTCAGGACGGTAGCCAACGTGTGTGTACAAACAACGCCATTGTTAATGCAATACGGATTGGCAACCGTAGAAAATCGCTGAACCCCAAAACGCCTTCAACTTTTCTCTAGACTTGAAATGGCAGATCAACTACTAAGAAGCCCCAGCCGTGGCCTGTACGCCTCCGATTATCGTCTGCGCAAATTCCTCAAACCGAGGATATGACCAGCCCTCCTGGTATCGCTCAACCAAAGGCCTCGTATCAGGCTCAGCCGGGGCCTCATCCTGTCCCTTCATCTCCTCATCCTCGTCCTCGTCATCACTCCCAGCCTCCACCTTCCCTTCCACCAGCTCCCCGAATTTCACATCAACGGGCACACGGCCCAAGAACGGAATATTCAATTGCTGCGCCATGACTTCTCCACCGCCGCTAGAGAACAAATTGCTCACTTCACCACAGCACGGACAAGCATACCCGGACATATTCTCGATAACCCCGAGAATGGGGATACTAGTCTTGACGCAGAAATTGGCCTCCTTGCGCACGTCCGAGGTGGCGACGGCCTGCGGGGTGGTAACTAGCACGGCACCCGTTAGACGAGGCAGATTCGACTGCGCTGCGGCGGCAGCGTCCGTCGTAGATAGAGTGAGGAGTTGCTCTGCCAGCGCGATATGCTCGTCACTCGTACCCGGCGGGGTATCGATGAGGAGGTAATCGGTTGATCCCCACGATACATCTGACAAGAACTGGCGAATCATGGCTGTCTTTTTCGGTCCGCGCCAGATGACGGCGTCGCCACGATCTCGTAGGAGGAAACCGAGGGACATGCAGCGGAGGGAGCCGCGTGGTGATGGGGATGAGGATGATGAAGTGTCTGTTTGGATGGGGATAGCATCGTGAACTGGTACGGGGAGCCATCCATTAGGTGATTGAGTGATTTTGGCTTCTTCTAGACCAACAAGTCTTGGGATTGAGGGGCCTGTTAGGTCGATGTCGAGAATGCCGACGGATTTGCCTTGGAGAGCGAGTGCTAGGGCGAGTTGGAGGGTGACGGAGGATTTTCCAACGCCTCCTTTGCCTGATAGAACCTGTGATACTAGCCAGTCAGTCTCTTGAATCTAGATACTCTGCTGCTGCTGCTGCCGCTGCCGCTGCCGCTTGCGAATCCCCCGTCTCCGTGCCCCTCATGCATTTGTTATCGATAAGCTGCTGATGCGAGTGGAAAAGGTGTTCGCCACAAGACTTGCTTATACAAGGAGGCGCATGGACTGGGACAGGCTACTCACCAGCACAATGTTCTTTACACCGTCCAGAGGCATCTTGGCGTAGGTAGAGGAATGTGTAGAGGAAAAGCAAGGGAAGTGGCCGACGGATAGGCTTAAGTGGGGAGCCGACCTCGGGACGCTTATCAATCGCCGCTCTCTGACTAAAACATCATCTGCGGATGGTTCCTATACTTTCTATCATTTTTTTTAAATAGAATCTAATAGCCAGAGGTAGAGAATTGTATTCTTGCGATGCCATTGGCCTACCGGAAATAGCCAACATGATGGCATCATAATTTATGTCGTCGAATCTAACCATTAGGCGTTCGAGCTGTAGTCTGTCTCCGCCGCCACTCGCTTTTGAAGTCAACCCCCAGCAAAAGACTGTGTGTCTTAAGTCCACTTCTGGACAACCACACCGCCTCGCTTGAACTCTGGCAAGTCACCAAGAGTCACGTTCTTGTCACTAAGCTCATTGCTAGGGAATGTGGTCATGAGCACCCACGCGCGGTTCCGGCCATCGGACGTGGCGGCTGCAACGAAGTCGTAGACATCGCCGATGGTGGCAGTAGTGTTGAATCGGGATGTCAGTCGAGTGCCATCTCCCAGGCGTACCTGCAAAGTAACCGTCGGCTGCGACTCATCCACTTCAGGCTTAGGAGGCCCGGTCGTAGAGGGAGTGGTCGCAGCGGAGGGAGTAGAGGACTGGCTGCTTGCCACGCCAGGAGTAGGGCTTCCAAGCCGCTGTCCGACACCAGAGAAGGGCTTGTACTTGGGCTTGGGCTTCACGTAGTTCTCGTCATGTTGCTTCAGCTCGACGTCAACTTCTTGCCCTGCTTGAACATTCATGATAGTCAGAGGAGCGCGACCCTGGCGGATGCCTTCCAGGATCTCAGCATTGCGAGGGTCATCGGTGCGGTATAGCTCGCCATCATCGACGGAAAACCCATCAGCCCAAAAGTGAAGGGTTCGGTGGACGCGCTGGGTACGTTGTGGTTGAGGTTCGGATGGTTCTTCGATAACTCGGCTAGGAGCGTCGTCGCCCCCAAGGGTGCGGGCGGTTCCGGTGAAGTAAGATGGTCGGGACTGAGGCTCGTCTGAGGAAGGTGGCTGAGCTCTGTTGATGCATGGATTAGTATACGGTCATTTACGCTCTGAAAAACAGCCCTATGGTCTTACCTGCGGGCCTTTTCGAGAATCTTCCTTTTCAAGTCATCCGGGTTTTGCACGGCCAGGCCGGATTTCTCTCCACCAGCGAAGAAGTCCTGGTCCTCTGAGCCATCATCTGAGGAAGAGTCACCCCCGCTTCCTGTGGCAAAGTCACCCAATGTCGCAAACTTCTTCTTTGACGCAGCCCGTCTGCTCGATGACGACTGGGGCGCGGCAGATGAGGAAGCTGGAACTGGGCCCCCTCCGAGAGAACGACCTCCTACGGCTGTTTGAGCTGTCTCTTCCGTGCCCAGTCGTCGGCCACCACCGGTGTTCATATCCTGTAGCGCCTCATCTTGCTCCGCGAAGAACTCGGTCACGGCAGCTTCCACATCCCATCCGTTGGTAGAAAGGTACTCTTGTGCCTGGAATATCGTAAGAGAAGATTAATATATGCACCCCAGAAGTGGAAAAAGCGCAATACTTACCTCAGCGGGCTTGGTTCCTGTCATGTTACAGAACTGAGACACGATCTCGTCGTGCTCGGCGGGGTTGTAGTCCATGGTTAAGCTTTATGGATAGATCCTGACGCACGATCTGAAAGAAGTATGAGAGTTGTATGAGAGTTGACTTCTTGAGTTGAAGTGAGGGGGGCCGTGTGCAAACTATCGGAGTGGTTAAGAACGTGTAGAAAGGTAAGAAGGGTATTGTTTGCAAGTCCAGTCAAGAGCCAGCTAAACACCGCGGCAGGTACGTCACTCGCAATTGGTCAGCCCGAGCGGAGGATCTTCCGACTAGTCATCGGGGCCTGAGGCTCCTGGCTGATCTATAAAACTACAGCACAGGAACCTATCATGACTACACTGAGATGTACAACACCAGCCAGATGTCCATTGTGCCAACACTCTAGCTTTCTACTGGCAAAAGCCGGTATGAACCATCGTATATAAACATTCAAGGGCGGAGTTGACTTCTTTTTGTCCAAAACATAAGGCCCCAGTGCTTGGAAACGTATTTTCGTAAATTCGTACCAATCTCAGTCGGATATCTCTTGAAACTTCTGTGAACCAAGAGCTTCTGATTTTATAATCTTCTTGGAGATGCCCATTCACCTGAGACAAGGCTTCGCAACAGGGTAAGAATATGGAGTGCGAACAAGTAGAGATGGACGCGGTGTCGATCTGCTGACATAATCCACACGTCTGCCCGCGCTCAGAAGCATCCCGACCGCCGCCCTGAGAAGCGGTTGATCAAACGTCCGATTCCCAGTCCATCTAGTCGCTCTACACCTCCGGTATCTAACTCGCTCTTGATTTCTATCATTTCGAATTACACATCTCCCAACAATCATGGCCTCCGACGCCTTTGGCTCGCGGGGCGAGCTATACGACTCCGCCCTGACTGTCCCCTCCGATTCGGAAAACTACTCGGCAAACAACGAGTCACCATCTTCGCCTCCTTCGACCTCCAGTTCTCCCATGATTCTCTACAAGCCTCCAACGGTATGGGGCCTCATCCGCGGTGCAGCTATCAACCTCCTGCTCCCCTTTGTGAACGGTCTCATGCTGGGCTTCGGCGAGCTCTTCGCCCATGAGGCGGCCTTCCGCCTGGGGTGGTCCAACACCAAGGTATGTACCGAATATAACATAGTGAGTAGCTTCTACAAATTCTCACAATCTTTCTCTCCATTCCAGATCTTCCCAATGTACCGCCGATCGCATCCCGTGGGCCCTGGAGTCGAGATTCGAGAGCTTCCTTCGGAGCGGAGGCGGGTCACCTCCGCTGCTGGCTTGAATGACACCGCGTCCTTGGAATAAACAGAGGTCGTTGCTGGCTTTTTTGAAATGTCAATTTCTCAACGTCTCAGATCTGCATTGATATGAGAAACACAAAACTGGTACATGTTTATTTGGAGAGATACCTGACCTCGGGTCAACACTTGGATGTAGTGCATGTACATAGACTGCTCAGCTGGCGCCTGGCGAACTGGATTTGTATTTCACATATTGCTTAGACCATTTCCTTAATCCTTGCAATAAGTAAAGAATACTCCTTATATTCATCTCCTCGTCGACTTCCTAGCAATGCGCTTTCAGATACCAAACCAACTTCCCTTCCGTATGCCTGACAACGAAAGCTTTGGCGGCAGAGACATTATTCCCTGGCCTAGGCCATAATCGAAGAGCATGGACATCCTTCTGGCCTAAACATAGGGAGCCGTAGGTAGAGTCAATGGCTGTTGGGTCCATTTGATCCAAGTAAAGACAGGAGTAGTAAGAACTAACCTTGAAACAAACCTACAAATGTTTATCTCAGGACCCTAGGAAAATCTGGAGATCTGGAATTGGGCTGTGCTATAAATGGTAATCTGACCAGACGCCTAAACTCTGCAAGACATGACAACATGCCTATAGTTTAGTTATCTATCTTCTGCCGAGATATCCTCTTTCCCCGTATGTGATCATTTTACGGCATTCCAAAAGACTCCAACCCATTCTTATCAAACCCTGTCAGAAGACTCTCATCTTTGATAGACCATGAGGTGTGATAAAAAGGCTAAAAATTAGTTTCAGTTGACAGACAGGTACTTAGTTCACGACCAAAGCCGGCGACGACTCGGCATCGGATGTTTACCGGGGTCGTCTCCGCCCGGCAGAAAAAGTCTCCCCGACAGGCACGGGAGATTCGCGATGATCCGACTGTCTATCCATAAAATCACCTTTTTCCTCGCTCTCTAGCAAAATGATGGGAGCTGCTGGCCTGAAAGGGCCCAGTATTGCCACTGCCTTTGCGCGGCAACGGCTCGCTGCGGTCCCTCGATCCACCCGATCGGTTGGTCATGCTTAGGACCCCCCGGGGAAGACACCACGTACTGACTAGTTCTTGTAGGTATCTACCTTCAGGCCTCAGCGCTTCCAATTCCCTGGCCAGAAGAGCCAATTGACCCTCGCATCATCTGGAAATGCTCCATGGCGCCGTGCTGCCCTTGCCACCACTCCTGCTGCGATCCGTTTCAACTCGACTTCCTCCGACCCAACTCCCGCTTCCATTCCCGAAACGACAACGCCGGTTGACCCGTCTGATGTTGGGTTTGACATCTCAGAGATTCCCGAGAAGATTGGATACTTGAAGGAACTTGGCTTGGACTATGGTTGGGGTCCATCATCTATGCTCCAATATGTGATCGAGCACATTCATATTTGGACGGGTATGCCGTGGTGGGCTAGCATTGTCGGTGCGGCCGTATTGGTGCGAGTCGGCCTGTTCAAGCCTACCATGGGCGCTTCCGACACCGGTGCTCGAACCCATAACGCGAGACCCTTCATTGACCCTATCCGTCAAGAGATGATGAAGGCTCGTATTGAAGGACAGACACACCAGTTCCAGATTAAGAAGGCCGAGCTTGATAAGATTCAGGCCGAGCATGGGATCAAGCCCTCAAAGGCATTTATCCCCATGCTGCAGATTCCCCTCGGCTACGGTATCTTCCGTGTTGTCCGCGGCATGACCTCTTTGCCAGTGCCCGGATTGTTGCACGAGTCTGCTCTGTGGTTGAATGACTTGACCGTGGCCGACCAGCTATACCTGATCCCTGTTATCACAGCCTCGTGCTTGTATTTCACCCTCAAGGTAAGTGATAGCTCTCCTTGCCCACGGCACTGACGAGTACGGACGCTAATAAATACTACAGAAAGGTGGTGAGACTGGCACTATGGATATCCTCAACACCTCTGCCGGTAAAGCCATGCTGATTGGTCTTCCGGCCCTTTCTTTCACATTCATGGCTTTCCAGCCAGGTGCTCTGCAGCTGTATTTCCTGTCCACGGGTGTTCTCGGTCTTGCTCAAGCTTACATTATCAACAACGCCAAGTTCCGTAATGCGATGGGCATGGCTATTCCCATCAAGCGCCAGGCGACCCAAGATATGAGCAACCTCGAGCAGCTCCAAGCCCGGTTGGCAGAGCTGCAGGCCAACCCGGAGAAGTTCAAGCAACCCGAGGCAATCAACGACAGCAACATTAGCAAAATCGACCAGGTCCAGAAGAACATCACCAGCTGGAGCGAAAAGGCCAAGCGCGAAGTCACAGAGAAGTGGAGCGAAGTGAGAGGTCAGGCAACCAAGAATGCGGACGGTTCTCCCGCTGTAAAGCCTCGTCTCTCTGAGGAGGACCGACGGGCAGCAGAGAGATACGAGAAGGAAGCCAATGCTCGGGAAGCCGCCCTGCGCGAGGAGCGCAACCACGCCCGTCGGAGCTCCCATATGAGGACTCTTGCAGCTGAGCGACAGAAGGCTCAGAATTCCTTGAAGAATCTCCAGGCGGTTGGACGCAATGGCCCATCTCGGAGGCAGTGATCTGCCCCAATGTGTATAAACTGTAAATTATGGCGCTTTCACTATGGCATTTTGTGTTTTCATGTATTACAGGATTAGAACCTATTTTGACCACTCTTTCCACTCCGTCGGTGCGTAGCCCAATCATCGGGGTCTATCTCCTAGTATTTACATTCTAACATGAGAAAGAAGCGGAAAGAGAAAAAGTCCACCTCAATGAGCTGTGTGACCGCTAAGAATGTCGATGATGATTATGCATTGCCACTACATCTTCGACTTCTTGCAATTCCACCAAACCGAATTACCACGCGGAATAGAAACCGGAATATAGACCTCGTATGCTTGTTACAGAGCCGTTTTGATGGTAGAAGAATAACGAAAAACAATAGAAAGTCTCAAGAAAGCAGACCCAAATCATGTAGTCCGCATGGGAATCGAGACCGCCGGCAATGGCAACGACCCTTTTTCATCCTCTGCAAAAACCGTCCGCTCCAACTTCTCCGTCATAGATGCACAGAACGGGTCAACATATGCTGTCCAGGCCGCTGCAAGAGCATACACCAGTCCGATCCATACCGGTATACTAACAGCAACAACCCATGGCGGTCGTAGTGGCAGCCAGTCCCGCGAATCATCAGTGGCAGCTTCACCTCCTTCCCATGGCTGACCACTAATTCCGTACAACATCCAGCAAAGGACAACACGCAACATAGTCCCATGGATGAGATATACCGCGAAACTCTGCTTTCCAAGCCATAGCAACAGTCGATTTGCGAGAAAGGCTTTGGTTGAGGGAGAGAGGTAGATTGCTAGGATGATGAGGTCCACGCCGATGGCCGAGTAGCGCTTTCCGATGTTCACATCTGCTGGAAAAATATATCTTGATAGCTGCAACATGAAGTTCGACCAGGGCATCCATTCTGGGTGTTCGCCTGGGTAGGAGGCGATTAGGAGACCGGCAATCGCGAGGGGCATGGTAATGAGCTTCCGAGTATAGCGATGGGATTCTACCCAGTCTTTCAGAGTGGTAGAGTATGAGAGATCACTGAGAAGGACGCCGAAGATAGCTTGCATTTGGAACGTTTCTAGAGGTATGGGTTTGAGTCAGTCAATTGTACGTCATGAGACATATTTGCAAGTACAGTGCGGAAAGATATAGTTCTTACCCGTGTTTTTCGCGGCATCTTGGTGATAATACAGCAGCATCCCTATGTATACGGCGACTCGGTATCTGAATCGCATAGACATCGTCGCGACAAGAAGAATAAAGACCAGCATCGAGGCCTTGAGCAAAGGTAAAAGAGCCCACTGGTGATCGTCGTATGCCATATATCCGGTCGTCCAAGTCGACAAAAAGTTCTTCCCCAACCGAACGATCTCTTTCCAGAGAGAATCTTCCAAGTCTGGGGCTGCATATCGGCACCACCAGCTGTCGGAGCGATTGGCAACAGTGAATCCGCCGAATTGGGCAACTGTCCATGATATCACCAAGGCAATGGTGGCCGGAAAAATAAGTCTTGGTGGTCTTCGGAAGGCGCTCTTAGCGATTGTAGTGAATGCAGCGGTCGTATTCCCAGCTCGCGAGAGCTTCAATGGCTTGAGGGCACATACGTAGCCCGTAAGAAACGCAAAGATAGTGACACCGAGACGGCCTTGCCAAGGAATACGCAGGATGGGCCATTGTAAGATTCGTGGACTCTCGTCTTCGGTGTCTCGAGGAGAAAAGAGATCGTAGTCCCATGCTCGGGCGAGGTGTGTCAATATTACTAGGAAGGAGGCGATCCCACGTAGGCCCTGTAATTGAAAGATCAAGTTAGCGAAAGATCAAATCTGGGGATTTGGGAATATCTAGAACGTACATCGATCCACTTCACGCTCTTTCGAGGGTCACCTTTGGTGGAGGAGTTGCGTTGACCCCATGGTAGAACAGCGGGAATAGTATCTTTTAAACGAGTGTATAAGTGAGAAGATGGAAAGAGTGTCATTATAGTTATCAGGACGTGTATGAAGTGGGAATTAAAAGAGTGGTCGAGTGCTTCAGATATTCTCAAGAGATATCATATCACCGTGTAGTCGATATACAACCCCAGCTTGACATAGCCGTCGAGATGTCACCTGGGTAGCCAAATGAATGAATGTTGCAAACAAGAAATCCACAGAAAGCACGAGGACAGGAGTCCCGCCAACCCAGACGGACATCACATTTTGGTATACCCCTCGAGTAAGGAACACGCCAAGAAAGAAGGGGCACAACAACGTACCAGACCTCCTGAGACTGAAGCCACAAATAGATAGAGAGAGACTTTCTGCATCTCATCAGCCGATAAGGATGTCAAATTGCGCCATTATGAACCCATCATCTCGTCAATGACCTGCCAAGAAGCTGATGGGTATGCGTCGCCGTGGCTAGGGGGATCGAAAAGTGTAGATCAGAACGCGGATCTCGAAAGCCATCGGTATGCCAGGGCCCATGAGGGGGTGTCTAGGTATGTGTAACGGTACATGTTGTTCCTGCAATCATTGAGAATAAGAAAAAAAAAGGGAATGCGCGGAAGGCGCTAGACCCTTGCAGCATTTGCATAAAACGCTGCTAAATTAGGATTGAGTCTGCCGATCTGGCCATGTATTTGTTTTTCTTTTGTAGATAACTACCTTTATTGCTTGTCTGATAGGTATTCGAGATATCAAATACACAAGTTGGGCGTCTCAGGCGGCTTCAGGGGCGGCGAAGAGGATTCAGTAGCCACCGTATGATAGATAGGGGCATTCATGGGTCAAGAGGACGAGTTCAAATAGCTTGTGTGGATGATCCATTGAATGAGCAGTCCATGCCAAGGGCTCCAACCTCCTAGATCGGCAGATCAAGCAAATGTGGCGGAATGTCAACTCCTTATTTGTACTCCGTCCACTTACCTGAGACGCCTCCCACTACGCCTGAGAGATACGTCATTGGCTTAGACGATATGGGGATGAGCCCACGGTGAAGGTTACAAGGGCCAGTTGCTCGAGAGAAGAATTGGTGTGGTATCAAGATTTTATGTTCAGCAAACCCTATGAAACACCGCTACCATGTATATGGATAACTCCTCACAAATCATAAGTCGACACCCTTGTCGACTGAACCCAAGCGCCCGTGAAAAGACTTCGTAGTGCCGATGTACCTTTTGTATGAAGCCAAGAAGAAAATGCTTGATTAACGGAATAGTCGTCGCCCCCCCACGCTGCCAGAGGCCCACGTAACCGAACCCTTGACCCCGAGATTATCCATACTCAATCCGGAGAAGCCGACACCACCACCTTCGCCATCACGCTTGTAACGGCGAAGTGCTTCACGCAAGTGTGATGGCAGAAGCTGGCCACGATGGGGGTTAGGTGGTGGGCGAAACTCTCTTCGTGGGCGCGGAGGCGCAGGACTTGATACCGAAGCCCGGCCGACTTGTAAAGATGGAGATGGGGACAGATGGTGGGCGGGAGTAGAAGATGTTGAATTGAGGGGATTCGCTGGAACGGACGATGGTCGTATCTGGTTTGTATCCGATGGCTCTTTCTTGATGCCATTGCTGAGGGGTCCTGGGTTAGACGCAGGGACAGGGGTGCCCGAAGGAGTAGGAGTCGCGGTCTTTGATTGTGCCGCCACGGCTTGAGCTCTGGCCTGAGCTGCCTTCTCAGCAGCGGCCTCTTCGGCGTCGAATGCGGCTCGTGCCGCTTGGTCGAAGGCATCGGCCCATTCAGCCTGAACCGTTCGCGCCTTCTCAATCATCTCACCAGCAAACACCTTTGTGAAACCGTTGACTGTAGTGACCACGCTGGCTGGGACGGACTGTGAGAGTGCATGGTTGACGATACGTCGGAGGGATTCTTTGCGCAGCTTTGCTCGCTTGAAAAGGTCATATCGCTCGGATTGCTGAGGGTTAAACGCATCAACCAAAATCCTGTAGAAGCGGCAATATTAGTCTTCCAGCTCACCAAACCTCCCAGTGGAAGTAAACATACGCCAAGTTCTTCTTCTCAGCCTCGGTATCCGTAGTACCCTCCTCTCTCCCCAAAAGCTCGCCTTCATCGTCGTCATCGTCATCATCGCCATCATCACCACCTCCTCCACCACCTCCGCCCATGCCCCCTCGAACTGAGCCTTCAGCATCGACAGATTCAAGCCGTGCATCTCCAGCGCGCGAGCTCATCGCATCTTCTCGCTCACGCTCGCGCTCCTTCTCAGCTTTGCTCTTTCTTCCGCGCTTCTTTCCGCGGGCTGCGCCAGCAAAAATGCCGTCTGCGCTTGCGCCGCCGATGCTTCCTGTGAAACTGCCCGTCACGCTTCCCGCATCGCTGGTCGCACCGAAGCTGCGGTCTACAATATCGAGACCTGTGGGGAATGAGGTTTGTCGGAGAGGGTGCATGCGAGGCTTCTTGCCGAGTGGTTGTGAGGCGGACGAGGAGATAGAGGGTCGTTTGAGGGGGTTGGTTGGGGTCTGATAGGATGGTGGTGACGACATATTGAAGGGATGTGTTTAAAGGATCGGAAATCTCGACACGAGTGATGTGCACAAGGTCAAGAGACGTGTTGAGAGGATTAAAGAATAGAGATGTGTCTTGAGTCCGATGTGCTCTGGCGGGCCGCGGGCTTGACGAGATTCGCCGAGTTTGGGAATGCGCTGTGACACTGGTCCCCTGTCTGAAGCGCGGAGACAAAGCGAGTTCAATCAGAGATTGAAAGCGAGCGAGATAAGACCACTACCTGAAACCTGCCCAATCACCCACAAGATGAAGATGCCAAAGATGAGTCGATGTCAGTTTGACGCGATCAGAATTGGGTCGCGATGATTCTAGAGCACACCCGACCGCCTACCTGGTTTGGAATTTATATGCTCCGCCGGGGTGAGACTACGTCAAAGAAGCTGCTAAATTGAACAATGGAGAGATATTTACCCGCATACTCTGGAGGAATTCGCATATGATACCGAAGTAGTAGATGTGATTCAGTTATGAAGAAAGAGTGACAAATGAGTAATTGACAAGAATACTCGAAAAGCTCAAAACAAGACCGCTGATGAAATCCAGATGGAAAGAACGCGAGGAAGATGATGAGACGCTCGGAGCATGGACATACAATGCTGCGCATTATGTAAAGACAGGAGGAATGGCATCCACATATTTCCAGACTTGGAACGAGAACGACAAAAATGCAGACGATCTGTGCAGGATATGAAGTGACAGAAATGGGCACGGAAGCAGGCCAACAACTGGAACCAGCGGACGTGGAGAAAGGAAAAATCTGAAGGGACCATCTCCAACAGCTTCATGTAGGATTAATGCCCTTAGAACTTCTCTCCAAGCCGGGGAGCCCCCCCTTTCCAGTCATCGCGCTCATAGTAGCGGAACACAAGGTCGTACCCATTCAGGTCGTGAACGATGCGGTCAACGCGGCGGTAACCCTCAATTTGCTCCATCTTGGGATTGCGACGCATGGCCTGGCGCTGCGCGTGCGCCTCGTGGAAGCCATTCGCATCAGCCATATCCTCGATTGCAGGCTTAGTCTCAAACAAAGTGATGCTGAAACGGCCGGGCTTGAAGATATCCACAACCTGCTGAATGATGTCGGTGGTGGCCTTTCCGTTCTGCGAGTGCGGAACGTTGGTCTCGAACGAGGCATAGGAGCAGTGCGGCTCCGGAGTAACGTGCACGGTGAAATAGTGCGTAGGAGTCTTGCCATCCGGAGCGGGGACGACGCCGTTGGCAGAGAAGCCACAAGGCGTGAAAAGGTACGCGTCAATGCGAGCATCGGGGAACTTGCTCTTGGGATAAACGTCGGACAGGCCGCAAGCATCGGACACCACAGTGCCGAGCGCGTGACCTTCAGTGGTCAGCTCTGCTGGCAGCAGACGATCCGCGTCAGGGTCATCGGGGTCGGAGCCGTTGTCGAACACATCAAGGTGCTCGTCTTTGTCAAAGTTGCGGTAACGCTTCTCCGCCGCAGCGGTAGCGTTATCCAGGTAGAACTGCTTCGCGTTCTCCTCGTCCAAGTCAGTCATCAGGACCTCGAGAGTCTCATCGTGCTCATTGCAGTCGGTAATAGGGGAGGCCTGGGGGAAACTGAGGACCTTGGTCTCAGTCTCGGGGAAATGGCCATCCTCCTCCTTGGGGCTGGCCGGCGGAGTGAGCAGCGTGTGAGGCTCAGTCAGGTACAGGTACCAATGCTCTCCGTTCATCTTGCCAATCATGTAGGCGCTTCCGTTCTGGAACAACTTGTCCATGTTGCGGACCTCGTCACGCCAGCTGCGGTGAGGGCCGCGCTGGCGGTCAGGGAACAAGTAGTTCTTGCGGCTGTAGAAAACCCGGTAAGGAGCGGCCGCAACGGTGATGCCGCGAGACGGCGGGGCAGTAGCGCGAGGGAAGCCTGCAAAGAGGGCGGCGATCTCTAAGATGCGCGGAAGACCCGACAGAAGAGTCGTAGTACCACAGGTCTTGAGGATCAACTTGTGAGGCCAGACGAACATGCTGGACTCGGACAGAAGGTAGGCATCCACATCCTCGGATGAGACAACCGACAGAACCTGGCAGTTGACAAGATCCAGCATGTCCTTCCAAATCTCGCCAGGTACCTTCTTCAGGCCCTCAGGGCCCGCGGCGCCAAGCTCGCTGGCAGACGGAGCAAACCAGACCTCGAGTAGCTTCTCGGGACCTATTTTTTGAAGATTATGAGTGATTCATTCGACAAGCGCTGGGCTTAAGGTTGACTAACCTTCAAAGGCACTGCTGGAGTCAAGATCCTGGGTGGCCTCATAGTTGATGGTCAGAGAAGGAGTCCCCGCGAAAGACGACGGAGACTGCGTGTAATTTTTCGGAATACCGACGTAAACCATTTCCGTTGATTGATGCAGCCGAGGCTGGTAATAATTGGGCAATTAACGGGATCGAAGATGGTAACTGTGTGACGTCGGACCGCCCTGAGAGCTGTTTGATGGGAGACAAAGGGCTTTAGAAGCACTGTCTACTTACCCAGACGAACAAGGGGGCAATGCCCGTCTGAGAAGAGAAGGCCCTGCGGACAGAGAGGAACTGGCTATCAAGCCAGGTAGATGAGCACTTAACAGACCGGAAGGGCCGCTAAGGAGGTAGGAACGCGAAAGAGAGGAGGAAGATGCTACAAAGAATTGTGACTGTCAGTCCGGTACCCTCGTGCTGGAAGATACCGATACTGGTCAAAGTATCGGGTCTAGCAGACGAGAGTATCTGCTTTGTGCAAGAGGTATGAAGAAAGGTTGATCGTTGTTGAAGTGAGTCTCGCTATCGAGGCCTAGAGACAATGGGGTAATCAGTATCGCGTGGAAGGAAATGTGTTAGAGGAATTGGGAGTAGGGAAGGGAGATGCAAAGCGATTGTGTCTTCAGTAGTTCTGCCCTAGGCTGTTGCGCCGACATAATGGAAAAAAAAAAAAAAAAACAAGAATCTTCCATATTTGTGGATCGGTGGCCTCCGTGAGGGGTAACCGAGGGGAAAGAAGGAAAAAAATATCGCAATGGCACATACTTTGCAGGCTTAGAGAGAAATCGCAGAAGATCCTTCGGGCTCATGAAAGGCAGGACAGGAAATTCGGCTTAGAATTGCACGAGGTCGCGCGAGGCCACGATCGTGATCATCAGTGGGATGACGAAGGCAGAAAAACGAGTTGCGCGGGTCAGACTTTGCGTCAAAGCCGAAAAGAGTGCCCGAGATGCAATTGAGTGCTCTGGGCGAGTGTAGAGAAGAATATTTTCTCTGGATAATGGTTTGGCCAAAGGGAAGGAAGCCGATGGTCAATTTGCAGACCTCGAGAGGAGGGGTTGACAGGAAAATTGTTTGCCGTAACGGGCGGTTGAGTTGGCAATGAGCGATTTTGTCTGTGGGCCCAAGCTCGTGGGGCGCGCCGGATCAAAATCTGTCTGACATCAGGGAATACGACCACGTTAGTCTTCCCAGCCCTGCAACGCCACACAACGCATGATTTGCAAAGGAGAAAAGCTAGGGAAAACCCGGCCACTTACGGGAAGAAGAACAGCCAACTGGAGATCGTCTACGACGATAACTCGATGTGAGTCGAAGAAGAGAAGGAGCGTGCTCAGACGTAAGAATCCTAGAACACGCGAGCGGTGAGACCAGGCAGAATTGACTTTCGGGCAGGTCGTGCCTGGCCGCGGGTTATGTAATCAATCAGCGGGGAAACGAGAACCTTAAAGGAAGTCACCTGATTGGACTGCAGGTACACAGTACGACCGTCCTTGCCTGAGCCATTTATATGGGACTAGAGCGGTCTTTTGTCCGGCAGAATCCATTACTTATAAGGCAAAGTCAATGTCAATTGGGAATGTAGAAGAGATCGGAGGTCAAAGCCACAAAGATCCAGTTCCTCCCCTCCCGAAACGCCCGCTCACAACGCCATGCCAGATGGATGCAGCAGATCATTCCCCATACCGGTGATTTGAACATGAAAAGAAAAGACATGAGTGAAAAAAAAGAAAATATTCGACAACACATTAAGCCTCCACGATAAGGCGGGCCAACTGGACTTCGTTGGCCTCAACGATCTTCCCGGCGATTAGACCACCGACTTTCTCCGTCAACTGTGAGCGCAAATCATCCGACACAGTTGCGGGATGGCCGTTAGCCAGAGACGGGTGAGCGTCTCGGAGGGATGTCAGAACACCGAGGAGTGCAAGAAGAACGCGCTCGGCAGCAGGGCGACGAGCTGCGTCCTCGAGACCATCACTGAGCAGTTTAGAGTAGTCACTGAGATTGGGAATAACGAGCACGCGGACCACCTCGGCGCCACCGACAGCCTGTAGCCCAATAACGGCTCCGTAGTGGGCACCGAATGGCTTGGAAGGATCGAGGAAGCTCTTCAAGCAAGACCGCACAAGGCGGGGCTTGAGCATGTGGGATGAATGGGAGAATTTCTTGGCAATCAGTCCGAGCAGTGATGCTGCAAGGTCACGTAGCGCAAATTGTTCGGACAGATCGCTGGCTCCGCCAAGTTGTCGGCCGACCAGACAGGTCAAGATCGATGGAACAAGAGAGGCAATCTGTTAAAAGGTCAGCTACGGCCGATCCTATGCGGAGATAGTGAGCGGGGTGTCAACGTACATAAGGGTCGACGTAGAGGGATGTATTCTGGACCAAAGCCTCGGCCATGTGCATCACCTGGGTCAGAACGAATATATCCTTAAGGCTGTGCGTGACCTTCTCCGCGATGAATTGCACAAAGTAGGGCACCAACTGGTGTAGACCGGGATCATCTCGTAGACTGGCATACGCAGATGTTCGGTACTCCTCGCTCGTCTCATCCAGGAACGCGCTGCAGACCTTCTCGAAGTACAGCTGCAGCTCTTTGGAGAGCACATGCTTCACGGTAGGCTTCACTGATACCTCGCCACTGCCGCTCATCGCCGCAAGGGTGGAATTGGCGTTCGGTCCCTTCGATACCAGCTCGAGGTTGCGAGAATCGGCCGCGGTGGGGTTTTGAGGAATGGATGGCTGGACACCTTCGACAGCGAGCCAGTGGCCTACATAGAGAGCGCTTAGATTCCATGGTAACACGAAGAATTTTTATACACTTACCGGTGAAAGATACTTCGCGGGGGACCTTAGGCAACGGCGCGTTGATCAATTTCTCAAAGTCCACCTCTTCATCTTCCACGTAAAACAGCGGTTGACCGGGGCCCAACGATGCTTCACCAAACCGCAGCGGCCGTAAGGATTCGTATCCATAAAGAGGCTCCACGTCCAAATTTCGCAGAGCGTGAGAGATGTCTTGGGTAGTAAGAAGGGTGCGCTTGCCGTGTCGCATGCACTTCAGTGCTTCCTCCAGCACTTGCGCAACGCGGTATTCAACGTCGCGTGCAAGATTTTCCGTCACATCGTGATTCAGATTGGTAATCCCGACGGATTCCGCAACATCACGGATGTTGTCCGGGTTCCAGACCGACATGGCGATTGCTTTGTCCTAATTCGGAGGTGAGGCCGCGATGAAGAGGAATCTGGGAGGGATAGGATTGCGGAGATGGGCGCGCTCGGTAGTCGGAAAGCTCTTGATCAGAGACAGAGTCGCATTCTGAGAGCCCGCCGGTCAACTTCAGCAAAGACAGAACGAAATGGGTCGTGGCAATGTTCTTCGCTTTGTTCTAATGTAGGCAACAAGCCAAGCAGGCAGAGGGAGCCGATCGATGAGAGTTGGGCGCGGTACTGCGCGAGTGGGTCTTGTGGCATCCCGTACAAGCTTGTGAGCCAACTATACGAGTACGCTACAAATTAATTTACACTGTTTACTGAGGTGCTAAACTTATCTTCAAGTAAAAAGAATCTTATTATCAATTATAGGCCTGGAATTACAAGTGCAGATGAAGGTACTAATGGCCTCAGGCGAAAGCAAAAGCAGAGAGAGTCGGCAGCCACTCGTCCTCCGGGTATCACAACGAAACGCACATTCAGAAATAAGAGGGCACAATTTACTTGGCCTCCTCAGCAACGGGCTTGATCTCCTCCTTGAGTACCTCCTTCTCAGTAGTCTGCCCGGTGGTAGTGGCCTCCGCCTGGACAGCAACTTCCTCCTTGAGAGGGTCTTCCTTGGCAGCCTCTTCCTTAGGTGCCTCCTCCTTGACGGGCTCATCATCCTTGGGGGGAACAGCGGGGGCGGCAGTCTCCTCAAAGGGTTGGACTGGCTTGACCTCCTCCTTCTTTTCCTCCTTCTCCACCTTGTCCTCCACCAGTTGGACAGTTCGTGCCTCGTCCTTCAGTTCGGCACCCTTTCCACCGTAGGTCTTGGGGATCATGTCCGCAATGGTAGCGGGGAACTCACGGGCGAGATTGGCACCGTTAGAGATCGGGTGGAACTTGCGGGTAGTGTTGCGGCTGAGGAACAGCTTCATGGCGGAGAACATCCAGCCCATGATAGAAGGGACATTGACGAAGAACTTTTCGCGCAGTAGTTCGGGGTAGGCAGTAGAGAACACGTCGATGGTCTTCTTGGTAGCGGTGCGAACGGAGGGGTCCATACGGAAGAACTTGACGTTCAGGTAGTCGTGAACCTGAATCATCTGGTAAGGATCCTTTTCGCCGTCATAGTCGATGACCTCAGTGGCATCCTTCATCTTCAGGTCTTGAACGGCCAGTTCCATAAGGGCGGCGCGCCACTTGACAAACCTGGAGAGTGAATTAGCACGTTATATTTCCCAGTTTGGATTCATCAAGTCACTCACTCGTCGGAATCGCCAAAAGTGGCGCTGACATCCTTCACAGCGCCGTAGATGTTCCAGGTGAACACCAGAGGGCGTCCGTCCTGCTCAAAGGTTGTCAGGTAGCCAAGACCACCGTACTTGGTGGCACTGTAACGGCCAGACTCAACCAAAGCCAGAGGATCGGTCTTCTTGCGCCATTCGAGAGCCTTGCGAAGCTGATCCTGAGCACCCTGGACGTTGCCCTCATTGGCGCGGAGGAACTTGATGAGTACATTGACGGTAGGCACATCCTCGCTGTCCTTGAGCTGCACACCCCACATCTCATTGTAGCCAGTTTCGCTAAGGATCTTGGGCAGCTGTTCGAACAGCTGGGCCAGACCGGGAATCTTGGTCAAGTATGTGGGCTGCTCGGGCTGCTTCTGCTCATCGGTTTTGGCCGCTTCGGGCTCAGGGGCAATGGGTGCATCTTTCACAGCTTCTTCCGCCTTAACTGGAGTGTCCTGGACAACCTCCTTCGCCTGGGGCTCGGCCACCTTGTCGGTAGTCTCGGTGGTAGCAGCCGCGGGAGTTTCCGAAGGCTTGTCGCTAGCTTCAGGAGCTTCCGAAGCTACTACGGCAGCTTCCTCGGCCTTCTCGGGCTCGGCCGCAGGAGCCTGTTGGACGGGCACGGGCTTTTGGTCCGACATGGTTGTGACTTTTGGGAGAATGAAAGAGTGTAATTGACTTGATGATGGAAGAGAAGGAAAGAGAGAATAAAAAAGCTTCAGGGGGGAAGGAAAAAAGATTGAGGCAGGGGGTTCGCACGTCGATAATTCGGCCTATCAATCGGGTCCACTGCGGTCCCCACCTGTCAACCCGATGGATCATGGGCCTACAGCTGAGACGACACTAAGGGGCTCACCATCGAGCGATTCGAGCCCGGGGAAATTTGTGGCCCCTGAGTACCAGCCAAATATGAATTCTAAATGAGGTTCTAGACTTACATTGGTCAACTAGCCGGTCCTGCTGCAGTTTCGGGAGATGATTAGCGCTATGGATCTAGAAGACCGCAACTTTAAAAATAGCACGGGATCGACTGGCGAAACCAATTCGCTGATGACCGGCTCGATTGACAACCAGGTCGTCCAGCGAGCAGAAAGCCAACAAGCTGGTATTAGTCTGGGGGAGTCGGGTGCTTTGTACGCTAAAATTGAGTGCATTTACCTTCATTTAGACCATCAGGGATCGAATAGAATATCAGTAGGGACAAAATCTCATTAAACGAAATTAAAAAGGATCACTAGGCCACAAAAGTAAGAAAATGAAGAGGGCTGCCGTTGCCGATAAGATTTAGTGGGGACCTATACAAACGCTAATTACATTAAACCCATTCATTGTCTCAACTAGACTCCGATGGCATAGGGGTCTCATGTGCCTTGTAGATAATTGCACCCTCCTCAGAGTTCATATAAAGGCCTTTGCCAATTTCGAATATATCCATCTGTCCTCCTTTAATGACATGGTCACACTGTATTCTGGCAGACCCTCTCGGCTATCCCCAGTAGAGTTGACGCTTGAGTTTAGGTTAGCCGATGGGGGCTGAACCATCACCCGTAATTACGGTAGCTTTGAATCCACACTAGAAGCCACAAAAGAAATGTTCATTTATCCTGGACGTTAATTAGAGGAAATGAATGATAATATATTCGCGTGGCCAATGGATTGCTGAAAGGTCATCATCAAATACGGGACAAGACCGGTAGAATTTTGAGATATATCGATCGCCATCCAAGACAATAGAGACTTATGGGGTGGTCCAAAGGCTATGAACCACAGTACGATGATGGTTGTCCAAATAGTAACCCCGCAGACAACTATGGAAGCCCTTTGCCATTGTTGCCCCCAGCTTGGTACCACTTTCGGGTAGGTATGTGTATACTCCACAGCACTTCTTTTCTTGCAATAAGAAACACTTTTCCTAAATAGAACTAGTCAGAGGCCATCTACTATTTATCACCCAGGTTTTCCGATTTACCATACCTTCTTCAGTAATATTACCCCGTTTATTGTCACCGAAATCACACTCTATTATACAGAGGGGTATAGACTTATGATGTCTTCGAGTCACTGTATTTGATCTGCTTTACACCAACCAAGGACTAGACACCTGAGAGTCTGGGTATGATTCTATACCACACTCACTTGAACTCTTGTGACCGGGACTTAGCGCGGCTAGAATAACATTATTTTACGGAATTGACATCTTTCTAGAATGACAATTTACAAGCCCATCCTACCTTGGAGAATTTGAAGCCCTTCCCTCATGATCACTCCTTCCCTGGTGATATCTTTCTTACCCCGAATGGTCTGCCTTTCCCGTGACCCTTATTCGTTGGTCTTCACATTGAGCCCATCTTGTTCCTTGACACTCTGCTCCGGGGGTTGCTCAACTGCACCTTCAGTTGACTTCACATCGCCCCGATTAAGCTGGTTCTCCAATCGGGTGACATCGTTGCGCTCCTCGAGTGGATCACGCCCGACTTGGTCAAGTTCCGATCGCAGCTGGGTTGCTTTATCGAGAGCCTCTTCCAATCGAAGCTTCAAATCTTATTCTCTTCTCTTGTTCAGCTTCGCGCAACTGACTTTTGCAAGTCATGCCTTTCCTTCCTAGCACCGGCACATGCCTCTTTCCACCGACGTAAGCCACCACTCATGAGACCGTCAGTAACAACGAAGAGATATTTTCAGAAATTCCCTAGCCCTGCCAAACTTCCCAAGTGGAAACGAAAAAAAGGAAATCAATCCCAGATTCTTCGCGGGCAAGAGAAGAAATGAAATATCTACGGAGTAATACATACTCCCCTATAGGGTATACCCGGGCCTAACCGAATCGGGTTAGCAATCGAACAATCGACGAATAGAGGAATCTCTTACCCTAAATTCCGAGGATCCACCCACTTCAGTCCAAATGAGTCATTTTTCGTCAACAACAAGCAAGCTGGCGCATAGGAAGCGCGTCGGGCTCATAACCCGAAGGTACCTGGATCGAAACCAGGGCTTGCTATTTTCTTTTTTGGGATTTTTGATCTGGGGGACCTTTGTTTTCGTTTAGGTGCTAAACATACCCTACACCTACACCCATGCACTCTCTATACATCCGAGGCTCTCTATTCCTGTCAAGGAAAATTCTCAATTTTTGCCGACGAGAGGATCGGATGCCGGGAAGTCAACTCTCAACCAACATGATCCTAGATGTAAGTGGTGAATTATGAGTCGGCGAAAAAGGGTAACTAAAGGTATTGATAGTGCTTAGATATTCATAGGAAAAAGTCATAGTTCTCGTATTCTATTATAGATAGTACCCCTCGCTCTGAGGGGCATATCTTAGATTTATGTCTCATGGGTTACGCAAAATAAATCACCAAATCCCAAGAGAACAGAGAACGCAATCTGGATGCCTCGAAGGGAATCGCTGATTAATTCAAACGAGACCAAGTCAAAAAGGAAAACGGAAACAAAAGACCGCTGGGGAATAATACAGATAACACGAACGAACGGAAAAAAGGGAAATGAACAAAGGGTTTAAAATCTGTCATATCGGTCTCGGGGTAGCTGCACCGTCGAGCCAAGGGAATTGTCCGAAATGGAAATGTCATCAGGTAGACTCGGGACGAACAATTATCGACCGCCATTGCGGAATTGCTCGGGGATGTGAGGGACGGCCGGTGGGGGACCAGGTTCGGCCTCGTCCTCGTCTTCTTCCATTTCATCCTCCTCCAATTCCTCAGGGTGCCTATATCACAAATTTAGCTCCGTCCCCAATCATGGCACTGGGTGTGAGCATGTCGAGGTCAACTTACGCAAGCAACTCCTTGATATTTCTCATCTCGTAATGCTTCTTCCGATGCTCCTCAAACTGGCGATGTTTCTCCTTCGCCTCCTCAGTGGTCAGTAACTCATCACCACCTGCGGCCACATCCCCATTGGTATCAGGGTTAACGACAACATGTTTGTCGCTTTTGTGTGACTCCGTGCTCATACTACGCTCACGGTAGATACGCTGTTCGGGACTCTCCTGGGCCACAGGATTCTCCTCGGCCTCGCCGAGCTCCAGATCCGGAATATCATCCTCCGAGACACCCTTCTTATGCTGCCCGCCATGGGTAGTCTTGTCGAGTTCATCAACCACCACATCCTGTGGGTCAATGAGACTCTCCTTGGCCTCTTCGAGTCGAAGTTCCTCTTCGTCCTCGGCGGGATCGTAGTGCGGGGCGTAAGGAGTCTTTGGCTCGTCGATCTTCATTTTCGCAGTGCGCTCCTGCTCGGTCAGGTACAGGTTTGCTTCATCCCACTTTAGGCGGGGTTCGTTCTCGTCGTGCTGGCTGGCGAGAGACTGTCGGCGCGAGGATGTGCCCGGTCGACCGGCGGATGAGGAGTGGCGTCGTCCCGCGTTTACCAGGGTGTTTTGGAGAGTGAGTTCCTTGGTGTCTTCGGGCTCGGCGATGGAGGGGATGGTTGGTGGTGTAGCAACCGGTGCTGAAACGGGAGCAGCCTGGAAAGATCTGCTATTCTTCAGAATGCCTGGATCGCCAAACAGACGGGGATGATTAGCGTTCAGAATCTCGAGAGTCCAGATCCGCCACTGGAGCTGGATTCAAGTCGAAGAACTCACCTCTAGGCCGTGTGTGCATATCATCGCTGCCGTGTGCCTTAGCCGGCAAATGCGGTGCGGTCGTCATCGTGGGTGGTTGGTAGTCCAGGGACGAAGACACCGTCTGATTTTCAAGTCGACGTAGACACGAATTTCTTCGGAGGGGTAAGTGTTGGCCACCAGGTGAGCTGACAGTCGGCTTTGTCAGACGAGGCTTAGCAGTTCAGCTGAAATCAGTTTGGAAGGTCACTGAGTGTAGCGTCAAGGTTGAGTGGCGTGTTAAGAGAATAATGTGAGGAATGAGACATATATCAGCCGCGAATATGAAAGTCAGCTGCGAGGTTGTGAAGGTCAAAGGTGAGGCACGTGGGGCCTGATGACGTCGGGCTTGGCGCCTGACATCTTCGGCAAAAACGGATTTTTTCGTGACTCTCGCCTTGCGATCCCACGGGAATCGGCCGGGAGTTTCCATGGTTGGGCGGTTGAGCTTTATTTTGCGACTGATTTCCCATTGGGATCATTGGACCAGGGCTGAAAGCAACAGCCACGTCTGAGAGGGTGTATTCTTGAGGGTGTATTCTTGAGGGTGACTGTTCGTTTACTTGAAATACTGCGCACGGGATATATAGCGCTCGGACACACGTCAATGTTTCGGAATTGATAATGTCTCTTGCAATAGATATAGAATTTCTTAGTATTCTTGGACCGCGACCAACAAGCTTAGCCAAGTAATGGCAAAATAACAGGCCAATCCTAGTCTTTCAATGCAATAGCCAACTGAGAAATAACGCCATAATACTCCCGTACCCTACAATAGCCCTAGAATAATCGAATAGGATTGCGTTCCAGAAGATGATTCTCCTCTAACACCAGATCAATCGCCCAAAGATAGGGGGGTATCTGTATATGCAAATAAAATCCAAGGCCTGCCTCGTATAGCCACAAGAAAGAATAAATAGGTGCAACAGTAAGAGAAGAAAATCGTAGACCAAAAGTGGGAGATAAGAAGAAATGGATGGGCATGGGCAAGAAATGAAAATAGAAAGGATCAAGCGATGGAATCAAACTCCTCACGCTCGCGCAGGCGATTACGTGCGAGAATGTCGCCTCCGTTGGCTGACAGCTGCATCCAGTGTAGTGCCAAGCACATACTCTGCGGATCAGACTTGGAGTCTTTGCCGCGGCGGTACATCATCTCAGCTTTGAAAGTGTCGCGAGGCCGAGTGAGTGGGAGTGTAACTCGCTGAAGACGCTCGGGGTGTGTGAGATAGAGAATGGCCAGCTCGCGCTGCGCAACTGGATTGCCCTCTTTAGCAGTGATGATCCACATCGCCGCTGCATCTTCAATGGCATGACCGGTCCGCGGGTAAAAGTCCGCGCCGGGATGTCGTCGCAGAAGTTCTTGGGAGACGATGCGGTCCGCAATCTCGACCATGCTGTGGCATACTTCATCCTTCAGACTCAAGGCTGCAAGTCCGAATTGGAGGAATGCTGTTCCACGATCGGATTTATTGAGTTGCTCTCCAGGCACAAACGCAGAGATGAACTGCAAGTCCCGGAAGAGTGTCTTGGGCTTGACTTCTAGGATGAGATCTCGCAGGGTAGCCACGATCTGGTCTTCTGATGGTGTTGGGTAGTCGGAGCGCCTTGAGCCATAGGTAACCGACTCGGGTGGAGTCATTGCGGGGAAAGCAGTGCCTGTTTGAGACATTGAGGGTGCATGAGCCGCAGAGAAGCTTTGTCGAGTAGCCCGTGATCGAGTACCATTAGCACGACCTCTGTCATCTTTAGACATGGAGCTAGCAGCGGGTCCCGATCGATTGCCATCGTTCGAAGATATCAGCGACGCAACTACCAACGATCTCAAGTCTCTCAAAGCGTTAAGCTTGACGAACGGGTTACCATGACGTGAGAAGACTTCAATTAGTCGGTGGAAAACTGCTTTGTATGAGAAGGCAGAATCGTCATCTTCTTCGCACATCTCTTGCATTACACTCGAGGTATCCGTCGTCGAGTTTTTTCGAGTGCGTCTACCAGGATTGTCGAGAGACCTGCTCCTTCGAATCCCTGATGACCGATGCTCCTCACGAAGATGCTTTGATCGCTCCTCATAGTCGGAGTAGAATCTCCGGACTGTAGCATGTCTCTGCATCTGGATTTGGATGCGGGGTTGATCAAGGTAACTTGAGAACCAGGCGTCCGTTTCACTACCACAGCTCCACACGGGAGACCCCAAGTCACTTAAGAGCAGGCTAGTGAGCGTTTGCCGCAGCTCGTCCATGAAAATGGTCTTTGCATGCGTTTTGCGTTCGGTACGACGAGGTTGACGGGTAGCACCTTCGCTAAACATGGATGGGGGTCGTGAGTAGGCTGTGGATACGCTACCGGCGTACATCGGGTGACGTTGCGACGCGGACCAGAAGGTGCTATACGTGTCACTGGTAGACGTTGAGGCAGCGCGACCGGGCGATCCACCGATGGAAGAAACATCGATAGAGGGTAGATCACGGGTGGCCCGGTATTTGTCGGAAATCAGACTCTGGATAGACGACTTGCTTCCCAAAGAAGACGCCAGATCCTGAGGAAGACGAGCGAGCGGATCAGGCACAGGGTGACTGGCACCATGAAGTTGAGATGTGTGCAATGAATCCTCGCTTGCATTCGTAGAAGGTCGAGGAGTCGTAGGCATTGAAAGACCCGGGAAAGCCCGAGAGCCATATCCTTCATATCTTGCGCGCTCCCTCTGAAATAATTCACTTGCCCAGAGTACCGGAGTCTCTGCCATCGTCTCACCTACTAGCCGGTTGATGCTGGTTCGTACTTCATAGCAAAACCGATGGATGCGCTCCTCGCCCTTGCAGAAGTTCTCGATTCCGCTGTGGTCCAGCCACTTGCGAGTTAATTCTACTTGCTCATCGGACATCTTCCTAGGGCCACCCTGGCTGCTAGGCGCTTTCATCATATTCATGATTTGCAGCTCGGGCTTTTGGAAAAGGGCAGCCCCTAGTGAGCGAGCTCCGGATCGAGACCGTGTTTCTTCGGGCATCTCGGTATTGTATGGCCGGGCATAGTAAATCATTTTGAGAGCCATGGTCACATGTCGGGCTTCTTCGTATCTCATGGAGTTCTTCACATCGGTCATGTACCACATCTTGGTACGAACCTTGGATACAGTAGCCATGAGTGCCTTGACCTGCGTCTGGAGCCGGCGGAGGCTTTGATCCAGAGAGACAAAGTCCCTTTCGCATCGCTCAATAACAGCCGTCGAGCTTTCCAGCGACCGAGTGCAGGATCTGTGCATGGGACCTAGGATCCAGGTATCACTTGGGGAGGTCACTGAGTGTGTTCTTTGTCGTAGCTGTCGGGAGGCATTCCACCAGTAATGTGCACCTACAAAGTCGGAGTCATTCTGAGCGGAAGCCATGGCCTGAGTGAATTGTTGTCTCAGTGACATTGGAGTCAGCGGCAGGCTTCCAGGTTCGCAATCAAAATCGTCCGAGCCATGAACATGGCTCTCGTTGACAAGACGAATGATCGCGGTTTGTAGTGCCTCGTGATTCTCCTCCAAGCCCAGAGCGGTGGAATGCGTGTCATCTTGGCTATCCATGGCAGAGCCCTTTGAAGTCTCATTGGCCGGGTCTGCGAGTAGACTGCACGTGAGACCTTGACCGTCATTGGCAACAGAAAATACAGTCCAGTGCTCCTCCGAAGGGTGCTCTAGTCTGGGTCGTTCACTTGGTTCATCTAGATCGCTCAACTCGAAACGAATCCTCGCAGCAGTCTGAACAACCCCTTCAAGACTGGAGACATGCAAAGAGTCCATGGAGAAGACCGAGCCACTTTGTGATGTCGGCCGAGGACTCAATTCAGGGTTTGGCCGGAAGAACCCAGGTTCCATAGGCGGCTCTGGACGCAAGTTGTACGACGGGGAAAAGCTAGATGACCAGGATGGCACGCCAGCGGAAACTGGCGATGTATGTACCGGAGTACATATCTGCGGGAAAAGAGCGTCTAATAAGGTGAGGACGTCCGTCGAGGACAGTAGAAGGAAGTTTGACGTAGAGTTACGGCGGATTGCATGATCGGCTTGTGCTGCTGGCTCAATTGTAGGTTCGAAAGGGACAGTACTCTGAAATCGGGAAAGCATATTGTCAACGTGCATTTTGACTGACGGACGAAGATTCGAAAAGTGATGCCTAGAAAAGGATCAGCAAGCTCCGAACCCTGATTAGGGCTATACCAGAGTATAAACTCACATGGATCGCAAGACAGCAAAAACTTGAGAGTAGGCGCGTAGCCCAACCTGACCAAGCAGCTTCTCACGAGCATCTTTTCGGATATGAAAATCTAGTAACAAACCGTGTGTCTAAAAGCCAAGTTGGTCAATCAGTTTTTAAACCAGCGAAGATGCACACATACCTCGGGGTACGTCAAAGCGCTGTAGAGGAACTTTGGGAAGAACCACTGTACGAAAAGATATTCGAGGAAACGACTGCGACTGTCAGGGGATTCCAATTTCTGAAGGACAGCCTTGGCAAATTGCAAGACTGTGCGAGGGAATCCGCCATCCGGATCATCGAGGACACGGAAAAGATTATCCACGGCAGATGCAAAGAACTCCTCAGCAACGTCCGTCCGTAAGGGATCCAAGGCTTCGGGGGCGAAATCCAATCCGGCAGGGCTATCTATGTGTTCCAAAAGAAACGCTCCGGTTTGTAGGATATCCATCAGGTAGAGCTCAAACTTGGGGCGGGCTTTCCAATTGCAGCCCGTAGCCCAGGAGGACAGAATCTGGCCAATAAGAGGATAAAATTTACTGCTGCCGTGGGACATTAGTTGGGCGCAGACGGTCGACCATGTATGCAGACGTAACCTCGCCTCGGGAGAGTCGGGATCCAGTGGTGCGGTAAACACGTTACAAAGCAAGATGGTCAATGGATCGGTCCTTTCAAAAGTATACGCATGGTTCTTGAACGAGGAAAATTGAGCCGGGTTTCGATTATAAGCATACTGGCCGCGGAGCCGGGAGGAAGAGGAAGCAAAAGCAGGGTCTCCGGATTCCAACGTGGTGGCCGGGGAGGTGAATGTGGCCAGTTGAGCAGATGTAAAGCTGCGTAAACGGGAAACCAAGAACTGCGGATCAGAACGAACCATTCGCAAAATCTCCAATAAGTCTGTCCGGGATTGAGGGCTCAGTTGGTGAAAGAAATCAGACGAACGATCCAATTCAGATTCTGCGAATGACTCGCGATCGTCCGACAGGTCCTGATGCTCTTCATGTCGAGCGCTGGAAACACAGGATTCCTGAAGGTCAAAAAGCGTATGATAGAGGGCAACGAAACTGGCCTTGTCATCATGTTTAAGAGCTTCAACTAGACCGCGCTGGACCGTGTTCCCGACGCGGATCATGCGCGCAGAGATTCCGATGGATACCTTGGTCGCGCGTAGGCGCTGTTCCAGACGCTTCCTTTGGACCCGTTTGCGCTGGCTCTGGCGAAAACGCGTGGCAAAATCCTCGAATGCAACCTCGGGCGCATCTTCTACCTCCGGAGGAGGTGGTGCGGACATGGCGAAAGCCGTGGCTGGGCGCATAGATTCAGGCCGAGGGGAATCGGGCATTCTTAACTTAGGACTGGACCGGGCCGAGCCACCCAACTCACCTCGCCCCACGGTTGGGTCCGCTGCCGTTGGAAAGATGGTCGCTGAAGGCGATGCTGGAGGGGAAGGGGGTAGAGGCACTGATGCGGGATCCGCCCGATGCGAAAGATCATCATAAGGTGGATCAGCTTGAAGAGTGGGCATGCGCACGGCTGGCAGAATAGGAGAGAAGAGAGCAGATCAGATTGGGAAGTCAAGTCAAAGTAGTCAGGCACCGACGGCACATTTCGCGGAGAAACGGTGGCGGGTGGTTTCTCCACCCCACGAAATCGCCGCCGAAGATGGGAAGAAGGGTTGGGTAGTTTGGTGCTGGGGGGTGTATAGACCGGATAAGAAAAGTTTGAAGAATCACTAACTATTTGCTGAAGCTGAAGCCAGCGAGGACGATAAATAACCCTCTTGCTGGTGGTCCAGCATCTCGATCTGGGTCGCGCCAGCGGGCGGAGGAGTGCACAGTCGCGAGATGCCCCTGGCCGCCGTGGGCGGATGCTTATCGCATGGTTCTATCGCGGGGCAACCAACTGGCCGGGGCTCATGGGAGAGACGACGCACCCGGTCGGAGGGGATAGAAGGATGATCGATGGGTTCCAGGATGGACTTCTCGCGGCGGGGGAGAAGGGGGAGGTGTACGAGATAGGAATCCCAGATTCCCAAGATCGAAGATCAAAAGGGAGAATGGTAGGGAGAGAGAGAGAGGAAGTACGGGGAGAGAGAGACGGAGAGGGAGGGGGGGGGAGGGTATAGAAAGGAAGGCGAGAACAATCACGCGGAAAATGAGTGTTCTGCTGCAGTACGAAACAGCAAGCGACTCGAAGGGGACTGATGCAGACGGTTTGTCTCGGAAGTGTATAATCTGTGTTCAAGCAAGGAGATTTCCAGTGCTACGGCGTTAGTCAGTCCGGACAAGCGTAGTAACAAGAGTACCGAACACGGAGGACACCCAGGACAAGTATTCCGTAGTGTGTCGAGAGTGCTGTACATTGGACGCGAGTTCCGAGTACACGGGCACGATGCGCTGGCAATGCATGCAGGGATGAGGTGGACAGACGAGCCCGCCACGATGATTCGCCCGCCGCCCTCCTTTGGCCTCTGCGGAGTCAGCGTGTTGTTGGCTGGCCTGTCGGGGCTGGAGCCAATCGCTGGCCGCGCGGATGTTGGATGTGTGTCAAGAAGACGACTGCAGGCAAGAAAAGCATGCTGAAAGTCTCGTTGCGTGCAACGAGTAGCTGTGCGGTGGGGAAGAGGGAGGGGGAGAAGGAAAATTGTTGGTTTGATCTTTTGGTGGTCGTGTATACGCCCGGTTCCTGTCGCCAACCAGACCAGATAGAGTTGGACACAGCGTTTAAACAATCGAAGCCGATGATCAAATAAGCAAACAGACTAGCGGGGTGTCAATCGTTATATTCTTTCTTCCCTCGGGGATTTGTCAACCAACCGTTTCATCATGAGCGCTTCCAATCTATGACTACTATCCTTCTAGCATCGTCCCTGGCATTGAGACGCTCACACTACTACGGTGGACTGCCCCTACTGACCATAACGACCCTGGCCTCCTGCACAATCTATGCTGATAGTTGACCAGTCAGGATGAGTCAACTCGCAGGGAATACATGGCTTCCAAGCCCTGGTCATACACGTCGTGCTGCATCTATTCAGGGCCACGGCAGTCATCCTGCTGGACACTGTCATTGGCCCGATTTGCTGGTACATACTACCAAAGTAGCGACATGCCGCACCTAGACCGGCCAGCGATGCGATACGATACATAAGAAAGATACTTGCAAAGAAATCCAATTTCGAGGAAGACTGACTCATACTCACCAAAAAAAAGTGAGAGCCAGCCAGTAATCTGAATAAAATGGAAACGCTAAAATGCCACTCATCGTAGTCCTCACAATGCGGATTTTCATCTTGAATCCAACAGAAAACGCCTGTCATAATGCATTCAGTATCGATCCCATGACTCGAACAAAAATATCGCGCTGAGAGAGGAGAAGAGTCGAGGTAACGGATGCTCTCTAGCGCCAGACCCATTTCTTATCCGTTTCCTTCTGGCCTACGCGCACGGCGTACTGGTCCAGGGTAGCTTTGAGGGTTTCCTTGGATACCTTCGGGAACCTAAATCCAACGTCAGTACAAAGCACGGAACCTGGACCTTAGAGGGGTCTTAACATACCTTTTCTTTAAAATCTCGATTGTCCCGATCTTACTCAAATCACTACCCTCGACTGCCTGCCTGAACTCATCAAGCTGTTCAGGCGGAAAGGGTCGCTTAGCCTTGCTGGTCGCAGGTGGTCGAGCACTGCTGACTGCGGGCGCCCCCGGCGTAGTAGAAACTCGGAAACCGTCAAGAGTGCTGTTGCCAGCGGGCGCGATGCGTGGCTGAGTGGGCGCTGGCTCCACAGGCTTGGGCTTCTCCCAGTAGGCCGTGGAAAACGGATCGATAGGGAAGTCGACGGCATCGGAGATGGTCTCGATTTGATATGCCTTCATCTCGGGATCCCCACCATCCGCAGCCCAGCGAAGACCACTGGAAACGGGTGCGAGGTCACCCACGATGAGACGTCGTTTGCCGGCGAGCAGAGCATCGTCCTCGTCATCGAGGAAGCCATCCATATCATCGTCGCCATCGTCACTACCTTCTTCATCTTCCTCCGAGTCCAGATCTTCACCTTCCTCAGGCTCTTCCCACTCGGCCTCAGAATCATAATCATAATTAATGTCCGGTAAGCCTCGGTAGTAAGGGTTTCGTGCGAGCTTCTTCGCAGATGGCGCAGGCACGGAGCGTGAGAACGTGCCTTGATACGGCGGGCGCACGTCCTCACCGAACCTTAGTGTCTTCATAGGGATTTGGCGGAGAACGTTGCGGGCATCCTCCGCGGCCTTGGTTTGGTCTTTATCGTCAAGGTCCATTAATGAATCGTCGCTGACGTTCTGGATTCTTAACAAAATCTCTTTCACAGATGGCCTGGGTCGACCACAGCGTCGGTGGAACGGAATAATATGGAAGATCTGTGATGGGCGGAAAGGTAAGTGTTCGTGAGGGGGGTTTGTATGGCTGGCATCCAAGGAAGCATCTAATTTTTGTCGGACGTGTTTGAGCGCCTCGGGATCGCGGTCGAAGCGATGACAAGGTGCAAGCTTGGTGTGTGACTGGAGGAAAAATTCGGGGAAGGTCGTTTCGTAGTCGGACTTGGTTGACTTGGTTGGTTTGGGTGAATGTGTGAGATGAAGTTCTGAGGTAACAGGCGCGGGTTTCTTTGGAGAGGTAGAGTTGCCAGGTGTAGATTTGGAAGTTGTGGAAGGTAAGGGCGGTTTCGCAAAGAAAGAGTTCAACTTGGGTTGTGCCTAGGATGAGGAGTTAGTAAAAGTGTCCCGGAGTAACTATCAAGGCCTTCAGCAGGACATACCCTCTCCTTCTTCAACCTCTCTTCCTCCTTACGCTTTTTCTCTTCTTCCTTCGCAGCCTCTTTGGCGGCTTTTTCCTCATCTTTGGCTTTCTTCTTTTCTTCACGCTCTGCCTCTCGCTTCTTCTTTTCCTCTTCCTTTAACCTCTTCTCCTCTTCTCGCTCCTCATCCCGCTTTTTCTTTTCTTCTGCCTTTAAACGCCGCTCTTCCTCCTTTTTAGCCTTTTCATCTTGCTTCTGCCGTTCTCGAGCTTCTTTCTCTAGTTGTTTCGCATCCTGACTGGCAGGAGACAGCTTGCGCTTCTTCGGAGCTGGTGTGGAAGCCGAATCAGATTTGGCGGGTGAGAATGAAAGCGGCTGCTGAATGGGCTTGGCTTCCACGGAAGGTACGCAGCTAGGGGTCGTTTCTTTCGACCGAGACATCATCACCAGATCTTCGGCTCTCACAGTAATTTCGACAGATGGTGTAGGTGGTAGGGAAATAGGTTGCTCCTGCGGTTTTGAGATGTCTTTGGATGGGACCATGAGCGAGGGATCCTGATTCTCCTGGTTCTCGGTGCTGCATGCAATTAGAGGCCGCTTCTGGGCTGGCGATGACAAGGCGGGGTCCTCACCTAATTTCGTGAATAGATCTCTTTCGAGGGCTTGATGAGGGCGATACCGAGAAGGGAGGTTGTTGAGGAAGGGGTGATAGACTCATTCTCGAGTCCATCGAGGCAGGTGCGTGCGATGAGTGTCAAGCAGTTGTTGTCGTTTAAGACTAGGACGACACAAGACCTACAACCAATATTTCCGGTGAGGCCGAATTGACACACATCAATGGAAACAGCAGTGTGTAAAGTAATCGAATGTTCATATAACTGAGCAAATTGTTCTTTCTCAATGCCCACAATTATTGGAGGGTCGTAATCGGCTGGCTTGGAAGGGGAGAACTGTGGGTTGTCAGGACGCGTTAATGGGGTTTCGCGCAGCGCGTCCGATAAGGCACGTGTCCCATTATGTAATGCCACCGCTCTCGTGTTTTCCTTGATGGAGTATAAGGGCTGTATTCAATATGAGCAGAGATTCAATCGAGGGTTTATGGTGATTTGGTATAGAGAGACAGGGCCTTTTCAAGGCTCAATTATCGGCAAAGTCTAGAAGGACGACGAGTCCCACTCTGTACATTCTCAAAATATGGCTCGACGTCAGCATTGGAATCACCCTGACAAGGCGTTGAAAAGACTATCAAAAGATGAATCCATTACAACACGTTGAGGAACTTGAAGGATCATACGCCTAATGTTACAATTAATATGTTTGTTCGGATTGAAAGCTATACGACAGAAAAAGGCCGGGGCAAGCCCGGATGCAAGTGTGAGAAGAGTGCACACAGGAACCAAAATCCAGTCCTTACGATTCCTCGGCCTTGCAGGCAGGAATGACAAGGTCAACAGAAGTAACGAAGCCAACGGAAACAGATCAGAAAAAAGAATAAAAAAACCAGGGGATATTGACAACAACTGTGGCACTGAAAACCAGTCATCAAGACTGTCGAGCGCAACACCAAGCACGGAGATTCGGTAGGGGAGGTATTATGTGCAGCGGTGTCATCGATCGTAAGAAAAACAAGCCACGAAGAGAGATCATAAGAAAAAGGCAAAAAAATAAATAAGTAAGAGAGCAGGCGCTGCGTGAATAGAAAGAGAGGTAGAGCGGGCGGATTCCCCAAGGATAGACTCTTAATCACTAAGGTCAGGATTTGCGACGAATAATCGCACGTTGGTCATTGATGTAGTGCGATCATCCACACTGCCTCGTCGCCGTAGGTCATCTGCCTTTTTGGCTTTCTGGGCAGCGGTGTTGACTGCACTGGGGGCTTCCATGTCTGGTACAAAGTCTTCTTGCTCGCTACTATTCGTTGTGTGTGTTGTAGCGGCATCATCCTTGAGTGATGACAGGCGGCTCTTCTCCTCTTCGTGCTTCTCGGCGGGCGTGTTCTCAGACACACCGGGGAGATCAGACTTTTCATTCGGAGGGGTGCTGTTGCTGCCCATGGTGCCCTGCGGACGCTGATAACCACTCGGATATCGGTTGCTTCCCAGAGAGCTGCGGCCACTGCCAGTCCTCCTGTGCATGCCTCGTTCCTCATTGCTGCGGGCATCATCATCATCCTCGCCGATCTCATTGGCACTCAGGCGAACCGGCACCTTGGCACCAACCAGGTTTGACGGGGAAAAGTCCATTCCAGCCTTCGTTCCATGTCGAATCTTGCCACTTGCGATGGTCGACGAGCGTCCGGTGCCATGAACCTCGAGATAGGCCCTCTTCTTATCCCGTAGGACCTGTTCCCGCATGCGGGCGTCCTCGGGCTGTGCTCGGTCACACCAGACCGTCGCCTTCTGTCGTCGCATGAGGGCAACATATCCAAGTTGCGAACCGGTCGAGCGGTTCGAAGTGCTGCGTCGGATATCCAGTCCTCCTTGGGCCATGTGGCCAGTCGAGTTGGTCGAGGTGGTTGTGCTGGACATGCGGCGGGACGGAGGGAACCCGACGGGAGACACCATCGTATGCGGCGAGACCGCGGGGCCAGGAACACCTTGGTATTGCGGTTGGGAATTTGAGGCGTAGGCAGGGAGCACGTGCGAGGAAGTGGTGCGAGTGCGACTGTGGGTAGTTTGGGGGTAGGCGGAGTGAGGCGCAAGGTTGCGTGGGGCATCATAGGCCTGATACGGGTAGCCAGGTTGCTGGTTGGGCATCGGTTTGCGGGCTGGAGGTCCCTGGTGAATGGGCATGCGGAACTCGGTGGTCATGTTGGGCGAACGGCTGGGAACTTCCCCAAGCAATACCTCGCTTACGACCGGCGTGGAGGAGGGGGATTGATGGGAGATAGGATCTGCTCGACTAGCGGCAGAAAGAGTCGGTGGACAGCTCGTAGAGGAGATCGCTGCGTTTGGGTTATAAGTCGCAGGTCCCTATGGAGCACGAAGACGTGCTCTGCGATTCGCGATGCGCGGCTGACGGGTTAAAGGGATCGGCGGTTTCGGCGCCTACCACAAGGGTGCAACGGGTCCGCGATGGGAGATCTTTTGAAGCGGGGAGGTTGATAATCCGAAGAAGAGTTTCAGAGTGACTCGTCGTGCCGGTCAATGGAAAGCTCGACCGATGCTTTGTAACGCTGGCTTAGCGGGAAGGGGGGGTGTTATCGAGACCCAATCCTTGTGGAAGAAACGGAATATGGACGCTCGTTTCAAGGCGCACACTCGGTCCCTAGGAAAAATGCAATTGAATGCGTATGTGTGCTGAGGAAAATGAAACTCGTCCGAGGCCGGGCGAACGAAGACAGCGCACGTTTTGAGGGGAAGGAGACGAGGGAGGAGTAAGGAGAGGGGAGCACCAAGAAAGCGTCAGAGGAGACTAGAGCGACTAAGAGACTAAGAGACTAAGAGACTTAGAGACTGGCGGTTCGCCCACAGCGGCGGTGATGATTGGACGTGGCGGAAGCGGACGGACCTGAAAATGTACTCGTCCACCAGCTTTGCATGGTGGAGTACCTTTTTCCACTTCTTCCACTTTTCCAAGGTCTAACCCCAAGGACTACCGGGGACTATGGAGGGCTAACGGGAGACTAACGGGCGCAAAGCAGTAAAATTCCCTGAATTCCCATGAATTTCCCTGAATTTCCTTGAATTTGTGGTCCGAACCACTCAGCCACACGGGACGGGGGGTTCAAAGTTACGGTATTCTCGTTACAAATACCAGGCCATGACCCGGAGTCAGCCAGCCATTTTGAGGCAATCAACCGTTGCAACGTTACAGCTAAACTCGTGCCATCGTCGATGATACTGCTACTGTGGCTGATTATGTATCTCTTAGCTGATGATAGGATCAGCCATCAGCCTTATTCTACGGAGTACGGGCTGAGACTAAGACATCAGACGATCTCCCTTTGGGCCTAATCATTCTAGTGCTGACGACTCGGTACTTTCGGGAGCTAGAAATCATCACGATAGGGCAGTTCCCGTATACCGCATAGATAGATCAGGTCCCTACTTTAGCTCCGTCAGTGACAAAGAAAACAAGCTCGGCACCTCACAGATTGGCCGGACGCCGAGTACGCGAGTGCCTAAATGCAACGTGCCCGTACTCGCGATACCCTTGGTTGTTCTCGCGCAGAATCACCACCCGTTGGCGGAAGTCCTTCGTATGATGATACGCGTCATGCATTTCCACGCTCTCCCATCCCACATACACCACATAACACAGCGACTCCTCCATCGGCTCCACCATCCATCCCCCGGTGACCCCGAGACATCCAGGTACCTTCGGCACGATCGTCGTCCATAGCGCCCACGTTGCTTCCCACCCGGCCGGGTCAGGGGTGAGGTAGATGGCCGTCCCCGTGACGGGCGCACCGTTGCCCAGGCTCTTGGGCTGAGGAGTGAACTCGGACATCATCGCATGCCGCACGATCAGCGACGTGGCACCTGGTACGCCCAGCGCGCCCAGACTGGCCGTGAGTCGCTGCCATTCTGGTGAAGCCAGGAGAGCATAATGCTGGTGGAGCGAATCGCGGACTAAAATAAGCGAGAGTACGATCGTTATTTCCCGATCTTTGCGTTGTGTGATGGTTTTTTTTGCTTTTTTTGCTTTTTCAACTTCGTATTTTCTCACGTTTCTCGTATTCTGGCGTTTCTTGTCCAAGGCTCTGGATCCCTCGATCCGACTCACAGCGGCCGTTCTCACTCACCGATATGTAGATGGACCTCTCCCGGCTTTTCCACGTGTCGTCCCCAGTACAGCCGGCGGAATCCACTCCAATTCTCTAGTACGTTCAGAATCTGAGACCAGACTTGACCAGCTGGAGTGGAAGGCGTGTCAATCTGGATCTCCTCCTTGATGGGGAGGACGATCATTTGTGTGGGGGCGGCCGCGCGCGCCATGTTGAGTGCAAATAAAAGTGGGTTTCTTGATAAACGGAGAGTAACTACTAGATCTTAGTTTCAGAGGTTATCTGCAAGGCTTGCAAAGATTCCAAGCTCTTCTTATGTCCAAACATTCTAGAGATATGACTAGCAGCTCTAGTTACCGAGGACCGATGTCCGCGGGTTGACCAGCTGTTCATAATGCGGGGTAAAGGTAAATACCCCTGTCCATGAAATTTATGCATTTATCAGAGACGGTTCTCGTCCGTCAGTGGAATCAGAAACGCCCACAGGTCTTTCCTTTAAACTACCACTGAAATATTGATGTAGGCCTACGATAAAGAGAGAAAACCAAAGATCAACCCAACCGCTCAGGCCACCAGTTCCTCCTGATTCTCTGTAGGGCTGAGCACGGGATCGGAGCCTCATATGGCGTTATCATGGCTCATAAAAGATTGCCAAGTCTTGGTTCTCTGGTATACATGCTTAATAATTCTTCGGAAATAGCCCAGGGCTTCTTCTCCAGCAGAACAGCAGATTACTAGAGAGGGCATACGGGTAAATATCTGCTACCTGTTTTCTGAAGGTTGAACATAATGTGGAGAGAACGTCCTCTCATAACCAGACAATTTGAACGCACGTTCCCCTTTTCGGAAAGTTCAAGAAGATAATGCAGACCCGTAGGTATGTAGTTTATATCAACCGGGACCCCCCTGCCCCTTGGCCCCATCGCATACCGTCACTCGCAGCTTAAAAATGCGAGCCCGATTATTCCGACCCGCAACTTTGTTCGCATGATATACCAACTGCCGCTCCACAGTACCATGTTCGAACCCATGAAACATGTCAATATCATCCGGATCCTCGGTCTTGCTTTCTCGGATCCGAATTTGAACCTGCAAGAGGTCTACCAGGGCCCGTGCAGCAAGCTACTGGTGTGCATCAAAACCATTCAGCTCCGGCAACCAGTCTTGGCAGAGAGACGGACTCTCGCTCGTTTGGAAAAAATCACTGGTCGTCCAATGCATGTAGTGTACATGGGAGTGCAAAGAATTGAGCTTTTTAAAAGAGAAGGACCAGGAACCTTCCGGCCGCACGCGATCTGGATCGCCATTTTCGTGATTTCCATGGCTGCTACCAGAGATGCGCATCCTGATTATCCGGCATATTGACTCATCAGTCACAAATACAGCTGATAACAACCAGCAAGCTTGATGTCATCGGTGATTTTGCCTTGGATTGGTTACTTCTTCCCCGGAATGCCAGAGCGCCAGGGCCGATGGAGGCTCGGTCGCCGCGTGCACGATAGTGTAGATTCGGAAAGCGCGAATCAGGTATCGCTGTGAAATACGAAGCAACTTGTGGCGATAAAGATGCTCAAGGTCTGCAGGGAGCTCATCAAGATGAGCTTGAAGGTCTGAAAGTTGATCACCGTTCTGACCACCTCGGATGATAGCTTTGATCACGAGGCGAAGCCAGAGGAACACGTCATCTGATTTGCGCACAATCTTTATATCAAAAATCATGAGGCGCAAATCTTGACATTGGGATTGGTGCTGCCCTTCAAAATCACGATCAGATGTTCCAATTTGCCCTCGATTACTTCCTATTGATCGGGACCATCCACCGGAAGGAAGAATATGACCGGAAGGTATCTCTGGGATAGGGCATCTCATGGCTTGGAGTAGACGAGGTATCTGCGAGTAGATGTAGGAGGTAGCCTCGGCCGGTCTGAGCTTTTCCGCCTCTTGGCCACCTCCTGCGTGACCACTTCGTGAACCGGTTCTCGTTCCATGGGCTAGGCTATATTGATGAGATCCTTGCATTCCTTGAACTTCCGACGAATAATCGTCCGGAGGAGGCCAATAAAGTGATCTTTGGTTTTGTGATCCCCTGGGCCAGAAGAAAAACCCGGCTATGGCCCATTGATGAAAATGATCGGAGGCAGCTTAGGTCTGCCGCAAGGTGGAATGCTCAAACAGGTATTTCAACAGCGTTGACTTGCCCGATCCTGCCTTTCCTATGATCCGGTAGATTCCCCCTTCTGTGCCATCCAGTCCACGGATACCGGGCCCAGGTTTGTGGAGATCCAACCAAATATACTCTTGTGCGCATCAATCAGAATTTGTTGTGCTCTAGAGAGTCGGGAATACCGTTGATCGGTTAACTAAACCCGTAGAGAATATGGGCATCTGTATGCTTCTCAATACGCTGTGTGGGAATTGTCAAAAGCAACTCTGTCGTATGAGCAGCTGCAGCTACTGCTTTATAGCTCTGCCAGCTATCGTTCTTATGCGGATTTGCATAGTCTCTTATTCCTCGGACAACAAGGCATATGCATTGTCCTCCTGGGCGGGAACGTGAGTTTCCACATGCTCTTCATCTAGCATGGCTCGTGCAGCACTGAGCTCGCATGACAGAGTGCGTATCCACGCGACGGATAAGTCTTGCAAACGTAACCCGCTCATAATGTCTGTGCGACTTTTGATGGGATGAGATTGGACCTGAAGAGCTGAACTATGGTACAAAAAAGTCGTGGGTTTGCTCAAGCTTACCATGACAAACGCCTGAAGCGTGTCTCAACACCAATGCATGTTTATCAGTGAACAATCTAAATGTAATCGAAGCTGGTTGGGAGCGGGGCGTGAGGCTGAAGTGGCATTGCCAATAATTTGGAAGTTCGCATAATAACGCAACTAGTCAACGATCTGGGCAGTAAGTTTATCTACTTTCGAGTACTTCAATTCATATTTCCACCGGTTCTCATGGGATTAACCCTCGGAAATATCAAGCATGTCTGTTTTAAAATCCTTTTTTGCTAGAAACTAGAATGATATAGTGTTGATTTAGTCTTGCCAGGTGCCCTTCTGCCATGTTGCTCTCTCGAGTCTACGATATTGAATTTCAAAGTAACTATGAATATCTGACGAATGAATTCTGTCAAACAGCATTATGTGAGGAGCGTTGCGATTCACCAGTAAGACTGCTAGTTGGTCGGATAAATACACGTTCATGAACAAGGCCCTCTTACCGCTCTGGGAGCGCTGTACGTGAATTCCAACGGCTGCTGCCATCCAAATCGAACATTCTCGTCTGCCTCTATAGATTAGGAAGCCGTTACGCTTAAAATGTTCGGTCGCATCAGTCTTGTACTAAGCTTTCGATCAACCTTGAACCTTCCAGGTAGGGCTGAGACGTAATCTTACAAAATTACAAAACCCAGCAATACCATACAAGATTACCTGCTGCGCCACAGCACTTGCACGTGGGGATGTGGTACTCGGTGGAGTCCGGATATGGAAATGTGTTAGTCATGACGTCAACATGTTTCAGCATTTCCGAATTCTGTCGCAACCGAGCTGGAGACGTGTAGGTGGTGACGTTCTGCATTCGAGAATAGTACAAAGTTCAGGAACCACGGAATCTAGTTGGAGGGATGGTAAACAGGCCGACGGAAAGGTAAAATCTACAAAAAAAAGAACGCACGGAAGATCCCGCAATCCGCAAGGCTACGTGAGACTTTGTGCAGAGATGGTACTGTATGTACATTAGTGGGGTGGAGACCAACGAGAAAGATCCGAGATCTTCTATGGTAGATGATGTAAAACATTCCATGGGTGCTCCGTATACTCGGAGAAGCTGAACGAGACATTCCTAGCCCACTGAGCATGTTTCACAACTTCGCCCTGCCGTCCACAGATACCAGAGCGCCGTCGTCACGCACCTGGAAATCTACATTAGGCTCCCATCCCATCCACGATCGTAGCGTCTCCACCCCTCCCTTGCCAGCCTCAAGTCCCCCGCCAGTCCACCCGCCCTCATCGGCCTTGATGGGATGGCCCGGCGTGCGGGATAAGTGGACAGCGGGACGTTGCTCGTACCCCGCCGACTCCAGCTCGCCTTGTTCCAGGATAGGTGTGGCGCAGGCATCAGTACCATCAAACACGGCCTCCCATTCGGCGCGTGTCTTTTCCTTGAAGCGACGGGTGAAAATGTCCCGCAGCGTGGGCCATTGATCCCTGTCCTCGCGTGCAGGCAGGCTCTTCGGGTCGAGCTGTAATCCGCGGAGCAGAGCCGCGTAGAATTGCGGCTCGAGCGCGCCGACGGCAAAGTATTTCCCGGAATCTTTGGTCTCGTAGGTGTCGTAGTATGGACAGCCGCTGTCGAGTAGGTTTTCACCGCGCGGTTCACTCCAAGAGGGGTTTTTCGTGGCTAGGCGTGGGAAGGTTGCAAGGTAGGCGGATCCATCGACCATGTTGGCTTCCACAACTTGACCGCGGCCGGTGCTGGTGCGAGCGATCAAGGCGAGAATAATGCCCATGAAGCAAATCGCACCACCTCCAGCGAAATCCCCGAGAATGTTACCCGGTGCATAGGGTTTATCTCCTGCGCGGCCAAGCATTGAGAGGACACCCGATACGGCGATGTAATTGATGTCGTGGCCGGCCATATCCTTGTACTTCCCATCGCGCCGGAATCCCGTCATGCGCGCCACGATAAGACGCGGATTATGCTTGAGAAGAACGTCCGTTGGCGAGAGACCGAGACGCTCGAGAACGCCGGGACGGAACGGGTCGATCAAAACATCGGTGGCGGTCAAGATGCGGAGAAGGATCTCTCGCGATTTCGCCTCGCGCAAGTCTAGGGTGATAGAGGTCTTGTGACGAGTGAGTTGATCGGCACTGACTGAGGATGGCCGGTCAATTCGGAGGACTGATGCGCCATAGTCGGCTAGAAGGAGACCAGCGAAGGGGCCTGTGGAGACGGTCAACTTTGTATGCTCGGGTGTCCGGCTGATCGAGGGTCCTACCTGGAGCTAGGCCGGCTAGCTCGACAACTCGAATGCCATTCAAAGGTGGTGGAGCGGTCATTCTTTGAGGATGCAGACAATGAAGAAGTGTTTACTTTCAATCTATTGCGAGATAAAGGTTAATTATGGAGGTCATATTACCTGGGGGTCTCCACAGCCGAGGTCCGGGGCAGGCCAAATTGCCGCGTGCGGCGTGCGGGGGGAACCATGTGTGTACACAATTTGGATAACTTTATTAGCGGTGAGAAAAAAACATCATAGGCTTTATCCAATGTAATGCTATTTCATTCTAATTATACTACTCTTCGGTTCCCTTATTGGCTGCGATAAGCCAGACTTCTATCTGCGTGGTACCGCGGGATATATTGACGTTATCGGCTTCGTCTGGGATCTAAAGATTCTACTTCTGTTTGGAGAGTAGTTTACACCAAACATCGCAATATCTGGTTGTTAAGGACCATACCATTACTTGGTCAATGTCTTGTCATGGAAGATCAGTGCGTAAATCTCACTTCATCGATATGTGATGATCGGATACTACTCTTGTGCTGCTTTTTATTGTAGAGCCGTTCTCCCCCACTCCTCATCATTCTTGCCGTGTCATCTTGAATAGGAAATACAATGTTGATTCGCTCAATGGGAGTATATAATCTAAGATTGATAGCTTGCACGCTCTTCATAAAATGACCAGAGTTTCTCCATATAATGATCAAAAATAATAGGTCATGTAGAAATAAATCACTCCGCCACTCAGACAAGGTCAGGCTGGAGATCGAGGGTTGTCGAAGTAAATGTAGTAACAATTAACATCATAAAAGAGCATATACAAAAACGGATATGATCAATTGTCGGGGTGTGACCAAGATGCAAGACGCTTCAAAGGTTCAGTCCGCAATCAGGTTCAGAAAAGGAACACGCAAGATGCTAGGACGGTCATGACGATGGCGATGAAGTTGGTAACTCCCGATCGGGAGGCACCGCCGGTGTAGATGGGAGAGACTCCCTCTTGAGTGCTGCTAGCAGAGGATTGTGCCTGGGAGGCGGTTCCAGTGGAGTGGGCAGCGAAAGTCTGGGCTCGGCTGGGCGAGTAGGGAATGCTAGAAGCCGATCCAATGGGCTTGGAAGAGGGCACGACAACCACAGTGCCGGTGACAGTGGGCTTAGGGACGCCACTGGAGCCAGAGCTTTCACCTTGTCCAGAAGAACCGGTGGCTCCGGTAGGGGTGGCCGAGGGAGTATAAGGCACGGTCACGGTGAGCGTGGAGCCGGTAGGACCACAGTGCTTGCAGAAGGTCACCGTGGTAGTCCATGTTTCAGTCCAAGTCTCGGTACCTGCGGCGGGCGAGGGCACGGGGGTAACCACCGCCGTTGTGGTGGCAATGGGCTTAGTGAGAGTGACAGTAGTCGGGGTCGCAGCGCAGTGAGTGCAGACGGTTACGGTAGTGGTCCAGCCCTCGGGGATAGAGGGGGTTGTCGTGGCCAGACCGGAAGGAGGACCAGTCACGCTAGCAGTGGCTTCAGGGCAGATGGTGGTCGTGATTGTCGTTGTGATGGTAGTGAATCCAGTAGGGCAGATATCAGTATAAGAGGTAACGATAATCGTTGTGGTCACGTCAGGCTGAGTCGACGAGGGCGCAGGAGTGACTGAGGGGAAGGCACTGATGGTGGAAGTGATCGTAGGGTATTCACTTCCAGTAGATCCGGAGGAGCCAAGAGTCTGAGCAGTGCTGGTAGCCTGAGAGGAACCGGTAGCCTGAGATGAGCCGGTAGCCTGGGATGAGCCGGTGGCCTGGGAGGAGCTGGCGACCTGAGAGCTTCCAGTGGCATCGACACCCGGAGAGCTTGACTGACCAGCGGATTGAGTGCTGGTAGTCGAACCCGACTCAGAAGAGGAGACCGAGACCGAGGGTACAGACACGGAACTAGAGGCAGAAGGCGACTCGGACACGGCAGCGGAGCTTGAGATAGGGACTCGGGTTAGGCTAGACACGGGGGACTGGGTAACTGGCGTGTGACTGGGTCTATGAGGAATAGAAGACGAGTCCGAGACGGTGCTGGTGCTGCTAACGCTCTGCGAAGAAGCAATCACGCTGGGGACGGTCGAGCTAGAGGCCGAGGCACTTCCCGAAGAAATAACGGAGCTGGAAGCCGGGTTGCTCGAGGAAGGGGAGCTGGAAGGTCCAACGGGAATGCTAGAGGCAGTCGACGAATGGGTCGGAATCAGGGGAGTGCTCGAAGCCTTGGAGACGGTTCCGCTAGGGGTCACGACAGCACTTGGAGTTGACAGGACAGGAGTGCTGGAGCTTCCGACGACAACAATGGAGGAAGACGAGTGAGTCGGGGCAACGGGGGTGCTTGAAGGCGTTGACACAATCCCGCTGGGGGTGATGACAACTCCGGAAGAGGATGGGCTTGCAGAGCTAGATTGGGCCGGCTGGCTCGAGTGCGAGGGAGAGCTAGAGGGAGTAGCCGTAGGCGAGACGGCCGGGACACTTGAGCTAGAAGTGTGCAGACTAGGAGGAGACGCACCCGGGGAGCTAGAAGGCACACTCGAGCTAGAGACACCCACAGAAGACGAGGCGTGAGAGCTGGACAGAACGCTAGATGAGACGCCAGACGGCAACACGGGAACAGACGAAGGAGTGTGGCTGGGCGCAGGGGCAGAGCTAGACGATCCGACACTGGAAGGCGAGGGAGTGCTCGACTGGGAGACGTGAGGAGCACTGCTGGAGACATACTGCGAGCTAGACGGGATAGCAGGAGTAGTGGATGCCACCGGGCTGGACGAGGGCACAGAGCTGGGGGAAACACCGCTAGGGGTCGACGAGGGAGTAATCGACTGGGACGCAGCGGGCGTGCTTGATGATACATGGATTGAGCTTGAAGCCACCGGGGAGCTCGACGGGAGGACAATCGACGAAGAGGCCGAGGATGAAGCTGGGGAGCTAGAAGGGACCGCCGACTTGGAAGGAGTAGGGGTAGGAGTAGGCTTGGGAGTAGGCGTCACGAGGATAGTCGAAGTCGATTGGACAGGGGGAGGAGGAGCACAACTATAGAGCACCTCCTTCATCTCCTCGGCATAGGTCAGTCCGTAGGGAGAAGTGTTGTTCTCCGAAGCAGTAGCCTCCCAGAGCATGATACCACCAAAGTGCTTAGGGTACAACGCCATGTATGTCTCCACTAGAGGATAGACCTCTGCTGGGGTCAAGTAGAAGCCCGTGTTGGCAGCGTGTTCTGAGGCAGGGAGTCCCACAAACAGCTTAGCATTAGGGTTCGCGCTGGCTCGAATAACATCAACCCAGCCATCAAAATTGAAGCCATTGGCGTTGACAGAGCTCCAGTTGATGGCTCCGCAGGACTCGGTATTGTACCATTGCACCCAGATAAAGTCGAAGAAAGACTTGGAGATGGCGTCGCCGAGCTGGGCATCGGGAATCGGGCATTGAGGGGCGCCTGAGATATAGAACTGCTGGTCCGGGTACTCGTCGAAGTGGGAACGCAGACGGTTAATCATGGTAGCGTAGCCTGGTTGAGAATAAGTAAGGGTAATCATAAAAGACATCATAGAATAGGGGTCAACGTACCATCGCCACCAAGGTGCTCAATATCAAAGTCGAAACCATCCACGGAATTGGTCAGGAAGGGACGAGGATAGACATCGGTGTAATCCTCGTTTTGAGGACCGAACGAGTACCACAAGAAATCGGCAAACCAGATGGCCTGAATGTCACTGGTCAGCTTCTGGTAGGCAGTTTCACCGCCAATCGACAGCATAATGGTCTTGCCCATCTCCTTGCAGATCGGGATATCCTCATAGATCTGGTGGCAGCCGCTGAGGAGCTGCGATCCAGCGTAGACATTTCCATCACACTGGTTGCCAAAGTTGGAGCCGGGATAGGCACCGACAGCGTCGGGAAAGACATTAATGAAGGCAAGATTGATAATATCGAGAGAAGTCTCCTGACAGAAGTGGCGCAACCGTTGTTGATAAGCACCTTGGCCCTAGAAGTACGTCAGTGAATGGAAGGGAGGGATGACGGAATGCCGAAGAAAAGAGAAATCACGAACCCAGTAGACGGCCACATTAGTTTTCAAATCCACATCCAACGCAGCAGAAGGAACGACAATGGACGAGAGAGCCGCAATAGCGGCAACTGTCCTCCGGAAAGCCATTTTGTAGGCAAGAAATGAATGACGCGAGTTTGAAAGGGCCCGAGATCAAAAGAGTGGCAAGGCAAGATTGCCTTTGTTCGAATCAACGAAAGGACGCAGACGATAGTCTGCTGGGGCACCGATCACGCAAGGAAAGAGAGTGAAAATATTCAGAGCCTAGAGTCGAAGCCGAGGGAGACGACCGGTCTCCTATTATAAAGGATGCATAATACCGTTCTTACCGGTGGAGGCTATGTCCTCCTGAATCGTGCATGCCATTTCTACGGTGCGCTAATAATCTAGTCATGGACTAAGCTAACCAAATGGGAAAGAGTTCCATCCATTGCGTGTACAGTACGTGCAAGGCTCCCGTTCACTGGGACCACGGCTTAGCACCAGTTTCCACTGCAGGGACACTCTCCACTCGTTCGATCCCGACGAATAGCGGTCAAATCTCTTCCAACCAGACGTCAGCGGATTGGATCTGAGAGTGCGAGAAGGCGCTAGCCGGAGATAAAGGTCGGAGTCGACCACGGAGGAGTCTGTACGGTAAGGACCGAGGGCGTACGCCATTGATCTCAGCCACCTCCATTTATCCGGGCCAAGTGCGAGTCTTCGCGAGTCAAGGTGCCAGTAAATTTGTGGCCAAAAGCCACCACTAGGAGAAGTACCCGGGATGACAGAGTGGCATGGGCCCGTTGAAGACGGGGAGGGACAGGTCCAATGTGAACGGTTCAAGCGCCCTTGGCAAGTGGGCATCATCTTAAGAGCCGCATGGAAGGGGACTAATCCGGTCCTCGTTTGGGATAAGTCGCAATGTCCGGGCACCAGATGCGGCTGGGACCGAAAGTATAACGAAGGATGATGATAGGACGATAGGAGATCGGGTCGGGGCTAAGTTGGCAGGTTCGGTCATTCCCGGTTGCCCATTGGGCCATTGAACGAGCTAAAGACTGCTAAGCGTGATAGTCCCGAGAATCATTTTGGGTGATCCAGAAATGCCCTAGGATCTAGAAAGTGGAATCCGGGTGAGCCGGATAGATTGTGAAAGATCATTGCAGGATGTGAATGAAGCTTATAGATGGTATAGAGTAGAAGTAAATTCGGTAGGGGGAAGCATGGCTGAGCGCCTTCCAAGTCAATTCCGCCACGCATCGGACAGGCACTGTAAAACGGCATGGGGAAGGGGAATGTGATTGACAGAGTATCAGATATCTTTTGACCGCAAGTACTCCGTAGAAGTGGGAAAAAAGGAAATTACATGGATGCACGAGAGTCCGAGCGTCGACTCGTGGAGACACCGATTGGGCCCAATTGCGGTTCGCATGGGGCGGAGCCTCGCAGGCACACCAATCAACGGGTTCATCGGAAGCCGACCGGATCAGCACGCCGTTTGCCAGCTCGGTTAGAGAGGGGCAGCCTCCTTAGCAAGACCTTAGCAAGCACTGCTGGTCCCTGGTCGATCCTACCCTGAGAAAGCCCACGGATGCTACTCTAGGTCTTGACCACCTACACGAATCTCGCCATACAAATCGTAACGCTAAGCTAGCAGGAGCTCATTTCCTGGTGAATAAGTAATTTCCAGGCCCCGCTAGCGAGATTGCATTCGAATCCTGGCTCTGCTTGACTTGGAACTTAAAGTTCGGCCAAGAAGATCCAGAATGAAAGTCCATTTTAGGGTCTCTCTGCGAGTATGGAGCCCTCGATCACAACGATTGCGGATCTGGGTCTTTTTCGGACCCCACGCTCATCTGCCGTTAGGGCTATAGAAAGTGGAAAGCAAATTTCGAGAATGCCCCTTTCATTGGCTCAATTACTGTACCAATGGAGCACTCCGTACACTTTCAGCGTTGCCAAGGTAGGCATAGTCTATGCAATTTCGCCGCATCGTTTATGGAATAGTCTATGCTAGGACCTTTTTAAAGTCCCACATAACCAGCCTCTACCATCATAATCTGCCCACGCTGGAGGCAACAACAAACTAAATTTCACTAGGAATGCTTAATACATACTACAGTACGTAAAACGGTGCATAAATACCATCCGAGAGACTCAAGGGCTGGTGAACAAAAATTGCGCATAAATTCATGGCGGGAGTTCCCCGAAGAAGAAAAGAGCCAAAAATCAGTCTGAAATATCTTCGAGTATAATTCCCCTCGCGTCGCCTGTGAATGGAGATTCCTGCGGGAAAGAAAGGCATATAAGGCAAATTCTTGTCGTCTAATTTGAGGGAAAGATCCTTCAGCAAGCTTCTGAATTTATACTTGAGAAGCCCTTGACAGATGAAAATTCCGATCTCGTTGCTGGCGAAGAACCTGCCGGGGCAGACTTGATCTCAAGTCCCCCGTCTAGGGATTCGGCCGAAGCAGACACGAGATGAGCGTGGGTCCCCTGATCAGGGGTTTGTCGTATCTTTAAGAAACATATGGGTCGAAGGTTTTGGGATTCTCGTAGAAATTCTCATCCCACATCCCGCCATTTGGGACTATAGTGACGTTCCCTTGACGATGACTATGCCGTCACTTAATTTGATATTTTCTTCGGCCATTTTGCGCATGGAGACTGGAAACGCTCTGTTAGGTGGAGTATGCAACGTAACCTACAAGAAGACTAAAATTACGGGGTGTACTCAACAACGTTGATTAATATCATGCGCTGTGACTCTTTCAGAAAACTATCCATTGTAATGAGCAGTCTTACGATCTCTTGTCGCAACTCTAGAATGACGTTCTTGCTTTGTCACAGGTCGAAATTGTCTGAGGGATCATATCCGAGGTCGTATGAATGGCCACTACGTAGAGAGCCAGTTCTATGGCCGCTCGATCGTGCGATCGCCCTCTGGCAGCCTGCTCCATCTATTCTATTGCATAGGTGTTGTAAGTCATTGGCGTTCCCAATCTCAAGGGAGCCTCCTTGTCTCGTCTTCGCTCTTCTAGTATAGGGTTCATTATAGATTCCACCTTGGCAAGCTCAGCTTTGATCTTCCCATAACATCCGAGGGGCGGAGCTAATATGGGTCCGAGAAGAAACCGGGGGGTCAATCGAATAACTTCCGACGCTGTGACGGCATCAACTTTTAGAAATAGTAGCTCGTGGGTCAATTTGCATAGGCCCTTTCTCTGGTCCTCTTGAGAGTATACACGGTTTCCAGGGGCATTTCTGGGTAAAAAGGTGCAAAGTGTAGTACGACATAGTAGACGCTGGAAACCATTACTAAATCAACATTGCCAAAGTGTAACAAAGCTGATTGTTAAGTAGGATCGTGAAAGAAACTCGCCAAGAAAGTTATCATCGTGAATTGATAGATTAAAGAGACATTTCCTCACATAATTAACTATTTCCCACCCACTCAAGCAAGTTTCTCCTCCACGTGCTCCGTGAATTGCTCCTTATTCTCCTGAATCTTGTGGACCATCTCCTTCTTGCTATCCTCATCTTCAAACAGGTATGCCAATTCCTCAAGCGTCGGCCCTGCCGTTTCCACGAAGAAGAAATAGACAACGAGGAAGACGATCAAAACCCATACACAGTAATAGATATAGAACTTCCACCCAATGTTCTTCAATGCAATGGGGTTGACATAGCTCCCAAAGATGGAGGCCACCTGAATCGTCAGCAGAACAAAGGCCCATGTCTTAGCACGCATTTGCGTCGTCACTACCTCTAAGGGATAGGTCACAATGAGGTTTGTCCAAGCAAATGTGTAGAAAGCCTGGAAGACGAAAATGCAGGCGATCACTAGCCTTCCGGCAGCCAGCGAGCCTTTTTCGAGATACTGCTGAGCCGCGATTGTCCAGACAATAAAAGTGACCAGAACACCGCCCGATCCAGTGAGGAAGAAGAAGCGGCGGCGGAATCGGTCAATGATAAGAGTAACAAAGATGGCAACAATATACTGCCAGAGAGTGACCATTCCGTTGACAAGTGTAATCTCATATTCGGTCTTGAGGCCAGTATCTTTGAGAATTTGCGTAAGATAGTTTGAGACCAACAGGTTACCAGAGCTCTGACTGAACACGGCAGTAGAGAAGCAAAGGAAAATGCGCTTCAAGTTGGCTTTTGAAGAGAAGAATGCCCCCCAACTGATGTTCTCCTCTGCTTCCTTGGAAATTGCCTGTTGAATCTCAGCGCATTCAACCTCCACTAACTCAGAGTTCGGATTGCATTCGCCGTGATATTTGATCAAGATTTCACGTGCTTCTTGGATGCGGCCCTTTGCAATCAACCAGCGTGGAGACTCGGGACAAAACCAGATGAGACAGAACTGGTAAGCCGATGGAACGACTTGAATTAGAGTCGGGAGCCTCCACGACCACTGGCTGGTGATCCTGTAACATCCAAATGTCGCCCAGGCACCAATAACGTACCCAAGAACGATGGACGTGTTGTAAAAGGTCGTGATTTGGACACGCTCTTTGGGATGAGATAGCTCAGTGACCAAGACCGGAGCGCCCATCTGAATCAATGATGATCCCACCCCAAGGATAATCTTTCCGCCAATGTACATGTTCAGAGACGTGGCAAATAGTTCAATGAGAACACCAACTATTATGATAACTGAGCCGAGCGCGGTGGGAAGACGGCGGCCCCATTTGTCACCAATCCAACTTAAGAAAATGAATGGGATAACGCCACCAATGGCGTTGGAAGCTCCGAAGAATCCAAGTTTTGCGCCTTCAGGGTGTCCAAATCTGTCTTGCCATGAGTTCAAGACCTGCATTCCATTTGTCATGGACTTGTCGAGAGACTTGTCAGTTGGGGTTGCTATCAAACTGGAGTATAACATGACTTACCCCATCAATACCAAGTGCAGCACTGGCAAGAAGAGATGACGTTAGGAGGAAGTATAGCAATATTCCATTTTTCCGACGCCAAAACGGTGGCATGGACTTCACGTCTATGGGCGATATGATGCCCTCGGCCGCATGAGCAGCAGCAGGAGCCATACTTGCAGTCGATTGGCCGTCTCGATGGAAGATCTTGGTTGAGATCGGCAGGTTAAGCTGCAGACGAAGCCTCACGTAAATAGGCAGTGAAAAGTATGGGCGAATCTGTGGCCTTGGACAGTTTCACGTCGGGATCGCTGCTCCTTATATAGAATAAGCTCCTACTGCCAGGACTCATGCACGGTCAATCAATTGGATCTTACCACACGTGGAAACGAAAGCCGGGCGAATTACCATGGCGTGGACCACCCAGTCACAGTTGACGGAGGTTTGTGGGGATGAAGAATTTTGTCTGGGATCGAATTTGGGGTTGCGATTTGCGGGGACGGGGAAATACCAACGGGGAAATACCAGCAGCACGAACACCACCGTGCGAGAATTTCCCGAACCCACGGTGTTTCTCCGATCCCAACCATAGAACCACGAGCGCCCCACTCTTTTTCTAACGCCACAAAGCCACCCCGCTCAGCTATAAGCTGGAGCGTTTATCACAGAGGGGAAAACAAGTTCCCTTCAACTTGTAAATTGACAACTTCGCAAGACTTTCTGTCAAGTTGTATCGAAATGGCGACTAGTTCTCCTGATACTCCATTGCCCAGCAACTTCGAATGGGGCTTTGCCACCGCCGCCTATCAGATTGAAGGGGGTTTTGATGAAGATGGTCGCGGAAAGTCAATTTGGGATACCTTCTGCCACCTGGAGCCAACAAGAACAAAGGGTGCCAGCGGCGATATTGCCTGCGACCACTACCATCGGTATGAAGAGGACTTTGATCTGCTATCCAAGTATGGTGCGAAGGCATATCGGTTTTCTATCTCTTGGACGCGTATCATTCCAATGGGTGGGAGGGACGATGTGATAAATGAGAAGGGAATTGCATTCTACAATCGACTTATTGACGCTCTGCTTGCAAGAGGCATCACACCTTGGGTGACACTCTATCATTGGGACCTGCCGCAAGCTCTTCATGACCGATATGGCGGTTGGCTCGATGTTGAGCAGTCCCAGAAGGATTTTGAGAGGTATGCCAAAGTCTGCTTTGAGCGATTCGGAGATCGAGTCAAGAACTGGATTACACTGAATGAACCTTGGATTGTTTCCATCTTTGTGAGTATATCTGCTGGCTTCAATTGTCATTGCGATATTTCAGCCTGGCTAATTAACTATAGGGCTATTCTACTGGTGGAAACGCCCCTGGAAGAAGCAGCATCAATCCTCAGTCTACCGAAGGTAACTCTGCGACGGAGCCTTGGACTGTCGGCAAGGCTCTTATCATGAGCCACGCTCGCGCGGTGGCTCTTTATAACAAGGAGTTCCGAACATCACAACGTGGGAGAATTGGAATTTCCTTGAACGGAGATTACTATGAGCCGTGGGACAAGGAAGATGAGCGTGATCACCAGGCTGCCGAGCGACGCATGGAGTTTCATATCGGATGGTTTGCCAATCCAGTGTGGTGCGTACATTATCGCTTCTCATATACCATGCTAGGAAGCTAATCACCTCATGAGATCATAAGCCTCGCACAGGACTACCCCACGTGCATGAGAGAGCAGCTTGGCGATCGTCTGCCAGAGTTTACGGAGCCTGAATTTGCTCTTCTTCGGGAAGCGGAGATCGACTTCTACGGAATGAACTACTATACTTCTCAGTTTGCGCGTCACCGTAACGAGCCGGCATCCGAGACCGACTGTCTCGGGAATGTGGAAGAGTTTCAAGAAAACAGAGATGGCGTGTCTGTTGGGGAACCATCCGGCGTTCACTGGCTGCGCTCGACTCCTAATCTGTTCCGAAAACACTTGACTCGAGTTTACCGAAAATACGGAAAGCCTATCTATGTCACTGAAAATGGATGTCCTTGTCCCGGAGAAGACAAGATGACGGTCGAAGAAGCAGTGAATGATGAGTATCGCATCCGCTACTTCGAAGACCATATCGATGCCGTTGTCTTAGCACGCAACGAGGATGGCTCTGATATCAAGGGATATTTTGCCTGGTCCCTAATGGACAACCTAGGTGGGTTGGTATAAATTTCTCCAATCAGACTCCAGAACTGATGCATCCTCTAGAATGGTCTGACGGTTACGGAGTTCGCTTTGGCGTCACTTTCACAGACTACAACACTCTGGAAAGAACCCCGAAACAGTCTGCATTGCTCTTGAAAGGGATTTTTGAGAAGTACATGATCCCTACAACAAATTAGGCTCCTGCTGAGAAGCAGAAACCACCAAGCAATGTATTGGTCCGATATCACACGAGGCTGGGAGCCAAAGGTTATAACAGAGGCAGCTACAAGAGAAGTGCATATTTCGGTTATTTGCATATCAACCGGGTATAGAATTCAGGCTTAACGGATACTCTGCGGGCGTTAATATGGTTCAATTTGAGATAAATGTGGAGAAACACACCTAAACAATGAAGCTCTATCCAACCAGAAATCGCGAGCTACAAAGTGACATTTTTTTTAAAAAGGCTATTTTAAACAATATTTCACGTTATTGTTGCCAACTTCCATCTCTGAGATGGCTTGTTTTTTATTTTCGCTTGCGGCCGCTGTAGCAAGCCGTTGATTGGCTGATTGGCTGCCGGGTCCTTGTGACTAGGACCCCTGCATCGGGGAAATTTGGCGGAAAAGCGGGGTATTCGAGTATTTGACTGCAGCCATCCCCCAGTTTGCTTGCATTAAATTGTCACAATTCTCCGTTCTCCTTGACCCGAATGACCAGCCATGTGATGGCTGCCGCTAATGAAGATACTCCGCGCCCAGCTAGTAGGGCATGCGATCGATGTCGGCGGCGAAAAGCCAAGGTGGGTACTCTTCGGAATAGCGCTGGAAAGCGACCGGTAGGCATCAAAGATGTACCAAACTGAATATCTTACTTCCCTAGTGCGATAGTCCTAATCCATCATCAGTCTGTGTCAACTGCCGTCTGGCTGGCGAGCAATGCACGTTCAATTTGCCGCTGTCTAGACGAGGTCCGAAGGCAAAAAGACGCCATCTGGCTACAGAGGGTCGAGGGAACTCGTTGGGCAGTCCCGTCACACCGTCCCTGCATGTAACGAGACATAATCCTTCTCCACAGGGATTATTCCAAGCCCCCGCAAGTTCGGAGAACCTCGATCTGTGGGACACTGGAATCACATCAGCCATTAGCCTGGATCCTGCGCTGTCGCCGGCGACAGTGCATACCGTTCCTACCCCGTTGTCTCATGCTGCGTCGACTGGAGGCGCTATCTCCGCTTTGAAGCGATGGGAAACGCTTTCCCGGGAAATCTACCTACGTAGGCCAGTGGCTGTGTTGGAGAACTTGATCAACCGTTGTTTCAAACTGTTCTTCGATTATCTCTTTCCCCTTATCCCGCTCGTTCATGAAACGAGTCTCCGAGAGGGCTTGGAATTTTTCGTCACCCGAGATGATACCCGCAACTTACGAGGGAGCACATACAGCATGAGATACGGGTATGAATCGCTGAAATACCCTGAGCTATGGCCTGATGTGACTTTCACTCTCATCACGGCCGTTTGTGCCGAGACAGCCTTCTTGCTTCCGAAGGACATTTTCCCGGAGGGGGAGATTATCGCAGACATCTTTCTCCAGGCCTCTCGCAGCTGCTTAGCTACCTACCTCGAGGTTGATCTCGAGTATCCAAATGCAAACTCAGTGGCTATTCGATATCTTCACTCTAACTGTATGCATGCCGCTGGAAAGCCAAGGTTTTCGTGGCATATATTCGGCGAAGCGACCCGATTAGCCCAAGTACTGCAGATGCATGATGAAGATTCAATTCAGAGCCTACATCCTCTCGAAGCCGAATTCCGCCGACGAGCGTTCTGGATCACCTATATCGGAGATAAGTCTGCAGCCATATTGAACAGTCGCCCGATCACCATTCATAAATTCTCTTTCGAGTCTGGCATCACCATGGGCTACCCTACCGGTATTGAGGAAGAGGTCATTGTGACGCCCGGAAGCGCGAGTGCAGATGACTTGAACGTCCGCAAAAGCTTCCTCATCGGCTTTAATGCAAATCTGCGGCTTTGGCAGACCGCATCAGATTTGCTCCTGGAAATGCGTTTGCTTGACAGCCGCAAAAGCGTCTCCATGAGCCCTCATCACTCACTGACTGCTGAGGATAGGCTGCGGCTAGATCATCTTTACGTGCTCTTCGTGACTTCTCTAGACGATCTTCCACCCTTTCTCCAGGATGACCAGCTTCTGACGAATGCACACTCTGATAGAGAAGAAATGAACAGCTTATCGCGAATATACACCATCCAAGCTGCGAACTTGTACATTTCTTTGCACTGTTTGAAGATGGTCATAACGCAGAAATTCGAAGAGGCCAACTATTTCCCAATGGGCCACAATGAGATTTTGCTCCTGAGAAAAACAGAGATTGCTCGGAACATGCTCAGAATCATGCGGGAGGCGCCTTTCTGGTCATTACAAATCAATGGAGAGCCGTGTGTAAGTTAAATGCACCATTGCTCCTTGATCATCATTGCTATCAGCCTTGCTAATCGTGCACGAAAAGGTCGAGAAGATACGCCTCATAGGTGCTAGCCTCTTGGAGATCATCGATCAACACGAAACGTCGCCTCTATCAGCTCGCGCGCGGACTGACCTGTCCGTGCTACTTGACATATTGACACGGCTTGACTCGAAAGCATCAGATACTTTGCGCCGGTCTCTGTAGTATCATGTGTGTATAATAAAAAGATAATGAATAAGGATTTCATGATAACCATAACAGCCGTTAAACGCCATCTGGGTCCGAAGGCATATATATCCCGGACAACTCGATGCACAAGGGGGATCGCATCCTGCTTGATTGAAGTATTGCATGTTCAGTAGTAGACATCCTTTGAGACCGCTATCAACATATTTTCCAAACATTGATGATTAGTTTCTTTGTCGTTGAGAGAAGTCCCAGCTACAGATGTATCGCCCTCGAGAGCCCATACACGAGGTCCAATTGCCCGACGTTTCAAGCAGAAATATAAGCAGCCCTACACTGTCCTAATTTCTCCAATGGCTTTCATTGGTCTCATTGAAATATCAGAATTTCTGAAAATCCTTCCAGAAATCCGATGCTAAAATAACCCGACATAGTGCATTTAAGCCTTGGAAACTTTGAGTGGGCTTGTGGTATTTCGCCGTTTCCCCGTTGCTTTGGCCACCTATCGGCGAATCGGTGCAGGACCGCCCCTGGCGTTCCAAACGCCGAATCTCCGCTTCCAACCTTAGCTCTTGCGTCAATTTCACCGAATAAAACGCAAAACTGACGCTTACGAGGCATGGAGGGGATTCTTCAGAGACTGATTATTTGCATTTCGTCGTTTGATTGGGCAGCCCGGCAATGCCCCAGACCTTCCACCGGCGATGCGGGGAAAGGTCGATCGCTCCCAAAGAAGCAGGTTCTCAGGGGAAATATGGAGATGCTTCGTTCATTCTGGAAACTTTCTTCCGATGCACATTTTAATTTTCAAATACAGCCCATTCAGATTATGATATTCAGTTGTATATAAATCCCTAACCGTCCCATTGCCGACCATACCTACCCTCTCAACACGGTTGAGATCAAGTACCCGACTTAAGTCTTCAACCTTTAGTCTTCTTTGCCGTTGGCTCCACTCTATTCGCCAAATCATGCGCTTCACTCGGGTGTCGCTGGGTCTGGCGTGTGCCACTCTAGCTACAGCTTTACCTGCAGCTTCAGAACAGAGCGGCAAGCCCTCGTGCCGATTTGCTCAGCAATACACCCAGAAGCAAATTCTGCAAGACTCTTCTAGATTTATTAATGATATGCTGTACTGGGAAGGCCAGTTCCATCAGAATAACGTTTCTTATAACTCAGACAATGGGATGTCATATGACGGGACGAACATTGATTTCGTGACTGGCGTAAGGACTGTCAAACATCCTTTCAGCGCCGCAAGCAAAGAAGTGAGTTGCGACATTCGCGGAAAGTTCCTTTGCGAGAAAAAAGACTGATTCTGTACTCCGAGAAGTCACTGCAAATCATGCTTTACGCCCATGCTATCTCGGGGTCTGCCGATGCTGCTCGTTTCCTCTCTCCCGGCAATCCGTCCGCAGCCCCTGGCCTCGTTGCTTCGATCATGGACGTCAAATTGAAGACTTACTTGAGATTTAATGAGACCTACCCTGGATTTGGTGGATTCCTGCCGTGGTTTACCTCGAGCTCTCAAGATCTCTCTCCCACCTGGGACTGGAATAACCGTGTTCCAGGCCTCGACAATGGGTAACTCTATACACTCGATCTTGAAAGGCCCATCGGCTAATTATGCGTACAGTGAGCTTCTGTGGGCCGTGTACGCCTTCATTCAAGCTGCCGAGAGCTCCTCAAATCAGTCCTATATCGACCTTGCCAAGAAGTGGCAGACTTGGATGGACTATACCAAGACAACCGCAGCTCATGTACGCCTGCCGCTCTGTTCCTGAAAATGAAAAGGCACAAAATTTGCTGACCTCCTTCTCTTTCCTGCAAAAGATATTTTATGAGGGTGCGGGTAAAGTTTGCGCTGTCGTGGATATCAAGAACCAGACACTTCCAGTCCACCACCCCGAACAGACCTATACTTGTGAGGGTTCCAGCTACCTGGATGATCCATACGAAGGAGAGCTCTTCACTTGGTGGCTCCAGTTCTTCGGTGGACTCCCTGAAGCCGAAATTGAGGCTCTTTGGGAGTACAAGAGAGCCAAGTTGGTGAGTGTGGACTATCACATGGGCAAATTCGGCCCGATAACTGTCCAGAAAGGTATGATAGGTTTCTCACCGAGAGAGAAGTAAGACAGATATTGACTTTTATATAGGATATTGGTTTTCTAGCCACGAGACTTGGAAGGTGATGGAGATGCCTTACTACGACATTGATATCATTCGGTGAGTCTTCGTATCCAATAGCCGACTAAGATATCAGGCATACTGACATAATGAACTACAGTCGCGTCTTCCAAAACGCAGAGCGTGTTCGCACTTGCAACTCAGTTGTCACCAAAGTACCAGGCATGTTTGCCTCTATCAACAACGTGACGGACCCAGCTACTGGTGATGTGGTCGGTTACATCTCGAATGCCGGTATTCCCTCAATCGCGAACCAGACAGTCCAAGAACTCGACGTCATCACCCCTTACAGCGTATTCCCTACGGTCTTGTTTGACAAAGCCGTTGGAATGGCTTGGTGGAGAAACATGGCAATCGCAAAGAAAATGCAAAGTCAGCATTGTCCCCCAATTTCCTGACGATTGCCTGCTTGCTAATCCAGTGAAGACATTTACGGTAGCACTGAATCGACCCGTCGTGACGGGGCTGGAGTCTCTGCACTTTTGACCTGGGATAGCAAGGTCACCACTGTGAACGCCATTCTTGGCGGAGTCTCCGACCTGGTCCGTCAGAAAATGAAGGCCGAGAACATCTACAACACATTTGTGAACAGAATTGAGGTATGATTTTAGATTTCCAATTCCTCCACTTGGACACTCGACATTTCTAATGGACTATCTCTAGGCTGAGTACGCGAGGGTCTTCAAGAACCTCAAAGGCGAACATGTTGCATTCTGTCTTCCACAGGATACTGTCCCCGATGCCGGGCTCGCTGATTTTACTACCTGCAAGTAGGATACCCCACGAGTTTGAGGAAGACGAAAGGACAGCTTTGGCATAACCAACTTGTTGTGTTTGGCTTATGCAACAGTCATATCGTCTTTACTTCGAGAATCTTATGGATCCTTCTTTTTGAGCGGCGAATGTGCCGAGAACAACCTGTATGTTATGGCTGACTTAAAACAATGGGAAAACTGAAACACATTTTGGACTGCTTCGAATTGTAAAGACTGAAGTGTAGGAGACTATTCATCATATAGCCCGACCTTCTTCATTCGATTCTGTTCTGTGCTGCTAAAGTCTATATTTTCCTCTCCTGTCTCTGCCAAAAAACCTTCCTCATAGAATACACTCATTCAAGAGGCACAGATTCCTCTTAACGTCTACGAATACAGTCTCGGCGGCGTACAGAATTTTTGAAGATAACGTTTAGCCACAAATATGGCCAACGGTCTGCAACCAGAGATTCGGACTCGAAGCCAATTGCGGTATCAAGGGACTGAGAGATCCTTACTCGATGCTGGCAACCCAGTACCCATTATCACCTGCCTGACAATCAGATACCCACGACCGCGGTAGAGGATCTGCAAGTTGGTCCAGGACCACATGGGCCATGTACTCATCCGCAGACAGCCCATGCGTGCGCCAATCGATAATCGCCTGTTTTTTCACCATGTTCACGCCTATTAGGTAGCCGGATCGATTTCGGTAGGTAGTTTCGTGAATAAAGGACCCTAGGTTGCCCTCCACTCCTATTCAGCCGAGGTGTGAAGAAAACGTCTCCCTATCATCTGGCAGAGGCCATGGCTGAACACAGACGATGCTATTTAGCGGTGGTTCAATTTCGGCAACCCAACCGAGAAGGCCGACCATCAGCTCTGCCGGCAAGTTGGAATTGGCAAGACGTGCTGGATATGATCTAACAGCTTGTGGATATGTTGCACTTGCCCAATTTGAGGCTGTTGATAAGGGTAGTCCCGTGGCCAGTATACCGACTCTTATGGGTGATCTTGCATGATGCATAGAACTTGCGAAAAAAATACCGAGCCAGCCTGCGCCTTCAATGTAAATTTGTGCTTCGTTCAGAGCTTGGCACGCCTCAATGTGCTCCAGAGTAATGCATGTCCATGAGGCTTTGATGGCCAATTGCCGGATACGCAGGTGAAGTTCCGCCAGTCATCATCTTGATTCGATTACGCCTTTGCCAGATGACTAGACTTAATGGAGAGGTAATCTGTGACATCTTCATCTTATATCAAAGAGTTGCACCTATCTACTCCAAAGGAAGTCCAAACGTCTCTAATTAGTAGGGGCGAAATGATGATCGAGCAAAGGGGGATCAGAGGAGGCTTGATAGATCGTGTGAGCACAAGTTATGTGAGTCTAACCTCCCTCTTCTTCTCATTTCTTTTTGCAGATTCTAGGTCCTCGCTAGATAGCATAAGCTGGTTTTAGCGGGTCAAATTTGGCTTTGGCTTGTGACAGTTTAGTGACATACGTACGTGGAATGTTGGTTGTAGACACCCGCGACGGTCACGTCGATGTGGTTCAGCCACGTTAGCCTCCAGCGTGATCTGGAAGATGAGTGAAATACTTCCAGTTGAGAGACATTACATTCATGTGCGGGATTGAATCAGTCAAATATGAAGACTCCTGGATGCTCAAGCTAATCCTTGCTGTTCCCAGGGTGTATCCCCTTTGGGTCACGTGAAGCTGTGTACATTGAGATGCTTCCCGCGCAGTGCAATCTTCAGCCTTCAAGACGGGCAACACAGGAAGATATTGGGTGGGCCACGATATCCCAGATTCGAGTTAAACACGCTTCAGCTCACAAATTAGGGGTGCGGGGGAACAGCATCATGTCAAAGGAGTGTTGGAGAAGGATGAGTTGACCGCACGTCATCGAGGGGTCCTGTCTACACGCCCTGTCTGCCCTGCCGGCAGCCAACGCAAAAAGCCCTTCTTCTGCACAATAGTACGCCTCCGTCGAGGGCGATCCTATCAATGATGTATTACTATCGGATTCAATGCATGGGATGCGATTCCTCAAATTCTCCGAAATACCGATTCGCAAGGATGGACAAGTTCCGAGGATGCGCCAATGCAGCTTCAAGGGTGGGGATAGTATCGGCGTCCACCAAACACATCCCTACCTGACTGGCGAACCACTCCATTGTGACATTCCAGCCGATCATCAGATGGCAAATTTGTGCAAGCTGATCAGTCCAGTCATTGAACTTTGTCAAGGCCATAATCGCGGCTAGGATTCTTGCCACGCCAAACTCCTCGGCTGGCACATTCCACCCCTCCACACCCAGGCGCGTCGACGCGTTCACCGTCTATGTGCTAGGGGAATCGAGTCCTTCTTTTAGTCTCTGTCACTTCTCGTGTCGCTAGACGTTGTTTTGCAGCCAGCTGATAACTCTACCACGGGCTCGGGTTGAGATCAGACGTTCGTCGTCCTTCTATCCTACGCTACGCGATAACCTCTTGTAGGGTGCCTCGAATCTTCCACTCCTCGTTCTCGACATACAAGATTTGTCTGCGACGCTGCAGGGCAGGTCGCGCATTTTACCAACACGATGATGGATACCGGGTTCTCCCCCACGCCTCGAAAGGAGGGCACTTGGACGAAATTGGTGATTTTCGTTTCGCTATATTGCCTGATCCTCGAGTCTATAGCTGGACTGGTCCTTGTCTTTTATCTCTACGGAAATCATTGGGTTGATTCAAAGATGACCCCCAGCTTGATCCTATGCATGGTCGCTGTATGTACAAAAAGTGAAAGTGACATCAGTCTATGTACTAACGAGTCTGCTAGTCGTTCCTTACTATCCCACTGATCTCTCTCCAAAGTTTGGTCGCCTGGCAATATAATAAGATTGGAGGATTTGGGGAACAGAAAACAGTTCTCCATAATATCTGCACCTACTTTCTCCGACTGGATCTCATGCTATGGCTTGCCACGAGTGTTACTGGCTTGATCGTGGCGGCCCAGCAAGTTGCATGTCTCCCTGCTGGAACTGATGCCAGCTTTTGGAAAGTCGGTACCAGTTGCGTTTTTCACCGATCATCGGTCATTGTATCCGTGGTCTCACTGTAGGTTACCCAGTCTTGGAGTCCGTTTAACTCGCATCTAACTGATATTTCTCTAGGGTTACGGTCTGCACCATGTACTGCGCACGAGAGCTTTGCGATCGCCCATACGATGTGTCTATCATTGGAATCTATAAGCGGTCCCAGGCCCTTCGTGATGGGAGCGTTTTCTCGGGCCACAGTTGGGACAGCGACGAAACACTCAAGAATGAGATCTTGAATCTTTGCCGCCAGCACGATGGAAAAGCTGGCGAAGAACCGTGGTTCTTTGACCCCTTGGCTGATAAAGTCAACTGCCATCCCAGTATCCGACACCCAGCACCGGTTCGTCTGCGTCCTCAGCTTCGACTCAACACAAATCCCGGCTCCGAATACGGCGAGATTGCCTCGGGAACGACATTGTCGCCTGATGGCTCCCTGTCCCGCCTCTCGCCTGGCGGCCAGACTATCGTGAGCGACTTTTATCCGATATCACGTACTTCAACGGTCATGACATCGCAAACTGCCTACGAACCACGAGCACTATTGTCCGATTTTACAGTTCCCAAGGTGCCGACAATTCCAGCACAGTATACGACGAATCACAAGAGAGGAAAGTCGTCGCTATCATCATTGCGACGATTCCTTCCCAAGTCCTTTCCGCTCTCCTTGCCACTGTCATCGGATCCCCAGATCCTCGCTCTTGCAGATCCCAATGCGGCATCAGACGTGGAAAAGCAAGTCGTGACGCCATCTCCCTCTTGCAAGAACATCGCAGCGATAGCCAGCGATGCTCCACCCAGCAAGACTCAGGAATCCTCAAAGTCCAGCACGACCCCAACGTCTCCCGGCTCGGTGAAGCCGACAGACACCAAATCTGAAGGTCACACTCGCACAATGACCATGAACTCCGCCGACGCACCTGAAGTTGTTTTGCCTGCAGAGCCTGCCAGAGTGCGGCGGTCCCAGACAGCGTCCCTAGCTCAACCATCAATGTCCATCCACCACCCACACCACCCTCACTACGTCGCGGGACCAGCAATGCCTTCCGTTCCACGAAAGTACTCCTCGTCCTGCCGTCAGAATTCCGCCGTTGTCCCACTACACATTGAGTCGCAACGCCGACCAACGTCCCGTCAAACTCACGCCGTGCCGCACCCAGTCCGCAGTAGCTCCTACTCATTCGATAAGCACCGTATGCCTCGGCATGCTCAGACCCAGCATCATGCCAATTGGTACCCACAAACTCCACGCCGGCCTAATCAGCAAGTCTACGACCCTAGCCGTTCAGTGCCCAACCTGCCACGCCGCAGCGATGTTGAGATCATCTATCCCAGTACCCGCCGGCCGCGTAGCAATACGCACGGCGGATTTAATGGTCCTCTAAGCTGTATCTTGGAGTCTGGGTCACTTCCACAGGGGTTTGTGGATGATAGCAAGTTCGGTGCTGCGGCTTCGGAGGCTAAGCGCAATCAGCTTGATCAAACAACTTATCGCGGGGCGAATCGAACTAGCCTGGGATTTTATTAAGTCTTTGACTGTCTCTTATTGTCTGCTGGTCGGACTCGATTCTGTTTCTCAGTTACGTTTAGCTTAAAGTTGTATTTGGAAGGAGGTGTCGGGGATATTGTATGAATGGGGATTGGAGGGATGGAACGGGATGCTTTGATACCTACTCTAGTTTCACTTCGATACCAGAAATAAATCTTATCTAATTGTTGAATACAATACCAAGGAAAGTTGAAAATTGTCAAGTCGAATCTCAATTTAGCTAGAACCGTGTACAATGTGAAAACGCCGTAATCAGAGCGTCCAGTCCAAGCCCGATGCCCCTAGATCCATCCACCCGTAATGCAAAGCTAAAATACGACAAAACACCGACAAGTCAGACACATCATACCTTCTTATCCCCCGTCCTAGATCGCTGCTTCTGAGCGTACTTGTATTTGTACACCTGTCCCTGCTTGCCATCCGCATCATCCCCATCCCGTCGACGTCCCTCCTTCCCCTCAGCCAAAGGACCAGGACCCTTGCCCATCTCCTTTTCCCCCCAGTACATCATAAGAGCCTTGGCCATGCGGTCACGCTCCTTGAGCAGAAGATCCACACGACGCTCCCATTCACGTTCCCGCTTATCCACAGACAATGCGATACGCTCATCCATAGCTGCGGCAGTTTCATCCTTAGCGGCGATAACAGCCTCTAGCCGTCTGATTTCAGACTTGAATGCCTTGCGCAGTTGTGATTCTTGGGTCACGATCGAAGTCCGGATGGTCGTGAGTTCTGTCCGCAGTTCTGCTTCGCGCTGTTCGGCGGATGTGAGGAGATTACGGATTTTACGCATCGATTCGGCGTGGGATGAGCGAAGGGTGGAGATGGCTGTAGAGTGGGCGGTTTGCAGACTGCGAATCTGGGCTTGATGAGTTGCTTCCAGCTCTGCTGTCTTTGCGACGTCCTGTGCATCTGCGTGGTCCGTGCTGCGAGTCCGAGGTGGTGAAAGAGGGGGACTTGGAGGTTGACCAAGGACTTCTTCCTGGAGACGAGCAATGGTCTCGAGAGACTCGGCGTGCTCCTCTTGTGTGCGTGTCAGGTCATGTTGAGTGTTGTTTAGTTTGGAGGTGAGCTCTTCCACTCGTGTAGTGAGGCGCAAGTTTTCCTTTTCGATCGCCTTGATCAGAATTTGTGTCTCTGAGAGCTGTTCTCGAAGCTGGCTAGCCTCAGCATCCGAAGCCTTCTGCGAAGCAGTGGCTTCTTGCAGCTCTTGCTGGAGCTTGGTGATTTCCTGGCCCAGCTGCTGTACATCGCCATCATCAAAAGACCTTTCCTTTGGAGGAGAGCCGAGTCTTGGTGCTGGGTCCTCCCCGCCGAGATCTTTGATCAAATCAAGAATCTCACTGTATGTGCTTCGGCTACCGATGGGCAGATCCGCTGCTACGGCTTTGAGAGCGCTTTCTTGCGCTTCGACCTGCGACTGGACGCGGGTAAGATCTGCCTCGAGGGAGTGATTTCTTTCCTCGAGTGGACCGCTCTTTGTCTCTAAAGCAGTCAGACGATCTTCGAGCGTCTGGTAGTCTCTGTTGGCGCGCTCGAGTTCGGTTTCCAGCCTCTCATTTTCCAGTGCTTGATCGTCCATTTCACCCTTGAGCCTATCAATCTCACAGTTTTTCTCATGGAGTTGGACTTCCTTCGCCCGGGTGACCTCTTTAAGTTTGGTCATTGTCTCGTCCAAAGTTTCATCACGCTTCTTCAGTTGTTCTTGGGTAAGATGCAGCTGTTGCCGCAGATGGGAAATTGTCTCTAAACGCTCGGCATCCAGCGAGCTCTGAGAATCCCTGTTTTGGAGCTGTTTTTGCATGTCTCGAATTTGTTGCTCGACAGCACTAAAGTCCGGCTGGCTTGCCGTAGATTTCTGGAGTATCTTCTCCCGTTGATTGTTCTGCCGCTGGAGGGCCTCTATTTGCTCACGGAGCTTCGCTTCGTCTCCGCTCCTCGCAGAGATTTCGTCCAGCTGTTCATTCTTGAGCTGTAGCTCAGCCTGCAGGTGTCGGATCTGCTCGACGGCTGAGACGGCCTCGAGTACGCGCTTGCGATTTTTATGCAGCTGCTCATCCCGATTTTGGACTTCCTCTTCTAGCTCGATGATACGCTGGTGCAGGCGCTGCTCCAAGTTTTCCGCCTCGTTATCCGAAGTTATCGACAGTTTGCGCTCGGATGGTGACGCGATGGCAGAAAGTTCATCGCGTGGGTCCTCTTCGATGTCTTCCAGTTGTGTCGAATCCCTTGCTAGTGCGCTATTTCTGTGCAAGAAATGCGACGGTGTAGACATATCGACTGGAGGCCCGAACTCGCTGATTTCGCCCGCTTCTACATCTTCTTCAACGGCCGCTTGCCGCGACCTCGTGGAGTTGTATCGTGATGCTGACCCTGGTAGCTCACTGCTGTCATTGACCCAGCTTTTTCTGACGCTCGACATGCCCTCGCCCATCAAGTATCTCTCCATATCTGCAGTAAAGTCTTCGGGTCCGCCCACGTCGGAGAGCTTGTCTTGCTCGTCATCCTTTGCCTCCGGGAGTAGTTGCCCATCCTTGCCATCTAGGAACTTACTGCTTGGAAAAGCGCTGAAGTCGAGGGTGTAATCGGCGAGGCGGGCATCCAAATCGAAACCCCGAGGGCTTCCCGGAGTTGAAGGGCGAGACAAGTCCTGCAGCTGATCCTCGTGGTGCGATTCGTGATCGCTTGGATGCGCATCATCATCATCATCATCATCATCATCATCATCGTCGTCTTGGTGGGGGTCAAATTGCTCAGAGGCCGGGCTCTCAGGGCGTGGTGGAGATTGTGGTGAACGCGGCGACTGTGGCGACTGAGGTGAATGTGGTGATTGCGGTGACTGTGGAGATTGCGGCGCTTCTGTCGCTGGGCTAGAGGGTTTTTGCGGTGGAGAGGAAGGCATAAATAGGGGCGTCACAAGTGTAGACTGCCCGATAGTGTCGTGGGACGTTGGGAACGGCGACGTGTAGCCCGTGTTTGCCATGATCGGCAACGCGTATCGGGATGTTCAAGTTGGATCGGAGCGCTGCGCGCGCAATAGGAGGTGAGGAGAGACCAGATGACAGTGTGCGCTAATTCGGCTAAGTCGCAATTTATACCATCGAGGCTATCATAAATAGATACTGAGGTAATAATAGCGATCGCGAAGAGTCAAAGCCAAACCAGTCGCGGGATGCGATTGAGGTGCGGACGGTTTGCGGATGCCTGAGGCGCCATGTTTACTCGCTGCCTATTCGGGACTAGCGGGGTTGTACTCTTTACTCTCTACATTTCCTTTTGCTTTTCTGCTCGAAATTGCTCATCAAGATTGTAAATTTCTATTAGAATTTGACAATTATGTCACTTACTCAAGTCTGTCATTCTTCAAAGGTCGGTGGCACCACTGAAGGCTCATGCGTACGTCTATCATGAGTACCGAGTCCAGTTTGACGCTTCTGTGCCTGTGTCGCATCTTCTGCCAGCTCCTTAGATGCTTTACGTGTGGCACGTCCGCCTCGAGACGCGATTGAATGCTACACCATTAATGAGTTGGGACTTGCGCTGAGGTGTTTCCTTCCTGAAGCCGCCGCGCAATCATACCTGCTTTTCCGGGTCCATATCATGAAATCCGCCAACGCCTCGGGCTTTGCCGCCTTTCTTCCCTCCACGGTGGCCGATCTCTGACATTTCCTCTCGTGGCCTATTCGCAAAGTTTCCTGGGTTGGGATGCTTGGGCGTTGCAGTGGCGACGCCGCAGCGATGCCAGACTGCTATCCGTCTTGACTGAAGACGAGGCGCTACACGGAGTGCAGGATACAGCATCCTGGAATTGCAAGTAGAAGGTGAGTATTCAGCAGTTATGGAGGGAGCTTTACAAAAGATGGTGTGCTCGAATCAGGCAGCCAGAACCTTCGAAAGGTTCTGTGCAGGAAACCCCACGTTTTTATACTTCTGACGTCTGTCGCCGCTTCGTTCCATAGACATGGAACGCACGCAACGGTACGCCAATGGCAATGTGAAATTGGCTCGCCTCATATACCCGGACAGTCTTCTATTAGCTTATCTACGCAGAAAGTCCCCACGTTTCTCCATGCCAGGCGACTTGAGAAGTTTGCCCATGCTTCCTCGTCCAGCCGGAGTCGAATCCGAGTCCGAAGCCTGATGTCATTCGAGTCGTCCCCAATCAGCTCGGTGCAACTGTCTACCGGTCCATTGGTTACTGGTCAAATAGACATACTGCTATAATCAACTAGAAACACGGTGCTTTAGGTATTCGCACAAAAATCCACCTGTACCTCTCAGGAGACTCATCTAACGGTAACTCCAACGGGGCATCTCTATCCCGCTTAGTCACTGTTCCGCGACGCGGGGCCCATGAGGCTCCTTGCAACTTGTGGAGATAACAACCAATTTATCTAGTAATAGTTCAATCGACCTAGTTCATGCGACAAGTGAGAACTCAAAGCTTCCGTCTGCTTTGATCTCGAACAGGAAAGCACCCCGACTCATTTACGTTGCTGTTCCCACGAGGTCTTCGCGGCCTACTTGTCCACCAGTCCCGCTTTGGTGAATTAGGGGCCCCCACCGGCTTGGACCGATTTCCACAGGCAGAGCTCCAGAAGAGCACACTCGGTCCCATTCTACCTTACGCACTGAAGGTGGAAAGAACACTCTTCACTTCACCTCAACATGCCACCGATTCCAGGTGGTGCGCGAGAGCGCCGTCGTGTGATCTGCTACCATCAGACACTGATCCCGGGTGAAGGGCCATACGTGTCTATGCTCCCTCTGGTAGAGCACAATACTGGCATCACGCACATCATTCTCGCCGCTATCCATCTTAATGACGGCCCGGGGAATATCACGCTCAACGACGATCCTCCCGAGAGTCCCAAATTCGATCCGCTATGGGCGGAAGTACCCCTCGTCAAAGAAGGCGGGGTGAAGGTGATGGGAATGCTAGGAGGTGCCGCACGGGGATCTTTCGAACGTCTCGATGGCAGCCAAACCCAGTTCGAGTCTTATTATCGCCCCCTCTTGACTATTGTACGACGCTATGGACTTGACGGGCTGGATCTCGACGTGGAGGAGGAAATGTCGCTTCAGGGTATTATTCGGTTGATTGATCGGCTGAAGAGTGACATGGGTGATAGTTTCATCATCTCCCTCGCCCCCGTGGCAGCTGCTTTACTTGGTATTGGAAATTTGTCCGGTTTTGATTATCGCGAGCTGGAGCAGGCGCGCGCTTCAAAGATCGACTGGTACAATGCCCAATTCTACAATGGCTGGGGCCCTGCAGAGGATCCACGGATGTATGCCGCCATCGTGGCCCAGGGCTGGTCCCCGCGCCGCGTCGTCTATGGTCTATTGACGAACCCCGGGAATGGATCACAGGGATATGTGTCTCGGGAGAAGATCAGTATCGTCTTGGCCATGTTGGTCGATCAGTTCCCGAACTTTGGCGGAGTGATGGGCTGGGAGTATTTCAATGCAATGCCCGGCGAGCGCGAGAAACCTTGGCAGTGGGCTGCGGAGATGTCGCTCAGTATGGGTATGAAAGATTTGGTGGTTGCAGCTCGTCAAGTTTTGACTGCAGGCCCAATGGCCAACAGCTTGAACAATCTGTTTCAGGACATGATGAATCAGAGGCGTGGATTTTAAGGTGGAGAATGGCAGAAGGATATACCCATTACGCAGGGGAGGATGCACATGAATCTAATTTCGGAATTGCACACAAGCGTCTATATGAATGATGATTGAATGAACTCAAAAAGTTAAACCCTCGTCGTTTAAAGTAGTGCTAAGAGGCGACCTTGGGGGCCCGCAGCCCAAGGCTGTGAATAACGTCATCGCCAGATCGAACACCAATCATCACCGCCAAAACAAACATGACTAGCCCCAGACATTCGTCGATCGAAATCCAAGAAGCTTCAAACCGTGAGGAGATCTCCATTCAAGCTTCTGCATCCTGCGATGAACTTTGGTCTGCATCTGGTCACTGACTAAATCGCAAGAATGGCATCTCTCCCGCGCCTGGCCGCAGCCACTAGCTCCACGGTCATTCGCTTGTTTGGCTTCATTTTTCTCAGATGGGTATGAATACTGATCGACACAATGAGTCCTACCCAATCTAACGATTTTAGATCCCTGGCCATCACTTTGTACCCATTATCTTTACCTCGCTGGCAGTGTATTTGGCATCCCTTGTCTCGCTGGGCAAAGATGACCCGCTATCCTTCAATCGCGCTAAGAAGAATCAAAAGAGCTCCCGTAAGTATTCACCTTTGCAAAATGCACAATCGGACATGATCTGATTTACACTGCATAGAAAGCACTCGAGGATCCAAAGTTGTCGAGTCCGGCGATTCCGTGCTCAAGACCCTCTTGACAGGGCTTCCTTCCAGGCGGTCGCGACTCTCAACCTGGACAACGGCTCTGATCAACATCGCCGTGGCGTTGCTAACGCTCGACTTTCTGGTCCGAGGCTTGGTTCTGTATCCAAGCACTAATGTGTCATTCTCCCGAATTGGTCACGTCTCGCCAACCACGGCCAAACTGCTCCTTCGCGAACCGGACCAGAGTCAATTGCCCGTGGTGATCTCTTATCAAGAGGCTACTGTACCCTCCCAGAAATGGACTCAAGAAGGGACGGTATACAAGCTGGACAACAGCACCGATTTTACCGCCGCCGTCACACTGGGCAATTTGAAACCCTCCACTGAGTACCGGTACTTGCTATCCAACAACAAAACCGGCAGCTTTATCACCGCGCCGCGGCCTGGTTCCCCCTCGGCGAACAGGCTATCCTTTGTCACATCAAGCTGCATAAAGCCAAACTTCCCATACAACGTCCTTTCGCACCCATTAAGGATTCCCGGTATTGAGCAGATGACGGAGGCACTTGGAAAGTTGCCCGCAATCCTGCGACCAGCTTTTATGCTGTTCCTGGGTGACTTTGTGTATATTGACGTACCCTTCCGATTTGGCTCTTCCATGGATCACTATCGCAGCGAATATCGCCGGATATACTCCTCGCCCTCCTGGGCTGCTAGCTCAGTCGATGGCCCTGCCATCATTCTCCCTTGGATTCATACTCTAGACGACCATGAAATTGAAAACGACTGGTCGCAGGGTAACACGACGGCACCGTACCCAGCAGCTGCAGATCCATTCTTGCACTATCATGTCGCGGCCAACCCTCCCGTCCCGGAGAAAGCGTTCGCTCATCCTGACAATGTAACTTATTTCTCCTTTGTGAACGGGCCCGCCTCATTCTTCATGCTCGATACCCGAACCTATCGCTCCGAGCCATCGCAGGACAACTCTACTATCCTCGGGTCTGCACAACTCCAATCACTCCTGGCATACCTATCCACCCCCGAGCCAAGCGGGGTTCATTGGAAAATCATCAGCTCCAGCGTCCCCTTCACCAAAAACTGGCATATCGGCACGACGGATACATGGGGCGGCTTCCTGAACGAGCGTCAAAAGGTCTTCGAAGCGATGTGGCGCACCGAGCAAGAACTCGGCATCCGCGTTGTTCTTTTAAGCGGCGACAGACACGAATTCGGCACCACCCGCTTCCCGGATCCTAGTCTACAGCTACCCGCGTCTGAATTGCAGTCTGACACTGCGGGCCTAGGCATCCATGAATTCAGCGTTGGGCCGCTAAGCATGTTCTACCTTCCCGTTCGCTCGTATTATCAGACAGACGACGAAGATGTCTCTGTGAAGTACGCACCGGACGGGAATAGTAAATTCGGATTGCTTGAAATCGCTGATGGTATTGATGACGTTGATCCTACTGCATCTGCTCCCGTGCCTGTGAGAAGCTCGATTCTCACGTATTCGCTGTATGTGGATGGTGAGGCTGTTTGGAAGTATCAGCTCAGTGTTCCGTTGGGACCGAATGCCGGTACTCAAGCGACCCACGACTCTGGTGAGAAAGCTCGTCTCCCACCTGGACGGATCTTGGAGGATAAGCTTGTCAACAAGGGCTGGGATATCGCGTTCAAGACTGCTATCGGTAGCATGGAGGAGCTGGCACGTTCTTGCTTTGATTTAGCCGTTGCGGGTTATTATACCCTTTTGGACAGATTTCAGGCTCTGGAGAGACTTGATTAGATATTGCTCACAGAAAGTCAAAAGAGCCCAGGTTCAAACGTTAGTCTTTGGCTGATCATAGCAACTCGTATTTTATAGCTGGATCGCGTGGCAGAGTTATGATTTCAAGAACGGAAGGATTATTCGTACAAGTTGTCATCAATAGTGCATATCAACTGATTTAAAACATTCTAGACCTACTCATAGAGACAAGTGTCATAATGTCCAGGCCATATAGAATGTACGATATCTTCAAAACACCAAACGCCAGCCATGCAAAGTCGATGAACCGTCAATGGGTATCGGGGAAAACAGAGAGGGGACGAACCACGGCAAGTTTTCGCAAAACTACCGTCCACGGCCACGTCCACCACCGCCACCTCCCATGCCTCCCATTCCACCCATTCCACCCATCAACCCGCCCATTTGGCTCATCATACTTTGCAGGTCCATTCCTCCGAGACCCGGCATACCACCACCACCCTGGCCGCCACCCATCATCTGCATCATCTTGGCCATATCACCCATACCGGGCATGCCACCCATTCCACCGGCACCACCCATAGCGGCCATACGCTTCTGCATAGCGGCGAGCTGTTGTTGGTTGTTGCCGCCCTTGAGCATGTTCTGTGCGCGCTGCATCTGCTTCTTCTGACCACCGACCCGCTTGGCCATACCGGCCATCATGCGGTGCTGGGAGAGAAGGTCTTCAACTTCGCGAACGGTGGTACCACTACCGTGGGCAATGCGAACCATCCGGCTAGGCTGGTCAACAAAGGTCTTGCCGTCGCTGTCCAACTCGGCAGCGGTCATACTGTCAAAGATATAGATCATGCGACGGAGCTTCATGGAACCGTCCTCATCGTCCAGACCTTGGGTTAGGTTGGAAAGGCCGGGAATCATGCCAGACAACTTAGACAGAGGGCCCATCTTCATAATGGAAGTGATGTTCTCGCGGAAATCGCGAATAGTATAGATACCCTCGGCGATGTGCTTGTAGGTCTCCTTGGCGGAGCTGGAGTCCTTGGTAATGGCTTGTACGTGCTCGACAAGACTGGCGACGTCGCCCATACCTAGCAGCTTCTGCACGAATGCGCGGGGCTCGAATCGTTCCAAATCCATCATGTGCTCACCGGTACCGAGGAAAATGATAGGGGTGTGCGTAGCAGCAACGGCGGAGATGGCACCACCACCGGCGGCGTGACCGTCGGTCTTGGTGATGATAATGGCACCAAAGTCGGCAGTGGCCTTGAAAGCGGCCGACTGGGACTCGGCAGCCTGGCCGATGGTACCGTCAAGAACCAGGATAGTCTGGTCGGGAGTAACGGCATTCTGAATCTGGGTCATCTCGGTAAACAGCTCCTCCTCCTGACGGTGACGACCACTAGTATCCACAATGATAATATCGAAACGCTCCTTCTTAAACTTGGCCACACCCTCTGCTGCCACAATAGCAGGATCGGTCTGGGTCAAGCTACCATAGTATGGAATCTTGGCCTTGGTGGCATTCTGCTTGAGCTGGTCAAAGGCACCGGCACGGAAGGTATCCGCGCAGACCAACGCCGTCTTGAAGCCACGGGTCTGGTAGTGGCGAGCCAACTTGGTACAGGTAGTAGTCTTACCCGCACCCTGAAGACCGACGAACATAATCACATTGGGGCGACCCTTCTTGGGGCGGAAGGGTTGCGCATGAGGATCGACCAATGCCACCAGCTCATCGAAGACGGTCTTCTGGATCAGACGTTTCTTGTTGACGGCGGCGGGGAGGGAGGAGAAGTTGACACTAGCTTTGATGGATTTGCGAAGGGTCTGGACGAGGCGAACGTTCACATCGGCGGAGAGAAGGGCAGCACAGATCTCTTTGAGCATGTCATCGAATGCCTGGTCTGGTTAGCATAGTTCGCGGCCACGGTGAAGCAAGAGAGTATTACGCACCTTCTCATCGAGGTTGTTAGACCTCGTGAGGTCATTGACGGCGGAGTTGATACGCCGCCCAAGATCCTGAAGAACCATGATGGATGGTTGAGGGGGGGAAGACTGAAGTTGAGTTGAATTGACAGCGATTCCTGGGGATTCCCAAACGGAAGACCACAAGTGGAGGGGCGACAGCCGAAAGGCCAAGAAGGCAATGCGGAGTCCCAATCGGAGAGCGGGAGAGTCTCACCGCCCAAAAAAAAGTTGAACCGCTTAGAGACGAACTCCGTCGAACTCACAGTTTATTTCAACCAACATTCCAAATTGAGCTTTTCTTTCACAATGGTTGGGTCATATTCGAAGAAGCGCAAGGTCCAGGATGGTATGCAAGGCAAGACCAACCGGCCAAAGAAGTTTCGCAAGCAGCGCGAGTATCACAGCGGCTCTGAGGATGAGCAGGACGATGATCAGAGCACCTTCAAGCCTGTCAATCTCGCCGATTCCGATGAGGAAGATGGAGGTGTTTCCGTGAACAAGATTCCCGTGAGCAAGACTCGCATGAACAAGACTGTTACTGCGCAGGCTCCCAAGAAGAAGATCGCCAAGTCGACACCTGCACCCAAGCAAAAACCTGCCGCCGACGAGAAGGAATCGAGCGATGACAACGACGCCGAGGACGATGACGCCGACGAGGAAGAGATCGACATGTCTGGCTCCGAAGATGACGATGAAGTTTCCGAGGATGGACAATCGACGACCGGCGGCAAGCGCCGTGCTATCCCCAAGCGCAACGATCCCTCTGCATTCTCTACATCCATCTCCAAAATTCTGTCCACCAAGCTCCCAGCCTCCGCCCGTGCCGACCCCGTCCTTTCCCGAAGCAGATATGCTGCGCATCTCAGCAGTGAATGGGAGAATGAGAAGCTCGACAATCAAGCTCGCGCCAAACTGCGCGCCGAGAAGAAGGAGGAGTTGGACCGCGGCCGTGTTCGTGATGTGATGGGTATTGAGAGAGGCCTGACGGGTGAAGTTGGAGAGGAGGAGAAGCGTCTGCGCAAGACAGCGCAACGTGGTGTTGTTAAATTGTTCAATGCCGTGCGTGCTGCTCAGGTCCGTGGTGAAGAGGCCGCCCGAGACGAGCGCAAGAAGGGAACGGTTGGTATGGGAGAGCGGGAGAAGGCTGTGAATGAGGTCAGCAAGCAGGGTTTCCTTGAGCTGATCAATGGCAAGAAGGGAAAGCCTTTGAATATCGAGGAGGCTTAAAAAAGGGATCTATGATTATTACCCCATGGCATGTTTCCGGCGTTGGGAGATTCTTTACGTGATTGTTTTTCTACTGCTCTTGTTTCTGGATTCACCTGTAAATCAGTATTGTGGAATATTATTATACAAATGGTACGGGAGATGTTTCATTCGGTATCTTGCAGACCTGCTCGCCCCAAATTCAATGCAAATAATACAGGGTCCATCTGGACGAAAGTGTTCGTGTCGTTGCGCCCGCTTCATGACACGACTCCAACATTTTGATTAATCTCACACTCATTTGGACTCAAAGTCACTCGCCTGGAGGTTCCGGGTCATAGAGGGCAGGCGTACAACCAGACCATCTAGATCCTTGGTCATGATCACCTGGCAACCCAATCGCGAGGTCTCCGTAAGCCCAAAGGCAAGATCCAACATATCGTTCTCGTCATCCGAGGGCTCCTCCATCTTGTCGAAAATGTCCGGGTCTTCGACAATGACATGGCACGTGGAACAGGCACAAGAGCCACCGCAGGCACCTTTACAAAAGGCAAGTCAGCGACTGCCCGACACTGTCCGAATATATAGCTGTGGAGTGAATCTTACCCTCCATCTCAAGATCATTGGCCTGCGCAATGTCCAACAGATTATCCCCCTCGGCCACCTGCAATTTGACCTCGGTGCCGTCCTTGTCAATGAAGGTCACATTGATCCTGTTCCAACAGTTAGTAAAACAAGGCTATCTCCGGTTTCCGCAATGTGTTGACTCACTCCTCGCCGGGCTTCGGCGGCGTGATGTGGCCGTGGGCAGCTTGCGCCGTCACGGAGAAGCATCGCCGTGTCTCCTTCCACCCCTGCGATACTGACCGAAGGCCGGTGCTTGCCCCAGTATTCCACTGACTCGACTTTGCAACCCCCCCGGTTCTCCACGGCGCAGTTGAGAACCTCCGCGGGCGGGCAAGACACACGTCGCCGGTGCTGGCCTTGGGCAGTGCACGGCGCAATTGCAGGCCGAATTCTCGCCAGAGGGCCATTGTGTAGAGTCGTCTTCACAAGAAACCGGTAAAGGGAGGGAAAAGAAGAAAGAAAGTATGCGGACTAGGAGGTCGGGAAAGATCTGGGGCGAGGACTGAGAGAGCGGGCAGCGATCGTCCAATGGCCGGCAGCGAAAAAAAAGACCGACGAAAGTTAAAGGCGGCGTCGGGTTGTTCGGGCTTGTGCCAACAACTTCGAGTCTTCTCCGACCTTCGACTATTTTTTTTATCCCCGAATCCAACCCGCTCCCCCCCTCTTCTCGTCATCCAACCATGGCGACTCGTGAAGGGATTAATCCTTTGCGGCCATACTATATCCCTCAGTCGGGCTTATCGCCCACCGCCACAAATGTCACTGCCGAAGTGACGTCGTCCTCTTCGGCCCAAGTGTTTGGGAGCACGGCGCGCGACCTCATCCCGGATATTGACTATGCCGACTACCTCGACTCTTCGCCGTCGGTGTCGGACTGGGTTCGCGATGCTCTGAACCGTGCACTCGTGCGATACAGCAAGGTTCTCACCGCCCAGCCCTTCGATGTTGCCAAAACGATCTTGCAGGTGTATGTCGTGCCAGATCCTATAGAGGAACAGGAAGAGCGGAAGGGAGCTCCGGGAGCTGAAGGAAGCTCGTATGACTCGGTATGTTCATTTCTACGGTATCTGGCAACTCGAAAGCAAGTCTGATGAGCTTATTTTCTAGGACTCTGAATCATCAGGAGATGAGAGCATTTACTTCACATCGGCAGCGCCGGCCACACCGACCCCGACAACACCACGATCCCGAAGGGGTCGGCACCATCGCATCACCGACCGCAGTGGCTACATTCGCCCAGAGACGGCACCAGTCCCGTCCAAACATGCGCTGACCCTCCGTAATCCAAACTCCTTAATGGAAGTTCTCTCCCAACTTTGGTCGACCAGCGGACCCAGCTCTCCGTGGAAGGCATCCAACGCGACCTTTATTTACTCGCTTCTCCTTCCAACACTCAACACATTCATCCGCAGTCTCTTGTCTGCCATTGTGGGCTTGCCAGAGGAGGATATTGCCTCATCTATGGCAGCTGACATCCTGACGGCACCTTCCCCGCTGGCCACACTCATCCTCTCCTTCATCTCATCTTCCCTCTCCGCGATCCTTCTCTCCCCCATCGACACAGCGCGCACCTTCCTAATGCTCACGCCAGCAACCCACGGACCACGATCTCTTATCCGCGCCATCCGCCAACTCCCCACTGCCAACTGTACCATCCCACCCCATCTCGTCCCAATCACCATTCTCCACTCCAGCTTGCCCAACTTCATCACGACATCAGCCCCACTCTTCCTCAGATCCTACCTGTCAATTGACCCCCTCCTCAACCCCTCCATGTGGAATCTCTTTAATTTCCTCAGCTCCGGCCTCGAACTCGCCGTGCGCTTCCCTCTCGAGACCGTCCTCCGCCGCGCTCAAATCGCAACCTACACTTCCCTCAGTCTGCGCCAGAAATCCTCCGGCGGCAGCATTTCCGCTGCATCTATTGATGCTTCAGATGTAGAGACGATCGTTCCTACGCCACGGACCTATCGCGGTATCGTGGGTACCATGTGGCATATTGTCCACGAGGAGGGCGTTAGCTCTGCACCCTCTGACGCCGAGCGTGCCCGTATCGCCGTCGGCCGACCTACCACCCAGCAGCAGGTGTCGAAGCGCCAACAGGGCCAGGGTATCCAGGGTCTGTACCGTGGCTGGCGCATTGGTATGTGGGGTATCGCTGGTATCTGGGGAGCCAACATCCTTGGTGGGTTTGCCGGTGCCAGCGAGGAAGAAATGGCCGTGCTAGGAGGACGCGGCCGCTCCAGTGGTGGACGCTTCTAAACAGGAGCTCTGTTTCTTACATTGAGACATCCACAGTCATCTTGGTGGTGCAATGATCTGTCCATGTCAAGCATTCTGATCACCAATCCTTCCAGTATCAAGACCGTCCTAGCGTCTGTTTGATGGCGTGCAGCCTGGAATTCGGGTGCCATGTTACGCGGCTGATTTTTTTTTCTCATCTTACTTGACTCTCCCCTCCTCCCTCTGTTCACACCGTATACCCCAGGGAATGAATCCAGTGGCAGGCGACCGGCGTCGGTGATTAATTCCACAATATGTATAAAATCTCCATTTCTACACAGTATCCTGAAATACGGAGTAATCCAATCTCTCCATGAACCTTTTCCTCCTTGGCACTGAGTCATTTCTAGAAACTATCTCCTTTTGTCTATACAGCTTCGCTATACTACATTTTGAAATGAGATGGTACAGAGCTCAAATACTTCAAGAGCACCACACACATCGTCAGATTTTTTAATACAGCTATCCACGAACTGATTGGCCACGGAACTGGTAAACTCCTCAGTGAAACCTTCCAGAAACCCATACACCTACGTAGCACACCTGCGATAATCTCTCAAGGGTAAATCATTTCATTCATCAAAAACACAGCGTACACATGACAATAAATCAGACAAGGCCATAACGCCATTACAACCTAGTCCGTCTAGAAGAGTGGAGTCAAACAGAGACAGGAAAGCAGGCTGACCATCCCACCAAAGACCATGTTCATATCGGTCAGGAAGGTATCTAAGACGTCGATCCAACAAGTGGGAAGCCAGGAAGGCGCCAGATGTTCACAAGAAAAGATGAAGGTAAAAATTCAACGGCGTGCTTTTGGGAAGGGGAGAGGGGGCGTGTAAGCGTTGCAAGATTCGGGGGTACAACCAGATAGATTGGTTGACACTCGAAGCTCCCATATGAAATGATGACGCTATAACCGTGCAACCCCATGTAAAGAAGGGGTCGCACATTCGGGGAGAAAAAGGAAAGGCACAAAAGAAGGGGAACGTATGGTGATACACGAAGCAATCGGGAGGGGTGGGTATCAAGATAGCCTGGAGGCAGGGGAAACCCGATGCAGAAATAATGATGGAGAAAATGGGAAAAATGGGAAATATCATGAGGTAAGGAAGGCATTTTATTTATCAGCAAACCGCCGATCAAAGTAGCGCAGCACACCCATAACACTGGCTGCTTCGACTTCCATAGCAGGGCGGCTGTCACGGGCCTCGGCGAGTGCAAGTTCCTGTGGGTTGGGGAGGGTGTGCAGCTTGGGAAGCCACGTTGAAATCTCATCGCTGGCCCGTGAGAAATTGGGATGGCGAGAGAGTGTTGTAAAGGCATCGGCACAGCTTAGGGTCAACGCATTGGGCGTAGAGGGCTTTGGTGCGGCAGGTCGCGGAGGCATGGAGGGGTTGTTACGCGCGGTCGAGGAGGTGGGGGCATTTCGCGACATGCAGCATCCCCCGTCGGCTCCCTTGCCGCCGCAACATCCTCCTCCCGCTGGAGTTCCGCTCGCTGACCGAGAAGCTGCCAGTGTCTTGCAAAAAAGGGTGCTTCGAGGATCGGCGAGACATTGGGCGCAGGTTCCGGGGCCATTGGCGCATGGGTTGGTCGCTTGGCTGATAGGAGGGAGAGTCACTTCGGAGCGGACGTCACCGTCGGAAGGGGGAGGGGTGAACTGAGAGATAGACTGGATGGGGGCAAGGCGGTTGTTCTCGAAAGAATTGCGCCGGCCACGTTGCTGCTGCTGCTGCTCTTGGGCGGCCATCTCGGCACAGATGCAGGGTGTACCGTCCTGGCAGAAGCCGCAGGGGTCGACGGGTGGCGAAGAGACATCGTGTGTGTGGTTGGAGCTGGCCTGCACGGGAACGACGGCGAATCGGGATGTAAAATCAATTTCCATCTCCTCAGGGTCAGGCTTGATCTCCGGGTCCGAGTTCTCGCGAACGGGGCTGCCAACGCCGTGAGGGGGATGTCTAGCACGGGATGACTCGTGAGTATCGATAGGCATTCCAAACGCGTCCTCAATACACTGGCAGTGCGAAGAAGTGCAGCTATTGCATCCCAAGGGCACGTTCTCCGGGCCATCGTCCTTGTTCTGCTCAATGGTCGTTTGGACCACCCCTTCCATGCGGGAGCTTCGGGTGGATGGACGATTGCGAGGTGGTAGAGGCACTGAATCTGGGATGGTAGAAGGTTTGTGGTGGTTGTTCGAGGCAGACACTGAAGACCGGAATTCCTTGACTAGAGCCTGCTTGGCACTGCGTTCGATCGAAACTTCCTTCTCCAGGGAATGACATCGGTCGCGCCACCAATTCACCTCTTCCCGGGCCTGTTCCACCTCTCTAGACAGGTTGCTGATCTGTTCGGTAAAGGCGGCGATCCGGACTTCGTGGCCATCCTCGATCTCTTTCATTTGCTCCTCGAGTTCCTGGACTCGGGCGGCCCGTCGTTCTCGGAACGCCCGCTGAGCAGCTCGATTCTGAGCCTTGCGCTTGGTGGGTGGTGTATCGGTTGCTGGCTTGCGACCGGGCTTCGGGCGAGGTGGGATCACCCATTCCTTGGAGGTAATAGAACCGGGAGTGCCAGGGCCAGGCGAGGGAGCTACGGACGGCCGGGCGGCTAACGCGGGGGCCATGGCCAGTGGTGGCGGTGCGGCAGCGACGGCCGGCGCAGGCGTGATGGACACGCCTGTCGTGGCCATTATGATGCCGAAATCACTTCAGAAGCTAGATTGGGGGTCAGCATGAACATCGAGGAGTGTCAAGGAACGTTTGAGGCATGGAGGAGAGGAGGTCGGGCGGCCTCGGGAAGAACGCACGGGCGTGAGTCTCGGTCGGAAGAGCGGATGTGGGCTCATACGAGCCGATAAGCGAGGGGCTTGGAATGGAACACACACCACGAGGGCAAAGTGAGGCGAGCTAGATAGAGGGGGAGGGGGAAGAGGGGGAAGGGAGTGAAGAGGGGAAAGAGAAAAGCAGTCAGGAAGAAATCAAGATCAGATAGCAGAGAGTTCGGGGCAAGGGGTGGGAAAGACGAGGAAGAAAAGGGCGATGATCAGATTAGATTGTCCTCACATGATGCCGATTTCGGATGTACCAGTCGGTGGCCCAAACCACGCAAGGTGGATCGAGGTGTCGTTGTTTATTGGTTCTGGTGATGATTCTCCTCGTCAGAATTTTTATCAGATCGTAAGGACCCGGTTAGCACCGCCGAAGAGTGGGCTGACCTAGCTGGTGATATTACTCTGAAATGATGATTCATTTCTGCTAGATGGGATTGGTCAACATCGTGAGATGGCTGATCGGGAAGATCCCTCTATGAGAATCAGAGAATCAATGCATCTCTCAGGAGGCTATAGCTAGTCTAGCATACTTCTACCTTTCATCATCAACGGAAGACAACACAGGCCGAGAAAAGATTCTGCTCCATTCTTCGCCTGTGGATGCCATTTTCCACTACCATTCACTTTGCCATGATTCGGACCTTTGCTCATCGACTCCATCCACTACGGAGTATTACATAGCAGAATCGGCGCTTGCACCAATCAGGAGGGCCACTATGTCCCAAAACGCTTTCCGGACCGAGTCCTGCTAGCGGTGTAACAGGCAAGTGGATCGACAGGTTGGGAATACATAATAATCCACGTCTTCCATGTCGCTCTCGGGCGAACGTCGTGATCTTATCTGATGGCGCTAGTGTCCCATTCGGGCAATCCGAGTCGACCACGACCCACGTTTGTATTTTGCATGTCGGCCAATCCATGAAGCGAGGGTAATTGCGATGACGGAAAGAAAGGTGAAAAATTGGAGACACCGACCATCCCCTCCTCCATGGCCTTCCAATTCCTTCGTGTTATTGGCCCCTCAACCGTTCAAGTGCTTGGCTGCAGAATTTGGCGGCTCTCTCCACTGCACCTCTTCCTTATCAATCAATGGCTCCTTCCCCCGCTCTGCCCTAGCCCACTAACTCAAGGCCGAACCAGAGCCCGAAAACGGATTCCTTCGCAAGCTAAGCTGCCTTTGGGAAGACCTGAACCCTAGTTCCGTGGGTGCGAGTGGACTTTGCTGGCTTGCCCACCCTCGCTAGAAAATGGATTCCAGTGCAGCGCTCCGTGAGGAGCACGGCAGAATCAGTAACAGAACCAGGAGTGAATACTTTAATGTTGTATCAATTTTACCGCGGCTCGGTCATCACGAATGGGTCAGAGGATGACGATGCTCTCAGTGGCAACGGCGTGGGGATAGCACTAAGGCGCCATAGCAAGGATCAGCATCAGTGATCGTCACTACGGGATGAGAAGGCTGCCTATCTCAAAAAGTGGACTTGGCCGACTACCGAAAGGCTTAATTAATGCGAAGGTCAAATGGTTGAATACTAATTTTCGGTTGTCCATAACGTAAGAGGTGTGTGTGTCTTTTATGTACGGTACAATGTACAAAACCATACACTCTCGACCGAGTGTATTCTCAGAGTTGCATCTGTCCCAGGAAAAAAGCCACACTCTCAACAGCCCATTGATCATCTCAAACCAATTTGGTACTTTCATCCAATCATTCACTACAACTCCGTCAAAGTGGGTGCCCCGGCAGAAGGGGGAGCCGAGTACTTCGTCTGCACAAAAACCTTCTGCATGCCGCGGTCTCGCCTGTCAAATGCTGCATAGAGTTGCTCCATATCCTCCAAGCGGATGCGATGAGTCACCATATCCAGTGGATTGATTTTTCCTTCCTGGATTAGGCCCATGAGCTCTTTCCAGTATTTCTGCACGGGTGCCTGTCCATTTCCGATGAATCGAATTCCCGTCTCCATAAGCGCTCCAATATTGAAGTGGTTCGTCTACAAATATTAGCATGTGGAGGTTTTGCAGTTGGAAAAGGCCTGTATTAGAAGGAGAGATGGACTCCTGCACTTACATATCCCGCGTAGACTCCCGTAACACCCACACGTCCAAACGGCCTGACCGACGTGATCATCTCGTTCAGAATCTCCGAACTATCCGTCTCCATACCTAACATCAATTCAAAATAATGTGCCCACCCCTTAGCATACTCTCCCGCCGCACATTCCAGCGCCACGTCTGGTCCACCATCGACCATCTGCTTCAGCTTCGACGTAACCGACTCACCCCTGGGGAGCTTTGTATAATCGATCGTCTCGAGCTTGGGAGCCTTGCTTTTTACAAAGTCCAAGCGCCAAGCTCCATCACCACCATCGATGAGAATGACTCGACTTGCGCCGTGATAGAAGCTGAATTCGGCGCACATTTGGCCAATCGGTCCGCCACCCCAGATGGCCACCACATCTCCCTGTTTGACGCCGGTGTCGACAACGCAGTGCCATGATGTCGCGATCACATCTGATAAGTAAAGTGCTTTCTCGTCTGGGACGTCGTCCGGGATTGGGAAAAGATTGGTATTTCCATAGGGCACACGGAGATATTCTGCTTGGCCACCGGCAAACCCGCCTGTGAAATGGGAATAGCCAAACATGCCTGGTCCTCGTCAGTGTTCATGCTGCAATTTCTGGGGAGTAAATCTCCACACGGGGGAGCATACCGGCAGTTCTATTGCCGTACATGGCATTAGCGATACTATTCTGATTGGTGTTGTCGCACTGCGAGTATAGTTCTCTGTCGCAGTTCTTGCAATGACCACAGGCGATCGGGAAGGAGACTACCACTCGGTCACCGGCTTTGACTTTGGTTGCCTCGGGCCCTACGCTGTCGACAACGCCGCAGCACTCATGGCCTAGTACATCGCCCTTTTGAAGTTGGGGGATGACGCCTGTATGGGGAAGGCTTTAGTATCCTGAGATGCATGTTGGAACGATACTCACCATGATACAGATGGAGATCACTTCCGCAGATCGTGCTCCCGGTCACTTTCACAATCACATCACCTGGATCAACTACTCTCGGCTTTGGCATTTCCACTTATACGGAGATCGGGATTAGCTGTCAGTCAACGTGATTGTCTTGAAAATGGTTGACGTACCCACGGCGACCTTGTTCTTGCCCTGCCAGGTAGTGGCCTTGATCAAAGGGCCACTTTCCATGCCATATTCATTCTTATAATTGCTCACATCAGTGGTAATTGTCGCGTTATCATCGTGACCAATCACCTTCTCCACGATATTTGCAGCCTGAGATACAGCCATGGTGGATTGTTAGGATTTGAGTATGCTTAAGTCGAGAAGCGGATTCAAGAGTTCACGCATCTTTAATATCATGAAGAATTTCTTTTCGATCAAGCTTTACATTTACGATTACCCTTATCCGCGTCATTGCAGTACATCTAGGGATACTTTGCACGCTCGAAGCCATCCCGATCAAGTTTCGGGTAGCATTCTGGGCGCTGACATCACTATTAGATATTAGCCCGCTATTTCCTCTGTCTATTTATATTTTAAAGTTTACGTTTACAGTTCTAATTTCATAAATGCATGCCCATTCCGGCTGTCTTTATTTGAAGCGTCGTAAGGGTCCAGTCCCCAATACTTCATTCAAGTGCAGCGGATATGGCAGCCTTTTATCCGCGCAGGCTTGATCGGTTGGGCTGGAGGGGGTGAGTGGGTGGGTGAATCAACCACATTGGAGTAAAACCTTATAATGAGTGTCGATTACTTTCTCTCAGCTCAGTCCCGCTTATCCTGTTAAGTGGTCTCACCCATGTGGTTCGTGCTCGTCGAAGGCATAATGGAATCGTCTGGGAGATATATACTAGTCTTGCATGAACGCTGTGCGCCAATAAGAACAGTGACCCCACCAGACAGAATCAAATAATTGCCTACTGTACTTCCATGATGCTTAAACACGTGGGCTGTAGACTTTAAACAACAACCCTAGAACATGGGTAGAAGATAATGAGTCAATAGTTATCGAACATCGAGGCGGCTGGTGCTGGCGCTATCACGGCCATGAATCTCGTTATCTGGCCGCAGTCGGCCTCGGCGATAAGCAAGGGCCACCAGCCTCCTTCGCTCCGCCTTTTCCCCTCACGAGACTCATTTCTCATCTCCAACTCCGATACTCCTTCGCCCTCCAACTCCCAGTTCCCACTTTATTCTGTTCTCCCACATCCATACAATGACTAGAAGACACGCCGCTGTACTCGATCGGCCGTGGGCCTCGCAGATCTATGCTCAGCTGCCAGAGTGTGATTATGCCTGTCCAGCGTCTCCTGCCCAAGCCAAGCAAGCTCCTACACCAGCTACTTCCGATGCGCCCATTCGCCCCGAGCACTACTCCAAGCCCTATTGCGAGTTCATGACCGCCAACCCGACCATCTTCCATGCCGTCAAGTCTTTCTCCCAAGACCTTGAGAAGCACGGCTACAAGCAGCTCTCCGAGCGTGCGGTGTGGACCTCGGAGCTGAAGCGCGGCGGCAAGTTCTACGTCACCCGTAACGGCAGCTCGCTGCTCGCTTTCAACATAGGCAAGGAATACCAGAGCGGTAATGGTGTCGTAATCGTGGCAGGACACGTCGATGCTCTCACGGCCAAGCTCAAGCCCGTGTCGAAGCTCCCCACAAAGGCTGGCTTTAGGCAGCTGGCAGTCGCCCCGTACGCTGGCGGACTGGGCCCAACCTGGTGGGATCGGGACCTTGGTATTGGCGGCCGTGTGATCGTTCGCGATCCCGAGTCCGGTAAGGTCGAGTCTAAGCTGGTTACGCTGGACTGGCCCATTGCACGCATTCCCACTCTTGCTCCTCATTTCGGGTCGCCGGCGAATGGACCCTTCAATCCGGAAACCCAGATGGTGCCTATTATTGGCGTTGATAATTCTGACCTCTTCGAGACGTCGACGACGACCGAGTCCACTGATATCAAGGCCGGAACTTTCGCCGCTACCCAACCGGAGAAGCTTGTGAAGATTATTTCCAACGAGCTTGGCGTCACGGATTATAGCAACATTATCGACTGGGAGTTGGAGCTCTTTGACACCCAGCCAGCTCGACTTGGAGGCTTGGAGAAGGACCTGATCTTTGCCGGTCGCATCGATGATAAGCTCTGCTGCTATGCTGCTCATGAGGCACTGTTGGCGTCTAGCGACGAGACCTCTCCCGGAATCGTTAAGATGGTTGGAATGTTTGACGATGAAGAGATTGGCAGTCTGCTTCGTCAGGGTGCCAAATCAAACTTTATGGGCAGCGTCATAGAGCGAATCACCGAGGCCTTTGCTGAGGGCGCCTACGGCCCCAACCTTCTCTCGCAGACCGTTGCCAACAGTTTCCTGGTCTCGTCGGATGTCATTCACGCCGTCAACCCCAACTTCCTCAATGTATATCTCGAGAACCACTCTCCCCGCCTCAACGTCGGTGTCACCGTCTCCGCCGATTCCAATGGTCACATGACTACCGACAGTGTCAGCCACAGCATTCTGAAGCGGATTGCTGCTCGCAGTGATTCCAAATTGCAGGTGTTCCAGATCCGGAACGATTCTCGGAGTGGTGGAACTATCGGCCCTATGACCAGCGCCCAGATTGGAATGAGAGCTATCGACTGCGGCATTCCCCAGCTTAGTATGCACAGCATTCGTGCTACCACTGGAAGCTTGGACCCTGGACTTGGCGTGAAGCTGTTCAAGGGTGTTTTTGATTACTTTGAGGAGATCGATAAGGAGTTTGCTGATTTCTAGAATTCTAGAAGATGGTATAGATTTTGTCTGCGTCAGGCCGTTTAGGCGGGGCTTGTTTTGTTTTTTTTTTATCAGACAGCATTAGCTAGAGCAAAGACTTGGAAGCGACTCCAATCTCAATGACCCGTCTCTCCTTTGTTTAGTCTTGTTGTTGTGCTTGAGATATACCCATAGTGGTTTAAATACATATATGTTTCTTAATATGAAAAGATCGACTCAGAGATTATATGGAAACAGAATTATAAGTATGTGTGGGAAAGCAATGGTGACAGAATCGACCATCGCCAGATCGAAAAGAGCGAGTAGCCTTGGCGGATGTTTTTGAGATATGCATACACCGACGCCGGTCTTACTTACTCTCTGAGACTGTATTGGAATTTGGTCTCGACATAGAGCTGTAGGTATCATATGCATGAGGGAAACGAGCCAGTTGAAACGCTATACTGGTGTCGGTGCTGGTGCTGATGCCCCATAAGCTCCGTAACCGAAATATCATCGGCCATCTGATGCTTCTCAGCCCGGGATCTGCTGGTAGATTGGAGATTGTCTCCAGAAGTTAACTCCAATACTCGCTCAGGGTCTCCTGCGCCGTACTCAGGGTCTTCGCAGGGTGCACCGAGGGTGGACTCGTTCCAGGGAACTGTGCGCACATTAGAAATACCAGTGGTATTCTGCGTGGGCTTGCTGCCATGAAATGTGGACAGTAAACCCGGGATAATCCTAGAGAGGAGTGGCTTCAAAGTTGGGAGACAAGCGCAGATTATGCCTGTATTGCATTCGATGGCAGACCATGAGGCAGCGCCGACGTTGTCATCTAGACGATTTAGAGATCTTGTTAGTTGATTTCAAATGCGGGAGTATGATGGAACATACAGGTAGGATCCATTGAGTCGGAGATCGTCTTAAGACTGACCAAACGGATGATACTCGTGATGCAGACACTGCACAAAATGTTAGTTCCAAATCGACTAAGGACGTTCTGTTCACTGGGGAATTACTTACAAACCACCCAGGGCGAACATGATCATTAGTGCAATCTTCTGCCTCTTCGGGATATCGATAGCGATCAAGGCCGGAATTGGAACAATCAGGATTGCCAGATCAGTAGTAATATGCATACTAGCGTTCGAAAACCACAGACCGGGTCTACTCAAACAATAGCCTGGGAGCGTAGGGTTCCAGAACTTGGCCACGGGAATACAAGTCAAGAAAGCGCTAATCACACACCATGTTCCGTAAACACCCAGAACTGTGATCAGAACCCAGCAGACGATACGCATACGGCGTGTGGGAAAGACGCGAAAGTATTGCATGAGAATGGATGCTTTTGCGCAGAGCACGGCGGCATTGTAGAAGGGAATGGTGAGCCAGAATGCCTGTTTTGGGCTCATCGCGGTTAGATAGGATCTTGCAGAATCAATAGCCGGGTCCTGTATACCTTGAATTGTCGCTCCAGAATGTTTGGTGGTATGTCTTTAAGATGCATTCCCATGCCACTCGTGGCCTCGACGATATCCAGGCCCATAAAAATGAAGGAATTGATCTGTGCAGAGAATAAGACTCCTATTCACGATGAAAATATTGTAAACTAGCAGAGTAGCTTACCAAAGCGATGACAACCATCCAGTCATTGGCTTCCAGTCGCCTCAAAAACTTCAGCCGAGTATATAGACGTATTCCAACGAAGGAAGCTGCCAGTGATGTGAAGACGACGCTGACAACTAAGGCTTGCATACCTCGGGGAGAGAGATAAAGATTTCCATCCTCCCTTTTGAAGATATCGTTTCGATGGTGTAATAGGCTCATCTTCAACAACCACTAAAGGCCGATGCCAAACAGGATCGATATAGCACCAACCACCAACCACAGATCTATAGGAGGACCCAGAAGGCCGGAACAACCAACTTTCGACAAACTGGCAATGACAAGTAGACTGGGAGGAAAGGTCGCCTATTCCAAACGAGTGATAATAGCCAGACAAAGTTGAGTCCCCTAGTCCATGAAAACAAGGGAGCGAAAGGGGCCCGGGACCCTTTCAGTATTTGAACATGCGTAAGTCCATTATACTTTCTTCCATCACGATGTAAAACAACTGGATGGTTCAATAATGAATCCAACCAGACAATGAAGCAGCTAGGAACGACTGGAGCAAAATTCACTAGTCTCGTCTCCCTGGGTGAAAGTGTGGCCAGGACTAAACTCCCTGCATAATGTTGCCTGGTTCCCTCAGGTTGGTCGATCAAGGCTCATGCTGGAGAGTAGAACCCCGTTTACGAGTGGGTAGGTTGCAGCTCAAGGGCGCAAGGGGCCGATTACAACGAATTGGCTTCCCGTTGTTCTCCAAATACTTCAAAATACATAAGCATGAGCGGGTATGCGAAGCTCCGCACGCCCTTTAGTCCTGGTGTGAATGGAGCTTTAGGTTTGGATAGACTCCCAGATTGATTGTATTCATGAAACATGGCGAATTCAAAGTTCCGTAGAGGCGTTAGTTGTTTCTTAAATCCAAGACTTTATGTTCAAGAGGTCTGCCTCGCTTACTTTAGATGCTCAAGTTCTAAGAAAACTAACGATCGAGTGAATCGGGCGTTTGTAATTGGTCATTTGGAATACCGATCAGAATTTATTCTCTGAGATTGGAGATCATTGAAACTTAGACTTTTAAGCCTCGTCCTTGCGGAAGAGAATTAGCCTCAAACGCTAATCGGAGGAACTTTCTAGTGAAAACCTTGGCGAAACAGATTTAGCTTGTGAAATTCCAATTAGGAACAGAGGCAGATAATCTGAGAGCCTAATGCATCTTCATTGCTTTATCGTTCTCATCCCGCCCAGTGGTTTCCGGGCGTAACGACCATAATGATGAATTCCCACCTGCCAAAGACCACCGAGTGCTTTGAAGCTCGAAGCGGATGGGTGCGAAAGGCAAATAACTCAAGAACCGCCAAAATCTTCAAAATCACAGACTCAGTAAGGCTTACTGTACGTTAAAGGCACCATAGATCATGCACCTGCAGCAAGCGCAACGCGGTCGACGGACTTCCAACAATCCCGGTCTCCGGGACGCAGTAGACGCCCGATCTATCAGAAAACGAGCCGCAGATTACCAGAATAATCGTCACAATTTCGGCTTAGTGCCCTCGTTTTTCCCCGCCTATTCTTGCCTTAGCATGAATGAACTATATTAACGGCTGGATATCAAGTAGTACCATCAAAGGAAGACATAACCAAGAAGTTGACACGTACGCAATGACAATTTATCGGGGTATCGGCGTTTGGAGAGCCAATCTAATAGTGGAGCGTTTCATCCCAGGGCCCTCGTTAAGCTCACAGCACGGATCTCAACGAGCAAGGGGCGGCCCAGAATGAACAAACTTAACCACAAATAGGATCCCCACGACAACGAACATATGTATTTGAATGCTAATGAAGAGAGCAGAAAAATCTGGTACCCAATGAGAAATAGGAAAACTGCTCTTGGTTTATTGGTCTTGTCGAAGCCATGACCCTTCCATCGCGATGTGCATAAGAACGGCCACTCGCGCAAGGTGCGATGCTTCAATTCCGAATGTACTGAGGGCCCAGATTACTAGAAGTGGGGAGATAATGGGTGTACAAGAGGGGGTAAATCAGAGCATTATGGCAACTTGGTTTACGAATCTGACTCTGTAACCTTCATCAATACATTTCTCCTACGCTTTTGGAACCCCACGACATCGACCTACGAATACAATCACGAGAGGTTGGATATTCTTTAGCAATAATTTTTTTGCTAGCCCTAGAAACTTGAAAGGGCAGACCTTGAAACCATCGCCATCTCTCACGAACAAACCGAAGCCGCCGAAATCGGCCGACGCCACTCGGCAAAGGTGATCTATCATATCGAACCATAGCCCTCGGCCAACTATGGCACGGCACCATGAAATTACCCCCTTTCGTAATACATAGATATTCCAAATTGACCCATATAAAACGGCTGTGAAAAATTGAATAAATGCTGTAAACTCTCTTCTGCTGTCATTCACCCGCGGGTTCGTGCTTCAAATCGAGCTCGAAGAGACAATCGAACCGAAGTGGCGCAAATCTAAATCTCAAGAGTAATCGCTGCAATTTGTTGTACACGAGACTGATGATTTCGGCAGTATGAAGGAGCATCCTTCTGGAACGTTTCGAGTGACACATGATCTCACTAATGAAGTCCACGCCAAACTACGCTTCATGTCTTTCTAAGATACCGCCAATTATCGCAATACTGACGGGTCTATGCATGGCCAGATTTGTGATTCTAGTCCCATCACAGCATAATCATCTGTTTTATTGTCCCTGGACTAGAATTACTGCTTACTTCCACGGGTTTGCCTCGTAATATGTGAAATTAGAAGAAATGCGTTGGGGTATAGGCTTAACTTGTATGGTAGTGGATCACAACGTAGATTCCTCATGCCATCTATCACTGTTTTCTATACACTGAGCCTGATGCAATGTGCCATGTGGGTTCACCGCTACTCAACCCTACAGCTAATAAGTATGATTGATTGTGAATAAGACAACCTGATGCGGGAACATCACGAGCAATGCACCGGCATCACACATATTGGGAACTTGACTTGGTGTGCTTTCATTTGAAGGCTTACCACGTTTGACTATCAGATTGAGTGATGAGTATCTGCATGGCTGGTCTAGTCTTCTCCCAAACGTACCTAGAGCTACTGTCCGTATGAAAGGATAACTGACACTTTTTTCCTTATCAAGTCCATGTCCATCTCGATGATACTTGAATATTTTATAGGTATCACTTAGAGGGCATGCAGGGTTTTTGGAACACTACCCTACCTCTCTCTCTCTCTCTCTCTCTCTCTCTCCTCCTCTTCAAGGGCCTAGGTCATACAAAGAATTTTGATCATATTGCGGTGGTCTCATACTAGTGTCAACTCAAACTGGGACTACACCAAATTTCACCCCTAATCATTCTCCCGATTCCAGCGATATTCTACAATTCTACTTGCATTGTTACCATACTTTGAAACTCTTCTGAATGAGACAATTTTGATTGGGACGTCAAGAGTGTGGATTCGGCAGAGCCAGCTTGTAGCATCGGTATCTTGAAAGTCCAGAGCTTGTAATATCACCCCAGGTCGACAAGGGGGCCATCGTAAAAGGCATCTAGGGTCATTTCCAACACATTGAGCCTTTATGCTGTGTTGCCCCGCTTCTTTTCGCCAAACCCCCAACGTGGCAGGGTCCAAGAGACCATGTGGGGAAAATATGATTCACGATGGTAGCTATCATATTAAGGATCGACATTGTTCGGCAGTCTATTGTCCGAAATATCCATGCTGAGTTGAATGTGGTCGGTATGCATCAAAAGTTCAACGGATTCCTAGGGACCCGGCCCAGATTCGTATTTCGTGTTTATCGGGTGTATACAGAGAATATAGTATCTACAAGCATCATTAGACGGAGGTAAAAGCGCAGATAAATGATCCAAAACCAAGAGATTGCTTCAGAGTCTCGATGGAATACTACAATAGCCCCACAGGCAACATTCTAATCAATTGTCTGTGGCCAAAAAACCCTACTTGGGAACTTCGTATTGCGTACCCGAGTACGAACACGAACCCGAGGTCAGATCGACACATGCTGGTCATCCCTCCAGTTCTGTGGAGTACTCGCCGGCGGATGAGTACCCTCCAAGATGGGAAGAAGGACGCTGATTAGTTCCGCAGAAATTCATTGCCTAGAGCCTCGTACCAGAATCTTTGAATTCTCGGCCTTCGCGGAGAAGCCCTGCGTTACTCTAGAACCAACGAACCAGACGTATCGTTGCTTGGGTGTTGGCACGACCGTCGTGCCTAGAATAGGGGTTTTCCCCAGATTCAAGATGTCTGACGAAACGCCTGGCGATGATGCAAACATTGGGAGTAGGGAAAGCACTGCACTAGACAAAGGCCCGGATGACCCCGTCAAGACCAACGACTGTCTCAATACTTCGAACACCATAACAACTGTGAAAGTCGAAGGCGGCTCCACGTTCGAGTTTTATATGTGGTAGAACGCTCCTGAGATTGAAAGACCCGTCTGGGGATGTTTTGTTGAAGCAAAAGATTGGCGGAGGGTGTTTTGGGTCATCGCAAAAGTTGTAACAGACAATCCTCAAAATGTTCGGTCGTCTGCGCCCGACTACTGACCATCGACAATCACAACACAGTGTGGAGCATCCACTATCCTGTGCTTCTTCACTTTGAATGAGACATACCCCGATTATTCTAGAGCTCAAGGCTGCTCAACTGAGAAAAGAGACAGGGAACTCATTTTACCGACCGCGTCTTCTTTCAAATTTACGGAAGAAGGAGCTATTCATAATAAAGCATGATCCAACCTATGAGTAGAATGCTTTTCTTTTCACCCATCATATCTCTCATGTGCTCTTACGTTGCATTCTTGTACGGTCTGCTTCAAATACTCTTCACGACCTACACATTCGTGTTTGAGGAAGAGTAAGTGTTTTCTTCAGGCACTACAGGCTTAGCCCTACTCGTTAGCGAAGTGAGAATGCTCTTGGGGCTAGCCTTCGCTGCCACACAGAGCGACAAAAGAATCAGGAGAAAAATTACCTTGGGAAAGGCAATTCTTCCGGAAGACCGACTACGACATACACTTATCATTCCGGCATCCCTCCGTCTCCCAATTGGTCTTGTCATCTACGGATGGAGCACCCAGTACCTTGTTCACTGAATTGTGCCTTAGATTGGAAACGCCATGATTGGGTTTAGCATGATCGCGATCTTGGTGTGCATCCAAACAGACCTGGTCGAGGCGTTCACTATCCATGCTTCGAGCGCCACAGCTGCCAATGCAGTGTTGTCAATACAGTGTGACGAAGCTTTTCGGGGGCGACTTTCCCACTCTTCGCACTGAAACTCCATGACAGGGTCAGCCTAGGCTAGGGCAGCAGTGTCTTGGGTTTTGTGGCATTGGCAATAGCCCCTATTCATTCCTACAAGGGTTCGAATTCCAGGGGAGCGGATAAGAATAAACCCCAAGTGGCAGGTCAAATTTTAATCAAACAATAATTTGAATAGCCAGTCTGTCCCATTTGCTTTTCTGACGGCCTGACTTGGAGGGGAAAATGCTGCTGAATTCACCCCGAAAGTTTGCCTTGGGGGCCTGTGGTAAGTGGCACGGTGGGACTGGGCTGACTCTGCAGAGCCTTCACCAAGTGCTGTCAGAACGTCTGTTTTGTTGACATTGGGCCTAATAAATCACCATCGTTTCTTTAAATGAGAAAGGATCGGGTTAAAAAGGGGCTAGATTAGGCAGCCATAGTTGATAGGCCACCTATGTGTATGTGGATCCAAGCACTAGTGGGCCACCACCGAGTAGAAACCCAAATTTTTTTTAGAAACCACCATAATATCAGATCTTGACACGCTAGACTCCACACAAAATATTGACTATCGACCTGTGTGAGTTAGAATCCCCAAAAGCGGGCCTGGTGCCGAGCATTTTACGCCTGCATTCGTACTCAGGCTCGTCAGCCTTTTGAAGTTGCCAACCATAAACTCTCTTCAATGACATTCACAGTCTAATATCTACTGTATCCAAACCTCACTCCTACTATTGTCTCAACAACTGAATTCTGGAGCTGCAACCCATGAGAACGAACGATGCAGTCTAGCGATTCTAGGGTCGCTCAAGCCACAGTGTACCCTCCGCACTCCGAACGAGGGCGCCACACTTTCGACTTCTCCAAGTCAGCCCTGTCATCCCACAATGGCAAATACATTGAGCTTGACGACTTCACACCGCCAACGAGTCAAGTTCGCAATGATCGAGGACATGTGACTTCTCCTAAAAAGAGCCGTCGCTCCATTTATATTCCAAACACGTTATGGACACGTTCCTTTGCTACCGCAGTGGTCCTAGAGACTCTGGCTACAGTTGGGATCGAAAGGTTGGTTATCTAGGACGATTCTCTAATAGTCAATATCCAAATGACTCATAAATATTATTAGTTGGGTATTTATTAGCATGTTGAATCAGCTTGACAAAATTGAGAAGGGCAGTGCTACGACGCGCATTCGGTCCTTCCTTGGTCTCTACATTTTCGCGCTTCTCTACGAGCTTGCGCTCTCATACGATGCTTTACGACGCAAAAACACCTTCCAAGTAGCTGGTCTCTGCATTTGCAACTTTGGCCTTTTTACTTATGGTATCTTGCAAATGAAAGAAATTAAGAAAACCGTCACGGAAGCGGTGGCAGACACCACGCGCAGCAACAGCATTTTGGCGATGTACCAGATTGAATTGATCCTGGTCCCAGTGTTTCTGGGTCTCGGTACTGCGGTCATGATCTTTGTGACTTGGAAGCTTCGTGCAGAATTCTCCTGGTCAATCTACAAAGACATCAGCGCAGATTTGCGAATGAATCAGCGATATACAGTCTACCAGGTAAGTGACTCTGCTGGGGCGAACCGATCTCCCATGCTAATTGCCCAGGTCTACATCGCTCTCCTCAAATTCGATTGGTTTTTCATTTTTGGCACACAGCTCCAGATCCTCCTTTCTATCCAAGATCTTGGGAATGAGGAATTTTTGATCAATGCGGCCATGGTTCCCGTTGCCATAATAGCCCTATCTTTATCGGCCCTTTTTTGTCGGCGAGAGAAAACTAAATCGCTCCTCTTGATGACGGTAAAGCGTACTATTTGCAAAGAGCCCTCAAATATTTGGCTAACAATCGCCACAGATCTTAATGATTGCCACCTTGACGAGTATCATCAGAACCATTATCCAAATGTACCGCTCGAATGACAATAGTGGTCTTAGCTCGTTCAAGACCTCCTTGACTTTATTTGCTACTATAGCAACGTTACTGATCATTTCAACGCTTGTCAACTCAATTTGGTGTATGATGAACTTTAACAAAGGGTTGAAAGATTACGTCAAACAACTTCGAGTCGGGAAGCCGATCTCTAACACATCAGAGCCTTGGAACCCAGAAGCAAACTCACGCTTTGTATTGAACTGAAAAGATTTTATATGAATGAATGTTATCTGCAAATGAAATACTGTATTTTGAGTGTTTCCGGGGGTGTATGACCACCGCTGTCCATTACTACCCCTGGATAATGAAATATCGGATTGATGAAGTATAGATCTTCAGAATGGGTGCCTAAAGCAACACGAATAGTAGATTGCCTTACGGATACTTGTATATTTCGAGAATTATCGTCACGCAGGTGGGCCTTTTCTCTGCCAAAGGACTCGTATTTGGCTACGTTACCGTACTATCAATCGAGGCCCAAGTGGAAGGGAGGACACATATCGAGCAGCCCTTTTCAGGCCAAAATAAGAACTTGTTGATATGCAAAGAAGTTGACGGGTCGAGACGAATCCGAGGGTCCACCCTCGGACTCGCATTCGGGAACAAACAGGAACGGTAGAACCTGAGGTCCTAAATATAGCAAGAAATGATATTGGAACGCCAGATTACTGAAGTGTCAGCATTCATGAGATGAAACAAAATGCTATATGGGCTTCGAATGTCCCTTTTCAGATGAGCTCTCGACGTTCTCACATTCTTTCCAGTCAATTCCCATCACTTCAAAAAATCACCAGCCTCTCCGTCAAAGAAGATGGCGGAATACGTTCTCTACAATTACACACCATCTTTGGCAGTTGCAGTAGTAGCGCTTCTCTTGTTTCTAGCTGCAACCATTGCGCATATTTGCCTCGCTATCAAGTACCGTCTGAAATTTCTTACCGCATTTATCATTGGCGGCTTTTTCGAAGTCCTCGGTTATGCGGCTCGAGCCGTGAATGCGCACCAAGCGCCAAACTATGCGACCATGCCGTACGCCATGCAGAGTGTTTTTATCTTGCTCGCACCTTCACTATTTGCGGCATCGATCTACATGGTCCTGGGTCGCCTTATACGTCGAGTTGATGGGGAATCAAGATCTCTCATCAAATCGACAAAATTGACGAAGATATTTGTCGTGGGAGACATTTTGGCGTTTCTAATTCAAAGCGGAGGTATGTATCATCACGATTTTGGTTTCCTGTCAAATTTTCTCTGTTAATCGAGCACGAGTAGGCGGTGCCATGCTTAGCGGTGCAAAATCTGCAAGCAACATGAAACTCGGAGAGAACGTCATTACCGTCGGCCTTTTCGTCCAGATCGTCTTTTTTGGCTTTTTTGTCGTTATATCGGTCATCTTTCACAAAAGAATTGTGGCCAATCCTACTACGGGGTCAATTACATGCACTGTCAACTGGAAGCGGTATCTTTTCATCCTTTACTTTGCCAGTACTATGATCATGATTCGATGCATCTACCGAGTCGTTGAGTATATTCAGGGGCAAACCGGTGCACTCCAAAATCATGAGTACTACGCATACTTGTTCGACGCCCTCTTGATGTTCCTGGTCATGTTTGTCTTCATCATCTTTCATCCCAGTCAGATCTTGTCACGAGATACGCCTCAGTTAGGCGACACTGAGCTGATTTATCAGCAACTGCGTGAGTGAATCAATGCGTGGTCGTGAAATGGGAATAGTTCAGCAAGTTTCCTTTCTCAAAGAAAATGCGTTTGAAACTAGCGATGCTCCAATATTGTAGAATCCATACTGTGACAGTATCCCCATACACGGACCGTAAATATCATCGAATTGAACTCAAATGACTTATCCACCGGGAAGGCGCTGGTTAGACCCGGGATGGTCCTGTCGCTCCTCTACGCGTGTATCTCCAGTGAGCTGCTTTTCAACCCTTCCAACAACGGAGACTAAATTTCAGAAGACGGGTCTTACTCAAGGATTTTGGGCTCCAATCAACCGCTGGTTTGAGTAGATCCTGGAACAGCCAAAATGCAATGACTGATCCAATCGATTACTCATGCGCTGAACACTGGTGTGGTTCCTACGCCTGGTTCATTTCCTTATCTTATATGAAGTTAAATGATCAAACGCTGAATAAAATGATAAAACATCACAAGCCCGGCCCCTGAGCTCTCCGTGATTCAAATATCTGGTCTCCATGAGAAAGATCCGCTGACTTTTAGACCACAGATTGCAAGTAGACCCTGAGAGGCGGTTTCTGCCACATGAGGAAGTTCTTCTGCTGAATCCAGTCATGGCAATCTTCGGCGAGCCGAAGTTCAAAGTTGAAGATAACCAGTGCGAGAATCAAACGCACTTCACTGTATGCAAGACTAGGTGAGGTTAGCTTATACCCTCTGTCCCGTTATTCAAACCTTACTTTCGACCTAGGCAATTCCTGGGCCCAATATGGAACGGCTGCAGCACTTCGCGTCTGTCGTCTTTGAAATTTGGGTCTCCCATGAATCGTTCGGGGTGATAGTTATTTGCATCCTTGAAGTAGTCTTCGCGTCGATAGAGTGCCCATTGGTGGATCGAAACATACGTCTATTAGCATGATTAGTGGGCCTCAGGGAGAGAGCATGGAATGCTCTGCTGGCTTACATTTTCAGGGATGAAATTTCCGAGAATTCTGGCTCCGCCAGGAGGGCAAACTCGCGGCAGCCCAATGGCGATAGGAGGATACATGCGTAATCCTTCCTCCAGACACGCCTGAAGATATGGCAGCTGGGCGACTGAGATCAAATCGATCTCTTTCTGAGATTGGAAAGAAGTTCTAACTTCCTTTTTCAATTTTTCGTATGCATCCCGTTTCGTGAGAAGAAGATAAGTCACTCCGCTCAGCAAAGATGCCGTCGTTTCCGATCCACCGATGATGAGAATTTCCGCGTTTGCAATCAATTTCTCAACAGTCAGATTCTAGCTCATATCAGTATGTGCTCAGTAGCGTCCTCATAGGCATACTCGCCAGTTCATTCTTCTTTCTCAACAAGCCTTCGATCAAATCCTCCCTCTCTTCGGTACATTCCATTCTTCGTAGCATCTTAGCCTTGGTGAGGGTTTGATGCCGTTCCTGGGCATCACGCAACGATTGCGGGACCAACGATAGCAAAGCTTTCTTGATTGAGGGGTAAAAGGACAATGTTTGCAGGATTGTACCCAATCGTGCCGACTGAAAGATACCTTTGATCCAAGTATCATAATTTGAGCCTTCTAGGCAGCCGAATGGCTCACCAAAAGCCAAGTCTCCAATGATATCAAAAGTAGTATAGTTGTACCAATCCGAAATTATGACCGGGCTTCCATCTTGAGAAAATTCACGGAGTCTCTGGAGTAAAAGGTCCACATAACCACGAATGACAGGCTCCTGGGATCGCATTGATTTTTCAGAGAATCCATGGGCCATCTGACGGCGGAGGCGGCTATGCTCTTCTTTCTCCTCGTTGACGACGTGTCTGGGCAGCTCTTCGATGGGTCGATAAAACCACGCTGCTTTGCCTAGCTCTTGCTCCCCCTTCTTGTACCCCATGATATCTTTCCAGGCATCGGGGTGCGAGAAGGCAAGTTCATCCGGGGCAATACGAACGATATCACCATAACGCCTGTGTAGGCCGAGCATATCAAATAGAAGAGTGCCGCGCATTGAACGAAAACAGTATGGTAATCGAGATATCGCATGAGAAAAGGGGCCAGGATAGCGATTAAGAGGGTGGAGAAAAGCGTTGTAAAATGCGACCGAGAGGAATCCAACGATCACCTTCTGTACTTAGCCAAAGTTATGACTTCTAGATCGGAATTGTGTACCATTGACAGACCGGCCACCAGTGCAGTCCCTATTCCAATCGTGAAAAACATCTTTGGTGGTTGTATCTTTTGGATTTAGCCATATAATCGATCTTAAGGCAATATGGTCTTGCGGTTGAATGCTAACTAGCAATGATAGCATGTCTGGCCTATAATGCCGGGGCCAACGTGTGTGTAAATCGAGTCTCGCAACGCGACGATCTCTCACATGAAGGAGTGGAACCGGGCAAACGGTAGATCCGGGCATTACTACTAGTAATAAATATCAAACTTTATTCCCAATTCGTGCAAGGAATGTTTATCGATTATTCGAGAAGTGATCGACGAATACGATCCCGAACCCGAATTCGATCCGAAACCGAGTCGGCTGTGAAAGTTCACGCAGGAAGATAGTTTTTAAGCTTGTTTATCATTTTTGTGCGACAGTCGCATTTCGTATTCGACTTCGGATCCTGCAACAGGCTTCAGCAATTCCCCAACTTTGACAGTAAATTTCCAAGCGAGAATGTCACTTTTTCCGCCATCATTGAGCCAGGCAATGATATTTTTCAAACTTCGGATCAATAAACCACGTTCCAATGGGAACCCTATAAATTGTTCAATATCTTCCTGTCTGTTGTCTTTCAGTAGCAGCAATTTCATCAATTATTCTCCCAGCAGAAGTGATAACGTGTCTTCTTCTTCTTTTATTTCTTACTTTCAACGTCAAGTCTTTCACAGTGAAAAAGAGTCCTCATGGCTACCGACAAGAACTATGCCCTCTACCACTACACACCCAGTCTTCCATGTGCAATCCTTCTAGCTGCCCTCTTTGCGTTGACGACTGTCTTCCATCTGTATCAGCGAATCAAAGCGCATTCAAAATACTTCAACCCGTTTATTGTGGGGGGTATCTGTCAGTCTGCCCGATCTTCCAATATCCGATTCGTCGCCTTGTATTTTACTGACATTTCCCTATAGTCCAAATCATTGGTTATGGAGCCCGCGCTGGTTCTCATTTCTATATGGACTCCACGATTCTTTACGCAATTCAATCACTTCTGATTTTATTGGCGCCAACGCTATACGCAGCCTCGATATATATGGTACTTGGCCGAATTATCGCCTTCCTTCGCGGTGAACATCTAAGTTATATCCCCATCGAATGGATGACAAAGGTCTTTGTTGCTGGGGACGTTCTGTCCTTTATCCTTCAGGCTGCCGGTGAGTTGAGCAGACCACCAGCTATCAATCCATTGGATTGCACTAATCAATGTTGTCTCGTGCCTAACAGGAGGCGGAATTATGACAAGCGGATCTGAGAATACTGTCAAGATCGGTCAATGGGTCATTGTGGCAGGACTCTGCGTCCAGCTCATATTTTTCGGGGCATTTGTGATTACCTCGCTCATCTTCCACATCAAGGTCATGCGACAGCCTACCATCGAAAGCGAGAGATCCATGAATAAAGGTGCCTCGATCTGGCCTCGAGACTGGAGAGGTCTCCTTTTCGCATGCTACATCGCTAGCGTATTGATTCTAATTCGATCTGTATACCGTCTTATTGAATTTGTGCAAGGAAATAATGGGTACATTATCAGCCACGAGGTATTCTTGTATGTGTTCGACGCCGCGATAATGTTCTCGGTGATGGTCGTGATGAACGTGCTCCATCCCTCGTTTGTTTTGAACAAAAAGATGGAAACACATATTCCACAACCTGAAAGAGATATTCAGTGGAAGTCCGATCTTGAGATGCAACAACGCCCTCTTTCAATCACCCGGAATTAGGTTGAAAGAAGAGAAATCACGGAAATTTTGAACGATAGATATGATTTTAAAGTATTCGCTATTTGCTGCGTATGAATGTTCCATTTTTATTCAATTTTCGACCTGCCTGGTTCCTTTAGGCTCACTGCCTGGCAAAGAGACATCTCCATGTCATCCATTAGGCCGGAAATGGGTTCAGATCGGGCTCCGCTGTATATATTGCGGAAGATTAGGCAGGCGCTAGATACTCAGAAACGAGCGTACTGGACAATGACCATCCATAAGATTCTCAGGTCTTCATCGAGATATATTTTTTATGTTGAAATCAGAGTATAATTAATAATCAATCATCTATACCTAATAATTATTTCTTCAATACCATCTGCGCATTGAATCGTGCTCCTCCAGTACTGTATTGTAGGGCTTTGCAGGGGGGACGATAAGATAGGGCGATAAGCGCGCACAGACCAACTATCCCGAGAAATTTCCTTTTCCACATCCCCGCGAAGGATAATTTTCACTTTAAAGAGCCACCGGATTCTGCACTATTCCTTGCGACAGGAAGTGCCAAAAGCAGCAGGAAAATGGCGGATACTGTCTCGACGCCGCCCAAGCCCGTCCACACCATTGTGCTGGACGCTGGACCCATCATTAAGAATACCCCGCCATTGTCCACTTTGCTGGCTCAATGCGACGAGATTATCACCACCCCCTCAGTGGTGAACGAAATTCGCGACCCGGACGCCCGCGCTCGAGTCGAAACCCTTTACCTGCCCTTCTTGAAGCAGCGAACTCCGAACCCGAACAGCTTCAATGTCATCAGCGAATTTGCCCTCAAGACGGGTGACCGATCCGTGCTGAGTCGAGTCGATATCGAGGTGCTCGCGCTCGCATATGAGATTGAGTGTGAGCGCAACGGTGGCGATTGGCGCTTGCGCAGCGTTCCTGGTCAGAAGAGAGTCAATGGAAAGCCACCTGTCAAGGAGGAGGAAAAGAAGGAAGGAACAAAGGCTACTGTGGAAGAAACCGCCAACGATACCACCGGGGCCGCTGTGACCGAGGCCCCCGTGACCGAGACTCCCCAGGAATGTAAAGAGAACGAGGCCGCACCGACACAAGAGGTTGAGCATGTTACAGAGAGCACTACGGACGAGCCTGCGGCCGACGAGGATACCCCCGAGGAGAGCAAGGACGAGGCCAAGGCCGAGGAGGAAGATGATGCTGCTGATTCAGATGGAGAATGGATTACGCCCACCAACTACAAGAAGCGGCTGGCCGGCGATGAAAGTGGGACGGGAGGAGCTGGATCCGAGCCCAAGACTATGCAGGTCGCAACTATGACCACCGACTTTGCGGTATGGCAACTTGCCTGCGTATATGAAATGACCATTTTAACTAATTTCTCTTGCAGTGCCAAAACGTTCTTTTGCAGATGAACCTGAACCTTTTGTCAACAACTACTCTTCAAAGGGTCCAGCATCTCAAGTCATTCATCAAGCGCTGTCATGCCTGCTTCCTTACCACCAAGGAAATGAACAAGCAGTTCTGCCCTCGTTGCGGTAAAGACACGCTTACTCGTGTGTCGTGCACCACGACCGCCAACGGCCAGTTTACCATGCATCTGAAGAAGAACATGCAGTGGAACAACCGAGGCAACCGTTTCAGCGTTCCCAAACCCGTCGCTGGTAGTGCCAACGGCAAGTGGAAGGGCGGCGGTGGAAAGGGAGGATGGGGCACTGAGCTTATTCTCGCAGAGGACCAAAAGGAGTACACTCGATCTACCACCGAGGAAGAGCGGCGCCAGCGTCGGGAACGGGACCTTATGGACGAGGATTATCTCCCTGGCATCTTGACTGGTGAGCGCAACAAGTCTGGAGGCCGCATCAAGGTCGGCGCCGGCCGGACCATCAACTCGAGAAAGCGCTAAGTGCAGCTGGGGGACAAAACTTGCATTATGGACTACATGGACTGGAGTTTGGGAGGCATGCATAAAACGTCATTCGAACCGTTTTCTTGTCACGATGGACAACCTGCTCTGTTCATGAGTAATGACCGGGGCGATCAAAGCCGACCTCCTTACGATGAACCTTGCACATAGGATAGAACCGAATATAGAGATATTGGTACAAATGCGTCAAAAAGAAAAAGTTATCATTGGTAGCCAAATATGTGAGACTAGGTAGGTATTCCCCAATGAGATTTGACCATAGAAATCTGGTCAGAAGCAATGCATATCATAGCCGTCCACAGACTATACAAGTAACACCAAGCGCCAAATTGCGGGTTATATCACCCTGAAATCCATTTTTCCCAAGTTTTATTGTCGCAATTTAGGAGGAAGCGGACTCCTCTAGTGGAAGACAACTATTAGTATATAGACACTCATGGTCGCAGGTATGTTGAGACGTACCGGGCTGCTGGGTGAGCAGGAGGCCGTAACGGCGCTTCAGGGTAACACGGTGGCGCGAGTACTTGTCATCGGGGGAGAAACGAGCAGGGTGACTGTTGAGAATGAGCTGCTGGATCGACGGCTGTGGGCAAAGGAGTGTATGCTTACGCAGACTTGGAGACCTTGCCGTCAACAACCTTCTTCAGCGTGTAGACACGCTTGCCATCGGCACCCAGGGTGTACTTTTCAAAAGAGTCAGTATTTATCTGGGAAGAGGGGGTGCGGTGTTCGCTATTGAAGCGAGGGTTCGTCTGAAAATCGCAGGTGGAGGTAGCGTACCATCAAATGCATTCTGGCAGGAAAAAAGTCAGTATAATGTAAGACTTTGGAAATCGAAAGCAGCGAGAGATTCAGTCTACTTACTTAGCGGTAGTTTGCGGTCGTGTGGATCGAGAGTATTCTTGCTTGTGTCGTGAACGATGAAGCGGAGGAATTTTTTTGACGCCGACGGGTGGATCCCGGAAACTGGTGCTTAGTCATGGACGCCCACTTAAAACGAACTGAAGCGCCCGCAAAATTTCTTTCCTTTCACCTTGCAAATTTCGAGGGAAAATAGCTCACAGTGTCAATAATGCAGACACGAACTCGCTAAGCTTATCACTTACAGTTGACGCAGCAGATACGTCAAGCTGGGCATGATCTTCATTTGATCGTTTGGCCCTGTCTCGACATTCACCGTCAAGGCATGACAACTTCCAGGTAAGCTATGCTACAAAAGCTCTCTGGAGCTATCCTTTATTCTCCTTCCTCATGCCCCCCTCCCCTTCGATGATGACCTATATACCTAAGCCCAGGCAGGTGGCACCTTGATTTCTAGCTGCCTGTCAATGATCTGCTTAATTGACTACAACGGTATCTGAGAAGACCGTCATTTACAATTGCTTTGTCACCAACGTGCTTGATGAACCGAGTTTGCTAACTCAAACTCTTCAGATTAGGACCACTCTCATCTCATTCAGTAATACTTGTCCATCATGGCCGAAGCTACTAGTGTACCCAAGCCAGAGCTGAAGGCAGTGCCTGGCCCTGTACCAGTGCCAGCCTGTGAAAAATCCGAGACAGCAGAGAAATCTCGGCCTGCCCGGACTCCTCGGCCTCCTAGACCCAATTACAGGCACATCCATCGCTTTCCTCTTCCAGTCAATGTCCATCATGTTCCTTCAGTAATTCCTCATAACCCTCTCTCCATTATTAGTGTTGCCCTCTCGTACCTCACCTTTCTTATTTTCCCTCCACGCCAAGACATCTATACCGCATACTTCGATTTGGCTACCTCGTCCGTGCATGTCACCGATGAGAAGACGATTCGAGCCTTGTGGGAGATGGGGTTCTTCGGTAAAGGTAGTCTGAGTCGAAGTGAGCCGAATTGGCTGGAGCAGGAGAAGAAGAGGAGGGGGTTGATGAGTGGTAATACTGTCGAGGAGGCTACAAGGAAGCGCCGTGCTGAACGGCGCCAATTGAAGCTGGAGCGAGCCAGACATGAGAAACTGGCTGTCGAGGAGAGACTCAAGGCCGAGGCAGCAGCTCGTGAATCTGGCTCCGTTGACGGATCATCTATCGAGGCTGCTGCCGAGGCTGCTGCTATCTCGGTGGAGAGGTTCTCTGTCAAGAAGGCCATGGAAGCCAAGTATCACGAGAGACGGCAACAAGCACTTCAGAACAAGAACACTACCGAGTCTGCGCATCCATCCCAAGCAGCCAACGGCTCATCTGGTGTGTCGTCTCCCATTGTCGAGAAGCAAGAGGCTGTCTCCAAACCAATTGCCACACACCAAGCCCTCGACGACGAACTGGACCTCGAGACTCCCGAAAATGAAGAACATCTACAATTGTCCAACGAGGAGACCTTCTTCCTGGTTTACGCGCTTGGTGCTCTTCGAGTTGTCGACCGCAACGACAACGCCCCCATCTCGACCTCATCTCTTTTCTCCCTCCTCCGTCGCCATTCCTATTACCCTCCCCGCCCTGACTCTTCTCAACCAGAGGTTGATGACCCTTTCATGATATCGTATGTGGTGTACCATCACTTCCGCTCGCTGGGCTGGGTTGTGCGCTCTGGAGTCAAGTTCGGAACCGACTATCTCCTTTACAACCGCGGGCCGGTTTTCTCTCACGCCGAGTTTGCTGTCATTATCATTCCTTCTTACAGCCATCCGTATTGGTCCGAGAGCAAGGAACGCAGAGTATATGCGACCAACAAGCAAGCACGAAGCTGGTGGTGGCTGCATTGCGTGAACCGTGTCCAAGCTCAAGTGAAGAAGAGCCTGGTAGTCTGCTATGTAGAAGTTCCTCCTCCCGTACGCTCGTCTGCGGATATTGGAGCTGAAATTGGTCGCTACCAAGTCCGCGAATTCATCCTTCGCCGCTGGGTTCCTAATCGCACTCGGGATTGAGCTGTTGCCGTCGACGTTATGTATTTTACGGTCATGATGAGATTGGGCTTCAGATACCCGCTCAGGTGTTCAGTGATTTATTGTACGAGATTTAATGTATGATATACCCAATTGCATTTTCAACATGCTTGCACCATATCACCATCAATTTTGTAGTCTGTACTCCGTACTCCAGGGAAAGGCGCTAGTCCCAAACGGTTCATATTGGAAAAGCGCGACCGCACGTGACCGACGCGCTTCGCGTCCGCTTCCCAATTTCGGGTTTCTGGCCACCCAGCGCCGAATACCGCTGGAAATTGTGTAGTAATTCAATCATCATCTGTATATCTGTACAGAGTATGATTTTTGCGAATTGACAGACATCTCCGACATCAAGTTGAGGCGATGGAGACGCAGGACAGCATCGACATCGCCAAGCTACAACGCGTCGCGTTGGGGCTAGTATGTAACGACCTGCAGCGTTCTAGATTCTCATTGGATTGACTTGGACATCTTCAGGAGCACGACCCATCCCAGTCATTCTTTTCCGGGCCGGCAAGAATTACCAGCGCTTCACCGGAGCAGCCCAACTTCTCTGATAACCGTCCTTCTCGTCATACTCATGGTGGTGCGTCACCAACAGCCACAAGAATATCATCGACCTCCTCATCGGATCCCGCCAGCTCTACCCTCAAACAATTTTCTCCCTCGTCGATACCTCGGCAACATGCATCGGACCCCGTGAAGACCTCCAAGCCTATCACTGAACGGAGCCAAACGAACAACGTCCCTTCGACACCCTTTGATAAGATGGATTCCGCTGAGGCTGCCCCTGGGGACACCCAGGTGGTGTCACAGTCGGTGTACGATAGCATCATTCGGCAGAATGGAGAATCGATGTACCAGGGCCTCTCACAAAATGGAGCTGATGGTGCAACACACCGAACATTGCATGAGGGAGATAGTGGGCATATTAATCTCCTTTCCCAGTTTGACACTGCACTACACGAAGGCAACCGGTCCCCGAATCGTGATGATGACAGCAACTACGATGGCACCGAATCGTCTCCGATGGCCTACACTGCCGAGTTTTTTCCAGAGTCCCAGCGCTTCTTGGCCACAACTCCAGGTACTGCGGTGAAGGCGAACCAGACGCCGGGCACATCCGTGCAAACACCTTCGATTTCACGCAACCCGCTGGCCGGTGAAATTGAGTCTAGCGGAGGCATGTTAGCCCTCAGCCAGCTCTTCAAGGCAACACAGGCCCCTTCATCCCCAATAGTACATACCCAGCAGCTGGAGTTAATTTCCGACCGCCCCTCCCCGAACCTTCCTATCCAGCATCGTCGACTTACGAATGCCGTCTCATCGCCCTTGATCGAACGGCCTCTGCACCTTGACAGGGAGTCATCCGAGCCGAATTTGCACTACATTTCTCTCAAAGATTCACAGTCGAGGCGTGACAAGTCCTTGGGAGAAAGACTTAGCCGCTCGGCCAACAACATCGAGACGAGCGATGAGCTTGACCATGAGTTTTATAAAGAGTCGAGTTTTGTGGAGACTGCACGGCGCCAACGTTTAATTGACGAGGAGACTACCGCCCAATTTGCTGCTCTCAATGCTCCTTCTCGATCCACCAACAAGGTAGCTACCTCACCGAGTCGTCCAACCGATGGACCACACCTAGACGAGACTGCACACGAGGCCGCGGAAAGTGAAGAAGAGACAGAACAAGAAGATGATATTGGCCCACAAGTACCCCAATCACAAGAGATCATGCAGTCCTCGGAAGAGGACAAGGAGAATTACAACGGTCCTCCGGTGTGCATAGAGGCTACCAGTAGCGCACACGATCGGCTCTCTCAAGCTCTAGCCATTGAAGAACATGAACCCATGGGGGATCAGAGCGCCACTATCCCTAGTCCGGACCCAATGGCTTTTCGTGAAAACAACCCAGATCTCGGCAGATCCTCGCAGGTAATGGTGAAAGATTCCCAGCAGACGCCCTATCAATCTCCAAAGCCGGATGGGCGATCATCCAAACCACCTTCCCAGCGCTACGATAATTCTGCCGATCAAATGTCTGACGTGGAACAAACTACGCCTGTGCGCTCGTGTCTTCAATCATCACCACCCAGTTCTCGAGAGGAGGAAGGTCCTGGGTCCCAACACAATGAAAACATGGAAATGGACACGGAAGTCGTGATCCAGGCTACTTCCTCGAATGAGATCAGACGTGTTCAGTCAAGCAACCCTTCAGATCGGGAAGCTCCCGGATCACTTCCCCACGGGACGGAAACGGGACTGGAGACTAAATCCTCTTCAATGCCCTCTCGTGTTACAGAGACTCCTGTGCATCTACGACCACAAATGAGCGATATGGCTCGCATGACGAGCATTCCCGAGACCAGTCCCAACCAGACTCGGCCTAACGAATGGGAGGGCGAATCCAACGGAGATGGTCTCAATAATGAAGATGACGATCTACCTCCCATGTTCGCCGTTAAGAGCGTCAACCGACGCTCACGACCTGGGCCCTCTCAAACGCAGTCTTCCCCGATCAAAATGATACAGGCACAAGAAGTGCAGTCTCAAATCCTCTCTAGTCCCAGTGGAAGGCAGCGCCGGGCGTTGACCGCTATCGCCGCCAGCGCCTCGCCCCAAGTCGACCACAAAGTAGACTGGGGTCTCGATTTCTTCACAGCCGAGGATGAGGAATTTAATGCTCTTGTTATTGATGGGTCCCCCACTCGCCCGAGAAAGAGACGCCGAGGAAATCTGGGCCAAAGCCTTCGACCGTCAGATATTGTTCTTCCAACTACTCCTCGCGCGCAGCCGCCCAAGACAGTAGCTCCCAGTCAACCGCAGTCGAGTGCTGAGAAAATTCCGCCAAACTCACAGGAAATGCTGGCAGTTCAGGTTCCAGTCACCAGAATTGGTAGACAGCTTGAGTTCTCCTCGCAGTCCTCTTCACGCTCCGCTTCGAGACCGGCTGCACGATCCACTTCACGACCAGCTGCGCGATCCACTTCACGACCGGCTGCACGATCCACATCGCGACCGGCTGCACGATCTACATCACGACCGGCTGCACGATCTACATCACGGCCTGCCTCGGGATCTGCTCCACGGCCGACCTCACGAGCCTCGTCTCGACCTGCTTCGCGAGCTTCGTCACGACCTCCTTCTAGGAGGCGCGAAAATGTCTGGGAAGTCGAGAGTCCGCAGCGGGTTGTTCGCCAGAGGTCCAGGTCTAGACACGGTAGACTGGTGACTTCGCGAGACCCTCCGCCACAGCGTGTTCCTGTCAAATTCCCAGATGAGAAGCCGCCTGCACGCCCAGTGGTTGTGCATAACCCCCAGCCGTCTCTATCATCTGAGCTTACCGATGTTGAGGTACTTTGCGATATTTCAATGCTATCAACAAGCAATATCACCAAGAGTCCTTCAATTACACCTCAGCCGTACTGCACCGCCCCGGGCCCTGCCTCTGACGACCCGGAGATTCGTGCACCGAACCAAGTTATTGCTGTATGGCAGGGCCAAAAGCGGGCCTATTACCCTGCGACCTGTTTTGGTGCTCCTATTGGAGTGTCCCAGGGCAAATATTCCGTGCAGTTCGATGGTAGTCTCCCCGTTGAAGTGATTAAAGGTGCTGTTAAGCGGCTTGAGCTTCGGGTCGGCGATGAAGTCAAGGTCGATATGCCTGATTTCCCGAAACTGGCGCATGTTATTCGTGGATTTAGTGATCGTCTTACTCGGGAAGAGATTCTTTGTGCTGAAGAAAACGGCATCTATCCACAGACTGATATATATGGGTATACTGCATTGATGCTTGCGTCGAAGCAACGCAAGAGTCTGCCAAATGGTTCATTCAATGCGCCAGAGACCGTGACCAAGGTGCCGATTTCCCGAATTTACATGGACACCATCTTGTGGAATCGGTTCAAAGACAGGGATTTTACGCACAAGCCAGAGACAACGCCACAGGAGAGCACGTTCCGTGCTTCGTCTATGAGATCCTCCTTGCCAACATCTCCGAATTCTCGCCTTAACCGCGGTATCTACGAATCTAGTGGGATCTTCACCAACATGGCTTTTGCTGTTTCCTACAAGGAGGATGAAGTTTCGAAGAACCGGATCACGAGACTCATCCGGGACTATGGTGGTGTGTTGTTGAATGACGGCTTTACGGAGCTATTTGAAACCGCCTCCGACGAAACACCCAAGAAGGGCGGTGCGAGCAATGGAGTAGCAACGATCAATAGCCTCTCTCTCAACTCGGACGCATCGGAGATTGGGTTCACATGTTTGATTGCTGATACACACTCTCGGCGCGAGAAATACATGCAGGCATTGGCCCTGAACATTCCGTGTCTGTCTGGTCGTTGGATTGAAGATTGTGTTGCTAAAGGTCGCGTCCTTGACTGGGATATCTACCTCTTGCCAGCCGGAGAGTCTAAATACCTCAACGGGGCTACGAGATCACGAATGATGACTCCAACCCCACCCATGGAGGCTCGCTTGTCGGATACTATCTCCTCACGACCAAGATTACTCGATGGAAAATCCGTGCTCATCGTCATGGGTCGTGGAAAGGCAGAGGAAAGGCGCAAGGCTTATGTCTTCCTCACTCTCGCCTTAGCTGCCTCGCGTGTAGAGCGGGTACCGGACCTTGAGACAGCTAAGGCCCTCCTGGACTCCCAGTCTGGAGCTTCCCCCTCGCCTTGCAGCTGGGACTTTATCTACGTGGATGATGCAGACCAGACTGCTGCAAGATCTATGTTGGCTTCTTCCAAAGCACAGAGCACTGCTCCGGTAAATCCGAGGAAGCGGAGGAGATCGACCGTGACTATGTCGAGGCCTAATCTGGCAACTCTAATTGAGCCACAGGTCGTGGGCAGCGAGTTTGTCTGCCAGAGCTTGATCCTGGGACGACTTTACGAAGGGTGATAGCTATTTTCACATTTTCATCTAAATACCAATTTCATTGAAAGTACCATTGCTGTTGTCCCTCGGTTAGTAAGAACAGTAAAAGGCAGGAATACGTTTTGTAGCTGCATAATATGCCTCTCTCTACTGGATTAATAACCTTCAGAATAGTCTGCAGAATTAGGTCTACTATACTTGTCTTGATGATGAAGGGGGTGCCTTGATGCTTTTCTGCAGCAGAAGCCCCTTCACTGGGTTGAGGCGATGAGCATGCCAGGATGCTTGTTCCAAGGTATAACAGCAACCCTGAAGCTTGATAGCTTATTCCGGGCCAGTAATTCTCTGTCTACCTAGTGGGTCACCATCTCTAACTACCAGGCCATTTTAAGAACCAACACGAGCCAAACTCGCTTCTAGATTGAGTTCGAGATCCCTTGCGCCTGATCGCGGGGCTCCAGGCCTCGTCCATGAACATAGCCCGCTTCAATATCGGAGTCAAGTCCTTTAGACACGTAAAATCTCATAATTCGTTCACTAATACCTAGGCTTTCTGTTATCTGTGCATCTGTTTCACTACTCCTTTGCCACACATCGCCATCAGAGACTAGGCTTTTCATCAAGTTGGACAGCTCTCTTCGACAAGGTAGCCCTGCGCTCAAAATACACATCCATATCCGTCTGTCTTACCACCCAAAAGTTCTCCAAAGTCCACTCTCGATCCGGATGGACCAGCCGTATCTGCAGAGCCCAGGTCAGCAGAAATTCCGTGATCGATGTATGTAAACTACATACCTCAAACTCCCGCAGAAGCTGTGGAACAAGCTTATACATCTCCACCAGCGCGATATGCTTCCCCAGACAGGATCTGTGTCCGGTACCAAACTGTCCAAATCATAAGCAGGAGAAGGTCAGTCAACAGCCACCAAACCTGGGCCAGAGTGACGGATCCGGATATTCTCACCTGCAAATTTCCCCGTTCCATCTTGCTACGTTGCTCACTATCCCCCAGCCACCGCTCGGGGTTCCAGTCGGCCGCGTCCGCACCGTAGAACTGGCGGTCGTGGCCGGCGGTCCACGCATTCACGCCGACGATCGTTCCACCGGGGAGATAGTAGCCGTCGATTTCGAGTCCGGTGGATGGCACGACCCGCTCCAGCGGCAGGCCGACGGCAGGATGAATGCGGCCGGCTTCCTTGATGCATGCATCCAGATAGGCAAGCGAGGTGCTCTCCTTGTATGTGATGATGGGCGACAGACGGCCCTCCGCCTCGGCCGTGTCGATTTCTTCGACCACGCGCCGCAGAGAGTCCGGGTTGCGGAGGAGATAATAGAAGATTGCCCGCAGGTAGATGGCGGTTGTGTCGCTTCCGGCTAGCATGTTGGAGATCGTCCACGATTGGAGGTACCTGGAGCAGATGGGTTAGTTGTTGACGGTAGTTCGGTTCTGGGTGTGCGGGCTGACTGACCACTCCGGAATATCGGTCTTCTTGGCCCTCACGTCAAGAAAGCTAGAGAGAAAGTCCTTCTTTGATTTGACCCGATTGTTTTCCAGATCGGGCGCAGATTTTTCTTTTTCCAGCTCTTCAATCCTCTTACCCGTACGACTCATGGCGAACGCCGCGATGGGAGAGGACTTGGCAGGCAGAAGCGAATGGACGAGTGAGCTCTTATCCCAGAATTTGTCAAGCCATGGCATCTGTCCGACCTGTTGGAAAGCCATACCAGGATGAGTGAGTGTTTTCTAAGCACTAGCAGCGAACCAGACGGATCAATTTGTCAACTCACTATAGAGAAATACTTGAAGCGATTCCAGATTCCCTCCATTACGCCTTCGATATCCTCCCCTTTCTCCATGAACCCGACTCGGCTAGAGAACGTCACGTAACTAATCACATCAAAGGCATAGAATTGGAGCCAGTCACTGAAGACACAGGGCTTGCGCGGTATGACAAATCTTGCATTCAGCTGGGCGACCATCAGACGGATGGTCTCATCGACAAGAGGCTCGTAGGCCAGGACATTGGTCATGGAGTAGAGATTCGCGATAGGCTTCTTCATACTGCGATGCACGTTCTCGTCCGTCGTGGCGAAGATCCCCTGCACAAGCTTGCCATTGCTGTAGGGGAAGTTCACGGGGTAGAAGTGAGACTAAACAATTTTTGTTTCGGAATATTAGTACGGCAACCCTTCTCTACATGGACTGGTCCATACCTTAGGTAGGTTGGCTGAGATGCCATAGATCTTCTGGATGGCTTCGGGGTTGCTGACGGAGACCGCGTTGGGACCGATGCGAACCACAGTGCCGTACTTCCTATGGAGATGAATGTCGTGAGTATGGGCACGGCCTACCACCACGCGGCCGAGTCGATACAGATTCGATAGTCCGGCCGCCCACGGCCCGGGGACATGGTTGAGCCCCCGTCGGTACCTGTTGGTATAGAACACATAGATAAGCGTCACGGCACCGACAATGAACAGAATGGGCACGAGCCCGGAGTTGACGACCCGGAAGGACTGAGATTCTCCCGTCATGTTGCAGTGATTTCTGGACTCGGAAGACTTCTCATGCCCTCAATCGGGCTTTCTATGGCTCTTTAAAAGCTTCATGCTGACCCCGTGGCGCCCTCGGCGCTCTTCACGCCTTTCCGCGTTGCAGTGAAGTAAGCACGCAACACTCCGACCATCAGCAAAGTTGACCCTTGATCTTGCCGAACTATCTCGTATTCCTCCTTCACGATGATAAGCACTTGAGGCTGTTAGTCGCCCAAAACTCACCACTCATGGCCAAGTATAGTACGATTTGCCACGTACGGAAGTCAAATTGGACGAATGTATTCCTCCTATTGGTCGAGTCCGCTCTCGTCAGTCCCATCACGAAATCACAAATCCCATCACGGAGAGTGCAGGCATCATTTCGGCCGGGGTGGAATGGGAGAGGGTTGGTGAGAACAGCTTCGCTCCCGGCGTCTTCTCGGTGCGCACGGGCCTCTGCAGACCCTCGAGAAGTTTAGTCTTGCATACTCTAGATCATGCAGCCATCGAGCACATGGGTTCTGCAGGGTGTCATCCCTGCTGCTGCGGTGCAGCAGCCGCGGAGATATTACCAGTACGGGACATGGTGTTGCAGTAACTACCGAGTATCGGTGCTGATGGAACGAATTAGGGCTGCGGTTGAAGACATTACCCGATGGGGCAAGTTCATTGCCGAATGGAGTAATCTTCGGCCAGCGCCTCCGGATGCCAACAAAGGGACGCCCACTAGGCCAAACGGAGTAATTTGAAGCAATTCGGGTCCCTCATTGTCATTGCAAGATGTGGGAGAGAATCGCTGACAAACATGACCAGGTTGGCCTTTGGCCGGCGAGGGTCCGTCGCAATGCAAACGACAAGCATGCCTTCTCTCCTTAAAAAGTCCCGCCAGAACTTCAGATTCCTCCTCTATCTGCAGCGTTTGAGTCCTCAATTCCTCGGTCTTTGCTGATACATTGTTGTGGGCGATTGCTGGCAACTGGCAAAGTATAAAGACGGCTTCCACCAGGCGCCGTTTCGAGTTCACAGACACGTCGTCAACCGCAATCATGAGCTCACACTCCGATCTTGAAAAGGCATCCCTTGAAGTTGGGGAGCGTGGGTCAGAAGGAGTGATACAGGCGCCTCCAAGTGCTCCGGTGGCGCCCGCCGTCGGCCCACCCCCCAATGGAGGCCTCAAGGCTTGGTCTCAGGTAGTGGGAGCATTTTTCCTGATGGTCAACACCTGGTAAGTGAGAAATCTTGTCGCGGTCGTCTCGGACCTCGTTCCTCGTGGCTGACCCTCCATTTCCTCCTCGCAGGGGTATGATCAATGCCTTTGGTGTCTTCCAGACGTACTACAAGGAGACCTTGATCCCCGGCCATTCTCCGTCGGATATCTCGTGGATCGGGTCTATCCAAGGATTTCTGATGCTGATTATTGCCGTGGTCTGTGGCTGGGCCCTAGACGCTGGTTACTTCTACCTGCTCTCAGCCTGTGGTCTATTCTTCCAGGTACTCGGGATGATGATGACATCCCTGAGCACGGAGTACTATCAATTGGTCCTCTCCCAGGGCATCTGCATTGGCATTGGTTCTGGCTGCCTGCTGGTCTCGGCCTTTACCATTGTTGGAACCTACTTCTCGACCAGGCGCTCCTATGCCATGGGTTGGACGGCCACCGGAAGTGCCATCGGTAAGTGCACTCTCCATCCCATTAGCTCTGGAGGCAATTAGGTCTGACACAAGATTCGCCAGGTGGTATCATCTACCCCATCGTCATCCGCCGCTTAATCTTAGAAGTCGGGTTTCCATGGGCTGCGAGGGCAATGGGCTTCATCATGCTGGGCGTTCTCCTCATCTCGATTGCCCTTCTGAAGCCCCGCATGCCACCTAAGAAGCTAGGGCCGTTGATCGACCTCAAGTCCCTGACGGATACGCCGTATGCCTTTTTCCTGGCCTGTATGTGTTTCGTGTGTCCAGTGATCCGGGAGCCCCCCTGTAAAGCTAATCATCCTCACCTTTAGCCATGTTTTTCACGTACATCGGCCTGTATATCCCCTTCTTCTACATCACGGATTATGCGCTCAGCATTGGTATCGAAGAGAACATGTCCTTCTACAACCTCATCATCATGTGCGCAGGAAGTATTCCAGGTCGTCTCCTCCCACCCTATTTCGCCGATAAGTATGTCATGCGCTGTTTCTCGTTTGGAGACGTTGTTATTCGTCGGAAACTAATGGGCACGATAGGATCGGAAATGTTAACGTGATGCTTCCTTCAACCTTAATATGCGCGGTTCTGCTCTTCTGCTGGATCGCTGTCAAGTCGCTCGCCGGCCTGATCGTGATCTCCATCCTCTTCGGCTTCTTCAGTGGCGCTGCGCAGGCACTGATTCCGTCGGTCGTTGTCTGGCTGGCCCCGGATCTGTCGAAGGCGGGCGTTCGCATCGGAATGACGCTGTGCGCGTGCGGCTTGGGACTGCTGGTTGGATCGCCCATTGGCGGAGCTATCATCTCTGCGCAGTCGACGGCCGACCATTCGGTCTACTGGGGATTATTTCTGTGGGGAGGCATTACGGTTCTGCTCGGCGCTGCGGCATTGATGATTACTAGGACGCTTAAAGTCGGGCTTCAGGTGGTCGTAAAAGCTTGATTTGGTGTGATATGGTATTCAGGCTCGCGAGGAGCGATAGATATGCCTTCGTGCCAATGCAGATATCCAGGATCGGATTCCGAAGGGCAGGAGGGGCAGGGCATTTATGTAATGTATTTACATCCTCTGACCAGAAATCATGAGAGGCCAATCAAAGGATAGGTTAGATTGCATCATCATAGGTGAGGAAGAGTCGTTCTCATCACAAGACGGCAGGGGGTTGGTTGGTTATGGCGGATTACCAACGTCTAGTAGTTGCCGAGAAAACCAACCACTAAGTAACAAGGATGTTATATAAGGGTGCTCCGCCTCCCTCGATTCTAAAAATCTCATTCTGATCCTTAGTTCTTTGCATCACCATCCAATTTCTAATTATGCCCCCCTTCAAAGTCGTCACCTCGAAGTCCTACTCCCAAGGGGCCGCCCGACAGCACCGTAAAAAGAGTGGTCACAATGCGACCTCTTGTGTCCCATGTCGCACGGCGAAATTGCGCTGCGACCGCGGGAAACCATGCCAAGAATGTGCGTCTAAAGCGCGCGAGCTGTCGTGCCAGTATGAGGACAAATCAACTAGTCGGCTGGAGCAGCGGCCAGTGCCACTGGCTGCAGCTGCGTGTTCCGTAACCAGAGACTCGGTGATTGTTCCGCGCATCGGCGGGGAGTACGATCACCATTACTCCGTTCCCCGGTGGGAGCCGCAAGATAAGGGACTCTCCAGCGATACACGTGGGTTCCTCGTCTCGGACAAGTCCCAGACTCATACTACTAGCGGGCGGTATTTTGGCAGTACGCACTGGGCCATCTTTGTCGCCGAGGTAACTCCACACCAACGAGACCCACCGTGACGGCGGCAAGTGATCGAGACTGACAGACGGGCAGTTCCCTGAGATTCGCCGATTCCTGGAGAAGGATCCCATCTTCGAGGAGAGCTGGCGGCTCCTCGCCCAAATCCGCCAGCTCTATCCCGGGCCTGGGCTGCCCATGGATCGATGGCCCCACGGAAGCCAGCAGAGTATGCTGCGGTATCTGCACGAAGCCCAGCCCTCAGAAGCAGTCTCGAATATCCTCATCCACGGGTATTGGAGCACAGTGGGCCAGATGATGCCCGTAGTTCCTCGAGCGCAGTGGTTCGAACAATATCACCAGTTCCACGCGGAGGGGCGGTCTAGCGATCTTCACTGGCTGCTGAAGACTACCGCAATCCACGGGCTCGGGTTTATCAACGACGTCTCAGATGATGGACTCGGCCTCACGCTTGCCGCCCGGCAGCAGAATGGCCGGTGTCTTGCGAAGATCGTGGAGAGGATCGTCTTCACACACCCCTCCCTCCGGAAGCCGAGTATCGACGTTCTCGAGATCTTTCTTCTGCTGCTGATGTTCAAGAACTCGATGAGCGAGGTCGACGGGCCGGACGGCATCTGCGCCATCCTCGGGATGCTGCAGAAACTGGCATTCACGCTGGGGCTTCACCGTGAGCTCGGTAAGACCGCGGGCTTGTCGCCTGGGCAAGTGCAGAGACGTCGTGAGATCTGGGCGATGGTCCGCATCCTGGACCACGAGTACTCGATCCACAGCGGACTACCGCACACCATCCGCCAAGACCAGTGTAACAGTGAGCCCCCAAGCCGAGACCACCACCTTGACCATACCACCACACGGGAAGAAGAGTTCAGCCTGGCGTGGTTCTCCTCGTACGCCAAACTGACAGCCCAAGCGGCCGAGCTCGAGCAGCGGTCCTACTGCCTCAACCTGGCCATTTCGTCCACCGAGCTGCAAGGCTACTGTGTGCGGCTCTCCGGGGAGATGCAAGGCTTCAAGTCCCTGCTCGATCACGAGGTATCAAATCTGACGAATCTGTGGGTCTCCAGCGGCATGTCCCCGATGCTGGCGTTCTACCACCTCCTGCTACACGTCCTTCGACACCGTACCACCATGCTTCTGTACCAGCCGCTGTTGAACGACCAGCCGCGAATCGCATGGTTTTACTATGTCAAGGCGGCATACGCCATGCTGATCCTGTACCAAGATTTCGCCTCATCGCAGACGCACGCCTCGCCCTCCTGGTGGTACTTTTACCACTCCTTCATCAAGTTCGATATCTACCGTGCCGTAATCGGGCTTTGCTATGCCGTGCATTGCATGGCCCGCGACGAGCTCAAGTGCCTACAGCCCCACGCAGCATTCTCACCCGCACACCCGCCACAGTCCCCGGCCCCCGTCCACGTCCACTTGCCCCGTGAGATCTCGTCCCGGCCATCGACAGCGCTCCAAAGACCCAGTAAACTTAGCAGCGAGCTAGCGCCTGACATTGAGGCCATGCTGTGTGCGGTTGAGGACACGCGACAGCTGTGGGCGCACAACATCCACGTCGGCATCAACCACGTCAAAGCCTTCCAGCTCCTCAGCATGATCATTGCGTGCACCAAGGCCGAGCTAGCCGGCGATGACACATTCACGGTCGCACAGTCCGAGGCGCAAGCATGTCTGTCCCTGGCTAAGGCACGGGTAGAGGAGAATCTGCACGAGCAGCGCACCCAGACGCAGCGGGATTGCGGGCCACCGGAGACGGTGGGCGAAGATACGTTAGGCGGCGAGGGGGTGCTGGAAATCTCGAGCACGCTGGGCGTTAGTTCACATGAAAATTCCAGTCTTATTTTTGCAGAGGCAGATGCTGATACGGGTGCGATGGGCGGGGCTGAGTGGTTTTATGCCGCAGCGTATGAGCAGCCGGTTGATTGGGTATGTTGTCTCTTCACCTCGGGTTCCTGCGTTGCTCGTTATCGGGGCTATGTGAGCTAATAGACGCGCTTAGGATTGGTTTGATCAGCTGGTGGATGTCAGCTGAATTGTAGATTTGGCTATTGAGCATGGCGGGCTGGTTGGTCGCTGCTTTGTTCGACTCCCCACGACCAGGAAAGTCGGGCGAGGCCCAGCCCTACTCAATGCTATTGAAAGAAATTTCAACCTTTCTAGGAGGCGTAAGTAGGAAAATGATGATTTTGATATTCTATATCGTCAAGTACTAATTGAGCCATGGCAGTGGGGCCAGGGAAGATATTCCCAGGGTTTACTGATCAAAGCGATTTCGAGAATACATGTACAATCATACAAGCTCACAGAACCTCTCTGCGCCCGAGATGATCATCTCCCACCACAAACGCAAAGATCAAGCAAGTCTAGCGACACAATCAAAGCAAAGTCTAGCTTCGTGGTCTTCAAACAGAGAGCTGAACAAAAAGTATCGTCATACCCGGGTTATGGCTTGACAGGGCGCTTGGGATAGAATTCTTGCCGGCAACTCACTATTTATAGGGGCTAATTATCGCAGAAGTCACATGTATAGAAAGTTATCCCTAAGCGTGGCCTGTTCCTTAAGCAAAATGGTTTGGGTAGCGGTGTAGTCAAAACTTTGGATTGCAATCGTGACGTGGGTTGGAGTCAACAGTGGCAGAGTAACTCCATTGCAGACCCAACACGCAGAGTTGTCCTTCGTCGGGATCCCAGCTCCGCATAATCAGAAAAAGTCCTAACTCCCCAATAACTACCCAATATTCGGCCTCACAAATTATCAAACTCTAGACTAGCTAAGAGAATCATTCGAACCAAAAGAGATCCTTATATCCGAATACGAATCCGAATCCGAGGCCGCGTCGCGATCGACAGGGACCTCGGGTTCTTATTCGGGTTCGGGTTGTCCTTCTTCCAGGCCACTGTAGATCTGCAAGATTACTGTATCACATCTTTGACATATCCACTGCGTCATTCTAGAGTTTTTCCATCCATGTTCTGGAATAATCAATTCTCACTTTTCGAAGGCAACTACATTTGTTGTGGCTCTCTTCCCAATTTTAGTCGTCATCCTTCTGGCACAGGGCTGAGCAAGACCCGTCTCGCATCCCGAGAATGATCGGAGTTTCAGATGCCACAGACCAGAATACACCTTAGACACAATCGGCTGCTGATGGTTACCAGGGACGATATGATGATCAGCGCTGTGAACATCCGAATACGATCCGGACCGCCCCTAGGAGGATGTTCTACTTCATACAAATATGATGGCCAAGAATTGCCTGGATCTGTGTTCGAGGAGAAGGGACTGAAAGATTGGTCACAATTGCAAGCTTCGAATTCTATCCGTGACAATTGAACAAGTATGAAAGGTCTTGCTAAACTTTCCATATCGGCTTTGGTCCTCGCAAAGAGCGATATCGCAATTGCTCAAGTTGGGTCTGCGGTGACTACTCCTCTGGGCTCATTTGAGTCCACCAAAGGAGCTGCATGTGCTTGTTCGAAGCTCTCTCAGATTTATTCGGAAATTATCAACCCTAGCGGTGCAAACTATACGGCCCAAGCTGCAGATGCCTATTGGGACATTCGAGCCAATCTTTCGCCCGCTTGCATATTATTGCCAAGTTCTGCGGATGAGATTTCCAATGCTCTGGAAATCTTCCAAGCCTGTGATGCGCAGTTTGCAGTTCGTGGTGGCGGTCATATGAATGTGAGTATCTAGGCAAAATGGGATCGGTTACTAGACGGTTAAATAATATTCGGCCAGTATCCAGGATCAAACAACATCGACGGTGGCGTTTTGATGGCCCTTGAGAAGTTTGACAAAGTCAAAGTGAACGCCGAATCTGTTGAAGTCGGTCCGGGCCTGACTTGGTACGATGTCTACGAAGCCCTCGAGCCTTACGGTCGTGCTGCCATTGGCGGACGTTTGAAAACAATTGGTGTCCCTGGTCTGAGTCTCATTGGAGGATTTCACTACTTCAATAACAAGTACGGCTACACAATGGACAATGTCCTCAGTTACGATGTCATCCTTGGAAATGGAACACAGGTCGTGGCCAACAAATCGTCACACCCTGACCTATTCTGGGCTCTGAAGGGAGGAGCTAACAACTACGGAATCGTCACCAAATTTACCTTGAAGACCTACGCGATTCCCAAAGTCAGCACAACGATTCAGGTCATCAACGAGAGCGGTATTCCAGACTTCCTGACCGCTGTCTGCAACATTGTAAAGCTTGATGAGAGTGATCCTATCGCAGCCGGTATGGTTGCAACTGTGCAGTACAATGCCACGACAAAAGTTGTCTCGGCTTCGTTGCTCGGGGTCCAGGAAGGTATTAGCAAGCCTCCATCGCAATTCGCGAACTTCTCCGCAATCCCTGCCACTACTCGCATTAATAATGTTACGACAATGAGACAGTGGGCGTCCAGTCTAGACACCCCAAAGCAAATGTTCCGGTCAGTCATTGTATATTTCTCCTACTCCTCGAACGAACTTTGACTTTTAACACTTCATATAGTGTGATGTTCTCTCACAAGACCATGAAACCAGATCAAGACGTTCTCATCTCCATTTACAGGGCATGGAAAGATGCCGTTGATGAAATTGCAGACATCGAGGGCCTTTACCCAACCTTCGTAACGAACGTGGCCCCCGCAAGTGCAGCACGGGTTGCCCTTACCAACGGCGTTGGCAATGTCTGGGGACTGGAAGCAGAGCCTTATATTCGTATGTTCGGCATGAAACAACCAAATGAAGATACCAGCTAACCCAGAATGTAGTATGGCAATTTAGCACGGGATGGGCCCTGGCGCAAGATGATCTTCGAATCGAGGGTTGGTCACGCCAATTGATTGAACGGCTCAACGCGATCAACGTTGAGAAAGCACTAGCTTCCGACTTTATCTATATGGGCGATGCAGGTGAATGGCAAGATCCCTTTGCAGGCTTCCCTGCTGAGAATGTTGCGCGGATGAGGAAGATTAAGTCCTTGTATGATCCTCTTGGCGTTTTCTCTAGGCTCAATTGGGGAGGGTTCAAGCTGGGCGTATAGCGGAAGCGAGATGGGGCAATGCTCTAGGCTCAATAATTAGCGGGTGATTAGAATAGAACCTGGCAAATTCTGTTAGTTGTGGAATGGCACGCGATTCGATGCGTATCTGTAGCTCAAGCCAGGTTATGGACGAACCGACATAATGCATAGCCACATAATCGATCGTTGCAGAAGAACCAGCGACAAGACAATATAGACTCTTAGGTATAGCAGGACCCTTGATTTGGATCTATATGTATTCCTTTTCCCTACTTTGCTTTCCAAAATGCAGGGTGGAGAAGTGTAGACCATATTTTGTATGGATCTTGACGCTGGCTGGCACTAGCCGACCCACAGAACAACCTCAGCCCCTCAGCGTTCCAGAATAAATTTCAGCCTGTTCTGCATCTCGCTACCCTGGTTTTTTTGGAGGCTAAGGAATTTGTGATAATAAGCTTCGCCCCAAATATTAATAGCACGCCGTTTCTCTAACCAGCTCGTCCTGGAGGCACCAGTCGGAAAAACTCATTATCCTCCGGGGATCGACCACCGGCGTGCGGATTTATTCATGTTTATCCCACTGACATCTTCCATTGCGAGGTCAAACCTCAGACTCAGGGGACCATAAGAGAAATGGTTTGATTTCACCATGGGACCCCGGCGAACACACACCAAGTCCCGAACGGGGTGTCAGTCGTGCAAGTTACGCAAAGTAAAGGTTGGCCGCCCCTTCCATCATTGGCACCTCGCAGCCAGCTAATCTAGGACTTGAACCGAATCAAAGTGCGATGAGGCAAAGCCAAATTGCCAGAACTGCATTCGCCACGCAGTTGAGTGTAATTACAATGCTCCACCTACTGCTGCAAGCACTCCAACTCCGGGCACTCATACTGGATTTAGCCCCTTTGTTAGCGAGGCTGCCAGACTGAATTCTGATGCCAATGCGCCGTCCATGGGCATGGCGGAAATGGCCTTGCTGCATCACTGGAGCACCTCAACTTGCTATACGATCTCACGGCACCCTGTCCTACAAACTGTTTGGCAAACTACCGTGCCCACATTTGGCTTCTCCTACCATTTTGTTTTCCGCGGGATTCTGGCGTTGGCGGCGTTACATCTAGCCCATCTGAAACCCGAACTTCAGGACCAGTACGTCGATGCGGCTGAATTTCACCACAATCTAGCCCTGCAGATGGTCTCAGGCACCATCCCTCAAATCAATGAGGAGAATGGACCCGCGATTTATCTCTTTTCCACGATCACTTGTATCATTGGCTGTGCTCTGCCTCGGAGACGTGATGATTTGTGGGTCAGTAACGATCGAATCTTTCAATGGCTATCGTTATTTCGAGGTACGGTTTCCATTATTGCCTCTGTGAACGAATCACTCAAATCTGGTCCTCTTGCACCCATGTTCACTTTGGGACGACGAAGAGGCCTTGCTTGGGAGGCCAGGTCAACCTCCAACCAGGCATTCCTCGTCAACCTACGGCGACTCATAGAAGAGGCAGTTGAGGACCCGACCGAGTTGAAGTGCTATACGGATGCCATTGATGATCTGGGGAAATCCTTTGCGACAATTCTGGAGGTCGGTTCCCCGAATTGCGAGACGGCGGATATTTTCATCTGGCTACTCCGCATTACAGACCGGTTCTTGAGCCAATTACAACAGCGAACGCCGGAAGCTTTGGTGATCTTTGGCTACTATTGTGTTATTCTCAAGGAACTTGAGTCGACTTGGTGGATGCAAGGCTTCAGCATCCACATAATTAAGGCGATACATCACCATTTGGACGAGGAGCATCGCTGCTGGCTGCAGTGGCCTATGCAACAGCTCGGCTGGGTACCTTGATCAAATCTCTTCTCTTCTGGGAGAAGGTATGGATGATCAATCCACAATTATTTTCCTGCCCATGCTGGTTCGCCATTATCCGATATCTTTAACTTTGAAATGCGAAGATAACCGATCTCGACCATTGGTCTGGACAGTTTGGACTCAGGGATCCAGAAATGATCCCGTGGAAAGTTTGAGAAGCCGCCGTGGCATTCTGCTCTGGGTCGTTGTGGCATCTGTGGAGTGGCACGCAACCGGGCAGTTCATTTTACAATGTCAAACGCCTTTTATGAGTGGCTGCTGCCGCCTTCTCAACTCGATGAAGTCAGGGATGACTGCCCAGGTTTGCAGCAGAATTGGAGGCATAGCTCAGGGCTCTCTGATGACAAGTGATTCGATGCCTTCAGGGATTATAGGCCACTGGTCACCATCACAACCCACCACCGCGGTTTGAATAATTTTTGAAGCTTTGCAGTTATCAAGTATCAATGCTACGAAAGGTTCACACAGGGAAAATACTCAATAGTTAACTCTGAGGGAGATCTAACTCAAGACATGCAACGCCATATAAGAAGAGATTTGAAAATCCATCGCAGACTCTCGAGTGATCTACACTCCGTCATTTCTGAACCAACATAGCTTCGTAAGCACCGACCAAATCTTTCCTGCCTTGTGCCTTCTCCTAAATCTTGTCACCCACAACTAAACCCACTTCATTGACCGACTGACCAGCGAGCCTAATATTATTAGTGATATCGGGTCCAGGACTTGTTAATCTTCAAACCTTTGCCAATTCCCAGCCAGATGGGAGCTCAAGGACGGTATAAAGCCTAGTCGCCTGCGAAAAGTCGAGTTTCACACGACAAGATTGGCTGCAACGATAAACTCCAATTGAGCAGAGCCATAAACTGCGTAGGCTCCAAAGTCAGGCCCGTTAACAAGCACTCAGTCTGTTTCTTGCCGTCAGAGAAGACGTGGGTATTTGATAATATCGCATGAAATGGGGAAGAACTGTACGGCCGTATTGTTGAATGTCACAGCTAGCCACGACCGGTAAGCATATCGAGTTCCCATGTGAAAATGAACGCGGCCAACGCGGAGAGAGGTCAGGTATAATACGTAGTCAACGGCCCAGATTGCAGCCGCCATGACGTTTGAAATGTCGGTTGCACCCTCTTCTGCCAATCGCAACCGCAAACAATTAGACGAAGAGACGAATGTAAATCACACGGCCTCTGTTTAAAATTCATGTTTGTCAAGGCGGACTAATCAACGTTGGGGAGCTTGAGCAGTGGAGAAGATAGTTGAAATTGTGTCACATACATGTCAAGAGATATTATGTGAAATCCTCTTTCTATAATACAGAAAAATACAGAACATGAATCCTCAAATCGCTACTAAAACCCAAAATCCATGGCTTAAAACATCATGCACCCTTATTTGGCTTTCTTGGAAGCCTTCTTCTTGCCCTTCAAACTCTTCATCTGTGCAGCCCGCTCGGCACGAGCCTCTCTCTTCCTCCACGCAAGCCATCGGTTGTTGCGATCATATGTCTTGGCGGTAATCCCAGCCTTCTCAGCAGCACGACCGATCACCCAGTTGGCCTCACGGTACATGTAACCAGGACGCAGCTGAGGGCCGGACTCGGCATTCACGGCCTCGACGCTGCCAACCTGAGTACCGTTCTCATCGACGGAGGCGACCATATCGGACTGATAGGAGACGGGCTCAGTGCGTGGGATTGTGACCCTGTTGAGTCTGCGCCGGGTGGGCGCATTCCGGGGGTGTGGAAGCTTTTCCTCCTTCTCGAAGACGACTCCGATGTATCGACGTTCGGGGTGACGCTCTGGGTCCAGGTAATACCGGACGTATCCAGCCTGAGTGGCGTAGATTGTGTGGTCACGTCCCATTGCGCAGTTGTCACCCGGGAACCACTTAGATCCTCGCTGGCGGAAGATGATGCATCCGGGAACGACATATTCACCACCTGACCGCTTGGCACCCAGACGCTTTCCAGCGGGATCGCGGGAGTGTCGATTGGCAGTTCCTTGAGAAGCGTGCGAGGCGAAACGGACTTGTGAGAATGGTAGGAGGGTACGAGGAATGGAGGGCGTAGTCTTCGGGACGGAGAGCGTTGCGGTAAGAGATCGCGGGATAATGAATTGCGGCCGGCAGGCGCTTTGTGCTGAGCGGAGGGAGGGAGCAATAGCCCGTTCCAGCGCCCGCATGGGCGCCAGAAGTCTGGGTTGCAACATTGTTGGCAATTGATGTCGGGTCGAGATGCGGAGGTGAAAGCTACAAGGGGAACTTTTTCTCGGAGGTACATGCTTGGCGTCACGTGCCGGGTCCGTAAACTGGCTTCATCTATAGGCCACCTCCGGACAACTCCCTCAGCTTGCTACTTACTTTGACATCCTTTCATCGTTGAAGCAATTTGCAGCCACAAAATATGATGCGCAATCTTATCTCAAGTCTGTGGGCTCTTTTCTTGCTAGCCGCCGTCGCCCAGGCGCAGTTCCAGTTCTTCGAGCACATGTTTGGCGGCAACCAACAACAACAAGCCCAACACCAGGGGTCTCAGAATGTCCCTAGCGATAGCGGTCGGTACCAGAAGATGTGGGCTCAAGGTGAGTTTCTTCATCTTATAGACTTGGAGCGGGGAACATACTGGCTTGCAATTGTTTGCTGACCTCGAACCTACCTACACAGCACAATGTAGCAACTACCTCTGCCCCGGAACCCTCGCATGCGTCTCCTTCCCACACCATTGCCCATGTGCTCACCCCGATGTTGAAGAAAAGGTCGAGCTAGGAGAGGGCAGCGCGATCTGCGTATCCAAGGGTGGGTACAAGGCTGGCGAGGCGGCCCGGAAGATTGAGCTAGCTCGCAAGGGTCTTCTGTGAAATTGCTGTATGCGTTGTGATTATAAGGTCTACATGAGTATATTCAAGTCACCACTGAGGCTTTTTTATCATCTGATAGTATCCGGAGCTTCTATCAATTCATCTACTTCCCTGGGAGGTGTGGCCACAAGAATCCTGAGGAGGGGGTCTATAGAGGCACATGGAAGCTTTCACCTCTGACAAAAACATCTCGCGCAATATGATCCTGATTATGTCAATATGTCGATCCTCTTTGTGGGCAGGCAATGCGATGGAGATATAGGAATCTATCCGGTGCAGACCATGAGCTACGGGGGACAGAATTGTTTGAGAACGACGTCCAGTTTAGGGAGTCGAGTGTTGGTTCTGGAGCTTGTAACACTAAGATTTAAGTCCAGCACGATTAAGCGTAATAACTTCAAGTAGAGATGAAATTATTTTTTTCAATTGAGCTTGCCCGAATGCAGTGGACCTTAGCCTCTTAAGCCTATGGTGGCGGTAAATCCGCTTAACCCCGCGGGCGACCTCGTCATCACCAGCTTCGACTTTTGACTTTGCACCCGCCACAGTCCACTTACACTAGAAGATTTCGCGTACACTTACCACACCACCCAGCCTTAACAACTTGCTTATAACGAGATGTGGAGCGTGAGGCTTCACTCCTCTCCGCTAGGCGGTCTTGCAATCCGCAGACCTCTTTCGACTCTTCGCGGCAGAAGCACTCGTTTCGGTCCGCGCAGCAGCATAACTAGACCGGGACGCATTCCCCAAGCTCGAAACCCGGATGAGACGCCGCAACAATCAGAGACACCGGTCTCGGAATCCCAAGATACTATCAATGCCAACTATGATCCTTCGCAAAACACCCTCCTCTCACCTGTTTATCTCCCAGAAGACCCCAACGGGGTCCTCAAAGAAACCCATCCTGCGACAAAACTACTGGCCAACTCCGCGCTGGTTGTGCAGCGACAACTGGAGATGATGAACGTCATGATGTGGGTGCTCTCGGGTCAACATCCTCCAAGACTGTAATACTGACCCAATCCTCGCAGTGGTTTCGAGCAAGCGAACAAGTACGTCATCATGGATGCGCAGGGAAATCACATTGGATATATGGCAGAGCAAGAAAAGGGTATGGCCAATGCCATGGCACGCCAATGGTTTCGCACACACCGGAGTTTCGTGACACATGTGTTTGATAAGCATGAGAACGAGGTGCTACGGGTAAGTCAGGCTTCTGGTTAGTATGACGTTCAAACGCTGATCACCACATCTCGAAGTTTAATCGCCCATTCTCATGGATCAATTCTCGGATCCAAGTCTACGACCCCCTCGATACCAATGCCGCCTCGCCCTCATACTCCACATCTCTCCAATCACCGACACCCGGTGCCTTGGTCCAACCCGACGTTTCCTCAAATACGCGTGTCTCCCCGCTGGACTTTGCTCAGATGCGAGTCATTGGTGAAGCGCAACAGCAGTGGGCACCCTTGCGGCGGAAGTATAATCTTTTCACGTATCACCAATCGCCAAATCCTGCGACAGACATGGGCACTCGGAGCTTTCCTCTCGCCGGGTCCGGCTTGTCAGAACAACAGCAGTTGCAGCTCAGCCAGGATTCTCGGCAGGGTCAAGGCGAATTCAACCAATTTGCCTACGTCAACGAGCCTTTCTTGTCCTGGGACTTTTCCCTCCTGTCGGCAGAAAATCAACTGATTGGATCTGTGAATCGCAACTTTGCTGGATTCGCTCGAGAAATCTTTACTGACACGGGTGTGTACGCATTGCGCATGGATTCTGCGGGGGCGGGCACTGAATCATCGGCAAATCAGGGTAACACCACCCCCGGGATGACCCTGGACCAACGAGCAGTGATGCTCGCTACCGCTGTCAGCGTTGATTTCGACTACTTCAGTCGACACAGTGGGTCAGGTGGATTTGGTTTCTTGCCCCTTTGGTTCCCCGGGGTTGGTGGCGAGGCTGCGGCCGGAGGAGCGGCCGCTGGAGAGGCTGCGGGGGCTGTCGGTGGTGCTGCCGCTGGGGGTGCAGCTGCTGGAGAAGCCGGTGCGCTTGGCGAGGTAGCAGCCGGTACGCTCGGGCGAGCAACCGCTGCTGGTGGTATGGCAGATGGTTTAGCTGCGGGCGCAGCGGGCGCTGGCGCCATGGCTGGATATGAAGCCATGCAAAGGGGCATGTCGGGAAACCAGGGGACCGAAGCTCCTGCGCCTGGTCATTCTACCATGCCTCCGCCGGATCAGCAACTCTCGGGGCAGCCTGGCGAGTCCGAAGATGTTTGGGCCGAGGAAAGCCCAGAGGACCCTTGGGGTGAAGACGACTTTGTTGATCCCTGGGGTGATGAAGGTTCTGACGAAGGAGGTGGCAGTGATGATTTTGACTTTTTCTAATAGTCAAAATCCTCATATCTTGTATACTATGATTCCTATGATACCTTGAATAGACCGTCAATATATCTGTATTTCTATAGCGGGACAGCCGACTGCATTACGTCGGGATCGGCCAGTGGGGCGGCCAGCGCTGGAGCCCCCCGCGAATTGCTCTTCGTCTGCAACTTTTCTCCTTTCCCAACATCCCTTTCATTTGCCCACAAACAGGAATCTCCATCTCTACACACTCTGTCTCCCCTGCATTCTGAGGCCTTGATCTACCTCAAGAAATCTATCCCGAGTCTTCGTTCCGAACCAGGGCGGAAACTTCCCGACTCGCCACCCGGCGGAACCTAACCTATCCTCATCGTGTGCCAAATCCAACCTCTCGGACCTCTATCCAGTCTCTTCGCTAGCAATCATGGCTTCGTCGGTCGCTCAGAAACGCCTCTTTCACGAGTACAAGAATCTCTCGACAAACCCGCCCGAGGGTATCACGGCTGGCCCCGTCTCGGAGGATGACATGTTCTATTGGGAAGCTCTGATCGAGGGCCCCGGCGACACTCCCTTCGAGGGTGGTGTGTTTGCAGCCGAGCTCAAGTTCCCCAAGGATTATCCTTTGAGCCCCCCGACTATGAAGTTTGTCGGAGGTGGAGTTTGGCACCCAAACGGTAGGCTGTCCTGCCCCCAAATGACATCGCAGCTTGACCGCACATTCGAAGTTCTCCCACTGAAAATGAACTGACACTTTGTACTGTGATATAGTATACCCCAACGGAACAGTCTGCATCTCGATCCTCCACCCACCTGGTGATGATCCGAACCACTATGAACATGCCTCCGAGCGCTGGTCGCCCATTCAAAGCGTGGAGAAGATTCTCATCTCTGTCATGAGCATGCTCGCTGAACCCAATGATGAGAGTCCCGCCAACGTCGAGGCAGCTAAGATGTGGCGCGAGCGACGTTCCGAGTACGAGCAGAAGGTTCGGGATGAGGTGCGCAAGGGTCTGGGTCTCTGAAATACATCGGATCCGAATGTGCTGGCACGGACGAAGAACACGCTTTGATGATTGGCGCCGGGACATGATTTATTGAGTTTTGCATTTCTTGCCTGGTGATGGCTTTTTCCTGGTTGCACAGCCTGTATGTATATCGAGCATTTGGAAGAGATAATCCATTTATGATTCAACCGATAAGCTGTTCGCTCTATGCTATTCTGTTGAACCCCGACATACTTCTTAAGTCTAGTCTATAACATACAGGCTCCTTCTAGCGGATATCCTGGCCGAAACCCTCGCCCACGTCAGCATCGAAAACGCTCATCACTCCTGGCGGAAGAGTTTCCGATCAATCCACGTCTCGAGCCCGCCATCGCGCTCATAAAGCATTTCAATCTCCGCTTTGATGTTCAAAAATAACATGCGCTGTAACTCCGAACGCCATTCGGGCTCTGGTCCATTATTGGACCACACCGGATTATTGCGAAGCATGGCGAGGACCTTTCTTCGATCACTTGGGGTAAGAGAGAGGACCTCACTGGCACCGGATGATTCGGATGCCAGTATGGCATCTGCGACTTTTAATCCCAACCATGCCATGCCTGGCAGGCTCAGCCTTGCGTTATCGTGAAGATGCGCGATTGACCCATACTTGTATGTTGACATTATGGCTATCCCGTGAGGATCCCCGTCAACCAAGGCATAAAAGCGAGGTGGTCTGGCGTATTTGCTGGAAGCGACTAAGAGTTGGTGTACAAACTCGCGAGTGCTGATATCCGGATATCCCTTGCCCTGGAGAAGCATCCGTTAGATATCTTCTCGGACTGTCGCTGGTCCTCTCTTACTGTTATCAATATTCCGTCGCCCATGATGGCCCGCTTGGAATAGCTGCTTCGCACCAATCGATGGAAAACTGCCTTCGATTGAAAGACAAGTCAGCCAGCACTCACCCTGCGGATTTGAGCTTGAAGTGAACACACGCATACCTCTTTTTCAATGATGAAAATCCACCGAGCACCGGAAATGTCAATCTCGTCACTGCCCTGAATTCTGGGAATGGTGGTGTCCTAGCCGTATCAGAATCGTAGTTAATGGCACTGGGCAGGTTCAAGGGGCTTGCACTCACATGTCTGCCGTTCGCATCCAAAACTATGGACGATTCACGTTTCAGACGAAAGCATCCTGCTACCAAACCTTTGCTGGCTGCTTCCTAGCAATGAATTGCCTTCAGCATTGTCGACTTCATTCGAAGCTCGAGTTGGGCTAAGGCAGACTCACGACATTCAACGCTGCTCGGTCAACGCCAATGGTGAAGGCAAGGTCATCAATGACGCAATTAACTGTCTGTTGCGATTTGAAATATGCTGGGTCGATATAATAAATGTCTCTGAAGGTAGACAGCTGCGATTAGTCCATTACTCTAGCTGCCTTCAATGGGATTCTGGAATATTCAACTCACCTTTTCGAAATCAACTGTCCTGTACGCAGAGTCTGATCAATGATAGCCAATACTCGAAGAATCATCGCTAGGTATCAGGGCTATCAGTACTTCTGCGGTATATCACGCAACGGCAGTCCACATACTGAATTTCCATGACTCGTATGCCGTACGTCCCGGCCAGGAATATGAGCGGTATGCGTTATCATTGCGACCTGCCTCTAGAGCACCATTGCGTGAATTGATCATACATGTTGCTGCACGTGGTTTGCAGCGCAGGGTGATCGATGGCTGTCCTTCGGATGGGAATAGGGACAATTGATTGAGTAGATCGATGAGAACGCTGTCAATATAATTGCGCACCAATTCTTGCTCCTCGTTCGAAACAAAGGCTGTAGCCAGAGACATGGCATTAACAGCCATTCATAGGCAGATGCCAATGCCTATGGATGTAGGCGGAATATATTTGCAAGTTGATGTTGTTGAAGTTAAGTTGGATAACGGGACAACGTGACCTGCCCTCCAGATGCAGTGCTTTATGGCTACGATCTATACTCAATTCACAACACATCAATCGAAGGCATTGACAGCTCAAATTTCTGCTTCTGAGTGTTGTGATTATAGAACCAACCACGGAGATGGGCCATTTGACTTGTTCGAGCTAGCATTCCTCAGCAAAGTCAGTGCTAGCAATATCCGCTGTATACCTAAGCTTCTAACGGTTCGATTTTTTCGATATTGTTTCCCTAGATAAATCAAAGGTAATGCAAAATGGCATTCTTCTGGCCTTTTAGCTATGAGATCCTCTCTGAGGCTCGAGCTGCTGACTTGTACGGATGTTGAACGTCCCTTAAATGCCACCCAAAAATAATGCTCTGATCAACAAGTGATATACAAATGCCGGCTAAAGTCCCCGCACACTAAAGCGCGGACCTAGGCCTCTTTCTCGCGGGTTACCCAGTCCGTTTGCTTGCTTTGGTACCAACTCGAAAACGCAGGTCAGACCCTAGTCGTGTGCCCTTTCGCTGAGTCCTAGGATAGACTTGTCTAGTCAGGTTGGCATCACGCAACAAACATTCGTTCTCCGGCAATTTTTAAGTTGCATTTGTCTTGATTCCTATCAATTGTATTCATTAAAGGTTTTCTTTTTCTATAGAACAACAATTATCACATGTAGTTGCGACTCCTTGTTCTTGGTTGTACACGGCAGTCTTGAGACTGCTGAGTCAGCTACCCCAGGCCCCCGAGATGTTTATCCGCTTTATCGCCAATCGATAGAGCTCCTACTTTCAACATCTTCAATTTCTTGATTGACGGAGCCGTCCAGACAATGGCTTCACACATTGGTCCTTGGAGGAGCCCTGCTCAGGGCCACCTGAGTACTGACAGTAATGGCGACTCCAAGACTGACTATACTCGCTGGCGATTGGTCAATGAGGAGGGTCGGCAGACCTGGCGGTATCTGGAAACCGACGAGGAGAACGAGGCTTGGCCACAAACAGTGGCAGATAAATACAACCTTGGGTTACCCACTGTGAGTGATTACATTTGCTTCTGTCTCTTTCTCAATTTTAACACTCTATGATTCAGGGTCTGCCCGAGCTGTCTGAAGCCAAGACACCTCTCCAGGCTGCCGAAAATGGCCTCTCATTCTTCTCGCACCTCCAACTCGAGCCAGGCAACTGGGGCTGCGAGTATGGTGGCCCCATGTTTTTGCTTCCAGGTCTGTTGATTACCTGGTATGTGACCAACACCCCCATCCCCCCGGAGTATGCGACGGAAATCAAGCGCTATCTGTTTGCCCGTCAACACCCGGAAGATGGCGGTTGGGGTCTTCACATCGAAGCTCACAGCTCCGTCTTTGGCACTGCCATGAACTACGTGGCGCTGCGTCTGGTTGGTGTCAGTGAGGATGATCCTCGTATGATCAAGGCTCGAGGACTCTTGCACAAGTTCGGAGGCGCTATCTACGGTCCTCACTGGGCCAAGGCCTGGCTCAGTATTTTGGGCGTGATGGAGTGGGAGGGTGTCAACCCCGTTCCCCCTGAGATCTGGTATGTTGGTCACTAAAATTGAGATGACCATGGAATAGGTTCTGACTGCTTGTCCAGGCTCCTGCCCGACTGGGTGCCCTTCGCTCCCTGGCGATGGTGGATCCATATCCGTCAGGTGTTCTTGCCTCTTTCCTATATCTGGTCCAAGAAATGGTCCTTCCCTCTCAATGACTTTACAAAACAGCTTCGGGAAGAGCTGTACACGCAGCCATACAACACGATCAATTTTGCGAATCACCGCAACTCTATCCACCCCGCCGACAACTACTACCCCAAAACCTGGCTCTTAAATGGTATCAACGAGCTTCTGGTCCGCATCTGGAACCCATTCCTCCGAATCAATGCTATCAGTAAGCGTGCCGAGGATTGGACTTGGGAGCTGATTCGCATGGAGGATGAAAACACTGATTATGCGGGACTGGGACCGGTGAATAATCCTCTTAACATGGTCGCCTGTTACATTCACGATGGCCCGGATAGCTACTCGGTTCGCAGACACCGAGAGCGCTTGAATGACTATATGTGGATGAAGCATGAGGGTATGCTGGCCAATGGCACCAATGGTGTTCAAGTGTGGGACACCACCTTTGTCACGCAAGCAGTGTCGGTCGCTGGATTTGCCAATGACCCGAAGTGGCGGCCCATGCTGCTCAAGGCCCTAGAATTCATTGACGACCATCAACTGCGTGAGAACGTGCCAGACCAGGAGAAGTGCTATCGCCAACACCGCAAGGGTGCTTGGCCTTTTAGTACCAAGACCCAAGGATACACAGTCAGCGACTGCACTGCCGAGGGTCTGCGATCCACCATCCAGCTCCAGGAGATGCACAACTTCCCCAAGTTGATCTCATTAGATCGCCTGAAGGACAGTGTTGACTGCCTCCTGTTGATGCAGAACCCGACTGGTGGCTTCACCGAGTATGAGACCACCCGTGCCTCACCCAAGGTCGAATGGCTGAATGCTGCCGAGGTCTTTGGTGGCATTATGATCGGCTACGATTATCCTGAGTGCACCACTGCCTCGGTGACTGCGCTCTCGCTGTTCAGCAAGTTCTACCCTGACTACCGTGCTGACGAAATCCGTGCGGCCAAGGAGAAGGCCGTGGCTTACATCAAGCGCGCTCAGCGTAAGGATGGTAGCTGGTACGGCTCTTGGGGTATCTGCTTTACCTACGCCGCTATGTTTGCCCTGGAAAGTCTGGCTAGCGTTGGTGAGACCTATAAGACCAGCGAGAATTCTCGCCGGGGCTGTGACTTCTTGATCTCCAAGCAACAGGCCGATGGTGGCTGGGGTGAATCATACCTCAGCAGTGAGAAGCATATCTATGTTCAGCATGAGAAGTCCCAGGTTGTTCAAACTGCTTGGGCCTGTTTGGCGCTCATGGAGGCCCGCTATCCCCACAAGGAGCCTCTGGAGCGAGGCATGAAGCTGCTCATGTCACGCCAGCAGCGTAATGGCGAGTGGCTGCAGGAGTCGATCGAGGGTGTTTTCAATCAGTCATGGTATGTTGACCTTCCTATGTCCTGGAACCGCAATTGAACTAACTTTTTGTCTAGTATGATTTCTTATCCCAACTACAAGTTCTACTGGCCTATTCGTGCCCTGGGATTGTACAGCAAGCAATTCGGCAATGAGGAGCTGCAGTGATATCTATGAAAAGTCTGCATTTATCATATTTACTATCCATTCTAATAATCAATAATATCTTGGGCCTTATTGAAGCCCGCTGTATACTTCTCAAGACCAGTGCCCAGTAGGGAGTCCATAACATGTTAGCTCTGTCCTTTGTTTTCTCTCGGACGTGAAATAATATAAAAGAGGAACAATCTCACCGGACGTTATTATTAAGTTCCACCTCAAAATCAGCAAATTGTGCCCTCTGCGACCTGGTGGTCATGGCCTGGACTGAGCCTGATATGCGTAATCTGAGGACGGATATACGCACCCCACGGTAGGTCCCGTGCGGGGGCTCTTCCTTTATACTTGCAGACTTATATCACTCTGTTACAACAACTTGGTATGCTTTTTATGATATGATCTCTATATCAATAGCAATGGAAAGATTCAAGTCGTTTCTTTTCAAAATACAATATTCATGTTGTGCGTGGTTAGATTGGTTGGGGATATGTTAAAGGTGAGCATTGAAATGAGGTTAAGCAGTGCCACAAGACGAGTTTATATGGGAATGTAGAAAGCGGAGACATGATTCATAGAGATGCAGATTCGTTTTCCTAGGCCCTTTTTCTTGAGTCCCAGAAAGATTTCAATAGCCGAAAAAAGGTTAGTTCTAGCACTGTTTGATTGTATTTGGAACGTTATTACGACCTTCTCGATATTGCATTCTCAGTAGTGCCACCTATGGTAGCATTGAGTCTGTAACCTAGCCGATGGAGTATCTCACGCGCTATTGAGATACCGAAATGTTGATTCGTCCATCTTTTCAATGAAAGTAGATACAGCAAGATTCGATCATATAGCGATTTCCAGAAGTGATGTTGTCCATCACAGTCTACTACCAGTAGTCGAAAGTATCGTACGAGACCCATAATCTCTACAGTTCAAAGACCAACCGACCTTCGAACCAAGACTTCAAAACAGTAGCACCCGAGAAATCGCCCTTGCTTAAGTCACGGTCCACGGCAATAAAGTTGGCCACCTTTCCGACTTCCAGACTGCCAGTTCGGTCTTGAGCTCCGACTGCCTCTGCACCGCTAAGTGTGATGACTTGGCATAGGATTTCACCTCCCCTTTCCTTGGTAGTCTTTCCAGATTCCAAAGCTGAGCTCTTGCGGCCGCCAGGCCACACGTCCACCTTCTCAACGATAGCAGCAAGTGAATCGAAAAGGCTAGGTGTTTCTGGCAAAAGCCAATCTGATCCGATCGTCATGTGGGCTCCTGTCTCAAGGACCTGGTTGAATGCCCACTTGAGAAGGTGAGGTATCTCTTGAACGACAGGTTCATGGAAAATAGCGGGAGACATCTCGGCAGTGATTCGGCTCTTCACAAAGCGAGGAATATCATCTGATAAAGCAATAATATCAGTAAGATACGCGGGGTTCATAGTGGTTGGTTTAGAGCTTACCGTCGTGAACCGCACTACAATGAGCCAGCTCATGCCTTGGCCCATTAGGGTTAGCCTTTCGAACTCTCTCCAGCACTTCGAAGGCTCCTCGAGTAGATCCCTCGCCTGCAACATGGAGCTTGCAGGTCATACCACGCGCATCGTATTTGGTCACTGCTTCTTCCAAAAAGCGCCAGTCAATTACCATGTGTTTCTGCTCCGGACGACCATTCGCGTCGAGATCACACTGGGTGAATTGTGGCGGTAACGGCGCTCCGTCGAGCCAGAACTTGACGAAGTTCGTGTGCACGTGCTTGCTGCGGAAGCCATTGGCCACATCTAGCAAGGCTGCTAATCTCTCGCGAGGTTCCATGGCAAATGTCTCGGGGGCACAGACAATATGCGTATAGATGTCGAGGTCGAGACGATTTTCCTGCTCCAGTTCTTGGAGGGCATGGAGGTATAAGGAGTTGGCGGAGGCTTCTTGGCAAGATGTGATTCCATACTTGAGACACATGCGTATGCCAAATTCCAAAGCTCGTTTCGCGTGAGATAAAGGTGTATTGGGGATCTTGGAAAAGACTTGGCTCATAGCGCTCTCAGCGACTTCTCCAGTGAGGCTCCCATCTGGACGACGGACATAAAATCCACCCGGAGGATTAGCCGCATGAACAGGGTCAATTCCTGCTCTTTCGAGTCCCGCAGTGTTGAGAAGAATGCGATGGCAAGAAACCTCCCGCACGAGTACTGGCGTAGTCGGATACTTGGAATCCAGATATTTGCGATCTGGGATACCATCAGGGAATGCACTAGCTTGATAGTAATTGCCAATAACCCAGTCTCCAGCCACATTGTGATAAGCGCAAGCGCACACGCCAGCCTGCAATCGTTGACCGATATCGCTCGCACCGGAATCGATGCCAATAGAAGACTCGTTCAAGGCTTGCATACTGGCCAGCAGCAGATGGGTGTGGGCATCGTGGATGCCCGGCATAACGAATCTTTGAGCGAGATCATATCGGATGAGGTTTCGTGAGTTGGCAATCTTGAAGATCTCCTCTTCGGTACCAATTGCCTCAATTATACCTGTTGCGGACACAATGAAAGCCTCAGCCCAGGGCTGGGCTGGATTGACTGTATAGATGTGGCCATTGTAATAGGCTACCGAGTTATTTGGACTGGTTGAAGAAAACATTTTGACCGAGGCGAGGTGCGACACATCAGCAGAGTTCGTGTGACACTCAGCGGTTGCTTTTAACGCCCTCCGGGCTTCGGTTTAGGATCTCGCCTTGCACTTGATATACCCCGCACAACATTGCGGAAGTCGGAGCGATGTGGGACAATTAGATAAATAATCCTCCAATTCTCTACAAATCAACGAGGCTCCCGTTATCCGGACGTGCGAGAAATGAATCGCTGGCGGACGGACGTTACCGAAATCACTTCCCCATCGGAATTATTTCCGGAGCTGCCCACTTGTCCGAACAAGCGGCTCAAAGGGAGGAATACGCTCATTCGTAACGAGAGATAATCGATTTTTAGGGTCTCATGGCAGCAATGATATGAGAGACAGAGCTACAAAGAGAATAGATATGATAGAATGACAAGTAAGCAAACTAACACCTTTCGCTAGATGTGGTGGTTCATGATAGCGACATGATCCCAAATAAACAATCCCAAATTAACAATGCATAAATCATAATCACAACCCAATCAGCTCGAGCTCGGAGGGTGTGGTTCCATCTTCTTGTTTCCAACCTCCGACCAATTGGTGCTCAGAGACGTTCCCTGGCTCTCAACATAGCTCTTCATCATAGCGCGGCGCGTATCCGGATCAGCACCCGCATAGAGTTTCTTGAAAAACCCATCCACAGCATCTCCACCAAACTCTGAATCCACGGATTCTGCGTCGGAGACATCGCCAGTGTCGTCCTTTTTAGTCTTTTCGTTGGTTTCTTTGGATTTCTTGGCAGTTAGTGACGAGGCGACTTTGTCCCAGTCCTTTGCGCCGTGTCGAGACGAGGTCGGGTATGATGGCCCCGAGCTCAGTGGGGCTTGCGGTGCGGCAGGCCGGTCTGCAATCTTTGTCGTGTTGGAGGCTGATCCTTCGAGGGATTTCCATTTCTGACCAGGTGTCTTTTTCTGCAGGACCAGTTCGATTTTGGTGCCCATGACCGAGACTTTCGACGCGGAAGGATCGATCGGAGCATAAAGAGGGTCGAGCGTAAAGTCATAGCCAGAACCGGAGGGCAGAGGAAATTGTAGTGACACCTAAATAGGGATCATTAGTCTTCCAAATCGCCTCTAGAAGGGTAGAATAGAACAAACCGAGTCATCCTTCAACTCAGTCTCGACACTCTCTTTAGGGATCCCCTTTGCGTAGAGGGTCACCACAACGGAGTCATTCGACTGATACCACTCATGGCGAACCTTTTGTGCAGCCACAACGGGCGAAGCCTCTGCTGCTTTGGTCTCCGATTTCGTCTTATCCGAGGAAACACCGGATGAAGAGGAGTCCTTTTGGCCCTTGTCTGGCACCGTCTTGTCTCCTCCATCCACCGTCTTTCCTGCTTTGAGACTCTCCCATTCAGCCTTCAGCTGCTTCTCGGTGGGTACACGTGTATCTGTAGGGAACTCAACCACAGAGACGGTGCCTTTCTCATCGCCCTCAGAAAGCTCTCCCAACTTGCGGCGGACCTTGGCCATCCAGATGGGGAGCTCAGCTCCGTAGCCGTTCTTTTTGCTACCTCCGTCGGCCATAGCGGCTTTGACACCTTCCGCTTTATTTTGTAATTCCGTCTCGCCAGAGGTCTTTGACTCGATAAGCTCAAATAGGAACTTTGCGTCACCGTAGCGTTCAAGCTGGAAGAGGGCTACTCCGCGGCGCATCTGTGCCGACAGAATGAGCTCACGCTTACCGCGCTCGCGGGCAAGCGAGAGTGCAATTTCGGCATCTTGAAGGGCTTCACGAGAGTTTGGTCCACCATCTGCTGGCTTCACGCGCGAGCGTGCGATGGCGCGTTGGAGATAGTAGGATGGGGCGCGGGGTAGCTCAATTAAGGCGCGGGTGTAGTGTTGGATCGCGAGTGGCGCGTTGGAGGCCGCAAGGGCCTTGTCACCCTCTGCGGCTGCGTTCATGATGCCGGGTCCTAGTGGTTAGGCTGCAAGAATTGCCCCGGTGTTTGTTTCAGTGTCAGACAACCAAGGGAAGGCGAAAAAGACAGAGATTGTGAGAAAACAAAAGTTGGAGGGAAGCTCTAAATTCCACAGCTTTCTAGAGAAAGCTCCCCGCCGGTCCACCGTGATTACATAACATGCGGAGATCCGCCTCTGGATGGTCTGGTAGACCTGGCAGGACGTCTATAGTCCTAACATTATGGAGAGCTACCTTGTGATAAAATAGAAGAGTTCTAAATTCTTGGAAAGGCTCCAATAATAAAGCTCTTTCTACATTTGCCGTCGACTTTAGTCTTCCCTATAAACTCCGTCTCGCGGACATCATTGAATTTCTTTCAATGCTGACCGACCTTCAACATAACCCGAACCCATCCAACCACCAACACTCTTGCGATTTAATTAAGAAAAGTTTGGTTACTTCTGTTAATAATTATGACTATAATGATATAAGGATATCATTTTAACAGCAATGAAGGGTTATTGTTGCAGGGTAATATGGAGTTCCGCAGGCAAAAAGGAGGAATCCTCGCGCCGAAGCTGCCGGAGCAAGGTACACTTGGACTGTCTTACTTACACTCATCCCCGGATCACACGACTAGATGCCTCAGTTCTAGGTCTTGACCACTAATTTTGAGGTTAAACTCAACAGCATTCCCCATTCAGGTGTCCCTGCGTTGTTGGATTATTTGATTTTCATTATCAGACAAGAGCACCTCTTCCACAAATGTTGATAAGGGGACTCATTCGCACCAGTCTAATGCATCCTTCTCACGGGCCCAGTCCTAGTTTGAGAGACAAAAGGTGAAGCCTATTGCGAATATCTTCTAAGGCGTATCTTCCAAGTCTATGTGATATCGTCCAGATCGACATTCCGAAGCATCCGGCCGGGCTAACCGTTCTACTATTAGGGGATAAATCGTGCTAATATACATCCTCTATCCCACGGTGGGGCAAGAAAGCCATAAGAAAGCAGTATATTGCGAAGCAGAATCTGGGCGCTCGAAATAACGACGGTGATCGCCGGTCATATGATCTCTCTCCTCGTTTATATGGAATAATGTGTATCCACATATACTGTTCTCCAGAAATACAGGACGCTTTGACTATTCGTTTATTCCATCCTTCCCCCGCAGGCGTCCTCTGCGATCCATACGCGTTAGTTTAGTTTTCTTGTTGATCGTCATCTGATAGACAGAATTTTGCCTCAACGTAACGCCTCCAGATACTATATCCACTCTACTGCCTCAGATCTGGGGTAGCCAAGTGGCTGATCCGAAGGTTTCGACCAATCTCAACCACACTCAGCATGGATTATTATTATTTTTTTCTCGACGCAGGATCATTCGAGTCTTGATAGTGTTAGAAACATAATTAGGCTCACAATTCTCAGCCTGTTCAGACCAATGGCCGGCTCGGAAACGGTGGGGCTCCAAATAAGCTCTTCGGTCAACATCCCCAGACCCAATTTTTTACCTAATGATTCCGAGTAATTGGAGTCATTTCCATTATTCTCTGGTAACTTTTATTACGCGACAATATTCGGATTATTCACAGTTTTCTCGTGAGGCTTACGACTTCGCACAAGTTTTACCTAAGTATTTCCGAGGCGAAGTCGGAGTTCGGCAATGGTTATATTCAGGATGCCTTCGGCTTCACCGAGTAGATATTTCAACAATTTCCTACATCTTGTCCCCTCTTCAACGCGGCATAACAATTCTTCACTCACTTCATAATGGTTCGCAACATTCACATTGCGGTTCTCGATGTCGATATCCCAGCGCGGCGATTGTACGAGGCACGCGGGCTTTGCAGTGCACATTTCCGCGATATTCTCAAAGAGACGGCGGCACACTTGAACAAAACCAACCAGGCCATCCATGATCCAATCGAAATTACCATCACCCCTTATGATATTCGTGGAGGACACTACCCAGACTTCCACTTGCTTCGCGGCGATGCATCTCAAGAGCAGTTCCCAGTATACAAACCCATCGATGCAGTCTTGATCACCGGGGGCTCGCCAGGAGTTTATGAAATGCCCGAGTCTCCCTGGATGCAAATCCTAGAGAAATTCATCAAGACCGTTTACAACGAATATCCGGAGGTCCGGCTCATGGGGACCTGCTTCGGTCACCAACTGATCTCCCACGCGTTGGTGCGCGTTCCTAACGACCCCGTTCGAGACGTCTATGTCGAGAAGTGCCCTCTTGGTCGGGAAGTGGGGATTTATACCGTTCAGTTGGAGGACCAGTTTATTAAACACTTTTCATCCGCACTGGGCCACCTTCCGGACGGCCAGCTTCGCATTCAAATGTTCCACGGTGACCGTGTGATGGCTGTGGAAAAAGGACAGACTGTGACTCTCTCCGATGTGCCGCCGGTATCCCTGCCTGCTCCATGGCTTAATATTGGAAGCACGCCTATTTGCCCGATTCAGGGACTCTACAATCCTGGCAGGGTTTTGACTGTGCAGGGACATTACGAGATGGATGCGTTTGCGACGTCCAAGATGTGTATCGAGAACGCGCCCATCATGGGATGGAAGGAGTCCAAGTTGGCATTGTTTCTGGAACAAGTTGGACCTGACACTAAGGAGAGGCGTGATGATGCAAAGGCATTTGCGACTGCGGTGATCTCCTTCTTGGCTGATCTTGACCAATGACTGTACGGTCATATAACTTTATTCAAGTCGCGTTGTCAAAAAGCTAGGCTTGCAACGCTGTCTGGATCCCATCATTCTCATCATTCATATGTACATAAGCGATTTAATTTATTCTCCATCATACTCTTCATCGACGCTCTTGCCATCACTATACAAGAAGAATTGTACGAAAATCGCCATATCCAACAGTAAAGTTCCGAAACTGCCCACAAGCCAGGAAAGATTCACCAAAATATACCGTCCATACAAGGCAGCCGCCTCTCCGGGACGGCAATGTGGACGATGACGGTGCGATAGCTCACCCAGACTATTCGAGGCTGACACTGTACCCTGGCAGACCGGCGAGTATGCCATGATAGATAAGACATAGGTCAAGTTGCCAATGCAGGCAAACAAGAAGAACAACAGAGAAACTCCATCTGTAGACTTGCGCCGGTAATTGAGCAGCAGCTGAGGGACTCGTGAGCCGAGATAGAAGACAGCGCAAAGGTATCCAAATGCCTGGCCCAGAGGGTCCAGGGTGAGAGACTCGGGTTGTGATTTCGACTTCTTTGATCCCGCGCTGACGTACCAGCCGAGGATGCCAGCAGCACAGACGAGAGCGATGGCCGTAGTGTTGAAGAGGATGGCTTGAATGGTGGAGATACGCCGACGACGGCGGTGATAATGAGCCCTATCAGATTCAGGATCGATCAATGGAGTCGCAGGAGAAAGGTGTGTCCCATCCACATGTTGATGTACAAAGTCCCTGAAAGAGGAAGCAGACGGTCGCCGTTCCTGCGTCGCAGACGACGACATGCGACGAGCACCATCTCGGGAGGATTGTGCTTTCGGCGCGTTCTCCAGACGATCCTGTATTTGGACATGCCCGTTCGATTTTGTCAACAAAGCCGATCGTTCTGTCGGTGCTGCCCCAGCTTTGGAGCCGCTGCCTTCATCACTGTCTAGTGCGCCAGTGGCGACAGGATTAGGTTCCGGGGAGGGCGAAGATGAGAATTCATCGCTCAAATTAAAGCCTCGGTAGTAGAAACATTGTCCAAGAAGAACAATATCCGCCAAGGTGTAATACACGGCCAAAATGATCATGGTCGGGAGGACACCCTGCATGACGGCACCAAGGATATTGAATACATCACCAGCTAGCCAGACGATCAGAAAAAGAAGGGATAGACCGTCCGCAGAGCCTCGACGAAAGTTTTCAATAATCTGAGGTGAAAAGACAACTACCCAGCAGGCAATTGAGATCGAGCTAGAAATGAGTTAGTGAATTGATGCAGCCCGTATATGTGTGTGGCGGAATGTGGGAGATCGACAACTCGGAGTTTTTACACCGACTTGCTTGCAGATTTCATTATGGCCAGGACATGTGTTGACAATTATGGTGATCCAGACAAAAACAGCATCACTTACCCACAGATACCACTCAAGGCCTCGATGTTGAGATTGGCCGTTAGTGGGGGAAACATGTTGCGTGAGTGGAAAATCTGATGCACCTGGACTGCTTGCCACAAATGCCGCCCCGAAGAGGGAGTGTATTCACGTGAGGGAGCTCAGAGGTCCAAGTTTCAAAATACAAGCAAACTCCCACACCGATACTTGCCAAATAAATCCAATGGTAGTTGAGGAAGAAAAGTTGGAGAAATCCGCGGGTCTAAGTGGATGACGTCGGATGGTCACGTGTTTTAATCTATATGACTCTTTCGGTTGTAAAGTCAAATCTACTTGGATGGGAAATAATTTGATCAGATTGGGTTCAATAATGCAACGGATTCTCATATATGTATCTATTAGAAGAGGCATGCTTAAGCGACAGTCTTCATCATGCTCTCCAGCTGATCCTGGAAGTCACAGAAGATGTTGACAGCCTTATACAGTGTTTTTGGTCAACATAAATCCTTGGCCTTAATGAGCTTCAATTTTACATACCTCGGTTAACTTCCTTTGACTAGCGCCAGCTCTATCACGAGCAAATGTAATCTGGTATTGGCCATGGTCGTGAGCATACGAGGTTCCTACAGGTGGAACAGGTTCGAGCGCTGCGGAATCAAACAAGGATTTGACATCAGTGAACATAGATTGCGTCAGTTTGACCAGCAGATGGGGTGCAATCGTAAGATGGTCCACTCCGGCAAGCATAAAGATCTCCTCAGTAGATGTCAAGCTTGCCGGTAAAACTTTGGTCGAAGCCTGGACAGACTTGTAGTATTGCTGAATGGCGACACAAAGAGGTAGAAGTTTCTGATCGTCCACAATTCTATGATACAATTCAGTGCTCTTCTGGAAGGTCTCTGATCTTGGAAACTTTACTGACCCTGGATTTACCTGGACCTTAAGCTCGTTTACATACGGGGCCACATACGTACAGCCCACTTCAGCAGCAAGTACGGCCTGCGGCATGGAAAAAAGAGTGGTGGCAAGGGTACGAACACCGGCCAGCTCAAGCGTACGACAGGCCATCATGCCTTCCCAAGTACCTGGGATCTTAATGGCAATGCGGGCTACATCGAAGCCCGGTTGGACATGCTGAAACAGCTGCACGATTCCTATTGGTCAGTGTCAGCGTCGCGAGTGTTCAATCGCTAGTGTAGGAAATGAAAGAATCGTACGGAGAGCGTTCACGACAGTTTTCTCTGATGAGAATGAGTAGTACGGGTTGGTCTGTACATGAACAAGCCCACGAATATGTTTGGCCATTCCAATAGCAAGGCGCACCATCTATTCAAGCACATCAGTCAATAAACATTGTAGTAAAATATTCGTAAGGACTCATTACCGCAATCTCCACAGCCAACTCATCAACACTAAGAGAAGGGTACTTGTTATGCAGAGACTTTGCATCAGCCTTGGATGCTGAGACGACCTCAGTCCGTGAAGGCTTAGAGAGCTCGACAAATGCAATGGCCTTAAAAAGCAATGTCAGTCCTACGCAAGCAGACAGCAGATATCCTTTCCTTCGATTTACTCACCTGGTTAGATGTGCAGTCTTGAAAAGGACCCAGCGTTCTGGCAACTAACAACTATACTTTGTCAGGTCGATGGTGGGCACGCTTTGTGGTCAATAATCCAAACCTTCCTCATCCAAGGTGTCACAGTCCACCATTGTGCGCGAGCGCATGTAATCAAGGCCGGTTTGAGTCGTCATCTTGGATAGATTGGTGGCTGGAAGGGAAATCCGATGGGTGTTGATGGAGATCGAACTTGGGGAAGCTCTGCAGGGTCGAGGTGGAAGAACAAAGGATGCTTCTCACCGAGAGATACAGCTCGCCATCCCACCTCCGCATTCCAAAAAGCCCGCGATCGCTGGAGATACCCCACAAGGCAGGTTACCCGGTGTCCCCATGCGCCCATGTCAATGTGGAGAGGGGCGAGATTCACCAGTGTACTACTGGCTTCGTGACGAGCCTTCATCGGAGATGCTCCGATGAGCCGATGACCTAGGATTCCTATTATACCCGCTCAAGCATGGCCCGTATCTCATGTCTCAATCTATGAATACATACGCAAAGGCATAGGAAGATCGAAACTGTTCAGGATGGGTGTATGTACATCTCCATTGTAGTGAATGCGGGGGGGAATTTAGCCTAAACGCTTACGAAGGAAATAAGTTGTCTTGTACATACACATGCGTATAGATGTACTTGTGTAATACTAAAGACCTAAATGAACGCCCCGCGATGCATGTCTGAAGAACCACCCGAGATAACCGCGAAAATCAAAACAAAATGATAGAAAGGCTTTTATGGTAAGGATTGATGCGCCTATTTGGCCTGGCTGGCCAGCCACGCCTCATGAGCCTTCTTCTGGCGCTCCCAGTCTTTGCGGAGTTTCTTGGTGCGACTCTTGGTGAGCTCCTCGCCAGCAGCGTCACGAGTGGGCAGACCTTCGTCATCCCAGGCACTATATTCGTTGGTCCGGAACATCTCCAAGTGGCTCAGCTTGCCCTTCTCCAATTGCTTCAAAGCCTCCTGCTCCCGCTTCTGCTTCTCCAGAAGCTTCTGTTGGGCACGAGCTTCCTTCTCCTCCCGAGCTTGGATCATCTCGCGAGTGACAGGGCGGACAAGGGCGGGGAGGTTATCCCGGTCCTCGAGGTAGACACCCAAGTCAAACAAGTCGATATCCCGAACGCGATCGCAGAGGGCGAGAATGTCCTTGCCGACCGAGTCAGAGGACTTCAAAGAGGAGACCTTGGTTCGGAAGTTCGACAGAACCTCGGCGTAGGGCTTAGCCGAGTGGGGAACCTCGGACGGCGAAGTTTCCTTGACTGCCTCTTCAATCTGCTGCGGTGAAAGGCCCTCCTTGGAACGGGCCGCTTGACGAAGAGTATCCCGCATAGTGGAAAGGGGGTAGAGGAAAGGTTTGGCCTCCTCGGGAACATCAATGCCTGACCAACCAATCTCGGTGCTGTCGGCGGGCGTAGCCCCGTTTAAGCCGAGCGTGTTGACAAGCGAAGTCACCCAGTGGGCAGCAGACGAAACATCCTTGGGGTTTAATGTAGCCTTGTCGGCGCTGTTGTACTTGGTAATGAGTTCTGAGATGGTTTGCATGACACCAGGTGTGTTGAAGGAGTCGCAGAAGTGCTTGTGCACGGCAGCCTTGGCGGCGTCCACATCAGCAGCAAAGGTGGTGTCGGTCGACGAGCCCTGGAAAGCAGCTGCGTCCTTCACCTTAAGGAAGAAATTGTTCACCTTGTCCTCCCAGGCATTACCAGCGCTAACCAGCTCATCAGTGATCTCGCAGCCCTCCTTCCAGCCACCCAAAAGGAAGACGATACGCAGGCTACGGGGTGTCCAGTCTTTCCGGTCGAGAGCTTCCCGGATGGTGGTGAAGTTCTTCAGGGACTTGGACATCTTGGAGCCCTGAATGGACAAATGGCCCATGTGCAAGAAGTAGTTGACCCACTGCTCATGTTGGTGGCCGTCATCCCAGTATGCCTCACTCTGAGCCAGCTCATTATCGTGGTGCGGGAAAGCAAGATCAATACCGCCAGAATGGATATCCATCTGCTTGCCCAACCGGGCCGAGGCCATGGCTGAGCACTCAATGTGCCATCCAGGACGGCCCTTGCCCCATGCGCTGGACCAGCTTGGCTCGCCGGGCTTAGAAGACTTCCAGAGAGCAAAGTCGGAAGCACTCCGCTTCTCGGTAGTCTTGGTGATCAAAGAGCCTTCGCCCTCGGCGGCGAGCTTGTTGTCAGATCGACTCCAGGGCTCCAGGCGTGCGTACGGGTGACCTGCTGCCTCGAAGGCACTGATATCGAAATAGACAGAGCCGTCATCGGTGACGTAGCCATACTTGTTCTTGACGATACGCTCGACGAAATCGGCAATCTCAGCACCATACTCGGTTACGCGGGTCAACTCATCTGGATCGAGGACATTCAGGTCTCGCATGTCCTTCAAAAATCGCTCTTCGTACTTCTTTGTCAACTTCGTGAAGATGCTGTGATCGTCGGCATTGATTGAGGAGCCCTTGAGAGCGTCCAAGTAGGGCAGGAGGACATCTTGCGCACTGGTGTAAAAAGATTCCGCAAATAACGCCGGGTCACTCGCGGTGCTATCCTCTGCTTTGCTCAAGACTAAGGCAGCCGATGCCGCAGTTTTGATGTGCATCTTGACCTTGGCCTCATCATCACCGGCCTTCTCGTTTCCCGGCAGGGCACCTCCACTCAGGACAGTCGCGTATGCCTTCTCGACTTCCTTCTGGAATTGTGCGGGGGGCAATTCGGGGTCGAGCAACGTCAGGTTCTTCTTTAGGTATGCGGTATAGGCCTTCGTGGCGGTGTCCAGGACCTCTGGTGTAATAGTGGGGTTCGCGGCGACGTATTCGTTGAAAAGATACTGTTGTCTGGCACGGAGAATGATCTAAGGAATGTATGAGTCATTGCGCCCAGTACTTTGCGGCTTCTGAGAGAAAGAGCCGTTGCCGTACCTTGTCATCGACGTCTGTAATGTTCATAACAAAGTTGACATCGAACTTGAAGTAGTCGCGCATAATGCGCCGAATGATATCGGTGCTGACATAGTTGCGGGCATGTCCCAAATGCGCATCGTCGTAAACTGTCGGTCCGCACGCGTACCAAGACACCTTCTTGCCAGCTGGGTCAATCGGAACAAAGGGCGTCTTAGACTTGGTCAGCGAGTTCCAAATCTGCAACGACGGGAGCTCTGTTCCCGTCGGTGAGGGAGGCTGCCGCCATGGCGGCTGTTGACGAGACGACATGGGCCTGGCGGAGATGACTGATATGGAGCAAAACAGAAACCGCGACTTGGGCAGGAGAAAGGAGCGAGGGAGGAGGGGCATAAAGAGAGCGGACCACGCAAAACAAGAGGGGCACTGGGGACGAAAGACAGATCGAGTCATTGTCGCCGTCCACCGCTTTGATTGGCCTGATTGGCCCCTGCGTTGGACTCCTTGATGAGCCCTGAGCCCTAGCTACCCAAATAGGAAATGCGGCCCAGCTTTTTCTCCGCGCAAAGCTGCGGCGTTCTCGACCTTTTAGCTTTTCGCAGCGCGATCGGCAAACGCAAGAAACGGAGCTTGAAGAAGCTCCCAACATCAATTATCCCGCTCGCTCACCATGCCCTCTCCATTCTTGACCCCCGGGTCCCATGCGCAGGCGGACGACGTCGCGCTCTTGCATCTGCGCCGCGACCAGACCATCCCGACGATCCTCCGCGCCACCGACAATGAGAACTCAGGCTACAAAGAAGGAAAGGTCTCAAACACTCGTTTTGGTTCCTTCCCGCACAGCACTTTAATCAATCAGCCGTGGGGCTCGCAAATCGTCGCCTCCAAGGTCGATACAGGCTCCCGAGGCCGCAAGCCCAGCAACAAGCGCAAAGCTGAGGAACTCGAAGCATCGGCCACTACAACAGGCGCCGAAGACAGCTCCTCCTTAAAGAAACCCGAGGCTGCTGCTAGTGGTTTTCTTCACCTCACCTACCCTACTCCCGAGTCCTGGACATTGTCCCTGCCGCACCGAACCCAGGTCGTCTACACACCCGATTATAGCTATATCCTCCACCGACTTCGCGCGCGTCCCGGTGGCACCGTCATCGAAGCTGGTGCCGGAAGTGGCTCGTTCACGCACGCAGCCGTTCGTGCCGTGTTCAATGGATACCCCAACGGAGCATCCGCGACTAAGAAGCGGAGGTTAGGAAAGGTGTGCAGTTTCGAGTTTCACGAGCAAAGAGCAGCCCGGGTAAAGGAGGAGATTTCAGAACACGGCCTCGACGGACTAGTAGAGGTGACGCATCGCGACGTCTATGAAGATGGTTTCCTCCTAGGCGACCCCAAGACTGGCCAGTCACCCAAGGCGACTGCCATCTTCCTGGATTTGCCTGCTCCGTGGCTTGCTTTGAAGCACCTTGTCCGCAAGCCCGCTTCGGGAATAGAATCTCCTCTCGACCCTTCTTCAACGGCCTACTTGTGCACGTTCTCCCCATGTCTGGAGCAAGTCGAGCGCACGGTCCGCCTAATGCGCCAGCTGGGATGGCTGGATATTTCGATGGTCGAGGTCAACCACCACCGAATCGATGTGAAGCGCGAGCGTATCGGACTAGACTGTGAAGGTGTCCGCGGAGCAACCGTGTACCCCAAGTCCGTGGACGAGGCATTGTCGAAGCTCCTAACCGACGATGAACGAGCAAAGAGATTGCGACTTGCCCATCTGCAGGGCACCAGGGCCAACCGCACTGAGGAAGACACCACCAGTACTCCCAAGGACCAAAACGTGCCAACATACAATTTGGGTCGCCTGGTGCATCGAACAGAGTCGGAGATCAAAACGCATACCTCGTACTTGGTATTCGCCATCCTTCCTCGAGACTGGTCCGAGGAGGACGAAAAGAAATGCCGACAACAGTGGCCGTCAGATAAGCTGGAGGTTGAAGAAAAGGCGGTTTCCAAGACCAGAAGGCAGCAGAAGAAGGAGTTCAAGGAGCTGCGTCTTCGGGAACAACAAGAGGAGAGTGAGCAGCAAGAGCAGCAAGCTACGGAGACGAGCGAGGCATGATATTAGCTTTATTTGTATTAATGCATATGACGAGGTGTACTTTTAAAATAAGCCATCGATAAAAAGCGACCTTTATTTACACAAGCAATCCTGATCTCTTCGTCCCTAGGTTTGATATGGCCGCTTGGAGAGGAACTACAATCTGAGAGGAATGAAAACAAAGAATAATCTAAAACGTCCAGCCAAATGAAATACAATTAGGTGTGGAAGTCATAATCTCATGTGCATGTTGGCCACCAAAGGCCGTAAAGAAGCTATATTCTAAAAAAAGGTGTGCTCTTAAATTAAGACAATGTGTGGCAAGAAGCTTCATAGATCACGGTATGCAACAGAAGAGCTGCCATAAGCCCAGGCCTCAGCAATCCAAATCGCCGATATCACAGGTTATTCTCCACTCGGAACTTGTCCCAAGCCTCGTTCAGGGTTCCGAACACAGCGCCAGCAATCATTCGCTGTTCGGTAGTGGCAGTTGTCGGAATCTTAGCAGTCGTTAGCAAGAAGATCAAGGGTCAAAAACATTTGGAGGACAATCAGAACATACCTTGTCAGGGTGGACCTTTGCAATACCCTTCATATACTGGATCTTGACCTTGTTCGGCAAAACCAGCTCTGACAAGCCAATTTTCTTCCAGCCGGATTCGGGCCAAAGCACAGTGTCAAGACTACCAAGTAGCGCACGCAGGTTATCCTGTTTGCCATTCCTCCAGGCTCCAATTCTCGCATCAACACTATCAGTTAGAGCGAATTTCTCCTCGTCTGCACGTTCGGCAGCCTCATTAGCCTGTCGCAATCGACTCACGGCTTCCGAGTCTTGGCCAGAGGCCACACCGCCGGAGAGATCTGAAAGCGCCGAGGTCTTCTTGGGGACGGGAGTTGGTCTCTTTTTGACCGGTGCTGGGGCTTTCGACAGGGGTTGACCGATGCCAGCAGCCTTCTCGCATCGGTTCCTGCCCTGAATGCTAGTGCCTCCGCCATGTCCGGACTCTACGGCGAGCTTCCAAGTCTGTGCTGCATCGGCCCAACGTTCAAGCTGTTCCAAAGCTTCGGCCTTGCGCATAAGCGCCTTTCCAAAGAAGTCCTTCATGGGCTTGGCGGCCTCACCATTGCCGAGGTCAATTGTCTCTTCCTCGCCTTTTGATGGTCCGATCAATTTGAGGATAATCTCAGCATCATCGATGGCGCCCTTGGGCTCACCGATCTTTAGACCGGTCATCGCTCGGTTGCTGCGTACGATGATCGTGATGGGATGCTGGTCAGGAAGCATGTCGAGAGCAGTAGAGAAACTTTGGTGTGCAGCTGCATAGTCGCCCCGCTTGTACGCATCTGCAGCCTTCTCACGATGGCGGTGAGTTGACTGCAGAGCCTCTGCAGATACCGGCGGTATAGACCGGGGCGGAGCCTTGGGGCGCACTGGGATAGATGCTGAACGAGCTGGCGACGGTCGCGCCTGAGGTTGAGAACTTCGACTCGGTGGCTGCGAGGAGGGAACAGGAGAATCAAAGAGATCGACGTTGGGCTCGGCTGCCGGTGGTGGCGCTTGAGGCCGTCGCCGCCTGGCCGGACTAACGTATGCTTGCGCCGACTGTTCCTCGGCAGCGAATCGGGAGAGACGAGATTTCTGTTCCGTTGAATTTGATCGTGATGGTTGCTGGAGCAAGTTGGCTTGCTGCATATGTTGGGTGGCTGGCGATGGCTGGCGGCGCGGGTCGCCACCAGCCGGGACGGGTTGACGGTGATCCTGCGGGCGAGCAGGCTTTCGAGGCGGTCCAGAATCGCGAGCTTCCAAAAGCAGCGCCTCGTTAGTAAAGTCTTGGGGCTGCGCTCGCGCTTGATCCCTTTCGCCATCGCGCCGTGGCGGCTGCTGAGAAAAGGGCTCCTCGCGAGGCGCAGATGCATCCCGCATCCACTTGGGCTGGCTTGGGTCATGATCGGCATTGAACTCATTCACAGCTTGCTGAAACTTCTTGCTTCCAGTCTTCCAAAGGGACCCGGCAGTCTTCAGCAAGTTGTTGCCGAATTGAGAGGCTATTTGTGTAGGGTCCTTTTCTCCAACGCCGGGGCTTCGACTGTCGTCGCGCGACCGAGGTGGCTGCGATCTACCTTCCCTCGCCCAGGAAGGCGCATCGCGGTGTCGACTGTCACTTCGTTCCGTACGATCACCAGATCGAGGTGGTGCCGGAGATTGTCCTTGGGATTTCTGTCTTGACTCGGCGTGTGCTTGAGTGAGAAGCCAACTGACAGCTGCCTGGACATTAGTCCCTGAATCCGTAGTCCTCAGGGCTTGGCGTGACTTGTCCGCCGAGAACCCCATGTCTACCAGCTCTGCAATTGCTCGATCCACTTCATTCGAAGGCATAGAAGAGGCAGATTGGTCCTCGCGATCGCGATTGGGGGGAACAGTCCGCTCCGGTGGCGGCTGCTGACGAGGAATCTGCGACACCGGTTTTCCGAGTAGCCCAAGGAAATCATCGTCATCTGCTGGCGCTTGCGACGGAGCGAGCGCTGTCTTGGGCTTCAATTGATTGAGACCAAATGGATCGTCGTCATTGTCGCTAAATGCGCCCAAGTCCCCGGAGTTATCCAGCATCGTTATGGCCCCACTGGGTGTGCCTTGTCGCGAACTCGTGCCAACCTGGGGGGATGCGTTGGAACTTGGGACTGGGAAGTTCGTCGATGCATCGACCGGCGCAGCAGCACTAAACGCAGCCAGTATATCGTCGTCATCAGCTGCTGAGGGTGATGTTTTCGAGATCGGAGCCGTCGCAGGGCTCGGGGTTCGGCCATGCTCCAAGTTATCCCAGAACTGCGAGTTCTGACCTCCGTATTGCGCATCAAACCGCCTGCGGTCTTCTGCGGCCTTTTTAGCCCTTTCCTCCTGTAATCGCTTCTGTTGCTCTACCAGGGAAACATTCTTGTTCCCTGCAGAGGAATTGAATGAGACCAAGTTCGCAAAGCTGTCTCCGGCAGAGGCGGGCGGTTTCGATGGCGAATTAGACCGGTTCGAAGCAGCGGACATCGGTGTTGATCTACCGGAGGCACCATTGGGTCGAACATTGGGGAACATAAAGCCAGAGCTCATGGGGGGAGGTTTGTTGGTGGGCGCATTAGAGTTGCTTGACCAACTCAGCCCGTTCAGGTCATCCATGTCGAGCTGGACGAGGACCAGTCAATGAGGTGGCGGAAGATTGGTTGACTGGAATCGCAGGGAGGTTAGGGGCAAGGGTATTGATGAAGTGAGGTATCCATGCTCTCACCACACACAAAATTAATTCAGAGAATTGAGGCAACCTTTGCTTCTTAGATTAGCTTCATTCAACTTCCGCAGTGAACACCGCGCCCCCTTTGCGTGTGGGGGGATGACGGATGCGGGGCACGTGATGTTTCATCGCCATCAGGTCGTTTCTGCCCTTTATTACTCCGTACTTGTAGTCAATACGATAGGTTATAATGGGTCGAACTTTGGCATTGGGGAGAATGTCAAGATGAATATCTTCATTTGTCCGGGGACTGTATTCAAGATATAGGTTGGTGCTGCCTCTTGGCTGAAATTGCATGACAGATAGATCAGAAATATATACTTCCACCTCACATTTATAATACTCGTCAATGGCCCTCGTAGTTTCAGCACGACAGTTCCTTCAATTTGAATTTGAATTTTGACTTCCGATATCTCCAGAGAGAAGCACTGCTACCTCTCTTGGATCTGTTGGCTTTCATTGTTCAGCTACCAGCAGAAACGGTTCCAATGCCTTTCGACTACTCTAACTGGAGCCCGAGGGCACTCGCTGCCTTAAGATTACGGTCGGGATCTTATTTCAGGCCTCGAATATCACCCTCTACGATGCATAGGTGATCGAGCCTCCCTGGCTGACTTTCGAATCAGTCCTGAAATTTAGACCAAAACGGAATTCATAATCTCCGAGCTTGAACGATTACCCGGCAATCCAAGGAGGCTTGAGAATCGGACACACCTATCAGTATTATAAGATCAGCGTCAAACCCGAATATACCTTTTTGATATCATTTCGTGCTACCTGTCTGGAGAAGACTCAATACCCGAGGTTTATTGCGCTTACCCCTATTTTTTTTCTTCATTGGGGATTAGCACTTAGGAAGGAGACGCTGGAACCAACGAGAATGTCTACTTTAGCACGGCTTCGTTCCGGATATTCGTTCAATAATACGAAGAACAATGACACTGCAGGGTTCAATGCCCCCCCTAGGGAGTCCAGTAGGCATAATCGCCCATTATTGTGATCTAGACCATCGTCTCTTCAACATACACGTGTATATGCAACAATCTGAGCTTGTGGTTTTCTGCTACAATTATCCACGGAGAGCAGAGAGCCAACCATCCTCGGGGACAAATCAGTGCCAGTTGTCTGCCAACTCAACCTGATCATATGGGACCATCTCCACCACTGATTGACCCGTTCGTCCCGGGTCCACAGGAGGAAGAAAACTCTTGGTGCCAAATTAAGATTGTCCTATGTCTCAGATGCACCAGTGCAACTCCTTGCCTTGTGACTCTACTGAGCTTCGCAGCAGTCGGGCAGCTGTCGGCTAGCCAAAATCGATTCTGGACCCAACCCATCTCAGGAACGATACAATGCACGGCAGTCGTGCTAGCCGTTGTGATAGGCCAACTGGCCCTGCATACACCAGCAGAACGGAACAAGCACGGATCCAATTGATAACTCGACAGATCGGGGCCCATGACCCACTTAGCGAACCCCTAGTTGCGGATGGCGTCGATACCTCCGAGCACGTCCCCCTTTTCGTTCCTGAGAGCTGTCGGATCCTTGACTTGCAGGTTTTCCAATGGCGCGAGAAATGAGAACGGTGAGTCGGAAACTGTACGCGAGCAGTGCAAAGTGGCTGGCGCATGGATGTTTAGTTATCGAGTACATATATTACATACTGCTATGCACTGCGTAGCTTAGAGCCTTGGAGACTATACGGGGCTGACTCGATGATGTGATGGATCATGAGCCACATCCTGACTGCCCGCATTCCGCGTGTTGACCTGGGGATTGACAGGATCAACGTCGAGGGGCTTTGATCATCTTGATTCTTCCCATGGAATGCCCTAAAAGATAAACCGGGTTGTACAAGTTCTGACAATCACTGTAGGATGCATGTAACAAATGCTCGACACGAAGACTGCCAAATCGATGGGCCGGCTATCAGGTCCGACAAAGTGGATGGGGATATACCAGGGGGCTAATTTCGAATCCCAGCAATCAGGGAACCTATTAATCTCTTTTCGTCCGATGGGCCCGCCACTGATGCGTTCATAGGCAGCTGATCCTTGCTCGATCGTCGACGTCTTGATCGGTGGGGCTTTTGGATAGCTCACTGACTCGTCCGTCCCTGGCCAGTCTCGCGTGGGTGTCTATTGTCCAATTCCTTGTCGCTTGGCCTGCCGAAAAAACTCAAATCAGCGAAAACAATGTAGTCCTGTCGCCGGGAGCCCCGCGCCGTTCTGGAATTCCTGACTAGCGGTGTCGTCAATCGTTTATATGTAGGGGATCTCGGGGCTGGACCTGCTTTTGGGGAGACTTTGCTCTTGTTTATTTCATCGCTTTCAACCCAATGGGTCCACAACGCGCCGCGGCCTTATTTTTTTCTTCTTTTTAATTCACTAATCTAAGGACTGGCGCCGTCTATCGTCTTAACGATCGCACTTTCTTAATTACTCGGACATCGCAGCTTCGGAGAGTCTAGTTAGATATGTGTGGTCGCGCTTGAAACTAGTCTTTATACCTAGCCGACACTACATACCCTTGACGTTCGAGAGACTTCGTCCTGAAACCGAGCTATTGAGCACAGAGATACAAGGCCAAGATGCGTTGGTCATTATTCAGCGCTTGGGTCTTGGTGATCCTCTTCGGAATTGCATTATCTGCCCCCGCGAGGGACATTGCACAACGAAATGCCGATGCTCCCACGACAGTCGAAGCGCGAGCTGAAGCCGATGCGACAACTGCAGCTGCAGATAATTCACCCAGTCAAACGTCTACATCTACTACAACAAATTTGAATAGTGCAGCGGAGACAGCAGCCACAACCACGGCTATCACAACGACGACGAACAATACGACCTCTTCGATAACCAGCCATTCGACGTACGTTGCGACAACTATACCTTCATTAGATGACTCTGCAGACTCGTCCGATGATAGCCAGGATGGTGCGAAACAGAAATACACTGGTGGTCTGCCACTCCAACCGCAAATCACTCCGGCATGGGGTGTGGGTGGTATAATACTGCTATTGCTAGGGGCGGCTCTGGCGTTTATTGGAATACGCAAGCAATGGTAACTAGGCTCCCCTATTCAGGGAACTCATCTCATTAACATTGGTCAGGGTTCATATTTTCTTATCCACGGGCTTCCTCGCGGCGCTGGGTGTTACAGTGAGTTACGATCGATGCAACCCTTATCATTGGCCAAAACTAATAAAGACACAGGTACTGATTGTCTATGTGATGAATCCGCCTGTGAGCAATGCGATACAAGGTGGTTATCTGGTTGCGGCCTTCTTCACAGGTGCCGTGTTTGGTGGACTAGCACTGGTGTTCAGGGAAATCACCGAAGGACTGGGCTGTCTTCTTGGTGGTTTCTGTACCGGAATGTGGTTCTTGACTGTCAAGTCCGGTGGGCTTTTGACTGACAGTGCAGCAAAGGCCGGCTTCATCATTGCATTCACCGTAGGCTTCTGGTGTCTCTCCTTCAGCCACTATACTCGCTCATATGGATTGATTCTCTGCACTTCTATTTCGGGTGCAACGGCTTTGGTTCTCGGTATCGACTGTTACAGCCGGGCAGGGTTGAAGGAGTTTTGGCTCTACATTTGGGGTGAGTTTGAAGACACCAGTCACATATACATGAGGCGTACGTATTGTTGCTAATTCGCACTTTAGGTCTGAACAACAGCATGTTCCCCTTGGATACGAATACATACCCGGTCACTCGAAACATCCGCGTTGAACTCGCTATTACCGTCATTGTCACAGTCTTCGGCGTGATCGCTCAAATGAGGCTCTGGAAAGTGATCAAAGAACGTCGAGTCAAAGAGGAGACCTCTCGAAAAGAAGCCGAGAAAAAAAACGAGGAGGCAGAGGCAGAAGTTGGTCGACAACTGGAGGAGAAGAATCTTCGAGAACGCACCGAATGGGAAAATATGTACGGCAACGGTGCCGCTGGAAAAGAACCTTCCATGACCGAAACCGCTGTCGCAGATGACTCCCGTCGCGGCTCTGATGGGTTTGAGTCTACCACCCATGAAAACGAAAAGGAGACCTCGATCGAGATGAAGGACATGCCAGCTGCTGAAAATTCAGCTGGCGCATCTGAATCTGGAAGAAACCTCGACACCGTGGAAGAAGTTGAAGGGGAAGCCGTTGGAGAACATCCAGACGGTCACGCCAACCAACCCAAGGAACGAGACGCGGACATGGAGACGGATCATGCCGGACCATCAACCGCAAGACCGGTTACGATGTGGCCTGAGCCAATCCTACGTGAAGACTGCAGTTCCGAACATGGCGCTGTCGTCGGCTCCGAACCAGGCTCGCCACGATCTAAGCGCTTGTCTGGGAAGTCACTGATGAACCGGCTTTCTTGGCGCAGTGTCAACAGTCCGTTAAGCCCAAAGCTCAACGGAAAATCTGAATCCGAAGAGGCCTTGGTCGTGCAAGACGATGCTAGCTCCTCCATTCTTGGCATCGTGGATGATGTCCATTCGGTTTGCTCTAGCGTAGTCTCTGACCGCCATGGTGCGACAGATGAGGAGACGCACGAGGAGACAGTCACAGCCAACGAAACAGTGAAGAATGTGCTTACTGATGTGACCCAGTCCGGACTCAACTCTCAAGCACCGCGTAGTGCTCCAACTGAGGCTGATGGGCAAGTCGCCTCTTCTCTTTCTCATCACGTAGGGGACGAGGAGAATATCAACGAGCCATCACGAAACGGAAATGAGTTCCAGATACACCAGGATGATGACACTGAAGACCAAGTGCACACTACCGTGATTCGCGATCAAGATGCGAGCGAATCAAAGCAGGCTGAGTGTATTGCATTGCAAGTCCAGCCTAACGCACAAGTGGCTCCACCCAACCAAGATGTCGTGCCAGAGGCTGCTCTAGAGAATCTAGAGAATGGCCACAATGAGGAGCATGTTGAACAGGAGAATCAGGAAAATCAAGTACCCGGCGTCAATCAAGTAGTCAACCGAGGGTTCAAGCAAGCGGAGGACGACAAAAAGGAGGATGTTAAAGAAGAAACTCGAGAGCTCGCGGAGCAAGTCGAGCTTGAACCCGATTCAGTGTCCCAGGCAAAGCCCTTGAAGAAGAGTGTCAGTGCCAGGCTTGATGCATCGACTGTGAAAGCAATTCCTGAACAAACGTCTCTGGTGATCAACTCATTCCGCACCAACGAATGGGCAAAGCATTTGGCCGACGCTGAACTTCCCGAGCTCGAACCCATACAACTAGACGGCGGACAACCCGAAAATCCCATCGAGACCGAAGAAGTCGCAGCACCGGTTAATGTGGCAGGGCTGCTTCAGACACCGTTGAATGGTTTGCCTCCTCCCGTTTTCAACAGCCCTGAGCAGATGCCTACAAGCCCAGAGCAACATCGCCGACGCTCCAATGGCTCTAGCACAGCACCTACCGGAGTATCCAAAGCAAAGACAAGAAATAGCATGTATAGCATGTCCGGTGCTTTATCATCGCTGCAAATGTCCCAGAACGTCTCCTCTGCTGCCCTGCTTCCACTCCAGGAAAATGAGCCCAAGCCTGCTCCGATACGCAGCGTCTCGACTCCATTCCTAACCATCACAACTACCAACCAAGAAAAAGAGACGGCCGATTCTCTAAAATGGAGTGGACCTCCACCTCTTCTTGCCGTTCGCGAAGATATGGTGCGAAATCGAATTTCTTCTACCTCTCTTCGCTACGACCCTTACGCATCACGCAGTCAGTCCCGCCTGTCCCTGGCTGACCCAACCATAATCGCCTCACCAACGCTTCCAATTCCGGAGGAAAGTAATGAGCATGTTGGTACAGAGCGTGCTGAAGACGCAGACGACGTACCACTATCGAAGCGCCGTGCCATGTTACAACGCCAAACTATACAGTCTCCTTCCGCATCAAGCCTACAAAGCATCGAGCAATCTCGATCGCCACCGCAAAGCCCTCCTGAATCCGGCCGATCTGCAGCTGTCATGGCTGCCTGGCGTCAATCCGTTCGAGATGATATCACTCAACGACGCGATCCATTATCCCACCCTCCATCCCCTGGAACACCTGCAAACTCCGACAGACCACGGGCTCTCTGGGGATCCGTACAGAACTTGCGTGAATCCTCGGCGGCCAAGGTTGAGAGTACCATTGCCGATAGGATGCAACGCGGAGGAAGTATGACAGACCTGCATCGTCAAGCAATGCGCCGAATGCAAGCTTCCGCAAACCGCAAGTTATAGTTTCTTTTCTTTGATACCCTCTTTTTTCACTTTCTTTTTTTTTCCTTTTTCGGGGACTGTTGGGAGTTCGGTCAATATGGGCCTAATCAGTCGCATCTACATAATTATCTTAACATTCACTGCACATAATTTATAATGACACCATGCTTGATGATTTCAATTCAGGTCCCTTGTCCTGGAACAATGCAAATGACACATAACAAATGCCCGGTTACTGTAAGAAGTGCTTCGGGGCCGTCTCGAAAACTTTAATAGCCTGCTCTAGACGCTTCTCGTACTCTTGTAGTTCCTCGCTCTCCTGATCTTCCGGAGAAGCCTCCTTTGCATCCACACCCTCTTCTTTCTCAAGACCAAGCTCGACCGAGTTGTCCTGAACTCCCCGGGCGGTGCGGACCGACATGACATCTCGATAAAGGCCCATCGTCATTGGTAGTTTCACTCCATCCACGCCGCCTTTACCCATTTTGATAAAGCGAGCATCAAGTAGTCGAAATTGGGCCGCCCAGACGTGTGGGTCAGCCACTTCCATCGCCATCTCCCAAGAGGACCCTACGCCCAGACTGACGGACCCACCGACCGGAACGCCAGATAGAAGCCCTACGATTGCAGAGGAAACGCCAGCCGATATATCTGCCGAGTGTCCCGTGGAGACCATCGTTCGCGTTTTCTCGAGTAGATATAGACCGGTGAGTAGCCATACCTTGGGGCGACGAGCGAACTTGAAATTGAGCACGTAGGAGCTGTGCGCAGCAGATAGCCAAAGTTTAAGCTTTTGCTGTGCCTGTGGCTTGGCCAGGACATTGGTTGTAAGGAATTCCTCCGGGCTATTGATGAGCATTAAAGGACAATCCAGCGATTAAAGAAGGTTCATGGCGAGGGAGCAATACTCTTTTAGAATCATCCGGGTTCCTTTCTCTGCGACCACAACACGCTCAGCTTCCTTGTTGTAGGCAAGACCGAGATTGACGATATCTCCACCCTCGACGCCTACGGAGGGCGAAATGCGGGAAGATCCATGAAAGACGAGATTATCTGCGTGCGTTGTGTACGCATGCTGTTGTAGATCTTTTTCGCTGTTCAATGTCAGTTACCTTTGGTCAAGGTTGCGCCCAAGGGACAACGTGTACCTTAATTGTTCGTGGGTATAGTGGCGGGCATTCATTGGTTGCCAGTACTTCTCCAGCACCAATGAACCCAGGGTCAGAGCCTCGGGCCGTTCCCCGACACCATACAGGAAGAACGAGGAGTCATCACTAGCCCCCATATTGTTGGTAGCCCTGCGAAATGCCAAGGCTTCGTATGCAAATTCCACGGATCGCGGCCAGGGAAAGAAGATGATAATGATGAGTGGCGTGTCTCCTGTCCCCTCTCAGGGTATTTACTGTGGATTTTACCCTGCTGCCTTCGCGGGGCAAGGCATAAGCCGGGGGCTTAGATCAATTCAAAACGGGCAATTTTAAACGAATCGCCCTCAGGGTTTCGTGATAGCGTGGGAGCAGCGGGCACCCCACTATGCTTATATGACGGCCCAGCCTCATTGCAGGTGGGCTTTTGACTTGGTTCGCGCGATTTGCTTTCCGTATCCTCTGCTGCAGGGTCTAATTTAACGCTTTCCTCGCCAATTTACAGAAAAGTCAAATGGATTTTGATCACTTTGTCGGCCTTTGTGGCCGGTCGCTTTTTGCGGATGAGTATTTGGGAGACTTGGATGCTGCTGGAGACTATTTGCAGCAGACGAAACCCCAGATATCCGTGGTGGACCCCGTTGTCTACGCCGAACACCTTCGTTGTTCGGCCATACATTCAGTACTTATCGGCAGACCAGCAGATGCATATGAGAGCCTCCACGTCTTGGAAAGTCTTCTCGATCAAATACCCAAGGAATGGGGGATGCGATATACCAACTACAAAGCATTGACTGACTACAGCCGCCGCTTTCCCCCTCTATTACACTACTATCATGAAAATGGGAAACCAGTCAACATTTCCATGCTGGGCGACATCAGCGGTCCGTTTGACATCACAGAGAGCTTCATGAGCAATTTTCGCACGCATCTACCTCACAGCGTACCCCGCGACCAAGCATTGAGTCCGATCTTGAATGCTGTGATCGGATTCCCGATGCGAGCACGGAACCTGGCCAACAGATTGCACCCTCTGAGCCCTATAGCCCGGGTGGTTACCTCGAGAGAGGAAATAGTCCCCGAAGTCGTGGAGGCTGCAGAAGTTTTCCTCAATCTTCGCGATAAGGCTGATTCATACGGGGCGACCGGAATGGGTACATACATGTTCCGACTAGTGGTGGAATTGCATCTGAAAGGCCAGAGTCCTCGCTCAGCCACACTCTTGCAGGAACTGTACGAAAGATGCGAAAGACTTGAAGATTACGCGGGGATGGCCAACACCAAATTGCTGGAAGCGGACAGTTTGATCAGTCCTCCGTTTGCCAGCCCCGTCACGCTGAACCTGGTGCTTGTCGACGTGACCAGCAGCACTCCTAGCGATACTCTTTGGGATCCGATCGAATCAGACCTCCCATGGGAATATGGACCCCAGGTTCAAGGGCTTTACGAGTCTGCATTCGAGCTCTTCCAAAAGGCGAATAGCAAGCGCGGCCAGGCGGCCGTTTTACTTCGACAAGGCTGTTGTCTCCATAGTCAAGCCCGTCGGGAACGGCTCTTACATAAAGAGGTGCTCGATATACTCGGAGAGTCCGAACTTAAACTACAAGAATCTCGCAGATTGTTTGGAAAAGATGAAGGGAATGCTCAACTGGTCAAGGCACACTTGATTTTGACCGGAATCACGAGAGGCAACCCGAGTAATAATATTAGGGCGATCGCGAGGTCAATTGGCACATGGGGCGTTGAAGCGAAAAACGAGAACATGGCCCATTTTATTGGCATGCTCCTATCTAGATACGGCCATCAAGAATGGTTCAGATTTTCAAACATGGACACCGCACTGCTTGCGTTTGAGTGTGCATACGAAGTGTTCGAGCCACTAGGTGACATGATACCCTTGTTTCAATCCGTGGTATCCCGAGCGTGTGTACAACACGACATGTTCAACGCCGATGCATCTCAGATCTTCATCGAGCAAGCGATATCCATGGTTGAGAGGCTTTCCGAGTTTATGGATTCCAAGATTCAATCCGCGCCGGACACGCCTTTGGGTCAGATGGACCGGAAGAATCTGATGACGAGCAAGTTCAACATACTATCAACATTCGGCAAAGACGTCAATCATATTTTCCTCCGGAGTGAAAACATTGAGCAATTTGAAGAATGGATCGACAAACTCCGTTCCTGGTTCGAGAATGATGAGAGCTTCCGCTCGGCCCGTGAAAGTATGGAAACTGAGGAGCTGGCGAAATTGACTCAACCCGGTCTTTCCATACCTCTGAACAAAGTGAAGGGTCTGTGGCAAAGAACTTTGGCCGATGATGCAGCCACAGTGAGATTCGCCTCTGCAAATCTCAGCTTCCGTCGACTGATGGACGAAGGCGACATCGTGAAGGCCGAGGAGAGGCTTCGCCAGTTTGTGGACGATGCCGCGGATCTAGAAAATGGGTATTGCAGAGATCTCTCTCGTATTCTGGCCTGTGACCGCATAGGTGACTCGGCGAGAGCCCGTGAAATATTTGACTCCATCGATGACAATGACTTATTCAACGATAAACTCGCCGAGTTTCAACAAGGCATTGGCGTTCGAACTATATTTTCCTCGACTGCCTCGAACGCACTCATCTTTGCTATAATATCTGGCGACAAGGAACGAGCCCGTCGAGTGATTGATATCATCATCGGTATCTCGCCTTCTTATTTTGAAAAGATGAATGAGAGTGCGCTTGATTTTGCCCAACGAATCAGTTACTATGCGCATATCATGAGAGATGAGAAGCCTGAAATCTGCTTTGCCAAGCTACTCGAGGCCCGCCAAATTGTTGAGACCCGTCGAGTTCAGACGAAAGACTTGGATGCTCGCATGGGCAGTTCCAGCCAGAGCTGGAGTGCGGAGATGTTTATGGATCTCGCGCGTCTTTGTTTCAAGTGGGACGACGCGGGGGTTCCAGTAAGCTTCATATCGACATTCAAGCACGGTCATTTCGACAATATTTCCTGGTCTGAACATGCCCTACTATTTATCGAGATGAGTCGAGCAAGGGCAGTACTCGAGACTTTACAGTCGCAAACCAATCAAGCCCCTGGAACGCCCAGAGTTCCTGATACCGCCCCTCTTTCGGAAGCCGTTCACAAACGACGCCTTTTACGATCGCTACTTGCTTTGAGGAACTTGAGCCCAGAGCAGGAAGAGGAGGTTTCGCAGCTGCGCAAGGATATTGATGAGTTAGAAACAGATGGAAACCTCTCGAATGCGACGAGTTTCATTGAGACCGTCAATTCCACCATCGAGCCAAAGCTCTTGTACCGCAGCATCGATGACAATGCCGTTGTGATCGAGACCAATTTTAGTCCTCGTGGATTCATTTCATTCGCAGTGACTCGAGATGGCATTCAAAAGATACACCAAGGACCGACCAACGTCGTTGGTATGCGGAGACCTGTGATGAAAGTATTGCATCTCATGCGAAACATGACTGGATACATTGAAGAGGAAGAAGAGGCACGCAAAACAGCTCTTAACGAACTGTCCCAAGAAATTTCTGCCTTGTTACTGGCACCATTCGCAGAAATCATCCGCAGCAAGTCGCACGTTATTTTTTCCACGTCGGATCCTATGACGGCCTTCCCATTTGCAAGCCTCGTGTTTGATGGAAAGCCACTCATCATGCACGCCGCGGTCTCGCAAGTACCCAGCTTGGCCGTACTGCATTATCTCTCCCAAAGAAAGTCAGCATCCATGACCCCAACGGTATCGGTGCTTGCCAAATCGCCCACTGAAGCTCCACCCGAGGATGCGACCCGAAGCAACAAAGAGGTCAACCTCCACATGGCAGGAATCGAAGCTGTCAACATCGCCCGCATGTTTGCAACATGGCCGATCGAGGCATCCAACATGACCCGAGAAGACTTCCGAGAGTACATCAAAGGCGGCTCGTTGATTATGCACATCGGAACGCATGGCGATGTCAACCATCGGAATCCTCTGCTTTCGTCCATTTCGATCGGCAACGGCCAAGAATTCCGAGTGATCGACATGTCTGCCATTCGTAGTAGCGTCCATCTCATCGTCTTCGCAGCGTGTCTCAGTGGACTCGGCAAATCGACTTTTGGTAGTGAAGTCCTAGGATTCTCCCACGTCGTATTGAGTACTGGCTGTCAGGCATACATTGGCTCTCTGTGGAAAGTGAGCGACTTTGGGTCCATGTTGATCATGACGCTATTCTATCGCCATTTGAGTAACATGCCACACCTTCCCGTGGCAGAGCTAATGAGAAAGGCCCAGATGGATCTGCTGCAGCTCAATAGTGACAAGGCCGGTATGCTGCTGGACGGGATGTTGGAGAATTGGACTTCGACAGAGGTCGAGGGCCGCAGTCCGGCCGAGTTCGTGCCTGATGCGGAATTTCTGCTTTTTACCTTGAAGTTGATTATCGATCAGTTGGACTGGTCGAGTCCTTTCTACTGGGCTCCGTTTACGCTGGTCGGATATGGAGGTTTCCGGTTTGTCCATGAGGATCCGTAGTGTTTCAAGGAGTATAAGCGAGATGTCGCGGGAAGGGGACTTGAACAAACGAGGGACCCTTGCATTTCGAACCTAGCGTGTTACTTGACAGAGGTTCTTAATTGAATTGTGGGTGCTGCCTCCATGGGAAAAAACTAGTGGCATAGTGTACATACTATATACGTAAGTTAGTTAATTAGTATTCATGCCGACTATGTGTGTCAGATGGACAGTGAATCCAATCATTGATTACTCTATACAATATGACTGCATTTGACGTATGTAGCAGCGCTCTGACGTGGGCTCATATTGGACGAGGAGGTAGGGGACCACTCACGCATCAAGGGCAAAATACAATTATCTGAAACAAGGGAGGGGGGTTGATAGATCAGAGTGAAACCGGGACGATGGACTGGTCGAATCCGAGCTGCAAGCTAAAAAGCGTATAGATGGACCCCAGGTGGCTGTCTAGTCCATTAGTCCGTTGCGGGTCTTGCAGTACATAAACACATCCGCCAGCCCATTCACGTTCAGATGGTATTTTCTGACCGATCTGTCGACCTCCATAATAAACTATAGTCAAATACGGTGGCTATATTCTTGATCAACGTTCCAGGAAGTGAACTATTGAAAGTCTGCCGAGCCGATTCGGGAAATCCTCACGATTTTGTCCGGTTTGTTTCTCGCCGAGAGCCTCACCTGAATTTTGGCCTCGAATTTGAGCCTGACAATCCAGAATATCCTTCGACGGAGGCATTGTTCCTCCAATTCTCTCACACTTGCGCTTCTTTTCTCTCTTTTAGTGTTTGATTGCTCTTCATCGCAGCGTAATTGACCTCTTATCGACCTCTTATTTCACTCGTTTCTTCGCCAAGGAGACTTTCTCCTGTGCCTCTCTCACTGTCCCTCCCCCAGACTCGCAAAACCACTGCACGTTCCCTCCGCCTCTCTTTTCCTTCTTCTCCCTTAGGGGTATCTGTTCGTTTCTCCTCAAAACGGCGTCCTTTGCGATCCCTCGTCCTCAATCAAGAGAAGTCGACTTCAATTCCTCTCGCTTTCCCCCACCCGGCCCGAAATCCCATCGGAGTTCGCTCGAATCTCGTGGAGCCAGCGGCCGCGCCCCCGTGGAGGCGACTCCGTCCTTCACTCGCGCAGAGCGACGACAGTGTGTTCCCCTGTCGGGCCCGTCGTCGTTCCCTGCCATCCTCCGTCCCCCGGCCGTTCGTCTCGCCAACCCCGTCAATCACGTCCCTCGCATCACCCCAATCGCCGTCCTGCCCCACCGCTCCGACGAGAGTCTCCCCCTCGGCCTTCAACGCGACGCATATCCTCTGCTCACCGTTCCCGAGCGCCGGCGTAGTCGCCTCACCCCATCTCCTACCTCTCCAACGAGCCTAGTCGTCGAACGCAGTGAGGGAGAGACCGAAAGCGGGCGCACGAGCATCGCATTACCCCGGCGACACCGGCGCAGCGAACAATTATCTCCAACAGAGATGGCGGCAGCATTCGCTGGCAGCGCGGCCAACGACGTCGAGAACCTGCGGCCCCCCGAAGAAGTCCATCTTGCTCACGATGGCACTCGTCGCCGCGATGACGATCGACCGCGCCATGCCCCATCCCAAACATCTCTCCGATCCCAATCTCAAATCGCATCCGTCCCCTCAAACACCGGCCAAGCCCCTCCCGACGTCGCCGACGAACTGGCCTGGGGCCCCGCGCACCCCTGTTTCCCTCACTTTAACCCGCACGTTCCTATCGGCTCGGAAGAATACCTCACAACGCGAGTCATTCGTATTCGCCGTGACTGGATGATCAAGGGCGACTTGGCGCCGACCTTCTCCAATCTGTATCCCGAGATCTTGGACCCATTGCTTTCGGAGCAAGAGTTTCGCAAAGTGATTGCTACCGTCAACGACGGCCTGATCAAGGCCTTTGACCCGTTCAGCTTGCGAAATTGGTTGGACGGAGCAATTGGGCTCCTTACGGGCTGGATCTGGGACGACTTAAATGCACCGGGAGTCAAAGGCCAGTTGCAACGTGTGGAGTCCTGGCTGGAGAACTGGAACCGTGAAGTCGGCGCCAAGGACGGTGTGCATATATGGAGTCTGCGCCGCACGGCGTACATGTCCCTTGACATTCAGATTCCAGACCCCAAGGTTGGCGTTGTGCCGAGCGAGGGTCCGTCCATGCCGAATACCAGGCCCAGCACGGGTGTTGGGCCTGGTAATTGAATAGGCCTACTTCCGCCTATCTATGCCTTTTCTTCTTGTTCGATCCTTGTCTTAAATGGTTGTATATGTCCTTTGTAATCTTGTTGATTTGCTTCCCATCTTGGGCCTTTTTGCATGATATCCCTCCACACCCAGCGAAATCTCTTTACTTCTCTACCGCCGCCAACTTTCCTAATTGCTTTTTCCCTCTTGCTATGTTGGAATTGTCACTATACCAAGCTTTTCTCCCCCTCTGCATCTGTGTTGGGGTTTCTCTTCCTGTTACTTTCGGCTTTGCTGATGGACTGTGGTCCACGTTTGTTTATACCTGATTATATATATTGGGATCATCAGTCTAGTACGCTGAAACCCTTGAAAGTAAATATGATGGCCATATGGCTAGTGTGAAAAGATTTTGAGCATGCCCATTTTGTTTAGCAACCTGTTTCGACCAATATAGCACAGCAAGTGACCTCTGAGGTCTCCATACAAACATGAAGTATCTTCGACCCCTAAACCGAGTTCTCACAGAATTGTACAGGACGATCCTTTCTTTCCTCAAATCGAATCCACATCATTTCACATCCCATACATTCCCAAGACCAATCCCTTCCATCACTACTAATCTAGCACGTATAACTCCAAGAATTAACGTCGTGCTTCAAAGTATGCTTCCAATCCCCGTACGAATAGCCATTCAAATCCTTGCACTTAGAATCGCCATAGAGTGTAAGATGGCATCCATCCGCACGATCGACGTTATCATTGAAGAAGCTGATATTGTCACCCTTGTCGAGGTTGATCTTTTGGCAGGGGAAGACCTCACGTCGGGCATCGTGCACGATGGTCTTGCCGTGGGCGTAGAAGCTGAAGCTGCTTACGGCGACGGAGTTTGTGAGGGCGAGGAGGAGGATTGGGATGGTTGAGATCTTCATTTTTGGCCCAGAATGGGAAGGTTTGTGTTTGGTGTTGTCGAGTGTCTGAGATCGTTTGCAATGGACGAGAGGTGTGGGCTTTGGCTTGAGTTGAGGATCTCAACAAAGAAACTACTCCTTTTTTTAGCTTCTGTTGGAAATATTCGATCGACACGATACACATTAGATAAAGAACAACATGTTGAGCAGAGAATGAATCTTTCTCACGTTCTAGCTCCATTCTTTAGTCCGTATACGAGCTTAGCGCGGGATCAGAATCGAATTGTTGACCAGTTTAACGGTAAATGGTCATACCCACCGAGACTACGGAAACCTTTCCAACTAGGCTGGTCTGAATACGAATTGTTCCTGCCGATCTCAGCTCATGAAATAGGCTCTCTCCGCCTTTTTTATCCCCCGAAGAAAATAGGAAGCAGGTGTTTTCCCTCGTGTTAGCAGATTCTAAGATTGGAAGGGCAGGAAACTAAACAATGTGATGCTCAATCTTTACATCACCAGGTAAAAGCTTGACAAGGGTCTGAACATCTAGAGAGCTAGATATTCCCAGTAATAAGGCAGGCGGCGTGGCTCTCAAATGGACTAAATATGACAGGAAGAATTTTGTATCTTGGCAGCGTGTGAAAGGGAGACAAGGGCTTAAACTTGTGTTGAATACGAGTAGAGCCCCGTTTTAGCAAGGTTTTTGTTTGAAATAATTACCAATGGGCTAGGAGAGAAGATCTCGAGTTTCACCCAAGCTCATCATTCATTGGACTCGCAGTGTGTGTGGAGGAGATAAGCCTATGGAATCGGGAGGGAATACATAGACCTCTAGTCGAGCTAGACGAGCTCGAACTGACGGAATTATAGCCCTCTATAATTATGAGCTAGACATATAGTTCGAAGATTGGTAGATCTGATTATACTGGATTTAACACCATTGAATGGCTTTATCTATCTAGCCGGGTGAAGCTCAATTACCGGAGTGCCTAAGCCAAGAATCCGGCCTCAATTATTGGCATAGAGAATGAATATCGTCAAGTCTTAGTGCTTTGATAGTGAAATATCTTGCGATGTCGTCAAAAACAATTAGTCTTATAGATACAGTGGCTAATATTAGCTCAGAAGATGTTCAAAAAATGCTATTTAAGGGGTCAGTATTTACATAGATGTCAGGAACCAACCTATCGACTTGTCCTATTGTTATTGGCCAAGCTCGATTCATATCCAAATTCACGCTAAGAGCTTTTATCTCAATAAGGAAATTGAAAGTGACCTTCGGATGGCTATCTTCAAACCCACCTTATCATTTTAGGTATAAGAATGTGGCATGTATGAGACCATCTGTGTATATCCACCGGCCTAGGCGGTGTCGATCCACCCCACACCCTTTTCCCCCCCGTCGCCCGAGCTCCTGTAACTTCGAACCTCCAAACGGGATGCCCCAGCATATTACACCACCACCAACATGCTGTCGGGGATCCTAGTATTCAATCAAAAGGGCGAGAACCTCATCTTCCGCGCCTTCCGGAGTGACTGCCGTCCACGTCTTGCCGACATTTTTCGCATCCAGGTCATTGCCAACCCGCAGGTCCGCTCCCCGATCCTGACCCTGGGCTCGACTACCTTCAGCCATGTCAAGCATGAGAATATCTACCTGGTCGCGGTGACCAAGAGCAATGCCAATGCCGCGCTCGTTTTTGAGTTCCTCTACAGGCTGATCGTACTGGGAAGGAGTTACTTTGGAAAGTTTGACGAGGAGGCTGTGAAGAATAACTTTGTGTTGATTTACGAACTGCTTGATGGTGAGTTGCGAGCTTGACGAGCCTCTCTTCCTTCCAGTCAGGCCCAATTCTAATGATGATAATTCTTAGAAATCCTCGACTTCGGTTACCCCCAAAATACGGAGACGGATACGTTGAAAATGTACATCACGACCGAGGGCGTCAAGTCCGCCATCGCCAACTCGCCCACAGACTCCAGTCGAATCACTCAGCAAGCAACCGGTGCGCTCTCCTGGCGCCGCTCCGATATCAAATACCGAAAGAACGAAGCCTTTGTCGATGTGATCGAAGACGTGAACCTCCTGATGTCGGCAACCGGCACCGTCCTGCGCGCCGATGTGAATGGGCAAATTGTCATGCGCGCATATCTTACCGGCACCCCGGAGTGCAAGTTTGGTCTGAACGACAGGCTCCTGTTAGACTCTGGTAGTTCCTCTAGTGCGAACGGAGGTCGAGGTGGTGGGGGCATTTCTGGGAACAAACAGGCTACACGAGCCGCTGCCGGCTCGGTCACGCTCGAGGACTGCCAGTTCCACCAGTGCGTGAAACTTGGTCGATTTGACGCCGATCGTATCATCTCGTTCGTGCCGCCGGACGGCGAGTTCGAGTTGATGCGCTACCGCGCGACAGAAAACGTCAACTTGCCCTTCAAGGTGCACCCAATTGTGCGTGAGATTGGCACGACAAAGGTTGAGTACAGCGTGGCAATCAAGGCCAACTACAGTTCGAAGCTATTTGCGACGAACGTAGTGGTCCGTATTCCAACGCCGCTTAATACTGCAAAGACAACCGAGCGCACGAGTCAAGGCCGCGCCAAGTATGAGCCCGAGCAGAACAATATCGTGTGGAAGATTGCGCGATTCTCGGGCCAGAGCGAGTATGTCCTCAATGCGGAGGCGACTCTTACTTCGATGACCCACCAGAAGGCCTGGAGTCGGCCACCGATTAGCCTTTCGTTTAGCATTCTCATGTTCACCTCCTCTGGTTTGCTTGTGCGGTACTTGAAGGTCTTCGAGAAGAGCAATTACAGTTCCGTCAAATGGGTACGCTACATGACTCGTGCGGGAAGCTACGAGATCCGGTATGTTTTTCTTTGCTCAACCATCTATCTCTTGTTCGAATTGCTGACCGAATGTGATTTCAGATTCTAATACCGCCGACCCCTTGGCTTAGATGATGGCGTGCATAAGCCCTTGTCCTTTTTGATTATGGAATCTCAGGCGGGGTGTCTGGCGTTGATGGTGTTTTCTTCTTTCATTGATTTTACATGACTCTTATTTTTCTTTCGATAAATACTTTCAGTGCGCCAGTACTCCTCATTTTCCCCTGTGCTTGCTTTCCCACCACCGGTCGACGTTTATCAACCCTGTCACCCATAAGAACCACATAGCCATTCTCGTCGTTGATCGATCTCGAGTCCACCTGCATTTCCCTCTGGAAGCATACCTGAGAATCACCCCCTTCAACCGTATCCCCTTTGATCTCAACCTTTCTGCCTCTGTACACATACTCTCGGTTCAGCCCGTTCTTTGGCAAAGGATGAACCATAGGAATTGATCTACCTTCAACAGCAACCTGCAGCAGGGGTATCCTCGATTTCCACTTCTGAACCAATCGTGATGCGCCGACGTCTGCACCGCATTCGACCAGTAGCTTCGCCAATGCAACGCTTTTCATTTGCACTGCAATTTGTAGCGGCGTTAGTTTCGCCGTCGGGTTGAATGTATTCTGGTCCGCTTCACGTTCCAGTAAGAAAGCCACAAGCTTAAGATTTGGGGAACCCTTGCACCCATAGATAGCACCGTTCACTGGTCCATAGCGCAACCTCACAGTTTGCATCGAAGCGGCTCTAATTTGAATACAATATAACACTTATCTTCATTCAGCACTCTAAGGCAAAATTACGTTGTCATTCAAAGATATACGTGCGTTTGTCTACAAGGTTCTGGGCGAGCGAGTGGGTATTAAGAGCAGCCTCAATTTGGACCGGAAAAGGCTGCGTTTTGTTCATTGTGCTTCTTTGAAATACTTTCAGAACTATCCTGTCATCTCAATCATAGCCCTCAACCTTCTTGGTGCCCGGATTTGGCCTTACCTTAGAAGAACTGCACAGTCATTCTCCCCTCGTGCACCTTCCCAGCCTGCATCAGCGCCATCATTTCGTTGATATCCTCCAGTTGAAACTTTCTCGGGTGAATCTTGGGGTAGATCCCTTTTCGCAGCGAAAACTCCAGGCATCGTACGGCACCCAAGGGTCCAGTCACTTTAGCTCCAATGATCCTATCAGGTATGATGAGGTTAGACTTGGAATGTATTCCGCGCAGAAAGATTTCAACAAACCTAAATGACTGAAGAGCGACCATGCCCAGATTAAGCGACATGGGCTCATGAGGTATCCCAACAACCATCAACCGTCCGTCGGGCCTCAAAATCGAAATGCCAGTTTGATATGCGGCAACAGAACCCGACGTGACAACCACAGCGTCAACCATCCTGCCATGATTCATGGCCGCGATGCGTGCTTTGACATCTTCAGGCTGTAGCTCTCGCGTATTCAATATCCCATCTGCACTGCCGCCGTCCCTAACACTTTCCAACTGCCCATCATGAACATCCAACCCCAAAACCTTCGCCCCAAGAGCATGCGCATACTTGGTCGCGATCTCGCCCAGTCCACCGACGCCTACAATAGCAACGGTCTCTCCCGGTCTAATCTGGGCACGCTCTAACGCATCCCAGACTGTAATGCCCGCACAGAAAATAGGCGCCAATTGCGCTGGGGAGACATCTGCATCACCGCCCTCTAGACGGGGGATTGCCACGGCCGTCGCTGCATCCACAAGGGCATACTCGGCGAAATACCCAGCACTGCTCAACCCCTTCAGGGTGATTTTGGGACAATATTGAGGCCCGATATTCTTGCATTCCCAACAATCGAGACACATGTCTTGCCAGAGCGGGGCGCCGATTTGGTCACCCGGCTTGATGCCGAAGGGTGCTGCATCGGGGCCCAGAGCCTCCACAACGGATATGGCTTCGTGGCCGATGATCTGGGGGAGGGTTGTGAGTCCACCTTTGGGGGAGGTCATGAGGAGATCTGAGTGACAGAGCGAGGCGACTTGGACTCTCACTAAGACGTTGCGACCTGTTGGCGTTGGGACGGGGACATTTTCGATGACGAGGGGTTGGCCAGGCTGAGCGGTATATTTTGTTAGTTCAAGAGATAAAAGCAAAGAGGGGACGGAAGTTTGGGTTGAGAGCTATATTAAGACTGATAATCAAGGGCTGATATAATGTACTTCTTTGCAAAGAGCAGCTTTCATCGTGTTTGGCGCCATGTTGGGAAATCGGTGTAAGAGAATGTGTCTGATATCAGAAAACGGAGGCTGTTGAGGTGAATTCTACAGGTATGCCCAGGAAGTTCATGCCCGGCCTATTCAGAATTTATCCAAGTATTTATGTAGCACTAATTATGCCACAAAGGAGGAGTAAAAGCGGAGTATTCATGCTGCCAAGTCCCCAGTGTCACCCGAGGTATATAAAAAGATCGATTCCCCCGCACGGGTGGCTGCAACGGCCGGATGTCATGGAATCGTCAGTTAGCAACTCGATGTTAGCCGTTATTTCTGCATGTACCACGTTTACTGCCATACAGAATGATAGTCTTTTACTGTTGGAAAGTTTGAATCTCATAGCATAACCTTGCTGATAGATACAGTTTGGGGAGCCACAAAGACGAGATAGGTCTGGCTATTGCTACCTGCATGCTAAACTAGCATACATCCATCCTTCTGCGCGGCATCACACCACTACTTCCATCTTCTCGGACGCTAGAATTGCCAAAGAGCGTCGACTTTTGACAATTATGAGCTATCTAGGTCTTAGCATATTGAAATGGAGTCTAGAGAAGAGCTCACTTAGGTTGTCTGTTTGCAGCACCTCGTGACTGACGTTGGACTAGATAGATATATTGATTACCCACCTGCAGCCTCGATTCATTCGATCTTTGCAGGTATGGGAACTTGATGAAAGTATTGGATACAATGTATATGACGCCGTGTCAAAGCGAAAATGATCCTCTATCTTTCTGTTTTCTCCCTTCTGCTCAGCGCTCCGTTTTCATTTGAGGGACCTTCCTCTGAAGACTTGCCTAGACTTCTCTTTGTTCAATACCCAATTATGTTGATAAATGGCCGAGGCATTATACTCGACACCCACGATACGTGCGAGGAGCTAAGTATTCCACCGAGAGCGACAAAAGTATCTTGCACCAATCGGAAAATTGAAGGATAAACGCGAGTAAAGCGTAGAGGTTCACGCAATCCCAGCGCTGTCGAGTCTTATTTCTTGACCGCATTCTAACCAAGCACTCTACAAAGGCCTTCCTACATTCCATGACGTCTAATTCCGGGACCAACTTATTGCTCATATTCATTGGCATATGTGCCTGTATTTTGATGGGATACCACCTCCTACCATACGGCGAGTTGCACTTGATCTTCTGCAGGCGCCGAATATGCGTCTATATGCAGTTCGACGCATCAATCAGCAGCCGAGACAGGGGTTAAAGCTTACCGGGCCATCCCGTTACTTCAGCAACACTACAATTAGTGAAGGTTGTTTGTTGACAAAACAATAAAAAAAGAAATAATAAGATCAATAATTGACAATAAAATTTGCGATTGAAATAGACAAGTGGTATCTTCATAATAATAGTACAGATAGAATAAATAGTAGTACAGATGCTCACCGACGCGATCAGAATAGAGTCAGAAAAAGCAAGATCAATCAATGTGCAGTCAATCGAGCCACCAAAATTCAAGCAGTAAACAGGAGGTGGACTGAAGGGGGGGCCGGCGCAATTCACATAGCCAGATGCGAAACCAGAAAATGAGGATCCACGCGGAGAAACAGCGGATAACGAAAGTGGGAATGGACATCATAAGGGGAAAGTAACAATCAAGTCCGAGGGGAAGAAGTGATAATACAGGGTGTGTTTCTCGCAACAGGGATCGGTGCAGTGAAAAGAGGAGAACAACACAAGAACTGAGGTCATAATATACAAGACATGTCAAGTGGAAACGAACAAATGGGAGAAGTACGTTTATTGTCGGCGTCGCAGACCGACCCGTCCCTCTCCCACGAGAGAGTGCCATCGGCGCCCGATGTCCGCACCATTTTGGCGGCCCACCTGGCGCGCGCACTCATCCCATTCTTGCTGAGAGAGGCGGAACTTTTCCAGGACCACCTCAATCAAGCGCTGGTCCTCGTCCTCGGTCCAAGCCTCGGGAGCAGTTTTGGATGGCTCATCCGGCTCTTCGATAGAAGGAAGGACCGCGTCAGGATCGATGCGCGCGACTGTTTCTGGCACCTGGGGCATTGCCCGGCGCGCAGGCGAAGGGGGAGATTGTGTGATTGGCGGAGAGTGGAGAGAATAGAAGTCTGTCGAGGACAGGCCGAGAGGGAGTTCGTAGGGGATGTGGCGACGGCGCTTGGGCGTAGAAATAGGGCGACCAAAGTCTGCGTCGCTGTCCTCTTCGTCCCAGTCTGTGCGACGACGCTTATTCGCACCGCGCGCGGGCGCAGACGGTGGTGGAGGAGGGGTGGTCGCCATCTTGGCTGGGGGAGGAGTTGGGCGTGGCGAGGCAGGCCGCGCGACTGTGCGCGCGCGCGGCGAGCGACGCGGTTGGGCGATGGGTAGAGGACTCTGAAGGCGTTGAGGCTTGGGTGTGCGGCGTGGCGATGGCGCAGGGGAGCCGTTCAAGAGAGACTGCAAGGCGCGGCAGGTGCCGAGGAGACCGTTTCCAGAGGGGTAGCCGCGGTCTGAAGGGGGAGGTGTGGAAAAGAGGCGACTGGGAGTGAAGCGAGACGACCGGCGCACGTCGCATGGGAGAGCGGAAGGGAGCAGCATGGTTGCGCGAAGATGGAGGATGAAGAGAATATGATAATAGTGTCGCGGGAATGCGAAAGTATGGATCTGGAAAGAGTTGGTAGGAGATGTTGGACGGTGGTCTGGTAGGTGGTCGAGTTTGCGCAGTGATCGCGCGAAGCTGGGATTTGTGCGCGAAATGCGCCGGAGGCAGTTTTGAAGCGCGACGATGGAGTTGGACAATTAAGAACGAATGGAAGCGATTGTGGTCGGAATGCGCTTCAATTTGCACCTAACCCGGAAGAATTGCGACGGGTGGAAGGTGGGATGAAGGTGGGAGATGGTTGAGCGAGTGTTTGGGGGAGGGAAAGAAGTTTGGCGGGGGGGGGGGCCCAGGCGATAAAAGAAAATTGGAAATTGGGAAGGGCCGCAAACGGTCAAGCGAACATCACCCGGAACGTCAATGGCTGGGCTCCACTCTTTGTTACGGGGAGTGGGGAGATGTTGACGTTCTGTGAGATGAAAGAAAGTGAGAGCGAAGAAGAGTAGAGAGAGATGGAATTTAAAAAATAGAAATCCAATGGATCAGCAATAGATTGGAACGAATGAAAGTCAGCTGGGTGATGTAATTTCCCCAGGCAGAAAGGCAGCGAAATCCAGGTTGTACAACGAGTGACGATTGATTGGGAACTCTCTCTCTTCTTCTCTACTTCAACTATTCAACTATTCAACAGGGCACATTCCCTCTCCTTTTATTCTACGACCCTTCCTACGGACCTTGACTCCTCGTTCATCGACTCCACGCGTGGTCTATTCCCAGTGAAACATCCCCAAAAGGGAGGGGAGATCGAGGGATGCAGGACGCAAGGCGAGCCCTGACCACCAGCAGGGAGCACGAGGGCGACTCGGACCCCCCTGAAATGCGCAACCGTTTCAGCGGATTAAGACTAACTTGGTCTACCTCAAGTCTTGATCACCGGGCGTTTCTTTTTCTAGGATCCTTGTCAAGGATCTTCTGCTCAATTACATTTCCCAATCTGGCCGACCCCCCGACGACCCGCGACGACCCGCTCCGTCGTTCTCCATTATTGTAATGGATTGTATCAGAATTGTAATCAAGTGTATCGCCGGCCCCAATCCGTCTGCGGGATCTTCGCTATCGATATCATGATGACTGCATCGCTTCAATGGCCCTCAAGTAGTAGCGCCATCGCTGGTGATGCAATGGCCATGGCGTGCAGGCTGCTGCCTGCAGCGACCCGCCGCCCATGCCGTTGATCAATAACTACACTCCGTATAGTAGTTGAGAAAAGAAAACGTAGTACGACTGTAGAAAGTCTGATCACTGGCCATTTACCACGAAGTCCCGTGGCAACCCGGCGCGTTTTAATATTCCCTCTTTACTCGGTTTCTAGGAGGTATAGAGGACATCTTCCTTTCGTCCTTTCCTACGGCCCTTCTCCCCAGCCCTAGAGGGTTAACCACCCTACCCATACCTAGTATTTCCTTCTCGAGGCTGGTATGATGGAATGTCTCCCAGCTGATGCTCTTTAAGTTTTTCAGCCATTATGATTCTTATGGCTATTCTAGCTATCATCGCCATAATGGCAGAGGCTGAAGTCGTTGAAAAAAACGCGTATTTCATTAAACGCGTTACCGTCGCGTGACTCGCGCGTGGTAGACGCGTGACGCGACAACCAATCAAAATGTGCGGCTGACAACCACGTTCTAGACGATCCCTGTGGAGTACGAACAGTCAACGGAGTAAACGGAGAATGCTTTCTACAATACACACACTCTCACCCCTCCGGTCCTTCCTAGAAAGGAATACCTCTCAGTACAACCAATGACAATCTATGGAAAATAAATGTGGACAGGGTCGATGCTCAATGTAGATCTGTACTGTACTATACGATATTTAGACTAAACCACCTTGAAACTCGCTTCCTACGGAGAACTGTACGGCACTCCGTATTTCCAGGTCAAATCTCTTCTCGGCTTTCCTGGATGACTTGCCTTCCCTAGTTGTCCGTCACCTCTGTTAGTCCTGCAACAAGCGTCCGTCGTCAGCATCTTCTGCTTATCCCGCCCAATGACCCACCTCTTCAGACTTCATCCGGTCCTTGCCTCCCTGCAAGGTCCGTTGCCCTGGCAAATAGTGCCAAAATCGCCCCGGATCGTCCGATTAGACTCGTGGGCTCGTCTTACCTCGCATTACACCCCGTGAAAGTGCTGCACAACGATAACGCCCCGAGTTTGTGGGGTGCAGAACGCATGATGCGCGACAGATCAAGTCTATCAAGTCTACCAACGTGCGATGGAAACCACCGAATGTCGGCATGCATATTCCAAGCGGGCTTCTGTACATCTCAACCTTCCAATGCCGTTAATTTTCTATTAGTTGATTTTCTTTGTGAGGAGTGAAACAAGACCGATCCACCCGCACCCCTGCCCACTGTAGCATTCAGCCCTCTACACTACGCTACGACTATCCTTCAAGGCACACCAAGGGATCTCGATAGGATCACCACCATAGAATCTAATCATAAGAGCCTCCTATCACCTAATCTACCCCTCCTCCCTATTTTCCCTGCCCCTATCCCCATCCCGACATCCCCTCCACTCCCACGCAAGGGATACCTGCACATCAGATACAATATCACCACTTGCGCACTGCTATAGGCCCATACCAAGATCGTGCTCACTCCAGGCACACGGGGGACGCACAACATCCTGCATGAACTTCCCCCAGTCCCGACAATTACACTTTACTCTCTTCGCACTGGGGCCTCGTCGATCCTCGAGACAGGGCTGCATGGAAAGATTTCCTTCGTGATCGGACCTTTTATCCCTGCAGACAACCCATGCAAGACATTGTGGGCAGTTGCAGCGGGCGCTAGTGCAGGGCGCTTTGTCTTGGTTTGTGCACTGCCCTTCGTGCGTGGGCGTGGCTGGGGGATATCATTGCCCGCTCGACCCTTTGCTTTGGAAGGGTTGAGGGCGTTTCTTTGTCGGAGGAATGGGTTGAACGCTTTGCGGTAGTTTCTGGGATCCCTCCATAGGAGATCGAGTGTCTCCCTGGCCCTGGATGGTCTTGGCGTGGTCTGGGGGTCCTTTGTGTCTTAGATGGTATCGACCGGGTTAGGGTGAGAAGGGGAGGGTGTGTCTTTTCCTTGGACTATTGACAGGGCAGTGATTGGGTGATTGCTCTTTTGAAGGACCTGTCTCTGCCTCTTGGACCAGGGAAGGTGGCTGGATTTTAAGTGTAACAGTCTGGGTGTTTTGTTTTGTTGTTGTTCTCGATGGAGTGAGACTCATTGCGAATGTCTCTGTTGTCGAGGGTGATTTGTACTGAGACTGTCTTAGGATGCGTGCCATGGCAACGCTTTCTTTCTTCCACCCAACAGTCCTTGATGTAGCTTGCTCTCAAGGCTACTTTGATCAACAGGAAGTACAGCAGTGTGGTTCGCTTTGTTAAATTCTGCAATGACCACCAATGGTATCTATCTCTTCGAAAGGGAAGCCATGGGCCAACTAAGTCAAGAACGAGAAATCCCCAATTGGCCTCCAACCTGAAACCGCCACGAATCCAATTGGATTAAACCGGCAGCTTCGCCCCTTCTATCGAGGGCCATATCCCCTCTAGCTCTACTTGTCCTTCTACCTGGTCCATGTTGATCCCTGGTCATCAAGACCCGTGATGATACAATGCCCTCCTGCAGCCCTTCATGGTGGCCATTGAATCAATCACGGCTTATGAAGAGAGATGGGCCAGTTAAATCCAAGATAACCAGAGAAAGCTCCGTAGTTCTCGTCGCCACAGGCCAATAGGCGGGCGTCACACCCTCACAAGGCCATCTTTGATCAAGGGCGGCTTTTGGCCCCTCCCTTATGCTCCAAGTGTGGAGCACGGCTGAGCAGACTATTGATATCCATCGGTGCCTTCGTTGTGGCATTTTTTCTTTGGACCTGGATCCGATTCTTTATCACCACTAGTCTTGATCTGATCCAAGAGATCGAGCTAAGCAGACCTATATTTGTTGCCCTTATTTTTCCCTTTGAGGGTGGAGTATACGATACCAAAAAACTTGATTTGAATAACCTAACGATATTGCCGTTATGAATAGAACGTGTAACAATTAGGGTACATCATACGCAGAAAGTCATACAACCAAAGTGTCGACTTCTTCATGTCGACACAGTATTCCTACCGCCAATTCCAACAATAAAGATCAATCCCACATGAAACATAATGACAGTCTCTCCGAGACTAGAGCATCTGACTCAATGATTCCATATCACGTCCATAGATGAGTCGCTTGCGTTTTCCGGTGATAGGGTTGCGCACCTCTTCGAATACTTGATCAGCCAAGTCACTCTCCTCCTTCGCGGGTCTTTGCGGGAAGGCTGGCAGCGAAGGATGAATACAGCGAGACGCAGCTGTTCTCGAGGGTATGAAAAAGTTCCGCATTCCTGTATTCGTGTTCACAGTGAACTTGGCTTTGGTAGCCCCTTTGGGTGCCAGTTGACTCTTTTCTCCGGCTCTCTGGTCACTTTGATCCTCATGGGATGACACGTACAGAATATGTCTCTCCACATTGGGTGTGTCGAGTTGCTCGCGCTTGACCTGACTGATGAATTTGACCTCGGAGTCGGGGCTCGAGAGACACGGGTAATGTTGAGGGTTTCTTGGTTTGTTTGCAGAATTTTGATCCAGAGAGATGAGAGGCGAACGGCGAGACGATTTTTTCGGTGCCGAGTTCGAGATGGCAGGTGATATCAACGGTTTGGTGCATGTGGGCAGGATGTTCTCCCATGAGCTCTCGGAAATGTGGTCTACGTCCGCGAAGCGCGCACCTTCCTTGGTTGAGAAAGTCAAGGCCGAAGTCGAGGGCAACCGGTTGTTGGCCGGAACACTCTTCAAACTGGCCAGCTCGACTATCACCGGCTCAGTGGAGCTTCGAGGCTTCCAACTCTGGATTGAACGATCGTACATCTCATTGAACCACTCTGCCTGAGTGGGATTGGTAAACCAGTCATGACGCAGTGCCTCCTTCACATTCATGCGCTGGCCCTCGTCCTGAACGAGTAATCGACGAACGAAGTTTCTGGGCCGTGAACTGATATCGAGTGCTCTCATGTCCAGATCCAGATTCACAAGATCGCTTGCTGTGGACCTCAACTCGTTCTCGAAGGGGGTGTCACCCATCAATAGAACCGCGGTGACACAACCCAAGGACCACATGTCAACGGCCTTGGTGTATCCTTTTGCGTTGTTGTGCTTCAACTCTCTGTTTAAAGATCAGCACGCAGACCGTATTCTTACATTCCAGGATCATACATACGGTGCGCAATAGTCCAGAGTTCCGACAACACTCGACATTCGCTGACTAGGTTGGTTCACCAGTCGAGCACATCCAAAGTCAGCCAGAACAACCCTTCCGCCGACTTCGTGACGGGTCATGAGTATGTTATCAGGCTTGACATCTCGATGTACAATGTTTTGATCATGCAGGTACTCCAGCGCAAGCAAAACCTGTCGGATGATTAACGCTACAGTCGTCTCTTCGAGGGGTCTCTTATTCCGAACATAAGAGAAAAGGTCGCCACATGTAACAAGTTCGGTGAAAATGTAGCTACAACTCAATGAGTAAAAGACCTGATTACGGGAGGTGGTGGCATTGGACTCACATCGTATTGCTGGACCGAATAACCTTTTCAGCTGCGATTATGTTTGGCTAAAAAGTGTGTCAGCCTGATCATTCCTGAAATGCGAGGGAACAAATGATTATACTGACATGGGACAATTGGGCCAGAAGAAGTGACTCTCGCTGCTGCATAGCTAGTTTTGCGACAATAAATCTCTCTAACGTGGAGCTCTTGCCTGTCATGGATGTAGACTCCAGAGGCCCGTATCGTTTTTCAAAGAACTTGGACTTCATTTCTTCAACCAAGCCCTCCCGGGCCCTGGCTTGAGCCTGGAACTCGACTTTGGCAGCCTGGAGATCGATGATTTTGCAAGCAAATTGCCGTCCAGTGTTCACATCGAAGGCCATGTGGACTCTCCCATAAGCACCGGAGCCAAGCACACGCTGCGTGATGACATAGCTCTTCTGGAAGCTCTGAGGAATCACATCAACAAATGAAGACCGTTAGTAAAATTAGACTCAAGGAAAACCTACCCGCATCTCAAGCTGCTGTAGCTGGGTGAACTTGTTTTCGGTGTCGGGATCGGCAGACTTGAATCGAATATGAGTGTCGCCAGCTACTCTGAGGATGTCACCATCACTCAGAAGAAAGCTGCCCTTGTCTTTACCCATCGGATAGCCATTCCAAAAGGTCCCGTTCATCGAAAGATCTTCAGCGTAGATCAGTGGAGGTACCTCTTGCAGGTTGTCTTGGTCAAAGAGGATGGTATAAATGCGGATATGCTTGTTCGAGATGTAAGGATTGGTAAGATGAAATGAACTATTTTAGAAAGATGGTGTGTCAATTTCATAATCTCCAGGGACAGAGGGAAACTGCTGTACCATCTTTTTGCATCTCGTCCAATGAAAACCTCCTCGTTGCTGTAGACCTCAAGCGGTCGACTGGTTTCATGGGTGGTGGAGTCCCAGAGACTCAAGGTACCAACACATATTCCTGGATCATTGATCACAGGGCTTGAAGGGAGCAAAGAGCGCATTTCACCTCTAGAGAGCCGAGATTGACGCGAGGAAAGTGGATGGAGCTAGATGAGTTGAGAGATTGGAGACCCTCATCGTTTAGCATCACGAGACTGCATGTGACTTATATCCTAGACGGGACAAGTTTGTTTGCTAGCTGGGCTAAAATGCTTTGGCCGGTTGACATATTCATTTTCTATTAAAGGGTTATGTCCGATGACACAGTATTCAGTGAAAGTCAACGCTTGAAGAGCTTCCAAATAATACACAGCATACCATTTATCTAGTTCCCCTGCATCCTTCGAAAACGCTCTTCTGCAGCCCTCGCTCGCCTTTCTCTTTCTAATTTCATTCTCATCTCTGGTGTCATACCTCGAGTCTCCTCGTCGCGCTTTTCAGCTGCCGTCTTCTCCACGGCTCCCAGAGTTCGCCCGCCAGATTTCGATATCTGCTGTGCAGCTCTCTCGGCATCCTCCTTCTTCAGACGTTCCAAACTGGCCTTGCGTCGATTAGCCTCCTCTTCTACCGCTTCCTTCCGTTCTCTTTCAGCTCGGCTATCTGCGTCTGCTTTGGAAATAGCAGCCGGGACCTTTGCTGCCGTCCAATTCCACTTCGACTCCCCGAGCTCATGCCGTGCTATACGGAATGCATCCCGGGTAGGGCGGTCCCCACAAAGTTCGAACGGGGTCCGACCTTCGCCATTGAAAACAGTTGGGTCGGAGTTGGCTCGAGTAAGGAGAGCATTCACGATAGCAGGGGCGTTGTTGTTGGCAGCGAGATGGAGAGGGGTGGGACAGCGAAAGTTTTGGGGTGAATCGGCAGGCTGGAAGGAGAAGGATGAGGTGATTGAGTTGTTGGAGAGATAAGACATGAGCGCCGGGACTTTGGAGCGCCGGATGAGGGCTTGAATCTGGGATGTGTGTAATAGTGCAGCCTCCTCTTCCTTGGACAGCTTCGGCTTTTGAGGTTGTGGGCGTGGCGTGGTGGGTTTAGACTCTTCCTTTCGTTTTGCTGCTTCTGCCGCAGCTGCCAGAGCAGCCTCATCGATCTCGCTGATTTTCACCCGGGTCAACTCCTTGAAGCATCGCATGAGCTCACCTTGGGTGGCTCGACGAGTATTGAAGGGGAAGCCGCGCAGTCGAGGGTCGTTTTGTTTGAAGACATGTCCCTCATATCTCTCGAATAGAATCCTCCTGTTGGTCTTTCCCGTCGCACGAACGAACAAAAGTTCCGCACTGTCGATCATTTGCCGCCAGTCCGCAAGAAGGTCCCGAATGTCCTTCTCCAGTGCAACTTCGTTGTAGCGACGCAAGCTAGAACCCGCTGAATGGGCAGCTCCTCGGGCGGCATCGCTGGCTGACTGGGAACCACCTTGCTTACGTCGCGTTGTATATCGATGGAAGGTCTTGTGCGCAATGACTCTCGCCTGCCTATCCTCCACGCCACCTTGTTTCCGGTGAATTTCGGGTGCAAGGGACACCACCATTGCCGCAAAATGGCCACCACCAATCATACACATAAAGATGTGGGGACCAGTAGCCGACAGGTCCTTTTGGATCTGCGCATTATTGGTCCGCGCCTTGACTGGAGCGAGTTGCTTCTTGCGCAGCGATTCCACCAAGTGGGCAGGTGCATCCTGCTCAACGTTTGAGAATATCGCCCTATAAATCCCCAGGGACTTATTCGACGGCAAGCCCGAACTTGAGAACCAAAAGAGGGGATTTTTTGGTGACCCTCCTGTCACGGCAGTTGTCGCCTCCTCATTCGCCTCCGACAGCTTGGCTTGCTTTTTCAGCAAAGCCGTGAGGGTGGTGTCACCATTTCCATCAGCCTCGTCCTCCTCCGATTCGGATGACTCCGATCCCGATATAGATTCGTCCAGCTCTCCAACTGCCTTTGCGAATTGGATCTCATCGAGCGGCGCGTTGCCGCGGAGTTGCGCTTTGATGTTATAGCGGTGGTGATCGGAGCGAACATGGCTCCGTTGCTCTTGCACATTGAGATAGGTGACATTGCAGAGGGAGCATAGTGTCGATGTTGCAATCGCAGGCTCTTGCGCTGCGATCTCTGCATTCTTGGGGGTGGCCTCGGAGACTTGTTGGGCTTGTTCGGCGACAGGCTGGTTCGCGGTTTTTGCGCTTAGAGTCGTGAGAAGCTCGGGCGGAAGATCATAGACTGTGCAGGTTAGGAGACATCCATAACAGGAAAGTAGTTAAGGAGTTACACACCATAGAGAGGTCTCTTCAAAAGCTCCTCCAAGCGATTGGAATCACCCATGGTAGCTGGATGTCGTGAGTGAGCTAGAATGGAATGTTGGCTGCCCCTCCAAATGACGCCAGCAAGTGGGCTCTTACCGCCTTAAGAATGCGGGCGGCGGTGGCTTCCAGAATGCTTCGAGAATCTTTAGATCGCTGGCCCAGACGTAGTTTAATGTAAGGCGAGAAAAATCAAGCCTAGTCACCTATGACTGGTCAACTAACTAACTAACTGATTAAGTTAACACTTAAGTTACAGATGAACCATCACAATGACTCATGTTGGTTGCTCAGCCTCAATTTCTCCAGCGCAGGACCCATCTTTGGTGGCTGTACCTCGGAACCGTCCACAGTTATCTCAGCGGCGCTATGACCAAGACGGTGCCCGACTGTGGACGGGCGAACTGACTCACGGGGCAATCCACAAATCGATGATCTGCTTGAGCGGACTTGTAGTGAGACAGAAAGCTATAGTGCTTAGTAGCACCGGTCAATTTTTAACGCTCTTCCTTCGCAGATGCTCTTCCTTCGCAGATTACAAATCTCCAATCCACCCGAAAATATTAGAATTTTTAAACTGCATCCGTTTAAGTCCTGATCACTCAGTTAGATAATGGATACATGCCATCATTGCTTTGCGCAAAATCCTCAGATGCATTGCATTTTCAGAGGAATAAAAATGATGCCCATAATGCACCTCCGGTAAAGCGGTATTATTGTCCCCCGCTAGACTGATACATCCATTCCTCCTCTTCATAATCCGGGACATTTGTAGACGATTCAACATTATCATAGTGCTGGCCCTCTACTAACGACCCATCTGGGGTCTCTGGCACGGAACCATACTGATTCGTGCCCCCCAAATAGTCGGTACCCTGCCCAGAATGATCAGGTTCGCGGCTGGGGAGCCATGAAGGCGGGAAGTCTGTCGTGAAACGGGCACATTCTAAGATCAAGCTGCGGAGCTCTGGAAGGGTAATTCTTTTGGAAGGATCGAGTTCAAAAATACGATTCAGGATAGCGGTTACCTCGGTGGAGAGAGGCAAGATAGATTGGAGAAATGAAGGGTCCCTCCTGTAGGCCCTGTAAGTGGAATCCTCAAGGGAAGCACGCTTCCATGGGTTGCGTCCGCAGGTGAGGTTGACTAGGATCACACCTAGGCTCCAGACATCATTGGGGGCGCTCAAGTAGGATGCATCCGGAGGTTGATCTTCCTGCTGGCATTCTTTACAGCCAAAAATTTAGTGATGGATTACCACAAGCGATACACACGAGAGAACTTTTCCTTACCGGGCGACATGTAGAATATCGTACCACAGCCAAAATCGGAGGTGGCGTAGTCCTCCGAAGCCAGGCGGAAGGCAGTGAGCTTAACGGTCATACCCCCGTCCGCGACGAGGAAATTCTCAGGTGCGAGGTTTCTGTGGTAAACTCCAACCGAGTGGCAGTATTGGACAGCGTCAAGGATCTGCATGAAGACACGCTTCACTAAGGTATCGTTGCCCACATAGTTGCCTTTGTCCACTATGTTGGAGAACAAGTCACCTTCCGGGAAGAACTCGAGTACGACATAAGTGACATCAATAGTGTCCACGATTCGAATTAAGGAAACCACATTGGGATGCCCACTAGCCTTGTGGTGGAGTCTTATCTCCGTCTTTAGCATTTCTGAGTAACGGGGATCCTTACTCAGAGCCTTGACCGCATACTGAGTTTGCGTATTGATGTCCACGGCACTGTAAACGACGTCGTGAGAACCCACGGCCAGTGTACTGGTCAAGCTCAGCCAGTTGCCTATAATCGAACCCAGACGGTCTTCGGGGGAGGAGGAGAAGAAAGTCAGTGAATTCAGCCAATCACTTGTACCTGTCTGCCCTGAGGGATCATGGGGTATTTGATTGAGCTGATCTTCTGTCAGTTGTTGTTGCTGATGCTGCTGCTGCTCGAGAACAGAATGATCTGATTCCTCGGAATCTGAGTCTACGATGCTGTCCAGATCTGTGGCTATATGTGACTCTCTAGGCGGGCTCCCCGAGGGCTCTGACCAGCAGCTGTCAACGTCAAAATATGGATTTTGTTCGAAGAATGTTCCGTATCCTTCTCCATCCTCTTTTTCGTCGTCGTCGTCTTCAATTTCCAGCCCTTCTCTCGGCGCCCATGGCAATGATCTCAGTGAGAACGAGTGGATATGCTCAGCAGTGTGGTCAAGTAGAGCAGTTTGATCGTCACTCTGGAAATTGCAAAGTGGACAAGTGGATATTTCGAAAGGAACTTTGCGCCGCCATGATGAAAGCAACATGGGTATTTGATTTGGCCTAATCCCCTTGCTATGCTGCAGCTGAATATGTGCAGTGAAATCGGCTGGGTCTCTAAAGGTGGCGTAGAGGTTTTTCTGGGAGCACGAATGGCATACCCATTGCACCGTGTCCCCATGTTCTTCGCCCATATGGCTCAACCACGTCTCTTTAGTCATATAGAACGTGTCTGCCTGAAGACAGTCCTCAAAAATACATGTGTATGGGAGAATATCCCCCATTAGATGTTTCCTGTTCGGATAAAGAAGCGATCAATTTTGAACCGCTGTTTTCGGTGGGAGAGACTTACTTCCAACTATTCCCGCGCCCAACTGAAGCAGGAAGGGACTGGCAACAACATGGACATGTGAAAAGCATTTGATGATCATGAAGAGGCGGACACTTTGGGTATGGTATTCGAGAGCTTGTCACTGACACGACTGTCGTTGCAGGCTTGGGTATTTGTGCGGACGGAATCTCAATCTGCTCATCCACTACCGTAGCGGTTGTTGTACTTTGAGTTTGCGGGTCATCCCTAACAATTGTGTTGTCCCCGTCGACAAGCGAGTCAGTTTGAGCAAGATCAAAATGTCGTGAATGCTTTCCTAGGCCAAATTTTCCTCTCGGCGTGTTCTTTCGATATCCCGAATTGTTATCTAATTTCTGAGCATGAGTTTGGGCGTATATAAAGCGGTTGCGTCGCTTCAAGTTCGCATCAATTAGCTGTAATTGAATTGGACTCAACGCTGTCGAGTTAAGCTGCTCTTGGCTGAAATAGGAAATCCCATGCTCGTCAGGTCGCACCAGGATGAGGAATTCGAGGTGTCGGCGCAGGGAACGAATCTGGGGGCCATCAGAATCAAACTTGTTGTCAGCCTTTTGAAGTCGGGATCTGGTTCCTGCTTTTCGAATGGCAACTGTCAGCCTAGTGAGCTGGCTTAGACTGTTTTCGACATCCTGAAATCTGGCCGATTCCTCTTTAGATAGCTCTGCCAGAGTATCCTCAATCTCGCGACCTAGGATACGGCGTCAGAGAAAGGTTCATCTGCCTAGAGTAGTTCTGCTCCATACATCCGTCTATACATTTTTGTAACAGAATCTGCAACATCAGCAGGAGGTTGAACAGGATGGTGTGCGCTTCCGGGTTAACATGAAGTCGATGATCGAGCGAGGCTTTTCCCGTGCTCGAGGCGCCAGCGCCTATAGCCCAGAGATTGAAGTCTGCAAGTCTATTCTCAGCCCATTCTTGATGCATTAGCCGCGGGACTGTCGTGGCCTTCCTAAAGCCCTGATGGCATTCTCTGGCGGCTTCAAAGATCGTGGAAGCTTCCGCCATCGTGAGCGTTGCTCCTCACGGCAAGCCCCCAGTGTTGAGAATCAAGGGAGCTGGTGTCGGGTTCTGCAATCTGCCCATAGCCATTTGAAACGGCCCAACGAAAAGCACGCGCCCTGCTTATCTACAAGCTCGGTGGTAGGTACCCCGCAGCGCCTAAGGGGAGGCTGACCTGAGATTCTTCCACACGTGATTTAACCAGCGTCGCTGTCGGTGTTCAGCGTCCTTCCCCATTCCCATAGAGGCTGCCGATCGCCCTCAGGGGCCAACTATGGGCAGACTCTGTTAGAATGGATGATATCCAAGATTTATGTCGGGATGTTTTCCCCTGGATCAGCAACCAAGCAACCCGTCTCGGCCTGGAAACACAGGACAACAGATTCGCTCAGCTGGGCGGAGAACTCTTCATCTTGACGCAACAAATACCCTTCTCCTACCACAAAGTGGCGGATCCGAAACTAGTCAAGATTGCATTGCTCGTAAACAAAGCTTGTTCTGTAAGTGAGTATTCATGGGCTGCTGTGAAGATGTCAACAAACTTACCACTGGCGAAACCCCTTACATAGTCCCCGAGAACCAACCATGGCAGAGAGAATAGGCGCTTTGATACACTTTGGAGAGTACTTGAATGCAAGGATTCAAAAACGTCTGCTGAGAAAACACTTATTCGCGAGGTTCGAAACAGCCTGCTGCAATTCGTTCGGGAGAACCCCGAGTATCCGTCTCTCCTACGGTTCATTATGGATTGTCTACACATAACGGAATCCTCAGATTGTCTTCCTGAGGAGAATCTACGTCTGCATAGTACTGACACTAAGTATCCCGCGCAATTAAACAATACTCTCTATACCCAACTTCGAATTCACTCATCCTGCTCGTGCGGCACTCAACACCTTCAATGCCCACGGCTACGGCTGAATCCTGGCCACGATAAGCATGATGATGAGCATATTCCATTCGATGTGTTATTTTCAGCAGGTTCAGTATCCTCTCCTACAATCAACTGTCAATTTCGGTGGAAAGAGGTGAATGTATCAGTTGCTAGGTATGGACAGTCTGAAAATGCGCTGGAGGAAGGTGAAGCTAGCTAACCCCCTACTTTTCATGCATTTCTAGACGAAACGGTACACCCCGGAAGAAGAAAGTTTCATTTAGATTCCCCAACTCGAGCGTATCGCAGAGCAAGTTACCATTACCAATTGGCCTCCGAAAACTCGGACTCGGAGAGTTTTGCAGTTTGATAGGAAGCGAGAAGAAAACACCAATTCACTTTCATATTGAAGACAACGTAATGAAGCTCACCGATACCGTTCAAGACACACCGTGGCGAAACTTTCTACCCCTGTCGAGTATCTCTCTGGCAGAATGGCTGGAACAGACTGTGCACCTCTCCAACAGGGTGAAGATTACGCTCGCATATACCATCGCGAAATCAGTGTGGCAATACTACAATTCTTACTGGATGGCAAATCCATGGACACACGACAATATTCAAATGCTGAAGGAAATGGTCAGTGAACGGAACCATGTACGACCGCATCCATATTTTGCCGCGAAGCTTCGCAAATTCAAAGGCCAAATATTGGACTACTGCATCGCAGACGACCTCTTCCACATGTATCCCAGCATTCTCGCGTTGGGGGTTATCCTTATTGAGATTGCGACCAAGCAACCGTTCCGACCTGAGAGCTCTCATTACCCCTGGGACGAAACAACAATCAATGACTATTACGAGTGGGCATGGACTACGGCAAATAGCAGTAATTTGGGAAATATGATCGGAGCTACCTATGAGGCGGTGGTAAGCAACTGTCTCGATGCCGAACTATTTAGAGACGGTCCCACCGACCCGTCAAGACTCGACGAAGATCTTGAAATCAGACAGTCGCGTCTCTACGAGAAAGTCGTGCTGCCTCTTCAGGACCTCTATCACGCATACAGAGATGACTGGGAAATCCAGGAGCTTCCCAAGCCAGAAGCTACAATTTCTCCAAGTTTATCTCAGGCCCAGCACACCAGACCGGCCAATCGTTCCCAGTTCACCATCGCCATTTTCTGCGCATTACCCTTGGAAGCAGACGCCGTCAGCGAGTTGTTTGAGGAAATCTTGGACGAAGAAATCGAGAACTTTCGTAAAGCAGCCGGAGACGATAATACGTACACCCTGGGCAGAATCTTGTACCACAACGTTGTTCTCGTCCACATGGCTGGTATGGGAAAGGGTGCCGCAACTCAAGCGGCTTCCAGTATACGATCCAGCTATCCAGAGATCAAGCTTGCGCTTGTGGTTGGAGTTTGCGCGGGTGTCCCGTCACCTTCGGCGGGAAAAGACGATATTATCTTGGGTGATGTTGTGATTAGTGATGGAATTGTCCAATATGACTTTGGAAGGCGATTTCCCGACACATTTTTGAGCAAAGCCAGACCAGAGGTGGCTGGCCCCAAGCTTCGGGGTTTGTTGGCTAAATTGAAGGGGGTCCGAGGGCGAGAACGAATTGAAACTAAACTATCTGGGCATCTCAGCATCTTGCAGGATAGGCTTGGTCAACAGAGAGCTGGTTACCCAGGCATGGACAAAGACGAGTTGTTCCAATCCTTCGACCGTCATAAGCATCATGATCCAGCAGCATGCCGATTATGTGGCTCCTGTGAACTTGGAACGGATCCAGTATGCGAAGAAGCACGATTACTAACTTGTCAACAACTTGGATGTCAGAAGAGGTCGTTGGTCCCACGCAAAAGACTGCAAGAGGCATCGGCGAATGATGACCCTCCAAAACCCAGAATCCACTTCGGTCTCGTTGGTTCTGGAGATACGGTCATGAAATCAGGGCAACATCGCGATGAAACTGCGATTCAACATAATCTGATCGCTTTTGAGATGGAGGCTTCTGGGGTTTGGGAACTTTTGCCGTGCCTTGTCATCAAAGGTGTGTGCGATTATGCCGACAGCCATAAGAATAAAGACTGGCAACACTATGCTGCTGCGACAGCTGCGTCTTGTATGAAAGCTGTATTGGAGGATTGTCCAACCGGCGAATGGTTAGTCCTAGCCCAGTCTAAGTTATTCTGATGAGCATTCTGACGTTCAGCAAAAATAGGTAACAGGCATCCATATAGGCTGGACCTATTGTTGGAAGCATGACGTGTCTCTGTGAGGTTCCTGCCAAACAATGCACTCCATGGTTAGCGCCAACGGCTGTCAAGAAGTGAAGTAGAGTATTTAAACTACCTAGGAAACTCCAGATGCCATAATTGCTTCGTGGAGCATTCAGAGAACAAGAAGCCTCCGAGAGAAATTTAGCGGAACTATCCCTATACCAGTAATTTCTCGGTCGAACGGGCACCCCCAAAGACCATACTGAACGTTATCTTTCAAGCCACAGTAGATCTACAATGAGAACATATTTCTATTGAGTTTTCAATCTGCTATAAATCTCTAAGGTAGTACTATCAATAGCATAGCACAGCTGGCCTATTCGGAAAATACTTTCGATTTAGATTACCCAAGATTGCACCATGATCGAGCGATGGAGATATCAATGTCTACATTACCGTGCTCCAAAAGACCTCTAGAGCATATTACGATACCTAGTATAATAGATACGAGGTGCCGCAACACTTTATATATCGCCTTGAACGTTGAAGTATGAAGCTGTGAAACATTGTATCTAGTATGGTAGTTTGGGGTGGTTCGCTTGGCCGGGAACTGCGTTATTAAGAGCTTGCTTCCGCACATGGTGTCCACTTTAACTGTCATTTGATGGATAAGTGGGAAAGTATTTTACTTAACGTTAGGTAGTTCACGGTCAACCCGATCATCCGAAACACGATAGAAAATGGGAGTCCTCCCATCATGATAACTCACCACGCATGGCTTAAGTAGAACGTCCCACGATAAACTAGCGCTTGTTATATTTATATGAAAAGTTTTGATAATATCGGGTAGGATCTTAAGGATGAGGGAACATCGAGACATAAGCTATATTCCAGACTCGTCAGAGCGCTCACGGCCCTGTAAGCACTTTATAGTTCGATACTGCATAATGACCTGTTGCCATCGAGACGCGAGGTACTCCGATAGAAAATACGGACCATCGTGTGCGAGCATGAGCTGACGAAGGCCAGACACAAGGTTGAACGGAGACTCACGATAGACTTTCCATGTGGCACCACCCTGCTGGCAGAGCTAGATAAGCAAGAAGACATCGCATCATTTCGTAGATCGTTTCTCATTCACATTTCATTGTTTGTGTGGAGCTACTAGTAATTAGGATATCGTTAATGGAGTTGTTTATCCACCAGACTCGACCGGCGTATCTCGATGCGATCGAGCGAGGACCAAATGCTAGCTCGCTTATAGCCACTGTATCCGATCACTAATTATACTCTAGCGCTCTCATTGCACCAGATCAGACAAATATAGTAGACACGCCTGATTGACATGCTCATCGGTTTGGACGACAGCTGGATAGTATGCAGGGGACCGACCTGATGGTCTGTGGTGTTACAAAGGTGCCGGGATCCAGGCGTATAGCTTGATTTAAGCCACATATGACACGATGGAGAACCAATGACCGAGCGAGTTCTTCGAACCATAGATGACCCAACTTGTACCACAAATCCGACTCCAGTCAATTCTTCCATGTGGTTCCTGAAGCGTTTCCCAATCGGGCTTAAGTGAGGCTTATCGCCGAGCGCTCAGTCCCGCTCACGTGATATCATCGTGGTAAACGGCCCCTCGAATCAAATCAGTTGACATTCGGTAAGTCCCAGTCAGGTCCAATTGAGGACTGAATATCGCTAGGAGATTTGTTTTTCAAATCTGGCTGTACGTAACAATCAAGTTTCCAATTGGAGGCCCCCAGAGAGTCATCGCGGGCGTCATCAAGTGGATCATCATTGGTTCCACTTGGGTAAGCATCCCCGACCGCCCATGTCCCGTTCTGCTCGGTCTTTTAGTAAGCAGCCTCTCTGGGTTCGGGAACTTGGAAGCTCTCCAGATTCCCCGAGGATCCTTGCTTTTGCTTTTTCACCATTCTTGCCTGTGCTAACGGAAGGAGATCTTGGGCGCGCTGTCGCTTGTCACCACCATGTTGGATGGTCATACGCAGATGGTGCTAGGGGACTCCCTCTCGGGAGACCTCTCGCCGTCGCGACTCGCCTCCGCTTTCGACCATCGCCAGCGAGAGGCCTTCTGCGGCGATCCGGAGGGCTGGGGTCCGCTCAGCTTGAATGGCTTCTACCTGACTTCGTGCTTTGTGGATGTAGTTGTCGCCGTCGTCGCCGTGTGGGGTTCATTGGCTGGTCTCGCTGCTCTTTGGATGTTACTGAAGAAGCGTATTCCGCAACCCGTCTCAAAGAATTGGCACTTCTATGCTAAGCTGGTTCGTCGGCCCCATTTCCCCCGATCGTCCGCATTCCTCGCAATTCTAATCATGTTTAATTCGACCTACTACAGGCTGTACTCGCTGCTCTCATATTCGTTACTGCCCTTGAAGCCGCCTTGCATGCCGAAAACCAACCGAAGACTTTCTTTGCCGATTTCCGATTCTGGTCCTCCCTTTTGACGCTCGGCTCGCTGGGTGTCATCTTTGCTGTGCAATACTACGAGCATTGGCGAAGCCGGCAGCCAAATGGGGTCGTCCTGTTCTACTGGCTCTTCTTTATCATTGCCTACGCCATCAAGCTGCAGTCCCTCGTCGCTCAGAAGACTTATCTCCAACACCTTCCAAACTTTATCTGCGTCAACCTCGGCCTGGGCCTTTCCTTGTTAGAATTTGTCCTGGAATACTTTATTCCTAAGAAGCAAAGTGCCTATGATGCGCTCGGCGATGAAGATGAGTGCCCTTACAACTATGCTGACATCTTCTCGGTCCTTACATTCGGATGGATGACACCGATGATGAAGTTTGGCTACAAGAATTATTTGACTCAGGATGATCTGTGGAACCTCCGCCGCCGAGACACTACTCGAGCAACTCTGGATGGTTTGAATGCCGCATGGGAGGAGGAGCTCGAAAAGAAGAGCCCATCTCTTTGGTTGGCTCTTTTTAAAGCATTCGGTGGTCCATACATGCGTGGCGCGATAATCAAATCGGGCAGTGACATGCTCGCTTTTGTTCAGCCGCAACTGCTGCGGTACTTGATCGCTTTCATCGACTCTTACCGAACCCCGGACCCCCAGCCAGTGATTCGCGGTGTGGCCATCGCCCTGTCAATGTTCGTGGTCTCGGTCTGCCAGACCAGCTGTCTTCACCAGTACTTCCAGCGAGCATTCGATACTGGTATGCGGGTCAAGTCATCTCTGACTGCGCTTATCTATGCGAAGGCCTTGCGTCTTTCAAGCGAGGGTCGCGCAAGCAAGACTACTGGTGATATTGTCAACCACATGGCTGTCGACCAACAGCGTCTGTCTGATCTGACCCAGTTCGGTACCCAGCTGCTATCAGCTCCTTTCCAGATCACGCTGTGCATGCTTTCTCTCTACCAGCTTGTGGGACTCAGCATGTTCGCCGGTGTTGGTGTCATGATTCTGATGATTCCGCTTAATGGTGTCATTGCACGGATGATGAAGAAACTACAGATCACCCAGATGAAGAATAAAGACTCGAGAACCCGACTGATGACTGAGATTTTGAACAACATGAAGAGCATTAAGCTCTATGCTTGGAACACAGCATTCATGAACAAGCTCAGCCATATTCGAAACGACCTTGAGCTCAACACCCTCCGCAAGATTGGAGCTACGCAGTCCATAGCCAATTTCACCTGGCAGTCGACTCCTTTCCTCGTCTCCTGCTCCACCTTCACGGTGTTTGTCTTGACGAGCGATAAGCCCCTGACTACTGACATTGTCTTCCCTGCCCTGACACTCTTCAATCTCCTTACGTTCCCGCTTTCTATCTTGCCCATGGTCATTACCTCCGTGATTGAGTCTACCGTGGCTGTGAAGCGTCTTGTAGAGTACTTCACCGCGGAGGAGCTCCAGACCGACAGTGTGATTTACCAGGATTCTGTGGAACATGTAGGCGACGAGTCCGTCCGTATTCGTGACGCTACGTTCACGTGGGACCGCCACTCTGGCATTCCTGTGCTCGAGAACATCGATATGAGTGCTCGTAAGGGTGAGCTCAGCTGCATTGTTGGACGTGTTGGTGCTGGCAAGTCTTCTCTGCTCCAGTCCATTCTTGGTGAACTATGGAAGAACCAAGGTGAAGTCGTCGTTCGTGGTCGCATCGCCTATGTTGCACAGACCCCTTGGGTCATGAATGCCAGTGTCCGAGAGAATATTGTGTTCGGACATCGATGGGATCCCGCCTTCTATGATCTCACCGTGGAGGCTTGTGCTTTGCTCGATGATTTCAAGATCATGCCCGATGGTGACCAGACCGAAGTCGGAGAGCGTGGAATTTCTCTCTCTGGTGGTCAAAAGGCGCGATTGACCCTCGCTCGTGCGGTTTATGCTCGCGCGGATATTTACCTTCTTGATGATGTACTCTCCGCAGTGGATCAGCACGTCGGACGTCACATCATCAACAAGGTCCTTGGTAGCTCCGGTATTCTCAGCGGCAAGACCAGGATTCTGGCCACCAATGCGATCACTGTTCTCAAGGAGGCTGACTTCATTGGCCTCTTGCGTGACAAGACCATTATCGAAAAGGGCACTTACGAGCAGCTGATGGCCATGAAGGGTGAAATTTCAAACCTTGTCCGTACAAATTTGGCTGAATCGGACGATGATCATTCCGCCAGCGTCTCGGATGATAGCCTTGCTAGCCCCAACCCCTCAGAAGACACGGCCGTGATTGAAACCGGCGAAGACTCGGATAGCGAAGATTTGGAGGAGCCTGGCGCTCTTGTTCCGATCAAGAGCCACGGTGATACCCGCAGAAGGTCAAGTACCGTTACCCTCCGCCGAGCTAGCACGGCGACCTGGCAAGGCCCGCGCCGCCAGCTTGGAGACGAGGAAAACGTCCTCAAGAGCAAGCAGACCCAGGAGATCTCACAGCAAGGTAAAGTCAAGTGGGGTGTCTATGGCGAGTACGCAAAGAACAGTAATATTGTTGCCGTGTCTTTCTACCTCTTCGCGCTCTTGGCGGCTCAAACTGCCCAGGTTCTTGCAAACTACTGGCTTAAGAACTGGACTGACTACAACGAGGCTCACGGTCGCAATGAGAGCGTTGGCAAGTTCATTGGTATCTACTTGGCTTTCGGTCTGGGATCGTCCCTTTTGGTCATCATGCAGAACCTGATTCTGTGGATTTTCTGCTCTATCGAGGCTTCTCGCAAACTTCACGAGCGCATGGCATTTGCCATCTTCCGCTCGCCCATGAACTTCTTCGAGACTACACCATCTGGTCGTATTCTGAACCGATTCTCCAGCGATATATACCGTGTTGATGAGGTCCTTGCCCGAACCTTCAACATGCTATTCGCCAACTCCGCTCGTGCCATCTTCACCATGATCGTCATTTCCACCACCACCCCGGCTTTCCTGCTGTTGGTCCTTCCTTTGGCTTGGGTCTATCTCAGCTACCAGAAGTACTACCTGAGAACATCCCGTGAGCTGAAGCGGCTGGACAGTGTCACTCGCAGCCCGATCTTTGCTCACTTCCAGGAGTCTCTCGGCGGTATTTCGACCATCCGTGCCTACCGCCAGGAGAATCGGTTTGCTCTCGAGAATGAGTGGCGCATGGATGCCAACCTCCGGGCTTACTTCCCTTCCATCAGTGCTAACCGATGGTTGGCAGTTCGCCTCGAGTTTATTGGTTCGATCATCATTCTGACCTCCGCTGGACTCGCCATTCTCTCGGTCGCTACTGGAGGTCTTCTCTCGCCCGGTATGGTTGGTCTGGCTATGTCCTACGCTCTCCAGATCACTCAGTCTCTCAACTGGATCGTTCGCCAGACGGTTGAAGTGGAGACCAACATTGTTTCTGTTGAGCGTGTTCTCGAGTATGCGAACCTGCCCAGCGAGGCCCCCGATGTTATCTTCAAGCGCCGACCTGCCGTTGGCTGGCCCGCTCAGGGTGCTGTCACCTTCAAGAACTACAGCACCCGGTACCGTGAGGGTCTTGACTTGGTTCTTAAGAATATCAATCTCGACATCAAGCCTCACGAGAAGATTGGTGTCGTCGGGCGAACTGGCGCAGGCAAGAGTTCCTTGACCTTGGCTCTGTTCCGCATTATTGAGCCTACTGGTGGTACCATCAGGTAAGAGTCTCGCGTTTGACTCATCTTGGAACATCAAAATTCTAACATTGCCCACAGTATCGACGGACTCGACGTGTCCTCCATTGGCCTAACCGATCTCCGTGGTCGCCTAGCTATCATTCCTCAGGATCCTGCCATGTTCGAAGGCACTCTCCGTGACAACCTGGACCCACGCCACGCCCATGACGATACTGAGCTCTGGAGCGTCTTAGGTATGATTCAAAAATCTATAACTTAATTTCTCCAAAACTTGGACTTACACTAGAATCAGATCACGCCAAACTCAAGGATCACATTACCGGCATGGAAGGCCAACTCGATGCCCAAATTCAGGAAGGAGGTAAAAATTGCTCTCTCTTCTAATCGCGAATGACTATAGTAATCTAACATTGCTTGACAGGATCCAACTTGAGTCAGGGTCAACGCCAGCTGGTCTCTCTTGCTCGGGCCTTGCTCACGCCTAGCAACATCCTTGTTCTGGATGAGGCAACGGTAAGATTGCTGCCCCCTTTCCAAAATTTCCCTTTACCAGCCTGAGGCAGCACCAGCTAACAATAGTAATCGTCCAGGCCGCGGTTGACGTGGAGACGGACGCGCTGCTTCAGCGCACTCTACGTAGCAGTATCTTCCAGGACCGAACGATCATCACTATCGCTCATCGCATCAACACGATCATTGACTCGGATCGCATTGTTGTCCTTGACAAGGGCCAGGTGGCGGAATTCGACACTCCAGCCAACCTGATCAAGCAGGGTGGTCGCTTCTACGAGCTCGCTAAAGAGGCCGGTCTGCTTGACAGCGATGGTCTGGCCAGTTCTTCCTTACAAATAGCCTAACCACCAATCGATTTTCAATAACTCCGACGAGCTTTCTCCTGTCCTACGGCGGCGACAATCCTGGAAGGGGGTTCGGCTCCTGCAAGCCTGTCATGCACATCCAGATGCAAGAGCACTTGGAAACTCTGAGTGGCTCGGGGAATCCGGGCCTACTCTGGACCCTTTGGGATCAAATTGGATGAGCGTGAATGCTGATTGTCGGATTGCCACGCCGCCCACATGGATCATGCCTTCTCCTCTGACTTCGCCATTCAAATGCGCAGCGGTTGCCCCCTATCTGTGGCGCGGACGGCGCGTGTCCTTCTTTGTCTAATTGTTCTCATTTTTTGTATGTATCAATGGCAAACTCAATCTGTTTCCCTGGGACACCCCTGGCAGATGTGGAGTGGGGGAAGAGGGGAGGCAAACTCCAAGGGGAAAGAAGTGTAAATGTAAAGAATAAAAGTGTTTTTTCTCTAAGTTTCACGCAGAACCGATTTTCTTAGCCTCCGGCGTTTGAGATAATGTGTGCAACATAATCAATAGGCAGGCAGGTGATTACAATCCTGAGACTGATTTGAGGGTGCCTTGCTTTGTTTTTTTGCTCAATTTGCTTTTTGGTCAATGTCGTTTAGTACATTGTTTCTCTCTTCTTCCAAGAAACCAAATTCTCCGTAGTCTTACATGTCTCTCCTTCATTTTTAGGGTTCTTCCGGTCACGATTGGGTTCAATTACAACGACCAGTTTTACTTTTGCTCGTGATGTCGTGATTGCATCGTTGCTTTCTTTCTCTTAACGAACTACATCCGTCATCTCCGTTCCCATCTTCAGACTTCGATTACAGAACCGAATTTTCTTTTGCTGACAACCCTCATGTGGTATCATCTGAGCCTGAATGTGTGCCAACACATCGGCATGAAAAATGAATGGAAAAACGAGAATAAAAGGGCCGGTTTTGCATTGTGCTAGTTCCCAAAGGAGGGGAAGCAGGATTCTTAGCTTCTATACCCATACATCATGACATAACTGCAATTTATTTCCTCCATCGTCCGTTCAAATCCTTCAGACCAGGTTTCCGGGATTGTTTGCATTAGTGTCGCTGTCCAACGTGGCGGTGACATCTTCTGATATCTGAATTTTCATCCCACGCTGAAGTCTTGTTGGTGGACGGTTGTAGCGGTGTACCATTAGCAAGTTAGTACGGATTACACCGCCGCTACTTGACTAGGGTGGTTTGTCCGTCGCTGCTAGGTTTGCAGCATAAGGATCAGACATTCCAACAATCCAACAATGTCTTTGCAGGGGGATCGAATTTCGTTCGCTTTCCTCGGTTATGAAAACAATCGGGTTTGTTGGACGCCGCTAGGTAGGCAAACTGCCGTGTTCACGTTAACATGCAGACCGTGCAAACCAACTATGGTCTCGATCTGTCATTCAATGTGACAGAAATATATATCCGCACTTGCATCGAAAAATTAGGTACCAAATGCATCGAGACCGCTCCGGACCGTTTACGAACTTGTTCTCCCGCAAACCATGGACCCTGTGCGAACCTGCTACGCCACAAGATCCTACATGACTCGAGATGCCTCTATGGAGTCCGCGCCCTCTACGCAGTCCATGCAATGAAAGCAAGTAATTGTCATTGTCATCGCATCGTACATACAACCATTGATAGAACTTGACACCCGGAACTAAAAATAGTTCGGGAAAATATATATTCGCCGCGTCTCAACAGTGGCAACGCCAACAGTGCAGCCCCTTGCTTTGGGCTCGCCGGTGGAAGTGAAAACCTCCCACGAGTGTTCATGTGAACACTGTAATGTAGGCCGTAGACATTGAAATCTGTTGTGCATACATGTAGGATCAATAATGGAAAACTAGGCGCTGAGTATTGCATAAGGCTAGATAGAGGACATGGATGAGCACAATCGACTTTCTGCTTAGCTGGATGTTCCTCAACCCTTCAAAGAGGCGATATCTTGATCTACTGCATGATTGCGCAATTCGCAAGGCACTAAAACCTTTTGCTTGTATGACATAGAAATATGTCCAACTTGGAATAGAACGACGCTGCCTATCTACGTAATACATTCAATCCTCAATCCCTAATCTTGAATTCCAAATTGAAATACTTTCTGCAGCATGCAACAATATCGGCGCCCGCCTCTATAGTGTCACTAACTACACACCAAGCCTGCAGTTTCATAAATGGTTCCATTTACCTGATACCAGCTAGTAGCTAGATGCAGCGTACCTGAAAACTCGAACTCATCTCGATAGAAAGTCCGATCCAGATAATAGCACAGCGAGCCAACATATCAAATATCGCGTGGCAAAGTACAGTGCATGTCATTCTGCCTCTGGCGCATCAGATCAGATCAGAATGATCGGGGAAAGCATTGTCTGCTTCCACTGAGCCCCGTTCACCCTCCTAGCCCCATTATTGTTTCAAGACCTTTCTGCATTGTATCGGCAATCCTTTACCCCGTCCGTGCTTTGACGCCGTCGGGGTTCTTCTTCCTGCTGGGCTGGCGGCATGATTGGGGAGACGCAATTCCTGGATATAGGATGGACCTTTTGTTTCAGCTGTTGTCGGTAGCCAATGCGTCCGTAGTGGAGGCAAGGGATGCTGGAGATGGATCCTTGCGGGGGTCAGTGCTCTGGCGTCTCCGGGGAAGTGCCGCTCCCGCTCCAGTAGTCTTCTACGATGGGCCATGATTTGTCGATGGGCCAATGATGTCGGGTCCTGCGTGAGATCATATTCAGGTCAAGGGTAGAAGGCCTCTGATTCTTCCATGGGTCATCCATGTCATCTACTGCCCTTCGGCATAGGACAATTCCCCACCATGGGCTCTGATCATTGCCACTGGAAGGAGCGGCGTCTGGTATCTTGAAGCCCTAAAGTTAATCATCCACCGTGATCTGGTGAGAGATCGAGTTTAACCCGAACCTACAGTAGAACGGATCGGAGGATCCGGCATAGCCGTGACATTGGGACCCAGTTCTGTTCTAGCCATCTATGCTCCTGCACCGAGTACCTCCGAGGTGATGCGCGATCTTCTTGCCCCGCCTCGAAAAAAAGCCTGATACCGTAACATGCTGGAGGCTGGAATAGGACTTCGTCTTACGTCGAGGCCAGATTCGATCTGGTACCTGCGACAATGTGCATAATATGGTCTACGATCTTTCAAGTGTAATTACCAACAACCGTATCAGGCATGCAACATACAATGCATCAACACCTACCCCTCCATCATCCATCATCGACATGAACTCACTCAAACCTACCAAAAGAGGCACCGTCAAGGATTCACCGAGACTTTGAATAACTTTGGCGCAAAGCAGGGATTGCACTTCGCGAACCCGGTACATGGTAACCACCCCAGCCAGCCTCAACCCGCCTTCCCCCTCTCGGACCGTCAGTCCAAACCCCTCATTCTCAATGATTATTGGGTCTGAGAATGTTGCACAGTGCTGCACATGGCTCCGCATTGACCACGGACCGTAGATACTGTGGATCTCGTAAAGCTTTTTGTATGATCTGCAGCTGGCATCCTACATACGATTCGAGACCGGTCTTGCGTCTGCTGTACCATGAAGCTGCGGGAAATAGGGAGAAAGTTAACGAGTTTCAGTCGGGATTTGGTAGCGGGGACCACTGGAGGCTTTGGATCCTTTCAGCCCTGGAGGCTGGAAGAAAAGTGCTTTGACCATGGTGGGCTTAATCTCGTCGTCTGTAGTGGAGTAAAAGATAGCTTCCCGGAGAGTATGAAGAACGATAGTTACGTAGACAGACCCCGAAGGTGGCGGGAATGAAGCGGATTCTTGTGCATACCCGAGAAACTGGACCCTCATGGCCGGGAGGTTGCGGTGATCGTCGATGGAAACCAGGGTGGTGGGATTGTTGTCATCGGGGATCTAGGATTCAAGGTTCCGGTAACGTTTGGGCCTGTCGTTCGGGGCAAAGGCAAAAGATGGATTAGGGTGGCTTCAATGATCAATTTCCACTGGTGTGTCTGCCGGAGTATATTGGACAGAATTAGTTAGGACGGTTCGAATGGTCCCCGGAGAAAAGATTTCGTAGGACTTTCGATGGCGGGCTTGGCGGCCGAGGATAGGCGAGTGCCTTGCATCGGGGAGTTTGGAGAGGACACGGGGAAATTGAAATGGATTAGAGTCCATACATTCGTGGTCGCGGACTGAAAGCTGCTATTAGTGTTATCTGGCTCTCGATCTGCTACCATGGCCAGAGCAATTCCCCGTTGATTCTCTTGTGACGCAGTCATGCCGGGTTCACCGTAGGGCTTCCTTGACAGCAGGCCGGTGCACGGGGTAGATTATGGTCAAAAGTACCAATCAAGTATTTGTCACGAAGCCTCCAGAACCCAGTTTCCCAGCCACAGATCGCCTCGCGTGGATCGGGCCTCTCCGGCAATGTGGAAACCCAGTCCCGGGGACTTGGTCCACCTGGTGGAACTCGTACTCGAAGCAAAGAAAGTGATCAGAGCGCGCAATTCGGTATCATCAGGAAAGGTTTAGTGTTTTTAAGATTTCATAAAATCAATCAATCCATTTAGGGATGATAATGTCCGTCGTCCTGAAGGTGGCTTGAGAACAAGCCCCTTGGTCTAGCCTGACCAAGTGTAGATCGCAGATCGCACTGTGCATACCGTATCTGGACGGTGCATGACACAAACGAACAGACAACGTCAGACGAGCAGGAGATTATTGTAGATTCAATGCACAATGACATTGTGTCAGCCACGATACTCTGATCAGATCCCGAGTACGGATCTCCAGGGACGATCTCATTCCCCCCATTTCGGGCAATTTCTCCGTGCTTGCAGGCCCTAGATGGGGACACTAGAGTGCATTTTGCAGAGAGACCAACGCAAACTAAATACCATTAGATCAAGTTCCACCAGGTCGGGTCTTCCATACGACCGGATCATCAAGAATAGGCTCCCGCAGTTATAGTCAAAGTTTAGTCGTACAATGAACAAGGAGCGGGGGGAGGTATAAAACGGGAGCTTCCAATTGGTCCGTTCCTAAGTAATCTAAGACCGAACGGGAGAAGGTAAACCATGATCATCCGTGCCCTGGTGGTCGCACCTAAGACCATCCGCTCTTGGGTGCACCACCTAATCTTTGTCACTGTACCTTTTGTACAGCCTCACCATACAAAAGGTACTTACCTCATAAATCTAGTTTTTCTTAAATATCCTAGTAAATTCTACTAAATAATTAATTTCTTTATAGTAATACTATAGCTGAGAGGTAGATTATATCTGTTACTATAGTAATCTATAGGTTTAGCTTCTGGTAAGTATCATAAAATATCTTTGAAATTCCTTTATAGTAAATCTTCCTTGGCGAAAAAAAAAGATAGGTTCTTATACTATCCTTCTAGATCTGACCATCTTCTTAGATAGTATAAATAGCTGAAAGAGATAGGTGGTTATACTTAGAGAGGTAGTCAAGGAATAGAATCTAATTTCTTAGATGGTTAGATCCAAAAAAACGACTTTAAATGATCATGTACCTTTTGTATGGTGAGGCTATACAAAAGGTACAGTGACAAAGATTAGG